GCCTCACGGATTATAGCCTCTACCTTAGTAACTACTTTAGGATTATTCCTTTTTAACCTTTATTATAAATCGTATTATTTATATACTTTTTTATAGATATAATTCGATAAGTTAGGATATTTATAGTATTCTCGTAGAGCTTCTTTTATTTCTATATATTAGTAGTTTCTTTATTAAAGTATTTTATATAACTTTATAAGGTTTAGATCCTCTTATTCGCGCTTTCTCTTATTTAGCTACTTCTATTTTAAAAACTAATTATAGAAAGTATATCTCTTAAGAGTAAAATCGAAGTACCGGATATAGATCTATTTATAGGTCTAATTAAGTATTAAGTCTTATACTATATAAAGATTCTAAAGCTCCTTTTAAAGGGTAACTTAACGTGCTAGCGGATACCTTTAAGGTATAATAAATATCTCTTTTATAAGTACTTACTTTAAGTATATAAGATAAATAGGAGAGTAGGAATATAAAGTATAATTAAAGGTAAGATAATATAAAGTATTTTCACTTAATAGGGTATACCTTACTTAAAGTAATTATAATAAAGACTTTATAGAAAATAAAGTATAATTAAGGGAAAATCTATTTAATTAGCTAGCTAATAACCCTTAGAGCTACTATTAAGTTACTTAAACTTTATATATATTTTCCTTATACTTGCTTTAGTATCTTATACTTAATAAAGTTGAAGTTATAAGTAGAACTATACTTATTAGATAAGTCTACCTAGTACTTAGTTAAGATCTAGAAGACTAATATTAATAGAGAAACTAATCTCGTTTTTAGTAATAAGGTTAGACTAGTTAATTAGAGGTTTACTATCTTTTCGGAATATAGTAGTAATATCTACTTATAGTATTTTAGCTACTAGAAGCGTATATTCTATAGATTACGAGGCTTTAGTAATATTATTAATAGTAATATCAGATTAGTGTGACTTTCTAGTTACGTATATTTTTATATATAAGTTAATCGACTTTACTTTAGTCTCCTTTTTAATCTCTACCTTAATAGTAGTATTAGTCGTATCCTTATTATCTAATAATAATAAAGATAATAACTCCTTTTCTTCCTTTTTAATAGTTTCTAGCTTAATTTAGATACCTGCTTTTATAATAGTAGTACTAATAAATTTAATACTTTTATTTCTCTTAATTTTAGGTATAGTTAGAGAGATAATAGGAGAGATAGAATTAGATCTTCTTTACTTTAAAGCTTTTTTTTTCAGTTAATCTTTTAGCTTTAGAGCTAAAGAAGATAGGAGATTTAATATAATATTTTTTAATAGAAATAACTATTATATACTTATTAGGTGTACTAAGTCTAAGGTAATAGAGGTCTTACTATTACTTTCTATTAAACTTCCTTAAGCTATTAATAATATAGAGAAATTTACTTAGTAGCTATCCTAAGGGCTAAAGTCGAATATTAATCTTCCGTTTAAAATTAATATTAAACTTAGATAACGATTCTATCTATAAGTCTGATTCTCTTACTTAAGTATAAAGCTAGTCTTAGATAATTAATTATAATACTATATTCTTAAAGATCTTAAAAAGATAATTTAATACTCTAACTTTAACTAAAGTAGAGAACTTAAGGTTATTTAAGAATAACGTAGCTTAGAAAGATATCTTAAGATTATCTTTTAGATTAATACTAAACTATTAGAGGAGCTCTAAGGTAAGTGCCTTATTATTTATATCCTAATCTTTAGTATACTTCTTTTCCTTTACTATTTAATAAGTAAGTTCCTCTTTATTAATATAATAAGTTAACGTAAGTATAGATCTAGTTATAAAGATCTATAAAGGTCCTTCCCCTTAAGCTAGTTTATACTATCTCTCTTTAGCTATCTTCTCTTACTTCTTTACTTTCTGTTTCTTTTATCTCTACTCCTTCTTAATATCTGTAGTACTTTTTATACTTATAAAGATAATACTATTATTATTACTATTATTATCTGAAGATCTCGTTACCTTAGTACGTTCTAATAGTAGTATAACTAAGGGTCCTAGTAAGTTCAGCCCTTAAAACTTAGCGTAGCTAATCAGAGTATAAAAGTTAGCTAAATCGTTCTTAATAATATTATTATAAAAGATATATATTTTAGCTATAATATCTAACTATATAAAAGAGTAACTAATATAAGAAAGTACTTCTTATATGTTAAGGAATATAGGAAATATATAAGTAGATATATTAAGTTCCAAAAGTAAGAGGAAGCGAAGTAGTAGTAAAGTAATAGAAAATTTAATAATCTATATCTTAATAATTACTAATAGAGATAAAAGGAAACTTATATTAATAGAATTATTATAATTAATAATCCAGATTCCGAGAGTATTATAAAGATTATTATATAAAGAGGTAGCTATATATTTAGTATTTATAAAACTATAGGGCAAGTAGGGTCTATCTAATATTCTATATAATAAAGTGTCTTACAACTGCTCGTATTAAGAGAGATATCTACTTATAAGGTAATAGAATAATAAGGTACATTATTTGTCGTGTGCGACAGGCGTGGTAGCTTGAAAGGTGGTTTAACTACGTCTAATTATTAAAGGGGGAAGCTCTAGCGTAACTAATAATATACGTAGAATAGGGGTTCGCTTAGGTAAGCTACCCTACTTATAATATACTCCCTAGTTATATAGAACTCCTACCGATTAGCTATTCTATATATAAATAAGCTATCGAAGCTTAAAACAGATAAAAGAAGCTTTAAAAGAGTATATAACCTCTCTAGCTCTAAGCTAGGAAAGAAAGGTCTAGAAATACTTTAATAACATAAGAGAGTTAGGGACTATCATATAACTTCCCGGCGTGCGAGTGCTCTAGCTAAACGAGGCTACTTAGTTAGTAAGGAGCTACTTATACTAATACTAAGACTAGTAAAAGAGGAAGCCTCCTGATTCCTAGTTACCTCTAATAAGCGTTTAAATATCTCTAGCGCTAGTTAGGAAATACCCTTTACTTTTAATTAACTCTCCCGAGCTTCCTAAGTAGTAATATTACTAAAGTAGCAGCTCTTAGGGTACTACCCTTTCTTTTCTAGTACTTTACGTAGCTTAGAATACCTTAGTTCTTTAAGCTAGGCTAGTAGGAGGCCTTAGTTATTTTAAGATAAAAAGAGCCTTAGGAAAGCTAGAGACTCTTCTCTTAGTATGAATTCGATATTCCTATATTATACTAGCTACTACTTATATCGATTCCTATCCTTTAAATAAGGGTAAGTATACCTCTTAGGGCTATCTGAAGCTACTCTTAAGGTAGGTATTACTATAATAAAGATTCTATAGCGCTCTTATACTTATTACTATAAGTATCTCTTTAAGATTATTCCGTACTCTTTTAGTATTCACGAGTTACTCTTACTTATTATTTCAGCTTCTATATATTAATCTAGCTAATATACCCCTTAATTAGGAGCTAACTTTATTATAACTGCCCTTAAGAAATCTTTAATTACTAGTGCTCTCTTAACCTCTAGAAGCTTATAGTTCTAAGCTCGAGATAATACTATAAACTATTCTATAAGCTAAACTAAAGGTATAAAGCCTCTAAAGGGGTTCTGAGCCTAGTCTAGTAGCTCCTGATACTTGTTCCGTATATACTCCTATATTATATTATCACTCGGAGTAAGCTTTAACTTAAGAGCTCGAATAATATTCTAAAGAGAGAGCTTCTTTTTAGCTATTAATCGCTAGACTTAAGGCTTAAGTAGTATTAACTCGATTATCTTTCTTATCTATTTCTAAATTAATAAGTATATAGTTCATTAGGTAGTCTAACGCACTTATAATTAAGTATATTCCTTTTACCGGAACTAGTACTTTTCCTTAATATTAGCGAAAATAGCTTATTAGGTAGTTAGCTAAGAGCTCTTAACTTAAGTATTTTGAATATTATTATCTTATTCCTTTAGAGGTATTAGTCGTTAAGTATTCTTAATATAGAGTATTTCGTTAATTAATAAGGGAAAGGAATGCTCTTCTATAAGTAGGTATAGAGCGTTAGCAGCTATAGAATTAATATACTACTAGCTACCTAAGAAGGTAGCTTAGCTCTCTAGCTTTATATACTACTTAGGGAATAACTTCCGGTCTTTTAGTTACGTCGCTAAGTATTACAATAGGTCTTCTATTATGAGTTTTAAGGTACCGGAAGCTTATAGGTAATAAGGTCTGTAATAAGGAAGATCGTAGTTTCTAGTAATTTAAGGTAAACTAGCTATACGCCTTAAGATTACTTAAGTAGCTTAAATAGTGCGAATATAGCTCTTAACTATCGTGTGCGATAAGCGTGGTAGCTTAAAAGGTAGTTTAACTACGTCTAATTATTAAAGGGGGAAGCTCTAGCGCAACTGATGATATACGTAGAATAAGGGTTCGCTTAGGTAAGCTACCCTACTCACGATATTATTACTAAGTAAGTAAGTATACGTTAGATAGGTCTTTAGTAATAAAGAGAAGGCAAGTAAGTAGAATAGCGGTATAATTATACTTTCGTACTTAATACTAACTAGTCCTTACGCTATACCTATTAATCCATGTCGGTTAGCTTTGTAAGTAGTATTAAAAAAATTCCTGTACCTTAATTAGATTTTAATAAGACTATTATATATTATTAGGGTTGATATTAAGGTATAATAAATGATGGAAGTTGATAAATAGCGAAATATGTAAAATCGCGAAATTAGAGGTTCCGCATAAGTGATTCATTTGGCTTCCCGTACTTGGCAGTGCCCAAGGAAGTAGAGCCGTAAATCCTACTTTTCAGGCCCCCTCTTATAACTTTAGAATTAAGACAAGGCATTTAAAAAGCTTTAGGATAAATAAAAGTGAACATGCAATTATTAAGTCCGCATTTACAGCTTATAATATAGAGGTGTTGTTGAAGTGTAATAATTCGAGGCGTTTTCCAGAGTTAAGTGAGGGCCAGAAAAATTGCGAGGGCTAGCCCCGCAAAATTGATACTAGTTATTGATATTGCTGTACCTAGCTTGCTGCACGTCACGTTTTTTTGATATTCCGGATTTGTACATATCTACCTATCTGCAATCGTTTTCAAAAAAGAAACGGCAGCTATCGAGAAATCATTAATTTTGAAAACCGAGAAATTCTGCAGGATAGACCATGCCCCTGTTTTGTTCCTGCCGAGAGCTAGCCTGCTGCCGAGCACATTTCAACAACGCGGAGGGTTGTTCAGCAGCTCCTGCTCAATGTTTCCATCAAGAACAACTAAAGCTCTCGAAAGACGTCGGACTACCTCTACCGTCGTATATAACTCTCTGTGGATATGGACATATGATTCTATCATTCTTGGTCCCCTTTTTGTCCGTGAAGCTGATCGGTAGTGTATCTGGCACAGTACCATTTTCAACCCAATCACGCAAAGCATCGAAGACAGTCAAAGGTTGTCCTCCGTCGCCTTCCCAGCAATGAGCCATGCCAGGTACCTGGAATACCCTGTAGTGATCATGCACATCTGGAGATACCCGTGCAACGTCATCGTAATATCTCATTCCCCCACGAGCCGGGAGAATTTGGTCAGACTAAGAACGTGAGTTGCTGTTCCAGTCACCACAGACAGGGATGGCGAAACTCACCAAGCCATGATATCCCAATATTCTCCCACCGCGCTCGAAGAACTCTGTCATGTCTGGCTCATTGGTGCCCATATGTCGATACTCCTGCACAGACAATCGAAAGAGACGATCAAACTCTTCGTGTGTCATGGTTGAACAGTCATACTCTGGATCCTTCAAAACGAAGAGAGATATCCACCATGTGACAAGCTCGTGTGGCTTTCCAGCACAAGTACCATTGTCAAAACACACAGTTGTGGCAAGTGCTTGTCCCATAGGACCATTCCCAGATAGATCACTACCTATATGCACTCCCGGATAGAGGGATTTGCCTTTGCTTGACCAAGGACCAGCCCAAGTTGCATTCGCAATGAATGCTGCCCCTTTGCTGACATCCATCATAACTCCAGAACAATTGAATCTCTGTCCCACTACCGAGAAGGGGTCGAAGTGACACGAGTCCGGGTCTGAAATGATTCCGTCTACCACGTCATCATCGCCATCACACCTTCTGGCTGCGGCAGCTGTAATCTCGTCGAGTTCACATCCATGAGGATACACTTTATGTATATTCATGAGCATCTGAGGCCAATACATAGCCATCAGGACTTCACCCCAATCAATCGCAGGAGCTGAAGCCGCAATCCCATCATAGGCATCCGGATACCGCTGCGCCAGCATAAGTCCCTGTCTACCACCCTGCGAACATCCACTGAAATACGAGTACTTCGGAGGTTCTCCGTAAAACGAGTTGATGAAACTCTTCCCAATGATGGCTTGGTCGTTCACCGAGACGGAGGCCAAGTTTTGAAGCAAGTACAGATTCACATTCCCAGGACTGACCTGCCCCCAATTATTGGGATTGGTCTCCGTCCCAAGACCTGCATCAGTAGTGATAGTCGCGTAACCTTCTCCGACCGCAGCTGACATCTGGAATTGGGAAAGAAGCCAGCGGCCCGCAATGTATCCTCCTCCACCAACGGCTTGCATACGGCCGTTGTAGTTGTGGAGAGGGAGCCATGCTTCGACGTTGATGGTGTTGTTTTGGCCCGGGTGGGTGTAAGTTACTGTTATGTTGCAGAAGTCAATGTTGCTGACATTTAGGGATCCGTCGTTGAAGTTGTATTGTGCTGGCACTTCTTGAGAATAATTGGTGATGAGATTTGTGCTTAGGTTGATTATCTCAGCTCCGAAGAGAGAAGGCTGAGGTATGAATGAGGGGGAGCAGTGGGATGAGGAGGCACCACCTCCTAGGACATATTGTACCTACAAGTAGGTCAATTAGCTGACTTGTAGGACTGATTGACTCCCTCGCTTACACCCGCCATGGAACAGTGAATTGACGAGAGTCGATGGTTTTCACACCGGTGCAAGTGATGAGCTGGGAACGGATATTTGAAGCACTGTCAACTCTTCACAGCTTCCCAGTTTACGAACCACATGAGATCATGTGTAAGCTGACAACTCATGTCAGCAACTTGATGAACAGCTTACCTAGTACGGAATACGACGGAAGATATGACGCTACGGCGGTACGGACCTATCGCGTGGTGAGCAAATGTGGAGAACAACATCTTAGCGAGTCTACCTAGAATTGCCCCCTCACAGTGACTATGCTTGTTGACTCTGGTTACAGCAATGAGAAATGTCACTGATCGTCTCTTCCTAGCTTGTTTCGCTCAGTAGGATACCTTTCTTGATCAAATTGCCAAAGCTGCTCGAAAAGCACTTACGCTTACGGGAGTAGCACTCCACCAAAATATCATCAGAACTTGCACGAGCTTGGACAAGTCCTTTGTGAACTGATCAAACTCACTGCAGAATCTACAGTGATTATGGCAATTAGCTCAAAAAAAATATTCCCTACAGAAACCACCAATGAATATTATCTTCTTTCGCCTGAACTTCGAGAATCAGCATACGAATCTGTTCCTCTCGGTCATCCCTCGCCGTCTCGGCTGCTCTGTCCTTAAGCGGATCTGTCGTGGGTTTCGCATAATGTAGGTAGGCATTCCCCACTAAAACCCCGGTAGATCTCAAGGATCCTCAAAGTGAGCAGCTGATGGAGGTCGTTCTGAGGGAATGGGAGCAGATCTTCTTCTCGATTCTTGGGCATATCGTCAGGGTGTTGAACAGCTACCGACACTGGCTACGCTGAATCATCTGCATTTTATGACACATTTACTGCAGTGGTTGTCTGCGTTTTACCTTATCTACAATCTCGAGGTACTGGTATTACAGACAGTTTACAAAGACATTGCAAATAGTGACTGTACGGGTAGCCACTTATGGTTAGGAGTGGCTGTGAGCTGCCCTGATATGTTCCAATATTGAAATGCAAGTCGTTTGAAGTCGATTCTTGCCATCCAGTACTTTCAACTGTAAGTGAACACGGCTCGCTGCTATTGCCATTATCGGCTTCTCCATTAGACTTATTCGTGTTCACGGTCGAAAGCGAGATTGTGTGATCTTTGTCTCTTGCTGCAGCTTTAGAGCGGCGAAGCTTTCTTGTTCTGAATTTGTTTCCCACATCCCCATGAATGAATGATGGCTGAAGGGACAAAGTTGCACGAGAATCTAGTTTAGGCTGCCTTCTCAAGAACTTCTCAAGAAGGGGGGTGTGCCACGTGTTTTCCGATCAACATAACATACGATGACAAAATTTTCAACTACCTTACCTCACTCTTACACCCCACTATCCCGGCAGATCATCTTAATAACGTCTAGTGGCACAAAGATACTGCTTGGAACGAGTTCTGGCATGTCTCTCACACAGCCGCTTTACTTGCCTACGCTGCAACTCATGCAGTCAATCACCTGTTCTACAGGGACGAGAATGGGCCTGTTTCCATGTCAAGCGACACCCTGAGGCCAGTCAACAATGCAAGCGAGATACTGGCTACCTAGCGCACTCTCGTCAACCAGCTCGAAGGAGTTGCTCGACCGAGCTCCTTTTGAGTAAGCACAACCTGACATAAACAATAATTAATAGAAATCATATCAACTCAACTCATTTGAATGTTGCCAAATCTTTTCATTCCTATTCCTAATCCTAATCTCCAAAATCCGAGAAGCATAACTACGTACAAGAAACGAGAGTTTTCCCCCACCTATCTACCTCGAACTTTTAACTCTGATCTGATCTGATCTCCAAGTCCGCTATCTTCCTTCCCCTCCTCTCTAACCAGGAAGACCCTATGCTCAAATATCCAAAACGAAGGTTAATGTGAAATCGTAAATGTTACACAATTGCAAAATCAAAGTTCAAATGCTAAATCCAATACCAGAACCAAATCCAAAAACGCCGATTCCAGTCCATCTTCCCGCCAACCTTCCACAAGCTTGGGCATCATCCGATGCAAGACCCAACTTCCAGTCTCAAATCACCCAACCATTTCCAATTTGACAAAACTAAACACAGAACACAAATCACCTCTCAGGACTCCCCCTCCTCTCAATACTCTCCACCAAATCCAGGACTTTACTCTTTCCCTTCTCCTTCCTATTCGGACTCGGACTTCCACCCCTCGCCATCTCCCATTCCATCTCCTTCTCCATCTCCCTCACTCTCTCCCTCTCACTCATCTTCTCCCTATCCCTCTCCTTCTTAACCTCAACATCGTGATCAAAGATAGTCTCTTTTCCTTTCCCCTTCCCTCCACCGTCCGTCCTATTGAGGTCTCCTCTTCCGCGGCCATCGACATTCACAGCATCATCGATGTCAAGATCAACAAGTAACGGCTTCCCTTGACTCTCGGCATGACCCTCTTCGCCACCAGGTGTCGACATTGGCATAATCAAGCCCCTCAAACTCTTCCTCCCACTCCCCTTCCGACTTCTCAAACTCCCACCCGCAACACTACTGGCAGCCTCGCTCCTCATCTCATCCTCATCCGCGTTGACAACTCTGAGTTTCTCCTTCGGAACCGTAAACATAACCTGCACGACCCGATTCTGCACCGCCTGTTCGACATCCCAGTCCTCGTCATCAGTACCAGCTGAATGCGGCGTATCAGTGTAATGCCGCGCGAACTGAGTTAGGTCACTGGTGAAAGTGTTAGAGCGGGTATGGGTGGCGCTGAGATCTGCACTGTCCTCCCAATCGCCTTTGCCTTGTTTACGTCGCCATAGTGTAGCGCCTGCGCTGACTGTACGGCGTGGTTGGTCTCGAGTGGGACTGACGTCTCGGTAGATTGGGGCGTGAGGATTGAAGGGCTCGCTAGCTTCTCCTTCTGTATTGCTGATGAAGACTCGGCGGAGACTACCGAGCCATCCTGCTCGACCTTTGCCCAAGACGAAGGGCTTACTTTTGGAGGGGCTACCTTGGCTGAAATCGGGGTGTGAGCGTGCTGGTGAGTAATCGCCTGCTGAAAACTCGTCGACTGGTCGGGGAAGAAGTGTTTCTCCTTCTGCTTGCAGGGCAGGGAAACTGGTGTTTGCGGTGTTGAAAGAGCTTGACGAGCCGCTACCTGCGCTTCTCGGGAGTGGGACACCGGTATGGGTATCGAAAATGGGAGAGAGATTTGAGCTTCCAGTGACTGTAGATGCGAACGGATTCATGCCTGTGATAAAACCTCGGAGGGAGTTTGATCTGGAGCGTCCTTGAGAGCTAGATCCCGATCTAGAGACACTAACAGTGGAGATGTTGACACTCCTATCGGTACGCTCACTCAGATTACTAGCTGTACGACTACTGTCTTCTTCGGCAGAAACTGAGCTCACTGTAGTGGCAGCAATGAGCTGCGCACGTCTCGTAGGTGATATCCGTCCAATATTTGAGTGAGACCTAGCCTGAGAATTGAGGAGTGCATCTGCAGCGGCCCAGTCTGAGACCCATTCTTGGATTTCTCGCTCACGAGACTGCGCTGGACTTTCTGCTTCTGAGCTACTGACGCTGCGATTGCGGCGAATCGGCGCAGCGAAGTTGGCCGCTGGAGGATCCTTAAATGGATCAGAATACCTGCTCGATTCGGCCGGACCAGGGACAAAATTGGGATCTCCAATTGCCATGCCCACACCATCCACTGGATGATGATTCTGATCATCCTCATCTGCTTCGTAAATGGGATGAATAGGTCCGGCAGTCCCGAGACTATTCGTTCGACCGTGTGCGTTACCACTGCTGAAATCGAAGGTGGGAGTCGGCTGATAGGCGCCCCGAGCGTTTCGAGAATGTAGTGGCTTCCGAGGAATTTGCTTTGGAGGTTGTGGAATTTGACCTCTGTCTCCAAGTCCATGAATACCAGAATTAAGATTCTCGTAGCCAGCCACAGCACTGTTGGAGTCGTAGATAGGATCAACTCTCTCTCCATCCTCATTTCGACCATTCCACCGGCCATAGGACCACGGAAATGCACTTTGGCTCATCTCTCGGGTAGGCGACTCATAGAAATTCGAGGCTCCGAGGCTTAAGTTTCTCAAATCTTTCTCCCGTGCCTCTTTTCTCATACGATGAACTCGTCGGTTGTAGCAGAAATAGAACAGAAGAGCACCCACAACAGCTGCCAGTCCCAGTCCAAGGCCAGCACCGAGTCCAACTCTTGTTGACGTCGATTTCGCCTTTGACGCTGATGACGCACTGGCTGAGTTGCTGGCTATGGCAGCGACATAGGCTGGATTTGTATAGTCACTCGTCCATGTCATGCTGGTAGCATTGAAGAACTGTGGCTGCACGCCAGTTGCTGTGTCTCTCTTTGAGTTGCCGGAAGAAGAGATATTGTAACCACCAAGCACCATCATAACGTTTCCAGGGAGCATGACAGCGCCATGACCATACATCCCATTTCCAGATGGCTGTTCATCCGGAACAGTCCACTGCCAATCTCCCGTCCCTCCAAAGCCTTGTCCTAGATTCAGAACGGCAAGTTGTGGATCTGCAGCTTGAGAAACATCTCCCACCCATCCTCCAAGGATAATGATACTGCCTCCATCCTCGGTCAATACAGCCGTGTGTCCAGACCGACTATCAACCTTTGTAACAGTATTTTTGACAGCCAGCTCCGTATTCGCGTTCGAGGTCCCTGGAGAGTCCACAGTAACGAAACTCCAGCTTTCCTCTGGCAGACTCCAGATAGCAACCTGACTCATGTTTATAAAGGCAGTCTGTGTATGTCCTCCCACCAACACAAAGCTCTGTTGCTGTGTCTCGATGCCCGATCCATTCGAATATGTCGGTGTCAACCCCGTAATCGAAAACCCAGCTTCAGCAATTGGCGGACCTCTGCTGGTGGGGACTTCGAGTGTGTAGGTTGTTGGAGAGGAAGAGGTCGAGGGTGCGAGTCGTAGCATATGATTCGAGTATGAGGCTGCAGATTGCCATGTTGAAGCCGTCGCAACTTCAGTTGGACACATGCCACCGAAGACGTAGATCTTCGTCTGCGAAGCATTGGCTTGGACAAGTGTTGAGAAGCTGAAAGCTGTAGAGAGGAAATCTGCGCCAGGTAGGGAAGCAGCCATGACCCCGCTACCTGTGGTGGTTGTCTCCTCCTCCCATGTTCCGTTGCCAATTGTGCTTGTGTTCGAGGGAGTGAAGCGCCAGAGTGCCGCGCTGGTGGATGTTGCGCAGGATCCTGTGTAGACTGATATTTCTCCTAGGGTTGAAATCGATGGGATGAATGCATTGCTTTTGTTACCGCGAAATGGCAGATCCGAGGAGATAATATCGAGAGTTAGATTCGAAGGAGAGATGATCGAGGATATGTTAAGTGACACAAACTGCGTGGTATCCGAGTCCGGGGACAGGAACGCATATGCAAGATCCCTATTGTTCGAAGTCGTCGGCGGTAGGAGGATGGTGGTTGGGTTGTATGGTAGTGATTGGGAAGTGGCGAGTTGGATGAAGAGACTCAGCCGGACGACTGTGATGGGGGTCTTCATGGCGATCCGCTGTTCGTGTTGCAATGGGAGATTAAAACCGGGGTAAAGGATATGTCGAATGGCTTCGTCCTTTGATCACATTATCGATATTGCGTTCGTTGACTTGCCCCGTATTGACAGCGTGCTGTTCCAAAGGTATTGGTATCTCATGCGCTGACCCGTTTGTGTCCTGCTCCTGGCTGCACTCGTCCAACCGAGGTCAACAAACAAGAAAAACAACCGTCTTTCCCTCTCCACAGTCCTTAACAAATGGCCAACTCGAGCCCAAGAAGTCGTATTGTCGTCGTCTCTTTCCCTCCAAATTGTCAAGGGATCATCATAAAATCGTGGAGTAAAGAAGCAGATCTCAGAAATCGAAACTCAGACCTCAAAAGCGGCCCATGTATCATCAAGGGTGTCTTCGCGGCCCATGTAAACACGCGCCACCGAGCCCCACGGTTCACGGCCTCTGAGCTTCCCCAGCCAATCACGGAGAAATAATCCCCTCCTGCTCGAGGGTCCAGGCTTGCGCCATTGCTGATTACAGGGGCGGCTGTTGCTGTGGTGATGGGAGGGGACGGAGGCATGTGAAAATTTGTTGTGGCCTTGTCTTCCGATAGTGGCCAAGATGCTAAGGAAAGAATTCCTTCTTTTCGTGAGATAAGATGCCGCCTTCCGTGGGATGTTGTATTAGAAGAGTTTGTGGACTGAATGTTGGTCGATGGAGTCATGATTAGTGATGATAGATCTCATTGCGCTGTGATGCGATCCTTCAGCCCTTCACCAAGACATGGACCAGTAATCTGAGACCTCGGCCGTGCTCATGATTACGCATCTAGCATCATAGCTCGTCGCAGTGGATTCGGCGGGGTAGCTTCCCCAGATTTGCCCCTCCTGAAGCTCATCCATATCTGTCTCTCAGTTCATCAAATATCTCAAACCACACAATCGAGTCAAGAATCAAAACATGCCAATTTGTACCCTCCATATCCTCTCTCTCACCTCACCTATCTCCAAATTCCTCCAGACCCTCTCCACCACCTCCCTAAAACCGCTAACTACATCCCTCATCCACCGGTGGATAATCCTTCCCTCTTCCCTATCAATCGCACCCCTCCTCGCGCAAAATATCCACTGGGACATCCTCCTCATCCTCCCGTCTCCATCTGATACCCGACTCCCGGCATCCTTACAAGATCTGATCCAGCATCAATGGACCATTGAAGTCGGTATCCCGAGTCGCATATTGAAAGGCTATGAAGCCAAGAACAGCAGACTGCTGAACCCCAGGAAAGAAGATCTCCCGGCTCTAAGCAAGAGGCTGGAAGACTTGAGAAATGGGAAGGGGAAGGGAGGCGAGCTGAAAGAAAGCTCTCAAGATCTAGAATTAAGTCCCGAACTCCTCGCCTGGATCAAGAACTTCACATCATCCGGAACTCGAGAAAGCACCGGCGCAGTCTCCATGCTGAACCTCCTAGCCTTCAAACCCGGCATGAAAGAATCGTATCTGAAATACGGAAAGGCATTTGCCGAGTCGGCAGGGAGTAGTAAAGGCGGTGATGCGAAGATTGTAGGGAGTGTGATCCAAGGGGGAGATGGTGGGAAAGAGAAGGGGGAAGGGTGGGATGAAGTTGCGCTGGCGCATTATCCTAGCTTGTGGCATTTTGCGGATATGCTTGCGAGTGAGGAGTATCAGGATGTTAATAGGAGGTATAGGGTGGGGAGTTTGAGGGATACGTGTATTCTTTTTACGAGTGAGGTTGGGATTCAGGAGATGAGGGGTGCTGCGGAGGGAAAGGCAAAGCTGTAGGATAGATTAGGACATTTCGAGATTATTTTGGTCAGAAAGAGTAATTGAATGTTGAAAGTAATATATCTTGGGGCTTGGCTGACACTTCTCTTCCAGGGAAGAGCATCCTATGCATACATTGGGTAATAACCGAAATACACGTGCCCGAGACGCCGCAATCATCCTCATCAACAACCTCTCCAAAAAAGCTTTCCACCGTCCTCATCAATAAAGTCTCCAATGACCTTACCTCAAGAAATGCTGGCAGCAGCCAAAAATAAAAATTTCAAATTATCGGGGCGTTGCGCGAAGATTTGTTATCACAGCCACAGTGGCGCCTGGGTTGTTGAGCGAACAAGAAGTGCTGACTCAGAAGTGCGCCTTTCACGCGTACCAAAGCCTGTGAGAATCGTGGCCAGTGTGCCTGTCCTCGACTTGCACAAATATTTCACTATTCATCCATCGATTAAGCTTGCTTAAGGCCGTCCCAGGCTTCCAGTCCCTGATTTCCTCCGTCATTATGTCATACAAACCTCTTTCGGCAACTCTTAACCCTGTTCAGCCACCGCGACAGCGAGCTCAGAAGGTTGACGACTCTGTCTATGTCAAGCGTGGGACGAGTAACCAGATTCGTAGAGAGGTTGAAGCTATGGATTTCGTTCGCCGGCATACCTCCATACCCGTTCCTACCGTGCTTCAAATACATGTTGACGAGAAAGATGCGGATCCGAGCAGCTGGTTCTCGATGGCTACGATACCCGGCTCTCCTCTAACGGATGCGTGACCTAACATGACCGTGGAAGCGCGAGAAGCGACCCAGACTGACCTTCGCACTTACTTGCACGATTTACGGACTATACCACCTCCAAAATCGGCCTTCGTGGGGTCTTGCAGAGGTGGGCCAGCATACGACCACCGCCTCAACAATGGCTATCCTTGCGGCCCTTTTCTTTCAGAATCGGATTTCAATGATTTCCTCGTGGCCCCTGTGGCCAGATGTCCTCGGAAAGAACTTGTCCCTCAGTATCGCCGACAACTTGCCGACAACCATGGAATTGTGTTCACTCATGCGGATCTATGCGGGGAGCATATATTTGTTGAACCGACAACTGGAAGAATCACTGGGCTCATTGACTGGGAGATGGCCGGCTGGTGGCCTGCATATTGGGAGTATACCAAGTCACGGTTTGGCAATAGATATCAAGTATGGTGGAAGAAACTAGTAGCCAGTGTTCTGGACCCTTACGAGCACGAGCTTCGAATCGAGGAAGATCTACAGCAGTTTTGACATGTAGGCATTCCAACGTCTTAGCTACTGGTCCTCTCTAAGCCAGTACTGAATCACGTTGTTAGGGTATCCTTCTGCTCGAAGCCAATCCAAGGCGTTGAGGCTCCAGCTCTGGCAATTCCATCCCGAAGACTCAACATTGTCAATCGGCACAGCTTCCAAGAGTTGCTTGAAGCGAGTGTACTTCTCCACGGGGACGAAGCCGACTTCAAGCTGGCCATTTTTACTGCCAGATCTTGAGAGATCCACGCTTTCTTCACCGGAGTAGTAGAAAGCCCCTGGCATCCCGCGAAGCTGAAACGCATGTCCAACATCTGGGGTAGAGGCGGTTTGGAGGAAAAAGGCCCAGTGATAGGGCTTCTTCTTGGTTGGGTCCTCCCACCGTTCCCCACGGTCGTATGTTACAATAGAAAACGAATATCCCGACATGTCTTTCTAGTCCATCGTTAGCAAGCGCTTCTAAGCAAGGATAGGCTGAACCAGACGGTTGAAACTTAGGATAAGTTGATCGGTGGCTTGTCTCATGAGACGTCTGATTACTTTCTCGAACTTGGTTTGGGCTCCTTGGGCAATATATATACATTTTCACCACATATCATTAACACACCCACCTAAGCGCAATATACAGAGCCGCATTCCGAGACTCACCACCATCGATCCCAGCCACCCGCTACATGACCCCTTGACGGGCGTAATTCGAGCTGCGTGTTACTGTTCTGTTGGTTAATGCCGTAGTGTTCCGTTTTACTGTTCTCCGAATGGCTTCTGTAGTGCATTATGCCATTCTTTTGATCCTGACGGCGCAATCCAAGCTCCGTATTACTGTTCTTTTGGTTGGAGCCGAGAAGTGCATATACAGTTGTTGGAGTGAGCGTGCGGCGCAAGCAACCAATAGAGATTCTTGTCGTTGGAAGTGGTTTCTGCAGTGAGCGGCAAGTCACACCCCCACGAGTTCGAAACATCCCACCACGTCCATCAGGGAAACGGCTGCCAATCAAGCCTGTGTAACGACACTCTACCCTGCTTTCAATGGAAACAAATATGTGAGTGATATGGGGCGCATGCTGCCTGCACGTCAGGTATCTTCTGTGATACGATTTCTGGCGGGGGGTCGGTAGCGGCAAGCTCGCCCGACTGGGCTACGAATGTACGGTGCATCAGATCGGTTGGCCCAATTGACGGGGGATTGTTGGCGACTGTCCAGGCAACAATATGTATTGATAGGAAAGGAAGCGCAATTGGAGGAATAAAGGAAGGGAAATATCCTTAGACACATAAGTTTGTGCAATTGCGACGTGGCTCGACCAAGGCCTACAAGAAAGAAAACGCCAGAGAACCAATCAATGAATGACTTGCAGCCTCATGAAAGACGCCATGCCATGGCTTGCTTATACACCAAAGGTTCGAAAAAAAAAAATGAATCCCAAACTATAAGTCCCCTTGAGTCTCCTTAGTCTTATCTCTCTCTGCTTAATCTCTGCCAGTCTTTTATCCTTTAATCACGAGTCAAAATCCAGTCTCGAGATACACCCGCGACCGGCAAGTCCCCAACTACCGGCCAAACCACAAGCTAAAATTCTTGTCTACCAACAGCCACGATACCACAGAAACCATGCTGGCACTTTAGGGTACATCTCAGCCCTAGCGCTCACATTTGCTGAACGTGTAGCCAAGGTTCCGCCAGGCAAATCAAAGCATTTGCAATACCGCAGACTGCTGTGAGACACTGCCACAGCACACAATCCTACCCACCTTATATCATTTAAAACGAGTGTCAGAGACAAAGACTATGAGCTCGAGGTGCGTTGCAACGGCAAGGTCTTCTATATACGAGTATCACCAGCAAACTTTCAAAATCGCCAGCTATAACAGCACATCATCTTGACGTTCAAGAACTCTTTTGTTCAATGGAAGAGGAGTTCAATGGCATGTACGAAGACGAGCCTCACGATTGGATTTTGAAGCCATTAGAGCCCCTGGGGTTTGAGTTGGACCGGGTGGGGGGAGGGTTGATTGATGCTACCTAGCTAGCCATCCCCTTAACTGTCGTCTCAATCACACTTTTCACAGGGAGTGCACAGCCTGTAGCGAGGCCCTGCTATTAAGAAAAGAACGCTGAAATTCGTGGGCAAGCTCTGTCGTCCGGGGAGCATTAGCGCCTTGCTTCAGTGCTGTGCCCTGTAAAGGGTTTTTTTTTTTTTTTTTTTTTTTTTGGCAGTCGAGGGCATAATGGGTTAGATCCATTTTCAAATGCATGTGCTCGAAACAACGCATCTATCACCACCAACAAACTGTCCAAGGAAGCCTTCCTTCCACCTTCCTCATCAATAAAGTCTCCAATGACCTCACCTCAAGAGATTCTGGCAGCAGCCAAAGATAAAGACTTCAAACTTGCCGGCTGCGGCCTCTTTGCCCAAGTCTTAGTCTTACTTGAACCTGGAATCGCTCTCAAGATCTGTGATGAGCCGGGAGAAGCCAGCGAAGTAGAAATAAAAATCTACGAACGATTGGGTCTTCATCCCCGGATTCTGACGACCTATGGGGAGTGTGAGTCAGAAGCCGGTAAAGGTCTTGCCCTCGAATACCTGCCCGCCGGACCTGTAGTGCAGCATTTAGCACTTGAGAAATACTCCGAAGAGAGGCAGCGGTCAGTGGATCGAATTCGTCATTCTCGGTGGAATTCGTCCTAATAGTCTTATAGATGGCCAGCTCAAGTTATTGAAGCAGTTCAATACATCCATTCCAAAGGCATCGTTCACTGCGATATAGGAGCGCACAACTTCATGGTTTCAAAGGACGGGTCACTCGTGCTTGCCGATTTCTGCGGCTCCAGTCTCGATGGCTCAAGGGCAATCGTAGCTCCGTCAATACGTTACTGTAGACCTGTTCCCATGGAACAACGGTCGTTGAATATCTGTGTTAAAGATGATTCCTTTGCCGTTGGTGTTGTGTTGTATGAGATTGCGGTTGGAAGTCGGGTTCTAGAGGCTAAAGATGACAGGGACGTCACAAGGCTGTATGAGAAGGGAGAGTTTCCTAACTTAGAAGGGATTGAGGCAAGGCTGGCGAAAGTTATTAAGAAGTGTTGGGAGGACCGGTATGAGAGTGCTGATGAGATCCAGGCTGATTATGCGGGTATGTAATCTGGAACGGGAATTATGGAAGATTATTGGTGAGGAGTCACCAAATGTACCACAGTGATTTAAGCATATTCTTCATGATTGAATGGCTTACACTCACATTATGATCTCCAACATCTTCATACCCATTGTGCGCTATGATGATGTGGGAATTGGCAATTGTTTTGGAAGAAACCACCAAAGCAGCCGTTTCGCGAACAAACAGACTTTTCAGATTCACAATCCCCGAATAATCCCTTTCGTTATCCAGCTAGTGACCAGCGACTAGGCAGAAATTCCAAGATGCCACGGAACGCGACGACCTTTTCAACCAGCCACTGTTACCTGAAGGATATTCACACCGAGTAAAAGGGCCTGGACTTCTCAGCAGCGGCGATGTTTGCCAGAATGGAGCGTACTGGCCTTTTCCATGTCTGTGTTCGCGCGAGGATCCAATCCAGGCTGAAAAGTATCGGTCCTTAGATCTAATCCATTTTAACCCACAATTATCAGCAAGTATTTCGTGTGGCCCGCAAGTTTATTTGAAGCATCAAGGCCCTGAACGGCCAAAGGTCTTATACTACCAACGCCGAACCCAGGATCACGTTTGTCTGGACTCCAAGCTCCTGTGCATGAACTTCTATCAGCTGGCAAAGGGTAGAGCAGTACACACAGATGGCGTGAGTGTCTTTGTTGAGTGCAATATCATGTCAAACACGATTGCCAGTCAGCTCGAATCTTCTGGCACATCTCCGGTGGAACATATCATAGTGCTAGAAATTGAGTAACTTAAGCATGGTCATTACTGAATTGAAATGCAATAGACTGCCTCAATATATGGATCGCTCCAATGAAAGCACTTGCCACGCGTGAAAAATGGTAGGTCAAACGACTCCAGCAAGACAAAGCCAGGGCTAATTACAAATCCAAGCTAACCATGTTACGCGAAACAAAACAAACCTTCTGGCCCCGAACTACGAATACAGCTCCCCCTCAACAGGCCGTACCACCTCTCCCCCACCAAACCCCAAATGACCAAATTGTTCACCTCCTTTTCCATCAACCCCTCTCATCACAACCGGAATCTTCCCCCACCTCACACCCTCCTCCGCTTCCCTCCCCGAATGACACGCCGCACTGATCGCTGCACTACAACTCGCCGCCAACGGACCATCCCCCTTCATCCTCAGCATCCCAAACAAATTCAACACCAACACCATCGTCCCTCCCACCGCCAATACCGCAACCATCGGCAGAAGCGAGAACCCACACACCGCAACGGAAGCCTCAGATACCAGAGACAGGGCTTGAGTAGGAAGACGAGTATCTTGAGGTCTAAACACATCGATCTTAACAAGATAGAGACTCTGCGAAACAAACCAGTGCAGAATACTAGACAGCCCAATAATCGGCACCGCATACCGATACGGCAAACTAAGATAATAGCTCGAATTCTGCCTCCCCTTAGGTCTCGAGACACGAAGAGGTTTAAGCCCCGCGCGTGAAGACGGTGACGAGAAAGCGCTATATTCAGACGTGAAGCATATTGCTGTGAAAGCGGCGTTGTAGGTTAGGTACACGAAGGAGAGGATGATTTGCGGGAGATTTGCAAGGAGGACGGCAGGGGCGAGGCCCCGGACGTTGGTGAGGAGGTTGCTGGGTTGGATTTGGGAGAAGCCGGAGGAGAGGAGGGCGGAGGAGGGGAGTGCGAGGGCGGATTTGCCGTAGAGGAAGAGGCCGAGGACGGTGCCGAGGGTGATGAGGTAGCTTTTGGGCCGGATGTTAGCTTTTCCTTGCTGATATATACAGAGAAGAGGAGGAGAAAAAGCCTAGTGAACTTACAGCGAGTTACAGAATATCCACCTCTTGACACTGAGCGCACTGAAGCGGCGTTGACGTCGAGAAGTCCACATTCGAGGCTCGGCATTCCAATTCCCTGCTACAAAGTCTTTCTTACTCCAGGTACACATACCAGCCGTATTTGCATCCGGCTCAGCCAAAAACGAACTGACTGCATCGCCAATAGTGATCAGAGGCGCATAATGCATGGTACGGATGGTGTAAACCATACAAATGAGTTTCGACACACCCAAGACTATTACAACAGCCAGGATAGCAACATTCACCGTAAACTCGCACATCTCAGGAACGACTTCGCTCAAGCAATATTGTATCTCTTCACCAGAGTGGAAGTTAAAATGCCATTGTTGGGTAAGAGAAGTCAGGAAGCTGGATGATGCAGTGGAGCAGTCGTCTCCAAGTGTACATATCCAGTCGTACGAGTTAGATCCGTAAATCCAGTTTCCGTACTCACTGCTGGTCAGAAGGAGCGCCGAATTTGTCACATTAGGATCATTGTAGTGCAAATCGTGATTGTCGAAGGAGCCAAGTTCGACTGGGTAGCTGGGAGCTTTGGTGACGATGACGAGATCTCTGCGTCCGACGGGGACTTGCACACCATATGCTTTCACGCAGTCTGACGGAGATAATCTCTCAAAAGAAGTCATGGCCGATCGAAGTTCCAGCAGAGTATTGTTGTTAAGATCGATATCTGTTGAACCGGGGAAGATATTGCTGTACCTCTGCACGAAAGGCGTGTATTGCGGCCCACTGACGAACTCCTCGGAAACGTACGCTACAGAGTACATCTGGCCGGCAAGCGACTCAAACATAGCAGAGTTGTATCTACGAATTCCACTGTCAGTAGATGCTTGAAATGGCAAAGCTTTACGGCAAATTCTTACATCCAATGTATCGGCACCGAACTAATCGCCAACACCCACCACAACCTCACCCTCTTACCCGCCAACCTCCCACTCCACAAATTCCTAAAACTCGGAACCCCTACATCCAACCAATCCTTCCTCGCATGCGCTCTATCAATATCCTCTCTCGTCGGCGCACACAGACACTGCTGGCAGTAATTGCTCGCGCCGAGGAGGAGCGTTCCCAGAGCGTTGATCCCCAAGTGTGCCCATAGCGAGTATTTCTTGGAATTAGAACAGGCCCCTGTGTAGACTGTGGCTAGGCCGCCCGAGAGGGGGAAGTGGATGCCGGAGTAGATGGCGATTGCGAGGTTGATGATTAGGACGGTGAGGACGATGAGGATCCCGCATTTGACGCCGAAATGCCAGCGTGAGTGGGAGGGGTTGCGGGGGAGGGGTTGGTGTTCGTCTGTGGACGAGGGATGGGGAGGGGAGTTTTGGAAGGGGGTTTGTTCTGAGATGAGGGTTTGGATTTCGTGTTTTGACATGTTGGAGGTGTCCTACAAATCCGATTATACGGGTGTTAGAGACACATCAACAAGGTCAAAATTTTGAATCGAGAGGAACTGGTGTTGTGCAAATCCTCACGTCTCTTTAATCGAAAAGAAGCACGGCCTTGACTAGAACACCATCCATCCCTCGTCTCCCTCTCCTTAGCTGAAGGGTCCATTCCCATCCGAGACCATCAAGGCTTCTCCCCCATCGATTCAGCCTCGCCCGTCCGTAAACTGGCCAACAATGGCAAGGCTTCCTGGGCGTGTCAACAAATGCGGGGGGTGGCTCGCTTGTTAGTGCGCATTAAGCGTCGAGGCTTCAGTTAAGCTTTTCAGCTGAAGGGGTCTCGATCCATCAGTCTACCAATCCAGTGTGCCATAGGACCCCGACTAACTGGTTTGGCATAGGGAGGCGCAAGCCTAGATCTCGTCGCTGCCACAGTGTCGGTATCATGCTATGCGCTGGGTTTAGGGTATGAAGGCCTGCATCTTTTAGTTGAAGTGAATGGGATTCTGGATCGTGTTAAATCTGGTGTATCATAATTGACCAATGCGTTGCTTCGTTCATAGAACTGCAGAGGGCGATCGTTGCGGAGGAATGGTACCCTCACCTCCGTGGGCGCTCGTCCAGACACAAGAGTAGAAATATGAGAGCCGCGTGCCTCTCGATTAGTTGATAGGTGTTGAAGTTAGCTTGCTCTAAAAGGCATGATTCTTTTTCCGACTGTGTAAATGATATTGGATCAAAGAGTGAGACAAGAGAGAAGTAGAAACACGCGTAGGTATCTGGATCTGAGTTGTCCACTGTGGTGTGTTGTAAAAGTTGTTGATTTTTTTCCTCTTTATTATACACCAGATCGGGCCATAATCTCTCCTTCGTCATTCCCCCTTCAGAGGCATGAACGTACTGTTGAAACAGTCTCATCGACAGTCGATGATATGCCCTTCATAGACCGCTCAAGAATTCCGGCTCCAGAAAAACCAACAATATGGAAATCCCTACTCCCCGCAATGCACGCTGTAAAGAATACTATGTCCTGTTTAAACGCTACCTTTCAGTAGCCACGGATGAGCCAGCAGCTCTTTGGCTGTCTTCCTATCTTCTGGCAACCACTGAAGCATCTCCTTCATGAAATCAAGAAAGAGCCGTTTATCCTCACCTCCAAGAGAAAGTACAGATCCATCTAAACTGATACCGACCGGAATCAACTCCTTGTACATAAAGTCACCTTCAGTATTGAAAAATGGCCCCCCATAATACTCGCGAGCAGTCCAACAAAGCCTTCCCTCTGAATTGGGCACAGCATGGCTCCATTTGACGGCACTCCATCGCACTTCTCTCTCGATAAGTGTTTTCGGTGGGGTGCCCAGCAATGCAATCATCTCCGCGAGATGTGCTCGAACATCGTAGTCTCCTTGGCTGGAGCGAGTATATGTAAATAAGTCCCTTCCCTCCAGCATATTCCAGATCTATATGTCGTATCACGTAAGCAAGACTCTAGTGAGTTGGGAGTTAGTGAAATAAATGGAAGATTTACCAATACTCCGAGGTTCCAGATATCCGCGCTGTACGTCCAGCTCGTGCCTAAGAGGACTTCTGGAGCATGGTAGAGAGGCGCCTGAATAGGGTGCAATAGAGGCTCAGGCCCATCTCCGGATTGTGCCAAGCCAAAGTCCCCTATCTTGGGCAGGATACGGAACGATTTAGGTGGTCCGAAATCATTGTGTGAGAGGTAGGTTGACCTTCCATCTTTGATCTTCCGAGGCATAGGATTTTCAGCTTGTTTGTGGACGAAATCTTTTAACACAGACGGATCCTCGAACCCCAGTAGGATGTTGTCCGGTTTGAGATCTATGATGGGATAAGCCTGGGTATGGCAGTTGGGTTTTAGATGTAGTCATAATCTCACCTGTGTGGATGATGTGACACTCTGAATGAAGATAATCGAGTCCCTGGAGGAGAAACCTAGTGTATACCTTCACAAGCGCAGGTGGTAATTTGCCGTTCTCCCAGCGCCGCTGGAATAGCCATAAGGGCTCTCTCATAGGCTCATATACCAGGCACAAGTGAGGTCCCTCTTGACCCAGGACTTTGAAACTGTCAAGCATTGTCCTCACAAATGAGAAGCCACTGTGTGATGGATTCTTGTTGAGATGGCGAGTGATAATCCGCTCATGTTTCGCTGCTTCATTGTCGATGCAGTCTGATGCGGTAACCTTCACAGTCACGTAACGGTTGTGGTTCCACCACCACCTGTGACCACGTTAGATTACATATTTAGAAGCGGGCTAGCACATACCGTTGAGTGTCTTGAGCTATCCAGACAGTGGATGTAGTTCCCCATCCAACTTTCGCTACTATCTTATATCTATTGTGGAGTAGATCCCCTGGGTTCACTGATAAAAACCGCTTTGCATCGTAGCCAGGGATCTTCTCCTCCTCTATTGGGATATCAGGCGGGAGGATTGTTGGTGGTCGAATTGCAGACATTGCAAGACCCCGTGAAGTAGCTGGATGTCGAAGGAGTGGTAGAATTCGAGTAAACAAACTTCCTGCAGTCGACATGATACTTGATGGATGATGATTGATTGGGTTGGGAGTTCAGAGTCCACATCAAGGTGTTCGCAGCTCCAAATCTCGTGCTCTACGGAGACCGGAACAGACCACCAAGCCCTTGGATGAACCGAGCAGGGGTAACAACAAGTCGATGAATCAACATTGACGAAATTGGAGGCAGTCCATAAGATCAAGACTGAGGTCAAACTGAAACAGCTCTATATCCCAATCTCCAGTTTGGCTCCAAGTTCATCTATTCTTGTGAATGTAAAAAATGGCGGGGGTACCATTGGGCGGCGGCGCAGTTTTCGCTTCCAGCCTTGATCAATCCTCAATAACAACCGCGAGCCTTGGGAGCAGGACGTTACATTGGGACACTGGGACTGGCACTAATTACTTCATACTTTGTTTCAAAACGTCAAGTGGGCGTCTACAGTGCATTCAAAACACATACATCGACTCATGAGGGCCAATAGATACCACGGAATTGATCCTGATCTAACCACGCCTCAGCCCTGCATATGCTAAGTAGAAGTCACCATCTGAGTTCAGTAGCCGCGCGGTAGGCCAGCCAATCTCTCACAATCTCCAGTGCGTCTCCTTATTATTTTTGGAATGACTATGGATCTGAAGTCAATCCTTCTCAGCCGACTCTATTCATAAGTAAGAACAATAGCCGCTTGCCTCTTGGGTTCTTGAAACCGGCGCTTCGCTTGCCCGTCTGTATATACAGAGACTAATGCTTCACCACCTCTTCTGCTCAGAGCGCCAGAACAGAAGCAGATCCCAATTTTCAAGTCGTCCTACACTTGCAGTCGTGGACCATGAGTAGATATTTCTCCTCCGCCGTGAGAACAGCGGCAAGAATTATATGGACATTCAAAGGCACCACGAAGAATCTAGAGATGGATGTAGCAGCTGTCGAGCAAGCTGTCTTGGCGACACCGGAACTTGCAAAGAAGGTTAAGAAAGGTATTGTCAAGTAAGTGCCTACAGATATTCAGCATATACTTGCAAATGATGGAAGTCTAATCTGATATAATGGAACCTGCAGTGGTGATCCGCATGCCACCAAATATGCCGATGGTACCGAGGATCCCATTCACATTTCAGGCATACTTGGCGACGGGAACCTGAAAGGATCCAGGAAGGCGACATCCTTCCACTATTATCCAGAGACTGGCGACGTTAAATTCTCGAATCCGAAATACCCCCCTGTTACTGGCGCGTCGAACGTTGCTGCGAAATCTTCTTCTTCTGCTCAATCAGGGGCTCAGGTTCCCGCTCATCAACAGGCACCGGAATGGGTGTGAGATGAAGTTACTCAGAAGTACAAATATTGGGACGGATATAAGTGGGTCGAGCAGGAAGACGGTTGAGCAACGACTGCGGTGATGAGCTCGGCACATCACGCGAAGTTTGTTCCTTCCCATAAGATGAGAGAATTCCGAAGACTGTTCGTTACATGCCTTGATTTGATAGATTCGGCTTGTATAGAGGGTACATTTGATTTCAGACGCGACTTTGAATATTATTGACTATAAATTTAAGCCAGTCAAACTTTGCGGGGGGGATGGAACAGTACACCACTATCCGTATAAAACACCATCGCTTTCGATCACCTTTTCGTTATTCGTGCTTCTTCTCCGGATTAGTCTTCTCGTTGACATTTCTGATATTTCGCTGCTGAATATCATTAGGAGAAGCGCATATCTAGACCCCACCTTTACCACAATGTCAGCGCTCATGTTATTCTATGCTCAAGATTTCGGCAGAATATCAAGTAAACATCGCGTTTCGTTTGTACCAGTAACCTCGCTGAGTCGCAGGAAATCCGACCAATGACTCATTCTTAGCTGACTGCTTGATGGTATGTGTAGGGCAGGAGAAGAAGCACCACGCAAGGTAGCTTCAGAGTCCGAGTCCCAGCTGACATCTTTAACTGCAAAACACAAAGAGTACAGCCAATCTTCCCCTCGACCAGCCATCAAGAATATAAATCCCAAGGCGGAAGAAACCTGATTGTTCCAACCAAATTACTCATCGATGTGTAAGGTCTGAGCTTGTGCTAAGTTTGTAATAAGGAGAATCCCGAGACGTCCAGAAAAGAGATGAGAAAATTAAAGAGCGGAGAGGTAAATCCCTCGACCAGGTACGAGAAGTTAGACATTTCGGTTGGTTGAGCTGACTGCTGCAGGACTGTATACTTTGAGCCGCACCACACTTCAAGATGGTACAAGTTGTATCGTTTTGAGGGCGACTCATTAGTATGACTTTATGACATGTAACAATGCAGTAGCAAATGACACCATACACTTTCATCTGTGATGTGATCTTGAGATCATGCTTCTAACTAACCACTCCGACCAAGTGTCGATATTATGTGAAAGAAGCGTCGAAATTATGTGACGGAAACGAGACACGATGATAATATGACGAAGTGGATATCGCACAACCACAGAAAACGTCAGCGACCCCAGAACCGAGTTAAAGTTGCAAGTAACCCCTGAACATGACCAGTCGGGAGGACTGACTCGAATGGGAGGCGAGCAGTGAGCCTGAGAAATTGATGAGAAAGGAGAAAGAATGTTATGATGTGGAAATTGAATGAGATGGACCTACCTTGTTGTTGAGATTAGAAAGAGAAGAAGAGAAGTCAAAGCAAATAAAAACGGAAAAGTCAATTCGATGGTCGAAGTAAATTTATATCAGTCTGAGGACTGAGAAATCTCCGAAAAAAAAGTAAAAGCCGACGTTGAACGAGAGTCTACCTTTCACTTGAACCTCCCCCTTCCCCTGTCTTGGAACAGACAGATCAAGCTTCGAATAAAATAAAACAAACTCCTTTCCAGAAAAACCAAACGAGATTGCAAAGAAAGAAATTATTATCAAACCTCATCTCCCAGCTGCGTAGGTAGGTAGGTATTCATCTCACCTTACCTCAAACCTTTTCCAAACCCCACATTGCCACCCTCGAACCACACATATGACACCTCATAAGCGATTGGTCAAGCTGTAAATAGTAGCAGCAGCATCATCCCGGATTGGACTGAATTGGATTGGATTGGATCGGATTGGAGAGGACCAAACTCTCACGTGCAAGGACTACTGCAGGTACAATATTGGGAAAGTGGAAGGGTTGAGTTTTGAATACGAGGGACCGGCCCTGGCAAGATTTGGTGTGTGGGAGAGTGTGTGTGGGAGAGAACTCAATTGAGATGAGGGTGGTGTGGTGTGGGAGAGAGCAGAGGGAATGTAAACAAAACTCGGGAGAATGTTGGAGGAGGAGGAGGAGAGGAGGAAAGGATGTAGTGTGGTGTATTATTGGTGTGGTGAAGGTGTGACAATGGGTGTGGTGTGATGAGGGGGGAAGATATGTATGTGTGTTTACGGAATGGGGAGAGATAGTGGCGTTGACACCACCGATGCGAAGAAATCAACCCCGCATGAAGCGATGAAGCGATGAAGCCTCATAGCCACGACATGGGTGCGCTGCACGACGGAGAATGTTGAGGAATTTGAGGAACTCCTCTCGCTCACTCTCCAGCGACAACAGATAATAGCCAAGTTGATAACACGACCCTGTGACGACGTAAACAATAATCAGAATAATCTCAAAACAATTTCATCGGCGTCATCGTCATACCCGGAAGCCGACACATATGCCGAAAGAAAAAAAAATTCGATATTCTAACCTTTCGGCCTTTGAATTGAGTTGGGTTTTGGTGTTGTTGTCCTTCCCAACTCTTTCTCCTGGCTGACATAATCGACACTTGCCGCCGCTTCCAACAGGCTGGCTACAGAGGAGCGGAGCGGAGTTCCACCGGGATTGCAGGACGGGTTTAGGGTTTTGCCAATTGCCACTGGCCTGGAATTGGAAAGCAGTGGGCTGGGATCCTTCCAAGGTTTGGGATAGATGAGTACCGGAATGGTTGGGGTGGGTCCTTGTCCGTTTCTTTGTTTATCAGAGATAAGAATAATAAGACACGGTGTCGCGCTCACTCGCTCGCTCACAAAGCCAACATTCCTGATCCAAAATTTGTGTCGTTGTGGGTAAACAAAGGAAGAACTACACAACCGGAACGAGCGGGATGGGGTACCCTATTTACGCAAAAAGATAATCCCACGCTTTTCATGTTTGCTAAAAGGAAAAGGAAATTGACAACGGCAGAGAGATCGCGATCTGCGCCACAGTTTAACAAGCCGCTGAGTTTCAAGATCCCAGGCAAGCGAGAGCAAAGAGAGCAAAGAGCCATGTCAGCGTTTCCGCTTTGGGGATATATGGGTGTGTGTCTTCATCTCGGGCGTATCGGCGGTATGCAGGTGAGTGGAGAGTAGAGGAGAACGCCGGTGCGGAGTGGACCAATAATGACGAAAGGTGATCGCTCTCGCTTGGAGGGATGGATGGATACTGAATAGGGATGGGGCGGATGTACGAAACGAGCAGACCCGACGAGATCAGATTTTTTGGGTGCACAGGCTTGCAGGATTGTCTGCGGGGGAAAGGAGGCGAGCTGGGTGTGATATCATTTGGCGATCTTTGAATTGTTAAACGAGTGACTCTGACTGTTGATGCTGTCCTGACTCTCTGGTTGCTTTCGTGATCAACATCGTATAAAAAAATGTGGATGGACAGCCAATGCACCGCACAACCCTTTTGGTTGGGCAGTGTTGAGGCAATACGAAGTCTGCTGAATGCCGCTGATAAGCTAAGGGAGACAAGCTTTCGTGACCCCACCTCATACGATGCCGTGGCGCTGAATTCTTCGTAATGACGACGCGAGACTCAGATTGACCAGTGAGAGGCAACTCCTGGGCTTCAATATCGCCGGATCAGGAATCAAAGGACTTTGCGCGCATGAGGACAACCAATCAGCATAAGTTTTGATGACTCGATTTACAACGTCTCAAAAATAGAGTTGGAGAGGCAAACCCGGAAAGGATGGATGGACGGAGTCAACAAAGGAAATGCGAGGAATGCAAAACCCCCATACCCCTGTTTATCTCGCCTCTCGCTGCGACCCTGGCTCCTGGACATCCGAACTCAGGTTCAGCGGCGAAAACCAAATATCCCTCCCCCGCCCTGATTCGCTCGACCCTGACGCCATGGACGGCTGCATGGCAAAGTTAAACCGCAAAGGGGAAAGGGAGAATTGCATAACTCGAGCGCTGCGCTGCGCGGTACGGTATTATGCAGGGATCCAGCTCGGATTACGATGCGACTTTGGGCTTTTTCTGCTTGCTGCTGTAACAGGAGCCCAAAGTCAAAATATTAATGATAATACAGTAGTGAAGTTGCTCGTGAATAATTATTATCAACGGCCGACATGCCATCGAGCAAGCAATTCCTAGTTTGGGAGAAGCACAAGGCTGGGATGGATCAGAAAGAAAGGCTCTGGCCTTGCCTTGCCTTGCCTTGCCTTGCCTTACTCCTTGTCCCCTCGACGTATCCAAGCTGCACAATTTCTCGCTTTATCCTCCTCGCTTGTCTAAACTGGCTGCATAATAATCCCTAAATTTACTTGACTTGACCTGGCCTGACCTTACCACAGCCGTATCGGTCCACCTCTCCGCTTCCTCGGCCGCCTACTTCTACCTGACTGCCTTGGTTTCTTGTTCTTAACTGCCTTTCAACATCCCAGTTTTCTTTGTTCTCTTCAACGCCTTGACAAACTCTGTTCATCCCATCCCATCCCATTCCCATCCCCATAATACTGTAGCGCGCGGGTTCATTCACACCCACATTCGTTTGTGCGTTCCTTGTTCATCGTCCTCGTCCTTGTCCTTCTATCCTACTACAGTACTCCACTTCCTTACCACCCTCGCTGGCTACGAGTCTTCCTCTCCCCGATTATTCAAACCTTTTTTTCTTGACCTGCAGCGACCGAGGCCACTACCACCAAACCTAAGCCGCACTATCCAGCGCTAATCAACATCCCCCCAAGTCGATTCTGCACTTCGCCGGCAACGTCAACCCCAACCCCAACCCCAACCTCGCCAATCCACGCCAGGCAGTTCAACGCAGACCATCTTACGGACTACTACTACACCAGAGCCGACCGGACAACAAGCTAGACAGGTGCTGATCTCCACGGCGGCCCTTTCCACGCTCTCAACTTTGGGCCTGTCCTTCCCACGCTCGTTCAATTCTCACTCGTTTCCCGTTCCCACCACCACTCCACCCACTACTACCTCACCTCACCTCACCTCACCTCACCTTCTGGCCTCATTTCTTGACTCTCCCACGTCGAGTCAACACCTAACCGCGACTGGACGACGTGATATGGCGGTGATTGCATTGTGATTATTCACATTCTGACCCTTTCCAATGGGATACCTTGATTGATATTCCTGCCGATTGTTTGCATTCCACGGCCCATATTGTATCGCGGCCGCAGATCGTCATCTGCACACTCCGAGACACCTCTTGTCAACAAACCCCATAACATCGCGGTTTTCGTAACTGCTCGACTTTTCAACCACGATGGCCTCTTCGATATTCTGGTCTGCACGACTGACCATCGCTGCGATCTTTCTCCTTGGTCTCTGCCAGCGAGCTGTCGCCCAATACGAAGTACCTTACTGCGCGACTTTTAATACAGCGGACTCTGATACTAGAAGTAAGACTTTCCAAGACTCCAGATTCACCCGATACTGACAAATATTCCTCTAGATTCCAGTATATACCAGTCGAACAGTCTATGCTTCAACTACTGCAACGGCATTACCCCCCTCAATAAAGTACAATATGCTTTCGCCGTGGTGCAATGGCAGACATGCTGGTGCACCGACTACGCACCTTCATCTTCAACGACTGGCTGCACTCTAGATTGTCCTGGCTGGCAGGAGGAGAAGTGTGGCAATACGAGCCCCAGTCTGTTCGGATACATTTCATTACCTTCGTCTCCTAAGGGAACCAAAGGACCCTCAGCAGCAACATCAAGTGTCGATCAGGTTAGTATCCCCATGAAAGCACCCCCCTGTTCTTGTTACATTGCCTGCTGGTCGTTCGCCTTTTTGGGCTTTGTTTTTGACTATAAATCTGGCAGGCAACGGTAACGTCTTCTTCTGCATTGAGTACCAGCTCGACTCTTGAGACCATCACCTCAACGTCCTCAACTGTATGGCCATCTTGATCATAGTTTGGAGATCATCTGCGAGCTTTGCATGCTGGGATTGATTTCTTGTTTTGATGCTAATTGTTTGCAGACTCCAGATACGACCACCACGAGTGAACAACCTTCGTCGACCTCCTCTACATCCTCATCGTGGACTCCTACTCCAGTCGTCTCCTTGGAAACCATCACGGGTCAAGTCCGTACCGTGACGGTAACGCCTACAGTACCTCCGAACGCACAGGCAACGAATGAATTAACACCCTCGAATGAAGGAGGTGGTGGATTGGGTACGGGAGGAGCAGTTGGGCTCACGGTGGGACTGGTTGCACTCGTCGCAATTATTGCTGCTGCGGTATTCTTCTTCATCCGCAAACGCCGCCGGGATCAAGAAGGGTCCGACAACCTGAGCAGGAGGGGAAGTTCGGCAGGATTTGGAGCAGCCGTAATACCATCTAGGACGATGAGCGAAAACTCAAGATATGTTCTAGGAACAGATGGACGACGAGTAGTAGAAACGTGGGAGCCTGGAGAGACCGCCGAAGTCAGAAGAAGTCGATTAATACCAGTCGATCAACGATTAGATCCATTCTCGCCCGTCTACCAAAGAGGAGACAATAAGAGTCGAGAGAGCGTCAACACAATCCGAGACGACCACGACTACTCAAGGCGGATGGTCACAGGCGGCACTGGCATCCTTCGAGCCACCAACCCTGACTAGAAATATCTCTTTCCCTTACGCATACGAACGTCACGACACTTTTCTTTTTACAATCATCCAACTACATACAAGGGTTTGGACGCCATCCCACCTGTTTTTTTTGTGGCTGGCGTCGGCGGCGTTACATTGGCACGGACTTCGGGGATCAGGTCAGGTCATATCACATAAGGATCCCGTTCGAAAACGGACAAAGGGTAATTGGTTTGGCTGAGGAGGCCGAGGCTGCGGCTGCCTTAGGAGTGGGAAGGAGGAGAACGAGTTACCCTTTTTGCATGCAGTTATCTCACGCCATCACAAACGGAATGGCTTGGGCCTGCCGGTCGGTGTTCACCAGTCACTCAAAAAATACATGCATGCATGGGTGGTCTTCGTTTCCTCCTCTTTTCTGTTTTCTCCTTGTTTATTTTCCGAATTCATAATTGTAGTTATAGACGCATATTGGCTGGGGCAGATGATGGGATCCATCGATCGGGGTGGATGGCATGGCATAAGTAGTGGTGGATGTTGGATTTTTTCAGGGGATTTTATCGATGCATGGAGTTTAGCATTGGAGATGGGAGATGGGAGGAATGGCTACTCGACAGACGTACATACATACACGAGATAGAGTGCGTGTGTGTATATCTTAATCTCTGGAGAATGAGGGAGAGAGGGATGGAGATGGAGGATGGAGGAAAGAGTACATGATGGAAAGAAGTGGCTTGTACATAAAGACCAAAAAATCAAAAGATGTGACTGACTGATTGCCTGATTGATCAGAGCATACATATATGGGTGCATTTACTGCTCGTCTGGGTGACAAATGAAACATACGAAAGGGACTCTCTGGAAATTGTGGTTCATTTTTGTGTTGTGTGAAGGCGATGGACGTAATCTAATCAGGCTTGTGGTACACAAAAGTGAGTGAGTGATTATCTTCCATCTTCTCCTTGTATCACTTCCACTTCCCGTCCAATTCCAAGCCCTCTCATTTATTCACACGATCTACATCGTCCACAACCAAACCAAATCAAACTCACCCATCTGCGTGCAACCCACTGACTCTGGAGAGAGAGGGGAATCATTAGATCATGTAAATGGGACGGTAATATCACAATGTTTACTTCTGAAGATATATAAGTACAAGTATGTCCTTAGATTTACTAGTAATAGTGCAGTACAATTTCTTCGATCATTCATTTACAAGCACTGCCTTCCTGCTTCTGCTAGCGAAGTGAGTTACCTGGAAGGGTATTGGTAAAGTGAAGGAGGGAGAGAAGGGGGAGGGAGGAAGGGAGGTATATAAGAAGACCAAATTCAACCTATCTTCTTCCTTGAAATCTGAACCTAAGCGGGGACATCAGCTGGGTCAGCTGATGTGCGATGATGAGCGCGCTGATGGTTTGTTGGTTTGTTCTCAGGACTTGCTTGGTGCTGTTCCGCCGTGAGTCCTCCTGCTTGCTCTTGATGCAGCGAAGAAATGTGTAGACTGGCAAGTAGCTAGAAGACTTTGCTGTAGCATGTCGCAGAGCAAGGAAGAGACATGAGTGAGAGTGAGACTGAGGAATTGTTTGATCTTCAGACCAGTATCTTCCTTCCCACTGTAGGGGTCTTGATAGCTAACGAACGACGCGTGATCGATATTTTGTCTGAATTCACTCTTACATATCATGATTCATTTGCTAAGAAATTGCCACAGACCTCGTCATCTCCACTCCGCACTCCAGAAGGAGAGTATATAAAAACGTACGAAGACCTGAGATCCCTACTCTTCATTCACGGAACAATAACTGAAGCGTTATTGGCGTAAGGTCTCTTGCGTCTTGGCCGTTGATACTTGGAGTTCCAACGGTTGTGAGAATCTGATATGGTCTAGATTGAAGTAGTGAGGAAGTCAAAAGGAAGTAGGTATTTGGGAAGTTTGGGAAGGAGCCAGTATGCTTTGAGACTGGGCTGCGACTTTGCTTTGCCAAAGGGTGGTGTGTTGCCATTACTGAAGTGCTGTCAGATTTTACTTGGAGCAGAAATGACAGATATGTTTCTGTATGGTGATGAAGATCGTATTCAACTTTTTACACCTGCATATTTGAGTTCTGCTATCTGGATACTCCGTTTCTCTATGTGACCGTATTGATGGCGGGTCTGTCATCAACCGCCAAGTACCACCATGTAATAAACCTCGCTGCTTCTTTCAGCTCTTGAGAGATAGTTTGGTATCGAGTCCGCATCTGCTTTATATATATTTGAGAAGAGAGAATGAAAAACATTCCGAAGATTTTCCAGCACAGATACACTCCCTGATTGGGTGTGGGTGAATAATTGAATGCCTTGTGTTTTGGACAAATGGCAAGGATTTGTATTCTATGACAATGCTTTGGTAAATACATTTAAGCCTGAAGACAGATTCAGGTGATACTGATGCCATAGATATATAGCTCTGTTCTTAGAGTCTCAGGATCTCCAGTTCAATTCAAATATATCGCCATTGGTCCACAGGTGGATATGTCGACGACGACATGCACGTTCACAGTACTTTTTGTCGTTTGAGGACATGTAAAGCAAAGAAAGGTACATATATTTGGATCTCAAATGATACATATCAAGTCCTCGGAAGGGAAGATTGAGGTAGCTGTGAATTGGAATGGTTTGGAATTACTGTTATCGCTGGATGGGTTGTTGTCATTTGCCGTTCCCACCAAAGCTATTTTCGAAAAGAGGTAGGATTCATGACAAGCATTGGACCCAGCCCAGTTGATTTCCACGCCACTTCCCCATAGCATGACTCTCACGGGCGAGCCAAATATGAATAAGTCTTGAGCTCGAGGAGATCCCTAGTATCATGTGGTCACCGCCGTCTGCAAGTCTGGATAGGAAAACGGTGGCGGAGGATGTTGGAATTTATATACTGTTCAAATTCCAGTTGATGAGATAGAAAGTGCTTCTTGACTTGTTTCCTACATGAGTGAATAAGATCAAAATAAATAATGAGGACAAGTTTGTTCGTCAGCAGGAACGCCTCTTGAGTCAAGGCTCTGACTGTTCATGCCAGGGTGCTCGCTGGTTACGATATATAAATTAGCTTCCGCGGCACAGATTCCCTCTCCTTTGACATGTTGCAAATCTCATGCATGGAAACACTATATTGGAAGCTTGGAGAGGATAAAGGACAAATAGGATGATGGTTGTTTTGTCGAGTGAAATGGCCTGGATAAATTCTGGAGTTGAGCTCGTCCCAAATCCAGAGATAGAAAGAAGACGCTGCCCCTCATAGGAAGCAAACTCCATCTGAGGCTATTAACTCCAAGAGACCGGTTTGTTGTCAAGCCAGAATCTGCTGTCGATTGATGTTCCATCACAGGATACATCTGGTGTGGGCATTAAAGTGAGAGTTGGGATGAACTTAGTGCCTCCAGATATACAGAGGTATTAGTCACTTGTGAGCATTACACACGTCACCATTTGATCTTCACCTCGGACGTTGGCAGTTTGCTCCTCATGGAATGGGAAGCATCGAAGCTATATTCAAACCTCTGTGCTAGTGTGAATGTCTAAATAATATTACGAGTCACTCTTCATTTGCTCCCTATCGGTTCACTCCGGCTACATATATAATGGATTGATTTGAACGTAACGAAACCAAGCGTGACTGGGCTGATCAAGAACAGCAGATGGAGTGAACGTCTATAAATTGACGAGAATATTTTGTACCAAATCTATCACAGATGTTACCAAGAGACCGACAGTTGGAATAAGTCCCTGGACCTTGGTGAGGGAAAAATTCGGAATGTAAGGTAACACTCGTACATATATTTTGTAGCTGTAAGGCAGATTTTATCCTAGCAGCTTACGACAAAAGTATGTCTTTCTGGTATCTGAGCAAGTGAACAAATGAAAATATTTCTGCTATCACCTTGTAAGTGTTGTCAGCTTTTCCTTTTTTGTTGACTTGGGAAATTTGATTCGATAATGCTGCCGGAGGCCAAATCCCGGCGAGGATATGGCATTGACCATTGATCGCTAGCAATACATATTAATTGACTATCTGTCTTGCTCACATGCCAGCCCATACGTACGAGTTATCTTCTGTTGTGCTCGGATCTCGGCCTGGAGAAGTACTGGAAGCTGCATCCAGGTACAGCATGTGGAGCCTGTATTTTAGCGACCGCATGTTGATTCTTCGCTTATTCTGTGGACCAAGCGATGTGCGCTACCCACCCGCTCACGAGTGGGCTGAAAGACAACAACAGTCTTCTTGAAGCTATTCCGAACTTCACCCAAAGACATCGTCCGACGTCGCAATAATTCAAATTACTTATCTTTTGCGATCGTACGGTGTATGGCGTCTTATGTCCTCTGCGGGGAGCTGCCCCACCAAAGACGAAATTTTGTGTGGACGGATATGTAAGGCGTCATTTTGGAGCTGTTTGCGTAATGCATAACATTACAAACCAACACAACTATCCTGTGTATAAGGGTCATGATATCTCAAGAAAGTGCCAACTTCTATCTAGCATCTTATTTGACTAAAGTTTCAAGCTAGCTCTCAAACCAGCCGCCAAAATGCCAACCGAATTCATCAGTTTAACCTTCCCAAATGCCTCTACGGAGATCGCCCCCATCCCCGGAGCAACCATCGATGTAGACTACCTCGTCAGATACGCCAGAACACTTGATGACTTATCCTATAACTATACGCTCGTACCATACGGTTCATCAGGATACGATCCTTTCACAATCGGTGCAACCATCGCAGCTGCCACCAAAAACCTCAAAATCATCATCGCTCTCAGACCAAACACCCTCTACCCCACTGTAGCAGCAAAGGCTCTCGCAACTTTAGATCAACTAAGCAATGGGCGTGCAGTCGTCCATTTCATCGCCGGTGGCAGCGACGCCGAGCAAGCTAAAGAGGGCGACTTCACCAACAAAGTCGAGCGCTATGAGCGCACTGAAGAGTACATCAAGATTCTCCGCCGAGCCTGGCAGTCAAGAGAGCCATTCGACTGGGAAGGAAAATACTACCAATTCAAGCAATTTCACAGCGATGTCCCTCCCGTCAATGGCACCATTCCCGTTTCAGTCGGTGGATCTTCTGACGAGGCATACCGCATCGGTGGTTCACTTGGCGACATATTTGGCCTCTGGGGAGAACCTTTGAAGGAAACCAAAGAGCAAATCGATCGTATCTACGCTGAAGCTGAGAAGGCTGGTCGAACTGACCGTCCTCGCATCTGGGTGACGTTCCGTCCCATCCTTGCTGAGACAGACGAACTCGCTTGGGCGAAAGCCCATCGCATCCTCGACGCTCTGAAAGCCAATCGCCCTAATGGTGGCCCGGGAGCATTCGGACTTGGAAAGCCAGCTGGCGAAGCCCCAGCTCCTCAGAATGTTGGTTCGCAGCGATTGTTAGAGATTGCTGCTAGGGGAGAGATCCAGGATAGAGCGCTTTGGTATCCGACTGTTACTGCGACGAATGCGAGGGGAGCGTCGACGGCGTTGGTTGGGTCGCCGCAGACTATTGTGGATTCGTTGCTGGATTATGTGGATTTGGGGGCTGAGTTGATTTCTATTCGTGGGTATGACAATTTGAATGATGCTATTGATTATGGGCGGTATGTGATACCACAGGTGAGGGAAGTGCTGAAGCAGAGGGCGAATGGAGCGGCAAAGGCGTAAGGAGAGGACTTGATTCATGAAGATGCGTTTTAGCGGATTAGCAGAATTATCGCTGTAGCGAAAATAATGATCCGTTTTATCTCATTTGGTGTTATTCTGAGTTTCGCTGATCAAAGGGTACGAAAGCATGCTTAATTTGGTATTACTTTGAAATCATACTGCAACATTTGTTTCTGAGAACCCCTAGTCTTTCTAACATATCTTCTACTATCTCATTGATATGTGTATGGACTTTGCGTTTAATGTGGAGACCTGGTGAGCGACACATGGTAATTCACGAACCACTGTGGCCGATCAATACGACAAAGCTAGATATTCTACTTTCTCAACACCATATCTAAGCAGTAGGAGAGAATATTATGAGAACAAGTAGCCCAATTGATCTGCGTCTGTGCACTTGAAGAAGCCGCTGTGGGAAACGCCGCCTTGAAAGTCATTATAGTGGCTCGATTACGAACTGAGTTGTAGGAGAGAAACCGATTGTGTATCGCCGGCTACAATTCGGGAGTATTTCAACTAGCTTGTTGATCTTCGCTTAGAATTGGACTTTTAATTTCGTGTAATTAACACCACCTGGGAAGGTAGCCCGCCAACTCTGCTGCACCCCACGGACACCCACCAACGGCGCACAAACTCGTACCCGCCACGAGCTGATTCTCAATGGCAGCACCGCATCGACTGAAGGATTGGGTAAGTCAAGCATAGGTGGTCCCGAAAAGGGTCTTGTACAATGCTTTCTTGCAATTCTTGTGGAACATTGGACCAGTCATTCCCTCTCTCCTCAAGTCCATGAAGTTCAGCTTATCGTAAAATCCACGAAGGCGGCAACAACTACTGCGATGACTGCGACAAGACTGGCCTTATCGAAAGTCCTCGCCTCTACATTTCCATCCAGAATCTCCGGAGACGTATGAACGGAAATGCCAACCTCAGATACTGCCGAGCAAGAGGCTCTGACTCAGTCTTGGGGTAACACTTCGTCGCTGAGGAAGACAAATGGTTGCCAGTCTCTGAAAATGTCGTGAGGAGGCACATGCTAAGCAGATCATCGACTTCAAAGTACGTTCGTTTGTAACCACTGAGCATGCGTGAAGAGATGATCCTGATGATGGTAGCTATGACTACATAGAATTACAATAAGTGCCTTTTTGAAGAAACAGCTTCGCAGAGACCATGTTTTGAGTGCAAGTGCGACTGATCACAGCCACCTGTTCCACGTCGTGAATGATGCATGTTGGCACTTGTGTTCCCGGCGATCGTGTTTATCTATTGCCTACTTTCCAGAGTAGCACACAGACATACAAAGACCTTGAAGCCTTTCAATCGAGGAAGAAATATCCTCGTATTGATGAGCCGTGTGCTGAGCACTTCACCAGGTCGAGATCTCGTCCCCACGACTCAATTTTCCTTTCTCCAGCTCGTTATCTTTGATCAGATCGGTGGCTCCCCTCCAACCCCTGACGCATTTGATGTCTCAAGCATCCAGCTCGTGCAGCCCGTTGCAGGGTTTAGAGCTGCTTCGGGCTCGCCGAGTAGAGCTGGAGCTGCAGCTACATGTGATCAGATGCGTTGGCATGTTGGCTTCTGCGATGCGGCGAGAGACGCATTTGATTGGCCGGCTAGAGTTCCGAGCCTGGTGGAGAATGCTCTTACTTCAGATGTCTATCTCAGCAACTCACAAGATTTCAACGACCCTTTCTATGTAAACGTCTTTGCTTTTCGTGCCAAATCCGAGGATCAAGGATTGCAAACATGGCAGCAACCAGTCGCACCCAATATCAGCACTTTGTCCCCCAATTCCTCCTCAGAAACTTCTCGCATCCTTACAAGCCAGTAAAGAAAGACCCTAAGAAGCAACAGCATTCAAAGCTTAAGGGCGAGAAGAGGATGTACCGTGGTGACCGTGTGGTGAATACCATTGACTTGTCGTCGCAAACACCTACTCCATGTGAGGCACGGGTTGATCGCATTTTCGGTCAGATGGACATGTACCGAGACTCAAATAAGCCATCCGCTGAGCAACAGGAGATAGAAAAAATGTTCTCCAGGATGGAAGGCCAAGCTAGTATAGCCTTTCGCAAGATCACGAAGGCATTCGAAGGGAAGGAAGAGGTACTTTGGCTCGCACGCCATGAGAGAGATCTCATTCGCAAATTCCTGTTTCTGCTCAAGTATCGTGGATCGACCTTTCATCAACGGTTCTATCACGAAATCACCGAGGACTGTGAGTCAGATGATAGAGAGTTATTATGGGAATACATGAAAGATAAAGGTTTTAAGCGGCCGATGGATGTGTGGTTCAATAACCTGAAGATAATCATGGAGCTGAATATGGATCCTGAAAAGGCGTGGATAAAGGAACTGCCAAAACAGATGTATACGGAAGATGCAATGTGGTTCATCTCACATGTGCAAGGTATGTATATGGCCATTTGCACACCGTCCAATCCGATCGACGAGTTCATCCTCACGGATAACTGCTATAATGTCTTCGAAGGACCGAACTCCTTCGTAATTGACAAAACCAGTGGGAGGCTAGAGCCAGCTTATTACGCTCCCCTCCACGAGTTTGCGCCTATATCTCCCAAACTAATGATAGTCTTGAGAAGCTTTCTGCTACCAGTGCCAGAGGAGGATGTAAACCCCGTTATCAAAGCGGAACGGAATCTTTGGAACTTGGGTGTACTTGATTGTGTCTACAAAGAGGAGGTGAAGTCATTACTCTCTGATCTTCCCATTACCAAGGCCCAGAATAACTATAGTGGTATGGTCGACGGCCGACTTGTATTGAATTCAGATGAAGATGGAACATCAAGAAAGAATCACAGGTTCTGCTTCAAGTACTTTCCTCTCGATACCAAGCACGTCCATACCATCAGTGCAATATTGCTTCAAAATAGCTACACGTGCTCCAGAATCGTCTTTGGAACGAATGAGAGCCTCTTGCGGACCTTGGACGCGCATCTGACCTCGCCATGGAATACAATGATGGGTGATGATGCTAGTGTTCGAATCGAATTTCTGAGGCGGCTGGGCGCGGTAGCAAAGCTTTTAGGATCCGAGAAAGAACCTATATGGACAGAGCCATCTGATCCCGAGGTGCGAGACAACGAAGGTGCTAGGCTCAAAATACTCGAACAGAGAAGATTGTATTATCAAACGATCAATAAAGACGACTTGGATCCTAAACCAGATACTGACAATGAATTTCTGCAGCTCTACTATCGCCTCGGTAAGTCGACACCCTCTAGAGATATTGACGTTGCTTTTTCACTAACCTCCTTTCGAGGCGGTTCGGACCATACTCTCTTCAAGGACGTCGAGCAAGCCGGCCTTATGTGGAAGTTACGAATCAAGATTGATTCTTGGTCTCAAGGGGTCGACGAGTCCATTCGTCAGCGAAATCGATTGATCCTAACTGATATTTATCTCAGCTTTCCACCTCGTAGGGTGTGGCTATACGGGAAGCAAGTTAGATTCGCCCATTTAGAAACGACAGAAGAATTGGAAAATCTTGCGGATAATGGAAATTTCATTCGAGAACCTGAGGATATTATTGCCCAAGGTTAGTGTACTTCTCCGCTAGGTACCCTACAAAAGTTTCTAACTGAATGAAGCTTCCCAAATAATACGGCCTCAATGTCTTTCTCAGCTAATGTATAAGGCCACCATGAACGACATCTGGATGAAAGAGCGATCGGAAGTTGATCTCTGGGCTAAAGTCATTAAAATGGATGAGCACGCGCGAGCGCAATTCACGTTGCTGAAAAGACTCAATGGCTGTCATCCTCGTAAGTTTACCATCGGTTGCCTATATCCTGTACTATGTATCGCATCTAATATACGATATAGAATCTATCCGTGACTGTGGTAAGCTATACATGGAATTTCTATCGCGCTCAGCTGGTGCTTAATTTCCAGCAGGTATCAATTCAATTGAGAAGCTTGCGGCGAATCTGGATGCTATTCAGGTCCAGACACCTAAGATCCCCCTATTGACGGCGGACGAAGAACATGAGCTCTGGATACGAATGAGGGTAAGGTCCAACTTCAACAAAACACTTCGAGGTAGGCTCGAGCCAGCGCTGCTTAAAAGTCTGAAGAAGGTGTTTTTCGAAATTTTATATCCAGCTCCTGTACCTTCGGGCACATGAAAGTGAGATTTTGAGTATCACTCTTCCGTACCTTTTGTATCTATTTCCCGTTTTCTGAGCTCTCTTCCTTGGTGGACTTAGTTGCAGGAATTTTGCTTGGGCTGAACCCGATATAACTGGTTTCATTCTTTAATTTTTCGAATGGTTTGGCTTGTTCGTAAAAGCCCTCACATACCAAAATGTCGGATCACAAAATGTACTTACTGTGGCAGGCCTGATGCAACATGCATCGGTGGAATGCTTTGTGGCCAAGGCTGCACAGCTAAGGGGGTGCTGCTTCTTTGAAGGACAAAGGTTTCTTCTGGAATACTTCAAGGGTATGGTCCATTTGAAGATAAACAGCGAATATACACTTCGGAGTCATTGCAGAGATTCTTAAGTACTGTGAGATCATGAAGGAAGGAAAAGACTTTTCCTGCGATTATCATACGAGATTCTTATCTCTCAAAGTTTACCTAGGAACCTTGCCTAGATACCCAAGACAGATGTTGTGTCACGTGTTCTAAGACAGAAAAGAGTCTGTCTTTATTGACTCATTCACTGTCTTCTTTCAAAAGTGAATACTGTCGTAAGAACTGGTATTCACTCAACATTGTATGAAACAAGACCTGAAAGTGCCCATGGGCACCTAGAAACTCCCGTCTATAAAAGCCACCATCTTCTCCACCGTGGTCCTTTCTGACTTTCTTGCATCAATCAACTGACAAGTATTCTCGATAATTACTCTCACAATGAAGAAAATCTGGTTAAAATCGACAGACAAAGCCCTGGCTCTCCTCAAAGAGCTTCCTTTGTACCCTATCACCTCAGACAACCCCCTTCATCAGACCCTCGACTCGGGTAGCAAAAAGACGCTATAGCCGAGTTTCCTGACGTTGTTGAAGAAGACAAAGCTCTTGAATTGTATGCGCGCAAGCATATGATTGATGGAATATTCTACTTGGGAGATGATGGGAAACGATATGTGATTGGCCCAGGTAGGTCTGCAGCATCGAATCTCAACCTTGACCAGTATTGACTGACAATTATGTATTAGATATCAATTATTTCTCAGAAAAGGATTATAGTGATCAGCCTTGGCATTATTCCTTCCACCTGTTGAGGACGACAAGGCATGCCAGACGAAGGGCATACATCGACCGTCCTAAGCCGGCTGAAGATCGAGCGATCGTGACCCACTGCAGTGAACAAGGCTGGAATGTACCTGTGGATGATCCCAGACATTTGATGGCGCTGCCAGCAGGTAAGGTTCTTAAATTTTTAGTCCCTTAATAGTTCATATATACTAACAATTCATCTAGAGATCCTCCGAAACATCCTTGAGCTATGCCTGACAGTGAGCAGACCATTATCACTACAGCCAAATATGACGACAAGCGGCAGCACAGCATACTTCCAGAAGAAAAACCACACCATCATCACTCCCAGTCCCTTCAATAATGGGGGAAGTCGTAAAGACAAACCCTTCGTGAGAGTCGCACGCCAAGACGACTATGGCCCATACACTGAGCTGAGAAGACTCTATCGTGCAGCAATTGATGCAACCTGCCTGCGGGCTTGCAAGAAACTCAATAATATTGGCAGCGAATTATTATACGGGAGAAATGAGTTCTTTGTCGACTTGGATACCGTCTGCTGCCCTTCATACATTTTGGACCACAATGCTATGACAGGCTACCAACAAAGACCCTACAAACCTTTCCCGGAGAATGACCCAGAAATCCGCCAACGCATCAAGGAAATTCAATCCGGGGTTCAGTTGAGAGATCCTTATCACTGGATATCCTCGGCGAGTTTTCTACGATTTCTCTTGACCATCGGACCTACCAACACTTCGATGATCAGGAGTCTTCAGTTCAGTGGCAGATTCAAGCTTCATGAATGCTCCGAATTTACCTGTAACTATGATGACTGCACCGATGGTTTGATTGAGTGCCTGCGATATTACTTGCCATTTGTCATCGCTTGTTGCCCAAACGTTCAGAAAGTTACGCTCTATGCAGACGAGGATTATTCTTTTGATGGTACTCCTGCAGATGTTGCTCAGAACCGGGATAAGGTTCTTGCACCTTTCTTGGAGGAGAACATGCCAAAGATTCCTGGGCTGATAAATTTGGACGTCTTTGATGGACTTGAGACCATGCAACGCTTGGCATGTGCTGAGCCTGCTCGCAAGTTGTTGAAAGACAGAGCAAGTCAGCAGGCTAAGGCAGTCTTTGAGACACGATCTGTTCAGCAGGAAAGTGCAGTGGCTACATTATCTGGCATGAGTGAGCCGTCAGAAGACAGCGAAGTCGAAGAGCCCATCATCAACACACAAGATGAGACTTCGGCATTGCGACGCTTGTGGCGAAGATCTAATTTCGGCCTCCTTCCATGATCTGTTCGACTACGGAGATTATGATCGTCAGGACGTACATATCCCACGCCACGACATATGTTTAAGGGAGAAGTACTGGCTATAAGAGCTCAATCAGCAATTGAGACTGGACGATACGAGCGTTGCGAATACTACAAGACAAGGAGTGGCAAATTTTTTGACTAGATTATTCGGAGGGAAATTCAAGCAAGTTTTTGATTTGCTTTGGGTTTCCATTATATGCTAAATTTTTGAAGGGTCCTCTCTTCTCTTCACGAATGAATTACAAATGGCACAAGGAACATTAATTCGGGGTAACTCTGTGGACAACACTTCCTTTCCGTGGATACGCAACTTCTTAGTTTTAGGTAGGCGAGCGCGCATAACAGTAGATTTAGGGATCTAGACGGTTCAGCATCTTTCTTAATCACTTTATTTTCTCACGGCCTAGCGGGACGATAGGTGTTGTTTACACTTACATGAAATAAGCGAGTGCGGGGTAAGTGCGGGGTAAATTATTCACCTGCTCAACTCGAAATCCAACATCATACAAGCACGGATCCATCCCTTCACCATTGCCAAGTTATAAAAGACCCAGTACAAGTTCTGTGCGAGTTTTCAGTCCACAAGGGAACCTACATGTACCACAAAACGTCCAAGAAGTTGGAATGGAGAAAATTTCTAAGCACTTTGCGAGCTGAGAAAAATAATGGATCACCCGTAGGCAATCGTTGGAATGAAACGAGGGTAGGTAAGTTTTTCTCAATCCCTATTTCTTGTTAAAGCTACTCCAGAGTCGATAGGCAGCTTGTGGAAAATTATCGTTGTCAATGTCACAGCCGTTGTCATTGCTTCTCCACGCTTCGAATTCCTCTCTCCATTGACTCGAGGTCTGTTCATTGCCTTGTTTCAGCCAGTATCTTGATAAATCACACACATGAAATTAAATATCCAGTGTAAGTTTTACTCAATTTGCACAAAACATCAGGCCCACTCTTCCACTAAACCCAAAAAATGCATTGATGTGACCATTGTTCTGCAGATTATGACACCCGCTTGTTCAAGCCTTTAAATATATACATATCTGCAAGAGATACGCGACACAAACACTACTCAGCAGATTTCTGCTCTGTGATGTGTTTAATGGATAATGAGGTCTCGCTCGGTTTCTTGGATTCACTCCTTTCCTCAGAGGAAAATCACCACAGCCTTGCAGTTCCTTGTATGCCACAAGGAATACTGAATTTCTCGAGAGCTATAAGGGTCGCTGATTAAATACAATCTAATCTGAAGCTTCCCGGAAGAATAGTCAGACTCGGAAATTTTGGACGTTGGATTCATGCTAGTACGCAAGCTTCTTCTCCCCTTGACTCGAGATCCCACCCTCGCCTGCGAAGAATGCCTTCCGATGAATGTGCATCCTCTGCTTTCAGCGAGTCAAGAATTTTTCAACAAGAATCTGATATGTCAGCTGCCCAATAACTATCAGCAGCCCAACCACCTCAATAATTGATCAACTGTCAATTACCCACATTTCCACCAAGCCGTCTAATCACATCCAATAGATCACGACCGTAATCCACAAATACAACAACAAATAAGTCCTCAAACACCAACTTTCTTCTACTCGAACATCCATGACACTACTCCTTAAAGCCACTGACCCCAGCAAATCCACGCAGCCGAAAACCATGGGTTCGAATTCTCATGTTGGCTCGGAGAGCTCTGAGTGATGTCTCCAATGGCGATGAGGGATTTTATACCCCCTCTCAACATCCACTCGCGATTCACTTTGTCAAACTTAGGGTTTAGGGTTTTGATTTCTATACGGCTGCGAAGTGAATTTTCTCCCCCTCCATTCAATCAATCCTCTCCGCAGCTCAACTCATCAAATTCTCAGTCAGAACACCTGATGCAACTATCCGGGCTAAAGACTAAGCAAATCCCAGTTCTGTTCTACGAAGCAAGATAACTATAAAACCATCGACTCTGTCATCTCACCCTACGTCAACGCGCAAACACCTACAAGATCGAACAGACACTCAGATGTATGTTTGAGGCAGCCGAGATATATTTATGATGCTCTACTGTGAGGTACATATGGTGTGGGTGTGGGATTTCGACATTTCAGATTAGTACCTTGTACGCCGGGTATCATTTGATCAATGTGAAGAGATTCATTTGTCTCGCAGCCTACATCTGTAACTCCCTTCTGGGGCCGTTGTCACAGCTCTCACTACTGCCATTTCCCATCTCACTTCCAATCCCAAATGATGCCTACTCCACATACCACCGCTCCTCCTCGAATTCAGATCACTCCCGACCGAATAAAAGTCACCTTGAGAGATTAAAAACTATTCTCGAATAGGGTTCGTGGGTTATCCAATGAATTTCGAGCACCATATATCTTCTATTCCGGACGGACGCCACATAGTCCATCAGGGAGATTGATAGAGTCTTTGAGGTTGGCGTGGTGGGAAAGAAGGAAGGGTTTTATATTCGGAAGACCGTCAGGGTGACGAGGTGAATTTCGGCCTTTACTTCACATCATACATTACTAATCCATGAGTTACTGTTGAAAATGTGTTAATGTCGGTAAAATTTTGACAGTCCATCTATTCTATCTATTTCTACTTAAATTACAGACTCCTTTAAACTTCGCTATCAATCCAAAAAGACCAAATCACTTCAACAATCTCCCAACATCATTCAACATAATACTCTCCACCCTCCCATCCCTCCTCTCAGGCGTCCCATCCCCCCTCTGCACACCCCACCCCGCTCCCCATCCAGGAGGCGCACCTCCCCCACCAGCATACCCATCGCCGTGACTCTCCATACTAACACTATACCCATTCCCACTCGCATCACTCTTCGCCCTCCCATGCACCTGTCCTCCCTCCCCCTTCTCACCACTCCTCTTCCCCCATCTCCCCGCCGCCGCACCACTCTTAGGCAACAACTCCGGACTCGTCATAATCCCCACCCTGGTCCTCTTCCCCAGTATGCCCGGACTCCTAGGTCCTAGATTAGGACTCTTGACATAAGTGAAACCAGCAGGTTTGCCGCCCTTAAAAGGATTCCATCTCTTCCAACTCCACCACGGTCCAGCTCCAGAGACTAATCCACCACTACTACTCCGCGAATCGAGAGGCAGGCCACCTCCTCTTGCTGGACCTCCTTCGCCAGCGAGTTCTTCGAGTGTGCGACCTTTAGTTTCAGGCACTAGGAAAGAGACGATTGTGCCGCAGAGCATGAACAGCGCGAAGATCTGCATGAGATGGTTCAACCACGGCGCGCAGTGTTTACCCACACAGTCCTTCGCTGCACCTTTAGAAAGAAGAGGTTGAGCAATGACCTGCGCGATGATAGCGCCTATTTTTCCACAGGCTGCAGAAAGACCATGGCCCGTTGAGCGATACCGCGTGGGAAAACATTCGCCGGGAATGATGAACGTGGTGGTATTTGGGCCGAAGTTGAAGAATAGTTGGGCGAGGATGTACAGGGCGAGGAGACCGCCTTCGGTGAGGGAGTCGTAGGCGAAACCTATTATGACGAAGATGACGGTAAGGAGGAAGAAACCCATGATTTGGATTGTTTTGCGACCGATTGTATCGATGGTTAGGACGGAGAGCCAGTAGCCTGGTAAGGAGCCTGCGCAAACGAGGATCAGGTTGCCGATGGCGGTGTTGAGGAGGGTGTGGTAGATTGTGCTGCCATGTGTGTACCCGATCACATTTAACACAATGCTATTGTTCAGACTGAGACCGTAGAATGCCAGGTCAAGAAAGAACCAGGCAGAGGTTGTGCCGAAGATTACTTTGAAGTTCTTCCACTGTGAGAAGTAGCCCCACACGTCTCGCCAGGATGCGCGTGGTGCGATTAATTTATGGCCGATTCTTTGCTTAGTCTGTTCTTGGGAGATGGGATCGACATCTCCTTCTTTCTGGTTGTTCATGTATGCTTTGATATCGGCATGGGCTTTCTCAATGTCGTGTTTGATATCGAATGTGTAGCGAGGCGTTTCGGGGATGGTGATGCGGTAGTAAAGTGCGAATATTGCGGGGAGACCACCGAATCCGATGATGATGCGCCATGATCGATCTCCGGCAAGTTGACAGGCGGTGTGACATGTTGAAAAGGCTGTTCCGGTATTGATGAAAGAGCCTTTGAAGCACATGGTTGTGACAAGTGCAACTAAAGCTGCAGCGAATTGCCCAGCACCTTGCATTGAGAACACTGCTGCCATCATAGCACCTCTCCAGCGTGTAGGGGCGAATCTGTAGTGTGTCAGCAGAATATCTTAGTGAGGTGCCTCAGAACATTTTCGCCAAATATATGGGTGGCAAATCATCCGCCGCGAAGTTGCCCCTCCTCTCCCGTACTTTGGCCTTCTCTTCTCACATAAAATAACAAAACACTTACTCAGAAGTAATAACAGCACTCAATGGATAGTCTCCTCCAATCCCAATTCCCATTACCACTCTCCAGAATATCAGTAGTCCTGTCATCGTCACGGCCTGACTTGGAGCCGCCAAGCTTTGGGCAAGAGTCGCTGTAATGATAATAGCCAGTTCAATTCCATACATCTTTCTCCGTCCAACCACATCAGCAAGCCAACCAAAGCCCATTTGGCCAATAACCGCCCCTCCCGAAGTTGCTGCTTTGATTGCCGTGTTGACGTTCATTGGTAAGACGCCATAGTTTCCTCCAGAATTCGATCCGGGTGTTGGCGGGCCTTGCCAAAATACCATTCCAAGGGTCGAAGTGACGAGGTTGATTGCAAAGATATCGTAGGAGTCTGTGAAAAATCCTATCCCTGCTACTGTGACTGCCCGTACATGATACCTGCAAGAAGAAAATCAGATGAGTTCTCGATTCATGAGTGGAGACAATGCAGATGCGGAAGGTACGACTCAGGACTACCCAACTCTATTGAGCACTGAAGAAGTTTGAATTGCTTACCACCCGAATGGAACTTTGTCAATCTGAGCAACGCTAATCAGCACGGTCCAGGTTCATAACGCAAATAAACAAAACTGAGCAAACTCACTTCAGAAAGCGCCAACCTCCTCCTCAAATTCGGATCTTGAATATGTGAATAGTCATTGTGGAAATTGTGGAAGGCAGCATTGCCTCCCGTGGTCCGAGGGAGGTTCACTGGGATCGCAGGCTCCGGAAGGTAGTCCATCGGAGTGGTGCAGCCTCGCGAGCAAGGAGTTTGAAGTGACCTCGCTACCTTCCAAAATGTCCTCTCCGGATTAACTGGGTACAGTTGCTCGGATCGATATAATAATTCTCAGATACCTAAGGCCAGAGCTATATGAAACAATTGAGACTTCGTGACGTTGAAGTGGATTGAGTCGTGATAAGGCTTAAAGGTTCACACGAGATTCAGGTAGGACCGGGTTTGCTGACGGGCTGACAGACAGATGCATGTATGCTGCACAGCATGGGCTCTCCGTCTAGGCAGCCATGAGAGCGTGCTTGCGCTCGAGAGCGGAGAGATGTCCAGATGCACTCTTCGAGATACTCGATATCACTGTGGTGGGTTGGATTGACGTTGATGTCGATCAGGTCGGAAGGTCGGACGTTGACATTGAAGTACCTCAGGGAAGAGAAGGGTCGTCTCCAGCTTCACCCCACTTGCATCCCGCCTCCCTGGTGGCGTCAAGGGGGAGATGTTTGGAGACTAGGCCGGGCTGTCAAGCAAGCCGAAGAATCGAGTGGCACGATTTCGCACGTCCTGGTGGGGTGGAAGAAGGGTACCTCTCCCCCGGGTCATGGAGGTGGTGATCGTTTCTGTTCTTCTGTCTGGTGGGGCCACTCAATAATAAAGTCTTTCACAATCGAAGGACGAATGATATCTTGATATCAACAGGAAAATGTGACAGAAAGCGTAAAGTTTGCATATCCTCAAACCCGGGCGTCAGAGGGAGTGCCGGTCACCTGTGTACTAAGTAGATGGAGTGAGAAAGAAAGTCATTGCTTCTACAGTAGGCTAGCTTACCGATACTCCCTTCCCTGTCCATCAGATATTGGTACTGTAGACTGACAGTTTCGCGGGCCGAACCTGCCTGTAGTCTCGCGCAATGCAACCACGAGGGACTCAGTCCGTGTGTTTCTCTTCTCCCCCTCCCCCTCCCCCTCCCCCTCCCCCCCTGAATCCCAGGCATATTCCTTCTCCTAACCCCAGCAGCGTCAAAAGCGAGCACGTTTTGTTCGGCCCACCAATTCCGTCCCGTCCCAGCCCAGAACATAAGTACCACCCATCACCTGAAAGTAACACATCCTTCTCGACGATATCACACATCCGAATCCAGAGCATCGTCTCCAAGAACGCCCAGTCCGCCGAGTCCGCCATGCACTTTTGTTCTTTTGCTGGGCGAGCTGGGCGAGCTGGGCGAGCTTCATTTTTGCCTTCAGCAGAGGACCAGAGGACGTTGATGTTCGAACAACTTACAGGGGCCACAAGCGAGTTGATCTCCCACGTGCGGTGACCCGCAGTGCTGATGGGCTGAAGTGAAGTCGGGCTTGTCAATCCCTGTCCCTGCAGCGTGATGGACAGAAGAGCAGAGGGCCAGAGGCACAAAGGCGATCGAAAACGCCCTGGGACGAAAACGAAACTCGAGGTGTGGAGGAGGCGTGTGCACGAAGATCAAACTTGACGTCCCCGGCTGGGTTATGCGTAAATAAAATGTCCCGGGCGAAGGAGTGAGAAGCCTGCAGCCTGTACTACAACATGATCAGATATTTGTTTTGACGTTGGTTTTGTCGGGAAGTTACTTGCTGGAAGCTTTGGTGATGATGATGATTTTACTTGCCGAACGAAGCGCTCGCGTGGGGGGGCCGGGGTCGGATTTGGTGCTGTTTGTTTTCTGTCCAAGCTCTTTGATCTCTTGACCTTTTATCAAAAGCCTTGCGAAGAGATTCCAAGATTTGCTTGACATCTTGGGTCTTGACTTCACTTATTGGCAGGAGTCATAAGACCCAGCCTTCTTATCCCCAGGCATGTAGATTGTTCTTCATCTGCTCCAGGTCGCGTTTTGAGGTTTGTTGTCCAAGGTTTGTTACTATCAATTGGATGTTTTATTGTTCTCGGCATCTTCTTTTCGATTGTATCAAGTGCACATGAAAAAAGTTTCTTGCTGTTCTGAGCTGATTTTTGCTTCGGCATAGGATACAGAAACAGGTCTGATATGTCTTATATTCGTTGGAATCACGAAACTTTTGTCCCCAATAGCGTCAGCATCACGGATCCTTGGAAGGTGTGGGGCTGAGACGGATGTGAATCTCAGGTTAAATGAACTGTTCGAGAAATATGTTACTCAAGGCGAAGACTTTGATGCCACGCTAAAACACGATGATAATTTGGAAGTTTGAACTACTATGGTGAATTCAATTCTAGGAACGGTATATTTAAACACCCCAATCCTCAGTCCCCCTACTTAAACAAACAAGAGCATGACACTTGATAAGTTTAGAGTTGGAAAAGGATGGTCATCACAATGATCACTCATACACACCCATGGGGTATGATAAGCTTTAAATGCGAAAGAATGAGAATATATGGTGATTACATGAAGAAGATAATCGGATCTCCACTAGAGTTCAAGTGATGTTCTGGTGCTCCGTGATAGCGACAAATGACAACAAAGCTAACTTTGACGGCAGAGAACACTCAACTCACAACGAGCTGATACACGATGGTTCAAAAATCACAATTCTTGTAGCCATCCACAGATTCTTCAGCCCCATAATCACCCCCGAAAAGCCCTTACATCTCTTCTTCTCAAGCCAAGCTCGATTTTTATTGTCCAGAGTGAAGATTTGCCTGTCTCTGGAACACAAACTTTGCGGCATCGAGCCTCCCGCTCAAAGCTACGACTAACACTTGTGTTATATACCGGAAGATAGAGCTATTCCAAATCTGTACCTGCATGTGTTTCGTCACGACCTAGGTAAATTGTCTCTAACACGTGACTCACTTCACAATCCACATGTGTCGTCTCTTTCCTCTCTTACTTTGGCTCAAGCTATTCGTATTGTAGTCGAGAATTAAGCATTTCATAGATACTAAACTTTTAGGGGACTTCGCCTGCTAACATATGGCAACATGTGTTCACCTATCGAGGCCAGCTGGGATTCCCCTCCTTGAGTTTTTCATGGAAAGGTGAGACGGTTCAAGCTCTTCATCAGCGTTTTCGGATATTTCGAAGTGAACTTGTTCGAGGTTCTCCCTAACGATACGGATGAAGAGTATCCTACCTTCTACCATTCACTAAATGCAAGAAAAGGTGTGAGATGATATCCCCCATGCACGTGCAGCGCGACCGGACGAATATCATGATCCGCTGGCACGTGCTCCTCGAAACACGTAGTACCTTCCATGAATATATGCTCATTCAGTTGTATATCTGAATGTTGCAAAGGGTCAGAAAGCAGAAGTAAAGCAAGCTTCGTGGACGAAGGTAATTTCGTCTTCCCATTTGTCGCCAATAGGGCGAAACCTTTGATCGCAGGTACTAAATCTGGGAAACACAATGCTTGACAGACAATTCATCGGTTACTGTGGTAATCGTGATCTCATCCAGCTCTCTTACTTGCTACTTGCATTTGTGTATGTACGAGCAGCTAGCTTCAGACTTCCACCAAGAATATATCTGGTTCTTTGTTTGTTTCGGTCGCGGATAAGCGAAAGTCAGCGGAGACAAGGTCTGTCTGTCTAGGGCACGTTTAGCAGAGCTCATCACCATAAATTCCACGCACCCACATCTTGGACTCTCGCTGACTCAAAAATAGCAACATATTCTAGTTTTCATCTTTTTCGAGAGTCAGGTTGGTCACGATAAGCACTCCACCGTCCATGAACCCTGTCGAGCTTCGGATGCCGATTGGCTCAGTCGTATTCCAAGGGTCAAATGCCAGCTGGGGTGCATATTAGCGGCGCGAAATCATTCCAAGGACCTCAAATCCGTATAGAATTCTCGATGAACATTGCCTGACACAATGGTAAATATACACGAAGTTTGTCTTGTTGGATTTACTGCATCAATATTCCTACCCGTTCTCAGAACTCCCACCAGCATGCTTCCACGATCAACGGCCAATGGCACCAGTGATTGGTCCTGCTCCCATAGATCATCACATCAACTGATTGACTTTACAGCTTCAAATCACATTTCCTCTGTGTCAGCGAAAGAGCCAAGTATCGTCCCGAAAGAAGCAGTAACCAGATACCGTAAAAGCGGCCCCAAGTCTAGAAATGCTTGTATTGTATGCAAGTGAGTACCCACATTTCCCTACTTGGCCATGCAGCCAGGTATTCGAGCCCCCAAAGCTTCTAACACGGAGGCAAAATAGAGTCCGACGTGTTAAATGCGATGAAACCAAGCCTTTTTGTCTGAGATGTACATCGACCAGCCGGAAATGTGAAGGGTATGCACCTCCACCAGCCCCTCCCATCAAGCCGGTTAGACGTGGGTTGGTCCCCGTCCCCATCTTGCCGAACCCTGCTACACTCGACCCAGAGAAGGGAGCTAAGGATGGCACTCTCTTATCTATTCTACCTAATCCTTCTGTGGACTTAGATGGGAGTTATGGTGAGCGGAGGAGCTTCCATTATTTTCGGTAACGCCACATGGCTGATTCGCCGGGCAACTTCGAGCCGCATTTTTGGGAAAATGTTGTTTTGCAGTTCAGTCATCGATACACTGCTGTGAAACAATCATTGGTTGCACTTAGTGCTATTTATGAGGAGTATGGACGGAATCAGAGTTCGGAGAACCCTGGCGCGGTTCAGTACAGTGATTTGACAATACAACGATACAATAAAGCTGTCAGAGAGCTGTATGTACGAGCAAGCATTATCACTTCTCCCACTCGCTTTTTTCACTTCTACAGGGCAGACTTGACCAATCGTTGCTGATTGATCTGATATGTAGTGTGAAGTATCTCGCCACGGGAGAGCAGAACACCACTGTCGCTCTCATATCATGTTTGATCTTCGTGGTCCGTACTGGTCCACCTCCAAACATCACTTCAATGCTACCTCGAATATGTCTGAAGCTGATCATCTGGCATTTCTAGTGGATAGAGTTCTTGCAAGGAGATCTGTCAACAGGAATCCGCCACCTAGAATCAGGTCTCAAAATTTCTCTCCACCCACGTCTCATCTCAACCAGCACATCTCCATCGAGATACAGCCGAAATCAACGCCTCACTTGACCGATCCTTTTCACGCCTCCAGATCCAAGCCGAGATCCACGGCGGCATGCCAGCAGACTTCCACGCCCTGACTAAAACAAACCCAAAAGCCGCACCACCCATCCCCTCATCCTTCGCAAACATATTTGAAGCCAGGGAATGGATGGATACTGAACTTAACTCAGGAATCAAATTTCTTCACGGACCCCAGAGCTTACCTAAGGATGCTAAAATGGATGTACAAGCTGTCGAGACGACCAGGCTGTGGCACCTACAACGCTTCAAAGAATGGTCCGAGGCAACAGAGCGAACGATAGCTGAGTCTGTCCCTCTGGAAGGACACCCTTACTCATCCGTGGCGCTATACCTCCAGCTCTACTACACCTGCGTCCTCATAATCTTCAACACCGTAACCCGAACCTCAGAAATGGACTACGACAAGCACCTCGCCAACTTCTCGCGCTTATGTTCCCTCTCCGAACAGATCATAAACACTTCCCGCTCCGGAACGCAAATGCTCTCCTTCGACATGTGCATCATCCCACCCCTCTTCTTCCTCGGCCTCAAATGCCGCGACCTCTGACTCCGACGCAAAGCAATCTCCTTGCTGGAACAAGCCCCGTACCAGGAAGGCATGTGGCGCCGGGATAACCTCCTGGCGGGGTGTAAGTGGAAGATGGAGACTGAGGAGCGGGGGAGGGGTGATGTCCCTGAGACGGAGCCGTTGCCTGAGTCGGCGAGGATTTCGATTCCGGGGCAGTATATTGGGGATCCTGGGCCTGTGGGAAAGGGATATGATGGGGTGCAGTATAGGGTTAGTTGGTACACTTCTGTGGAGTGGTACTCGAAGGCGGTGCTGGTTATGAATGAGGCTGATTCGGTTGGACCATTTTCTGTAGTGCGACGACCAGGTACCGTTGTTTTTGTTCAGGGACGAGTACCAGATAAGCTAGCTGGGTAAAGCCACTTGTTCTATGGGTGATAGGGACCCTGAACAAGTTTTCTGGTCTGCTAGGTAACATGTTGAGGCTTGGGCATGGCAAATCTATGCCACGCCAATACACTGTCAGCCTAGCAAGTGAATCTTGCCTTTGATTCACCTCAAAGATGAAGATTTCTTGGACGTTCGAAGAGTGTGATAGTGTCAATACAGCTTTTGATAGAAGAGGGCAGAGACTCCCGACAGCATCCTTAGAAATGACAGTGGTAAAGCGAGGTCAATGCTCAGCGAGATCACAGCTCAGCAATTGAAAAAGATGGCACTGAAAGGCTAGCTTGTGCGTAGTAACACTGAAGAACGAGGAGGACCTCGATTGGTGCCCACGTGGCTATTGGAGAGCCGATGACGGCAGCGTAAAAAGGTGGTATGCTAAGAGAAGTCTCTGGAGCGTGCTACAGAGCCTTAAGTACAGGGGAGAATCCCGCTTCAATGCTCGGCACTTTCAAGACTGAATGAAGCCTTGCGACAAAGCTGAGCTTTAGTATGGAAAAATACAGATATTAAGTCAATCCATGGCTTCTTAAAATTGTTCGATCTGCAGCTCTACCTTCCCAGAGCCTCTTTCAACGCCTTAATGGTGACACGATTATACTCTTTCCCGCCCTCCAATATCCCATCCATCTGCATAACAATATGAGGCGCACCTTTAATCTGAACATGCTCAACCTCCACCCCCGCATCCCTCAACTTCCACACATAAGCCAAACCCTCATCTTTCAAGATATCCATCTCAGCCGTAACAACGAGCGCTTTCGCCAACCCTTTAAAACTCTTCGCGCGAATCGGGCTGACCCTCCAATCATCATCAAGTTCTTTTGATCGAGGATTCCCAAGGAAATGGCGATGGAAATATGTCATGCGTTCTAGAGGCAGTGGTTGGGTGTTTGCGAGGTCTCGGTACGAGGCGTACGGTTGAGAAGGGAGGAGAGTACCGTCTGGTGCGAACACATGTAGGTCGCAAACTGGAACGGAAAGGAGCTGGAAGGCAAGAGGGATTGAAGCGTCGCGGCACATGTGTGCTACAACTGCGCTGAGATGACCGCCAGCTGACACGCCGCCAATAGCTAAGCGTGAGAGGTCAAGGTTGAATTCGGAGGCCTGTTGTCTCTGATCTGTATTTTGCCTCGTCAGACTATTCTCATTCAAGCGGAAAACAGAATGACGGACCCAGTTTAAAGCTTCCCAACAGTCGTTCACCGGGATAGGATATTCGAACTCAGGCGATAGCCGATAGTCAACATCGAAGACAACAGCGCCAACTTCATGAGCAACTCTCTTGCAGAAGTCGAAGTCTGTCTGCAGACCTCCGAATACCCAACCACCACCGTGAAAATTAACATAGACAGGTTTCAGTCCTGTTCCAAACTTCTCAATATCAGGCTCGAAAATCCTGATGTCGATCTCGCCTCCTGAGACCGGGCATTTCTGGTCTGTGATTTTCAGAGCACCTTGATCGACGAGAGCTCGACCGTAGGTGATCAGATATGCATCTGGGTCTGCACGGAAGCTTTCTATGGGAACTTGATGGGTTGCTAGGCGGCCAACTGAGTACTTGTTGTAGTATTCGATGTACGTTGGCTCAAAATGGGGAATCAGAGATAGGGGTATGCTATTAAGAAGAGGGTGCGACTGTGTCTCGGCAACCTTGGTTGAGACAGCCATCGCATCAAATCAGATATACGAAAAAAACCTGTATCAGTCGCACTGAAAATCAAAACGAAGACAGATGAATGTCGAGGTCATGTATAAATGGGTATCTGAATTTGGTATACAGAAGATAACTGAGATTCCGTCACGACCGCACTCGGGAGTGGGGGTCGATCGTTCGGGCGACTTGCCCCGCACTAGAACTCGGGCACAAGGACTTCAAAGAATCTGGTGCGAAAACTACCGCTGAATATTGAAGCCAAGTCTAGGCTATCGCTGATGTTGCTGGATCCTTGCTGTAATCATTGACAGATCATTATGGATGTTCAGATTGCAGCTGGGCTTTCAAGATGGCAACCTGTGTATGGGCAAGTAAGTTCGGCGTCAAAAAGCGGTATTGCAACGTTCAGACTGAGTATCACAACCCTCACGAAACCAGTGGCATGCTAGAGGCCGCAGCTGGAATCAATGGATGAGGCTTCCCAAGATCAGTTGGACTCTGAGACGATGAAGCCCTGCCATTGACAAGGTCTCCAGTACCGGGGCCTGGCTCAGGCCCCTTTCCCTTTTTGCGAGTCCTCACCGTCTTCAATTTGTGATAGTCCCTTTGTCTCTTCATCGGATATTCTTTGCTCGTGCTGTTTCCTTATACTATGTCCCGTCCTTGGTCGCTGATGGGCCAGAACCCAAGTGCGATACACTCCATAGAGGAGTGGTGACAATACGACTGTAAAGCCCGCAGCAATCATCATTGTAGCCTAGCAGAATTCAAGTCGTTCGCACAATTGGAGTCAAGCGTGCCTGAGCGAGCCAGTCTCTGTATTGATCGAATTCCTCCCGATACACGACCTGGTACCAAGGATATTCGTCATTTTCAGAACACCTCCATGACCACAATGTGCACTTCTTTCGGTCTTCTGGCGCTGGGAAGGCGAGGTGATCAGGATATCGGTGTCGCAGAAGAATATCGATTATTGCCAGCTGCGGTAGAGGTGTGAGATTTTTTGTACGGCTGCTGAAGTAAGGTCCAAGTTCGTGGAGTTGTATGGTGACCAAGCCTTGGTTGTCATCTCGAAGTAGGGTGTTGTGCCCGTCAATTCTGGCACCCAAGATATCGAACTCCAACTGCCTATGGAGAACGTTGTAATGTGCTGCAGGATGCGGTGCTTGGAAATTAGTGAGGTGTTTATGTGGTCTGAGGAATGTTGATGGTCATCCCAGATGGGAAGATCAAGTGTACCGAGTCGGACGAGGATACTGCGATCTTTTCCCCGGCCATCTCATCCCACCATAGCTGTCTATTTAGTGGTACCGATATGCGTCCACGGCGTAGAGGAGGCCGAGTGGTAAGAATAATAGACCAGTGGCTGCCATGTCGGTGATGATGTAGTTGAGTCGTGAAGCTTAGTCCTGTCCGGTCAGCGCCGCAGAAGTTTATCAGGTTTTGCCAAGACCCAATCCCACTGAGCTTATCTCAACCCTTGCGAGGCTCAACACCTGGATGCTATTTTTACCTCTATCTTATCAAGATCCCGTTGAAGATTCGTTGGTGGTCTGCCACAGCTTTACTTTCTGTCTTAGCAGAGGAATGTAGAAAAAGTTGACGACGTCACAGTTGATCAAACAAACAGATGTCTGACTCCACAAAGTAACTCACAGGGCATGAAGCTTTCAGTACCTGGCGAAACGACGATCCACAATTTCGGCAACTAGCTACGGACAGGCAAAGGTTCCTTGTCTGAAAAGATGTCATCAAAGAAGATCGCTTCAGATACTTGGAAATTGGTATCATCTTACAAAGAAGAAATACGGGAGGGACAAAGGCGGGGCAGGGAAGAAAAGATATTTTCGTACACTACCGTAGGTAAGCTTGGCTTCTGAACGACACGAGCTCTGTGCCGTTTCCCCTGAGCGAATCCGGAACAATTGAGGCACAGCCGCCGAGGTGAAATTGCTCCTGGAATTTATCCAAAAACCCGAACAAAGGAAACGTCAAACGACCTCTGACACATATTTCATGCATCCAAAAAATACAAGAGCACTTATAAAATCCCATGTGAAGTCTCGATATGTTGGTTCAAGGGGTAATGCCCGCACTAAGCGTGAAATTTAACTTCACATGCAGATGATGAACAGCCTTGTTTCCATTTCCATACTCCACCCAATCTTGGCGTTCCGACTGATCCTCAGGACTCAGGACTCAGGAGAAGCTCTGACGAGCACAAAAGCGATCCCGATTCAGTGTTGCATTGACAATAATGGCGGCCTGGGGCTTGTCAGCTGGTGATGCTGACACTCCACCATCAGCTTTTCAGACGATAATAATAATACGAGGCTGACAAGGTCCTGCAACCACTTAGAAGTCGTGTCCCTTCATGACCTTCTCCTACTGTAAAATGGGTTCCACGCTTGTCAAGTTAAAGCCCGCGCCACCCACCCACAGCGCCTCGCGCCCACAGCACCCACTGCCCGTTTGGTCCAGCTGCCGCTTGCCGTCACCCGAACAGTCCCTCCTCAACATCCGAGTCCATCAAAGGCTGCGAACTCAGGAAAGGAGACACGAAGCCTCTTCCTTTCCTCTTCACTACGCCGGGACGAGTGCTGCACTAAACATTCATTTTCCAAGATGGCTCTGCGTCCACCTAGTCGCTCCGTGGGCATCCGTTTCATCGTCGTGTGCGCCATTTTGCTTGCGTTTGTCCACCTGCATCTGTATGAGGGAGAAGGGAGGGTGTATCAGTCCACGTGGGGATGGAGGACTGAAACCGACAGAGGACAGAACCCAAGTCCCTACAACGGGACTATCGAAGAAGGATGTGAAGGCTTGACTGGATTTGATCGAATCGTCATAACTGTGAAGACCGGAGCAACAGAGGCATCAAAAAAGATTCCGACCCAGCTACGGACGTCATTGAGATGTGCTCCATACGTCTACATCTTTTCAGATATGGCGCAATCAATTGGGGAAACTCAGGTTTATGACTCCCTGGATGATATCGCTCCATCGATTGTGGATGTCAATAAGGACTTTGATATCTATCGCAAACAGAAGGAGCTGCGTGACCCTGAGAAAATCATGGCCGAACTTTCGGATATGAGAGATTCTCGGATCAAAGATGACTTAGCTGCATGGACTCTGGACAAGTACAAAAACATGCACATAGTCGAGAAGATTGGGGCTCTCAAACCTGAGATGGACTGGTATATGCACATCGATGCTGACACCTATGTAATGTGGCCCAGCCTCATCAGGTGGATCCAACGACTCGACCCATCGAAAAAGTCCTACATGGGCTCGCTAGCCTTGATCAATGACTTGCCGTTCGGCCATGGGGGAAGCGGTTATCTGATGTCGAGGGAAGCAATGCGTACTTTCGCCGTTACCAATAACGGCACCGCCGCCAAATGGGACTCCAAGATGCACGAGGAGTGCTGCGGCGACTGGGTTCTTGCCCAAGTTCTCAAGGAGTACAAAATGGATCTCAAGAACTCCTGGCCCACGATAAATGGAGAAACACAATCGACTATTCCCTTTGCCGAAGACCATTGGTGTCAACCGCTGGTGACACTTCACCACATCTCCTCACCCGAGGCAGAACAATTGGGCAGCTTCGAAGCGAAGCGAAAAGACAAAAGCGTAAGCAAAGCAAACAAAACCCCAAGAACAAAAGAGAAAACTGACACATCATCAGAGCCCCGTCACATATGAAGAACTCTTCAAGGACCTCGTCTCGGATCTGATCCCCGATGAGCTCGCAAATTGGGACAACCTCTCCAAAGACGGAACCGTTGCCAACATCGCCACAGCCGAAGCATGTGTCCACGCATGCCAAGCTAACCATAAATGCCTGCAATCGCGCTACGACGGTGCAGAATGTTCTATAGGAACGAAGCATTTCTCGCTGGGCAAGAAACACGAGATGAAGGACGGACTGCAATGGTCCAGTAGCTGGAACAAGACGCGTATCGCGGAATGGGTGAGGAAACAGAAACCTTGCGGGAAACTGAAGTTCCCTCATCAGGAACGGCCGTCGAAATGGCTGGACGGAAGGCCTTGATGGCCAATGTCTCGCTTTGTGATCTTCGAATGTGAAAAAGTTGCTTGGAGTTCAGGTTTGGACATTTGACGGCGTACCGGAAAAATACATGCATATTGTAGGTGGGAGATTGTATAGATGTATAGCCATCACACAAAATGTACTATAAACACGACAGGAGATGGATAAGGATCACGCTGTATGACCAGAGTTGTAGATTAGGATCTGACAGCCGTTCATTCTCGGTAGGCGGAAACGGCTATCATTTGCCAGTCTTGACCGGCTTTGAACTGTGAAAAAGTTAGCATCTGAACTTCCTTTGCTGAAAAGATATGATCTGTCCCTTCTCTTTTATCATTGACTAATGTTTATGATTACGACGCGTCAACATCGTTGCCGAGATTGTGCCTTGCCAGATCCAGTGAGCCCCTCTCCAAACCAGGCCCTGATTGGCGGAATCGGGGACTTCGGGAAAAACTCCACGCGGCTTCGACTTTAAATAAACGTGAACCTTAATCCTTCAACGCCATCGAAGCCATTCAATCCGAGAAATGTGTTCTTAGATAGGCACTAGATGATAAGATCTTCGAGCAATCACCATGTGGGGGAGAGAAGACGTCGAGATTGAATGTTTTGGAGTTGCCAGGAATGAAATGCGGGAGCTTCAGGTCGAGGAATACTCTACGACTTCAACTTCGCTTGCGGACACACGACTAGCCGCCTCCTGGGGTCCTGTGTCTACTCATATCTTGACACCACAAACGAAGACTCGAGCACATGACGCTGACGACTTCATACTCCTCGATGCGGCGCATCCCGAAGGCGGAGCTCTTCGCCTGCGTCCAACTCTGGGTAAACACCTGGTTTTTCTCGACTGGCGAAGGCTTTCAAATCCAACGAACCTTCTTTCCAGACTCATTCCTTTCAACCGAAGCCAACGAAGTTGTTTCATGGTTTCGGCCATGTAAGCTTCTCGCATTTTGACTGCCTCGAACCCCAGTCCGCGATCCTCGTTTTGTTCCAGCTACTTCGCCACTTTGTCTCTCCATCCTCAACTTCATGCTTTCTACCGAATACGATCTCTTCAAGCTTTCCAAGAGTGCAAATGTTCTCTTTGTACAGAGTTTGCATGCAATCAGGTTGCTTTGCGCAAGCCAGCGTACAGTCTTCTGCGGAAGCGATATCGGGAACAATCTCTCCCTCAGAGCGATTGTCCCAATCTTCAAGATTGTGATCAGGAATCATGTCGAAGACCATTCCTTTAAACAACTCGGAATATAACAATGGAGCCTGATTGTACGGTCTTAGTAGGGTATTTCTGAGCATGAGTGTTGTGTTCAGTGTTCACGTACGTTTTGATCAGGTCTCTTCTCTTCAAAAGCCTTCATTTGTTCCGACTCAGGCGTCGAGATGTGATGCAATGTAACGATTGGCATGCACCAGACTCCGGGATGGAACCACAATGTAGATGGGGTCTCCCCATTGAACATAGGGAAAGAATTGGTGACGGGTATGCCATATTCCTGTAATGCGAGAGCCAGCAGGGCGTCTCCATAGCGGATCTTGTCCATCTTAGAATCCCAGCGTGCTGCTGTCCCATTATATACGACAGCAAGATCTCGAGATGCGGCTTTAGATAGGAGAAGTCCACTTCCGCCGTGTGCGAAGGCATGCCCGCTGTCATAAGTCTTTGCACCTATAAATGATTTCTTGGCAGAATTAAGATTTGGGAGCCACGATAGCAGACTTGACCATACGACGTACGTATCTGCGTCGATATTGAAATACCAGTCCATATTTGGTTTCAAGGCCCAGCTCTTCTCCACAATGTGGATATTCTTGCTGTGAAGGAAGCGGATGTCAGCATCGTCGTTCGTCAGACAGACTGAAAGTGCCAAAATTCAAGGGATCGACAAAACTCTGAAGGAAGGACTACAAGCATGGTTTCGCTCATCCAAAACCCAATATTTACACGAATCGAAGATTTGGAGATCACTCACTATTTGTCGAGCTTCCATGCAGCCAAATTTTCCGAATCGCTCGGGTCTTTCATGGTTCTCAATTGGCTTGCGATCAGAATTGGGTCTTGTAGCTCCTGCTGCTTGCGATAGATATCGAAATCTGAATTTCCATCTCTTACTGACGGCTCAATCGTATCAAGTGCATCATGCAATTTATGACTCCCAACATCTTGATTCATATCTGAAAACCACAAAATATTCTCGACGGGCACACATCGTAGAGACGTCCTGAGCTGCACTGGGACCTTCTCAGCTGCTTCTGTGGCTCCCGTTCTGACAGTGATTGCGATACGATCAAAACCTGTCAAATTGCTGCAAAGGGGATGTTGACTATTGTTCGTTGTCGTGACTTTCGGCTTTCGCTGGATGATTTGCCAACGCTCGGAAGACAAGGCAAATTGGGTGACGCCTAGAAATAAAACAACTGCGACAACAAGGAAACGCAAGCCAGTTGAGCGGAAAACCGGCTTTGCTGTGAGTGATAACATTGAGTACATGGACGTGCGGTGCTTTGATTCCAACATTCGCATGCGAAACAAGGGCAGTAGGAATAGATATGGAAGTTCAGCCGCACAACATACTAACATATGAAATCCACAGCCTTTGGCGACCACGGCCGTAGCCCCTTTCCAATCTGACTCTATTTGTGTCAATTTGCCATACGAAAAAAGTTGGGGGTGTTGAAGGCCCCTGTTCAATCCATCCAATGAAGCAGTTTTAGCGACCGAGTCTTAGCGCTGTGCCACAAAAATACGACCTTCCTGCACAAACGTTTGGCTGTGGCATCGAAAATAACCAACAAACTGTCTACCTTGAAACCAACATGAGCTGATGTTGGATATTGGATCTAAGAAGGGCGGGGATCAGCGTCCTTAGACACATCTCAGTCTCCTCAAGACAAGCAGCGGAACATGTGTGGGAGGAAATAATGAAGAGATCAATGACGACACAGAATAAAAGCAAAGACTCTGATATTTCTTTGAAGCTCATCCAAAGGTATAAAATGGCCCTGCCTTACAGTCATTAGAGATTTCTTGCACTTTTTATGAATCACAAGGTCCCATGCTCTCTTGGCACTTCACTTGGTCCGGAGTACCCGTCGTAAAGGCTTTGGAATGAATTTGGACCCTCTCGCTTCGATCCGCACCGGGGTTCTTAGGCCGGCCTCGTCTGTCTCCATATCGTGTGTTCAATCAGCACACTGTCACGATACAGTAAAGCTTTCAGTAAATATACTGTGGCATTTAACGTAACCCCTTGAACATTCGCTCCACTATGTCAGACATCGCCTCTCATTAGCCCTAGCAGGACTTCTCTACTTCTGGCGGCAGCTCTGCCAAACGGAGGGTACAGCGACTCCTCAAGGGTTGCATGGGGAGCGGCGCCTGACGGCAACCGAAAGCCGCCCCCAAATAAGCGAAATCGTGTAAACAGTCAGCATTTTTTCAAACACTTCAAAAAGAATTTGGAATGACACTGAAGACAAGCCTTCATTTAGCTGTAACGCAAAACGGTTTTGCGTCATCGATCAATCTGCTCAAGACTCTCCTATCTCTTCCATGAGATCTCTGACAAAATCCACAAATCAGCAGGGACCTGAGCGCTCCCAGCACAGTGGTAAGCCTCTGGAGGCCTGCCATTTAGGCAGTTCTGAAGCGGCTACACCTGTAACTTTGTAGAAGAGTACTGATATGGTTAGTCAATGTTGGTTCAAATGCCCTGAGCGTCACCATTCAAGGAGGACGCAGGAAGATGAATCCTGCGAAGTTTTCCCGCGCTGAGAGCTCTGCCAATCCTTACTTGGCTTTACAATCGCCTTGTCGTCCTCCCAGGGGGGAAGCAAACCATCTGGGAACTTGATGGGTGACCCGCTCAATCTCCATACACGCGTGAAACCAACATCTCACCGACCTCGCTAAGAGATGAACCAGTTTTCGCATTACTCTTTCCTAACCTGCTCAGATCGAGCAACCAGAAGAACCATTCCTTCTTTAGTTGTTAGCAGTAAAAGCTAAAGATACAAGTCGCTGTGGTAATACTACTTTGCATTGCTCACTTAGGCGTCAATGTGCTCGGGCAGTCGCAGAGGAATGTCTTTGTGAACCGACCTCCAGCGACGAATCCCCCTAGAATTGCAGGGTCTTTCATCGTGGGTTCTTCGTTGAGAATCATTTGGAGCAACAAAGGAAACAGTCTCGATCTGTTCATGAATCAGATTCTACCAGACGGCAACTCCTCGAGACTCCAATATCTCCCAAATTCGCGTGAGTACAACATTCCTCGCCATGCCCAGCTTATTTCTTTGGGCATTTTCCATTTTAGAGTCACAGGTGGTCTTCAAAGCACGACGGATTACTTGTGGAAAGTTGATTTCAGTGGTACAGGTGGCAACCCGAAATTCGACCTCGACTTCTCCCCAACATTCTACTTTGCACTCGTGGAAGCTGGGGACCCCGTAATCTCGACTCTCAGTCAAGAAGTGAACTTCACATACAATGGGCTGTCATCTTCCAGCTCGACTCAGACCATTCTGTCTAGTTCAACATCATCTCTCGGGAGTAATACCGCACCAACCCTTTCAACTGCCCCATTAGCTACCATCACGAGCACTGTATCTCTGCCAACTGCCACTTCTCCTTCAACCTCTTCAGAGTCCAACACAGGTCTGTCCTCGTCTGCAAAGATTGGGGTTGGAGTCGGTGTTGGGGTCGGAGTTATTGCTCTCATTGCTGGCTTTGGATCTGGATACTGGTTCTTCGGACGCAAGAGGGCGGCACCACAACATACATATCCCGAGCAAACGTACCACGACAGTCCCCCAGCGATGAATCAGAACGCACAGTTCAAACCAGAGCTTGTGTCGCCAGGCCCCAAACAGTTCGAAAGATCGGAGCTGCAATGAGGTGGTTTCCAGAACCCAACCCAACCACGCAGCGTCAAGAGAGAGGGGGGATGACAATCTCGGGAAGGCTCCTTCTCAGCCCTTGGCTTGATTAACTCGATCTATTTCATTGTCAATATCAACAATACCCTTCAGCCGGACTCCAATGCTCTAGCAGGTCATCGCTTTTCATCACTTATCAAATAAGAGCTTCGACGGAAATGACTCCACAAAGAAGGTACAGTAGCAGCATTAGGCTCATGTGCAATTAAATCTCCTTTGGAAGAATGCATTGAAAGTCCCTATGCATCATTTCACAAATCTAAGGACAGCTGAAATCCGGTTCATACCTCCACGTATTGTCACTTTGGTCCTCAGACACCACCATTGCAGCCTTTTCTGAATAAAGTGATGTGATGTCATTCTCTTCCGTAGATGTTGCAGGGAGGGGCCGAGCGATTCACAATTTCAGCAATAACCAGCTATATCCCCCCGAATTATTATTTGAAGAAGATCCAGTCGAAGTTTTTCGTGTCCAGGTGTTGGTTAGTATGTCGCTCCTCAGATCCATACTTGTATGTGACTTATTCTTCACAAGTACTTCGCACCTGAGGCAACACGTTTCAGCCAACATCCGATGCGGCTTCTGGGTTAATCCGCGCCGCTCCATTTCGCTCTCAGCCACCTCTGTTTCCCCATTCCACCTACATTGCCTGCCTCGCCGGTGGAGACAGCGGCTCTCTTACTGATGTGCAATTGCAATTAGGCTCCAAAGGGTGCTGAACATAGTATTCCTCTCCGTACCCATTCAGTCTGCCATCTTTTCATTCACCTTGTCCAATTCGCATCTCAATTCTCAACATGTCTCAACACGAGACATCCTCGCTCAAGACATATTTCGACGAGATAGCCGAGACCAACGGTGATGATGAATGCAGGGCTTGGCTAGATAGGGTTTTCGACTCGAAGGCTGAATTAGCAACTTTTGTTGCTAGTCGCCGGGGAGGTGGCGCTGGGAAGTATGTCGGTTTCCTTAAAGGTTCCTTCAACTTCAGCTTCCGCTTCACCTTCAGCGATGAAGGGCCGGACGCCATTATTCGGTTTCCAAAACCGGGACACACAGCTACAGCTCTTAGGGACGAAAAGGTCACGAACGAAGTGCAGATTATGGAATTCCTCAGTCAAAATACTACTATTCCTGTCCCACGTGTGCACAGCTGGGGCTTAACTGTAGAGAGCCCACAACAATTTGGGCCATTTATCATCATGGATTATGTTGACGGAACCCTTCTATCGACTGTCTTAAGGCAACCGACTAAAAGTGAGGACATGATTCTCAACCCGGCTATCGACAATACAACATTAGATAAGATCTATTATCAAATCGCTGATTACATGCTTCAACTTTCTCAATTTACGTTCAGCCGCATCGGAGCTATCTCGAAAGACCACGCTTCAAATACGTGGTCTGTTACCGGAAGACCGTTAACATACAACATGAACGAGTTGGCGACTGTTGCAGGCTACCCTGACAAGCAATTTCCTACCGCGCCTTTTGACAGAGCAAGCAACTATCTCAGGTCAGTTGCAAACGAGCACTTGACCCACCTTTGGACTCAACGTAACCTCGCCGATAACCCAAAAATCGCTCAGGATCGGTTCATTGCTCGTCATCAGTTCGCACAGCTTATATCAAAGTACTGTGTTGACGATGCTGGTCCATTTCTACTCTTTTGCGACGATATGCGACCTTCGAATATGCTTGTGAACCCAGAAACCCTTCATATTACAGCTGTGCTTGACTTTGAGTTTACAAACACTATGCCGGCCCAGTTTGCCTATGACCCGCCCTGGTGGCTACTATTATCTGGGCCGGAAATGTGGCTTGATCGTTGTTCTATAGACGAGTTTTTGACCTGCTACGAGCCTAGAATGGAGCAGTTCTTGCGAGCGTTAGAGCGGGTGGAAGAGGACTCAGTATTGAGGAAGCAAGCAAGTGTGCTACCTCTTTCTAGCCGGATGCGTGAGTCGTGGAAGAGTGGGCGTTTCTGGTTTAATTACGCAACAAGGAAGAGTTTTGAGGTGGACGCTATCTACTGGGCCGCATTACACGGCGGCGGTGGTGTTGAGTTACTTGATGAGAAGGCTCGTTCAGAGTTGGAGTTATTTACACAAAAGAAGATGGAGCAGTTGATGGCATACAAAGAGGAGTGTACTGCTCGATTTTCTAAAGCAGAAGAAAATTAGCGAAAGGGGGAGTTTCCGAATATGATCGTAAGCCAATGTCATTTTGCATCTTTAAACCAAAAAAAATCATTATGAGTAACTTGCAACTACGTGGAGAATTTGATAGCGCAGCGCGCAGAGATAGACTCAAGTATACGCGTGGAAATGGAGCTGTTGAGGGTGTATGATAAGGGGTGCTGTCTTGGCTTCATTGAGATTCATAACTGGATAACCCATACATTTTCATATTTCTTGGTTTCTGCAACCGTCAAAAGTTCAAATGAATTGCTAGCAATATGAAAACAAAGTTGATAATGGGACGGACATAATAATGAAAGAGACGCAAGGATGGGTCGCTCATGTAGATGAAGAAGGAGCAGAGTAGTTGGTATGAGAAGAAGTATGCCCCCTTATTGTATTCGAATATCTTCCCGAACAAACTTCCTTTAGAAAAAATCCAAAACTTCTCCATACAAGCATCAATGAAAAATTCTCATAAAATATGATGTACCTCCATACGAGATCTCCCGGTGCTAGCCTTCGTAACAGACAAGTGCTGTCTCTCTCCACAAAAGGCTTATTGAATTCCAGTTAGAGCTTCCAACCCATGTAGATCGATACAATTCCAGAAGTATACCTGGGTGAGAATGCAAAAATCTTAATTGGTAGTGGCACTACCTCCGCCACCCCTGCGCTGCTGAGAATTCTCTCCTGCTTTCTTCATTGCCTCATCCATCTCCCGCTTCTTTCTGGCAGCCTCGCGCTTGCGCTGAGATTCCTCGGCTGCCTTTCGCATGCGCTCTTCTTCCTCATCGCTGGGGACTTTAACGAAGCCGCCGCTGTCGGTCATATTGGTGTTGTGGTGTTCGCTTGGTATGGAATGGACTTGATGAAGTGGCAGAGAGGGACTTGGGAGAACCAGATGAAAGTGAGAGGGGTGAGGAGTGAAGCAAACATCGTGTTCCCACTACCCTTATATAGACCTCCAAGTCCATCCATTGCGTATAGGCAGACGCACTGAAATAGGGAGCTGTCAGACTGGACCTCATGCAAGCGCCTACTCTATCACATCAAAAAGTTCGGTGTCCCGGATAGCACAACCCCGGCGGTCTCCCTCTAGGCCATGTTGCAGCCAACATCGAGAACTACCAGGCAGCCACTGGGTCGATTAGGTAGACGCTGGTTTTCCCCTACTGTGGCTACACAAACGGCCAGCAGACGCAACAGGTAAGGAGAAACGATGAACGTTTATGCGATGCTGGTGCGAACTGACCTGTTGTGATCTTCACCTTCAGCCTGCTGGAGGCAAATGAGAACAACGACCAAGGTCCCCCGATTTGCGCAAAGGGTTCCTTATCTTTCCCGACCTGTTCTGCGCAGTCCTGGTCTTTGCTTTGCAGAACTTCTGCTCTCGAGTGTGCTACTCGCTATGGGACGGAGCGGGCCGATAAGCCTGACATCCAACGCCAAATAACGAAGTAACCTCGAATGTTCAGCCCCACAAGAGCTTGCCATCACCACCGACAACGCCGTAGATCAGTAGATCACTTCACAACCGGGCTACCTCTCAGTACACCATGCTCTTCAGGCCCTCCACCCCAGTGATCTTCTCACCAGGCCCAGGAAGCGAGTCAAGGCATATACGTTTGATTTCTTTGACTTATGATTGTAATAGGTTCTACCATGCAGACTGAGGAGGAGCAACAGTTGAGGGACCGCAAATGAAGCAACAGCAGGAACAAATATAGCGCGGACTGCATCAGCAGTAGGACTTCTTTAATAAAAACATGGAGAATGCATGGGATGTTGATGATTTTAACACATATCTATTGTTTCAATAGCCTGATATTATCACTACGCAGTCGCTGTCTCCAACGTGAGAACGCTTTCGCCTCTCACCAAATGCCCTACCCCGTTTCCCATAGACTTTGCTACTGTTGCCGACTTTAAAGCCACCCGCGATGATAAAGACAAGATGCTCTTCCTCGCTGTTCAAGTACAATATAGCTTCATCTCCTTCGATCGAGTTGTGACATTTTGTGGTACACCTCATGTACGGTAAGTCACCGAGCTTAGGTAGGCCAGTGCGAAAGAGAGAGGTGTCGCTTATTTAGTGACTAAAGGCGAGGTACGGACCGCTGAACGGCAGGCTTGGCTTGTCTGGTAATGGAGACACTGTCGTTCCGCGACCAGATCAGACCGAGAAGGGAGGGTCTTACCTACCTAGAAGATACTGTAGAAAGGTCATCTGACTGCAGCGTGATATCCGAAATTGGCTGTGCAGCCTTGCATAAAGTGCAAATCGAGGGCAAAGGGCACGGAGGGCATCGAGTCTAATCCGAGGGGCGTGGCGCGGGGAGCTGGCGGAGAAGTGAGGGGCACCCCACCTGATTATCACGGAGTGCAAGAGATTGTGGAAGACGCTTGAGAGAAGAGATTGTAGTGAAAGGGTGTGAATTTCTCATTCTATAACGTATTTGATGTCCTCCATCTAGACGGAAACAGAAATACTTGATTGTCCGCCTTTCCCAAGACGAAAATACGCCAATTCCAAAGGCAAATATCAAATAGTGACATTCAATACAATCATGCTAATCAATCGTGCCAACTTCCAGTTCTATATATCCTTTCAGACTGTTTGTATTACCCAAACACCATGCAATGCCGCGCCGGACCCAATGCAAATCATTATTATATCGTGACAGTGGTTGTGTACCAATCATTGGTGTTCCGTCGTGTATGGTACACTGTATGCCTCGGTGGTGTAAGGAGGTTGATGGAACTTAAGTGCAATCCACTCGTGTCGCTGGTAATCGTACTGCCAGACCTGGAGAAGAGTCTCTTGCTCGATGGACTGCGAGAACTCTGCCGAGAAGTAATTGTCTTGCGAACGGATCTCAATGTCCTCAAGTGCCTCTTCGATGTTCTCAGTGAGATCGTACGAGGGAACGTCGTCTACAAAGATGTCCTCTTCTTCCGCTTGTTCGGCCTTGGTCGCTGGCTGGTATGAAGCAACGGGGCTGTCGGTGCATGCATCGGCATCTTCGAAGAAATCGCTCTCGATGATGGGAAGGGCTTGGGTGGAGTTGTTGAAGAAGAGTAAATCCTTATCGGTTGGGGGATAAGTTGCGGACGAGTACGTCTCGTTGCTCTCCTCATCGAAGTAATCCGCAGTCTCATCGACAGTGCCATTGTTCCCTGGCAAGTCGACATTGGCTATGAAGCAGAATATTTAGCCTCCATTGAAATTTGTTCATGAATCGTGGAGAATAGGCTCACCTCCAACGTTCAGGGCCCGAGTGTAGAAGGGAGAACCATTGCCAGATGTAAAGGTGCGGCCATAGTGAGAGGCATCTGCGGCAGATGTTCTTCCAGCAGTGACTAGAATATGTTAGCAGGATGCAAAGAAAGAAGATGGATCTGGAAGCTAGAACGTACCATCTGATGGAAGAACGAAGAGGTCTTGGAAAGCAAAGATAGTTTGCTCCCCAAAGGAAGTGCGAGATGGAGATGAAGTGCAGGACATGTTGATATTGTTCGTTGGTGATACTCTAAATAATAGCAAAGTTTTGCGGTCGAAGGCGACTTTTGACTCGATGGTTGCGATGGAAGTGAAAATGAAGATGGGAGACAGAAGAGAGTTTGCGTGCGAGCGCTTTCTATTTGGACTATCTGCTTGCGCTGCAGTAGCAGTACCGCGAAAGTGTGCTGCGCCCCGTTCATCTGGGCATTGCCACGTCAGCGCAGCCAGCTCCAATCAGAGGCACACAAAAGTCCTGCTGATGGCAGCATATTTGCTCGCGCAGCAAGCCATTATGCTTGCGCTACGCTTGTGGTTGGCTGCGAGGCGAGACCAAAGGTAATCCCTCAATCGCTTCTGTATTCCAGTGCAAAAACCTGTTTCTGCAGTCACACTGCATGCACAGCCTCTCTATCATTCGTCCTTGGCTTCACGGGTGTCGAGGGCAGCTTTCCCGAATGCCTCTTGGTTGGCCGAGAACATTTGATCGGGTGAGACGGCACTGCAGGTTGCATGCATGTTCAGCTGTCCAGGTGCGAGAGCGACATCAAATGATGTGCAAAATCTGACTGAGGTGGTGCCAAGGGCGCAACCATCCGGGAACGATCGGGACCAAGTCGATCCTAAAAATGGAGGTTGTGCCAAAGCTATTTGATTACGCTGGAATGGATGCACAGCCAATGAACAATGACCATTCCGTAAGCGGATAAATGCAGCGCTGCCATCGCAGCTGCAGGCTTGTCGCTGACGCCTAGAGTGGCACAGTGAGGAGGGTTTTGGTGAAGGTCACCAGTAAAAGGACAACGTCAAGTCACCATGGCCTCTCTCAAATCCTCTCTTCAGTTATTTGTTAATCTTCCCGTCTGTATCCTCTTAGTGGTCCCGACATCTGAAATTTTTGTCACAAAAGTTGTCCCTGATAACCACATCAAGATCGAAAGCTCCTGGAATTCTTCTGCTGGTCGTGACTTACTGCTGCGAGAAACTTTCGCCGACTTTTGATCCCAAGCCGACATCAACACCAAAGAAAAGAACAGATAACTGATTGATAAGATGCCTAGTCAGCGTTATGAAGAGTAAGTAAATTTTTCAGTGTTGTCTCGAACTTCTCATTGAAGAACCGATTTCTTGAATTATATATCTAATATCAACAACAGATCCCGCTAAACTCGCCTTCTCTGGAACGACTCAACACCATCTTCTCTTACGACAACAACATACCAAACACGGCCCCACCATCCTTTCACTCCGCTTCCAGCTCAACCCATGATCTGCCTCACTATAGCAATGAGAGCGCAGCATTGACTTTACCTCATAATCAACCATCAAGTGGTTCCTTTCAAGATATTCGGAAGACATCAGACTCAGAAGGCGATGACGGGATAAGTCTGTGGGGTGGAACGAGTGCCAGAGCATCGATGAGCCAAGACCACGCTGCTGCGAGAGAAGATGTGATTTTGCAGCTTATGAAGAGAGTTGGGGATCTTGAGGTTAGGTTGGGTATGCAGGGAAATGTAAGTCAGGATGTTAATGTCTGAGTGAAGTGCCGCGGAAAGTGCTGACGATACATCAACAGACGAAGAATGAAAAGAGCGATTGTGATATTGAAGCCTTAGAGACGAAAATGGGTAGAGAGTGGACTGCTAGTGCTAGGGGTATAGCTATTGCAATTTTGATGGGAGCTCTCTTGTTCTTGGTATCGTTTTGGACTTTCCTGACTTTGGGTGTGAGGGCGAGGCATTAGCTTCGTTTGACTCGGATGCGGAAGAAGAAGCAATCCGAGTTAGTTCTGATCTTTGTAAAATTATACTCTTGGTTTTCTACACTTGTGTAGTTAGTACATGGGGATTGTTCAGCCCGGCCTCATATCAAACTCAAATCGAGAAGTGGCTGAAATTGACTAAGCGTCTCTTGAGTGAGAAGACGAACTCGTCGACCAATTTCGGGGAGCTCAAGGGAATTCTGCACAGCAACGTCAGCTATCGATATTGACGATGTTTCACCGTCCTCGGGTTTTCCAGTGAACTGATTGAAAACCTCACCTCCTACAGAGCTGACGTACCCGTCAATTCAATAGTTGCTTTCCCCTGTGCAAGTGATAACTTACTGAGAGGGCTCGTTGCATAGATCTTGACCTTCCTCCAAGTTTCCGCATACTGAGCGGAAATTAGGCGGGCAAGGTCCATGACCTCGCAGCTACTGAAAAGACCGATGTTCAATGTAGTTAGAGAATAGATTCTCCAGCGTCCCCAGCTCTTCTCATAGAAAAATCCGAGCCGGCGATCTCGGCCCCCGAAATCAAAACATTCAGCCACTCTAAGTCTCTAAGTCTCTAACCGAGCCTGCAGATTCCACACGTAAACCCTCCCGTTGTCAGCCACTCTAAGTCTCTAACCGAGCCTGCAGATTCCACATGTAAACCCTTGCCAGCCACCAGCCTCGGCCTCCCAATGTGCAAAGCCCCTCATTCCAAATGTTCAAGCCTTCAAAACTTGGCAGGCTTGCACGGTTCAACAGTGCTTACCGAAAAAACCTGCCGTCCAAACGTGCATGTCTGGGATATAAATGAGATTTCTTGGCGATGGCATGGGTATGATCCTGCCACCTTCCTGACTGGTAGTGCAGCCGATACGTAGCAAGGGCAAGGCTGCAAGGTACCTTCGTACCTACCAGAGTATATTGTGCAGCGGGGTAATTGCCTGTATTGATACGAATCTTGTAGTTCTCCGCATAATGCGTTTTGCGTTGCAGGATCTGTCACTTGCGGGGTTGAAGGATGGATCAGGAGGATGAACGTGGTGTGGGATTGTGTTTGTTGATTGGAGTCCTTTGGGTGATGGAAACAGGACATGTTTGAGCACAGGTTGAGCTGGTTCAGCTGGAGACAATGATGCGATACCTGCGTGTGGGTGCTCCGGCAGTGTTGAGCACATGAAATCATATTGATTGCATTGTCTCCAGTACAATACAGTGAGTTTGAAAACAGATAGGTATCTCAGTACAACTCAATTCAACTAATCGCTGGCCGCACAGCGAATTGAAACGCATTTTTTTGCTGGCTGCAAAACTCCACGTAAAAGCCCACTAAAATTTTGTACAAGAAACTCCAACTCCGGCTTCATGGTACTCGGCGCAAGGGGCTTTCGTGATTATGTGACACTGATGTTGACCGTCTTCGTAATACCCAGTTCTCGACCCTGCATAGGCAAGATATCATCCAGAGAATCCGCATCTCCTTTGCTGGCAAAGTCTTCTTCGCTTTGCGTATTTTGAGTGCTCCTTCCCAAGGCACTCCTCGTTGGCTGATTGCGTGTCGTTACTCGTACATTATACTTCGAGCTTCTCGTCCCTTGGCCTGGCAGACTGTTCATTCCAATAGCATCTTCATGCATGTAATATTTGTGTCGTTGTGCATTCGAACTGTTTGTGGCGCGTGTACGGAGGTCGAGCATAGTCTTGAAGAGAGGACGGAGGGCAGGAAGCGAGGCTGCCAGTAGACCGACGTAGAGCTCAATGGCATTCCAGATGCTGTATTTGTCGTCTCTTGTGGAATCTGGATTGGATAACACCTTCACTTGGAGCGTTGTCTTGACAATAGAGCAGACACAGGCGCTATTGCCATATTAGTGGAAGTTTAGGTCCGGAGTACGACAGAAGCTTACAAGTATCCGAGGGAGAGGATACCAATGAGAGAGATTTTGGTTCGCATGTTCACTTGCAATTTCCAAACGATTGGGATTGGAAGTGAAGCGAAAAGCACATCAGTGATGATGTTGACAACTGCATAAATTAGTTCTTCATGTCCCAATCAATTTTCATTAATTAGATGCCTACTGCTATTGAACAGGCCCTAAAAGCACATATTAGTCGGGATATATAACATAAACAGTGTGGAGTAGTATTGGACTTACAATATCGGTGAATGTTTGGATTGAAAAACACTTTGCATTTGGCTCACTCGCTGCATCCCAGCTGGCTCGAATCGGTAGGCATGAAAATGCGATGGTCTATAAAATGTGAGCAGTTTGAACTAGTGGAAATCGATGCTGTCGACTGTGGGGGATTCTGTTCTTCTGGGTGCAAGATAATGGCAAGTTTGTAATGTAAAATGGCTTACCCCAGCACTGCTCAAAGTGAAAGCGGCCAAGAAAGCTATGTTAAGTCAGTCTTGTTCATTCCGTTGAGATCATGATTGAGGACTGACCGATAACACAATAAAGGAAGATTCGGTGACCCTTCCCGGCAGCGAGCCTCAACAAGAAGAATGCAACAGAAAGTTTGACGAGTGAGATTCCAACAGTGACGATCAGTGAGTGAAAGTAAGTCCAGTGCATTAATCTGATGTACTCGTCTGGCCTGATTGACTTTGTGTGCATCCCTTTGCCATTGTGAGTTTCCCCAACGAAGCAAGTGAAGACACCAACACCACAGATCGTCGCCGCAAGGATAAGCCAATCGTCAATGCCCAATGTCTTCAACATTACAGCCCGAACATACATCCTCGCCGCCATCACCACGACAGCAGCGCCGCAAAAGACTCCATTGACAGCCAGAATCGAAGGCGCATTTGTCGACCGGTCGACAGGTTCTGTTGATGTGATTGTATCCATCTCGATAATCGAAAGCTTATTGCGTTTGAGTTCCAAGAAGCTGGTCAACTGTGCCGATCCTCTCCTTTATGAACAACAAAATGTGTTGATCAGCTTAACAGGTCACGGTGTGGTGTGCGGTGTGTGGTGTGCGGTGTGTGGCCTGTGGGGTAACGCCTTCATATATTATTGATACGTCAGGTTCGAGTCGATGTACAAGTGCCCAAACATATTTCTTCGTGTTCAGGCCGTCTCTGTCCTGGATGCCATGTGTTATCTGACCAAGAACTGTGCACTTCTACCTTACAAGGGGAAAGATGTTCAAAAACAGAGACGGCTGCTACACATAAACGTTTAGAGACAACGCCACAGACGCCTCTGCCTTGTTCGGCTTCCCAGTTGAGCTTGAAGTGACGGAGTTGCCAGACTTCCGTCCGAAGCTCCTGAAGGTTTTCGTTGCTCGACACATCCAATCGAGGAAAGTGCCCGAAACTCCACTTGCAGTACATGCCGTTCCTGAATTTTGCGACTTGGAAACGCTAATGCAGCTAGGGACATAGCTTAGGAATCAAGGCGTGTATCTCTTGTCCGTTTGAAAGTTCAAGGATTGCCCTGCAGGTCGTCAAACTCTGATAGGAGTGGATATGGAGTGGTAGCAAAATTTCTATATGATCAGCGAATACTGGATCTGCTGGTTCATCTGAAGTGTTTGAATCGGTCTTCCATCAACCACACCGGTGGCTCTAGTATTGTGAAAATGGCTTGATAGAGGAATTGCCCAGACGTGGGATCTACAGTAAACGTGGGCATCATCTTCCTGAACCAGAAACTGCCCGCCGGATCGGCTATCGTATGAATTCGTCTGAATTTTATCTGAAAGCTAATCTTCGATTTTTCATGGCAGCGGGATCGAGCCTCGCTTATTCCATGGAAGGAAGGGTCTGGTCGTCTGAGCAGCATGTCATCCCTCGAATCCAAGATCTGATGAGACCAGGCCATGATCATTGCATTGGATGAAGGCAGCATGCTGGAACGACAGGATGGTACGATTGGTGGTGTTACTAGACCAGGGAGGGGGACAAATCCCTGTACAGTAGATTTGCGCGACGCGGATGAAGATCCGGCTGACGACGCTCTGAGGATATCCCAGTAAAGCATCTTTCAACATGGTTCTTTGACGTTCGGGAAATCCGCATTCTCTCTCCATTATTCCTCCGCACCACACTCCTAGAATTTACGATTTCTTGAATGTTGTCTCAGTCGGCTAGCAGTTCGAAAATTGTAGAATAATCTCCAAGAGGTATCGTCATTTTCAATAATGGGTTCTCGATGTGACCATTTGATCACGGATAGATAATTCATGGGATGGGTCGGGAGGGAGAATAAGGTAGGGGTGGATTGGTGCGGGTGAAGGTGAGGGTCTCTTGTCAGGTCCGTCCGTACAAGCTCGGTAGCTTAATTTGACCCAATCGTAGACAGAAATGATTTGCCCACCCCCGCCCACATCCCGAGGCGACCCTCTTTTCGGCTGGTACAGTAAGGGTAAGGTTACCAGGGCGAGGGAAAAGTCGTTTTGGAAGCGAGCATTGTCATATTGTCATATCTGGGGTTTCGGCCTCTCTCCTGAATAAGCTTATTATTGTAATCCCCACAAGCACATTGCAGCCAAAACAAGCCCTGCGGGCAAGAATCACTGCCTCATGGGCAGAACGTGGCGAAGTGACATATCAGGAGTGGATTAAAAACAGTCAAGGAGGCTTCCGGGAAAGGCGTGACCGGACTTGAACAGAATACAGGAGCTTCCCCGAACTAATAGCAGACTATCAAAATGGTGCATAGGCCTAGGAATGGAGGAACGAAACTGGGGCGAGACTTGGTTGGCAGCCCATCAGATCTAGATATATTTGGGTTTAGGTTGATCTGAGAGCCTATCTCAAAAGTGACAAGGTCGCTAAGCATCCTTCTGGAGTCTTCGTTTTGACGGCGGAACGCACGGCTGGAAATCTAGTGCTAGCTTGCATGACTTCTTGACCAGTAAATTTTGACCTGAAAAGCTGAAAAGGGAAGAAAGGATATCTTTAACCCCACAAGAGCCCTCGGTACATCCGAGCTAGGGCGTCCCTGAAGTTTCTACCTGGGTTGATTGGTCGGGTGGATGAATTGGTATATTTGCATGAGGCTATACTGCTAGGAAGCCTATCACTAGGAACCCCAGTACACACATGGAAACATCTCTGGCTGCCAGGCTCTCCAGGTCCTTCCAATCCTTCCAATCTGCTTGTCTTCGGGCCCACTTCCCAGTGGCGTTTGCTCTTCCCGTCCCGAACTATTGGCTTGATAGTAGATTGAATACCCAGCTCGACTTCAAATCGAGAGACCAATATCCGGCAGTTTTTCATGCCTATCTTCATGCAAATAGACGACTGGGGTGCCACGAGGTTCAAATACGCTCGATTTCGCTCATGCATTCTTCAGGAGTAGACGCCATCTCGCTGTCTTTTTAGGTTTCAAGTTGATAGTATCTTTACCGGTTCTATTCCAAGCTTGAAGCTTCCGAGCGCTCGCATACTTCCAATCATGCTCTTCCAAATTTCGGCTGTGGTAGCGCCTCTGCTGCTGGCTTCTTCCGCATCTGCAGCCTCGTTCACACCTGCTTCCACCACTGCAACTGATCTGTTGTCTGGCAAGGGTCTTTTGAACCTTGCAATCTACCAAATCAGTCAAGCTGCTAAAGGGCAGCAACAGCCATGCAACCTCGGAAACGCTGCCGTTAGACGAGAATGGTAAGCATCAATACGAGGAGGGCGTTTGGCGAAAGCGGAAGTGCTCATCATCTGACTAGGTCAACACTCCTTCCTGCTGAGCGAAAAGCATATACGGATGCTGTTTTATGTCTTCAATCAAAGCCCCCAAAGACCAATCAGACACTCGTTCCTGGAGTCAAGTCGAGGTAACTTACGCTTCCTTCAAGTTTCACCATTGTACTGACCGTATTGAAGATACGATGATTTTGTTTGGACTCACATTGAGCAAACACTAAGCATTCACGGAACAGTATGTATTACGAAGGATCGCAGCCAAAACTACCATGCTTATTAAGACTTAGGCAAACTTCTTGTCATGGCACAGATATTTCACCTGGACTTATGAACAAGCACTCAGGAATGAGTGTGGCTACAAAGGTTACCAACCAGTGAGTACTCCTGAGCGCATCACTTAAGAAATGCAAAAGCTAATATTCAGCAGTACTGGGTAGGACTCCCTCCTGTCAAAGCGCTCCTGCAGAAGCCAATTTCCCAAGAAGAGAACGAGCTAATTAGCTTCTTTAGAATTGGGGCAAAAGTGCCTTCGATCCTATCAACTCACCAGTGTTCGATGGCTCGGACACTTCCATGGGTGGCAATGGTGACTTCGAACCACACAACTGCACCAACGGTCTCCCGACCGGCCTGAACTGTATACCTCCTGGTCCTGGGGGTGGCTGTGTGACCAATGGTCCATTCAAGAAGTAAGTCACATCACTGAATAGATGTAAAAGATATCCACACTTACATCATACTCAGCATGAAAGTTAATCTCGGCCCTATCTCACCGACTCTCACCATAGAGGGCCTTAACGCAGTCTCGCCAAGTACAGTTTATAACCCACGCTGTCTCCGCCGTGACATTTCCCCATGGGTCTCCTCCCGTTGGACAACTGATCAGAACTCCACCGACCTCATCACCCAGAACTCAGATATCAACAGCTTCCAGACCGTAATGCAAGGTGATTTTGGATCTGGAAACTACGGTGTACACACAGCTGGCCATTTCACCATTGGCGGCGACCCAGGTGGAGATCTCTTCGTATCGCCAGGGGACCCAGCTTTCTATCTTCACCACGCTCAGATCGATCGCACTTGGTGGATCTGGCAGAACCAGGATATCAAGAACAGACAGAATGCTATTGCTGGAACTATCACCTTGTTCAACAACCCGCCTAGCAGAAATGGAACACTGGAAGATGTCATTACATTAGGCGTTAATGGTCCTGATACGACGATCGGGTCTGTGATGTCTACGCAGGCTGGGCCTCTTTGTTATATTTATGTTTAAGTTCTGGTTCAATCATTTTTGGTCTTGGCAGTTGTTTATACTTTAGATCTTGAAAAGCCAATCTCCATTTCTGCATATCATAATAATACACTTTCACCGTCGGGAAGTTCCTTGACATCTTCCCGAATTACCGTTTAAAGTTTGATCAATTACTGCTCTTGCACGTCGGCTCAAATTCTCTCCCCCACAATATTGTCTCGGACCCCTCTCACCTCAAAAACGTATCTTTTTCTTGGATTTGACCCGGCAGAAACCGAATTTCCACACATAAACTCAAACAGTCCCGATTCCGGAGAACTGACCGAAAACCCCTACCAAACCCCGCCAAACACTCACATCTCACATCTGACAAACCATCTCATGTCACGTTATTCTTGCACAGACTTGAAACTAGAGCATCTTCGTTCCTCGGATCTCCCGACCCATAAACTCCGTTCACCAGATCCTACACTCCTACACTCTTGGCGAAAAGCAAATCTGGGAGGTCCCCTACCCCCACCACGTTCGCTATCGCATCGCGCATAATATTTGGTGCCCAACACTACTGTAATTTACCTACCGTGCCGTCCCAAAGTTCGGTACATATCCCTAACTCACAAGCTTGGGCGATCTCAATTGAGCCGAACCACCGCTACGGTAAAGCTAGCTCTTCACTATTCTGCATGCAGAAGTTAGAAACGTTAGAAACGGTCTTCCTAGCTTCTAAATGGCACGGTTGCAGCACAGCATTATTGCTACCGTTACTTCGGCGCTGCGCTGCGCTGGACAAGGACATGGATGTGAGGCTCTTCTCGCCGGACTTGTCGATCATTAAACTTCACGATCTTTGGGACTAAGTCGCGGAGTTTATTTGTGATGCAGTTTCAAAACCTGTCTCCTATTCTCCTGAACCTTCCGTGGTACTTTCCGTACGAGGAAGGAGGTCAACGTCCTGGCGCTGTTTGGGGAGGATTTATACACAGACGACCCTCCCTTGCAACCAATAGGGAAGTATTATCAATGCTACTTGCGGGGCACTTGGAGTACTTACGCGTGTACAACTCTCGAGTATATTTCCAAAGGTTACAAACGGTTAGGGTTAGTTAGGGTTAAAGCGTAGGTATAGCACAGGGTCCCCTCTAGGGGTTTGCTAACCAGAGCGTGGGAGATATGTGATTTTATTACTGTTCGAGCTATTGTACCTTCGCAATTACTAGAGATTCTGAAGCTTTTGATTTGTCTGACCAGGGGGGGGGGAGGGGGAGGGGGAGGGGGGGGTCGTCTGTGTATAAAGCCTCCTTTTGGGGCTCTTCATTCCTGATGGACATATGGCTAGAGCTTTTAAGAAAAGTACCGTTGAAACGATCTCTGCACCGATGCAATCTAAGTTTGCAGTTGAAACGGCAGAGTGAACAGTAAACATCAAACTTTTGTCTGTCTCACTGGTCTTATAGGGAAGAAGTTTCCTGGCTCTGCAAGTTCGAATTTCCTATGATAGTCTTCGCACGCCCTGTAGTACAGCGAGTGCCCAGAAGTCAGAGGCGCGCTGACTGTTAGTGATGCCATTCTTTTGACGAAATGTGGATTGGGCTACTTCATCCAAATCGCACGATGAGTTATCCATAGCGAAAAGATTACTTCTTCTTGACGATGATGCGATTTGGCATCGTATCTAAGAATCAAATTGCCGTTTTAAGATCTCAACACAACGATCAATTTGGCCATCCCAATCTGTTTCCTCGGAACTCCACCCCTTCCGAACTATGATCCAGTGGCCGGTGGCCGATATCCTTTCAATCCCCCTAAATTTTCTTTCAGCCCCTTTTCCATCACTTTCTGTGTTGCAGTCCTCGGACCTTGCCTATCAGGTCTCAGTATCCTCAGTGACGACGGCAGTTTGTGCTTTCTCATCGTCGGAGCCAAAACGTCACGGAGCTTTTGGAGATTTATTTCGCTTCTTTTCACATGTTCTTGTAGTTTATGTTTGGACAGCCGGATGTGCAAAGGCGGACATGAGCTGCGACCAGACCTCGGACCTCGGAGTCGAGAACGGGGAGAGTGTGCGCTTCTGAGATGTATGGAAGGTCTAGGAGACATCCTTCCTCCTCGAGGACTGAGATGAGGAAACTGCGGAAGCAGGTATCTGCCAAAATTTGATGTCAATTGATGAAATCAGGCGGGTTGTTAGATGAGTTACAACTCCAGTCAGCATTAGCCCTGCTTCGAAAGAATACTGGTCGTCGATCAGACGACCTAGATCTCCGGTTTCTTAAACTTGCTTCGTCGAATGCTGCTGATGTGAGTGTTTGATCTCCAACATAGCTGTTACACGGGTTGTGGGCAAACGCTATCGAAAGAAAAAGTCACCTTGCTGATCAAAGATCTTCCGGGTGAGCATTCCTGGACACTTGACCAGTATCTCACCGCTGTCACCGTTGGACAGCCGAATGACTCCTACTGGTAGTGGTCTCCCAATGCCTTCTTTTGAACCAAAATCAGCAGTCAAGCCACTGACTGCAAGATATACTATCAGTGATGAGATATTAACATGGCATAAAGTAAATACACCGTGGCGAGGTAAGCGAGAAAGTCAAAGCAGCAAAGCTGGCAGTCAGCCCATATGAACATGAACTACAACGATCAATCACAAAACCTCATGTATTTGGCACTATTCCAATCCCGCTATGCTACACAATTATCCCACATACCAAGGTGTGGTCTATGCCACTTGATTCATACAGCATACGAAATATGGTGGATTCGTCATCCCAATTCAGTTCGAGTCTGCACCTTTTTTTCTTCGAGAAAGTTCTCTCACAATTACTCCTTACGCCTAACTCTGGTCTCTGGACCTTGATCTCAAATCTTACGCATTTATTCCAACAATGATTCGCGCCATGAGAATGCTAGATTCGCAATGTATTGAGTTCGCATTGTATTGATTGATATCGATTCGACTCGCTAACGCCTGAAATGCTCGTCTCGCCGTGCCTCGCCTCCAATCGATCGGTCGATGATTCGCAAAAAAGGAAATATCTCCAAACATCGTACAATTATCACTTCAACCAATCAACCTCAAACCGAACAAATGCATGGTCTAGATGCATATATATGTCCTCGTGTCTCCTCCAGTATTGCGGTTCTTGCTCCAATTTCATCGGCGGACTCTCTTGTCATGGCCACTTCGGGATTCCATGCCGCCCTCATCGCTGCGTCGCTTTCGACCGCTGCCGCCCCCATCTTCTCTGCTTCCTCGCCCGTCTCGACGCTCCTCCCCGCTGCCTCGAAGATCACCGCTGCTGCGTGTGTCTCGAATACTCCGGCTACTACCTCCTCTCTCATTCCCTCTGTCGCCACGCTCATGCCCGCGCTCTGCTCCACGCTCGCCAGTCCAAGAGGAATTAGGGTCACGAATAGTATGTTCTCTACCATCCCTGCGACTGCCGTCTCGCTCGCGGTCTCCACGCTCTCGATCTCTGCCACCTTCTCTGCCTCCCGTCGATTCTCTGCTGGCCATTAAATCCCTCGATGGTGCGGGCGACGATTTACTCTGGTGTCTATCCTTCTCTGGCTCGGTCCGCTCATTTGCTCTGCGGTCACTGCGGTCACGATAATCACTTCTTTGGGAACGATCGTCCTCGGGAGCACCGCGCTTCGACTCGCGTTCGCGTCCTGGGCTTCTGGAGTTCCGGCGGCTTTTACTTGAGCGTTCCCTTCGTCCACTGCGATCCCGGTCGCGCTCTTCATTTGGTGCTTCGGATCCAGTGATTAGATCAACGCGCGCAGGGTTTATGAGATCTCTCCCGGAATCTCTAGCAGTCTCTTGTCGAGCGGGTGGAGGCCCGGGTGGAGGAGGTGGAATTGGTAATGACGGAGTTGGTGGGCCTGAGTTCGGTGTCTCAGGGCCCATACCCGAGCTCATCCTTCCTCGACCACGAACATTGATTCTATCGGGGGTATTCTGCTGTCCGGCTTGCTGCAGCATGGTGTTGATACCAGCAAGTTGTCGTCTACCACCGCGAGCAGCACGCTCTGTCGCTGATGCGGGGCCAGTGGGAGCAGCAAATCCATTTGGACCAGCATGGATAGGACTCGCCTGGGAACCTCTGGGGCCTGATGGAGGGCCCGAAGTTGCCAAAGGTGGTACATTAGGTCTTGAACGATTGTTGTTGTTGTTCATGTTCATCTGAGACTGAGGTTGGGGCTTAATCGTATCATCACTGCCGAATGCCCGCAGTCTGTCCGGGTGTATTGGCGCGGCTGGCTGCGAAGCTGCCTGGGACTGGGCGAGCGGCTGAGGAATGGGGCCCCCAAGTTGTTTCAATCGATCAGGATGAATCGTCGATGCTGGAGATGGTGTCACGGGTGTAGCAGGCGTTGCGTTACTGCCGGAAGCAGCAGGCGTCGAGTCGAACTGGCCTGATGCAGAACGTCTTGGATGGCGACCTCCAGATGGGCCTGTAGGTGGCTGCTTTTCTGGTGTCGGGGGGCGAGGCAGGTCTCCAGATCGTGCATTTTGGTGGGGTGGCATCGGGGCATTTCCCATGCGATTGCCTCGGCCGTTTCTATCACGGGGTCCAGACGGGATATCCTGAGCAGGCGCTGAAAGACGACCGAAATTGGGATCTGGCTGTGGTCTGGTTACAGCGTTCAACCGGCCATGGTCAGGATCAACAGATCTAAGCGGAGGTTGATTTTGCTGGTAGGCAGGCCTGTCGTGTGGACCGCCACGCTCTCTATCCATGGGTCTATCACTTCGCGGACCTGCTGGTGGCTGTTGCGCATCTTCCACACGTCCACGAGAAGAATTATAAGACTCTGGAACGTTTCGTGATTGCCGGTCGTCACGTCGGGCATCCGAGAGGTCTTTATCGGCGCCATGTCTCCGGGGTGACTGGGGTCTTGAAGAAACTCTATCTCTCGGTTCTTCCCGACCTCGACGAGGTGAGTTTGATCGAGAAGAGTTCTTGTCAGCAGAAATGAGAGCAGCACGCTCTGGATTGATGATCTCTTGTCGTTCCGGGTTGGCTGTTGGCAGCTTCTCAGATGAGGCGGCAGGCGCACGGTCTGATAATTGTCCAGAAGGCCTAGGAGGAGGCATTTCACGGGATAAACGACCGCTGTCAACTTCTCTTTCTCTTGCAGTGCGTTCGATCTTGTCGCGAGCTGAGTCAGCTGTCCATCGAGGCGGTGGGTCAGGTCGAATTCGCTCACGGTCTGGACCGGGCGCTCTGTCCGAGGATCGTCCAAACTCTCTTGATGCAGGTTCTGGGGCACGTCTGTCGGCGCCGGGGAAGTCGCGAGGTCTGTCTCCAGGTCTCTCGATAGGTCGGTCTCCAGGTCTACCGCTCGGGCGATCTAGTCTGGGATCTTGTAGGCGGGAGTCTCGACCATCTCTTCGATCCCCATGACGAGAGTGTCTGTCGAGGAGATCACGACTGGGGAATGGTGCATCCGGACGACTTGGTAGATTAGGACTTCCTCTGTCAAGTACCGATGTCGAAGGAGTGTTTCTGCCTATGTCCGGGCGAGATGGAACATTTGCTGGTGTTGACTGCAACGCTTTAGCTGCCTTGAAACGATCTCGCTCAGCAAGCACATCGATCTTCTTAGACTCCAAAGCTGCAGATGGGGGAAGGCGCTTCGTATCTCGTGCATTTTCTGTCGAATCACTGGACTTCGTAACACCTCGGGAAGTCTTCGCATCGTCAACTTCGCCGTCCTCGACCTCCGCAGGAACCGAAGTCCTGGGGGTCGAAACACCTTGAGAGCTGCTGCATGTTAGTAATGATACTAGTGTGGGAATGTTGGACGAACCTGGCTCGAGAACCGGGCTTGAATTCTGGAGCAGTAGGCTTCAGAAGGGATTTCGCAGCTGCTTTTCCGCTGTCTTGACTCGCATTTGCCGAATCGTTCTGGGAAAAGGTTAGCCAAGTATTGGAACTCATACGGTTGTTGAACTTACTGCCGCGTGAGCCATTGATCCAACGTGACCAAACGCCTGCACCATTACCCATTTAGGTTCTCTTTTTTTCAATTGAACCAATACTGCATTGCCGGTGAGTGATAAATCTTCGCGTGTTCCCTTTTCTCTGCTCGCAATAACCTCTAGTTGCTCCAAAATCTTGGTGCCATGGAAGTTAATGGCCGGAAATACCTCAACAACGGATTTCAAAACTGTGATCGCATTCCGAATATGCATCCACTCAATTCCTGCCAGACAATCCCGGATAGCCGTATTCAACGCTGTATGCCAGCGGAGAAGGAGACTTTTGAAGCCGTTATCACCAGCGTGTGCAACCAACCCCTTTGGCTTGCCTTTATCGTCAAGAGCCTTCGCGAAACCAGGGAGATTTCCGCCGGCACCCCAGGCCTCCTTCTCAAACACAGCTGAATCCGCGTGCCAACGTGATAGATCCATGAGCACGAGTCTAAGGAATCGTCCTAAATTTTCAGCTTCACGAACAGTGCATGCGAATATGATGGCACGAAGGCGATTGGGCCGGAAAATTTGACTGTATAGTGCCAAAGTTCGGAAGTATGGAACACCATTCTCGTGCAGAAATTTGACCATCTTGAAACAGTATTCGGAATCGCTTGGCGACAACAAGAGCCGGGGCAGAAGACATTTCTCGAGGAATGCTTCCATAGCAAAGTTTGGATTGAGAGTTTTGCTAAACCACAGCGACTTGGTCTTGAGCAGGCGTGTTTTCTTCTGGCTGAAATTATTGAGTGCTTCTTTGAATTCCGCAATCAATTTATCCCGAGTCGAGGAAAGGTTCTTCTTCTTCACTTCCTTGGCAGCGACTCCTGCCCTACTCATATCTGTTCTGTCCTTTGCCACTTCCGAGATTTCTACAACCAGCCGAGAGATTTCGCTCTCATAGCTGCTGTTCGGGATAGCCAGATCGCCTAGTGCGGACGCCCAGAAGGTGACATAGAGTTCGGGACTCAATGATCTAAAGGATCCCTCTGGCAGAACAGTCTGCACGGTCTCAATTATTGGTTCGAGGATCTTGTGGAACGGATCGCTGTTGGGTGATGGTGGGGTCTCCTCCTTCAGATCCGCCATTTGTACATCTTCTTCCAGAGTTCCATTGACAAGGCTCGATGTGTCAGCCTCCCCGCCATCAGCGCTCAGTGGCTTTACATCTGCCATGCTAATGTCCCCTTCCGTATCGGCCAAGGTAGTAGGGGTGACTGGCACATCGGGAAGGGTATTGGTTGTCCCATTCAAAATCGGAGAAGCGGCATTCGACCTACGATAGGCAAGACTTGGTCGTCCAATGAAGAATGCAAGTCCAGGATCCAGACCAAAATCCTTGAGCAATTCCGGAATTTCAGGGACTTGTCGATCAAATTCCTCAACTGAGAGGTTACTGCGAAGGAGCTCGAGATATTGTGAGAGCGCCTCTTGCGTGTCGTCCATCATCGTTGCCAGTAGCTTGATATGTGCATCAGCATCAGAGATCTTGTAGATCGCAGCTTGTCGGTGTTGTGCAATAGATATGAGCAGCTCCCCAGAGAGATTTGACTCCGTGAGAGCCCTCATCAGTCGTTGTGAGGTTTTTGTAGATTCAAAACGCTTGTCGTACAAAGTGATGAGGGTATGCTTTCTCAGCTCTTCGCCACCTGTCATGGCATGGATTTGAGCGTTCGTGAAGTCGGTGTCAGGAACTATGCCAGACATTTGGGCAATGAGTTCCTTCAAAATGACGAGATCGGTAGAGTTGCCGCGATACAATTGATCGGCAACGTATCGGAGGATAGGTGAGAGGTTCAAGATTGAGTACCGTTTATAGACTTTGCCTGAGAATCTCGACAAAGCTAATAGCCATCGGCTGGGAAGCAAGGCAAATTCGGCGTTCGTTCGATTTCTGTCTTTGCCGCCAAGAGCACTCATGAGTGACCACACCAGAACATCATAACCCAGACTGGTAAAGTGCTTTGCACACTCGACCACTACTTCGGTCAAGTTATTGTATGACTCAATCTGGCTCAAAGCAATGCCAAAAACAATTCCTGGAGAAGAGTAGGCAATCTTTGCCAGTGCTCGTGCCATTGGTGACACATTTATCTTGCTGATACGCTTCATGGTGCTCAAAGTCTCAAGCTTTGTTCGTGCAAATGCCGCCTTTATTGCAGGCACACGCGAGATCTGGCCCTCGAACCATTCGGCGTATATAGAGTATCTGACTGCAACCGGGAAGAGCTTCAGTATACCCCAGATCTCGCTAACCACTGCGGAGTTGGCATTAGTCAAACTAAGAGCTGGAACGAGAAGTCTTTTCAGCAGGTCCTGCCATCTGTCATAATTATCTTTTGAGCGGTCCGTCCTCAGACTGTCAATACCGATTCTTGCGATCTTTGATAGTAAATTAGCGTCTTTGCCAATGTTGACCCCGGACAGGTTGAGGAGAGTGCTGCAGAGAGTGAAGAGATCATCGACATTTCGGCAAACAGGTACGTCATCAGCCCATTCGTCCCAGTAAAATCGATACGATGTGCTATCGTTGGTGTCATGCTTGTCAGGGAATGGCCACCGAAGTTGCTTCTTGACAGGTAGCTGTGCGAGGCGTACTTGTCCCTTCGGCACTCCACTTTGGTCTGCTTCAGCAACCCTTTTCGTTGGACACTCCACGTCTTCAGGGTTTGCAGCCACCGGTTTCACATCATCGTACAGATCTTTGATAGAGTGGTGCAAGATGCGATTGATGAGGGGAATGAGCTCAGGATATGCCTCCGGAAGCCAGGGGAAGCGACCAAGCATGAACAGTGATTCGGGAATTGCACCGATAGTCAAAAGACAAACAAGAAGTTGGACTTTCTGATCTTGTGGTTCTTTTGCCTTATCCTTTTCCTGTGGTTCGGTGGTTGGTTTAGCAGCAGGGTCGGATTTGGAGGAGGCGGCTTCTCTCGTTCTACCGCCGTTCTTTGGATCATCATCCGTTAGCGCACCGGCCATGGTTAGCGCATTTGTTGCTCCACCACCAGGTCGGCTCAGCTTTTCCTTCTCGGCGAGCTCTTGTTGTCTCGTTTCCCTCACAGCTGGCATATCTTCGTCCAGCGGCCACAGGTGAGGATACAGATCTCGCAATGAGATAAATCCGATCTTGATCAGCAGAGCCGTGAGGTAGATTAGATTTGCGGGTAATGTATCCTCGTCGTCGCGAGCTTCGGAGGTGTAGAAGCGTAATTTGAAGCCCAGGAGTTGAGCTGCAACGCGGTTGCCAGATGGTGGAAGTGTTCCAGTGTGTTTGATCCATTCCGAATCGGCATCAAACTCAGTATCGCCCGAGGCACTGCTGTCCAAACACTGCTGCTTTGTTTCGTCATCAACTGCACGCCGTCCGCCGACCTCGAAAAATGCATCCAATCCGACCACGCGGGCCCGGTCCCAAAACAAAATGTCACGGGCCATTCGCTGCTGCTTAGAGATCTCTTCTTCTTCAGGAGTCGTAGTCCATCCTTGGGAGCTCGGTAGTGCCCAATTTGGAAGCCCACTATGTCTATCTCCGTCGATTTCGCCATGTCGAGGCCACCATGAGCTAACGCGCAGAAGCTTGATAAAGAACCGGAAGTGTTTGATCAAAACAGCAGCAAAGACGTCCAATGTGATATCAAGTACGCGTCCCACATCCAAGTCGAACGTCCCAATCAAGCCTTTGACTCTCTCAAATGCCTCCTCGACCACCTCGCCTGATGGAGGCTCGCTTCCACTTGTTGTGAACAGCTCCGTAACAAGTTTCGAATACCCTTCTGTCTCTTCTCGTAACAAGTTATAGTTCCCTTGTCGATACAACTGGTTGGTAGCCTTTCGAACAGCCATGCGCTTGAATGTGTCCTTGGTAAGTCCGAGAGCTTCTAGGGCGTCATTGTCGAAATTGAGGCGCATCAGGTCAGGCGATATTTCCGTCGCAATTACAAAGGGTGTCAAGGCCGGTGTTTTCGTACCGTCTTCTAGCATCATCGATAGGATGTCGAGGAATAAGACGGGCGCATTGAAGACCCGTGTTGTTTCATCTGAGGAGGTGAAATCAAGTTCCAGGATACTCTTCACGCAATTACCAGCGACCGTCGGGTCCATACGTCCGTCCACAGTCGCGCGAATGAGCTCTTGAAAGATGGAAGATAAATCCGTCGTATCTTCATCTTGAATAGCTTGTCTCCCTGCGCTTGTAACTTCTTGCCGGCTAGTATCCCAGGCCGCAAGTCGCTCTTCGGTCAGAAAGGTGTAGTCGAACGGGGCCGGATCAGGTCTGGGGAAAGTAGTAGGGGTTTCGGTAGTGGGTGTCGAGGTCTGCGTAGCTGTTGGAGTTGGAGCCGCGCTGACGGGTCGAGGAGGGGGTGGAGACATGGGACCGGGCGTCGGTGTCGATCTGCCAGCGCCAGCGATATTGAGCTTGTTCGAGAAATCGCGAGGATCGTTCCTTCGGCCTCCTCTTCCCCCGCCTGTACCTCCTTGCCCTCCACGACTCGATCGTCTGCCTCCATCGCGCATCTCTGATCCTCTATCATGCTGAGCTAGATTTGTACCCTGCGGGCGGTGCGGCGACGGTCGGCCTTCCCCTGAATCAACTGACGACCTTTCTGGTCTCTTTCTCTTCCCAGGGGGCGCCATCTCCACCTCTGTCTTGGCTTTGCGATCAATCTCTGTACATGTGTAGTGTTGAGCTGTAGTAGGCTGGGAGCTGGCCTGCAATGATGTAAGTAGATGGGGTAGAAAGAATTAACAGGAAGGAAGTTGCGCGGTGCGATGTGGTATGATGGGTATCATCAAGGGCGAGTCGAGATCTCCAGTGGAAGAAGGAAATAATGTCGAGATCGCGATGTTGGAGAACTGAATGAGCGTGCCGGACAGTACGATGCGGCTCTGAATGAATTTACTGTACAAAGGCAGCTTTGAGGTCGCGTTGAATCTGGCTTTAGCGTGCACGGACCTGAAGCCTCTCCAGCCACACTCACCAGCCACACCCTGCACGGGGAAAGGAAGAGGAACATATTGTGGTAAAATATTCTAGTGCTATCAAGGTAGATTAGTATCATCCTGCATTATTTCCACTTCTCAATAAAGCTTCCAAATCACCTAACACTAGTCCCTTGACTTCGCGGGATATTCGATGAACAGACAGAACTCGCCGCCCCGATTCCAGATGCCAGACTGCGCAAAATTAACTGTCCTCGGGTTCATGATGCTTTCATACTGCACTTCCAGCAGGTCAGTCGCCATATGCTGGAATCTGAACAATACGCTACTAGATATCATGGCTCCTAGGAAAGAAGAAATGGTCGCTGAAGATGGCTTAGGTGCACTTACGAATATCAACACGTTTAGAGAGGCAGAAGTTGAAGACATCACAGCCTAGTGATGTTTCTCTAAGTATCCCTTAAAGCAGAGACATTGAATTCTGGTTTCAGTACAATATACTTAAACAATCATGTTCCTGCAGATACCTGCTATATTTCTCCGAACTCTCATGTAGCTCTCTGCCAGTTATACTAGCACCTAGCTATAAGAAATAACACGATTATCTCAGTTGTTTCTCATGCTCCATGACTCACTACATTTCTCACGGCAAGTGTCAAGGAAGCAATGCCGATAGTATTGCCTGAAGCGCTCTTGAGATTGAGCGCACGAGCGGCTCCCGAAATGCGGGGTTCGCTTAACTAAGAAGCCCCTTATTTACTAAGGTACCCCGCTGAGCAGAAGATCCACGACGTCCCTGGGACCACTAGATAAGTTCTCTTCCACACTTTCATGCTCTGAAGCCGAGCTTGATTCGACGCGTCTTCGTAGTGTATGTTATTCATGACATCTGTTCGGCCTCTGTGTGGCTCCTAGCTCTAGTAGTCTGCTATCCCAAGTATCTTGATGTCGTTTGTTCCTCATTGACTGGTTGAGCTTCTGTACTATGTATCTGCCGTTCTCTGATAGCCCTCTTCGAGTAAATGCTCTCATCCGTGGCTCCCGCTTTAAAGATCATAGGCTCATAACCCCGCATTGAGAAGGATTGTAGTCAATTTAGTACCGGAGCCTTGAAGTATAAAAAATGCCTGTCACTCTATCTGACCTGCCTGAAAGGAAAGCTACAGAAATCCCTCTCTCATATAATACATCGTCCTGTTATTAACTAGAAAAGTCATCCAAAATGGCAAGCAATGGCGAAGATGTAAACACTTCAGACCTCCACCCTAACGGCGCAACCCTTAAAATGCCTACCCGTAACACCAACGGCACCTCTCGCCAACCTGGCGACCCAATGATCCTCCCACCCGGAATATCCTCTTCTCAATTCCACTACTTCATCGCCCGCGCAACCTCCGTCGTCGGCCCTAAGAACGTCGAAGTCATCCTCCCAGACAACAGTCTCAACGACGGTTCATACGAGAATCCCTGCCATGGCCACGACATGCATGCGATCTTCGACCGTGACTACTTCGTCGCCAGCGCTGTAGTCTCACCTCGCTCCGTACCGGAAGTCCAGGAGATGATGAGATTGTGCACGGAGACGGGAGTGCCGGTTTGGCCGTATAGTATTGGACGGAATACGGGGTATGGAGGGGCGACACCAATGGTGCCGGGAGTGTGGGGTTGAACCTGGGGAAGAATATGAATAGGGTGTTGAATGTTGATACAGAGGATGCCTGGGCGTTGGTGGAGCCTGGGGTAACGTTTTTGGGACTGCATGAGTATTTGGAGAAGAATGGGTTGAGGGAGAAGGTTTGGTTGGATGTGAATTTCAACTCCGATGCTGTTCATGGTTCGCCTCAAACTTCAAATGGCGCTGAGACTTGCAGGTTCCTGATATAGGAGGAGGCTCTATCATTGGCAATGCTGCTGAAAGAGGAGTCGGTTACACGCCATACGGTGTAAGTACTCCTAATCACGTCAAACTCGAGTCTCAGCTCACCTGAATAGGACCATTGGATGATGCACTGCGGTCTCGAGGTCGTCCTCCCCAATGGCGAAATCGTCCGCACCGGCATGGGGGCTCCCTCTGACCCAACGGTCTCCAAAGACCCTAACCTCCCACCTCACGACCAGCCTGGTAACCGAGCCTGGCATCTGTTCAACTACGGCTTTGGTCCCTACAATGACGGGATCTTCACGCAATCCTCCCTAGGCATTATAGTCAAGATGGGAATCTGACTCATGCCTAACCCAGGGGGCTACCAAGCATACATGATAACCTTGCCACGAGACAGCGATCTTGCTGCAGCAATTGAGATCATTCGCCCTCTCCGTATCCAGATGGTTCTACAGAATGTCCCTACACTTCGACATATCGTCCTCGATGCAGCAGTACACAACCCGAAATCTCATTACACGAAAGACATCGATCGGCCTCTCAACGACGAAGAACTTGTCGCCATAGCAGCACAGCTCAAACTGGGCAGGTGGAACTTCTACGGCGCGTTATACGGACCTGAACCAGTTCGAAACGTGCTATGGACTGTGATCAAGCAAGCATTCTCCAGTATCGAAGACGCGAAGTTTTATTTCCCTGAAGATAGGACGGAGGAGAATAGTATTCTACGAACTAGAGCCAAAACGTTGCAGGGTATTCCGACGTTGGAGGAGTTGCGGTGGGTGAATTGGTTGCCGAACGGCGCGCATCTATTTTTCAGTCCTATTGCGAAGATAAGTGGGCAGGATGCGACGCTACAGTATCAGGTTACGAGTAAGAGATGTAAGGAAGCGGGGTTGGATTTCATAGGCACTTTTGTTGTTGGGATGAGGGAGATGCATCACAGTGAGTCCTTGCCCTCCTCCTTGATCGATTCGATTTCTTTTCGCATCGTTTCAAATATCATGAAAATAGATGTGCAATATGCTAAACTTCCATCAGTCGTCTGTATAGTCTTCAACCGTGAAGATCCCTCGAGCAAAAAGAAAGCGCACTGGTTAATCAAAACACTCATCCAAGACGCATCTGCCCACGGTTGGGGCGAGTACCGCACGCATCTGGCTGTCATGGACCAGATTGCCGAGACCTACAATTTCAATGATGGGGCATTAATGAAGCTTAATGAGACGATTAAGAATGCTATGGATCCGAAGGGTGTGCTTGCGCCGGGGAAGAATGGCATTTGGCCGAAGAGTTATGATAGGGAGAGCTGGAGGTTAGACAACAAGTAGAGGTTCGGAGGTAGAGAGAATGAGAAGCTTTGGAGAGTCTGATGTTTGACGGTTCGAAGGGGATTCTGGATTTTGTATTGCTATCGTATCTGGGGCAGTGTTGAATGGGTCTGCCAATTGCATGTTCTGTTTTGCTTACAAGAATGTAAGCGAGCTCCTTGTGGAGAGGGCTAGCGTCCTTCATGCCCCGTCCCCAACAGCAACATCATCTAATTACAACTTGGCCCAAGCACTACACCCAGAGAGGATCTACTAGTGAATTATGAATTATGTTGGAACGTCTTGCAGCCCGAGGAGTCCCTTTACTGGAGACTCTCCATATTCACCACCACATTCCCGAACGGCAAATATCAATATGCCAAGGCCCAGCCTGAAAAGTAATATAAACAGTCAACATCACCCCCTACAGTTTCTCTCTTCGAAGATCTGGATCTTTATGCTGTCCAACATCACGGAGATGCTTGGCGCTGGCCACCGCTGCGAAGGTCAAAGCGGGCTGCCTGTAATACATTCTTGTAGAAACATTGTGGTAAAAATCAGGATCTATATCTTAGTTAAGTGCGCAAATCAAACTTAAAATCACTGAGGTAGGTCAAAGAAGTGACAGCAGACATGTAGTTGACAGTAGATTTACTTTTCGTGAAGTTGTGCTCAACAAGGCTTGTAGTTAAGAGCCCATAAAGGAGCTTCAGTCCTCCTAGTTTCGGACTTGAAGTCTCACGTCGCGAATGTATTCTGAATCACGTAGACGGTCGCTTCGACTCCAACGGCCCACCTTCCACTCGTCATTTGAAAATGCCTTTCGATTTCTTTGTGTCCTACTCTTCGATACATTCCTCGTTCATTTATACCACCAGGGCCACCCATTGAGTGAGTGAATATTTTAGATTCACTTGTGGAATTTGTCAATTAAATATGCTAACATGCTAGTATAGAGCTACCCAAAGAAGCAAGTGTCATTACTTGCTGGGTGACGACCTCCACGGAGCAAAGTCGGTGAAGTATGGTAAAGTAAACAAACGTGGCCCGCAGGTCCAGATTCTTGAAATCCCGACTTTTGGCTCATAGCTTCGCTTGTTGGGTTGTTTTCTGCATTGATTTTGGAATGTACGAATTTTTCGAAGCGAAGATCAAATTTTCTTCAAGTTGAAAGTTCATTTTTCTTCAGTGTTGGCAGTAGTGGAAGCTGTAAATTGGGATTCAAAGTCATTCATTTACCTCCTTCTCGGGAGACAAGTAGAAGAAAATCGTGGAATAGACCAATTTCCTACCAAGCGGCTCTTGAAGCGCTTTGCTAACTCGTATTTACCCCAAGAACCGAAGACCAATCTTCCGCCTTGATAAACTCCTCCGCAGTCGAAACCGAAAAATCCACACCAAGCTAGGTCGGAAATCAGTAAATCTCTTCACACAGTACCAATGTTGAAAACTGACATCTTTCGGACTCACCACACTTTTATCCCCACCATCATATCCAAAATCCGACGTGTACCCGAACATATCCGCCAGCTCCTCACCAATGCCTCCAGGCATAGCATTCTCTATAACCTTGCGATCCATCCGGACAAAAGTACACTTGACGCCGTGGATACGACCCCACAGGAGGACCCATTCGTTCCAGCTCATTAGGGAGCCGAAGGCGAGGAGGTTCTTGCCGGGTGGGAATTGTACGAGGGCTTTGGTGCATGTGCCTGGTGAGGTGGGTTAGTGGTTTTTTAAAAGGGGGTGAGAGGGGCACAAACCGGTGTCATGCCGGGCATCGACCATGGGCACAGGCGCATCACCATCCATGGGCATACTGAGTATGTAGGAGCCATTAGATTGCTGAAGGGGCAACTGTGATCGGCTCGTGACATCGGTAGCGCCAAGGAAGAATACGTAGAATCAACAACCAGAACACAAATCCAAGCAGCTCTCAATCTCCGCGCCCCTAAAAGCACAAAGTATTTAACTCACCTTAGCAGGCATACTCAGTGGACTAGAATTCCAATTCGTCATATACAGCCCAACCTGCAACAACGAAGTCTTCCTCTCCAACTCCGGATACCTCTCCCTCAAATACTCCACCGCCTCCCACTTCGCATCAAAATGATAATTATGCGTACACCTCCCCCCACTCAACTTCCTCGTCGGACTCAACATCGACAGCACGAATCGCTCCAACGTATCTACCGTCGCGTTCGCGGCTTCCACAATGTTACGACCTTGCTGGACTTCGACGTCATAGCCTTCGACGTTGATGAGACGACCGGATTTCTGAGTTGCGGCTTGGACGGAGGGGTCGTTGAGGTTACCCCAGAAGTCGGTGACGCCAAAGATAATGGTTGAGCCGGCGAAGGCGTTGGTTAGTGAGGAGGCGTCGTTGAGGTCACCGGCGATGAGGTGCACGCCTTTATCGGACCAGGTTATGTTGGTTTGTTGGGGTTACGGGTGATACCACGGACGTGCCAGCCTGGCTCTCTGAGAAAAATTTCGGCGACGGAGGAGCCCTGATCTGTTCAGTATTATGTGGTTTGATGGATTTGAAATGATCATGGACGAGAGATTTGTTAGGTCGAATAGGCTTACCTGTTTTCCGGTCACCCTCACGATAGTGATGATTTTCTGAGCCATGTTGAAGCCGAAATGTATGTGATTTAAGTATTTCAAGTTAATATAGTCATGACAGGCAGGCGGCTCGAAAATTGCTTAGATATGTCTATTGTGAGGATGTATCCACAGAAGATAATCGATAGAACTACTGGAAAAGCCAACACTAGGTGTGAACTTTCTGGAAATGATTGTATATGTCAGGCACCAAAGTATTATACAGCCCCACACTTTGAGTTCCCTTGATTTCAAAGCTGATAATGTGAATTGTCGTTTTACCGAAGCAAAACGCCAACGTAGTCCCAAAAACACCTTCGGCAACGGTACATCTATCAAAACACGCCACAAGCCACAATTGTTATCATATTTTACCCTGCCAAGCTCTCGGCGCTTACTTATGTAACGGCACGCTATGGCTTCTTGATCGCTGGTCATTTCCCACCAGGTGTTTATAAGTGTTGGGATCTCGCACAAGACGGAACACCGAGAATGTATGTACTTTCATCGAGAAAGGCCAGGCATAGGAGGCTAGTGAGAATGTGATGGGATTAGCAAGTCAAAAGTAAAAGGGTTGGAGAAATCGGAGTAGGTAATCATACCGATTTCTGAAGCCGGGACAACAATTGCACCGCACCCGACAAATGGATTTGCTCATTCGATCAGAGTCCATGTACTCAAATGCAGGAGAACCCCACCCCTGGCAAGACAATGATTGCTGCACTGTTGATTCTGCTTGTATCATTGATTCCACTACTTCGTATCCTATGTAATATCTATTATTAGACCCTCAAATGTCAAAGTTATCCTTTCTTAGATAACATTCCTTACATCAGGTTATGCAAGAACCCCCGTTGTAGCTATAATGTGCACGCCATTGTTGACCGTGAATACTTCGTCACTAGCGCAGTGATCTCGCCCCGATTCTGGCCCCGATCTGTGCCTGAAGTCCAAATGGTCATAGCATGATGAATTTCAAAGTAGAAAGCCTTGCCTACTTATCCATGCATACTCGGATCATCTAGCTTGCTCATTCTCTCGTCCGCCTTCAGGCTGCCTTCCATGCCCTCACTGATCTGACCTGCTCATAATCGTCTAGATCTCTCAACACCTGATTCATGTGCTGATATGCTCTAGTCCAGCACTTGAATATGATAGATCCAAAACGAATGCCCTCTGTACGCGGCAGGTCTTCAGTTCTTGGCCACTTGGGGCTTTTGCCGCCGCATTCAGTCTGGTCGGCAATGACATCCCCCTCGGAGTATCCATCTGGGCCTTCATCACCTCCGTCACTTCCACTTTCGTCGTCATCATTCGTAATTTTAATCTCATCTTCAACGAAGTCAATGCGTGGCTGCTTGGGGTCGCAGAGATTTATTCTGGTAGAGATCTCATACACGACTGAGCCGAATTGAGCTATATCTGTTTTGACAGATGCACCATTGTCATTGACTGCCGCTACATCCAGATGTGGTGGAATAATAGTCGACTCGCCAAAGTCGCACAACCTCAAGGAGAAGTCGTCGGCAAGGAGGCAATTTCTGCTGCCAATATCTGCAAGGATAACGTTCCTGTCATGACAAAATGCCACGGCAGCAGCTAGGCTGCGAATCCACGTGATCTGAAGCTTCTCATCAGGCTCTTTCTTTGAGAGATATTCTTGCAAAGTGCCATTCTTCATATAGGGCATGGAGATGACTGGGTTATAGTGCTCCTCGTCATCATGCATGGGAAGCTGATAGGAGGCCGCAATGATGCCTTCGTGGTGCCCCAAATGCTCGTAGACTTGCATCTCGGTCTTGATCTTTCTGCAAGAGACTTCCATCAACCATTCAAGTTCACGGCGTCGAGCCTGAGTCACGTTCTTGGTATCGTACTGCCGTGGCATCTTCAGAGCCCTTTCTCCGCTTTGTACAACTTCTCCGGTAATACCAACTCCTAGAAACCGTCTCTGGGGATTTGCATCATTAGGTGCTGTCAAGTCCTGCGACATTTAGGCAGGAGTTGTGCTGATAATTTGGATCGTAAATGAAAGCGTCCGTGATGTATTTTTGAATGATGTTGTCAGCATTCATGAGGTTACATTAATTCTCCTTCCAAGCGAGGGAGCCTCAAGTAGGGTGTTGTGCCCCGGAGTTTGGCCGACAGAAGATTTCACTGGCTAGAACGCCCACTGTCAATGCACCTTTGGCTGGCTTTAGGCACGGTAAGTTACCTGCCCACTGGGGCATTTGAGAAACCATGTCACAGACGGCTATATGACGCAAGCAACAACAAACACCAAAATGTGTACTCGTTAATGAGTGATGAACCATCTCCACATCCTCCATTGGTCTCAAAGAATTATGCATAACCCTTGGGTGAAATCTACGAAGTTCTTTGAGGGAGCTTAGAACCGCGTGCAACTAGTGAGATACGACAGCGCGTCTGCTGTCCGCCTTACTTCGTCCCGAACTAGATTTGCTCCCTCCTTTATCCTTTTTGTTTCCACCGTCATCCTTGCCATCGCTTCCTTTCCCCTTTCCTGCGCATGTTGGACAGTTGTATTTTCGATTCGTATACGAAGCCGGCCAAACTTCTTCGTAGCCTGTGCAAGGGTCGACGCCCGGCGTAGGACAATACTCATAGCGATCTTCCGTCGAAGTAGTGTGGCCACACTTCCAAGTAACTACTGTGGAATTGACGTGCCAACACATTCTCTAGATCTGAAACATTCATTAGACGGTAATGCTTCCTATTGTATGTGATCCAACGGTGCTCACCAGTTAAGATAATGACTTCGGAAGGTCTTCGAATGAATGCTCAATATTATTGAGTAAAACTGAAGAGTTCGCCCCCAGGCAGAAAAGATTGCCACCTAAAAATGAAGGCCCAAGTACTTCAATGAGCAGTTCAACGTTTGTACGAGTAATAAATGGAAGGTTAACTTTGTGTTTCCAATTGTCTAGCCATCGCCATCAACCTTATATGGCCGAATCGCCAGGTAGTCACACCACTCTCATGACTCCTAGGTCAGACACAGCTTCGTCAACGTCCATCATATGAATCTTTGCCCCATAGAAGGTGCTCCCTTTCCCTACTTATGCATATTGTTGCCTAGACAGTGCGGTCTTTATCACCAATAGTTCTTTCGAGGGATTTCGAAAATTGCCTGGTAACCAGGCAATGAATTGAGGCAAAATATCCATAATCGAATCGGATGCACCACATATTTGCCGCTCTCCAATTTTGCAGAAACGGTGCGTCCCACCAAAAAGTGCAAACGCCGGGAGATAACGCATCCATCCCCAAATCGCGAGTGATGCAAACATACCTGACGTGCCTGGAAAGGTTCAAAATACGGGATACACCCCCCCCTCATGTTCCAACGGAGACTACGCAGTTGTACGGATTTGATTCGCAGTCGTTTCTTGCAGCCTGAAGGTACTTACAGGCCTAGAGCGCATCTGCTGGGGTCCACGCAGTGATCAATGCCTCAAGGCAACAGCTCCCAAGAACTCGCTGCGAATAGGAACGGGGTCGAGGCCAATGGGCTGTGACGTGAACCAGTAAGATTTGCGTTCAGGGAAAGGATGCAAACTGTGTGAAAAGCAGACGAATGACCCAGCACTTTATGTCCTTTCTGGCGCTTTATCCGGAGACAGCTTCGATGACGACAGGTCACATTCACCGCATCTGCAAAAGGCCGCAGCAGGAGCAGGGGCTTAATGGAGAGGAGGGAGATCGTCAAAGGTGTCGATTAGGCTTTCTAAGAAAGAACTGCTGGTGCGGAATGTGTCAGTTGTTTGTGACTGCTGCGCCCGTCCCTCAGGCTGATAGTGCAAAAGCACGTTTTGGTCTCATTTGGTTACAATCATGTAGTCTTGGCATAATAGTTCAGTCACAATATTGCGACTAGTGTTTAAAGAAGCCTTGCTCTGGAACGACAGGTTGCACCGTATGCGTATGGAGAGGAGAGATGAGTACTGAAGGTGTTTGGGCGAGGGGTTGTACGATGGACTTGACGAACAGATGGCGACATAAGACCTCAACGAACCGGCAGATTCATCTTGGTGAAGGGATACGGTATTGCTGTACTTGTCGTCGCAACATGTCTCGAAAAAGACCCCACATGGATATCGCCAGCAGTCCTCTTCGAAGCAATCATAGATGAATACTTGCCATGTTACGATAGAATAAATAACGCAGCCAAGGCAGAATAAATCGACTCGTGATAAAGGAGCGTCCGCGTAAATTGCTTCCATATCAGCATCCATTGAAGATATGCGCCATTTTCAAGATCGATGATCTTCAAACAATCTTTGTCCACTGTTTGACAGTGATTGTGGGTGGGCAGCATTTGCCGCAATCGAAGAAGATTGGGCTTTTCAGGGTAAGTGGTAGCTGACCTGTTGTTTCTGAATGTCGATTGACAGATTATCGCTTTGGGAGAACTCCCCTCTTTATACGCGTGGAAGCCTCATCCCCAGAAGCATGCGTGCACCACACGCAGACGTACAGGACGGAACAGTGCAGCCTCGCATGCGTCCGTGGATCGCAGGTGCAAATGAAATGAGACGAAGTCGGTTGACTTCATGGCTGAACGGACCAGATCAACTTGGGGTGCGCTGTGGTCCGAGTCGTCGAGACTGGACCCAGCTCGCTGACGATAACGAAAGACACATCACTGCAAACATTGAACGGTAAGTGGAATATGGTATATACTCAGCCATACGAAAGGCAAACACAACAGCTTCTGAACCCATCCACACGCGTTTCACTCACCTGACCCTGTCACAAACAGTCACAAACGGACCCGCCACCCCACCCAGCCAAAAGCTCCCCGTCTTCACATCATGCACCGCAACCGTCGCGCCAGGTAAGAACTTCCCCTCAATATCCTCCAGCACCTTCTCCACCTTCCACTCCCTTTCTCCATTCACTACATCAACCCTCCTAATCCTCAACACCGTACTCGGAATTTCTCTCCTCTTCTCCTTCTCCACAATCGGTCCCTCGAGATTAGCAACCAGAGCCAACACGTCCGGGAAGCAGGCTGCGAAGATATCGCCGTTGGAGTCGATGCTGAGGTTATCGACGGGAATACCAAGGGGGATGTCAGGTCCGCGGGTGAGTGTGCCGTTGGATTTTGGGGAGGGGGTGTAGGTTGATATGAAGCCTTTGGCGGAATTTGCGACGTAGATTGTGTTGTTGTTTTTGGTGTTGGGTGGAGAGAAGGCGCCTGTGATGCCGTTGGCGAATTTGAAGCCTTCTGTGAAAGCGTGGTGGCAGTCACCGGAGAGAGTGCAGTGAGTGAGACTACCGCCGCCAAAAATCATTTCTAAGAAGCGGAACTGTGGAAGTTGTGTCAGTGATTGAATAAAATCTCCTATAGGGGCATTTTGTGCGATTGGGAAAAGTAGGCATACCTTTCCAGTCTTCGAATCATGGTCATTGGTGATATATACCCCTCCATTCCCATCCGCCAACAGCCCATTCGGCGTCGACACCGTCTCATGGAATATCGTCTTTACATGTTCTAGCATCTTGCTTCCCCTCGTATGCTCGAACACCTCAATAGTAGAATTCGCTCCTAGATTCTTACCATCTAGGAGATTACCATTCGGATCGACTGGCGGTCGATGATTGTTCATCCAGAAGCGAAGACGTGTTGGTGAGAGGACTTCTATTTCAATGCCATGGACATCAATTTCGTTGCCACCAGTTGCAGAAACATAGTTGCCTGTTATTTCTAACTTGTGGAGACCGTAAAGACCATCTGGACCGGGTTCGTCGATGTTGAGGACGGACACGTGATCGTTGAAGTCTCGTGCCGAGAGGTTGTATTTATCTCCCCTTTTTCAAGATGTCAGTAGCGAGAACTTTAAATTAAGACAAAAATGGAATTGGGAGTCGCATTACCCAGGACTCCAGCCCCTCCTACTCGCAAGAGACGAACATGCAGCGAATAACGTCCTTCCCTCTTCATCTAGCACCATGTCCTCGCATGAGTCGAGAAGTGGGTGTTCAAGCCTGCGGCATTGGTACGGGAATTCTTCGATCTTTTGATGGGTTCGACCAATTCCAAATGTGATGAAGAGAGTATCTCGGAGTACCACCTGCCAGAGAATTGCTAGACATACGACGGTGCCTGGAAGGAAGATGAGCGTCAATTTGCCCATGTTTGGGATGGGGTGGATTAATGGTCGAGAGAAGGATACATTGGACATCTGAGGAAAGTTTTGAACAGGAGCTGCTGCATATATAAGGTAGACATGTCTCACGATCCTATGCACGAGCGGATTTCCACCATTGGTGATTTGCTGAGATTGTCAAGAGGCACAGTAAATCCACTGTAGTTAGGGATTGGATTCCGTGTTGTCTCTGAAGCGAGAGCATCATCACGTGTGGTGTGCCCCTCATCATCTTGGCATTGTCAGATGCTTGACCAGCTGGTCTCCATCCCGTCCCCAACATCCAAGCCTTCGCTTTTGCACCACAATCATGATTTCTGCTTCTCCACGCTCCACACATTGACCTTTGCACCAGGAACCTCCTGCAAGTCAATTTAGTTGCCGACGTAGCAATGCAGGTTCGGCCAGTGAAGATGGCTAGAAGTTTACCAGAACCTTGCTCGGCTGCTCGTCAATCTTGATTTTTTGGCGATGTTGAAAGCTGGCAGGCTGGAAAGCGGGACAGGGACTGTGAACGTCATATCTTTGAACGGTAACGGGTCTTGTGTGCAGAGCAGAGGTAGGAGAGGGGTATATGTGAGTGTTTCCTTTGCGTTTATGTTTTGGTTTGAATTGATTTTAATTGTTTCTCTGTTCACCACCCTCCAAGAAATCCTTACATTTTCTCTCAATACCATCAATTCTCTGTCAGTATCTCCCAAATCTTCAACGCCCAGTCCTAAAGCAAAAGCAATCATGGTTAGCGCATACCTCATCATCTCGGCGGTCATCGCCTTTATTGCTGTTGCTCTCGGCGCAGCTTATACAACTGGTGCTTTGGATCCGGTCATTGAACAGATTGGTATCATGTTCTTCAAGGCCAAGGCCGAAGCAGAGAAGAAGAAGCTACAAGCACAGGGCATGAAAGAAGGAGAGGATTTTGTTGACGGTAAGTTGTTCTTTTCAGCTTTCACTGTTTGAGATGCTTGTAAAAGTATATTTTGGCCAAGGCTATCATACTGATGACAACGTCTCAGACCAACTTAAGGGCAACAAACAGGCCAGCGATGTGGCTTCAAGTCTTGGAGGTATTGGTGGACTGAAGAAGGGACTGTAAATGAGCCGATATGATGAATGGATACATAAGTGTCCGATATGATTGGACGAATGACGGCTTGGTATACGATGATACGAATGGACGATTACTTGGTTCGGATGGCAAAATAAAACGAATGGGCAATTGATATATAACGAATGGCGAAATAACGGTACCTGAGTTTGGAAGATACAGATAGTGTGTCTGTATACGAGATCTAATGAAGATGATTTGCTCGTACAATCCAAGAGCAAAGCAGACCGGGCTTCGGCTATCCAGGAACGCTCAACTCGGTTCCTGCACTTGAAGACCAATCTAAAAAATCCCCTTCGCCACCATGTATTCCGAACCTTATTCGAATGCCGATGTCTGATGTCGTCAGACAAACCTACTTCTCCTGCACCTAAGAGTAGATACCTATATGCCGTTATGAAAGCGGGAGTCAACACGTGTTCTGGCACCCACCAAGACCTGCCAACCGAAGAGCCTGCAGGGACAATCCAGGATCAATAATGCATCACCCACCAGACAACCATCTTGAGTGTTCTCCATGCAAGGTATATAATTAAGGGATCAAATCTCCGAGAAACGTACAACGTGAAGCGGAGTTTGATCCGGTTGCGGTTGCGATTGTTGTTGTTTTTTGCTTCTTTCAGTTGATCTTTTCCCAGAGATGCCCAGTCGAGCGCACTGTCGTTTCATGATGTCAGTTGTCCGGCTGGATGCATCGGTTCGCTTGACATCGCCATCGGGGCACCTCGTAATCAACAACAAGCCCCGGCCGTTCCGACAAGCAAATTATCAATGCCGTACTCCGTAATATTAATAGCTTAACGGACGTATCATAGGGATGGTAGGACTCTAGCCGGAATTTTTTTTCTTTCAACGGCAAACTGAGCTGTCTTACGGCAGCGACTCGGGGCCTTCTTCTAGTCAGAGGTCGAAAGGGTCTGGGTCTGGCCACTCGACTGACCTGACTGACTGACTATTGACTTCCTCAGCCTCACTTCCGGCCGGACTCAGCCCATTTATATGCTTCATTGCCGGCACTTCCACCTTTGTTACTTGAATTTTTTTCTGGCGATGGTTATGAAGAATTCTTCTTCCTTGTTCCCCTGTGCATCAAGTATTGTTTTATCCTTGGAAATCCGAACGTTTGACGAAAACGAACACAAGGTCCGCGCGCACCGTTCATAAAGGTGCCTTTGCTTCAAGTTGCAAGCATCCCTCACCCGGACAACCGAAACGAATCAGTCCAGGATCCCACTCCCCTCTCCACTCGCTGTCGCATAAGCAGCGTCATCGCCAGCAGCCCTTTCGTTTTCCTTCCCCGCCATCCCGACGGTCCTTTGAACCTCAGGAGCAGCAGACCAGAGCAGAACAGCCTGATTTCATCTGTTCCTGTTCGCTCGCTGCGACAGAGAGTCGGCGGTTCGCTCGAATGAACTAACCCGCCAAGATGCAGCGAGTTACTTCGATGCTCCCCTCGTGGGACAAAACGAAGACGGGCAGCAAGAAGGGCTTCGACAAGGTGTACGCCGTGGTTGATAAATGTGAGTCGCAGCGGAGCGCACCGCACCCGCAGGCTGCCGATCGCATATTACAGAAAGGATTGCAAACTGACAGCTTTTACAGTGGGCGCACCGATTAACAAGTTCTCGAATAAGATCGGATCCGAAGCATTCTGGCCTACGACTCTCGACAAGGAGTCCGACAAAGCCGCGCGCATTTTGAAATCATTCTGCAGTGAGTGGATTTTTTGTTGGTTGCGCAGATTGGCACAACAAGCAATTACTAACTCGTGGCAACCAGAGGATGGGTTCTACGCCGAGGAAGACCGCCCTGCGACTGACGGCGTACCGAAGGGCAAACAACGAGTTCTGAAGAAGATTCCAGAAAAGGTCATACAGAATGCAGTGGGATTGGCAATATTTACGACTATGCGGACGGGGTTATGGGTGTCCGGGGCTGGAGGCTCGGGCGTGTTGATTGCTAGGAAAGAAGATGGAGAATGGAGTCCTCCTTCGGGAATCATGCTACATACTGCTGGCTTGGGATTTCTCGTCGGTGTCGATATCTACGACTGCGTAGTGGTCATCAATAATCGCAAAGCTCTCGATGCTTTCACCAAAATCCGGGCTACACTTGGGGGCGAAATCTCAGCGGTCGCCGGACCTGTTGGTGTTGGTGGCGTTTTGGAGAATGACGGGAAATGGAAGCAGGCGAAGTAAATTCTCCTGATTCCCTCTAACTGATCTCCTGACAGGAGAGAGCCAAATGCTAATTTCCAATAGCCGCCCTGTTTTCACTTACCTCAAATCGCGAGGTTTCTACGCTGGAGTCCAAGTCGACGGAACGGTCATAATCGAGCGAACGGACGAGAACGAACGATTCTACGGAGAAAGGATTGGCGTTGCGGATATTCTGGCTGGGAAAGCAAGACATCCTCCATACGAGGTGAAGATGCTCATGGAGACGGTCAAAGCAGCGGAAGGTCGGAGCGATGTTGATAGGAGCATGATGGACTTGTTGGCAAATCAACCTGCGCCGGGAGATCTCGAGTTAGAAGTGCCTGGAGCGAATGGTCCAGTTTTTGGAGTCCCAGAACCAGACGATCCAGATCCATACGGTGTGCTGGCTTTGGAAGCTGAGGGATTGGAGATTCGAGAGGCTGGCACAAAAAGCAGGCCCTCAAGTACACAATTCGAATTCAATCCAAGTCCGACAAGTCCTATGTACAGCAAATTCCACAGGAGAAGTATGGATACTTTGACAACGAGGAGCAACAGGGAGAGTTACATGTCAAACAGGAGTTACCGAACACGGACGAGCACCGATAGAGCAACGCAAACTACCGAGATGGGCACACAGACGGACGATAGATTTACGCCTAGCACGAGTCCAAGTCGCAGCGACCAGGGCAAGAAGATTGTGGAAGAAGATGAGAAGCCAATAGTCGTCGAGCCAGAGGAGATTGACTATACGAAAGTCGACCTCAGCTCGCTTAGCAGACTGAATAACAGCGATGACTTTGACGGTACCACTGTGGCTGATAGTCCAAGAGGACGCAGTAGTACCGATCATCGCACTGTCTCCATTGACACCAGCTACATGACAGATGATGACGATGATTATGAAGAGCCCGTGATCTTCGAAGCTGCGTCAGCGCAAGCTCAAGTCATTACACCTCAAGCCATCAAGGCAAGAGGAGGCTTAGTCGACATCCCAAAACGTCCCCCACCACCACCTCTACCCCCGCGGAATCTTGCAAGACCTGGAATGGTCGACCAAGCCAGCGGCCGATCTCCTTTGAAGGACAGTTTCGAATCAGTTGACCTTCACGGCATCAGTCGTCAAAGCAGCGAAGCTCCTCGCAAACTCAGCGATGCAGCATCAGAGAAGAAAGGCGTTGAGGTTGAGAAGGCTATCGTGATGGAGGATCTCGAGAAGACGGAATCCAAGGACTCGAAACGCGAATCCTTGGAGCAGAAGGTCGAGCATGAGCTTGAAGGACAACACATGAATAATATTACACCTATCATCTCTCTGCACAAGCCGATGGATGACGAGGATGAGAAAATGGCGTTGAAGAATAGGGATGACGGTGATGAGGATACCTTCCACAGTGTCCCTACGACGCCGAATGAACATTTGGAAGTCAAGCCAATGACTGCTGTTGCTTAAGAGTCGGCGTTTCTTTCAATCAGGAAACTAGCTCTCACCACAAAATGGACCGAGCATTTCACGACGCAAGACATTTGCACACCATTTTTTCGAACGACGGAGCGTGAAAACGGAGAACAGGGGATACATGGAACGACTACATACTACTCTTCATTTTTATAATGTTTTGATGCTTGATTAGCGGGTTTGGTTTGGAAATATTTCGGTCTGGTCTGGCTAAGCACAAGCTGGAATGGTTGGGTTCGCAGGGAACTGGGATATCATGACGCTTGCATATACTTTAAACATAATCTTCACTTCGGAACGAGGAGATGAGCAGAGATCGCCAGGCCCAGCAGGTCTGACGACGGGGACTGGTAAATGACTGGGAGATGACTGCTTGCAGCAAGGACCTACTCGTCCGGGTGGAATGGGAATGGATTTGAAGTGTGGGAACCAGTTCTGGAGAGTACTCTGCTCCAGTGAATGAATATCTTATCAAATGAACAGGGATTTGGACGATGCGTGTCTCAGTTTCAACTTTGCACTTGAACCCCAACCACGGATTGACTGGGCTTAACTCCGTTGTTCCCAGATCCGCTTAAAGTTTCTCATCACCATCAACCTACTTGCCAAGAGCCCCGTTTCGACATTCCCTCCATCGCTCCACGTTGTCAATCCAGCATGTCGTATCAGCCCACCAATCACAACTACCTTATTCCCCAGCTCAACTCAACCATCTGTACATCTCACCCTCCTTCCTACATCATCCACCAGGAATCACGGAACGACCAACCCTCCGCAAACACAGCGTTGACCAAGCAAAAATGCCAAGAAGTCGGGACTCGGGGGAATCAATGGCTTTGTGGTGTGTTTGGCAGGTCGCTTCGCTTAGCCTGCTGGGAGAGTTGGAGAGGAGAGGTATATCAATATTGCGATTTCCCCTCCGTTGTTTAGGGTTGGATAGAGAGAGAGAGAGAGACAGCTTGTTTGAAAGTAAAAGTTCTAAAATTTCATCTCTGTGGGTTTTCGAATTTGGGATTTGGGAATCTGATTGTTGAGTTTGTGTTGGAAGCTTTTGAAAGGAGCAGAAGAAGGAAGGGAAAAGAGAGAAGATAAGAAGCGAAGAGAGGAGAGAAAAGAGAAAGAAAATATGGACGCAGCACTGGTGACTGGTTGTAGTGAGGGTGGACTAGGAGAGGGTATCGTGAGGGCCTTTTTGGCTGAAGGTATCTATCTGCCCTACAATACCTGTTCATTACTGGGAACTTCCAGCACAGCACGTCTCCGAGAACGTATCAATACTACCTATTTCCTTCCCTACTTTCCTCTGTTTATCTAAATCTGCCTACCAAATAACTAACTAACCCTCTCCCCAAGGACTCCACGTCTTCGCCACCGCCCGCTCCATCTCCTCCATGGCCTACCTCCAACACATCCCCAACATCACTCTCCTCGCCCTCGACGTCACCTCCTCCGAATCCATCGCCTCAGTCCTCTCATCCGTCAAATCCCACCTCCATCTCTCCCCAAATACCAATAACGGAACCCACCCAAAGCAAGACCAGTCCAGCCCCCGCCGCCTCAAATACCTCATCAACAACGCCGGCATCGGGCTCATCCGACCCCTCCTCAACGGCACCGGAATCAGCGATGCCGAACGCCTAATCTACGAGACCAACGTCTGGGGTCCATTGGCACTCATCAGGGCTCTGACGCCGTTGATGATCGCTGGGAATACGGTTTCTGGCGGTGGCAGTGGGGAGTGTATGGTAGTCAACATCACCAGCGGCGCGGCGCTCGTCCCGCTGGCTTGGCATGGGGTGTACTCCTCGTCGAAGGCGGCGATGGCGTCGTTATCTGAGGCGATGGGGTTGGAGATGGAGCCGTTGGGTGTGCGGATCGGGACTGTGATTCTGGGGATTGTGAAGACGAACTTTCATGCGAATATGAAGGATCAACGTGTCGAGAGCAGTGAGGGTGGCGGTGAAGGTGGAGGTGAAGATGAAGGTGGTGAGAGGGGCGATGAGAGGTATGAGCTTGCGGAAGGGAGTTACTATGAGGGTATTAGGCATATTTTGAGGGATCAGGCGAGTGGGAAGATTCAGCAGGGGAATATTTGTACTGCTAAGGAGGCGGGTAGGCAGATTGTGCGGGATGCTGTGAAAGGGAAGAAGGGGAAGACGTATATTGGGAGTTCGGCGGGGATGATGAGTATTTTGGGGATCATACCGCAGTGGATTGTGGTAAGTTCAACTCTGTGATTGGCTTCGTTATTTATTTTCGTCTTTGTTGAGGGAAGCGGAGCTGACTGGCGTATAGGATGCTGTCTGTAAGAAGACGGGCCAGCTGGAGGAATTTGTCAAAGCTTAGTGAGTGGCTGGGATAGGGATTAAGAGTGTGATATTGAGCACTCGGTACCAAGGTAGAAGCCTAAGAGAATTTCGGGTCCTGGGTGTTATTCATGCATTATTCTGGGCAAGATACACTTTCGCAAATGCAGTGAAAGTAATAAATAGATACGATTGAGATCTACAAAACTGGCATTTTCCGCTTCTGAAGATAATTTTATGAGTTCACTCGCCAATTTACTTGGCCAACAAATAAGCCCGGAAAGTTGGGAGCTTTCAAGACAATGGCGTTGTTGATTGTTATTCCGCACTTTCAATAAGCGAGATTTATTTACAACTCGCGGGTGCTGGAGAATCCTTTGCAGTGAACTCCATCTTCATCCCAGAACTAAACCTATTGTCTTTGAGCGTTGAGATGGCAGGATAAGGACAAAGAAAAGCTGAAAAAGTGAAGCAACTTGAGTGAAACAATGAATTGAAGTTGTCTAAGATTGCAAGTTCTTTGTCGCCTGACTTAAATCGCCAACAGTGTTTTTACACATCGAATGACAGAGTAATGTTTCTAGAGAAGAACAGAAGCTCCGACACAGACTCAAGAACTGGACTGCCCATTTTATGAAGCTTTCCCAAGGCACAAACCAGAGGACCTTGCCTTCCTAACACATATTATTCCAGCTTCAGACTTCAGAGTACACAAACACCAGAAACAGAATTTACCATGTGTCAAGGAACAACTACAACCATGAGCTGCGGCCATAACCTCCTACACTATACATCTCGCTGCCAAGGCTCCGTTAAAACGCAGGTACTCTGCAAAGACGTCCAGGGCCCCAAGCGCCACATTGATGATACGTGCCATGAGTGCCATCCACCATACGCCATATCTGAAATCAACAGAAAGTACGACCACCTTCATAATACACTCATGGTGTCGCTAAGGTTTGCGAGGTCGAGAGAGGCAGTGACGGAGATTCAGGAGGCAGTCCAGGAGGCCCATCATCAGAGAGGGAAAGAGTTGAGAGCTGTAAGTCTATTGCGGTGGAATGGCATGGTGGTTTGGGAGCCGACCGACGACACCGAAAAGTGATAGAAGCACAATGTATGACCCCGAAGTTGAATACATGCCTTTCGAAATGTGACTGAGCCAGTGCTGTTGGTGACAAGAGTCGACGTGGTTTTGATTGATTGAAGGCTAACCAGAAAAGGGCGATGGCAACCAATTCCAACGACAGCAACCGGAAAGCAATTTTACTTCGCTCCACGATCTTCTCGTGCGCTGTTCAGGACTGCTGACTTCAGCAACGGCTGATTCCTTCCCTCTTTGCCCTGTGCAAGGTCCTCTGCTCGAATTCTCATGTCTTTCATCTGGGCTTTCGCTCGGTCTCTCGAGCCTTCTCCATTGCTTTCTTCGCATCCCTGTATTTTTCTATGCGTCGTTTCCCAAATGAGCCATGTCGCCATTTGTCATCTGCGTTCCGGAGCAATGGAAATTGAACGATGGCGGAAAAAGTATCGAACACTCTTTGGAGTGAAACCTCGTGACGCTCTGCAACCTCAGCGAAGGGGAGTAATTCTTAGCAAGTTTCAGCAGCATCCACAATCCTAATAACAAGATTGGTTAGCATACAGATTTCATTGTGGCGTTACATTACATACAAGTTCGGAGAGTGTCTTTTGCTCAGGCGCGCATTCGGAATCTGGAAGGTCGTAGTATTGGAGCTAACACGCCCACGAGTTACAGGTATTACTCCGGTGGTTGCTTTTTCCGGTGTGATACCAGTTGCTTGTGACCGCGTTTCATACTCCGCTTTTTCGAACATGATATTTTCTGGCACAATCGGCGACCCCACATGATTCAGTCGAGGCTGGGTCTTCTCGCTGTTTCTGCCGCTTGAAGGATTGACGTTCAGAATTGGGGACCTCGTATGGGCCTGGGCGGCGACATTCGGCATCCAGGGTAGTGTCGAATTCAGAGGCGTTGGCCACGGTGGAATTGAGTACAGGGAAGGCTTCCGTAAGATATCAGACGACTGTGTGAACGGGATGTTATTGCGAGGGCGGATTGGCGCCACAGGAGTGTGTAAAGAAGTTGCTTGAACTACTGGCGGAAGGGTTGTTATCGGAGGTGACGCGTGGGGAATATTGATGTTGTTCAATGCTGTCGTTTCTGAAGGTGGAGATGTACCGTGGGTGTCTTAGCGCTGTGCAGGAGACTGAACGCGACGAAGGAGCTCTTCCCCGGTGCTTGGTGAATGTAGAGGCTGAACAGTCGAAATGCGATTTGATTCTGGCGGCAATGGAGCCTCCGTTTGACTACCATTCTGGTGCCAAGGCCCGCCACCTCCTGTACTGCTCAACCTGTTGCTGATCAACGAGTCATGAGATGGTGGATTCGCTGTTGTAGCTGAATCAGAATCAGAAAGTTCCATTAGGAGCGATGGCTGTTGGGAGAATGAAGGTTCATAATGCTGTTGGTCGGTGCTGTCGAAAATGTCCCCTACATTACTTGGCCAAGCTGATATCGCTGGAAAGCACTGATCTGGCCCATACACGTGGAAGTGTTTCGAATCCGTATGATATGGAGAGAATAGCGACGAAATCTCTTAAGTTGGAGATGTGCGAGGAGATACTTGAACACACTTCCGGAGAGGAGTTGGTCCAGCAGCTGTATCGTCTATGCTCTCGTCGTGCTTGCGCTTATTCGGATGTTGAGCATCCAGATGTATGGGTTTCCATGGGATACTAGGGAGAGGGCGAGGTTGCAAAGTGGGCAGAGATTGATCTTCCCAAGCGGCAGCGTCCGTCAGGGAGGGAAACTGGGAAGCGGGCGCCGAGGAATAGCTGGGTTCTGCAAACCATGGACATTGAATAGTCGAACAGTTACTCTCACCGCATGATGGAAACGATCCAGCTCGTATGGGTAGGCTTTTCTCCTCCCCAATATGACACAATTCCAATCGCTGAACCACACCAGAGCTCATTCGTCGAGCAGGTTGTGGTAGCACATTGTAAAATTTGGGACTTGGAAGATCGATTTGAGGTCTACAGTTCTGACCAAATGGAAATGTCGAATTAGGATACTCAATCCTATTGGATTGAATACGGTCCTTAACAGAAATGGACAAGTGTCATACCTTCTTCGCCTCTTCTTCCTTCGCGTTGGGGCAAAGAATATGATCTGCGCATCATCATCTTCACCGGCTGGAGGCTCAGCTCTAACGCCATCCATGGCAGAATTGTCTCGCTGCAGATTATCATCGTGGCACGCTTGTTGCTCATTTATGGATTCGAATTGCATTGGATCCAGCTCCGCTCGGCTGTGGAATCGCAATACAGCTGGAAGAGAATTGGAACGAGCCCCAAGAAGCTGAACATGCCTGACTTGGGTCATGATGCAAAGTAGAGTATGGAAAGACGAATGTGAGAATAGGAGATCTGAGATTACAGAGACATGGCTGGGGAAATATGATAGACGACAGAAGAACAGATGTAAATGAAATTCTTTGAGCTGGAGGACCGTGAAATGCTGTGAATTCAATGGACCACAACGACCACACTTCCCTGAAAGAGTTTCGTCTGAGTCTGCAGTTGTCCCAGAACTAACAACAATAGTAGCGATATCAACCATGGTTGTATTGTGAAGTATTACAGTATTTACCTTTCGAGTGATGGATGAGTGAAGTTGAGAGCCGTGGAAAGAGATGAAGAAATGGAGGGCAAGGCTGGAGTCTTGGCAACTATCACGTGGAAGACCAGGGGCATTAGCGCCAGGCTACCACCCCGCGATCCACCATTAGGTACTCGAGCAGCTCCAAGCTTGAAGCTCTTGATAGTCAAGCTCCTACTCAAACACAAAACCACCAACAAGAAAGCACCGCAAAACAAACAAATCTAGGCACGACTACTTACCGACAACACATTTCTTGTGTAAGCCCAACCATGGCTGTCGAAAGCGCCCCAAATCCTCTCATCTCAAGCCAGAAATCGTCAGACACTAGCCTTCAAGTTGCCTTGCACCCCTTGGTCCTTCTCACAATCTCCGATTACATTACAAGACATACGCTTCGCCAACAGAAAGGACCTATTGTCGGGGCTCTATTGGGTCAACAGAATGGCAGAGAAATTACCATTGAGCATGCATTTGATTGTTTGCTCGAGCAGGTTGACGGAGAAGTTGTCCTACACCAAGCCTGGTTTGAAGACAGGTTACAACAAAGTCAGTCAAGTCTGCCACAATGAGCAAGATTTCTGCTAATGCATGTTTACAATCTAGTGAAGGATGTACACAAAGTCCCTGCTCTTGACCTTGTCGGCTGGTACACCATCCTCCCAACCCCTGGACCACAACCAAACCATCTCCCGATACACAAACAAATTTTACAATCATACAACGAATCTGCCATCCTCCTAGGCTTCCATCCAACAGCAGTTCTCGAGAATTCAGCTGGCGGCAAGCTACCTTTGACCATATATGAGAGTAACTTCGAAGCAGAAGATGTTGCTGTGGATAATGGAGAGGACAAGGAGATGAAGGATGGCGAGCCGCAACTAGCGTTGAAGTTCAAGGAGCTTCCCTACAGCGTCGAAACAGGAGAAGCTGAGATGATCAGTGTGGATTTTGTTGCCCGAGGAGGAGGTAACGCTACGGCAGTGGAGAGTACATCCAAGAAGTCATCAAGCAAGAGCGAACCAGCAGACAAGGGCAAGGGAAAAGCACGAGCAACGACAGGAAATGAGGACTCGGAATCGAGCAAGGGCGATGACCATCTGTCTCGAGAAGACGAGGAGTTGATCGCTTCTCTTACAGCCAAGGCAAACGCGATCAAGATGTTGCACTCACGGATCAACTTAATTGCGGTGTACCTGCAGAACCTACCCCCTTCCTATATCTCGAGTACCGTTCCGGAGGGCGCCGAATTCAGCGACAAGCAGTACACCCCGGTCAGCCACTCGATCCTTCGCTCGATCCAGGCGCTGCTCGGCCGCTTGAGCCTCCTCATCCCAGCAGACAGTGCAGCATTCGAGCATGAGCTTATGTCAGAACAGAACGACGTCAATCTTGTGTCACTATTGAGTACCATCACCGGAAGCATCAAAGAGGTCAGAGAAACGGGCAGGAAGTTCGCAATTATTGACAACCAAAAGGCCATGAAGTCAAAGATAGACCGAGGTCATGGCGGACCGGGATGGGGAGGATCGTTCAATGGAGTTTTGGGCGTCGGGGACCTCATTTCATGAGCGAGCTGGGGTTTCGGGTGACAGACACGATTTGCATTTTCTGGGCGTCCAAATGGGTGTGGATAATAACGAATCCGGCGTTATTTTGCAGCGATCATGAGACGACACGAGGTAATCGATGACGAATAGAGCCATGATGAGAGAATGAGAATACCATTATAGAATCCAAGTCATGAGTGTAATCTACCTTGCCCGCGCTCGCTGTAACTTTGTTTCTTTCCAACACTTTTTTACCCTCTAAAACGAAAGAGCCACCCACCCACGACGAACAGAGACTTGAAGAGCGAAAGTTAATAAACAGATCGCCCTGGCTGCCAGCAGATCTCTAACAATCGAATAAAAAGAAAGCCTATTACGCTTCAATGACGACCTTGATTACCAAGTTCCCTTCATCATCAACCGTCCGTCCCGCCAATTCAAAAGCCTTCTTCGCCTCGGCCAGTCCCTTGAACTTATGGGTCACCATATCGTCCAAACTCGGCAATTTCATGGCTCCCTTTCCAGCCAAGAGCCGGATACCCGTCTGGTACGTATTCGCGTATCTGAAAATACCAAGGATGTCTACCTCACGAAGATGAGCAGCGGAGAGTGGCACTGTCTGGATTGGCGTTCCCATGCCGACCATAATGACTTTCCCGCCGGGTTTGGTGGCGTAAAGAGAAGTCTGCATGCAGGCTTCCTTGCCGGTACATTCGAAAGTGACATCGACTCCATCATCTTCGTCATCTTCTAGAGGGGACATATCTGGTCTCGCTACGGAGAGGACATCAGCAGCTACTGCCTTTGCGCCGTCGAGACGGTCGCTGATGCTGCTGTAGCTGCTGAGCGGAGTCATGGCTCCGTCTGAGCTGGCTGGAGTTGAAGTTCCAGAGGTGAAGATTGAGGAGGATGAGGCACTTGAGTGGAATGGTTTGGGAACGACGTAGCCGTGTGTTGCGAATCCCTTTTTTATGGCGTAGTTCACCCGGCCTTCATCGACGTCTATGATGGTCACGAAGGTGCAGCCGGACTGGCGGGCCATCGCTGCAACGAGCAGACCGACGGTGCCAGCACCGATGACGAGGGCCGTGGATCCTGGTGCTGGAGAAGCACGATTTAGAGAGTGGATAGCGACAGATAGAGGCTCGAGGAGAGCAGCTGCGTCGAAAGATATATGGTCTGGAATTCTGGAAAGAAGTGTTAGCCAATTGCGAAATTTCCCGATTTCGTGTAACATAGACTTACTTGTGACACCAGATGGCTGGATGATTGATTCTCTCTTGAAGGGTTCCTTGGAAATGAGGAACGCTCTTCGCACTACTTCTGAATCTCATCTTCTTGCAGAGGTTGTATCTTCCTTTCCTACATATCGTACATTGACCGCAGGGAATGCCGACTTCGAGGGCAACTCTGTCGCCAATTGTGAAGCCATTGACCTGAGGGCCAATTCCCACAACTACACCGGAAGATTCATGGCCAAGTGACAAAGGTGCGCACGCACATAGGTCGCCATTTGCGAACTTTTTGTAGTAACTGACATCTGAGCCGCAGATTCCCGTGGACTTGATCTGAATTTGAAGCTCGCCTAGTGCAGGTTCCTCGATACTTCGTTTTTCCTAAACAGAGGGTCAGGGGTATGATCTTATGTGCATCTGGGGGAGTGGGGGAAGCCGTTGCGTACCAGTTGTACCTCGCGGGGTCCATGTAAGACAGACGCCAGAACGTGGGTCGTTGGTTTCGAGGGGATAGAGTGGTGGGTATGGGAGTGGGATGTGATCATGACAAGACTCGGGTCCTCCGCCATTGGAGCCATTTTGATCTCTGAGACAGGCACGAAAGCTTTAGTCAAATTCGTTAAAAAAAGAAAACAATTTTGCGGGGTTGACTGGTTCCTCCACGATGGAATAATGGGGGGATACGTGGGGGTTCAAATAAGTCTTTGAATTCCCCCTTTTCCAAGCTAATCTTTCAGACCGACTTTCCATGATGATTAGGGTCGATGACTGTCAATGGGATTTGCCAGTTAAAAAGCAGCTTGTAATCTCGATGATTGAAAAAGGTTCATAATCATAGCAGGGACAGTCCAGGGACGGCGTTTGATACATGGATGCCGGACGGCGGGCAAGCATGTCAAGTGTGGCTGGCATGGATGAAGATGGAGGGGCATCATGGCATGGCTGGTGGTGAGCAAGCGGCGAGCTCGCGAGGTACCGGTTGGGTCCGCCTGCTGCAAGAGCTGCCAGAGCTCCCTGAACCCTGCCCTTGCAGCATGCGCGGCATGGTTCGGGCCCGGGCATGTTTTTCCTTTTATCGGGCCTATGGGACAACAGCGTGGTGATATAAGAGGCCAAAATTGCTTTCGATAGCTAGGAATAACTACAATGGACTTCCCATAGCTCGTCCTGTTGACCGTGGGATGCTACCTGAAGTCCCGGGAGCTTGGGGACTAAAACCATACTTGCAACAACTTTGGATTCAGGGTTAAGGCTATTTTCCCACTGGTCGCCCGCTGTCACCGTGCCGCCCGTTGTTCAATTCCGAGGTTCGTTGGGAGCTCTGGAACTATGTTCTGGTGGACGGAAGTCGTTGTCCCGCTGGGACTGGTCACCGAAGATCAAGACACATGTTATTAATGGCCCCATTGCAGCTACTCTGACAGACGGTGAAGCTTCACAACTAGCCGCATCGGAGGAAACAGCGCAATTGCTATTTGAGATATCGTACTACCGCATGCTTTCTTATCGTCGGCTTGTACGGTAGTACGTCGCCATACCGCTGTACAACTAGTGTGCGACTTAGGAGATGTCTCAATCCACTTTGATGCACGATGTGCGGTGAGTTGGCAGTTGATCTTGAATTGCGAAAGTATTTCCATTTCACCGACAACAAGCCAAGGATCCCAAGCATCCCAAGGATCCAAGGTATCTCGGCTTCATTCCATAGAGAGGGGGCGAAGGACGGAGGGACAGAGCGCCGCGGCTGAAAGTAGTTGGGGTGTTGCGGTGCTGAGCCTTGCTCCTGCTGGCCCGCTTAGCTTGACGTGTGGCCTAAGCGCTGCAGCTCTGCATCTCTGCATCTCTACATACAGAGCATCGGGGCTCCACTGGGAGCTCCAATACTGATATCAGAGCTCGTAGAGCATAGCCATTGGTTTGAAAGACGATGTCTCGCTTTCAAGTGCATCTCTCTTTCTCTCTCTGACGTGGCCGAAGTGCAAGATCGGCATGTGAAGAAGAAATTGAGGTCGATATGAAAATGAAGGGCGATATGATTCGCGTCATCGTGGCATCGCTATTGCATAGAGACTCATATACGGCCTCTCGAGCTCTTCAAATCAACTGTTCCAGCTGCTGTGGTTCACGAATTGGTATGTACTATCAATGTTACAAAGAGGATGTGGGAATACAACGGAAGTCTTGTTGACTGGGATGGCTGCATGCATACCACGTTCTCGGATCACCGTGGCCACGCTAGAACGACGAGGTCGCGAGACGAGCAGCGGCATTTCTGGCGTCAACTCTGTCCTCATCATCCTCTTCCTTGACGTCTTTGAGCCCACCAGCACTCGCACCACTGAGAGCTCTAGCCCGATTGGGACCCTGGCCGTCTTGCTCATTTTCCTCTGGCACATTTGACATGAAGCTGCCTGAAATACTTCTGCTGAGCACATCTGGGCGACGAGGGACGCCTGACCCTGTAGAAGCCGGGAAGTTAGCAGATGCTCGCTCATGTGGGGAAAGAGTTGGAGACGGTTGCGACTCCGAGAGATAAATCGACTCCCCAGGAGTGATGCCGGGGAGGAGATCCGGAGCTCGCGAAACTGTCCAGATAAGGATCCTCTCGGATTAACTTACAGCTATCCCCGTTCTTGCCTTGACTAGTCGCCAGACTGGCTCTCCGTCCTACATTCTCCCTGCCTAGTCGTGAAAGACCACCGGAAGAATCGATTGCCCGGATGTCGGGCCTGATACTTTCAAGTGTTGCCAAAGTTCTTCTCTCAGCTTCGATTTCGCGAATCACATATTCCCGGATGCTGAGTCTCAAATCCGCTGCCGTCCGTGCAAACCATCGACGCTGCTCCTGCAGTAGATTTGCAGTCACCCGCTGTGTTTTACCCACAAGATAAAGCTCGTTACTTCGAGCTTCATCTAATGCGGAAATTGCTTCGTCGACTTTTTCCCGTCGAACAGACGAGCTTGCCTTCAATCTATCTGCAGCATTCAGCTTGCTCCGAGTTAATTGCTGAGCCTGTAATAGCTCGCGCAAGAGAATATGACGATTTGTGAGGGTCTCCTTGACGATGAATGCGTCCTGAGAATGATATTGCAGGGGGTCACCGATCGTGGTTGCTTCAGCAGTGGCTTGAGCGGCGTGGAAGTCTCCTGTAGTCTGAATGGTCTTTCCAAGCTTGCGATAAGCATTGGCAAGTCCTGAATGGGGTTCTTGAACGCTCATGGCACCAATCTTGACACCGAAATCGGACTCAGCAAGACCAACACCTGCACTATATGAGCAAATATCAAACTATGCACAGTGAATGCCACTTACCCCTTCGAGCCTTGACAAGCTTATCAACCTTGTGACCTGCATCCATGGTACCAAGGTAAAAAAGCTTCACGATAGGTCGTGCATCTTGTAGCTCTGGTGTATCATCGGGAGGGGGTGCAAATTGCTTGATGACCCGTCTACGCACGCCCGTCGCTGGCTGCTTTCTTTTTAACATCGGGCTGTATCCAAAATCGCTTTCTACAAAGAGAACCATCTCGTCATCTTTCATCAACACTTCGTTCGCGCAAACATAGTTTAGCCATCGCTGAAGGGATGCCTTTACTCGAGCTTCATCTTCGTCCGTACCAGCACCAGCAGACGTTAACGCGGGGGGGACTGCTGGAACAAGTGCTTCTGGGTTGGATGATACGAGGTGATCGGCGAGCTTGATAAATTCGGAGTGTGTTCGACGGACATCTCGGAATTGTGTAGTTCTAAACTTGGGGAGGTTGGTCTTTAAAGTCAGCATGTGGCCAACAAATAATCGTTTCATGGCGTTTAACATACATGAATATCAAACCTCAGAATTGGATCCTTCCTTCCAGTTCGCTCTAGGCCTGTAATCTTTGCTTGTAGCTTGTATTGGGGCGCCTGAGGTTGCTGCTGTTGTCGCGCGCTAGAATGATATCTTTGAGGCTCTGCTCTATGAGGTTGTGCCTGATACTGCTGCTGTGCCGGCGCTTGCTCCTGTTGGCCAGCAAGAAACGGCTGCTGCTCGGTCTGGCTCCGGACCGATTCGACGGTATCTGGCCTGCGCCCTTCGCTCTCCGTCACAGAGTTTGTCCCGGTACTGCTCTCAGGTCTCTGATAGCCCCCTCCACCTATTATATCCTCGTTCGAGTATCCCGCAGCTTGTGCATTTGGGTTGTAAGGAGTTGGGGAGGGGGGCACATCGCCAGAGGTTGGAAAGGAGCTTGTTCGCGCATGCTGAGGTGATGGTACCGGCGATGAGCCCCATGGCGATGCTCCTGCTGGATTATCAGCATCATGAATAGATGAAGAATAGTCCATGTTGGTTCCAATTGCTAGTCTAGGATCCTCGGTATCGCGGACAGGCCGTTTGGTGGGCGGTCGAGGATGGTGCCGTCGCGGAGCTGTTCCAATGGCAGAATATTGTATTGACTAGTTTGGCATGAGCGACGTTGCCTTCGAATGGTCACAAACCGGATCGTTGGCGCAGAGGGAGCAACCAGGTGAGGTGGATGAAGCAATGATGAAGCTCACCCAGCCCATCAACAAGGCTTCCGTAGCGCGGGAGGCATCTGGGAAGCGCCACGCCAGTCCCGAAGCGCTAAGCGAGTGCTGTATCAAACTCAGAATTTGGATAGCTTCTCCGTCCAATTGATGCCAGTAAGTACTTAGCACTTCGAAATATGAGGTGATGCGTCTTCTGAACTTACAAGGAGGGTGTCTATCATGGCATCAACGACTTCGGCGGCTTACTTTAGTCAACAAAGCGTATTTTCCTCGAGCATATGCACCACGCCAATACTCAACTTCTCACCTCCCTAGTCATGGACATGATCCAAATGTCGAAGCAACCAGGAATATCGGAATAATAGCACATATCGATGCCGTGAGAACTATGTGATTCATTGCAAGTCTCAAATGACTGACACCTCAACAGGGAAAGACAACGACAACAGAGCGAATGCTCTACTACAGTGGCATAACTCGAAGAATAGGAGGTGAGACACTTTTCATCAAGCCTTATCTTAGTCTCCAAACTTTCCGAACTTGGGCATCCTTGGATTTCCCATCTCTCTTTCATGCAATGCCTTCACTCCACCAAAGCAATCTTATGTATTAGACGGCTCGTTGAGGGGGTCTTAAATATCACCACGTGACTTGTTACTTGTGCTTTCGGTCAGATTGAGATTTGCTTCTGATCTAATATCCTACCAGATGTCGATGATGGGTCTACCGTCACGGATTTCCTACCTGCCGAGCGAGAGCGAGGAATTACAATCCAGTCAGCAGCGGTAACATTTCACTGGCCACCGCTACACGAAAGCCAGCTGGCCAAACCTGATTCCCCAAGACATCTCACACCTCACACAATCAATCTGATAGACACTCCCGGGCATGCAGACTTTACCTTCGAAGTCCTTCGCTCACTACGTATTCTCGATGGCGCAGTCTGCATTCTCGATGGTGTTGCTGGTGTCGAAGCCCAGACTGAAAAGGTCTGGACCCAAGCGAACTACTACAATATCCCCAGGATCGTCTTCGTAAACAAACTAGACAGGGATGGAGCAGCTTTCAACAGGGCTGTCAAGGAAATTGGATCGCGACTCCGTGGCTTTCCAGCCGTATGCCATATTCCGTGGTGGGAAGGCGGCAAAGGCAGATTTACGGGTGTTGGAGATGCTATCAATCTCTGTGCTCTGAAGTGGCAAGATGGTGGTGATGGGAAAACCATCCAAAGCTTCAGTCTCGATGAGCTCAGCCAAGAAGACTCAAGTCTACGAGAAGAGCTGATCAAAGCTCGAGCAGCTCTCGTTGAAGGACTTTGTGAATTCGACGAAACACTTCTGGAGACATGGCTAGAGTGTGACGACGATACTTTGGCTGTACCACCCCAAGCTATTCGAGATAGCTTGAGAAGATGCATCATCGATGGCTCTGGACGTCTTATCCCAGTCTTTGCAGGAGCAAGCTTCAGGAATATTGGTGTCCAGCCATTACTCGACGCCGTCGATGACCTCCTCCCCAGTCCAACCGAACGACCAAGCTCAGAGGTCAGCGTCGGGGAGAAGCGAGGCAGTCTTTCAGATCTCCTAGATGGCAAACTGTCCCTCGCTTCAAGCTGGAGCAAACATCTTGCCAAGAAATCCAGCTCCGCCACCTCCATGATTGCACAATTCGAAGCGTGCGCCCTTGCATTCAAAGTTGTCAATGATCCTCGCCGCGGGGTACTCGTCTACATCCGAGTCTACTCAGGCTCACTAAAGCGAAACGCAGCACTCTGGAACACAAATCTCCATGTCACGGAGCGAGCCCAACGGTTGTTACAGATGCAAGCTTCTGACGCTGTTGAAATCTCTCACATCCCTGCAGGACAAATCGGCGTGATAGCTGGCCTCAAGCACGCTCGTACAGGCGATACTTTAATCTCCTACCCTGGCGTAAATCCCAAAAGTGGACCCCCAGCACCCCTTAACATGCTGCAACTGCGTCCCATCAACGTCCCACCACCTGTATTCTTCGCAGCAATCGAGCCACACAGTCTTAGCGAAGAGAAGAACGTAGCCGAGATCCTCGCGAATTTGCTCCGAGAAGATCCCAGCCTTCACGTCAACATTGACGAAGAATCCGGCCAGATGTTACTTAGCGGTATGGGAGAACTCCACTTAGAGATCGCGCGGGATAGATTGGTCAACGACTTCAAAGCAAAAGCAACAATGGGCAATATCGAAATCAGCTACCGTGAATCCGTGATCTCAGCTACAGCGCCCCATAGGATCATCTTCGACCGCGACATAGCAGGCAAGAAAGGCAAAGCTGGATGCGAGGCATCAGTCTACCATCTTGACGATCAAGTCCCAGCACCCGACTACACTGTCACTCGCGATGGGAACTCCATCTCAGTGAACATCCCGACTTCTTGGTTCGGCGAAGAAGACGAAAGCTCTTCCTTACCGAAAGAGCTACCTCTGGCAACAGTGCGAGAAGCTCTCGTGAACGGAGCAGTCGCAGCTCTTGCTCGAGGCCCTCGGCGTTCGTTTCCCATGCATGACTGCCATGTGACTCTGATATTCGATCCATCAACCGATCTCTTCGGCTCGGACACGTCCCCAGCAGCGTTATCCTCAGCTGCACGACTCTCGGTGCAAGCTTCACTCAAGGAAGCGCTGAATGGAGATAATATTGCACTCATGGAGCCAGTGATGAACGTCGTGATATCCTGTGATGAAGGATCTCTCGGTGCGATCGTTCACGATATCTCCTCTGCGCGTGGAGGACATGTCCTCTCGCTAGAGTCCAGTGGGAGCGAAGAGTCCGCATCAGAATTGCCGGCCATTGATCCAAAGAGGATCTACGCACCTCCAGATCCATTTGCTTCGTCAAGTAATTCTGATGCGTCTGGGCCTGGTCAGGCTAGACAGATCCATGCGAGAGTGCCGTTGAAGGAGATGGTAGGGTATTTGAAGCATCTAAGGAGCTTGACGGGTGGAAGAGGGACGTTCATCATGAGTGTCGATAAATTTGAAAGGTTGTCGGGGCCCAGAGAGAAAGCGATGTAATTGTATGTAACTCATCAGTATGCTTAATTGTAACAGTAGCCAAGATAACAATCGTTATGAGCAGCATGACCCACCGTCTTCTTGACAGGGCAGTTTTACAAGGAAAGATATACAGGAACACTTCCCGGTGCAATAGTAGCTCCTCGGTTTAGTCCAGAGAAATTCTTGGAAACGATGCGATCATTCAATGACGTTGAGCTAAATATACAATAGCAGAACAATCTCAAGTCATGTTACCATAAGCCTATCTCCTTGAGGGGATCTTTGTAGCGTAAGAATACATGAAGCACACAGTTCCGCTGTCCAAGACGGTTTAACGCTGAACTTCCAACCAAACAGTAATATCGACGTTACAACTTCTCTGCCCTCAGAAATCCTTACCCAGTCGTGGCCTCATGTACTGTACGTGGTGATACATTCGTGGAGCACTTGAAAAACGAGTCGTATCCCCCTCGTCGTCGTCATCTTCTTCATCCTCATCGATCTCGCCACTCTCCTTGCCAGATTCTGTGTCTGATATCTCGATGAAGCTCTTTCCTACATATCTATCGGCTCTCTTAGTCGGGCATTGTTGGGCGTCCTTCTGGCTTTTATTCTCTACGATTGGCTGTGGGTTCCTTGCGTCGTCGAAAACATTGTCATCCCCATCTTCAGTCAAGTCAATGACTTTCGTGTGAGCAGCATTCTTGGCAGAGCTTCAAAGAAGTCGTTGGGGGTTGCTAGAAGCGAGTGCAATATTCTCGCGTCGCGTTCCGAACTCTCGAGGCGCGGGTATCAAGTCGTATGGAACAGCCATGGATCGACTTGGTCCAGTTTTCTCATTACGACTCTCCCTACCTGATATCGTTCCATAATCTGGCAGCACATACTTGGCGGATTGCCTTATCTGAAACCCTCCACTGCTGTCTGAATCCTTCTCAACTGGATTGACTTCGTTGTGAGATTCGGCATATTTACGAGGAACAGGCCCTTCAGCTGTGTTACCATCAGTACGTTCTTCGCCCTCCGGTTTATCCAACGATGCTATCCGAACGTTGAAATCTTCAATGGGTATGCCAATCACAGCTTCCAGTCCTGCCAAATCATCTTTATCAGAGCCTTTTGCATTTCTCTGATTTTCTTGTTGCGGAGAGGATCATTCATGCAACGCGTGATACGTCTCGCATCGGCCATCAGCTCCCTTATGTTTAGCATATTGTACTGCTTTCGGTGGACAGCAGCATGTCGGATGTGCTGCAGATTTTGTAAAAGTTTGCGGAGATCATCGTAGTTGAGTAGGGAGCGACTTTCAGCAAGGGCTTGAACAACCAAATCTTTCAGAAATCGTTTTGTATCAAACGATCGAAACCACTATGATGATTAGCTCTAGTCTCGAGGTCAATCACAGCTGACAGATCTCCGTTATAATATCGATAAGATTACTATTCACTTAATAGAATAATAGTGAGGACGTTTCTGCTAATGGCTCCATCAAAGGGCACACTCACATAGTTCAGCTCAGTCTGTTCTGGCTGCTGCCACTTCATGTTCGTGAGCACTTGTGGCACCCACTCTTTGGTCCAATAAAATAGTGTCTCCTCGACCAGCTTCTGGGTGGTGGCGAAGAGGGACATCTGCAGCCTGAAAGGCACATCCTGATTGCGGCCCGCTGGGCTAGAGGATCGACGGCCGGATCGGAGGACGTATCGAGGCGGGATAGCTAAATTTCCTACACATCATTCGAAGTCAATGCCATCTATTCGATCATCAAAAGAGTTCGTCAGCTCCAGACATACTTTTTGGCGACACGTGGACGACTTCCTGAGCAATTGTCGCTGCGGCAAGCAGAACATGAGCTGGGTTTGGATCTGCTGCTCTCTTTGGGACTGAAGACAACTTTTGCACTCGTCCTGAGCTTGAATCAAGTCGAACTTTCTCAACGGTATTTTCGCTCGTATACCGTCTGGCCGATGGAGATCTGGACGGAGAGGACAAGACTACGGGGTCCGTCTTCGTCCCGCTGCTGCGCGTTCGTGCCCTTGCAAATTCATGTTAGCTTGGTTCAACTAGAAGTAAAGGTGAATATATTGAAGCTCCGTGGAAGCCTCTGCGATGACATATCTTTGCTTGGAGTATTGCCGTGGCGGGTGATTCTTGAGGGGACACCCACGAGACTGTGCTATTGCCAGAGCGCATCCTGGTAAGGCCCCTTGAGATCTGCTATCAATAATGTGAGAAAAGACATGAACAATATAAGACCTAATGTTGGCTCAGATGTCACTGTGCGTAGGAAGGGCAGGCGCCAAGACCCCAATCAAAAGGAAGGCGCGATGAGTGTAAACAGATGACGGCTTCCCGCAGCTTTTCGGGCACTTACATTAGACTTTTGGGCATGAGTAGCTTGGCGTTGCTTTTGATTTGTAGCTTCTGAAGATCTCGATGCTGAACTCGGTCTCAGAATCGGGAAGAGTTGATGGTGCCTTAGATATGTATCTCAAGGTAGCAAACAATGTCGTGCCACGCTAGTGGCTAAGCGAGAAACTAGATGGAGTAAACATCTCAGGCAGCTAGCTGGTGTGGTATTGGGGACAACTTCAATTCACTCCGTTCGCTTTGAAGGAAGAAGGATGATTGAATCTTACCTCCATATCGTGTATTTCCCATCGGTTCGCTTGTGTACTGTGCTAAAAGAGCAGAAGCATTGCCAAGTTTGACGGACCTTCCTCCCCTAGTTATATACTTTTGCTGACTAGGTGGACACGAAAGAAGTGAAAGCCATCATATAATATGATACCATATTGCTCTTCCAAGAGCGGATTCGAATAGAAGCGACTTTGAACAAAAAGGATACTACCTCAAGTTGACTGGCGAACGATTCTTCAACCTGAAGCTGAATCCTGCGTCCAAGACCTGCGGCTGCTCTGACTCAGGAACCGAATATCAGGTAAGTTACGACAATGTATTTGTTATGGTATTGATGAAACGCTTATTGAGTACTATGACCGTAGCAGGGGTTTCCATCATGATCCAACAGCGCTGGCATAGCCATCACCACGAGCCGCGGACTCGGAGGAGCTGTGAGCATAATATAAATTCACGATAAGCACGCACACTGATGAATCAATCAAGTCATGCCTCCTAGGCAGACACCAAGTTTGTGTTTGTACATAATTATCTGGGTATTTGCCGCCGTGTTCTAGAGCCTCTTGGCTCTGACCAAATCGACGATATCTGATTCGGCTGATTTCCCAAACAATTTGGCGGAAATCCATGTAATGAACACGACCACCATCCGGGCGCCCTTCTGACTGACTAGTTTATGGGTATTATCCGCTCCACAATACACTACGCGCTACCTTTCAAGCCCAGCTTCGAATCGACTCACCATGGCTAAAGAGCCCTGTTGTGGGGTATGTCACAGCCAGCCACAGCAGCTTCGAAAACGGCTACCACGCACTTGAGGGAAACTCCAAGGGGAACTCCGAGCGGAACTCCGTGCCTCTCTGATTGGTGCCCTACCTATTGGGGAACATATCGGAGGTGTAAGCTATCGAGTCAGAGCAAGTCCTGCTGGCTCGTTTAATTGTGCGATGCCGGCTGTAGTCGAATTGATTGCAGATTAATGAGGTGTGCCATGCTTCCCCACATGATTCACTGGTGGGTTCCTCATTGGTGAGCATCATTGTTTGGTCATGAATTCATCGTCATCAAGTTGGTAGTTGTTGCTGTAAACTGCGTTTGCGTCTTGATACCGAATCTGCCATCTCGGAGAAAACTCGCTGCAACAAACAGGTGGCTTCTTCAGCTTCCAAATGCTCTTCAACTGCAATAGCGATGCTTTATTCTGTACTACTTGGACCAATAGGCCAGACATTATTTGACCAATCAGATCGCGAACCTGCTTGCCCGGTAGTGGTTCAGCCACAGGGCAATACCAAATGCCGACAGCACACTAGAGTTCACTCTACAGCGTACCCAATGGATCTCTATCTCGCGTGGCTGAGAGTAGAATTATTTCCGCTGGGTTGGTATGCTGTATATTGCCTTTTGCTGAGCCGAAGTGTGGATTTGATTGCATTTCATTGCAGGTCATGTTTCCCCAGATTTCGCCACAGCAAACAATTTGACATGCATCACATCACAAGTTTCTATTCCAAATAGACCGACACAACCCATTTCGAGTTTCAAAATGTACATGTTGAAGGTTTGGAGCAAGAAAATCTTGATTTACGACGTTTGTCCAGTGTTTACGGAAGTTGACTCAGTGATGCGACTCCCGTCGTTCCGCCGGCGGACCAGTTCCTGGCATAGATTAATAGCTATCCGAAAGAGCAAGAACGATCTTTTGATAACACAAATACATATTTTTCTTATGCATAGAGGTGTCACCGTGATCAATTGCGCGGGGGTAATGCACGACAGGGTGCTATTAGCCATCTACCGAGATAGCATTTAGCCATGCATTACATCGGAGACACACCTCAAACATACCTATCGAGACTAGCATGCTTACTGATTAGAATGACTCCGAGGCTTAGCTTGTCGTTGTCAGTCCATTCTCCAATTTTTATACTTCGATGCTGTTTAACCATATTAGATGAGTGTTGCCTTCTTCAAGTATGGTAGACAAGGTAAGCATGGCACAACTCCCGTGACAAGTCCCAATAATGATAAGATTTATCTTGATAAGTTCAAGCAAGAGCAATTTTCTGATCGTTTCCTTCCAGTGGGTCATTTGTTGTATGGATTTCTGTTTATCCAAATTACCATGCAAAGAAAGCATAGATCTTGGCGCCCAGCTCCGGCATATCCAAATCCAGAACAATAAGACAACTGCCAGTCCATAATAATACATATATCTCTTAATATTCTTTGAAATGGGTCTGGAACTTCCCTTTCCTCGAATATCTCCCGTCAGATAACAATGGCTTTTCCTCCCTCAACGTCTTCCCCTGGAGGGAAAAACGCGACCGCACCGGGCGGCAACAATGCCACAGCTATTGCGGCAGCTGCCAGGAAGGCGGCGGCGTTGAAAAGAGCCCATCAACGAGTCATAAGCGAAGAGGCTGTGGAGCATTATGCTATTGCTCTGGCTGGTGTGATTGTGCTGTTCACGATATTTCACTGGAGCCGATTCTTGTATAGTCGATATGCCTCGAAGGGTGTTAAGAGATCAGGTGCTATGAAGATACAGGTGTCTATTGCTCGGTGAGCGTCACATCAAACTGTCCACGGAGTATTGTGCTAACCTGACCTGTTTAGAATGGTTCGGCACATTCTCACCCACAGAGTCCCAGGCTTCACTTCTATTGGACATGCAGTGCTTGTAATGATTTTTCTTCTCCTCAACATCCTCTTCCTGTTCATCCACATGGATTATACCACAATACTTCCGTTCGCTAAGCGGATCGGATGGTATGTTTACTTTCCAAACCCGATATGATGAGCGTAATTCTCACAGAAGTACAGGATGGCAATTGGCAACATCGCATTTGTTACCTGCTTAGCTCTCAAGAACACCCCACTCGCGTTTCTGACTGCGTATTCATACGAAAGACTCAACATCCTCCACCAAGTAGCCGGCTACACAACGGTGATATTCTCGCTGCTCCATGGGATCTTCATATCAATCGGGTTTATCAAGATCAACATGAGGAAAATGTTACAAGAACATGAACAGACATTCGGCATCACTGCAGGCGTCGCCATGTTCGTAATGATGACATTTGCCCTCCTTGTGCGCCGGATCCGATACGAAGTGTTCTACGTCTCCCACATCGCGATGTTCATCATTCTCATCGTCATGGTTGGCTTCCACCAACCGCATATCGCTGAGAAGGGGGCTATTGCAGTCATATTTGCGGGTACTATCTGGACTTGCGATCGTATTCTGAGAGGGTTGCGAGTGCTCTGGTACAGTTACGACAATCGAGCAACCATCACTCCTCTTGCCCATGGAGGAACTCGGATCATCCTCCGACGCTCTCCATCTCGAGCAGTTCCCGGTACTCACTGTTTCTTATGGATCCCAAAGATTAGACTTTTCGAAACCCATCCTTTCACAATTGTCAGCAACTCACCAACTTCCTTGGAACTCGTCATATCCGCGTATGACGGCTTCACCAATGATCTACACAACTACGCTATCAAAAATCCAGATGCAATCCTCCGCGCTTCAATTGATGGTCCTTATGGCGCAATTCCGAACTTCTCTAAGACTGCCGATAAAGTTATTCTGATTGCGGGTGGTAGCGGAGCATCGTTCACATTCGGCATTGCCTTGGATATGCTCAAAAAGCTCGACAGCAAGTCAAAGACGACCATTGATTTCATTTGGACAGTCAGAGAGCAGGGTAAGTGCGCCAATCAACTCTTCTTTTGAGCTGCAAGCAGTAGCTGACAATGAGCCCCAGAAACTCTCGCCTGGTTTAGCAAAGAGCTTGCACAACTTCGGGCGTCGCCAAGAGTAAACATTACCCTCCACTCTACACGACCATCATACACCGGCTCACCTGCCTCACCCATCGATGACTCGTCGCCAATCTCACCCACTTCACCCCTGGACATAGAAAAACAGCTTTCATTCGCAAGCACAACCCCTTTCGCAACTCGTCATCCTGACCCATTCCCCATTGACGTCGAAAAGACACGCGTTATAACGCACGGCGGGCCTGCGAACCCATGGGATTCCAGCACTTCCGTTACATCTGTAGCTGTTCTACCCGGAAGACCAAACGTCGATGTGTTGATTCGAGACATTGTAGCTAAGGCGACTGATGAGGAGAGAATTGCAATTGCGGCATGCGGGCCAGATGATTTGATGTGGTGTGTTAGGAAGACAGCAACGAATTGTATTAAGGTCAAAGGACCCAGTATCGAGTTACACTGTGAACAATTTGGCTGGTAGGGGTTTCTTTTGGAAGGTGTTCTTGGATTGTGGTGTAGGTTTAGTCGAGGGATTGGGATTACTTGGAGGATTGCTGAGTGTGGATACCCTATTCAAGGATATTTCTTTTTTTGTTAAAAACATTCAATTCTTACAATGAAGACTTCAACATATTCGTCACAGAAAGAAATTACTCTACATCCTCAAATCACTACATCGCACTAAGACTTGATCGTCGCCCATAGAAAAAGATTAGGAAAGTCTTGCTCACCCACAGCATTTTTCCCAGAGTAGAATTTAAACAGATTATGATAGATCATTTCATGGGTAATAAGTCTCTATTCTGCCTCTTCCAGCATTCTTACATTTGGAGTAATCGAGAAGCATTCAAGTGATGCTGGTATGTTTCTGTACAAGATACGCCAACAACTCGCCAAGATCTGGGCAGATGTTCCAGTGTGGCTTAGTTAAGTGCGGGGTAATTCAGGGCACTGGCTGCTGGATATTAGCGGGCTTGCCCCAGGGTGACAGTGACGACTTCGCTGGATTTTCAGGCAGAATGCCCTGAATCTTTAGCGGTCTGCATGACAGGTTGCAACACACGTGTCCACTCAAGAAGAGGAGAATACGAGACCTTTGTCATTATGGTGTCCGAAGCAGTACAGATCTTTCTTGGGAGATATCGGCCCTTTCCTTTATATTCAATACACAGCTATCTGATCATCGAGTTGAACCAATGGGCTTCGCTCATGTGAAAGCTTGAGGTTGGACTCTACAAAAGTCAAAGCACTGATTCCACCAGGAGTCCACTGCGCTCTATTGTGAGGAAGAAAAACGGAGATCTTCGAATCCGAAGTGGACGAGATAGATGTAACATGAAGCATATACTCCGAACTCCATCCTACCTCTAATCATCCTCCAGCCAATTTATCCAGCTAGTTCGAAAACAGGCCAGCCGACCGCAATATCTCCAGACGCCAATGATACTCCTCCCATAGTTACGATGAGCCCTGACCGTTAGTGGAAGATTGTATAAAAGAGAACAGAGAAAGAAAGGCTTCAAGAATTACAGCCTCATTCGTTGTCGCAATGTTTCCGAATCCAGGGATGTTGTAAAACTCCGTCCAAAGAAAGACGCTTGGAAGGGTCGAGAACAAGGAGCTATCGAGTATAATTAGCCAATCTGAAGAAATATACTTTGACAAGGAACCATACGGAGTGGACAAAATCCTTCGCGCCTTGGGACAAAGAAGCTGACATCGGCGTCATCTCATTTCTCGCAATACGTCTATGCGTCATGACTTGGCTGTCTTCAAATGGCGCTTCTCCCATCAAAAACTCATAAGCCAACACTCCAAGTGTCCAAAGGTCAATTGCGCTGGTATAATGTATTTTACCCGATGTTATCATCTCTGGTGGCAAGTAGTCCAACGTTCCACAGAGCGTCTGACGCCGATTGCTTGTAGAATGGACACTATATCCAAAGTCCGCTAGCTTCAGCTCTCCATGGAGACCAATCAAGATATTTTCTGGCTTGATGTCGCGATGCATAACATGCTTGCTGTGCAAGTATCGAAGAGAGTCGGCAACTTGAGCAAGATATCTGGCAGCTTTCGGTTCTGTGAAGCGTCTCTCCTTTTGTAGGACTTTGTAAAGTTCTCCACCAGCAGCGTACTCCAGAATCAGGAATATACGTTTCGAGTCGTGAAAATGATTGTAGAATTTCAAGACCCCGGGGTGCTGAAGATTGCCATGGACCTCGATCTCTCGCCGCACAAGATTTTCGGCACCTTCACGTACAATCTGATCCTTGTATAATGTTTTGAGCGCACATACAAAGCCAGAGGGACGATGCAGAGCCAGATAAACCCGTCCGAACTTTCCTTTGCCCAAGGGTTTCCCGATCTCGAAGAGACCAAGGTGAAAGGCCTTAGGAGGAGGCAGCTTAAGGATCCCCACATGCTCATCCGAGGCCTCAGCTATTTCTGTGGAACTTGTAGATATGACTTGCGTGTCCGTCGACTTGTGTCGTGAGATGCTTGAGGAATAAGACTGGGCTGACGAGGGTGAGATTCGATTGTGAAGGGCAAGTTTTAAGAGCGATTGGTCTGGTCTCGAAGAAGTTTGCAGCTTGGAGGGGTCATTCGCTCCGAATCGAGCCTTCATTGCAGCAGATGGCGGGTCATTCTAGAATATTGAGTTAGCCTGCTGTACTAAAACCGTATATCAGAATTGGCGGGCGGAAATGATCAGTTACCTGTGCTTTCGGCCACCCTGGACAAGTCTTCGTAGGAATGAGAATTGTCTTGACTAATGAGACCATGTTGGTCGATTCGGTGAGTCGTGTCTTTGGGACAAATAGCGCGCTGCCATTATCGACAGGAATACCAGCAAACAGTTGCGGGTGAGGGGGCGCGACAATGAGGGAGTTGACCGCGCACTGTAAACAGAGCAGAAGGCTGTTGGTTTTGATGAGCGGGCTCCTGCGCCAATGGGGCGGGTGATACGGAGGCGCACCTGCGTTCCATCAGAGGTGCATACCGATTACGCTGTTGTTATTTGGCGAGCCTCAGAGCGCACCCCGGTGCGCCGACAGTCGATCGACTGGGCAACAGCCTCGTGCCTGGTGGTGCTAATGTTGGAGATATGTGAGCGGATGCTGCCTGTCTTCCAGCCTGATAGTTGTCGCCAAAATCTCTTTCGAACGTGGAAAAGTCTTTGCCTGACGCACATAACTTAGAAATAGAGGATCAGAGCAATGGAAAAGTTATTCTCAGACGTGCTTGTAGTGTCTGCGTATGGCAAAGGTGATCCTTGTCAATAGCGTGTTTTTCCCCCCTGGGTTCTGTAAGGAGACGCTATCAAGTTATTGGGAATCAAGAGCCAAACAAACACCGAAGAAGGATTAAAGTCACGAAAAATCAATGCCAGGGCTGGAAACAAAAGGCACAGTGAATGCTGATAGTTCAGGAACACTGACACGCTAATATACTAACAGAACAATGAATGTGAGTCCTTGGTCCTGATAGCAGCACTGATGCTAATAATGTACCACTCAAGACTGTAAACAATTCTTTACGATTCTAACATCAACGTCTGCCACGCCGAGGCGTTTCAACTCAGTATGTAATCCAAGAAGTTCAGTACTGTAAAGTCAGCATATCCTTCTGTGGAAATCAAGAAATGAAGAGGCGTAGTCAGAAATGAATGAGTACAGAAAAGGGGATATACAGAGTCCAAATACACGGCCCGATCATTTCATCCCACTGATTTGTAGTAATCAACCACAACTTCGGCATCTTCCATCTCCTACTAACATCCTTCAATCTAAACATCGCCGTCACCAACGCCGCATGTTGCTGAAATGACATATACCTTCTCTCGGAATGCGCCAAAAGTTCAGCTTTTACTCGCGCGGACATCTCATGCTCGCCACTTATACTCCGAAATAAAGAGTATTCTGTGCTGTGATACCTAGCACACAAAGGCTCTGGTGGTGGTGATACGAGAGTCAGATGTTCCAGCTTGCGGAATGAGAGGAGTTGGGCGAGTATGGTGTCGGCCTCGACTCGTTGTATATCCATCCCTCCCACTGCCAGATGGCGAATCCTGTGGAGTTCTCTTGTGGGGACGGCCTGCACGCGGATAGGCTCCCATTCTAGCTGGATGGTGTCGATGTTAAGATTCGCACGGATCTGAGGTGGATGACCGACGGTGCCAAAATGCAGTTCCCAATTTCTTGCTTCGTGACGCGATTCCTGGCAGATCTGGAGACTGACTGGGGTTTTGGCGGTGCTGTAGAAGCGACCAGTCTGAACGTTGTAGTTGACTTTCACAAGTCTTGGATCTGGAAGAGCGAAGCGCCAAACCGTGATTCGGAGCTCTACTGGGAGGCTGCTGAAGCGTTGGAATGATTTTGGCGTTGCCAGAGACGTCATACTGATGGTCTTTCCACAGCTGCAGTAGATGGGAACAAAACACGGTGGACTCGGAGACGGTCGACTCGATATGATAAGGATGCAATCATGAAAAGGATTGAAAGGACGGGTTGCCTGTTCTGATGAAAATAATACGTGGTAGGCATTAAAATTCCATGCCGACGAGTAGTGAGGAGGCTGAAATATGTGAGTCTGCCAAGAATACGAATCCTTCCTTCCGCTCCAACGGCGCACAAATGACTGGAAGGAAGGATGATGCATTGTCTCAAGAAGAGTAGGGACAGTCCAATCGAGCCTGCCATCTTCGTACACGATTTCGTATATCCACAAACTTGAGCGTCCTGTATCATGCGCACCGCTCCTCAAATGATCCTAGACAACAACTAGAATACCATACTGAACCGGGATTTCGCAGCCGACAGATTCTACACAAGTCAATCACTCTCCAACAATGCAAATGGATTGCTCGATTTTGGCTTTCCCGGTGGTAACTCGGTCGCAGCTTGGTCTCTCTTTCGCTTCTTCTTCGATGATGCTTTCGATTTGGTGTCATTCTGAGCAAGATACGTGGGAGAAGAGTCCAGAACCTTCAACACTTCCCTCAAGTTCTTCAAGAACTTCACACCATGAGAATTTCGGACGATGGAAGACGCAGTCCCAAGATCGGGATAGTCGACCAATGTTGGGACAGACCCTAGCAGGGAATGTAGACGATGGACCGCCTCAGGTATTGAGGTTTTATGTCCAGTTGCAACTACCAGACTTGTAATCTGCTGCAACATTCTAAAAGAATACAACGAGCCTTGAAGTTGAGCGAAGAACTGAATGACATCCCATCCAAGGTACCCAGACGGGTCGGAAAGTTTTGGATAAGAAATACGCTGTAGGAATAGCTGACTAGCCGCAGTTTTCGAGCTGGATGCTGACCATTCAATATCTTGGTGCACGGCAAAAGCCACCCAAATATGCGTTTCTGTAAAATCTGGCAGTTTATTTTTTAGGGTTTGGAATGTTTCCAGCACGGCGGTGCACGCCTCGGAGATGTCAAGGACTTCGGGAAGCATCAGCTCCCGGCCTCCTGACTTTTCCAACTGCCTTCTATGCTCGAACACACTCGACGCTTGCTCGCGAGTAGGAACAATGATATTGACGAGGCCATATGCAAGTTGCCGAGTGGCCGTCGAAGCTTCCCAAGCATTCGTGCGAACAGGGCAATCAATTAGAAATGGCAAAAAAACATGAGGCGACAGCGAAGCAGGTTTCCCACTTACCAGCGGTTGACCAGCAATATGAGCAAGGCTAGGAAATTGGAGTACGTATTCAGAAGTTCTTGGATCCAAACGTCGAAGAACTCGGAGGGCCTGTGCATATTCTATGGACATCTCCGATTCAGCGCGCAGCGGAGCATATTCTTTGAGGAAGTCATCGAACATCTGCCTATGGCTTGTGATGGCTTTGAGAGACTGCGCTTGTGTGAGAAGTTTCGGAAAGGTCCCTTGAGCATCCATGAATATTTCGAATGCCAGTGAATGAAGACCGTGGGATTTTGGCAGTGTCAGACGCTCACTGATGGCTGCTGGGTGAAAAGTTTGAGTGCGCAAGATTCCTGGACTATCACCTGCAGTAAGTTCTATATCACTAAAGAAAGTCACTGCACCGTTCAAGCCTAGATCGTGCACCAGAAGGTCGGAGTCGCTAGTGAAAACTATTCCACCATCTTGCTTCAGATATCTTGCACAGTACAGGTCTGCCTCTCCTGGAACGACCTCGGTAATATTGGCATATTTGCTCGACGAAATCAGAGCTTCGAGAATTGCTGGTACGACAAATGACACGGCAGGAAGTGTCGTTAGGCCAGAACGGACAGCACCGCCTTGAAATACAGGTAGTGGGGCATCATTGGCTTTTGGAAAAGAGGACCGACAAGGCGCGTTACTTGTCTGATGGAACTTAGTCAATTGATGTGTCGAGCTCTGAAGCCTTTCTAGCCGGACATCAAGCTTCGCTTGAGGCAGGTAGCCATCAAAATATATCTTCTTTCTGGACGTTGTCAGTGGCCATATCCTGCACAAGGAAGTCCAAATCTGCTCACATATGCACATTGCTTGCTCTGACGGTATCTAGCCATGAAATAGCTGTGTCTGCTAATGCTCGATAGGACGGTGCAGCTTCCAGTGCATTTTGGGCTCCTGGAGTAGCTTTGAGACAGAGGTAGTAGACCTGGTGAGCGAAAGAGGGGCCGTCTATCACAACTTGCTGGCCATCCAATGATGCTGCATCTGCATAAGGGCGCAAGAACGTGGTCAGATGTCGGATCCCCATTCCTTAGGGAAGAGGCTTTCAATCAACCTCCAACAAGAGCTTGAATTTTGTTTGCTGATCAGATGGCTACCTGATTATCGAAAGTGTGACCTGACACCCACAGGACAGGCTGTGGATGAACTGTGGTGAGTGCGAAGAGGTCTTGGCATCATGTCGCCTCTCATTGCTCCGCTCCGTTCCACTCTGAAAATTAGGCGACGGGACTTCCACCTACCTAGCTTCAACTTTTCTTTCTCAGCTCCACCTCCTGCTATTTTCTTCCTCGCCCACCAACTCCAGCTTCACCATGCGCAATACCCTCATATTCGCTGGCAGCTCCTGCCCAGGGCTGACGAACCAAATATGCTCGAACCTGGGTATGGCTCCGGCCGCTGTCGAGCTCTCGCAGTTTGCAAACGTGAGCAGACTTTTGTGCGACCTCTGTTATGGCTGGGCTGACAATTTCCCAGGGAGAGACTAGCGTCAAGATTATGACCAGTATTCGAGAGAAAGATGTATTTGTGGTTCAATCGGGCAGCAGTAAGATCAATGATAGTATCATGGAGCTTCTCATCTTGATATCCGCTTGCAAGGGAGGCTCAGCAAACAAAATCACTGGTCAGTTCATTTTTCTCTCGTTCGCAATTCTCCCGTACTGACTCGGTGCAGCTGTTCTACCATACTTTCCATATAGCAGACAGTCGAAGAAGAAGTCGCATCGGGGCGCAATTACTGCTCGTATGCTTGCCAACCTCCTTCACGTCGCGGGAATCAACCACGTTATCACAATCGACCTACATGCCTCACAAATGCAAGGATTCTTCAAATGCCCAGTCGACAACCTGCATGCGGAGCCTTTGATTGCGAGATGGATTCGGCATAATGTTCCTAACTGGTCTGAAGCTGTCTGCGTGTCCAAGAATGCTGGAGGTACCAAAAGAGTCACATCTCTGGCAGATGCTCTGAAGCTCAACTTTGGCATGGTCACAACGGATAAGAGACGAGGTGTGAATATGAGTGGCAGTTTTGTCATGAATCCGTTGGACCACTTCGACCACGATCTGGACGATGCAGATGTTAGTAAGCTCGAGATCGATGACGATGAACGCAGCTTTAATTCGGATAAGAAGCCTGAGCTCAGCAGGATCCAAACAAGTAGCAAAGAGAGTCACAAGTCGGATCAGTCTACATCCACCAAGCATAGTCCTCCACGCAAACCAACACATGCGCGCCAGGATAGCAATCCCTCCCCACGAAAGCCTCAAAATTTACCGTCCCCGCTTCGCACCGCACACAAAGGGCCAACTGCAACAAGATCACCCCTTGTTCGCGCTTCCACTACCCCAGCACGATCTTCACCCATTGAAGAAGAGATTGGAGAAGGAGACGAAGCTGAGTTCACAGATGAACGTGCTCGAGACATCATCCATGGTCGATTGATTCATGGTCATATTGTGCCTGATGATTACCCCTCACCGACCCAGTCTGCCATGTCAAGCTCTATGATACTCGAGCGACCTGAAGATGATCCAATGGAGATGTCGAGAGCCTCTTCTTACTTCAACCCTGAACCACATGCGCTTGGCGGTACTGCTGATGCTACGGCAACTTCGGACGAGGAAGAAGAGGGCTTCAATAATCCGAGCTTGGAGCAGATGATTACCTTAGTAGGAGACGTCCGCGGTAGGACTGTCTTCCTCGTTGACGACATGATCGACAAAGCTGGCAGTTGGATCGCTGCAGCTGAGTGTTGTGTCAAGCGCGGTGGTGCAAAGAAGGTTTATTGCATTGCCACTCACGGTTTGTTTGGCGGCGACGCACTTGAAGAGCTTCAAGACTGCGATTGCATCGACCTTATTGTCGTCACGAACTCCTTCCCAATACCTCCGGAGAAGGCGAGAGAGACCAACAAACTCGTCATCTTGGATCTTTCAAATTTACTTTCTGAAGCTATTCGAAGGAATCATTATGGCGAGTCTATTTCTGCTCTCTTTTCACATTCACACGACTAAATCTGTTATTTATTGTAAGCCATTTGATTTATTTCCCCAATTCTGTTATTTGTATGATTAGCGTGGCGTTCATGGGAAGGCGAAGGATGAGTGGTAAGGATATGACCGTCTTGCTCACTGCACGGATGACGGAGGAGTTTAGAGACAAATGATAACGATTTTTTTATGATAACCAATTGCACTGAGCGATCTTGGTTGTGCTGTATGTCAGTCTTTTCATTTTTGTCGACATGAGCTGGACTGCTGCAACCGCTCTGGTCCAGGCAAAACCCGCGATGCATTCTTTAGTGTTTGCAGGAGCTACTTTCATCTAGAAAGCAGTTCCTAACGGAGCGTGGGGAGATTGAGTTTAGTCCTTCGGGGCTCGTCGGGATTAGAAGGCACCTTGTTCATGCGTATGCTACAACCTTTCATTAGGATGGGGGCCAAGGGGCAAGAGAACTTCCTGAACAATCCGTTGTTACGAATTCCACTTCGGCCACTACACGTACTGGCTTCGTGCATTAGACCAAGCACAATTTGATCAGTTGTCGTGGCCGGCCTCTTCCGTATTTGCCAATGTTTCAATATGCTATGCTCATTTATTACATATGCTGCCTTATGCATGTACCACTACATGTGTGTTGCCGTGCTTATCATGTAGTTCATAGTCAATTGTACAATGATGTCCCAAACTCCAGAGAATGCTTGCTGTTCCCTGCTGCATGCACATCACAGTCGTGCTGAGATCTCAAGACTCTCCACCTCCTTCTGGCTCACCCAGCTTGAGACCTTCCTAGGAGCCACTTCAGGCTCAATCTTGTCTTCCCAACCCATAGCTTTCACGATCCTCCTCCAACTCTTCATTGCTCTCTCTGCATGCTCAATTGGCACATTTGGATCCTCCTTTAGAAGACTCCTATTGAACAATTCCATGGAGATCCATCCTTTGTACCCCAGTCCCTCCTTCTCATCGCAGATAGTCCTGAGGACATCCAGCACCGGTAAGTACCCTCCTCGCTCCTCCTCACACATAAACAGCCTGCAATTCCGACTCCAACTCATCCTCGGCTTCTGCCCCTCCACGTGAAAAGCATGCGTCTTACTCATCGGCGTCCTCAATCTCTCCGCATCAACTACCTGCACATAGAACACCTTCTTCACATCAATCGTCCTCGCCATCCTCCGCATACTCTCCCTAAATGTCACATCCGCATTCACACACTTCCCATCCGGCGAGCATGGATCCGCATATTCCCGTCCAGCGATATTAAACGTATCGAGACACAGCCCGAAGTTATCTCTATCGACCGCCTCAACAACAGCCCACGCCTTCTCCCACGTATCGTTGAACGTCCCCCAGCAGAGATTCTCATACGCGAACTTAAATGGTGGGTTCTGCGCTGCTCCCAGATCGGCAATCTCTCTCAGGTCTCTCGCCACGACATCCAGGTCTCCAGTCACACCCTCAGTCATGAATGTACATGGGATCTGGATGATATCCGTCCCTAGGATCCTCGCAATGTCAAACCAGAGATACAGTTCTTCTAGTTTCGCAGCGCGAGCTGAAGCAGAGAGGAGACCCTCACAGTTACTGAAGGGGCCGATGCCCATGATTTCGAGGTTGAGGGCGCCGCATTGCGTGCGTATTTGGTGGGCGGCGAGGATCTGGTTTGTTGGTGTTGGACCGCCTGGGAAGGAGGACGCGAGGTAGAGGAGGTCTTCGAAGAAGATCTCAATTCCTGGGAGAGAGGCGGATGCCGCGGCTGTGAGTTTCGGGGCCATTGAATGTGCCCATGCTCGCTGTTCTTTGTTAGCGATGTTGATATGGTTGGTTGGGATGAGTGATGAACTTACGCCAAGAGACATGCTACAGATTGCTGGTTTGTACGACATTGTGTATTATCTGATATATATAGATCAACTCTAATGGTAATAAAAGAGTACTGAGGTGGTCGGTGAACAGTCTAGTCGAGACCAGGATCGAAGAGACAAGTGATTGAGAAGTGTTCCAGTACGACAGGTAAGTTTCCAAGAGATCCGATATGAGAAGATGTTCAATTTTGGCCGGTCCGTGAAAGAATTAAACTCATATCATAACTTAAAAAGATAAAAATAAGAAACGAATATCTAAGCACAAATATCGACCCACCATGCCCTTATCAACCTACATCCCCTCTCCAAGACCTATTTCAAGCGGAAGCACATGGTTCGCAAAACCAGTGGAAGAGGTTATTCGCGGCCTGGCTCGGGAAAATAATCTCCATCCGCTCTCAAGCCTAGGCCTAGATTGCCAAACCACGTTCGCTTCTTCTATTTGTCCTAGAAGTCCATTGGACGACGATTCACAAGTCTAGCAGGCTTGGAAAGGGTGCGTCCTGTGTTATGTTGCGGCGATTGGCAGGCGGATGAGGATTTTGCCGTTGCGACAGTCTTTTTCCGGCGTGGGGGCTTGGCGACGGTGGTTGTCCGAGAAGTCCAAGGGGTTCGCTTAACCTACTTGAGCACGCCGAGAGGTTGTTCTACGTCGAGACGAAGGATATCTCTACCTGCTTAAAGATTCGAGATCCGGGTAAGGACTAATTTCAAATTGATTCACGTCGAAAGTCCTGTCCAGCCGACCTGGGGCTAGGCAGTCGTGGCGCAAACGAATTCTTCCGCTTCGCTGTTGTTGACATCCGATCGTCGCCTTTCTCACTTCCTGTAGCACATTCCGAACCAACCGCTTGGGTTGGTACAGCATGAGCTGCTACTACATAGATTAGCTTCCTCCTTGAGATTTCCCTCTTTCAGATAATTTTTTAGATAAAAGTGTTTCCATACACTCTTTTGCTTCACTTCAAGAATCCGAGTTGGCCATCTTCTGTTTCCAGTTTCGTACCCAAACAAAACAATGTCTACCTGTACTACTTCCCCAAAAATAAACATCATAATCATAGGCGGTGGTCTGATCGGTCCCCGTCACGCCCAATCCATCATCTCCAACCCGTCAACCCACCTCCTCGCCCTCATCGACCCAGCACCTCACGGACCGGAAACCGCGTCGTCCCTCTCAACCCACCATTTCCCATCTATTGCCTCGCTCTTTTCTTCTTCCCTCCCAAGACCAGCCGCAGCAATAATCTGCACACCAAATAAGACCCATGTTCCGATTGCACTAGAGCTCATCGCGGCTGGTATTGATATCTTGGTTGAGAAACCCATCTCGACTTCTATCCCGGAAGGGCTGGAACTCATCGCAGCAGCAGAAAAGAAAGGTGTCAAGGTATTAGCAGGTCATCATAGACGCTTCAATCCGTATTTGCTAGCAGCGAAGAAAGCACTTGATGAGAACAGTCTAGGTCAAGTCGTCGCTGTGCAAGGGACTTGGTGTCTGCGCAAGCCTGCTGCGTATTATGATGGGATAGGAGAATGGCGAAGGAGTGGTGAGAGTGGAGGAGTGGTGCTGATCAATCTCGTTCATGAAGTGGATCTTTTACAGTACTTACTGGGGCCAATCACGATGGTCTCTGCTATTGAGACGATGAGAACGAGAGCATTTGATGCCGAGGAGGGAGCTGCGATTGTACTTAGATTTCAGAGTGGTGTTGTTGGGACATTTTTACTAAGTGATTCGACGCCTAGTCCGTGGAATTTTGAATGTGGGACCGGTGAGAATCCGATGATTCCAAAAGTTCGAGAGGAAAATTTTGCGGGTGGCTTTTATAGAATTATGGGTACAAAGGGGAGCTTGAGTGTACCTGATTTGACGAGATGGACAGGCGAGTGGGATGAGAAGCTTAGCAGAGAGGACCTGCAGGTTCAGAAGGAGATTGTACCATTTGATCAGCAGATTGAGCATTTTGTGAGGGTTGTGAGGAATAGTGAAAGGCCAGGGTGTACGGCGGAGGAAGCATTGAGTGCAATGACTGTTTGTGATGCTGTGAAAGAAGCAATGCGGTCTGGCAGGTGGGTTGACATTATCGGATTTGAGGTCCAGGTAAGAGGAGCGTGACTTAAGGCATGCAGAAACGAATTCGAGAACGAAACTCAAGAAGCGAAAAGTTTTACGGATTGCCAAAATCTTCTCATTATTATTATATATTAACGTACAATCTGTGATAAATACAAAGAGCTAAGTACAATGAATAGTTTATACATGTGTGTGTATGTACGTGTTGACTTGAGTCCATAATTTTACCATGTGAGCCTCATCAAAGCCGGATTGAGCGCAATAGGGAGCAAAAAGTGATTCGCGACAGAGAGCGCGAGAGGGAAGATTGCAGTAAATTGCCGAATTCTCCACTGGTATGGAACAGCATATGCACATACAAAAATCAAGAGGAGACCGCCAAGGCAGTATGAGAAGCGTCCGCTGAAACGGTTGAGAATTTTTGGCACTTCTCGAAAAAAGTTCGAATTCTCGACCTGTAAGATGTTAGTGACTGCTCGTGATTTCTGCCAATATATTGATAGCGCTGGTACCGTACCTCTTTATTAGTTGTTGTCCATTGAATGTTGATAGAAAACATATGGCAAAGTAGTGCGCGGCTGACGGAGAGAGATAAACCGCCGAAGAGAATTGAGAACATCAGGACCCATTTGAAATTCTCGAACACTATTTTCAGTCAGATTATAGTCCGTGAAGGAGACAGAGAGATACTTGCATGACTCGACCAGATTTGTTCTTGTACTGGTTCGGTACCTTAACCAAGCAAGACAGATGTTGCTTAAAAAACTGAAAACGAATACCAATCCAATGAATACGTTGAAAGATGGAAGATACCAGTGATCAATCAAGGTATCTGCCCATCCAATCAGAAAGAAGTTGACCAAGCTGAAGATCCAGGCGGATCCGATAGCATAGTAACTGGCAATGTAGCCAATCGTGCTAAGCTTAGACGCTATTGGTGTCTTTGATGTGACAAAATGACGGATGAGTGGTGTGAAAGGGCCTTTTCGCAGCCAGTCTTTCAGCGGATTGAAGACTAGCTCACTACAGCCGTAGGCGTATTTTTCCCATCGCGTAATCTCATCATAGATTGTCAAGGAGACGCCTTCCTTGAATCCTTCCCCAGTATACGTCGCGAATCTAATGGTCCAATTTTGGCGTTGAAGGCGAAGTGACATGTCGAAGTCCTCCGAGACACTGCATTCGGACCAGAATTTAATAATCTGGTCTTCGTCAAAGTACGCGACGTCTTGCATAGATGACCAACGTAGCATCGCGTTGTGGCCAACAAATGGTCCAACATCACCATTCGATACCATATAGCCAATGGCAGTATAGATTAAGTCCGTAAAATACCTAAAGATATAAGCGAGAATCCGTTGACTTCCACTTCTAAACTTACGAGATACCACTTTCAAAGAAATCTTTGGTCACATGCAACACCCCGGAAGTGTACTGTAAAATACCAACTTCAGGTGATAATTGCATCTCATGCACAGCATCAAGCAAGCAATCCTCAGGGATGCGTGTATCAGAGTCCACTAGTCAAGAAGGTCAGCTTAGGCACGAGCGGTTCGACGATGGCTCATACCCAAAAGAATATAATCTCCAACTCGAATATTTCCACCCGCCAATGGGCTGCAAGGCAGCTCGGACATAACTTCGAGCAGACTTTTCTCGTACTCCTTATCCTCGTCCTGCTGTGACCAGGTTTCATCTCTTGTAACCCTGGCAAGCTTCTCTTCGAGCTTAACGCTTATCATCAAGCCAAAATTCATATTTGAAGCCTAAAACGCAATGTTAGTAGGATGCCCCGCGAATAATAGCTGTGTACACTGACCTTCTTAAATCTGCCCCTTCTGAGAAATTTTGGCTTTCCTGTTAATGCAACGGGATTATGAGCTGGACGGGCAACCCAGCCAATGTTGTTTTTCTTGTAGAATTTTTTCCTATTGTCGACTTCAAGCTTGGTGAGTCCAGAAAGCATTCCATCATCGTTCACAAATATGTTCGCTGACCCTCCTTGCATTTCATATGTTGAAATGGCCGCTTTCAAGGACATTATCGTTGGCTCAACGACAGTAGCTAGACTCTCTGTGTAGATCGGGCATTGGATGGTCACATGAGGAAGTGCCTCCAGTCTTTTTACTCGAGGCGGCGGCTTCGCGGAGTAGTATGTCGAGTTTGTGTGGCACTGCCCCACAGGGCCTAGGAGTTGGAAGGCACAAACAATGACAACTTGCATGAAGAACTAGACTTAAGTCAGTAGATGCAGCAGCATATTTGGCGTGTGTGGCATACCAGTGCTAATAGAAACTGTATAGGTGTGAATGCAATAGCTGCCAGTCGAGCATACGTATGATCGAGCGCTGATTCCTGCGCCAGTATCTTCATACCAAGCCCAACGACCAGTAGACTGAGTGCTAGTGTACAGGCACAGATAACACTGTTGATGTATGTTGGACGGCGTTCAACCACATACCCGAGCTCCAGTAATGAGCCGCCATCTTCGTAGAGAGACGCGGGCTTCAAATCGCATCCTGTCGCAGTAAACCACGCAATATCGACTAGTTGGTGCTCCAAATCCGCGGCTCGATCTAAGAGCTTCGTTGGGCTATCGTCCCAAACCAGAATATAGGACTCTTCGAGAATAAATGCTGCACATTGATGTCTTTGAGCCAGCTTTATATCTTGAAGTGATGGCAGCACTTGAATCTCAAGTCCTGATCTTAGTGTCACTCTGTCCGTTGATTCCATGACTCTGAAGGCGGTCTCGACAACTTTTGATTTCAATGTGATGACAATCTTTGTAACGATATGAATTAGCAAGTCTCTCCTAGGTGGGTATTTTAGGGGCAAAGACAACCCGAGGTTCCTCTGTGTACTGACCTCTGCGTTCAAATCAACCAATGCTTCAGCAAGTACACTTGCTGAAAGAAGGACAGGTGCCGTAATATAGCTGTTCCAGCTGTCTCTCATAAAAGCTCCTTCCTCTAGAGAGTCGAGATCCCCAATCCAACATCTGCTGCGCTGCTGCTGGTAGAGGTACTCGACGATCATCTCATGCTGGATGGTTGCGCCGACAAGATTTGGTACAGCCAAAACTGAATCCCGACTCTCAAGACGCGGTTGTGGCTGAGAACCATTTTGCGAAGCAACTTCCCAGGACCCATGCTCAGACTTCTCCTGTTGGCCTGACAGATCAACATGGGGGTCAACTGCCGGTACTGGAGAGTTCAGATCCCCCTGCATTGCTCAAGAAGGTATTACAGAGAAATGGCTACACACAGAAGCTGCGTCTCTGAAAAGGGCTTTAATAAGACACATATTCTGAACATCATATTTAGAAGGCTGGATACTTTGTAGATCTTTCACAGTACCTTTGAGAAAGATCCGGTGGCACTTTCTAGCTGACATCTTGATCTTCTACTTAGCAGATTGTTTACCCCAGCCTTCTTGTCAAGCGACAGCAAGAAATGTGGTTGCCAGAGGCTTAGTAGTGGCGATCTTGAAGCTATGTAACTTGGTACTATTAGGTTATCGAGATCGCACCGAAACCGATCCAGATTTGTCTCGGATCGTTTGACAGAACTGCACTGTGCAGCAAGAGCCTCTCTTTTTGTCGCAGACCCCAAATGCGAATCGAACGTCGATCATTACACTAATGCAACTCATTGTTCCTAGCTCCGATTGGCGAAGGCTGCAAATGTTATAGCACATTGATCTACTAGAGACAAATTAGTGAATCGTTTAGTCTAACGGTGTGGACTGGAATGTGATTTCCACCTCACGTGCCTCATAGCAATAGACTTGGAGGGGCAGTTGCCCGGGGACAGCGCCGATCAATCCTTCAAGGGCTAGGTAAGTGTCGCAATTCTGTGAAGTCCCACTTAACTAAAGGAAATTGAGTTGATCGTATTTCGCGCGAAAGGGGGCCATCAGGGGCCAGCCAGGGCGCTCGCTTGCAGCGATCCCGCTCCCAGTGCAGTTAGTCAGGGGTAAAGATCGCTAATGACTGGGCACGACAGGCACGACAGGCACGACAGGAACCGCAAGGGGCCAAGCACTCTAAGCGACAGGGTAAACACACCCACTCGAGCCACTTGCAGCAGGGAAAACCAGGCCTTGTGTTTCCGGTTCAGCAAAACCTGCGGGGAACTGCTGGGATATTTTGCCATCATGGGCACATTTTCATTCCACAAACCTTTTTTTTTTTTAAAGCCTGAATCTAAACAGAAGTCCATGGATTCGCCAGCCACCCGCAAAGATGCCGCATGTTCACAATGTCCAGAACGACACTGGGGACCCATCGAACCACAAACTCGACAAGCAAGGACACGCAACGTCAATTAACTCTGATGTTGATGTTAATGGGATCCAGAATAACGCGAAGCGAGCGACGGCGGAAACAATCGAATCTGCGTCTGAGTACAGTGTTCGAAGTAGGAGATCTTATATACGACCTTACTATCGCTCGAGATTGGTTGCAAAAACCGAGATCGAGAAACCATGGATGAGAGAACGCCGGCCAATATGGCCAACAGTAATTCCTTGCTTTGGATTTGCTTGCGGTTTAGCTCTGATCGCTGTTATGGTATATCTCGGAGTGAAGTCTGTACCTAAGCACGAATACTGTCTCGTTATGGAAGATGATTTTGACGGGCCGACTTTGAATACATCAATTTGGCAGCGCGAAGTTCAGTTGGGCGGCTTTGGGTTGGTTGCTTTGCCATGATAATATCTTTAGATTTGGACTAACTTGTGTAGCAACGGCGAGTTCGAAGTGACCACAAACGATACAGCGAATGTCTTCTTGAAAGATGGAAAATTGGTTATCAAACCAACACTTCAGGATCCGAGTATCATTGATACTCCTTATGCTCTGGTAAATCTGACGGCAGACGGCACTTGTACGTCTGATATTTGGTACGATTGCTGGGCTGCTACGAATGCGACCAATCATACCATAATCAATCCTATCAAGTCGGGCAGAATCAACACCAAAGCTTCTGCCAGTATCCGCTATGGCAGGGTCGAAGTTAAAGCAAAGATGCCCACTGGTGACTGGTTATGGCCTGCCATCTGGCTACTTCCAGTCAATGATGTTTACGGCCCTTGGCCGGCTTCTGGAGAGATTGATATTGCCGAATCTCGGGGCAATGACCATAACTACAAATATGGCGGAAACAACAAGATCATCAGCAGTCTGCATTGGGGACCAACAAAAGCTTTGGACCAAAGCTGGAGAGATACGAATACTCAGCGAAATTTACACTCCACGTACTCCGCAAAATTCCACACATATGCTCTCGAATGGAGCGAAAAGTACCTGTATACATACGTCGACAGCCGCATCCGTCACGTTATCTATACCAAGTATACGAAGCCTCAATGGACGCGTGGACAATTTCCCCAAGTCAGTGGGGGAGAATTAGTATCAGACCCGTGGAACACGAATCGTTTCAACACTCCATTTGATACTCCCTTCTATCTCATCATCAACCTTGCCGTGGGAGGAACAAACGGCTTTTTCCAAGACCCTGACGACCAGAAGCCGTGGGTCAATACAGCTGTCAATGCTTCCGCTTATTTCTGGGCTGCGAAAGATTCATGGCTTCCAACTTGGGTAGAAGGTAAGGCGCAGCTGGAGGTGGAAAGCGTCAAGATGTGGCAAGAGTGTGGTTGATCCTTTGAAAGTGATCTCTCTTCATGATGTAATTTATTTTTTGAAAATCGATTTTAAGATGTCCGGATCATTAAGCCGTATCTATAGCTCGGACAGATGATGTGGATCCTGAACTAAAGTAACTGGGGAAACCATCTTGAGCGACGCTGTTAAAACAAGCGTTAGAGTGGAGAGAGTGGACGGTAGTGGCTGGCTGTCAGGAATGTGATTCAGATATCGTGGTGGTTGAAGTGAGTCGAAGAATGTGACTTGGGGATCTTGGGCAAAAATGCCAACCGGGTAACCGGGAAACCGCCCTATACCATGGTGTTGCATGGCAACCATGTTGGAATCAAAAGGTTAGATAACGATTGGTCCCCTCCTCGAGTGAGACACATCCAGACCGAGGTTTTGATAGTGGCGGGGTCAATATTGGGTCAGCTTGATTAAACTGGGAACCCTAGGTACCTTCCAGGCTCGCGGACTTCCATTTCTGACAAGTATATGAGCATGCCCTTGTTATGTAGAATTCAGTGCAACAATCAGTCAGAAACGAGTTTCATCATGTATCCTTCCTTCATCCTTCTCGGGCTTCTTGCCCTCGGTGCCTGCGCAGAGATCTCGACCGTCCACGTTATTGTCAAACGTGCTGTGACATACGCACAAACATGCACCTATTACAGCACAGTGACAGCCGCTGGTGCTCAACTCACCACCTCCTTCTTCTCTTCAACTTGCAACTCGCCTCTAGTGTCTGGACCTTTCGTTACCCAAGATTGCTTCACTGGACTTGCTCTAGGAATATCGTCATGCTCGGCTGCAGTAACGGCTAGTGCTTGTGCTCCCAGCACAACCACAAGAACATCCACGACCTTTTTTCTAAACCTTGGGGTTTTAATCCCAATCGGCACAGGAACGACGACTATTACTACATCAACATGTTCAGCCACAGCCTTCCCACCCAATCCGCTACAACCTGCCGCCGGAACAGTTTGTCTAGCAGACAATATTGGTGGCGTACGCTCTCTGTCTGGCCCTTCTACGAGTTCAAACTCGATGACCAACGCAGCTTGCAAGACTTATTGTACCAGCCTTGGATTTGCATATTCTGGCACTGAATATTCCTCTGAGTGTTACTGCGGCAACACACTTCCTACAGTGTCCTCGTCTTCATGCAATATGGGATGTTCTGCTTCCGGATCAACAGAGATCTGTGGAGGCCCCAATGCTCTGTCGGTTAGCACCAATTCTGCTCTTGTAACATCAAACATTGCGGCAGCATCTTGGTTCGCTCAAGGATGTTACAGTGACAACTATCCTTCGGTAAGTGACGATATTCGTTAAGTCTTGGCTCCAGAGTAAACAATGAAGCTAACAGCGTTGCTTAGCGAGTTCTCGCTTCGACGTCAACAACATCCTCAACACTGACTATCGAAAAATGCATTACCTTCTGTAATGGTGCAGGCTATACTCTCGCTGGACTAGAGAACGGGTATGAATGCTATTGCGCCAGTACTATACAGTCTGACGGGTCAACCTACGGTGTTGGCGGTCAGGCAGGATGCACCTTTACCTGCTCAGGCAACTCAACGCAACTCTGCGGCGGCAATAATGTTCTCAATCTCTACTCGAAGAACTCAGGCGCACCGACTGTTGCAGCAGCCGCGGCTCCTGTTCCGGCAACGGCAAATGGTTACACATATGTCAATTGCTACGCGGATCAGACCTCAGCGGGCCGAACACTTACAGTCAACAAATCGACCATTACGTCAGTAGAAGCCTGCGTCACAGCCTGCAATACGGCAGGCTTCAAATATGCTGGAGTTGAGAACAGGAATGAGTGTTGGTGTGACAATGTTATCCACACCTCAACAACCCTTGCCCCCAAAAATTGTCTTTTACCATGTACTGGAACACCCAGTGAAAGTTGCGGTGGTATCAACGCAATTGGTATCTACCAGGGTACAGCTTCTACGAATGTCAGAATTCCAGGAACTGCTGGAGGATACACGTATCTTGACTCATTCGTCGATCCAACTTCAGCTCGTCTTCTACCTATGCAACAGAACCTAGCCTCAAACACGGTTGGCAACTGCGCACGAGCTTGCTCCAATGGAGGCTATTCGTATGCTGGAGTAGAATACGGATCGCAATGTTTCTGCGGTTCTTCTTTACCTGGCAGTCCTACGGGCGGACAGACCCCGAATATACAGTGTACAGGCAACAGCTCGCAATTCTGTGGAGGAAACAACATATTACAAGTCTACAGCGGAACCCCGGCACCAACAGTTCTAACTCCACCTGTCACTAATGGTCAATGCGTGGCCGACAACACCAATAATGTACGAACACTCTCCACTTCTGGAGGCTCATCATCAAGCATGACTCCAGCAGCTTGTAAAACAGCGTGCGTAGGCTTTGTATACTATGGAGTTGAGTATGGCTCTGAGTGCTGGTGTGGTAACAGCTTCCCTTCTTCAACCGTGGTTAGTACACAGTGCACTATGCAATGCTCTGGAGATGCAGCACAGACCTGTGGTGGCAGTTGGGCTCTTAACATGTACAATTCCTAGTACCTTCCGTATTGAGATGGTTAAAGCGTGACGAGGAATGAGGATGGGTTCTTTCTGTGCAAAGTTTCGCTCGGTGTCTTTTTTCTGTTAGTTTTGGTGTAATTTTGAACGAAAAATTGAAGTGCTTGTTAATTAGTTATCTGATCGGGTTGATTGCCATGAACAAACTGTTTGACATGCCTAACTTTTCACTCTGTACGTAATGCTCAAAACAGGCGGTGTGATTCAAACAGATAAGAAATGCAGAATGCAAATTCTCTTTACATGCCTTCCGCAAGCCTTCATCGGACGATCTTGGAGCTATTGTTTATTAGAATGCTTCACTCCGATAGCGAGCTTACCTCTGTACAACAAATCGTGAGATCTATTGATGTAGAGTTCGGCGAATGTCAAGGGAGGAAGTAGTGGATAATACGTGATTAAGGACGATTCTTGAATTGCTTGGTTTATAACTATCGAGAACTTGAGACTTCTTATATACATAAAAAACATGCTTCTACAGTACTTTAGCTGCGAAAGAGCTTACATAATGTAATTTAACAGCCTAGGTACCTTACGTACCTAATGGAATTACCTAGGTAGGTAGGTAGGTAGGTACCTAGGTATGGGTCGTGTTAATGTCACGTGGTAGCTTAGCGAGCTTAAGCGAAGGCTCCATACTCGAGTGGTGAGGATTACGGAACATAACGATTAACAGTGGTAATAAGGATAAGCAATTATCTTTTGAGATGTTTTTTTTTTATTTTATTGTCTCTCAACAAGCAATTAGAAAGATTAGACATTATCGATTGTGATGTTTTGGCGGCATGACAGAAATCTCCAGTTCAACCCACGGGCCGAGGTGTGAAAAGCCTCCAATTCGAACCCTCCCCACTCATCACCACTGTGCCGTAACTTGCCCAAACATCCCTCTGCAACGCATCCGCAATCAATTGCGCATTGGACCAACCACCAAAGCAGACAGTCAACTTGATGGGGCCGGTCCTGAAACCACTCACCCAGCCATCATCAACTAGATGCTGTGCGAAAAGCTTACCTTTCATCGGCCTCAGATAAGTCACATCAGTTCCCTTGACCGTGGTTGTCATGTTCGGAAAGACTGTGTTGCCAGAGCCGTGAGCGACCACAGTATCATATGGGTCAGCATGACCTGGTATCCTTAAAGCATCTGAGGCCGGCCGATTTCGGGCTTGAAACCACAAATCATCCCTATTGGTTTCTGCCTGCGGAGTCAAAGAGTGAAGAATCCCCCCAGGACGACGTGGGGTTGGGTTGGCGATCTCAAATTTCGCCGTGCTGCCCTGAACCTCAGCACTACGAACCGCCACGGGCATTATTCGATTGTCAGTGATGCCCAGGTAGCTTCCGCTTTCCAGGATACCACCCCCGAGTCCTGTCACTGCACCTGTCACCAGAGCAAGAGCTGTATCAGAGCTGAACAGTGGCTGTCCAGTCAAAAGAGCCGCCGTCTCCCCGCTGGCAAAACTTCCACTTGCTCCTCCTATTGTCCCCGACACAGCGGTTCCTACAGCTGTGACAGCACGTTGACTCCAGCCAGCTTCGAAAGCAGACGCCATAGCCGCTCTGCCCGCCGTACCACCTGACCCAGCTCCTACAGCTCCACCAATGAACCCTGAAGCAAGATCTATTCCTGCCCGTGCGGCTGTGAATTTCTCTCCATTGATAGCAGCCTGCGTTCCGTCTCCAGCGACACTACCAGCAGCCCCAGAAACCGCTCCAGCCGCAATGCTTGCTGAAATGCATTCAGGGCCGAAGACTGCTGCTGCGGCGCCGCCAGTGAGGACTCCCGCAACGACTGTCGCGGCAATACCCACGACGAGCCCTGCGATCATAGCCCCTGTTGCTGAATGACCTGTGCCGTCGAACAAGTTGACCGGATCTCCTGAGCAGAATGCATACCGATTCTCTTTGTGGGAGCTATCCATTGTGATGAAAGAGCCTTGGGTGGGCTGGTACCAGCGTGAACGTAGGTATACAAGTCCGCTCATTGTATCAGTGAGTTCTTGTTGGAAGCCAAATTCATAAGCTGGTGTGGCAGTAGGAGAGGTTGAACTCTCAATCTTAGCACCATACGCTTCGTAGTAGGAGGATGTGTCACCTGCTCCGGCCATTTTGAGTGCAATCGAGCCTTGACTCTCGATGAAATAGGTACTCGGACTTGAGCCATCTGCAGATTGGGCTGCAACACGACTGCCTGAGGCGAGAAGGTATGACGCACCCGAAGGTTGAGCACCTTTCGTTTCGGTGGCGTTGACACTTCCACTATCATAGTAAAAAGTGGTCTGACCTAACGAAGAGTCTTGTGAAGATAATGCACCATTGGCATGGTATCCAAACGAAACCTGAGCTTGCTGGTTGGTGACCATGAGAAGCTGGTCATCAGAAGCGTAGCTGTATCGCCTTCCCGTGTCATCTGAAATTTGTCGCCCATTGAGGTCGTATTGGAATCCAGGATCGGTTCGCTGATCAATTGAGTTGTAACTTCTGTTCATTGTTTTGCCATCCACTGTAATTGAGAGAATGTTAGAATTTCCATCATATAGATATTCTCTCGTAGTCGACACATTGGTGTTCGTGTACACAGTGGTGTCCTGTCTTAGCTGGCCCAGCCCGTCATACAAAAGCTCTCTCCGATAGTTAGATTCAGGAACGGATGGAAGGGCTTCTGAGGACACAACCACCTCTTGTAGTTTGCCTTTGCTGTTATACGTGTAGTTCACATCCAGTAGCGTTTTCTGCGACTGGCTTTGGGTAACCACAAGACGATTTACCCGGCCAAAACCATCATATGACAGGTCCTTCTTGATGGTCTGACTTCCGTGGATCTCATTGCCAATCAGCTCTCCTTTCGTATGGTTCACTACACCATAACTGAAGGTAATAGTATTGGTTGTTGATTTTCGTGATGAAATGCGGCCTTGTTCATCGAATGAGTTTTGGTACACCTACAGAAAGCTGGTCAGCGCAAATACACATCGCTAATGAAACTCTTATTACCGTCTGTAGAGCGTCTGAGTCCTGGAAAACACGAGAGTACTGGTCCAATTGGTAGGTCTGTTGGGCAGTATCCGAATACGTAACTGCAACAGCGCAACCGTCCAACGCGTATTTGTAGTCTGTCTTTCCAACGTCGGTCGATATCTGAGATACCCTGCCGTTTTCAAAGTAACTCTTACTCAAGTTCTGAGAGGAACCCGTGACACTCGTTAGTCTTCCGAGTGCATCAGCTGTGTAGAAAACTTGACTTCCATCGAAACGGGTGAGGGTAGTCATATTTCCATTTGCATCATATGCATATTTTTCTTCCTGGGCCATCTGGTTTCTGTATGTAGTCAACAGATTACAGTTGTCTCGAATATTTATAGCGCCAGGATGCTCCGTTGGTAGTGCGTTGTAATACTGCACTGTTTTGGTTTGCGTGTAGCTTGAACCAAAGATGTCGTAAACGACATCTCGCTGAACAGTGTCATAGGCGTTATCTGTCATATCGTTTTTGCCGCTCGTTAGTCGTCTCGAGATACTATTCTCGACATTAAAAGTCGAGTTAGTTGTCTCCAGTAAGATTGGCTGACCATTCGTGGGAATTTCCAATAGGCTGGATTGGATGACGTTCCCAGAACCATCGTATGTGTACGACTTTCCAAGTGAGTAGTGGATACTTGTGTCTCCGGAGTCTGCGTAGCTGGTCGTAAACACATTCCTTCCATATCCATCCAATTGAGCTGTTCCTCGAAGGTCTCCGTTGATGCTATGACTCGTGCTCAATCTGCTGTCGTCGTAAACATTTGTTTGGACGTTGCCTTGGGGGTCCGTGACTGATAGCACACGATTGAAAGCATCGTAAGCGTTGTACGTTGTTACGAGCCCCAACTCATCCATAGCCGAAACCATCAGTGAGAGTGAATTGTATGATACGCGCGAGAGCACACGGGTCGGGTCTGAGGACTGCTGTGACGGGACGCCATTGTCTCGCATCTCGATTTTTCGGCCAAGGACATCAAATGTCTCTCTTGTCACGTATCCTGATGGGCTGGTTGAGGTCACCGTATTTCCACCAGTACCCAAAGTATAACTGGTGGTTGTCTGGTTTCCGAAAGGATCGGTATGCTGGATACATCGGCCCAGCAAATCATACGAGAAGGTTTCAGTCTGACCGAGTGGAAGTTGTTTCCACACTGTCGGCCCTTGTATGCTTTTCATGTCATACTTCGTGATCGTGGCATGCCCTTGTGCGTCCGTTGCAGTGACAATGTTAAAACCATCATTATCATACCGATAGATGTTCTGGTTGGTATATGAAGTTACGGTCCCTGCTGGGATACGAACACCAGATGACCAAGAAATTGTCTCGGAGGTGATTCTACCATTTGTATCGTACCGCATGGATTTGGTCTTCCAGGGTTGTATCTGACCTCCACTTTCTTGGTATTGAGTGATTGAGGATTGAATCTGTTTCTGATCATCGGTAAGAGTGTACAAGACTTTCCTATGGAAGCCAGATACCTCATCGATGAAAGTCTCGTCTTGCAGCATCTCTCCCCCCCAGTTTGCTCTGACATAGTTACTTTGCGTACTTTTCTGCTTCACATAATCTTGCTTGGCAGGATCCCAGATCTCTTCTATGTTCTGTAGCATGCATCCATACTTATCGTACGTTGCAGATGATCGTCGCAAGCCCTGGTAAGCTGGGGGATTTGTGGTTCGGTTGTAATGCAGCTGCTCGGTGACGGTTGGGTACATGTAATTTGTGCTACGGGCATGCTGGTCTATCGCGATATAGTAGGTATATCGGGCTTGATACGACTCGATCAACTGAGAGTTCTGGTCAACTCCGTAGTGGAATTCTTGCATTGGCAAGTGCAAGTAATTGAATAGAACGCGAGTTGCTGAAAGGATGTTACCAGCAGCATCAAGATTTGAGATCAGAGTATCGTATCTAAAACATTATTAGCTTTCAGCTCAAGAGAACTCAAAAGTCTTACGAACCGGTAATTATCGTCATTTCCGTCGATCAAAGAATCTGTGAGCCCACCGATCCTGTAACCTGAGGTGTATCCAGTGTAGGTGCATCCACTCGTTGCTTCGCCAAATCTGTAGTTCGTTTGACTCAGTATGTCACCCGTATCGTCCATTCGATAATGGTCTTGAACGGCGGCGAGCGAGCACTGATTGCCATTGACGTCATAATAGTAGAGTGTCTGATATTCGAATCGACTTGTCAGAGCGGTTGGATGTCGAATTGTGGACAAGGAGAGTGCGGATGCAGCTTCAACGTATGTGAAAGAAGTAAGATTGCCGATGGGATCGACGACATTCTCAACGCCCTGGTCCGAAAAGTTTACTTGCCACTGCCCGCCGTCTGGAGTTGTAATTTGGAGATATTCTCCGCTTTGATACCCAAACTGGACCTTCTGGCCCCATGAATCCAGAATATAATCAACGAGAGCAGTACTAGGGCTCGCTTGAGGATCAACGTAACTATAATATACTGAATTCCCGAAAAGATCGTCGTGCTCAAGGACTTTTCCTGTGTCATCGTAGTAATCGAGTGTGCCGTCAGTCATCTGGAACCGCCACGCATATTGACCAGGACGGCCGGATGGCAATGGTTGACTGGGGACAACGTTCTCAAGCTTGATACCATGGTCGTTGATATACTTGAGTCCAGATTGGTACCCAGTTTCATCCGCCCCTACATGTCAGATTCTCAGGGTCAGTATAGATCATTGGAAGATGCCGCCTCTAAGTCCGAGCAAGTACAAACATACAATTTGGATCAATGATATACGTGCGCTGTTGTGTGGTGACGCTCTTCCCAGGAATGAGAAAAGGGAAGCTAAAAGTCCAATTCTCAGGGAGCCCAAAACTCTTGCTCTGGCCAGCTGAATAAGTAAGATTCAAGGCACAGTCGATGGCAGGTGTGATTCCCCGAAGGTCGACCAGAGGCTTGGAATATACAACAGAACTGCTCAGAAGTTAGTTTGTTCATTTTGATCTTTCCAGCGTTTCAAACAGAGAAGTTAAGAGCCCTACTTCTCTTCATCTCGGACGGGAGTAGTCATACCCAGTATTTCGGTTCACTGATTCGTTACCTGCAGGTTGGGCACCATATGCTTGGGATCCTTGATACTCTCCAGACATTTTGAACAAGCAAACCTCGTTCAGAAGTTCGTTACATTCTGAGTTCCCCTCTCGCGGGGTTTCTGACTTATAATAAGCAACAATGTCGACAAGTGATTCTGATCACATTCTCGAGTGATACAATGCATTCTCGATAGCATTCTTGAAGCTATGAAGTAAATCAGAATGCCATCAGCTCTATCTTGTTGTCGTATTCTAGGCTTATCAATAAAAAGAGACAGTATCCTCGGAAGTTGGGCCAAGTCAACTTCACATACCGAAAGCCAAATGTTTCCCATAAAGCTCGATACGGATACTTTTGGAATAATTATCACTTTTCCACAAGTGTATGCAACTCACCCAATCTTGTTTTATTACATACACATCTTAGAATGAATATTTTACACGGGTTTTTTGTCTGATACAGAAATCAGATCTAATACACTCAGAATACGAAGCTGGGCCCGGTCCATTTAATTCATCCTTGGGCATGAAATACGTGGAATCAAAGCTAGCTTCAAAATCGGAAATACCACAGCTGATCAGTTAGCAAATGTGTCTTTGGTGACAAACTACTAGTTCTTACCTCAACTGATTTATTGACTTCACACTGAGCTACTGCACACTCCGCTAAACCAACGTAGCTTTGTCGTCTTAGAATCTACTCCAGAAGTGAGATAGTTGTGGTTCAGGCGCCGTACATAGTCTCACTCCATTCTGAGTTACCTCCCTTTGAGTGTCTCAAATCTTGTACCTAACTTGGAATACTGTCTCAATATTGACCGTTGACAGCAAGCCGATCGCTCCACATCCGGTGGCAGCTGCCGCACGTGGAATGTGTTCCCTCGCGGGGAAGTTTTCTAGTATCATTCCTCGAGCTGGCTCTTTACTAACCTCAAAGCTCTATAAATATAGGCTTGCGAAATGAATAAACAGTACATCATGATTTCATAGTAAACGATTTTTCGTTCACCACCAGCCTTCACAGTTGAATCAATTGTAACCAAGACAATCTCGTTTGTGCATCCAAACAGATAATGTGCAAATATTCGCTTACTTCCAACTAGATTGCAAACTATTATGTTCTCAAAGACGAACTTGCTCTCCGCTGCCCTTGCGGTTGGATATCTTGCTGTTGGCACAAGTGCTGGAGCAGGTAAGTCTCCCTACATGACAAAACTTCGGGCAATGGCTAACCACGCACCAAAGGTGCCTATGTGAATGGTTGCGTTTGGTATGCCACCAAGCCTATCACGCCATTCAATGTCACATTTCAAGTCCCTACAAGCGTAGTCCACTGCATGGCAAGTATTTCCTCAATTTGATCTTTTAATCACGTAACTAATTTGCCCCAACAGTACGACAAAGGCACCAACGCCCAGGCTGTCGTCACTACTGATGGTCTAACTTGTGCCTCAGTTGGTCACGTCTCCGGCAAGTCATCATCCTCGGGTGGTGATACATGCGCTACAGACGATAGTCGCTGGGGTATTAGCTACACTGCAGGTTCGAAGTCTGGGACTACATACAGTACCTGGAGTGCACCAATTTTCAAGAGCGATCATATCGATCTGTATGATCAGAGCCCAGGGACCAATATCTGTGGATCAGCAGCAAAATGTGATGCTAGCAGTATCAAAATTGGATCTAGTGGAAATGATAATGTTTGGGTAAGACTATCGCAAAACGGCAGAAAATCTGTTTCAAAGAGCCTAACTAACTATATAGATTATTTTCGACCCGGCTGCGAGCTCGAAAGCTGACGTCAAAGATTCTGAGGAGTTGTAGGCTGTGAGAACTGAAGGTTGATTGCGTTAAGTTAGCCTTGACTGATTGAATGGTCTGACCAGCGTAATGTATCAGCGCCCCAAGAGAATATCTAAGACACTGCACCAAATAATATTTTTTTTTAAAAAAAAGGCCAATGTGCTCATAACATGTTCGTTAATTCAGTGAAGTTCGATTTCTGAGGTTTAGGGCGTAGCTACTGATTTGAATCGCTGCGCGAGTTTGTCACGGTCACAACACTTGACTTTAATAGGATAGACTGTTAAATGATATTTAGGTGTTGGGGCGAGCAGTGAGTCTGGACTGGAGCTTATTCTGATTGACAAGTAAAGCAAAAGAAAGTTAGAGGATGGGTGGAAGTTGAAGACTAGAGTATGCGTCACATAGTGCGTTAATCATATAGTACTCTACTAAGATTCTTAATGAGCACCAAAAATGATATATAAGTATATTAGGATTGACAGCTTTGAAGCTGAGTTGACAAGTTCACTGCAAGAGTCCAGTAGCCTAGCTACGTTGTCTTTATGTTAGCATGCTCCATTCAGGCTTTGACTATGCCATATCGGTTCTTACTGATGTAATATGCAATTTTGGAGGTCCTTTTATGCTGTTGGGCAAGTCTGTGCCGATTCGAACCCTTCCTTACGCCATTTCTAGTGCTTGATATTTCCATCTATAAGTAGTCTGCTATCTACTATGATTTCCTACACAGTTTCCAAATGACCCGCCTTCTCTACCATCTCATCTTTATTCAATCCGATTCCACTACCCGCAACATTGTGTCTGAACTGCTCCTCATCCTCTTTCAGCTCCACCAATACAATCCTGTGGGCATGTCTTGGCTTCAAGTCCTTCGAGAACAAGCGATCCATGCTCTCAAGAGGCACACCCTTCGTCTCAGGAAGTAAAACCCATACAAACACAATGGAGCAGATCATCAAGCTCGCGAAAAAGAAGTAAACTCGATAGCCCATCGCGGTGGACATCTGAGCTGTGAAGTGTGCAACAAGAAAGTTGAATAGCCAATTGGATCCAGCTGCGAAGGACTGACCAAGCGTTCTTACATTCTGCGGAAACATCTCGCTGTTTTATACCCAGGGAGTTCCATTCCACGATGGAGTGTAGAAGATGGTTCAGAGGTAGATGAATGCCATGGCGGAGATGCCGCCGTTCGAAAGCGAACCGTCGGATGTAGGGTTGTTCTCGGGGTCGGCGATTTGGATATATGCTCCTACGTAGAACAAACAAATTGCTCCTCCAAAGGCGCCATACATGAGTAGATTACGACGACCTAGATTGTCAATGAGAAAGAACAGCCAGATCAGTGTAACAATAGCCTTGATGACGCCAAAAATTGCGGTTGTGAGAAGGGAAGTGTTTGTTGCAGTGACACCAATAGACTGAAAAACAGTAGGAGAATAGTAATTGATCGCGTTGATACCGGATGTGTTCTACCAGAAAAACAGCGAGCATCCGAGAAAAAATCGATAAGAAACCTTGCTGTCATTGACCAGTGCTCTGGGTCGTGTTATTGTCGGCTCGCTTAGGTATTCTTGAATGAAGCTTACTTGAATGGCTGCCAGAAGCCAAGCCCAACTGTCGACTGCTGATGCTCAAGTGCAGCATCGATTGCTGAAACCTCTTCAAGCACATACATATGATCCGAAGGTAGTTTTCGGAGCCAGCAAAGATTGTTGAGCGCTTTGATGCGTTGATTTCGTGTCATCATCCATCGGGGTGACTCTGTGATGAAAAAGAGACCAACAAACATCAATCCCGCTGGAATCAATTGAACGGCGAAGGGGATTATCCATTGCTCGTGGTTCACTGGTAGGGTCACAGAGATTCCATACTACATAGGTTAGCTCTCGAATATCTCAAGTGTAGGGTAAAACATACGTTTATCCAGAAGCCAACCACGCCTCCAATCTGCCAGCCCATTTCATATAGGCCAACCAACCGTCCACGAATAGCAGGTGGTAATAGTTCCGAGATATAAATTGGTGTCAAATTCGAAGCACCTCCAACTCCAATCCCCGCCAACACACGACCACCGTAGATGAGTCCAAGACCTCTCGATTTATTGGCACCAAGCATGAGACCAGCTCCAAGGATGAAGATGATGCCAGCGAAAATTTGAAGACCCTTCTTTCGTCCTAGGTAGTCACCAGCAGCATAGGCGAAGAAAGCTCCAAAGAAAGCACCTGCTTGGTACAGCGAAACGATATTTTCTGAAATGAGATTTTGTTCGTGCGTGGAATACTGTTCCCAGTCGAACTCTTTCTTGAAACTGTCGAGGGCGAGAGTGCCACCGATGAAGGCACTGTCGTAACCAATCATCACGGCACAGAATGCCGCTCTAAATAGGTGTCAGAACGGATGCTCCATGTTCTGTGACGATGTAGAAACTCACACTGCCGCACATGTATACACTCGGAAATTGTATACGCATTTTGGCGTTGGCCTATCTGGAAGACGTGTCAGAACTCGATGCTTCGCATAGGCTTTTCGTAGGACCTACCCTCTACAAGACTGAGAATACTCATCTTGAAATTTAATGAAGAACTTTATGTCTCCTCTAATTTTGTGATCCAAATTGCCCAGAAGTGCTAAGTGAATATTCTGTGACTTGGGGATATGTTGGTTTAACTTCACAAGTCCAAAACAAATAAGGCAACAAAAAGTCAAACTGAAAGCACAGAGCAATCGTGACGGGATAGCATGGACAGAAATCGTAAGTCTTAACGGAAGGCCTCTCTAATTATATAGTGTCGGATAGATTGTTAGCCCTTGGGAAAGGGGTTTTGGAGCCCCCAGATACGAAGAGACGAGGATGATCTTGGGATGGAGGCGAGCGACATGGGGCAGGGACAAGCATCCTTGGGCGACTTGCCACAATGCAGCCAGCCGGCGGATGGCTGGGAGGCTAATCAGCACCAATCATGCGGGATGATGTACATGGTGAGCGCAAAACATTCTGCCCTTCATTTTAATGGAGATGTTGTGCATCAGTTTCGGAGATTGGACCTGTCATCGCGGATTAATGATCCCGTGGCGGCAGTTGAATAGTATCTTGCTGTCGTGTTGACGACGATATACATCATCGTTGAGAACGAGAGCAACAGGGGTCGTCAAGATTCCGTGCGCACAGGCCAAAAGCACTGAAATCCTCACCAAAACTACTAACTTTGCACTCTTATTGTACAACAACAGTCTTATGAAATCGTATAGAATTGAGAATGTAAAGCCTAGTGCCTAGGTATAATAGATTATATAACTAGAGATCTAATTATACTCGTCTGTTGTTAGAGTAATATATTATCATACAAATCTTTGCAGGGAAAATAAGTCTCAAGTAATTACTTGAGTATTATAAATGATATAAAGAAAGTTCTAGCCTGAGAATCAATCTCCTTGTTATGAAGTTTCTTAAGGTATGTACTTATATCTAGCTTTAATATCTTATTCTAACACAATAAGGTCGTGAAAAGGGCGACTTTTGGTGATATTTCGGCTATTTTGAAGGGGTGCGCACGGAATCTTGACAACCCCTGTTGAGAGTTCATTCCACTCCACAAAACCACGACTTCATCGCCGTGGCATGCATTACGTTGAGAATCAACAGACAAGATACCTCCAGCTATTTCGTCGGATAACCTTCCTTTGTTGGTCAATAACAAGGTAAGAGGTGCCAACACGTTTTCAACTGGAGATATCCGTCCCAGTTTCTTGAGTGCCATCACATAGTAAATAATGGTAAAAGCGCCATAGCTTGGAAAGGATTCACCACAAGCATCAGCGATTTGAATATCCAAAATCTGAAGTTATGCCGCCACGTCCACCTATCCATGTGGATTTCCTGCATAGATTTTCAGTCCTGTAGATACGCGATGTTCATCTTACTTCCCCGCTTGAAATCGCAAGCCTAAGGAAGGTTCCTGGTGGCGGGTAAAGACTTACACAGGATAGAGTCAATATCATCGATATCTAAACTTCATTCTACTGGTGCGCTTTATCATATAGAAGAACGGATAACGACCAGCTACTAAGCAGAACGGCTCGAGAAGGATCTTGGGTCTCGCCTATTGAAATACTTATTGTTTTCTATTCTGTCTTTCAGGGGTCCTTCGCTTAGCTTATTTTTCGAAGTCAATAGTCAAAAAGTAGATGCTCTTCTCAACCACCTCAGTCACGGGCTGAACATGTCAATAATCGAGAACAACGGGTGAGGTCGTCAAACATCAAGGTAGTGAGTGGTAGGATGGAGCTTTCTGTAATCGCAATCTAAATTTAAGGCCAGCCTCAGCAACTCCCTAGACACTTGTTGAGTGCAAACAAGCTCTCGTCAGACACCAATATCCAGGTGGCTTGTGATATAGAAATAATTTCTATTTCAAATCACATAGCAAGTATGTATCGCAGAAGTATCTCTTTATTGATTGTGATATTTGCTTACAGCTGGCGTGGAGGGGCAATCGCCAAGAGCTATTGCCACCTGATGTGGATTTTCCCCCGCAGCGGGGTCGTGTGGAAACCCGGGAAAGACTTACTCCGCACTACGACAGCGGGTTATCACATCTCCATGGTGTCTGACATCAACGAGATAGGTGCTTATGAAGAATCTTAAATGCCTATCAATATCGAATACCTAAAGACATCCCACGAGAAACTAGCGTTTGTCTTGTCTAGTGTCGCTCCATCTTTTATTTCCAGCGGACACCTTCCCGAAGAGCTTCTCTGGCTGCAGGTGCCCTTTTGGAGCTGCATTTCTAGATTCTTCAAGCTCGTATTGAAAGTGGCTTTTGTTTTTGCCGATGCTGGATCTGAGCTCTCTATCAAAAGGGATCCATAATCAGTCCTCTTTTGACAATATCTAGACTTCGTTGAACACGGAGATCTTCTCTCATACAAGAAACCCTCGATTTCATATTCGGCAGATATCATCTTTGTGGAGACGCAGGTTTTGGGCAGTCCACAGTCAAGACTCCTCAACGGCGGTTTCCAGAACTCCTTAGCTATCCAGGTACCAACGACGACTTCAAGATGTCTCAATCACTGGGCCACATTCAGACCCCCATTCAAACAGAAACACAAACACAAACATCACCCCCTGCACCATCAACATCACATCTCGATCGCGTAGGCTACCTCTTCGGTTACCCAATCGCCCATTCCCTCTCTCCTCTCCTACACGCCACAGTCTATTCCTCTCTCAACCTCAACTACGAATACATACTCTACGAGTCCCGCTCAATAGAATCATGTCTCGCGCTCACCCGCGACCCGAAATTTTACGGCGCCGCCGTCACCATGCCGCATAAAGTCAACATAATTCCGTACCTCGATGTTCTCACGCCTGAAGGCGAGGCGATCGGTGCAGTTAATACTATATTCTTGCGGTCAGCGCCAGATGGGACGAGGCTGCTTTGCGGTACGAATACGGATTGTATTGGGATCCGAGAGGCAATATTGCAAAATACAACCAGTGAAGATGCAGTGGGCATGAAAGGAAAGCCGGGTATGATAATTGGTGGTGGTGGGACGTGTCGAGCGGCTGTGTATGCGCTGAAGAATTTCTTGGAGTGCTCGGAGATCTATCTCGTCAATAGAGATAAGTCAGAAGTCGATGCTGTGATTGCAGAGTGCACAGCGAAGGGTTTCGGTGGGAATCTGCGATATGTGTCTACGGTGGCTGAGGCGAAGTTGTTACCTGCGCCAAGAGTGATCGTGAGTGCTGTCCCGGACTTCGAGCCGAAGACTGAGGATGAGAAGAGAGCGAGAGGCATTGTGGAGACGATGTTGTCGAAGAAGGAGAAGGGTGCGATTTTAGAAATGTGTTACCATCCTAGTCCGGATACCGCGGTTGCGAGGTTAGCAAATAGGAGTGGCTGGCAGCTCATTGGGGGTATTGAAGCCATGATATGGCAAGGTTTGGAGCAAGATCAGATTTGGCTAAGGAAGAAGGTGAGTACACTGCCGGTGGAAGAAGTGAAAGCAATTCTGGCTCCCAAGGAGACGAATGCTCGATTATGAGAATTCGAATGTCAAAATTGACTGGGAACATTGAGAGGAGTTTGGAGTCCAAATTCAACTTGGGGGGGGGTGATTCTTGTCAAGTAGCATGGCTTTTAGTCTTGTCTCACCACATATAGAGGGACCTCGTCCTTTAAAAACCAAGCATTTTCTATTCTATCTGTAAATTGGTCTGCCAATATTCATGCTCCTGGTCTTGAATAATCTAACCCCTCTACTCTCTTCCATGTTTCCCTGACTACTCTCTCCTGGGCTTGCCTACCAGTCTCCCCTTCCGCGTCACCAGCTGGTCTCACAGCCAGGTAGAGCCTGCTGCCCAACTTTACGTCTTCAATCGGATCTGTCTCCGGGTTCTTCGGAGGATTGGCCGAGGTGATCAATCCACCCGCTTCACGCAGGATACATATCCCAGCCGCAACATCCCTGTATAAGATTCAGTCAGATATCAGTGAGGACAGCAAAAAAAATACACATACCATTCCCAGCAGCCTCCTTCCCACCAGATATCGAAGGCTCCACTAGCAACATATGCAAGGTCCAAAGTCGCACTGAAGATCCATATATCAGTTACGCGTCTACAGCTACGACATCCTCGTTTTCAAAGTCCAAGATTCCTCGATGACCCATTCAGGATTGGGGGTAAACATACCTTCCCAAACTCCTCACCCCATGTACCATCCCGCCCTTCCCACCTCTTCCCCCAACCTCAGCAGCCATATTCATAAAACTGCCAATCTTCCTCCTCATATTCCCACCTTCAACATCCCTCCTATCCTTACCCCATTCACAGCTGAAAATACAGCCTTTCGGCGCCTCTTTCCCCAGTACCTGCTTCGGACTATTCACATACGGCAACGCCCTCCTTGGTTTAGTCGGGTGTGCATCATCCTGGAATGCGCCGTGGCCGTTAAGTGCCGAATATGTGGTGTCGAGCATAGGCTGGTAGATTACGCCTACGACGGGTTGGTTGTTGAGACAGAAGGCGATGGAGACACAGAACATGGGGAATAGGTGAGTGTAGTTTACTGTTCCGTCGAGAGGGTCGACGATCCATGTTGGAGAGGCGGTTACGAGATACTCCTTTGATGAGCCGCTACTGTATGTCTCTTCTCCGATGAATCTGTGGCATTGTTAACATCGATTCAATTCTCTATGTGGGAAATAAAAGTAGGTTGTTGGGTCAGGAAGCGGTCGATCTAGAAAGAGCAGACATTTGGCAATGAGACATTTAATAGTCAGAGTTCGTAATCAATCTCGAGGCTCTTTCAAGCCATCAAATAGGCTAAATAAACATGTCCATACTTATGATCTGGATATTTCCCCATAATCTCATCCTTTACAAAAGCCTCAACATCTAGATCAAACCACGTGATTAGCCCGCTTCTCGCTCATGTCCTTACTCCCACATTGTCCCTGTGCTCAAACTCACCTAAATCTGTCTGCGTAACAATATCCACAGCATTCATCTTCTCTTCCTGTTTTCCAACATCCCTCCCACTCTCGGCACCACATCTCTTCTCCACGCCATCCAGCAGGATCTTACCTGCTCTACGGCCGAGATTTAAAGCGAATCTGTATATTTCTTGGAGCTCGGTATCGCTCATTGTTATGTGTGGAGAAGAGGTCATGGCGGGTGATTGGTTGGCCTGAGGTTTATGAAAATGTATGATTGAGCGTTGGCTGTTGTGAAAGAGTGCGAGATGGATTGTTGTTCTGTTCATAGTCTGAAACTGTGTTGATGATTCCGCCGATAGACGTCATTAAGCGCTTTTGTGGGTCGGGGAAAGTCCTCTGCCGGGTGTGAGGTACGAATGTCGATCTCGAAATATCAAACGGATGCCATTGATTGGTCTACTGAAAGCTAAATTTGCTGAAGTTATTCTGGGGATCTCAGTGAAGATGTTCTGGATTTGTTTTGGAATTTGGGCTCCCAGTAAATGTCGCCGAACACCCACACGACATCCAAGCGATATCAAGGCTCTGAAATTGCCAGCACGTCGAACGCAGGCACTTGTGGGCGTCAAAAAAGTGGTCTCTGTGACGGATACTTGTGGAGTAAAATGTGACCTTCTTCACTCACATTTCTATATCTTAAGATGCCGACCATATCGATGTCGCATCATTCATCTAAGTATACATCTTCCGCAACATCATCAGCGTCTCCGAGATTCAAACTCATCCATTACCCCTCTGATCCTCCGCAGCACTCAAAGCCTGCAATATTTGCCCAGCTTCTATTCCCTCGTTCTCGTCTGCTATGCCAGCTCCAGGACCTGCAAATCCTCCTGGCACCAGCCCAATCGTTCCACCGAACCCAGACCCATCGAAGAAATCGTTCGTCTCTGCATTGGAGCTCGCAACTAATTGCTGGAAGACGGTATTTTGGTGCAAGGGATCTGGTTCTTGACAAAATGCGTAAAAGTCTTGGTTCATGTTGTCTGAGTCGGTGAAGCCGAGGTTCATAAGACTCTGATCCCAGTTGCCTGCCCTGGTATGATGTCAGCTTTTGTGTTACAGCAGAATCCTTCCTTATCCATGAGGAAATCTAAGACGAGGACGAAATTGGCTGAGGAAACTACTGGGAAAGAACCACAGCTGCGAGATCTCATAGTCCTCAGCAAATTGAAGACCTTCAAATGTAGTATGCCTTGCGAGATAAGGAGAAAACGAAGAGAGACTTACCATTCCGTTGCATCAAGCCGCATCAACTCATTGAACACAGGATCGAATTCAACATCCGCAGAGCTCATTGTTAAGGATCTATGCAGTTGAGGATTGGTCGGCTGGCTGATGTTGAATGAAGTTTGTGGGGCCATGATCTGGGGTGGCTTAAGAGGGGTATGTCGATTGTTTTGCTTGTTCGATGGATGCCGCTTTGCTGACCCGATTGTTGCATGCACATCTTCGTAAATGTTGCGTGGATTTTGAGGCAATCCATGGCCAGACGACTGCCCAAAAGAAGGTCTGTTGGATCGTAACTGGCTTACCCCTGAAGACAAAATTAGAACCAGCATCATCTGGCGAAGTGAAGAAATCCAGATGATACTTCCGTCTTCAAATTTGGAGATTATAACTTACCTCTAGGTCTCAACGCTTCAGCCGGTGCTCGAGAGTTCTGAGGGCTGAAAGGATCAAATGCGTCATAGCTTGCTAGACTTTGAGGCGTCTTCCCTGACATGGGAGTATCTGAATCATGATCCATGATGAGATCATAAGCCGCCTGACTGTGGCTTCTTGTAGCTCGTACCGTCGATTGGTATGCTGTTGATGATTTGAAAGCTTCAAAAACGGGCCTGCTCAACGGGTTAGCACGGCTTCAATTTCGGAGCGCAGAGAAACTGTTAAGTGATTGGGAAGCTGGTAATGTGCCGATATTACCGGCGGAGAAAACTTACCATGCTGGCTCCATAATATCTAGACAATTATCCAGGCTCCGTTTCCAGTCATTGAGCACAATGTGAGTGCTCTCAATGCTGCTATGTACCGCATGGACGATATCGTAAGCTGACTTGACAAAATACTCGTACGTGGGTGGAACAATGAGGAGACCAAAAGTATTAGAATGTTGATTCATGAGATCGACGGTTTGGCGAGCCGATCTAGTGCAAGGCTCCAAGTTGACTGTTTCTTGGCCATTGTGGTTGGAAAGCAATTGTGATGTGGCCAGTGTGGTGAAGTATACATTATGTAAGTGGTACTGGTGTGGAAGTAAAGACAGAGCTTGTTCACTGCCCTTGGCTGTTGAGTCGAAATACAAAGGTGATGACTGAGATTGGCTCCAGATGTGCAGCTTTTGTAGAAGCACTGTACTAAATTGAAGCGTGTTGGACGCGCTGGAACAACAGCACGCGTCGTTCAAAATCTTGAGAACTTGGACGAGCCGGTTGAATGTACTCAATATCGATGCTGGCATTCGCGAATTCCCGGAACTCCTCTTGCGAACTGTAAGGCAGTCGGTCCATGGGTCCCACTCTTCCAAGCCGTCCTCGTCCAGAAGTCCAGCAAGATCCGCGTCTTCGGCTCTGAGGTGGGGCCGACGTTTCAGGCGAGCCGCGATGAGAGTCTCTAAGGCGAAACAACCTAAGAAAACATGTTTAAATCGAGACTTGGCTCTTGAGTCGACTTCCGAAGGTTGGTCGAGTTGCATGTCAATAGCAGCTCTCACAGCTTGACCAATTAAAGACCATGCACGACTGAAGTGGCCCATACCCAGGTTTGCGAGAGTGAGAATCAGCAAGGCTTGTACATGACCTAGATTCAATCAATCAGTCTGACTATCTTGGGGCTAGTAACGACAGCGGGCTTTGGAATAGTCAAGTTCGTGCTGCAGGGACAAGTATCAACCAGTAGGGGGACAATCGGACAGCTAACATGCCCAAGACTAAGTAGAAACTTGATAGAAGGAAGCACCCGTAGCATGTAAGACAATTGCAGACAAAATAATATCTGGGCTCACCAAGTTGCAAAATTCCTTCCTCATTCGGTATCAAGGACCTTGCTTGAGCGTACATCCTTTCTGCGGTCCAGACCATTTCTCCCACAGCACCTAGTGCTCGCGGGATATTGTTGATCGCTCTATGCTGAAATTTGGCGTATGCAATTGCAGCCCAGAGTACAGCGTTGTCACCAGCTCCTGCTCTGAACATTGTTTTTCTTAGCTCTCAATGACTTATAGAAGTCTGGCAAGGAGGTGAAGTTGTGGAAGTGGGTGGTGAATTACATACAAATTGCTTTCACCACGGTTTTGCGAATACTGATACGAGGTCTTCAGAAGGTCATGCTTTTCGATAATCGGAAGCCATGAATGAGTATACGAGAAGTATACATCAAGAAGATGCCAAGTTTCAGACGGCAGTTCTGGGAGTACATCGGGAATTGCAGCTGGAGTCCCGTTCGAAGGTGCAGCATTACCTTGATAGGGACTGAGGATAGATTCGTATTCTTTAGGTAGGAACGTCGGCTACATGAAACCATTAGTCTTTGGTGTCAAACTGATATAGGGACACCCTTACATCAATAGCTGACATATTTGGTGGTGTTTGAAAATCTGGCTGTGTCATAACATCAGGCACCCGATCAGACCAGCCACTATAAGAGTAATCCGGTTCCTGGTTTGCAACGTTCTGCGACCTAGACTTTGATGGCTGCAGTGAAGCATTCTTTCCATTCATTTTAGTACCTTGCCCGTCAGAGTTGAGTCGTTTTCTCTTCGTTTCCATAGGCTCTTGTGAGGAAAGAAGTCTCTCAAGCTCCCGTGAGATGGTTGACTTCCTCCATATTTCCACCAATGCCTCAGAGTTGGTCTCATCGGTCCAGATACTTAATGGACTTTCAGTACCTAGACAATGTTAGTTATGATGAATGCATTATTGAATTAGGTCAGATATTTGGACAAAAAGAGAATGTCATGGGTGAAATGACAGCGAACGACGAGGGTGCTCTTATTTCGTGGCATATAACACGAGGACATTCATCCATTAAGAAAGTTACACAATCTTTGCCATTTGAACACCAACGTCCTGGACTTCAGTAAATGTTGAGATGCTGTAGAACTTACTCTCTTCGTCGCCAGCCAAAGCCGACAGAATACCATCCTCCACCTCTTCAACGTCACGTATAGCCAGGCCCCAAAGCTTTTCTAGCCCTCTTACATACCCTTCAGGCAGACCTCTCTTCTTAACATTCGCGTCATACGAACATTCGCGGCCGTTGGAGATACATGTTGAGCATGCCTATATTTGACAACATTGGTCAGCTTCAATGTTCAAGTTTAAGGCCCACAACATCCATGCTCCCCTCCTATCTTTCCCAATGAGAGTGAAATTATTTCCCCGTCGTAAACACACGTTCTGCCCTTGCGCGTTTGGTAAAACCACTTGATTTCCCAGGGCCGGGCAGGCTTCTCGTTTCCTCCATTCTTATCTATGCCTTTCCACAAGATCCAATACCGCAATCAAGCAAATCGACACACGAAACTGTCTCTCACCGGCTTCTTCCCGTCGCATTTGTCCTTTCGACTTCTACACTTGTCGCATGCCTGCGACACCCGTTTCCTCGGTCCGCCATGCTTCGATTTTTTCTTCAACTCCCCTCCGTCTACCTCAGGCTTATCATCACTCGCTTCTGGCTGTCCTTTGCCCATCTGCGCTACTTGTGCCATTCCCACAGCACTGTATGTACCGTCGCGATTGAGTTACTGAGGATGCTTGAGCGTCATTGCCCACGTGGCAGGGCTTCGAGGTCCGGTCATGCAGCGGAGAGACTTCGAAGCTGATCGTCCGGGGTAGCGCATGAGGCAGATAGACGCTTTTCGGTAGGCTGGCTCTGGTTGTTCGACACGCGGGACTCGAATCTTCGCAGAGGTTTTCTCTGGGGACCCCAAAGTCCAGTTGAAGCTCAACGATTCGCTCGATCTCATTGGCCGACAACCCCATTACCCCACAGTCTTGGTGGTCTCAATTTGTGAGCGGGTAAGCTCTCAGCCGGCGCTTGTTGCCTCAGTCCATACTCGTAGTCCAAACGGGTGGTTCGATTTGGGGGAATTCTGAATGTCTTCAATCTCTTTCTCCTCGTTGACCTTTTCAATCTCCAACCTGCGCAACAGCCGCAGTTTCGACTCTCCTCCTCGTCTGCCGTTGAGTGCTCTGGATCAACAAGTGCGGCTTGCTTTCCCTCGTTCACCAACGTTTGGATTGGCTCTGCCCCGCTTCCTCGCTGAACCGGAATCCACGCCGTTCAACTATCCAACACGTGATATCGAAACATCATTGTTCCAACCGGACGACGTTGGGATCGTGGAGGGTGACGCGAGGGGAGATTCTAAAGCTCTAGGTCTGACTTGGGACATTGGTAGCAGCGAGATGTCGGCCATAACACAGCTTGAGGCACCCCTGGCGTATCTGGACAGCACAATTCGAGCGCGGCCAAATGTCCGAGACTTTCTCCCCAATGCCTCGATCGTCTTAATTGGTTCAAGGGGTTCCGGGAAGAGAACTCTTGGGTTTATTGGTGCCATGCATCTTGGAAGGAGATTGATTACCGAAGATTACTATTTTCAGGAGGCCACAGGAATTTCCAGGTATGTGGCTACTATCTGCTCATCGCCTGTATGCTACTCCGCTATCACAGATTCACTCTGAGGTGTCTGTGAATTGGCATTATTTGATATTCCAACACGAGCCGCATAAATGCAGTACATGTCGCCTCATTGCCCTAGTGGGATTCGACATATGAGTCCTACCAGTAACCAGTTTCTATAAACATAATAAGCTAATATGTACTTAGGGGTGCTTATATGCAACAATTTGGAAGCTTGGAGTTCTACAAGAAGAACATAGAAGTCCTCAAACGTATGTTGGATAACCATAGATCAGGATGTGTGATCGAATGTGGCATGGGCAGCTTGTCAGGAGCAGCTCAGAAGGCCCTTCACGATTATTCGAAAACCAATCCTGTGATTTACATTACCCGGGAAAGCGAAAGGATCAAGTCGTTGTTGAGACTTGGAGATGACGAAGCTGCTCGCTTGGAAAACGCAGATTTGGCGCATCGAAACTGTTCGAATATGGAATACTTCAACCTATATGATTCCAGCTGCGATGGAACAGAGACACCACCTGAAATCGGTTTGTCGAATGTCTCGTCCCGATTGAAATACGCCAAAGAGGACTTTTCAGCTTTTCTCGATTTCTTAACTGGGCAAGGCGTTGTTCGCAGTGGATTCGAGAGCCCATTCTCGATAGCAGCTTTGCCGGCGGAGTTCAGATCCTATACTTACGCCCTATCACTACGATTATCCGTCATTCCAGATGTGGATTTGGCGGATTTGGAAGCTGGTGCAGATGCTGTTCAATTAAAAATTGATACATGGTCACCTGACCTTCAAAAAGTCATCGGAAAGCAGGTCGCAACTATCAGGAGAAGCCTTGGGGTTCCAATTATTTTCCAGGTTGAAGACTATGCATTTGAGAACTCACAATTGTCTCTACAAGACCAGGAACATGCATATTTCTCGTTGATGGAATATGGCTTGCGTTTAGGCGTGGAGTATATTGTGGTGGACTTGAAATACTCCTCGGACCGCTTTTCCCACATCGTACGATCTTCAGGCAGAACAAAGGTCATTGGATGCCATACGCACAGAGAAGAGAATTCGTGGGGCTGGGATGATGAATCTCGAATGATTCAGTATCGGAGAGCTCAGTCATTGGGTTGCGATATCGTCCGTTTCGTGCGGAGGACATCAAAAGCGAGTGATAACGACACTGTCCGCCAATTCGTCAACAAGATCGAGTCATTATCAGATCGTCTTCCAGTGATTGCATACAATATAGGAGAAAACGGCAGGCCCTCCCTGATCGCCAATCGAATTTTCACACCAGTCACTCATCCAGCCATGCAATCGACTGTGAGTAAGAGCCAAATTCGACAATTCCTCCCTACGGCAGCAGAGGCCATGCAAGCACGATACGAGACTCGAATGACCGATCCGATGCATTTTTACCATTTTGGTGTCAGTGTTTTCTACAGTCTGTCTCCAGCGATGCACAGTGCTGCATATGAGGAATGTGGGATGATGAACGACTTTCAATCTCTTCAGGTGTCTTCTCTCCAGGATATCCAGCAGCTCTGCCAGGACGCCAACTTTGGGGGTGCCGCCATTACCCAACCCTTCAAGGTCGAGATTTTGTCCCATATCGCAGCGAAGAGCTACCACGCAAAAGCCATCGGAGCTGTAAATACTCTGCTCCCACTTCGGACTCTTTCGAACGACACACCACTCGACGGAAGTACCCAGTCACTTTTACGGCATGCGAATCAGCGAGGCAAAGCTGGAGCCATCATTGCTCATTATGGCGACAATACCGACTTCATCGGAATTATGACTTGCATCAGGCGCAACTTGTCACCACGAAACGTCATCCAGCCATCGAAAACGACAGGTCTGGTCATTGGAGCTGGTGGTATGGCTCGAGCAGCTATCTATGCCATGATTCAACTGGGATGTCGGAAGATTTTCATTTACAACAGAACCATCAAGCATGCCGAAGGTGTAGCTCAACATTTCAACTCATGGGCTTCTGGATTAAGTAGCGACGGCGAGATCGTCCGCGTACTGAGATCTGCTACCGAAGACTGGCCAGCGAGATATAGACAGCCAACGATGATCATCTCCTGTGTGCCAGCAAGACAAGTCGGCTCTAGCGCTCCTGCGAATTTCGAGATGCCGATGCAATGGCTTGGAAGTCCTACTGGTGGAGTAGTTGTTGAGGTAAATACCATTAGCTGAATTTGACTTGCGCCTCTGACTAATCTGATTGATGTAGTTGGCGTATTTACCCCTCGATACTCCGCTCTTGAAACAGATCCGCCGAGTACGAGAACAGACAAAACAGGCCTGGGTGATAGTTGATGGTTTGGAAGTCTTGCCTGAACAAGCTTCTGCTCAATTTGAGTTGATGACTGGGAGACGGGCCCCGAAGCGGAGGATGAGGGCTGAGGTTATGAAGAATTATCATCTCTATGAGGAGGGTGCAGCGTGAGGTAGTAGTCCATTGACGAATACAGTAATCACCTGGCTGGGAGCACATGTTTCAAGGCTAATTGGAATGCATACGATAATTCAATCCATTTGCAGGATATTCAATTTATACTCAAACGAGAGTTAAGAGCCTTGATTCCAAGCATTATCATTCATCAGTTAGTGTTGGCATTCGGAGGCCGCCAGCGCGCGACTGGTAGAAGATATGACTCCTCGGACGAATGGCTCATTGAGAATAATTCAGTTGATTCCTGAGGGACTCGTGTAAACATGCAGATAGTACCCTTTCCTCGGCTCATTCACATTCAATGTACAGGGCTAAGCCAATTAGCATACCCAGCTGAGTTGGCCCTTGCCAGTTAACCATTGTTGTCATCCTTGCGTATCTAAAGAGGAAGCAAGATCTTGATCTTGTGCACAGCAGAGATGAGTTCTAGACAACGATTGGTCTTTGTGCAGGGAGGGATCTTCATGTTTCGGCTATTCAGAAAATCTCACTTGCTTGGTAAATCATGAAGGAAGGCATATTTTTCAGTGCTGATCCGAAACCATCTACACTTGTCCAGACATCATAGTAAAAATCAAATATTTTTATGCGGCCACTAATGCCAAATTAACAATTTGCAGCTGGACTGTCCATGTTTACTTTGACTTTGTCACGTGCTGCCTGTCCAGGATCGTTTGTCACTTCTTGTGTCATTTGGACTATGATCTCAGATCATTTGGTAATACGTAACACAGTGATCAATTAAGACTATCCAGACCCCACCCAGCACGAAAAACAGACAGAACTGTAAGCTGGATAGCTGTTCAGGTTTCATTCCCAGCCATTGTTTGTCAGTCGCCCCCTGTACTTTTAAGCGATGAATAATCACCTGCATTGTGGGGCCGGACCTGCAGTCATGCTTGTCTGCCCACCATACTACATTGGGATTATGTTTCTTCCAATCATGCTCTCTCACCACTGCCGAATTGAACTGCACCCGGTACTCGAAGATCCCTCCATATCTCCTCTTGAATGCAAAGTTGAGGTGCTAAAACTCCACAAGCCGCTTAGAGACGCTGACTCAACCAATCTGCATACCGAGAAAATTGGCACTGGGGCATGTTTGTCAGGATGAGGCTCGACCCGATGCCGTTGCGTGTCATGCAACCTTATTTCATCGCACGAGATCGATTAAGTGCCACCGACCATGTCTTGACTTGCATTAGAGTCGTCGAGAGACCGTGGTAAAGAGTTTGTTAGATCCACCTCGCTTTCTTCTCTGCAGGAGGTTGAGCTCTTCGGTCAAATTCTAAACCAATACATTTGCTCGATTGAGATCGTGAAGCGGTGACAGGAGGAAGAATTGGCCTTCCAGTTGACGACTTTCAGTAGCACGAACTGCAGAGCTTGCCCCAGTCAGTCCACTCTGCCAAGTCATTCCCCTGTTGCGGAGATGAAGAGGCATGCAAGATGCGATTACTCCCTTGCTGCAAGAGGCAACGCCGAGCTTCATCCCGACGAGATCAAGGAATCCTAGATCCGTTTTCACGAAAATGCAAGATCGGAGAGGGGGGAAAGCTGTGGCTAATATAACTGCAGAAGTATAAGTAGAAGGGAAGATCACCGTCAAGTTGGATGTCACCAAGCCACTCAGACATTCAGACTTGCAACTCCAAGATCTTCTCTCTTCTCAACTCTTTCCAAGATGAAATTCTCTACCGTCGTCGCCACTTTGGCAGGAGCAGCAGCCGTTGAGGGTAAGTTGCCTCATCACAACCCTTCACTTGATAGGTACTAACAACTTGCAGGTACTGGCTTCACATTCGACCGTCTCAACAAGACTGACGCTGTAAGTCAAGACAAGACTTGAAACTGTCATGAAGCCAAACTGATAGCTGTTGCAAGGTTCTCCTCGTCGTCGACCACCAAATTGGTCTCACTGAATTGGTCCGTGACTACGGTGTTGTTGAATACAGAAACAACATTCTTGCTCACGCGGCTCTTGGCAACCTTTTCAACCTTCCCACCATCTTGACCACCTCTGCTGAGACTGGTAAGCTTTCATCCGAAGTTCGAAGAGACCAAAATACTGATCAATATACAAGGACCCAACGGTGCTTTGCCAAAGGAGATCATCGAGGTAAGAAAAATAAGTCCAAAATATAAATGCCAAGTGTACTGATCATCAAATAGATGCATCCAAATGCACCATATATCAGTATGTATCTTAGTCTTCCACCCTCATTGCACGACATAAGCAAACTCCAACCCTCGACAATTTTCAGAGCAGAGGCTAACAGAAACCGCAGAGCGAAACGGCGAAGTCGACGCCTGGGACAACGCCGAATTCCGCGCCGCCGTCAAGGCCACCGGAAAGAAGCAAGTCATCCTCGCCGGTATCGTTACCGAAGTCTGCACCTCTTTCTTGGCTCTTTCTCTCAGAGCCGAGGGTTACGATGTTTGGGCCAACACCGACGCCTCTGGTACTTTCAACGACAAAATCGCCGCTGATGCGAACCGCCGCATGGAGCAAGCTGGTGTCCATCTTTTGGGCATGTTCGGAATTGCCATGGATCTCATGCGCGATTGGAGAAACACCCCTGGTGCTGCTGAGGTCTTGCCCTTCCTTGATGTATACTTGCCATCATACTCGCTTGTTGCAAGAGCTCATGGATACGCCATCACCAATGGCAGCTTGATCGATGGCGAGCAGCAGATCTTGTAAATGTGGCATTGAAAAGGCCAAAGCTAAGCGAAAGATGACAAAGGAGATAGCTAGCTGGCAGAATTGTAGGGGTTGAAGGGTGAGAGGCGCTGTGGAGGTGGTAGTGGTAGAGGTGGAGCCGGAGATATATTTCATTGAGTGGAGAAATACAAAGCAATGGAACTCGATTTTCATTCAAACTGCAAGCTGACTGGAGTATACCCATTTTTGAGGCAGCAGTGACCACTCAAAAACGATTGCTAACTAAAGCATATATTAAATTCTGAGCATGATTCGATTGGAAGGTAGGATGAAGATGCAAGAACAACCCGGCATACACACCGAACGCCCCCTTCAATTCCAAACTCCACAACGCACAAAATGTCCTCACTAAAAGCTCCCCCAATCAGCCGGCTTCCCAACCTCGCCCGGCTTTGGCTCCATCAAAAATTCTAATCGATCCTCGACCGTAACCCATCCCTTCCTCTTCGCCACAATAGCATGTCGAATAGCATCTCGCCAGTCAGCAAACCAAACCTCTTCTTCCTGGACAGCGCATCTCCTCCCTACACCCCCATTTTCACCCCTAGCTATATCAGCATAAGGCCATACGCTCTTTACAACTTCGTACTTCTTAGTTCCCGTAAAGAGCTTGGTGACATCGGAGAAGAAGCGGTTGACTTTATCTGGGGAGTGGACAACTACACGACTGTGTGTGAGTGGGAATGAGAGAGTGACGTGACCGCGGTATGATGTGCTCGAGATGAGCGAGAGGAGGCGCCCTTCGAGGTAGGATGTGTCCCAGTTGATAACTGTCCGATCAAGGACAAAGCTATGTTTGGTCAGCTGACATATTCAATTACAATAATGGGTAAAACCTAAGTCATCCAGAATGGATGGAAATGAGCTAAAGAGGGCATATGAAAGGGAAAACAAACCGTTTAATCGAATTTTGATCTTCACAATACCTCCTCGCCCATTCCTCAAGACTCCTCAAATCCGGTACCAATGCCTCTTTACCCTCCCCTCTAAACCCCATCTCGCCCTTTCCAATAACCTTGACATAATTCATCCTCCCACTTCCAGCTTTTCCCTCTTCCGGGACAATCAGATTCATCAGGTTCAACCTGACATCGAAGTCAACTTCACCATTGGAACTCTTCCCAATAATTCGGATTTGCGGCTTTGGCGGTACGGTGGCGAGGGATTGGATGAGAGAGATCAATTTGGTGGGGTAGATGGAGAGTTCGGGGGAGTAGGATGTTAGTGTTTTCTGGTCGTCGGACAGTGTGAATGTTGGAGGTGTGTAGAGGGAGTAATTGAGACGTGGTAGGCCAGGATATGTCGGTTGTGGTTGTGGTGCCGGCGCGCGGGTCATTGCTGAAGAAGTTGGTCCGGAATAGGGCGGGGGTTCGTTCGTTTGCTCGTCATCTTGATTTTGTTGTTGGCTTTGTATCTCTGGATGCTGTTGCGATGAAGAGGAAGATGGTTCTGTATATGATGGGCGATGGACTGCCACGCTGGGTTCTGAGATGCCTTTGCGTGGGATGGTGGGCTCACGCGACATGGTGTGAGATGCTTGCACACGGTGACTAAGGTACGAGACTTTGAGAGGCAGTCGTGGAAAATGGATTTGTTAGAGGAAATAATGGCGAACGTGAGATTTATACAGAATTGATGAAGTCCATCTTCGAGTGGTGAAGATGATGGAAAAGGCTGAGGTAGGTCATGGGCTGTCCAATCAATTGGTGTGGCGCAGCCATTCAATTGATGCCTAATCGAGTCGTCATCTTCACAAACGCCTCCAATCTGCGAACCGAATTACCGTTTTGAGAAATAGCTTGAACGGCAGCGAATCAGCTGAATTTGACAAACATTTATTCGAGTGTCTAAAGCTCAAGAGCCATGCCATACTCCAGCAATTAATCTACCAACATCGTGTCGTCGTTATCGAACCTTGGAGCTTCCGGCTCAAGAAGAATACCTCTACCTCTACCCTCCAACAATTCTCGTCTGACTTCCGGGCCAATCTTCGAGTGTCCCTTTGTGAGTAGCAGATCCAACAAAGCTTCTCTCTGGTCCTCGGTGATATCGTTCCTATATCTTTGAGCGAACGCCAGCAGACATTGATGCCAAATAACCGGTAGTTTTGTATCCTTTGATCCAGCACCAGTTACGCCTGACATAGCCTCCCCTCCGTTCGTTGTATCCACCGTGCGGAATCGTAAGAAGTGGAAAACCAGAGCGTCGATAACTTGGTAGGGTAAAGCGTACTTTTTCTCCAGCATAGCTCTGATAAAGATATTTGTCGCACCACCTCCCTCGGTACCTGCTGAGGATTCTTGAGCAGCAATATCGCAGAGACCCTTGATCGCAGCCGCAGAGTGAAGGACCGGTACTGAAACTCGGACAAGAACTGCAGAGATAATCTGGGCTTCCCGCAACGTGCAAGTACCGCTCCCAACCAAGGGAAATAAGAACCCCTTGAACCATGCCGCTGGTTTGTATAGACCCTTCTTCAAAGCATTGAACAGATGTACATTCAGCTTCTTCGTCTCGTGAATATCTTCTCTCACCCTCTCCAGCACTATCATCTCGAAAAAGCGTTGTGCAGTGGCCGGCGTACTCGACACGAATATCTTGGTCGCTTCGTAGATCGCATTTGGAGTCCATGCTTCTGGTCGGGTAATTTCGATGATATCCTCCCATCGAGGAACCGTGGGAAGGATCTTAAAAGGTTTGGGGAGCTTTCCTGACTTGTACCTCGACAATAAAAGCCCAACTCTGTGATTTAGTTAGTACCTATCTTTCTGAATCATCAATGGCGCATACTTTGTGTAAACCTCCACAACCTTTGGCGGTATCTCAAAATCCTCATCTATTGGTCCTGGTGCAGAGTTTCCACCGTTTGGGCCTTGTGATGCCTCATGCATAGCAATCTTCTCCAATATTAGATCCGCCAGATTCGTCCCTGGGCCTTCGTCCTCCTCATCGTCTGCCATACCAGGCCAGCCCTGCCTCAGCAATGGATCTTCTTGAGTCGGAAAGAACTTATTGAATGTCTCTAGATCATCCGGCGCAAGCTCAATCTCCTCGACCTCCTCATCTCCCCACTCCTCATACTCTTCTTGTCCTGGCACTTCCTCGTCATCGTCGTCCTCTAATCTCGATTGAAAATCGAAGGCTGTATTTGCTGTTTGTACAGAGTTCTCTTCTGCATCGTCATCTGCAAGTTCTTGTCCCATGCGCAGAATCTTCCGCGATGCTTTCGAGTCCACGAATTGGTCGCCCTCATCCTGGTGTCTTGACTTGCGCTTCTCACCCTTGATCTTGAGTGGAGTTGCCGTGAGATCTGTCTCGAGAGGATTATGTCTCCGCCCTTGGCGAGAGCCGGATATAGGTGTCGTAGCTTTCGGCATTTTGAGGAGAGTTGTGGCGTGATGAGAGGTCGTCGCTGTAGCTCTGGGGCAGAGGGACAATCTTCAAAAATATTTCAGTGGAAAATGTTGCCAAGGCCCTAAGATAAGATCCGACCCCGCGAGATTTGATGCCTTAGCCACAAGGCACTAAAGCATATGGTCAGGAAGATGTCTTAATTCTCACAGCCAGTCACGGCTACTTGATGATGGTATATCCTGATATGTGGCACTTTGATAGAAATAGGACAAGAATATCCTTCTTTATTTGCCTATGAGTCGTTGCATCGTTACCTCATTACATCATTACATCGTTCCATCGTCCACCTTCCCCTATTCTAGCAGAAGCGAACGCCATGACCATGTAAACAACAAACTCCCAAAGCCCCTCCAGAGCTGTACACAAATTTCATCCTCCAACAAGCAACTCCTCGTCAATCTCGTCTCTACCCATCAGCGTATCGATCTTAGCGCGAACCACATTGGCATCATCTTCACGTCCCCAACCACGTAGCCACCCCTCGAGCACAAGCATGAACTCCGGCACCCACGAATGCTTCAGTCCCCACTCGCCAACAATAATACTTATCGCTTGCCTCAAGGTCATCTCGGCTGCCAATGCATTCTTCTGAGAGTGCTGGCTGCGAGATATGAGCTTCAATGAATCAACTTTTTCAACAATGAATTGGCCACGAGCTTCATTGTCTCTGATTAATAAGAGAACATGTTGGCCAATTTCTTCCGATTCGTTGTATCGTCCTTGTCTATTCAGGTTATGTGCCAGATTGAGCATAACGCGCGGTGTGTATCCCTCAAAGCTGTTTCCGGATTGAGCGAGCAGGTCACGAAGGAGTCGTTCTTCTTCAAGGTGGTTGGTATTACCGAACACGCGTTTGATGTAATCAAGCCGAACAGAAACAGCTAGTCGATTGAAAGTGCCAAGTTCAGTCTCGAAAGTATCACTCGAGCACTTCCACAATTGTCCCATAGCCTCTTCAAGGCAATCCGAATCAATAGCCCCGAGTAGGTGACATATTCTACCCCATGGCTGGTGTGGTTGGGTTACTCTCGCAGACATGCCTTGAATAAAGGTACGCATGATATTTGCTACTTCTGGATAACCTGTTTGCAAAAGATGGATAAGCACCTCGAGGAAGCAGGCGAATGTGCGAGGATGTTCCGCTTGCAAAATTGGTTCGACGAGTGCGGATGCTTTGGAAAGCGCCCGTCGAGACTCGACATAGAGTCCCTGCTCTAAGAACATAGTCGCTGAGAAACAGTACGAGTCAAAGTCATTGCAGAGGTCATTGCTCATTTTGGCCCCATTCGGGGTGAGGAGGGTACCATTCTCGTCAAGGATCAAGTTTCGACAGGAGTGTTCGAAATATGCTTTGATACTGTAGAACATATTTTCAGATATATGCAGACTCCGTGGTAAGGATGGCGAATGCGATATTCCTGAACGCTTGGAGAAGAATGAGTCGATATCTTCGCTATGCAGCTGAATGACGAATTCATGGTCCATTAATGGCGAAGCTGGTGTCCAGATGGTAGAGACCATGACACCGTCGGAGCTATCGCTAGATAAAGTTCGAGACAATGATATGTCTCCAGTAGATGACGCTTCACTTGACCTAGATCTATCTGTCTCATCCTCATTTGTTTCGGGTGTGTCGAAGGAGGGGTTGTCAGACGACCGACTCCCAGGAGTAGAGCTTCTATTTCCACTGTCGAGTGATGATCCAGGAGTGTTACGAGGAGTGCTTACAGTCGAATTGGTTGGCGACGGTGTCCAGTATGAGATTTCTGGTGGTGTTGAAACTGTCACCGGTATTTTGATCTTTGGCAACCCACGACCTTTCCTTGTGAAGTAGAGGAACACTTCTTCCATGTTTAAATCACGTCCACGGAGCTGGAATGAACTCTTCTTGCCTATAGCATCACGCTGATTCTTCTTGTGGAGAATTACCACCATGTCGCTTTCTTTATGCTTCTTTTCGAGTCCCCACCGTTTGAGTCGAGATTTGTACATCTTAGCGCTGTCGGATGTTAGAAGGCTTCCACGGTGATTTGGGCTCGGTGGATTCCTACGTAGCTTTGAAGCCATGGTTTCTCATAGCATTTATTACCTCATTCAGTGTTTTCCCTTCGTCCATATAATACTGTTTGATCAGAAGACGATGTCTCTCCCAGTCTCCCTGGGATGAAGGTATCTGAGGTTCGGCCATGCTGTTGCTTTCGCTAAGCGACGAGGCCGAAGAAGACCGAAGTGACATGTTTGGTCTGTCTGTGACGTTTAGCAGAGAGCCAGATGTCTGAATACCTCGATCAGATTCCGATTCTCTGAAGAACAAAAGCGTCGACGTTGGTGAGTTAGGCCCTCAGCCCTGCTGTGCCGCGCATGGTTCTCGATCGGGAATAGCTTCATGCTGGCACTATGCAAAGTCCTTTTTGATGATTGGGACCCTCAATGAGGCTGAAGGCCGGGGCCGTACGGATGGTACTTTCGTGTAATTGGTCGCTACACGAGGTATTACTTGGGGTTGTGGCATTTCGCATGAAATCTCATCAACCACCCGTAGGCCGATTTACCATAAACAAGAGCATGACTCTTAGGTCGCCTATACGTTGGGCACATTTGGGGCGGTCTATGCAGACCTGACCAATGTCTTTGAAAGTCCATCACACTTTGGCGATGGAGGTTCATCATAGAGCAGGTCTGGCATCGGGTCAATATGAAGTGTCACATCTCCTTGGCTTCGATAAATGCTGATTCCTACCAGTGCTCTTAAGCTGTCGCCACCCCTGAGGATTATCGTATTATTCCAAAGTGTACTCAGTTTATTTCAACATTCTATCCTCTGTCTCACATTAACTCGAGAATTGTCGAAGCTAAATTGCAAAGATCGTTGCTGCGACATCGGCAAATCAATACCTTGTTTCTGGCCTGGGAACTCCTTCATTGTCCCCTTGATATCACTACTTGCCACTCACCTGTCATCGAAAGTAGTTTTTTGGAACGTGGAGAATCTACGCAGATTTGTACTAGCATCAGTCATGCGTTCGATATCCACAACATCGGAAAGCACCCACAAAACGGGTCGAGATCCATCAACGTGAGAAGTTGCCCTTCATCTGTCCAATCCGAGTTGTCTAAAAATCAGAACTAGGTCTCATCGATCGCGTAGAATGACTTTGCGCCTCGGCGATAGCACAACTACCCACTCCGGCTACCATGAGCAGCAAAGCCTTCCCACACCAACCGATTCCGAAGCGTATGCAGCCATCAATGACTCCTATCCATACTGGACCACCTCGAAAGACACCTCAAGTCAGCATAGTGCCTCGATCAAAAAGCACAAATCCCTCACTCCTCACCTTATTGAACGACATGATGAATACTACACATACACGGATGCCGGGACAACCTCACGATATGGCGCACATTTATCTGACACTCCAGTGTACGATCGTACCTACATCGCTGGAGAGCGATATGCCAAGTCCATAGATGGCCGTTTCGCTCCAGATATCTACATGTGTTTCCCACAGGATCTCGGATCCCAAACTGACGGTCCTCCGTACTACAACCAGACAGAAAATTATGCTGGAGAAATCCGTGGACAGAGAACCCAAGGCAGCGATTACCTTCAGAATCATGAATTTTGCAAGCCGTTACAAAATTCTGCATCTCCTGTTCTCATAGATTTGTCAGGAATCGGAGCGCAATTCGGCTCGTGATCGTTTTAGACCCTCTTGCTTGTCATTCGTTCTTGGTGCATGGAAATGGGAGTCCGCTCATGAGAAGCTGTGGCGGCGTTGAGGCATTTTGTCGCGGAGTATGCGGATGTCCACTTGAATTTAAGGGCTCATGGACTAAATTTGTAACATTGCATGTTCGCACATCATCCCACTGATATATGCTTTAACCATATAATCCAATATCTTCAGGGATCCATGAGCCTCGATAGAAGAGCGAGATTGATGTCTGATATCCTAGTTCTGATTCCTCACTCCAACAAAGTATGAATTGATAGAGCCGACTTGTATGTCAATACCGAGTTGCAATCTCGATTGCTAAGAGGCTTTCCGGTCTACCTCTATCGCCTGAGTATGTCGAAAGTTTCGCGCAGTTAAGACTAGAAAGCTCCATCCTCCAAGGACTGTGTCTTTGTAGCTTCAATTCACTACGCATTCTCTCAGAAGGGAACCCAAGCCTATATTTTCATTCGCCTCGTCAGGTGGACAAACCACCTTGCCACCTTCAACCAGCACAAGCTCATCAATCTTTTCTTCAGAATACTCCAGACGCTTATAAGTCTTCAAGTCTCCACAGCTCGTATCAATCTCCCAAACCCTCGTTCGTCGATGAAACCGCTTCCTACCGTAAGAACAATATCCTCCAAATCCACTGCCACCACCATAGCAAAGCCAAGGACCCAAATGAGAGGCGTCTTGTAGCGGGTCATCTTGTTTCCGAGGCAATAGCGCACAAAAGTCATTGACATGATCATGGCCACACGCTAGGGCAGAGATGTCTTCTCGAATGAGGGCGTCGTAGAAGTGGGAATTAAAACTAGGCCCCTCCGTCGGTTCTCGTCGTTTACCACCCCTGGTGATGAGACTCCGGTCTCCATATTCGGGAACAGGTATGTGTAGGAATGCCAGAGACAGATGATTGCCATCTCCGTCGTGCTCTTTCTTGAGTCTTTGTGAAGTAGATGTGAACCAGTCGATCTGGCTTTGTTTGATTGGGTCGTAGTCTGGATTGTGGATCTTACTCGCTATTTGTCCATGGGAATCCAGGAGATATAATGTTGATAGTGAGGTCTGTGATGGTGCAGGAGCCATGATCTGAAGATAGTAATTGCCTACGCCATCGATGCTCTCAGGCCCAGACTGGCACAGGCTGAAAGGCAAGTCCTCGAGTATTCTCATTTGCGCCTCCCCTGTGGATATCATATCAGCAGATGCCATTGTAACCAATCTCACTAATTGCGCCTGCGACTTCCTCTCTCTGGATCGAATGGGTAACTGAAAGGTAGGGTACTCACGAGATAACGCATAGCTCCCCTCACTGTCATGGTTGCCAAAGACAGCAGCCCACGGTATCGACCGCTCGATCAAGGGAGCAACGACCTTGAAGAGCGCCGACTGGCTATCAGGGATATCATGATGCAATTGATCTCCGGTAAGAATCACAAGGTCTGGCTTCTCCTCATCCAGGATCTTTCCGAGAAAGTTAACAGTGAGGGGATCCGCTTCGCTTGCAGGCAGTGCTCTCCCTTCACCATCAATAGCATCTTTGCAGACACCAACACCAGTAACCATGTGCGTGTCAGATATCTGTAGGATCTTGAAAGTTCCATCTAAACGGGCTCGCAACACTGGCCGATGGCCACTAGGCTTTGCGTGTGATCTACCTTTCAGTATACTTAATCTTGCTACTGGCACTTCTGGCTTGGCTTTCAACTGGAGTGATGCTTCCATGATTCTCCATTGCGGTCTTGGATCAACAGCATCTGAACCAAAAAGAACATCTATGTGGGTCACCGCTTGTTGAATATCTCCATCGTAGCTACTTCTCCGCACCCAGATGTCGGCAGCTCGATTTTCCCACGACTTATCGTCGCCATTAGCAGGCTCGCCAACTCTGATGTCGGTGAGGACTAAGTCATCAGGTCTGAGATCTGTCTCTTTGGTTTGCGCCACGTGCAACCATGCACTCTGCTTGGCGCTGTGTAGATAAAGATCCTTCTCTTTACGATGCCAATTTCTTCCATCCAACGCGCATTGTTCGCAATTAGAAGGGCTCTCATGTGTGGAGCAGAAGCATATCGTGACGTCTGTGATAACCGTTCCAGAGGTATCGAGGTAAACAGACGACGGCTCAGTTCTCGCAGCCATCCTTGAGGGAGGATTTGTTGACAAGCTATAGGAGAAGTAAATTCGAACCAGTTCAAGAAGACACAGTATTATAGGGAGGATTGCTAAGAGTCTAAGCAGCGCAGACATCTGTCATGATGTTGACGCGTGTTACCCAGACAGGAAAGATGAGAGCCTGCAGGCTGGGGAACTAGGATGTTCCAGCCGCTAGGTCGCCCAAGACTAGTGGATCGCTTAGCAGTCCAATGAGCAGAAGCTAGCGAACTCTTCCACCTTCTCCAGACAAAACAAGGTACAAATGAACATTATCATTGGTCTTTTAAATTATGCAACTTCCCAATCAGTTGTTTCTAAGAAGCCTATAAATCTAAGATAGCTCTGTATATGCAAGAATAGGCCTTGTTTGTCGTGGATGTTGAAAAGTAGATGGAAGCCGATGTTGAGAAGGATCCTAGTGCGCGGCATTCGGGGGAAGAGGGGAGACTTCAGTCAGTCCTACATAAGATTCACGCATTGCGAGCAAACACGACTCTCGAGCTTTTAGTGGAGTGACTTTCGCACATGCTTGTTTTGAAGGTTTCGGTATACTTGACTCAGTAAGGAGCAAGTTTCAACTTGTTGGTAACAAACTTGTGCGTTAAAGTTATTCGTGTTGCTTTGCAGCAGTTGCGATTTTCCGAATTTGGGATAAACTTTGGTTCTAATTCACAAATTGCCCTAAAAGTATGCAGCGAAGCAGGTCCGATGAGCCCACACGTGGCAGACACAGCCTTAATCGCCTATCAAATCCAGCTACACATTGAACTTCTCCCAAATCAGCTCGATCTTCTCTCCCTTCACGCTAGAGTTGAACCATTCGTAGATCTCGACCTTATCCTGCACTGCCTTCGCACCTCTCAGAACATCTCTCTCAGCCACCTTCTCCGTCGCCATATACAGCTCGACCGTCGCCAGATTGCGCGCAATGCAGGCTCTGGAGCCAGCTCCGAATGCAAAAAAGTATTTGCTAGCATCTGGAGTGATGTTCTCCTCTAGCCATCTTTCAGGCTGGAAGCTATATGGGTTCGGGTAGACATTAGGATTCAAGTGGAGCTCTGTGGCCGAACATCCAACGAGCGTGCCAGCGGGAAAGTGTGTACCTTTGAACGTCCAGCCACCCCTTGGAACAATGTGAGGTAACCTGGTGGGGTTTGCCATGCTCAGACGAAGACCTTCTCGGACAACACCTGACAGATATGGGAGAGCTTGAATGTCTTGCTTCGTCTCGCCAGCATTTGCATTGGCAAGAATTTCTCTGCGAAGAATATCATATCTGTACCGCATGTCAGCAATTTGATTCGAAAGAGAGGCGTAATACATACTTTTCAGGATGCAATGCTAAGTAACGGCAAATGGTGGACAGGTTCATGCCAGTCGAGTCTGTACCAGCGAAAATGAGATCTTTACACTGAGCCATAACCTCAGTCCTCTCAAGTCCAAGAGGGATCAATCTCCCAGGGTAGTTCTGAGCCCCTTGAGGTGTCGAATCAACGAGCTGTTCTACGAACTTATCAACAACTTGCATTGACAAAGCGGTGTGCTCATTTGGAAAGCATTTCTCAATTGCCCACTCAAGCCAGATGAACACAGTAGTAGGCAAATAGAAGAATCGGCCGACGGCAACAAATGCGTCCACAAAGGCAGAGACGGAAAGAGTCTTCCCTTTCTCTGACGTGCCATTATAATTCTCCTGGAATAGGTGTGTTGAAACAGCATCGACAGCCAGACTCCTTGACAAATTCAATACATTGACTGGACGTCCTGTCGTAGCTTCTTCTTGCATTCGGTCCACCATGCGGTCTACGCATCCATATAATGCAGCCTCATTTTCTCGGATGCTCTTGGTAGAGAACATAGTAACCACAGCTTTCGCCCTAATAGCTCTGTGATCTGGATCGAGCGCAGAGAATATCGTAGGATGGCCATCGATATCGAAGTTCGCATAGCACGGAGCTTTAAGAAATCCACCTCTCGACACATATATAGCGTTTATAGCATCAGCGTCGCCAATATCGACTTCATTCGGCGAGACTCGAACAAGGGGTCCATATCGAGCGTGTGCGGCATGAATAACAGTCGCCTCGTCACCAATGTACGAATGGTAGTACAACCATAGAGATGATGTCTTCCATAGCAGAGGACCTGGGATGTGTGCGAGAGGGTGGAGCGTTATCCGGTAGATGCAGCGGGAGAGGAAGAGGGAGACCGAGATGACAAGAACTGTGAGCAGTGGGTTACCCAACAGAGCATTGAATAGCACCTCGACGAGTCCCATGATGCCTGAGAGCTGAGTGCAGATCAATTGAGGTTACTGGAAGAGAAACGAGAAGTTAGTAAACTTCAAGCAGTGGGAGTCATCGAGGAGTCATCTACGTCAAGGTGGGGGAATCAATCTGATGAAGTCGCCCAGCGGGGTCGAATGGCAGCCGCCGGATCATCCCATTGATTCTGATCCATTGCAGACTCGGGCAGGCACTGCATCTGCACATGCGACTTCAAGAAATGTCTATCGTCGTAATTGGTGTTACGCGATAAAGCTAGAAGTGTGTTGTAATTGAAATGCTGTGGTACCTATGGAGGTCGAGATATGCCCGATGTGGAAAGTGGGGGCCCGTGCCACATCAAATCCCATCTTCAGGCCATCCCTCTTTTCCAATCACCCCGTCACTCTCGGATTTCAGCCTTCATTGTCTTTTAACCCCAACAGAAAATTCGCTTCATGGTCGATATGATGTTCGCGATGACATACCAGCAAGACGGCCAGCGGTGGTCCGCTTGTCAAGTGATGCTGCCAGAAACACTGTCTATAGCAAGCTTCCAAACGCCCTTCGAAGCCATTACCCTCGACTATACCACGTAAACTTTCTGTACGAACTTGTGGCAGAAACTCACAGGTCTTTGTATTGTTTCATTTTGTTACCCTGGAAGTTTTCTCCTTGGTCGTCTAGCAATTATTTCCTTGAGACTCTTGATCCTTCGGGGAACCCTCTTCACCCCGACAAGGGCTATTGAGCATATTCCCAGGCAATACAAGAATGAGCGTGTGATTTACGGGAAGGAGCGCTCTGATTGAGAGTTCCGATTCCATCTTTGAACTTCTATTTGCACAATATTTATCTATTATTGCGAGTATACAAGTCCTGATTCCGCATGCGATCATTTTCAAAGAGATAGCAGCATAACAGGTTAATCCAATATCCTTCGACACCACTCAAGCCTCAGCATCTCTATTTTTTATTTTTCTTGTACAAAAAGTATTATAAGATGTTGCTACGATTTGTGTCGTTCTGTTTACTGAGGGAAACCTCAAAAGAATACGGACGCAAGTAACCGAAGCGAAGGATGGTACCAACAACAACAGAAGCACCCCCGAGTTGCCCGCCAATCGATCACTTAATGCAAGTCTGCCATACTTAAAAATGGGTTGCTCTTCTCATCCAGGTTCTGGATGTCATCCTTCCGAAGACGGACAAGACCCGACTCCCCAGAAACGTGTTTCAGCACCGTTCCACGCCCAACCCCATTCGCAGCCAATGCTTCTTTTGACGTTCCGCGCTCAACACCTATTCCCTAAACAAAATGCGATTGGACAACCCTATTCTGAATTACCTCGGGCCAGCTGATCTCCCGCTTCCCATAGTAGGTATTTTCAAACAATCGTCGCTCGCTTGAAACGACACAACATCAGATGGGCGTTGCATGCAGTCTGGCTTCTTCGCAGCCAATGTTTGCTTCATCTGAAGATGAGGCTGTGTCATAGATCTCAAAAAGAGTTTTCTTGCGAGCCTAGAGGAAGTATATGAGTGTCGTGTTCCCGTTTCTGTCCCGTCTCCAAGTATAATCTCCTGTACTAACAGCACCACACGTACGTAATATTGATTATTGTCCAATACCACTAATACAACATCTACGTTCATTCAAACTCACCATTTCACCGTCGCCAACATGAAAAACTCGGTGATCTTTTCCCTGGGCCTAGCAGCCTTCACAACCGCCCTCCCAACCCTCGAAATCCGCCAGACACTAAACAACACAGCCAACAGCACCGCCTGCGCGACTGGCGTTCACATCATCGTCGCGCGAGCCAGCACTGAGAAACCCGGCGAAGGCATAATCGGCGCCGTAGCGAAACAAGTCGAGCAAGCAGTTCCTGGCTCCGATTCAGAAGCAGTGGATTATCCTGCTACGTTGCAGAACTATACGTCGTCCGAAGGGCTAGGAGTCAGTGGCATGACGAAATTGATTGAGAACTATGCGGCGAGATGTCCGAATAGTAAGATGGCACTTATGGGGTATTCTCAGGTATATTTCTAAAGATCTGGGAAAGGATTGAATGAAGAGTTACTGATGATTTGGTACAGGGAGCGCAAGTCATCGGTGACGTGATGTGTGGAACCAGCGAAGCGAACTTCACCCCAACACCACCACTCAACCCAGCTCTATCCAAAAACAGTTCGTCTCCCCTCCTCCCCATCACCTCCACCAAGTCCCAGCCAAGCTAACACCCACCCCAGTAATAGCAATAATCCAAATGGGCGACCCAACACACATCCCCAACCTCCCGCAAGACGTCGGCAACAGCACCCGCGCAGGCATCTTCCCCCGCCCCAACATCACAGCCTGCGAAGCCATGGCGCCCATCACCAAGAGCTTCTGTACCGCAGACGACCGCTTCTGTGATAGCGGGAATAGTATCCCCGTGCATCTGAGCTATGTGAGGGAGTTTGGGACGCAGGCGAAGGATTTTGTGGTACAGAGGGCGGCGGCGATGAATGGGACGAGGAAGGCGTAGATGGTAAGAAGAGCGGGGAGGAGAGGGAGAGGGAAAGGGTGTATATAATTATGAATGTTTTGTATATATTGTGTGTTGGTAATGTATCATTTTCGAGCTCGGAGATCGAAGAGGGTATTTGGCATCTGGCTTTCTTGGTGATTCTGCACTCATGTTTCTTCGTCACTATTTCCTATCCGTCGTCCACACTCATCTCTTAATCAAGCCTTTGTGGCGAGCCACACCTTGTCGTCTTCAGATGTTGGAGTTCAATCATCCACGGGTGGAAAGGCTTTTTACATTTCACAAATCCGAATAGAGATAAAGAGGAGGGGTATCGAAGGGCAGGGTAGAGTAATGTGAAGCTGGAGAACCTGGATGGCTATCTGGGGTCAACATCTAAGCGAGTCAAAATTAAGAGGATATATCCTTGCATAGTACACAGGTGGTCGCGTCAATTTTGAAGAGACGACTGCAGTAAGATATGAAGAGGGTACACTAGAGAATAAATACGGGTGGTCATTACGTAGGCAGTAAAGTTTCACAGCCCAAGGAACAAACGTATACAAATCCAATTGAATTTGTATAAAACCACTCCCGGCGCAATAAGCAAGCCAAGCAAGCAGTCATTCAAACCATCGATCGATCGACCAGTGAACCACTAAAAAGGTATCTAGTAATGCAAATCAACCCCAGAGCACCAAGCCATCCTTCCTATGCCATCCGAGCAGAGGTAAGCTATGCAATGCACCAACCCGAAGTCCAGTAGAAGTAAGAAACGCTGTCAAGAAGCAAGCTAGAAAATGCACCCCAGCGCCTAGCCATCCTTCCCCAGTCTGTACATGGGTAGGCTGCACGCTCCCAAAGCAAGCCATTATGGTGACAAAAGTACAAAGAGGGTAAGCCATCCTTCCCACTCTGGGTAGGCTATACCATGCATCCAATCCAAACGCCATCATGAGAGAAATAATGTCATCGAGACAACATCACCCGGAACGTAATTAAGGGAGAGGAGCATCGATAAGCTCAAAGTCGTCGTCATCGAGTCCAGCCTTGGGGACAACAGGTTCGAACTTAGTAGCCTTCTGCTTCGGGCTCTTCTTTCCCTTCGCCTTGAGATGAACAGTCTCGCCGGAGTTATCTAAGACCTCGTACTCGCCCTTCACAATCTCCTCAGTCTTCTTGTTAAGCCATTTCTTCTCTGCCAAATCGACCAAGCCACCAAGATCAACCTTGCGGCCCTTGTCACCAGGGCTTGGTCCCTTGTTATCATAGCTGTAAAGGATATCGGCATCGGCAGCGACGGCAGACTCTCGGAGTGCAACTTGGATGGCAGATTCAGTGTTGTTGGAGTGTTGAGGAAGGAGTTCGAGGAGTGATTTGGAGAGACTGGAGCTTGTGTGGTCCTTAGCATCCATCACGGCCGAAGCCTTGCGGGCGAGGCGTGCACAACCATCGTAACCATCGTAGCTTCCGTGTGGCTTAGGAGTCTTGTTTGCATGGGATTTGGGCTCATTTGGCCTGTGTAGTAGCTTGTTAATAGAGATCCTACCAGTTTTAAAAGAAGGACGTGATGTGGGAACGTACATTTGGCTATAATGCTTGTTGGGGCGGATTTTCATCCTTTGGCCCTCATTGCTAGCGCGCAAGACCTCGGCATTGTTGTAGCTGACAATGACGCCAGGTGATAGTCGAACACCGTTGCTCCACTTCTCTCTCTTGTCCTTATCTTGTTTGAAGGGGAGACTAGCTGATCGGATATCCTTCCGCTCGACAGGGTCGACCGGGTTTCTGGTGGAAACAGTAGACATATTTGCAGATGCTATTGATTTGTTGTTCGGTGTGTTGTTGGAAAAGTCGGAGGTGATGTTCGTAGCTTAGTTGGTTAAGTAGCTATGGGCGTGAGTCAACAAACCTTCCAATCCGGAAGTTCTTTGTTCTCGAAGCTTAGAATAACCAATAAAGAGCTGGAAGCTTCCAAAACGGGTGAATGATCGATGCTGTGTAATAAAAGTCTGGTTGAGAGGGAAGACACGTAGGTAGAGCGAGTTGAGGTTGATAAGTGATATGATAAGAGGGTCGGATATCGAAACGAAGGAAGTCGCCGGATGACTGGACTTGTAGCTGCCGAGTCACAGGAGAGAACGGGAGATTAAAGGAAGGCGCGTATTATCGAAAACTGTAAATAGGAGGACTGGCCACACACAGTCAAGTGGTAGCCGAAATGACGAATGAGCCCGAGCCCGAGCTGCAGCTGGAACAAAGCGATGGGGATGTGCAAGTGGCCGTGTTGGGACAGAGGCACAGGATCCGGCAGTGACTCAACAAGGCGAGGCGAGGCGAGGCGAGGCTGAGGTGATGCTGCGATAAGGAGAGACTAGGCTAGGCTGAGAATGGTGGATAATGGGCAAATGAATGATTTTATCCGGACAACGTGGAATGAAGAGAAAAATGATATTGGGAAATGGTGATGGATGCTTGGTGTTGTTCTTGAATGTTTGAATGTTTGATATGTTGAGGAGAGGAGGAGAGAGAAGGGGGGCAAGAGAGAGGGAGGGACGCGTCTACTTATTTACCTCCACCCAGGGCCCTTATCACCTGGATGGCCTCAGCAATCACTCACTCGCATCCGCAGCGATATCAGCCGTTAGCCATGGCCATGACCATGAAGCGTCCAGCCCATCAGCGCAGCAGAGACACGATTTGTCCGCCGCCGTCATCACTGGCTTTGCCTAGGATGGGCAAGGCTCCTGATCCTGGTGTCACCAGACTAGGCTGAGCGAGTGAGCGATAACAGAACGATGCTTCCCGACATCTTGCGGAGGAGGAGGGACCTGGTGGACCACAAGGCGCAAGGAGTCCTGGACCAACGGAGATTGGTAGCCGCGCGGGGGTACGATGAGGTCGGGTGGAAGAGAGAAGAGAGGAGAGTGGAGGAGGAGAGAGGAGAGATGAGGTCGGTGTTTGGGATTCCAGTCCCGCCGCCGGCGAGAGAGCGATAAAGCTGTGTGATCCACGCTTGCATGATGCATGCATCGCGATAAGAGCTCGGCCATCCAAGCAAAACGGCATGTGCTTGAAGCTGGCCAACACAACGCAGACTGAGATGCGAAACCTAGGAATGAGGGGAAATAACTTCATAAAAGAGTACATCCAGTTATTCTACACGTATTCAAGGACATGATTCTGAATGGCTACTTTCTCCTCGAAGATTACTTAATGGCACAATCGAGGACGCGAGAATGAGCTTCTATTTTGGTCTTACCCGAGCTGGTCTGGGCTTATCAAGTTATCGCGTCAGATCTCCAGGTCCTTGTTTTGACGTGCCTCAGCCTTCGTGCCTCGGGCAAACAAGCCGGATCTGCCTTAACCTCAAGGATGAGCTTCTGCCAGCTTTTGTCCTCAAGACTAACCTGTTTGATATCAGAAACTGCCATCAATACAGCTTGACCGAAGCAGCTGCAGCTTGCGATGCTATGATAAAGCATTCCGTATCGAACGAGGTCGCTAATTGCGTTCCAATCCCAATCCGGTACAACAAACCCCCACCACACTTACATAGGATCCAGGTCAGCAGGCACACCAGTCGCCAACTTCGTTCCTTTCGCGGTTTCGTACCAGATGACGATTGTGGTTCCGCTGTCAAACTGTACAGGTGCTTCCTGCTGTTGAAACAGATGCATGATGACGCTTTGGACGGAAGGGGTCTGGGGTTCAGAGTGTTGCACATGGCTTGCTCGCTTGATCCAGGATACAAAGGTCCGGTTGGTCTATTGGGCCACCTCGGACGTGGTGGCTGAATGCTAACTTCCAGGTCGCCCTTATTTTATGATGCCCCTCTTAGAAAGTTGAGAAACACAAGCCACCTGGGCTAGAAGTCATGTGAAGTTGCAATCCCATAATGTCAGGTGACCCAAATCCACGTGACTGATCTCCAACTGGGGGTCAAGGTGACTGGAGGGCAGATGGGCTTGCTTCATACCTAAATGCTCAGCCAACGTCCGATGAGAACTTGGAAAACTCGCCGGACTCTGTTGCTATCCAACAGACTTTTCGATTCAATCGCAAGTAAGCTTCGCTACTGTCAACAGTCAACAAAGAGCCTCGTTCCAAGACCGTTCTTCCAGTACGGAAAGGTTTCCATCATTTAGCAACACCTCCTTGTCTTCAAATGTCCTAGGATGGGGGCGCTTCTGCTACTTCATGGTCCTGTTGACGTGAATGGTAGGCTTCTCGCTAATCCGGAGAGAGGGCAACAACCCGAGTGAGATGCCAAAACGTGCCTGTTGTCAAGAAATTGAAACAAAGCCTTGAAGTAAGAATGACCTACGCTAGACATCTCTATATCGCGTCTAAACACCATCTCTTATCGATCTGAGATAATTGGTAGATTTCCGAAAATCACCTAACTTTTCTGTTCGCTTCGTCAGGCAACAGCAGCCCCGCACGTCAAAACATGGTCCCACATTGAACTAGTTCCATTGACCTTCTTCCCTAAAATCATATATCAACGTTCGCGTTGCCCCAGACCTCTCATTCACATCCATTCAACTTATATCTAAGATACTCATAAGTGCACGAAATATTCATGATGGATTCCTCGGCCGAAACCAAAGAATATAAAGGCAACTGCCACTGCGGACTCTTCAAGTTCACCATCTCAGTTCCAGAACTCAAATCCGTTCGAGTCTGTGATTGTAGCTATTGCTACCGCGTATGTCAATTAATCTAGAATTCTCAAAATGAAGTGGCTGACATGGCATGCAGAAAGCCATACCATGGGTGTTTCCAGGTAGTGATCTGAAGATCCAGAGCGGAGAGGATGAATTGAGCACCTACCAATTCGGTCAAAAAGAACTATTGCACTCGGTGAGGAGAAATCTTTCGGTGTCTAAGGGAGTTGGCACTGATATTTTGTCAAGTTCTGTCCTAAATGCGGAAACACCATCATAGCCAAACATCTGCCATCTGGCACGCACGGAATCAATGTATGTTCACTCTAAAAGTGTTATTATCCCAAATAAAAGCTTAAGTCTTCACAGGCGCGCTTACTCCAGTCATTGGACTTGAAAACTCTGGAGAAGACAAAATACGAAGGCACTTCAGGCGAAGAACACGGAGCAAAATATGTCCCTCCTTCAACTTATCCTCCACCATCCACCGCGAAGAATGTCGAGACATCAGTCGAAGGCGCTAAGCTGGATATATTTCATGGTAACTGTCATTGTGGAGCTGTAGCCTACACAATGCTTTCCAAGCCTCTGAGTGAACGCATGATCATTTCTTGCAACTGCAGTCTATGCTACCGCGTATGTCCTCCCCTCACCCTACACTTCAAATTCAGGCTGACACCTCCTTAGAATGGAGAGGTCTACACCTACCCACCAGCCAGCTCCGTGACATTCATCGGCAAAGAGAATCTTACCGGTTATCCGTTCCTTTCTCCAGACTCACTTCACAGCTTTTGCAAGATCTGTGGTACGTCTGTTTGTGTACAGGCGTTGAAGGAGGATGAGGATTTGTTGCCGATTAATTTGCGGACGATGATGAGTGGTGTTAATGTGAAGGATTTGAAGATCACGGAGTATGATGGTGCGAAGAATGATCCGCAATATGTTGTTCCTTGAGAGGATGCAGAGTTGGATCCCGAGATGGTGTCGCCACTGGTCAGGCGCGACTCGGCTGGCGTGGTTTTGAAGACTCCTACCTCACTACTGTGCGTCAAGTTGATTCATCATAATCCAAAATACAAAGACTCACATCTCATGTGGAATTTAAGTGAACAAAATCCTTCGCCTAGATCAATATGTTTAAAACTGCTTCACTTTTACGACTTCACACTATGCCCGTCTTTGTTAATCAATCAACCAGCCAATCAAACAATTTAACACAAGCGAGAAAGTCTGAAGGAAAACAACACAATTTGATTTGTGCCTTCGTACAAATTCTCTCCACTCCCATTTACATCATCATGTTTCCAAAATTCCCCTCCAGTTACATAAAGAAATATCCACTGTCTATTGATGAATCCTCCCACAGACATTAAATGATCCAGTTGTATATTCAAAAAGCAGCATATTTGTGCCACCTCATGATCAATGTGACATGATGCGCCGAATACTGCAAGTCGATTGATCAGTCCCAAAAACGTCCTCGAGATTTTCCAAGATGTGTAATTCCTAGCCACGGCCAGAATTTCCACTCGGGCCGATAAAGTGATCGATTTCATGCCATGAAAACCGTCTACCGATAGGTTTTTTGCTGGTTTTTGTCCTTGGCTACGTGAATGGTCTTTGTATGATTGCCATTCGCATCGTAGCCGTCAAGTGTAATGTGCTCCGACTCATCCTCCGGGCTCGTGTGAAACATGGTTCTATAATTTCCTCGGTATGAGCCAGTAGTCTTGAAATAGGTCAATTCAAAAGTATCTTACCTCATCTGTGCTGTGGTCGTAGATGGTGGAAGCTGGTGAAGCTCTTCAGCAACTCTCTTGGCATGAGCTTCGATCGTTTCTCTGGGGATGGCGCCTGCCAATCTGCGGTAACTGTCCGATTCCGTGGAAAGGAATATCTGTAGGAACCTTTTTCCTTTTTGAATTTGTTTCAAAAGAATGGACATGATGCTTGGGTAGGTACAAATAGAGAGCCGTAGACATACACCAAAGGAGAATAAAAAAATAGAAAAAAGAGCTGTCGAGCGATTCGAGGAGTATTCTGAACTGTAGATAGAGAAGGATATGAATTATAGAAGCAGCAGGTAGAAAATACAAAGAATAGTCGATTCTTATACCTGAAGGCAACCTTGGAAAGTTCCCCTCGGCCCACTTTCAGTTTGCAATCACTCACCACTCGTTCAATTGTTCGAGAAACTTACCGCGCGCCTCCATATTGTGAAACTCGTCCGATGTCAATCACCATGTGAAATGTTAGGAATTCGCAGCCTACCAATTTTGAAGCGCTGGGTCGGATCTGGCCAGCGGTAAGAATGCCTGCAAATATGGGCGAAATGCGCTTAACCCAATTAGGACTAGTGCCGCACCGATCTTGACCTGCACTGGAGGATCTCCTATCCTGAGGAAAAGTATTATCATCTTGCCATCACGGGTCACAACTGGTTCATTACATGAATATTGCTATAAAATGAGCGCTCTATCTGCCCGACACTTTCAGCAAGCACAAGTTTTGACTGCGGTCTCGAAGCGTAGATACCGACTCACCGAACATGCTAGTACCCACCATCAACATGTTTGGCTTGCTCGCTCCGAAAGGTAGGGAACTCACTGCAATGCCTTCTGCTCTTCGCTATGCCGATTAATTATTACTAGTGATGCTGGCCAATACATCATCAAGTCCCCACTGCGTTGCAAAGACAGCGAGCAGAGCATCGCTATGCGCCAGCTGGATACGGAGATGATGATTCTCAACGGCCCGCTCAAGGACACTGAAGGCATCCGACAGCTTGTAGATCAGATTGATCTAGCGATGGGAGTTGATAAACAAACACGAGCAGGCGTCTTCGAGCATCTAGATTTCGATCTTCACAAGTACCACCTAACCCAAAAACACAGTTTTTCACGTCTCCAAATTAAGACAATTGCACGGCAAATCCTGAAGGCTCTCTCACATTCGCATAAGCAAGATATTGTCCATACAGGTTAGAAAGAACCTTCTGATTAGTGTAACAGAAGCTAAATTCCCATGTTACAGACCTCAAACCCGAGAATATTGTGTTCTCGAAGTCCGCAAGCACAACCACTTCTGAACTATTAGTTAAGGTCATCGACTTCGGAGTCGGTATGTTTTGTGGCACAGCCAAGAAAGCATAGGTATTTCTCGCTGCTGACATTATTTTAGCGTCGCAACGAGGTGAGGAAAGACAGCACATGATCACGAATCCGTTTTGGCGGAGTCCTGAATCTTGGGTCGGCCTTCCCTGGGGCACTCCGGCTGACATTTGGTCTTTTGGAGCTGTTGTAAGAGGCTCCACATCACTCTTTTGTACCATGAACACTAATCTTTACTCTGCTGCTCAGATGGGCTCCCTCCTCATGGAACCTGGTGCAAAGCTCTTCCAGCCTATGGGTGGTCTTGCAGGTGTACCTGCTGAGGAACGAGATCGAGAATTCTTGCGATCACTGTGGACAATGATCCAATTTCCCAAGACATTTCTCGACCGGATACCCAGGACATGGCGAGACGAGATTTCGAACTTTTCACCAAGGTTGGCGCCTAATGGAGTGCCCATCACATTGTCTTTCATAGGAGATATCTTTGAGGTCCCGAAAGCAGACTGGGCTTTTGTTAGAGATATCTTGGAGGTGGATCCTGATAAGAGACCAACTGCGGACGAGCTTCTTCAACATACCTGGCTCGACTCCTGAGGCAGCCATATCTGTCTTAACATCGCCGTTTACCCTCACTCAAGGCTACATTGAAGCAGTTATAATAATAGTAATTGTGCTCACGGGAGTGCCGAGTATGAAGGCTGTGGCATTTGACGGAATAACGTGGTGCTAGATGGGAGCGGGAATCATCCAAATGGGTCAACGAGAAAGCCTGTACATTTCTCGGCGCTGAAACACCCGATTAAGCTGATTTTGACGGACCTAGATGGGAATACTCGCTATTCTTATGTAAGTCTGAGAAAGATATTTCAATACATAGACGAGAAAAGGAAGATGTATTATGTATAGCATCAATCAGCATTCTCAATGGATAGTCACCATTTGCAACAGCCCAGCATCCGCAAAATCGATGTAGCTCCCGGCCATATATCCGACACCGGCTCTCTCATATATGCTTTCCTCATTGGATACCGATATTGGTGTAATCACGAGAACATAGTGTGTGGTTTCCTCAACACGTGTCTTCGCCACCGCTCTGCCCATAACCACGCATTTCAATGTCTTTGCTCTTGCTTCTGATGGCTTATCCATGTCATAGAAAATGCGAAATCGAGTTTCATGATCCTCCGCAACAGTGTATCCTCTAGCAACAGCCTTGAGTCGTCCTATATTCTGGCTGCCATCGATGTCCGAGTCTTTTGTCGTTCCAGTCCACGGACTTACGATCTCGTCGGGAGTCCAATACACGTCTCCCAGCGGAAGATCTAAGTAGTCGATCGGGTTTTTATAGCCCATCCACGACCAGCTAGGAACCGCGATCGGCTCTCCAGATAACAGAAGGACTTTTTCGAGGGTAGAAACGTCTTCAGCTCTTTTCCAGAGGAGACTCCGCTGAAGAAGGCTGCGACCATCGTCAAAGACGCCGAATCCACCTTCGACCTCGAGATCACGTAGGAGCCGCTTCTGAAGACCCGAGATGGCAATTGGTCGATCGGTCCAGCGGGTAAAGTCAAGTCTGGAGTACTGTCGGTAGAAATCCTCGTAGAGACGGATCCGCTCGCCTCGATCGCTGCCGCTGTTCTCGATGGCTATTTTGGAAGGGAAGTTGGGGTCGCCGAGGAATGATATGAGCTTGCTTCGGGTGTGTTAGTTTGTGAATTTCGATCTACAGGGGAACAGTACTTCTCCATCTTGGTCAGGGTTTCGCATCTTACTCCTTCTCCACACTCGAAATAGGTTTATCGATCTGTGAAGAAGATAGTCCGGCGGGCCAAAGCCCTCTCTTGCATCACCCATCCGCGCTCACTCAGTGGACCGTGAAGGACGTGACTATCGAAGTCGTCCATGAAACGACAGACATATACCGTCTGTCCACCCATCTCAAAGGTTAGAAAATCGTTTTCCTTCCGTTGAACCAGAAAGCCATCCTGCGGTCCCAAGGCACTACTGGCCGCGAGTATACAATATGCAGAGCTGAACACATCCTCCATTCGTAACGCCTCCGTAGCAAAGTCACCATCGTCACCTTCGCTTTTCTGTATGATGCAGAGCGAATCGATCCAGAGATATTGTACGCCGAGCTGCCGAGTCGTTTCTACAGCATTTTTGAAAGTGTTTGGGAGCTCGTCGAAGGAAATAGACTCCTCATATTCCTTCAGATTCTTCTGATTTGTGCAGAAAAATTCTGGGCCTGGTCCCCAACGGTGGGATAGAGCAGTATATTGAAATGAGTCTGTCGTTTTGGTCTTGTATATTCGAAGGGCGGGCTTTTCGCGGCTCCCGAGGTAAAGGAGTCTGGTCGGCATTGTTGATGGCTTGGATGGCACGCATTTGGGGTGATTGGCATTGCAGTCTTGGATAAATTGCCGGGCGATGCCAAAATGGGTCTTACTTGCGGCTGCTGGCAGCTTTGGCAATCCTATTTGAATGAAGTTGGCAGTCAGGCTTTGGGCTTCTGCGTTAATTGTCAGAATGGGTAAATCGTGCTGTGTTTGGGTACAAGGGGTTGGGACTTGCCTGGACTTCGACAAAGGGACATGACAGGTATTCGACCTTCATTTAACTTCAACATAGACTGGTCCCTCGTGAAGGTTACTGACGTAACGTTGCCTACGCGGAGATGTTTGGACACCTCCCAACGCAACTTGCAAAAGTCGCAAGTCTCAAGCTTCAGCTCAAGATCCGAAAATGAGTCTTTGATGCTGAAGAGCGGCTGGAAAAAATCCATTTTTTGACATGCTTCGCAGCGTTTTGAAAACTGGCCGTGCTTCGGAAAGAGCTTCTCTGTTTCCACAGTCTTGACAACTTCATTTGCGAACTTATTGTCGACCGGAAAGTTCGTAACATCTATCTTTGCTGCATTGCGATATTCGTTTCTTCGAGCCTGTGTGACTGAGGGTAATGAAGGCATCAAGGGCACATTCAATGTGATATTTTCCGATGGAGTCGTCGCAAGTCTATTGGGACGAGGAGCAGGTTGTCCAAGAGCTGACGCGGGATTAAGGAAATCTGGTCCCGAAGATCGCAGCCTAGGCAATCGCAGGCTACTGCTTCGGGATTGCCCTGTATACCAATAGCGCTCGTTTTCTTCCCCCTTTCTCACGATTTCGTCAAGTGCTTGGCGAAGCTCTCCAGCTGTGGCACGAGACCCAGCGCCTGTCTTTAAACTCACGACTAACAATTTCGTCCGGACAATACGTAGGAGGTCTTTAATAGCTGAGTCTTGTCCAACTTTGCATTCCTGGTCTCTAGAGAGCAGATCCATGGTCTCTGAAACTGCAGGATGCACCTTGGCTCGCTTATTCTCGCCTTTGCCTTCTACTTCAAAATAGGGGCATTGTTGATCCAGTTCGTTAATAACATACATCTTGTTGAACTCGTTCAAAGACCAGGTTCCATAGAGAAGCCATATTATGAATTCCAAGGTGATACAGCCGAATGACCAAATATCTTGGCGTCGAGATCTACCCCCCGACTTGGTCGAAGATTCGAGAACTATCTCAGGTGGCTCATACCTATATGTTGAATATTTCATACTGGTAGGAGGTCTGAGTTCCGTCAGGACAGTGTGGTGCTTAGCCCTATAAAAACATTAATAGATGAGCAGTACATTTGAGGCGTCTCTGAGGAAGTTTAGAGAGCCGTGCTTCGAGGGAACAAAGATAGACTGCTCAGCACTTACAAGCCCATATCAGCAATCTTGAGAATACCCACGTCGATATCAGAATCAAGGCCTTCTGTAACTGCTCTTGTTCGGACGCGGAGTATGTTTTCTGGTTTCAGGTCACCATGGCGGTATGATCCATCACCTCCACCATACCCGTGTAGCTTTTCCAAGGCATCAGCAAGTCCACGAAGCTGCTTGACAACGTCTCGCACGAGCGTCACACTGAGGTGTGGGTTTGTATCGGCCTGCCAAAATTCGTGTAAGTTGCCACCGTCGGCCCATCGAAACAAGAGATATCTATCACCTCCCCTCGTGATAGTCACAACGAACTCGATAATATTTGGGTGTGGGAGACCCCCGTTACACTTATTGATGTCGATATGAGCATTGACCTCCTTCTTCCATTCCGCTTTCAGTGTTCGGAGTGTTGCCACGTCTGTCGAATGAATCCCCTTGAGCTGCTTCACAGCAATTCCCGATCTTTTGTTGTTGAACTATTGCTTGTCAGAATTAGCGTGCAGCGGTGTTGACCGGTTTTGAACGCACCGTTAATATGGGATCCAGATGATGGGATGGATGAATTTCGACCCGAAACACTTCCCCGAACGCACCAGTTTTCCTATCGCTGTCTTGTGAAATGAAAGGGAAAATGGCTTTGGGGTGAAGTTGCATGTCTAGTTCGTCGCTTGAAAAGACCGGCGCTATGTACTCGAACTGATTTGTAGCGGAAGTCGCGTATTCGTCTTTTGCTCCATGGAGGTTGATAAGGATTGTCTCGAAAGAAAGTCAAAGCTGCAACGTTCCTAGTTGAAACTGGCAATGATGCGTCCTCAAACGAGATGTCCGAAAATTGTTTCACGGCCATGATCAAATCATTGTCGGTGAGGCCAATGTCGAGCAAGATAGCAAAAATTCGTTTCCCATACGACAGTATATATGCGAGAAGCTCCACATTTGAACTATCACTCAAGCTTTCTCTGGTAAGGGCCAGCTCCTTGGTAACAGAATTTCTCGACATGAGTACTTCGATACATCCCGCGGGGAAGAATTCACGGTCATCGATGACACTCCGGACAGGTGTATTCAGGATCAGGTCGCTTAAGCATTCTTCGCTGTCGGAAGTACCGGAATAACTTCCGGGATCCTCTGCATTGGCAGACATGGCAATTGCTTCAAATGCTTCGGAGTTCTTTCGTAGACGGTGTTCTAAAGCTTTGAAAGATTCAAGTACCGCTTGACAAAAATCGCAAACAATACTAATCCACTTCAAAAGGGCTGCTGGGAGTAAGGCTGCCAACATCGTTTAAAAAAGCGGAGAAATTAAACAAGAGCGGAGCCTCAAGAACTCTGAGGGCGACTTGCTTTAGTAACCATGCAACCAGTCCCGCGTAGTTCAGCAGGCGTTCATCTAGAACGAGGAAGGCTGGACGAGCAGCTGGCTGCATGTGGGAGGGTGTGAAGAACCCGGGCGCCTCCTTCATGCAAACCTGAGCCCACGCACATCCGCAGATTGGGCGAGATTGTGGCTATTAACTTACTTCATTTGATATGCAGATGCTTCGAGCACCCAAGAATACCCCACGAGCAAAGGATGTGGCTTGCGGCTGACAAGCCTGTAGAAGGCTACCTTCTTCTTCGAGACGCTTGCATGATTATCAATATGCAATGTCTGCAGTAGGCTAATTTAGCCGGCCAGCCCCGGCCTGGCATCGTAATAGTTTCTTTTTGCTGGGGTAAACAATTTTCGCCGTGGACTTGGTGAGAAGGGTGACCAACCATGCGATGGCAAGATCAAAGCATGGCCTTGATCATTCCCACGATCTCCTTGGAACTGACCGGCGTGACCTACGGGTTCACCTTGCTTCCCATAAGCCCATGAAGTCTATGCAAGTATATTTTGAACATCATTTTCATTCTCGATTGATCTCATTCATGGCGCCCAGGCGAAGAGGTTTCTTTGTATCCGTAGCCGTTACTATGCTCACATCTATGCAGCATGTTCCCGAGTCTCGTCAGCACCTCTTGACAGGTAGCACGGTCTCGTTTTTGGGGGTCAGTTGCCTTAATGACGAGTAAGTCATCCCGAACCATCTCTATGAAGTCGCGAAGGAACGCAGTACATGAATCTTTGGCGAGGAGTTGGCTGATAAACTAGAACTCAGTGTTAGTGGTGTCCAAATGCGTAGGTGTGTTTAATTATAGGCTCACTCTCGAGACACAGGGCTTTATTTCCGCTCTGTGTTTCCTGCCCGGAATCTCTGGCTTCAACACATAAAAGGTTGGGCAGTCCTGGCCAAGGACACAATCCTCCTTCATTCTGTCGAAAGAAAAGATGCCGACCAGGTCCCAGCCACCCATCAGCCACGTGATGAATTCGAGATACAGACATCCAAGCGTCCACATGTCATAGGAACGACCAATTGCACCCGTTCCGTCTATTTCCACTTCCGGCGCCTGGTAAGAACGAGACGTTGCAAAGTTGGATTTCGGCTGCATAGACCTCGTATGATGGACGCTCATTTCCGCAAGTCCGAAGTCAGAGAGCTTCAGCGTTCCTTGTTTGGTACTCGCGTGATCTTTATCTGGAAACCAAAGGACATTTTCCGGTTTTATATCACCATGATGTCCGAATGCCTCATCCTTTGGCTGTGGCCGAAGTTTCGAACTTTTGTACTGGTGAATCGCCACGACCCCTTCCGCTATACCTCTACACTGCTGAGCTACCCATAGCACTGTGTCTCGGTCCATAGTTGGAGTTGGCTTCACTTCCATCCAGTATCTCCTCAAATCGGCATCAGCCCAGTGGAATATCAAGAAATAGGCGCCGAATTGCCGGTACGTAGCCAAGAGAGAAACCAAGTGCCTGTTGGTGGGTACATCTGGGTCGCTGAATCGTTTGAGCATTTCAACTTCCTTCTTGAACTGTTTTTTGTCTCGAGAATGGAGGCATTTCACTGCAAAGCTCCTGGTATTGTGCTGGTGGTGATATTTAGTGATTTTCGGAGCTCGCGTAGGAGATATACGGCTTACACTTTCGCAGTTGCTACCGAAGTTGTGATGATCAGGATGTATGTCAATCTTTGAAACCCTTGAGAATCCACCTTCAAAAGCTAGCGTCTTGCCGATACGGCCTTCGTCAGGGCTGCATGAGATGAACGGTAAGATTGCTTGGTCTTGTAGTGGGTAATGTTTGACTTGTTTGTACCCTCCTTTAGCGAAAAAAGGAGAGAGTGTAGTCCATTGGTAGTGTTCAAAATTTCTAAAATGAAGCTGTTTCCATTGCTTGCTGAAACAACTTAAGTGTTTTTCCGGATTACGACTGAGTCTGAGCTCTTTTGAGCCTTTCGAATCCATTCGCTTGGCCAGAACCAGCGGCAAGTCGCTGTCGGAAATGCCAATATCAATAAACTTGGTGATAGAACGTGTCTTATCGATGAGCACCAGGATCACAAAGATTTTTCGAAAACAGGTGACTTTCCTGGATCCATCCTCTTCATAACTTGTTCCGCAGATCTTACTGGCATAATCCGCAATCGTTTCCTTGCTGTGGACATCGGCGAGGTGCTTCGATAGTTCTTTGTATACACACTTGAAATTCACAATGGCAGAGAGAACTTTCCTGGGGAAAACTCTTTCTTACCCTCTTGAGTTGGAACAAGGGCCTGGAAAAGGCGCTCTTGAAGGGTTCCCACGAGCTTCTTGGAATGTTGTCGCCCAGCAACAGGAGATGTAACTGAAAATGACGAATTTCGAGACCTGGATTGCCCCACTTTAGCGTACAGAGACTCTCCAAAATCGGTAATCTCACTTCGGATTTCCAGTTTCCTCGGGTCTTTTTGAATGCTAGGGATGCCACCGTCTCCTCGGAAAGGCGCAACTTCAGCTGCACTTGGCTTCGTTAGAGGGCCATTCTGCAAGAACAAGTGTTAATAGAAGCGAAAGAACCTTGGAGGGGAACTTTCTTACGATTCCTTCAAAGATTGGATCAGTATTGAGGTCGCCGCTCGCATTTTGCTCGCCTGTTAACCCAATTTGTCCTCTCAGGAGGCCATCCTGGTCTTTACTTGAATGAGGAAGTTGCTCTGCGTCCGAGTCCGAGTCATCACTGCAACTTGAAGACCACGAATTAGATTCGGAGTTGAGGTAGTGGATTGGCTCTGAAGTTTTATCCTTCCGGAGGAGTCTTTCTCTGCTCGAATCTTGATCACTTCTGCTGAGATCACGTCCAAGGTTTCGCCGAGTTTGCCTGACAGCTCTGCTGTCTTCATATTTCCTACTTCTTACAGCATGGATAGGTTTCAGTTGCCGTTGAGGATATCCATTTCTGTCGTTAGATGGAGTCGACTCGGGAGTATTTTCCGCCGAAGTTGCTGATGCTGTGTCGTCCTCGTGGACGCCGGGCGAACCCAGGCCTTCCACAGCTTCGGAGCGAGCGATTGGCTTCCTTGTAGTGCTGTCATCGGGTCCGCGTATAACAATACTTGGGGTTGGATATTCACTCTCCGAGAGCATTTTTCCGACAGGGAGCAGAATGTATGGCAGAAGATGACAAAACAAATAGACGAGAAATCCACCAAGGAGTAGAATCTCAAACGAATTTCCTACAATGTCTTTAATATGCGTTTCCAACATTGTGATCAATAGCTGAGCCGCAACCCAAGCGCGATATCATGTTACTTGTATGCACTCTATGTGCCTCGTCCAGTTCTGCACTTTAGTTGCGGCCCCGCTGGTGCTGCAAGCCGGACATTCAGGCTGGCTGCGCCCCAAACTCACTAGGCGCCGTGGCGCACACCCTTTGCTCCCCATGATATTTCGACTGGCTGGAAGCCTCATCACTCAATTCAGCTCTCAACAGTCTCAAGATTGACATCCGAGGCTGTTGGTTCGTGATCAGGCTGCATCGTGTGCAATCGGTGCAGATTAATGATCCGGGGCTCATGACTGCATCTGTGAGAGAACTCCCAGGCTTAAAGAGAAGAAGAACCTTTGGAGAGCCTGGTGTCCTTAGCCAAGGCAGATTTTTGCTCATGTCTAGAGTCGCAATCCATTTGAATGCATCTCGGTGAGCGACAGTGGAACGTGTGTGGTAAGGTGAGGTGGAGGCTGAGCAACGTGCCGTATGCAGGCGACAGCCAATGAAGGCTGTGACCGGCGCCGAAACCCAAATAGCAACCATCAAAGGGCGTGACGTGTTCTGCCTCACATAATCGTTAGAAAAAGAACGACTTAAAAGACTACAGAGCCTCATCGAGTCTCCTTGAAAATCATCGAAATCGAAGTCTTCCGTTATCCAGATCCCATTTCTCAAGCCAAGATCGCATACATGTTGCAAGAATCAGCAAAAACAAACGAAGTCGCCTCGAGAGACTACCGGGCCAAAGGCGTGGCGATGAGGGAGAAAGAGAACAATGTGGTCATAAATTGCTCTGAGCTTCCGGAAGATGATAGTTTCACAGCAGAGCAACGGACTATTGACCTGGAAGTACAAATTTTGGCCGCAAAAAATGTGAATCCAATGAAGTTGGTGACCTTACTACGGGTAAGGTTCGGCATCGGTCAGTACGAAATACAGGTATGTTTCACCTCTTTGGCTGCTTCCAACAATATCAGCTAACGATGACTAGCGAATGCCCGGGGTGTATAATATTCGGGCACCAAGGCGTCTTTCGGTAGAAGAAGTCAAGGGATGCAGATGGTATTGACACCAAAGAAGCATCCCAGGAAGCGGGGGTGAATAGATGAAGATGGATAGAAGAACAACAAAGACGGTTACCGTGATACTAGCCAAATGATGGGGCTCATGAGTCGAAATTGTTGGAATGATATGAAGGCTCTGTGGAAAGAGAGAGGTGAAAGAAGTGGGTGACGAGGGAGACAACCCTACATTGGCAGAAATCTACACCAGTGTGAACTATTTACATTTAGCACTGAAATGCAATATCGTAGCCTGAAGCGCAATGTATGAATCGTGTATCATGGAGTACGTCCTACCACAGAACTAATATTCCAACACCCAAAGCTATTGCAAGTGTAAATGCACTTCCAGACCCAACAGGTCCCGATGCTGCACCAGTGAAAGGTGCCAACATACCCTTGCAGGTATTGAGGCTTTCCGTAGCACTTGCTCTCAGAGTGCCATTGCTACTATTTTTCTCAGCTCCAACCTCTTCAAGACCCTGAGCAACAGATGTAGGAATAGCAGTAGGAGAGTCGTACGCAGCTTCCACCCCGGGAGGTTTATTCAACAACACAGCAAACGGCTCAACACTACTCGTGCTGACACTGATCCGTGCAATTCTACTTGAAGTGACAGGAAAAGAGTGCAAGAAGGACGTGGAGGTGACATTCCACTGTGGATACGGCACTGCAGACACGGTAGCTGTTGGCATGGTATACACGGGGTTCGTGAATGTTGGCGTGTAGACTGTTTCGACGTGCGGCGTGGCGCAGGGTGTGAGTCTGAGTGATAGTGGTGACACAGTTTTGATAGTAAGAGATACGAGGGCTTCTGTTCTTTTTAATGTTGGTGGTGGTGAGGATAAGGGAATTGCGGTGAAGGGAAGAGTAATTATTTTGAAGAGATTGTTGTATGTGTAGTGAGGATGGAGGAAGTTGAGAGCAGAGCAATTTTGGATACTGATACCACAGTGTGCAGAGATCAGGACACAAATTTGGCTGGAGAATGGTCGCTAAGATGCAGGGGTTCGCCAACGGAACATGCTGTCGTGTATAAAATCTTGGTGCTGGTGATGAGCACTTCTGTCGCCAGGCTTGCCGGGCAATGGAGTACTGTGTCGGCACATGATGTGAGCGTTATGATCTCGGTAGTATAAACAGTCGATGTGGTAAGTGGTGGCGCGGATGTGATGGTGCTGTTTACTATTGGTCTGGTGTAGAATATGCCTGATGGGATGGATCTAACGGCAGTAACCTTTTGGGTAGAGGATATACCTGAAGCCTGAAGAAAAAATCTACCCGTTGAATTGTTCGTTAGAGTTGGGATGACATGCGTAGCAAGCGGTCCTGTAAGAAGTGAGACAGTCGTGGGCGGCATCGGCAGCACCAAACTTGTGGTGACCGCATTCAGTGCCGAATCCGTCGACAAAGCCGTCCCGGACGTCGCGGTCTGCCGACTGAGACAAAGACTCGGCAACGGCAATTCCAAGATTGTAGTGATGACAGCCGGACTCATGCCAAACTTCGAAAAGTTGATCTCCACCACAGCATGAGCAAAAGCACCAATGTTAACATCCAAGCTTTCTGTGGTGGACAATTCACAAGCTGGTGTGGTAGATATCGTGGCCTGGTATTCGATGAGATCTGCGAAAGTGCCGGGTTCGAAGTCGAAGCCTGTGCCGAAGAGAGTCACGGTCGTACCTGCTTGGACACGTACCCTAAGAGCGGCTTTAAATGTGGCGCAGCCAGACGTAATGAGTATCGGTAGGGCCTTCGCTTCTGCTCCATTACTTCAGGAAGTAAGTCAATAAAGCGGATAACTATATGGAAGTTGGGAGAGCAACATGTAATTGTAGATACTTACAACCCATGATCAACGATCCCCAATCAAAGGCTCAACAATAATATACAGTCCGTCGGAAACCGCAAACTCAAAGCCAGCCTGCATGTCCACAGTCTCGCTTAACGAAAGCCCCAAATCTTCAAAAAGCATCATACCAAAGCTGATATCTTCACTAACCGCAGCTCCAAGTGGTGTCAAACTCGAGAAATAGGTAGCGAGCAAGTCGTGTTCTCTGTAGCTTGGATGTCGAAATTGAAATGGCCAGCTACATCCTCGAACGAGATTTTGATATTGAGACCGAAAGCTAGAGAGATAAGGTCGAGGGGGTTCTCAAAGAAAGATTTGATATCCTTGATCATGTCTGTGTCTTTGGACGCGCCGGTTGTGGTTACTGTTGCGGTGCCCGAGGTGGTACATTCTAAGCAGGTGATCTCGAGGCTAGATTGTGTTGCGGAGTTAGGATCGAGTGGAGATGAGTGGGTGCTGTTGATGTTAGATCGAGAATTCAGAAGGGATGAGGAGTAATAACAGGTCAATAAGGACATCGTTTAGATGTGAGGTTGAAAGATCATAGGAGCCGAGCTTGATGGACGGGAGACGCTCTTATAGTTCTCTTGTGGGGAGCACTTGTATGCCTTTTGAACGAATAGTTGGGACTGCTAGGCATCCACAGCTCAGAAACACAATAGAAATGATGAGAATGCGAATCAATGCAGACATGGCGATAAGAAAAGGAGAGTATAGGACAGTTGACAAGGATAAAGAACGAGTGTAGTCGGTACAAGATCAGAAGGGACTGTGATGAACAAAAGCCACAAACGAGTGTGTAAATACTGTGACATTTGAAGAGATACTAGGAGTGCGATCGAACCTTATAGAAACGTTGCTGTATCAGGTATCCCAGAACATGTCTAGTACACCTACAGTTGCAGTCAAATACACATCCACGAGGCTGGGGACCTCAACAGGGGCGACAGAGTCCAGCAGGCTAATGGAGTTTTTACCCCTAAGCTTGGCACTGAAGCTTCCTGCCTATGAGGAAGTTTTGATAGTATACCCAGTATACAATCTGAGAGAGCCGGTAGGCAGAGTGTGGGGGAAAGACATGCAGCCGAGCGGAATACTTCAAACTGCCTTGTAGAAAGGGTACAAGGCCACTTGGCCATGTCGGTGCCCCTTGAACTCTCACGCTACCAAGAGACTGCAGAACCCCTTCACTCGTAAATGTTATTCAAGGAGGTAGTGACAGCTCAACCACTGATGCGGTGTATCCTGATCACGTTCGGTTGACTGGCAGGACGTCTCGTTTCATGAAAAGGGGCCATCTACGCGAAGCCTCCCCTCAACCGCTCATTCGCCCAGCCTATCGGCGCTAAAACAACACCCTGGCTTACTCACGTGCACCTATCTCAAAATTCATGGTTCGAAGTTGAAGCTCAGCCTTCCGTAACTTCACAACGGCAAAGTCGAGTGCAGGCTCTTATTTCCGCCAATATGTCACTCTCCAGCTATCTCGCCTCCAAATATCTCACAGCCGATACCTCCTCATCTAGCACCGGCAAGAAACGCAAACGCAAGACCCCAAAGGAAACCACTGGTCTCATAATCGCCGACGACGACGCCCTTGGCTGGGCACCCACCACTTCAACAAACATCGAAGACAACGACACACCCCTGACTATCTCCAGCGGCTCAGCTGAGTTCCGCAAGGCCAAGAAGAAAGCGTGGAAGACCGTCGGTGTCCCGGCGCTGCAGCCGAGAGATGAGGACGCAGAGGCCGCAGATAGGATAGTTGCGGAGGCGGCAAAAGAGAATAATGCTGCGATGCACGAAGATGAGGGGCCTGTTATTGAAGACGATGGGATAGTCAAAATGGGAGATGGAACACATGCGGGATTACAGAGCGCGAAAGCCGTCGCAGCTCAGTTTGAGAAGCGGAAACGAGAGGAAGCACAAGCCTGGGAAAGGGAACAAGCAGCCCTTGGACTTGGGACTGGGAAGGGCGGGAAGAGGAAAGAAGAAGAGACTGTTTATCGTGACGCTACCGGACGAAGAATTGATATTTCGATGCGGAGACAGGAGGCGAGACGGGAGGCGGATGCGAAGGCGCAGAAGGAGAGGGAGGAGCTAGAGGCGCAAAAGGGGGACGTGCAGAGGGCGGCGAAGGAGAAGAGGAGAGAAGAATTGGATGAGGCGAGGTTTATGACCGTTGCGAGGGGGGTGGATGATGTCGAGATGAATGATGAGTTGAAGGAGGTGGAGAGGTGGAATGACCCAGCTGCGCAATTCCTGAGTAAGAAGACGCCCGGTAAAGGGAAGGGTGGGAAATGGAGGAAGCAGGTCTATACAGGTGCGGCGGCGCCGAATAGGTATGGCATTCGTCCTGGGTATAAATGGGATGGTGTTGATAGAGGGAACGGGTGGGAGGGCGAGAGATTTAAGGCTCAAAATAGAGCAGCGAGGAACAAGGAACTGGACTATGCATGGCAGGAGGATACGTAGTCGATTCAACCAAGCAAAAACAGTCAAAATATTCTCAATGCGGGTCTCATTTTATGTCTATACTGTGAAGAAGGCCTTCTGATGCAAAATGCAAACCAGCAAATCCTAGCATCAATCTTGATAGACGGCGGAAGATAGTCATGATACAGGGATTTTCGTTCTCTCCAAGAATGCTCAGATCCATGCCCTCCCCAAGATGTCCATCAATCATATTCCCTATTTTGGACGGAGAAGTTTGTCGGAACCGTACTTCGAGTTCTCCTTTACGAGATTAATGAAGTGCTTCTTGTCCTGCTCAGTCTGAACACGACCAGAGAAGCCCTTCAAAAGATCCTTGAGAGTGATACCTGAAGCTGGTAAAGCAGCAAGAACCTCATGGGCCTGAACTTGACCAGTGGCGGGCGATTGTGCACGGCCTGGTGATCCTACCAATGAAGTCAGTAACAGAAAGCCAGGGGAGAGATATTTGCTTACCTGATCCAGCAGCTGGGCTACCAGAACGACTTCCGCCAGCGCCAGGAACAGGACTGCCAGCTCTCGACCCACCGGGAGTATTGTTGAAGCGAAGTTTAATAGCCTTCTTCTTCTTACCTCCATCTGACATTTCTCCGCCGGTTGCCTCACCATCGCTTGCCGCACCACTCCGAACCGGACTTGGGTTTGGTGGCGCAGACTGAATGTTGCTAACTTTGTTGGGATTAACAGTGAGCTTGACGATCGAAGACTTGCGAGGACTTTGGCTTCCAGCTGGCTCCGGAGACATTGGGCGAGATCCAGGAATGGGGGTTGACGAGCCACTGGCACGAGAAGATTGATGCTTCTTCTTGAGCTTTTTTCTTGAAGATTCGTTTCCACTGGATTCTGAGAGGTTTGGAGAACCAGGTCTCTTTAAGCTCTTCACCTTCTTCAATGGGTCAGAGTGCTTAGGTCGACCAGACGGTGTGCTAGTGCCCTTTGACGAAGCACCAGAAGGAAGCTTTGAAGCTGATTCCAACTTAGCTTTGTTTTTGGCCTCCTCATCCTTCTTGCGGTCAATCTCCTTTTGCTTCTCCTCATCAGAGGTGTCATCGTCGCTCTATTCAGGGTCAGTAGGATCATCTAGGGCTGGCATTTTGACATACCGATTCAGAGTATGGATGGTCAGAGTCGCTGTTATAGATGAAGTTTCTCTCACGCTTTCTCAACGCCTTGGTAACTTCTTTACCGAGCTTTCTTCTCTTTTCTTGCTCCATCTTCTCTTCCTCTTCTTCTTCGTCAACATCGGCTTCATTGGCTTTGTCGAAAACATTTGCCGCTTGACGGTCTCTCTTGACTCGGCTCTGGGCATCTTTCGTGTCTTCATCATTGTCAGGCTCAACTGTGACCATCTCATCATCGTCCTGGAATAGATCGCCCTCCTCGAAATCGAGTTCATCCATATCTTGTACCTCGCTCTTTCCAGCATTTTTAAAGGTACTGCTTTCCGCCTTGACGGTGTACAGGTTGGACATGGCCTTTTTCGATTCTTGTGCCATTTTGGCATTCTCTTTCTCCTCGTTACTCTTCATCACCCATCTTGACTCCTTAATCTTCTTGGCAAATTGGGCCTCGGCTTCCTCGGTTGTGAAAGGCGTAAACTTGCCCTTGGATGTGAATTTATACCACTTTTCAACAGGTATCATCTTGAAGGTGCTCCCCTCGACCACTAAGATGACATTCGTATCCGACAGTGCGGCTTCATAATTACCAACCCATGTATTCTTATTATCCGCATCCTCCAAGTGCCATGGTAATGCCTCCTCGTACTTCAGATCTGAGAGTTTCTTCTGCTCCTCGGTTTTGTCGAGCCGATGAACCTGTGTGGTCTTCTCGTTTCTGAAAGACTGGTTCTTTTTGGCAGCAAGGGCTGAGGCATTGTTTCCAGTAGGTGCGATTTGAGCCAAATCCGCTGCCTTTTGCGCTTCCTTCTCCGCCTTTAAGATCTCCTGTCTCTCGCGCTCCTTGGAATCAATGGGATTATCCGTCATAACCGTGTCTTCATCCTTGATTCCCTTGCCAGGTAGAATTTGTCTTGGGTCTCGTCTATGCAGTAGAACAGGTCGAGTAAACTCATTCTGATCACTGGGGTCGACACCCTTCTTGGAGGCAAACCGAGCAATATGATACCGCAAGCCTTCCCGGAGAGCTTTCTTCGAAGTGACAAGTGGGAAATCGGTATATGATCCAACCGGCGGATTGGTCCAACCTCCATTCGCAGGGTCTGCGCCAACACCATTCTGCTGCATTGTACCAGGCCCTACTCCGCGCGGAGCATTCACTCCATTCACAGGATATTGAGGGAGCTTTCGACCAGCACCCGTTCCAGTACGCTTTGGCCCAGTGGTATTTGGCAGGACATTCTGTCGTCGAATGGGTTTCTTTCGTGCTACGAGAGGGTCTGCCGCCTTGGGCTTTCTTACAAACTGACTGCGAGGAGGACCGCCATTGGGAGTTGGGCCATTCGATTGGCCTGAAGGGGAGGCGCTCATGTTGGAGTTGTTGAATGGGTATCGAGGTTCCTGAAATGGAATGCAAGGTCGCAGAACAGCACCGAGATCGGAGTGGTTGTCACCAGCGCCGGTGTTGTTGCTGGCCTAGCTGGACTTCATGAATTGAGGAGAGCTCGGCGCGCCGTTGACGCCTACGTTAGGGGAGCTCTATGCGACCCAAGGGCGGATCAGGTGCGGTTGGTGTGGTAGTTGAATGAATGTGGTGGTCCGGGTCGCGCAAAGAGGAAGAAGGGGATGGTTTGTCGTGGTATCAAGAGACTTTCTTTGTTGGTTGGAGGAATGCGAGCCTTTGATGGAGATCGAAGTAGAGGTAAGTATTCCGTGAAGGTCGCACCGAATCTCCATCGCAGGAGTTGAGCCGCTGGTGACTGGCGCTAGTCAGGTGGCTAATCCCTGCAGCTAGCTAGACCATGTTGGGCAAGATGCTTCTGCCAAGAGCAAGCCTCGATTCACCAGCCTCGTCTTCGCAGGAGAGAGCGACAGAATCAACCAGCTACAAAGTGTAGGAGGACAAACCACAACTTCAATTTCATGCGAGGCAAACAAAGCTTCACCTCCACAATTACGGGACAGTTGAGATAAGGAGAACCTTCTTCATAAATATAAGGCTGTTTCAAACCCTCTGATTCTTTGGATGGCCATGGAGGATTTGAGCAAGCTCTGCATGCATCAACTTACCACACCGAGCATCAGAAACCGCCCCTCAAGTCAATATCAGAGACGAACTCCACCTCTTGGAAGTTGATGTATACTCAGAGACACATCAAGCCAATCACTATTTTGAGCAGCCACTTGGTTGCACAAATGACCAGGATTCAAACGGATTCACTTCGTCAACACACTCCAATATCAATCGCCATATTCCCTCAAGATCCATTGCTGGAGCCTTCTCTGTCACATGAATGGATTTTTGGCTTGATGTTGGGCAATCAAGCTTGAATTTCATGATTGAGCAAGCCCGCGAGATAAGAGACGAGACCTGAACTGCGTCGACATTTCCCGTGTCTCGAGGAAGTGCCCTGTCATTACACATCTCTAGCCAAGTCGGCTCCAAGCCTCAAGATGTTTCCATCAAATAAAGATTCAGCAGGGCAAGGAAATAGCACCTTAGAAGACCGCTTACGTGGACTGATACTCAGTAACTCAGATCCAATGTTGATTCCAGGTGCTGGACGTCCTGCTCCTCCACCTGGTTTACCACCTCCCGTGCTCCAATCAAATGCAACCGGCCACCATGACAGCTATAAAGCTCCAGCTCCTCCCCAGGCTCCATTCGAAAACGCTGCCAATCCTCTGGCGCCTGAGCTGTCGTCTCCTCCGGGCCGGAAGAGACCCAATCAGGCCCAACGAAGACAAATGAATGCTCAATTATCCATACCAATTGATCCTCGGCCCAATCCTGGAGTCCAAGCTGGACGTGGAAACGGCTTTTATGGTCCACCCAATTCCCACTATGGTCATCAAAACCTTTCCAGCAGACCTCCACACCAACCTCATCGTCACAACCAGCAGCCTCATCAGCAATATTCACCTCGTTTTCAAAATCAAGGTCCTTCTTCTCCGTACTCACCGCTACCAAACTACCAGCAACACTCTCCCCAATCACCAATGCATCACTACCAGTCGGGCCCACATGCAATATCCCATCCAAGACAAAGTTCAAACCACTTCTCACCCCAGCATCAACCTCCACAACAGAACGTTTTCGCAAGGCCTCCCCCGCAGAATCGCCAGCTGTACCAACCAGGCTCTCAAACAGGACACGGTGGAAGACCATTTAGTCAGAACCCCCAAGAATTAGCAAGTCAAAGCTCCCACCTTGAATGGCTTGTTGAACGCTTCGTACCTGGTGTTGGAATCGATCCTCAAGAAGAAGCCGAAAAGGAAAAGTTCAGAGCAGTTGTGGAACTGGCATGTCGAGAAGCTATCACTGAGCATGAAAAAGCGGAGCTGGGCAACGAGAATTTTGATCCATCTACCGTACAACTGCAGTGTTTTGGCAGCATGAGATCGGGCTTCGCTACAAAGGCTTCGGACATGGACCTTGCCCTGCTCACTCCCAAATCTATTCCAGCAGCAGATTCTTCAGAGTCGGTCATTCCTCGTATATTGGAGAAAAAGTTATTGGGACTTGGTTATGGGGCTCGACTTTTGACTAGGACGAGGGTTCCAATTATCAAGCTTTGTCAGAAACCTACAGAAAAACTGCTCTCGGATCTACTACAAGAGCGTCAAAAATGGGAAAGCGGGTTCACATCAGATCACGAGGACGAAGATGATCATCATGAAGCTATCATTTCCCCAGTGGTCAATAAAGCTCCTTCGCAACAAGAAGATGCTGCAAGCCTATTACTAGTGGCAGAACGACACCAAGCAACAACTATCGAAAGTTATAATGAAAAGTTGGCGTCATTAAAGCAAAAAGACCAACAATCACTCGGGGACTATTGCAATTTGGCGAAACGCTTACTGAGACGGCTCGGTGGTAGAGATATTACGTTGAACTCGCCAGACCTCGATGAAAAAGAATCGAAGATTCTCAATGATGTGTGCAAAGCTTTCATATCAGGTCTTTCGTCTGAAGCATTGTCTGCAAGACTCCGGCAATATCAGTCAATTTTACCACTCTTCGATCCAAACTTACCATTCGTTCAGCGCTCCATTCATGGTGTCTGGACCCAAATTGAAGGCGAGCGCTTAGCTATGGCATGGGATTCGCGCCCGCTTACTGAACCAGACGATAAGCTAGAGTTTGAAGCTATGGGTCTCGTTGAGGCATGGCGAAAGTTGCAAGATCGGACAGGTGCTCTCATGGAGCCTACGATTTACAACCGACAGCTATTTATGGCCTCGGAGAAATTGAAGAAAATCAACTCCATTCAATTGGTTGCCTTGGAGCAAACTCAACACGAAGATCCCGTCTACTATCAAGCAAGAGCGCAAAAAATAATGGACGAGTTGACAGGACGGGGCCAGTCTTTCCTTGAATCTAGTATCACACCAATAGTCGTTGCTCATTATATTGGCGGTATTGGCAATGAACGCATTCGTGAGGTCATTCAAAATACAGCTCATAGCGACTCGAGTCTGAGCCAAGTTGGTCTTCATCACCGAGCGCTTCAACTGGCACTTGATATCGAGCATGCTCTTGAAGTAGGAGTCTATCTAGACTCCGATCGACCGCACGTCGAGCAATATGTCACCCTGCTTCGATCCCGCAAGCTTGACGGGCCTACAATTCCTCGAAACGAAGTCGAAACCAACTTGATTGCAAGGCTGCGTAACTTACCTGATCCTACTCTCACCTCTCTTAATAAACCTCGAGATCGATACAAAGACCATCTCGAATTTCCAAAGACAGATATTGGCATCCAATGCGATATCAATTTCTCAGCACAGCTAGCCATCCATAATACGCAGCTCCTGCGCTGCTATTCTCAAAGTGATCCACGGGTGAAACTCATGATACTTTTTATCAAGCACTGGGCCAAAGTTCGTGGAGTGAACACACCATATCGGGGTACTCTTAGTAGCTATGGCTATGTTCTCATGGTTCTCCACTACCTTGTCAACATCGCTCAGCCTTTCGTCTGTCCAAACTTACAGTTGATCCACAAAGAGCTGCCGTCATATCTACCACCAGCTGATGTTGAGGCTCTTACCACATGTCAAGGTCGAGACGTACGGTTCTGGCGCAATGAAGGAGAGATAAAGAATCTGGCGGATCGGCAAATGTTGAATCACAATCATGACTCCGTTGGCTTGCTTCTGAGAGGTTTCTTCGAATACTATGGTCAAACCGGACAACTGTCAACCTCCGCCGGGAGAGGTTTCGATTGGGGAAGAGAAGTATTAAGTTTGAGAACACAGGGCGGTATCTTATCCAAACAGGAGAAGGGTTGGGTTGGAGCAAAGACCGTAATCCAAACTACCACCATTGCTGCTCCTCCAACGCCATCTTCGGCAAACACTCCGAACGTTGTCGACCAGCCCGAGACTTCCCCTGCAGTAGACACCCCAAAGACTCCCAAATTAAATCCCAAGACCGTTGAAGAAACCAAGGAGATCAGGCATCGATATCTTTTCGCTATCGAAGATCCATTCGAGTTAGATCACAACGTCGCCAGGACCGTGACCCACAATGGAATTGTCAGCATCAGAGATGAGTTTAGGCGAGCATGGAAGATCATCAAGGGTATTGGTAAACCATGGGAGGGTAGTGATGGGCAGTTGTTGGATCCATTCTCTAACGCGGCAGATGAGAAGAGCGGGCTGCAAGCTCTGATGAATTTGATCCATGGCCCTGCACCTGCTGCAGCACCTATGCCTGCTCCAAGGCCAGAGGTAGAAAAGGTCGAGACGGGTGCGTGAGAGGGTTATGGGGATGGGAAGGTGCATTTTGGGCCGCGTTATTACAGGAATGGTGGCATGAATCAAAAGTGTTAGATTAGATTGAGGTTGTAGGCCTCTCGATCGAAAGCATGATTACATTTGCCGAGTCGCAGCAAGTGTCCTCTCTGATAAGTGACTTCAATGACAAAATTCTTATCAATGATCCTTTCAATCACTGGAGTGTGAAGTTTCGTTGCTAATTAATAGACTGAATAGACTTGGGCAGCATGGTGTGATTTCTGGCTTCTCGACTGATAACGGAAATTCGTAATTAATAGCAAAGAAACTTCGATGATAGTCCGGAGACCAGTAAGCTCAAACCAATGCAGTTTGAGGCATGTTCCTCTCTTGGTGGTGAACTAGTGGTCCCAAGGCTTGGAGAGCTTTATGTACCCCGCGCTAGTGTCCTGATTGCCGTCAAGGGTGCCCGATCCCGAAGCCCCGCAGTGCTGTAAGCCGCTGGACAGTACCGAATACTACTGAAGTTCCATTAAATACCACTAACAAGAAAGCCGTCTCTGCTGCTCGATTTTTTCTCAAGATAAAACAGAATATCCTCAATATCTTCGAATTAATTTTGTCAAAAATATGGAGGCATCAGGAGCTGTTGAGATCGACATCGAGACGATTCCCACAGCTAAGAAGCTCGTCTCCCGATGCCGTGAGTTCTTTGCCGAAGTTGATAATCTGTAAGTAGCATTACGCCTCGATCAAAAGATAGGGGGTAAATAAGGAAATGATCACTGATTGTCCGATTCAGCACACCGGGCAAAGCCCTCGAAGAAAAGCTCAACACCGAATACGGTCCTGGCAGCCCGTACTACGAAGACATATGCCAGTATGTCCGTGAAGGACTGAAGGAAGGCTGGCTTGCATCAACCGAAATCGACGGCCCAAACTACCGCCGTAGTAAGATCTGTTTACCTTCAGCGGAGAACCGCTATTTCAGTATCACCTCTGTGTACATGAATAGTGAAGACGTCTATTCGGGACAGTATCACATTCATCCATACGGAGAGATCAACTGTGTCGTACAGGTGGACAAGGGAGCTGAATTGAAGGGTATGCAAGGCTGGCAGGGTGCTGGTTGGACTTCACCTGGGCCAGGGACGCACCATTATCCACAAGTTCGCGGAGGTGCTTTGGTTGCATTATTTTTTCTGCCTGCAGGACGAATTGCGTATAATGCTGAACCAGGGATGCCACAACCTTTGTCTGTATAGCTTTATCATCTGGTGTGACAGAAGTGTATGTTGAGATTACAGGCGAGCAGGTGCAGAGACAGAGGCTTGGCATGGGAAAGAAGCCATTCGCTCATAAGCAATGTAATATCCCAGGAACATATGTTTATTGCTTGAATCTGTGATACACCGGAACTCCGGCGGCCAATGCTGCAGTCCTGATTTGGTTGATGATGAATGGTACAAGACGGCACGTGATGCTGTACCCCTCATCATCGATTACATGATCATGGCTCCTCCCCTCAAACTTTACTTCAAATCCATTCAATTCAACTAACTCTTTCTCAACTTCAAAAAAGACGGACAAGATTATTATTCCGGCAAAAGCATCCGATTCCAACAGTCAATACTGCAGCCAAGTAATACAATGCCTAAAGGAAAAGCCATCGCAACAGTCTCCGGTCGTAAGATCGCAGAAGCAGATGAATGGGAAGTAGTTGAAGGAAACGTTTATGTACGATCTCCATCTTCCAATCCAAGGCCACTGGTAACTAATGAGCACGATAGTTTCCACCTTCGTATGTATGAGCTCATCGTGAATGCTATGACTAATGACTCTCGAGCTCGGTCGACATGTCATCCCTAAGCAAGACCGATCATTCAACGCACTGCCCTTGGAAAGGCGATGCTGCGTACTACACCATCTCTCTCGATAGTGAGTGTATGACATGACAATTATGGAAAGAGTCCTGACCAGAGGCAGAAACCGAGTTCAAAAATGCTGCTTGGTACTACCCAACACCAAAAGAAAAGGCTGCCAATATCAAGGACCATATTGCTTTCTGTAGGTTCCTCTGTCCGTACATCGTCCCATCCGTGTTATCCAAGAGGCTCGAAGATTTAGCATAGGCCTACTCCCTGGATACGATATATTGATTGACGAGAAGGTCATGCTGAGGGTATTAACTTCGATTTGGCATTACTAACAAGCCTTTTCAGACAAAAACATCGTCACTGTGACAACTGAGTAGACTGCTGGTCTCTCTGCCATGACATGTGAAGGACTTTTGGCGGTTGTGTGTTTTGGGAACCTTGTTGATCTGATATCTTTGTGGAATGGAAGGCCTGTTGACAGGTTGAGGACCAGATCCCCTGCCTGGACTAAAAGTTGTAACAAAATCATTGAACTGACTCGAAAAACTATTCTCGTTTCTGTGCTGAGAGAACTTTCTGGCATGTAATAGAGCTCGCTGATTGCTGAAGAAGCCAGCCACTGGACAATGTGATAAAACAGTCTTCCACCACTAAAGACAGGTCGATGTCCTGTAAATGGAAGCACCATGAGCTGACATTGTGAAAGAAAGCTGTAAACCGGGCAGTAGTGAAGTATATTTAAATGAGATCAAGAGGATATTGGGTACATTTTGGATTACTTATGGCCAAGGTTTACCTGACGCGCTAAGACGCGACCTTCCCCCACATCGCGTCTCCCAGCAAAAGTCATTCTTGAGATCTCGAGTACACCAAAGCGCAGAAATCGAGTCCTTCTCCATCACCATGGACGCCGCAGACCATGCTGCCCCTGGCTATAATAATGGGAATCGCGCATTCCTTCAATCCTTTATGGCTCGTGGGACCCTGACTCTGAGGGAAGCAAAGCCATTACTGGCGGCTATCTTCTCCCTCGAATCCGGTCCGTCCACCACCCTCCACAACACTACTTGCGTACTGACACACCTCGCAGACAGCCTTGTTGAGCCAGACGACGTCACGCAGGAAGATCTCCACTCTTACATTTCTGCAGCCGCAGATGCAATTTCTCCCTTCGACTATGAAATCCGAAGCACGCAACACCAGGTCACGAAAGAACGAATATGGGCATTCGTAAACAGTGTTAGTGACCCCCTTACCCAGATGGCCACGATCCGAACAACAGAAGAAACATTTTACATCAAGCGGTTTCTCGACGCCATGTTCATAACCTACAATACGCGGCGGAGGGAAGTTATGGCAATCAACATCATGCAAGCACTCGAGATCAAGATTCGGAAGGCAGGCAGAGAAAGCGCCGCGGAAGAGGGCACACAATCACAAGCTCCTGATAAGGGTCTCACAGCCGAACAAGCTGAAGCTCTATTGAAGAGCCTCGCTGAGGAGGGTTGGATTGCCAGGAGTAGAGAAAACTATCTCACCCTTACACCTCGTGGTCTGATGGAGTTACGGAGTTGGCTGGTTGAGACATATAACGATAATTCTGAAGGAAGTGAGGAGTGGCAACCGATCAAGTTCTGTGAAGCATGCAAGGAGATAGTTACTATTGGCCAGAGATGTACGGAGGTGGATTGCACTGTGCGCATACATGATATTTGCCAGGCTGGCTTTTGGGCGTCAAAGAAGGGAGTGAAGAAGTGTCCAAAATGCGACACAGCTTGGGATGGAAAGCACTATGTTGGTCAGAAAGCTGTCACGACGACAGAAGAGTATCTGAAAGGGAAGCGGAGGAGCGGTGTTAGTAAGAAGAGGCCTGCTGAGCCATCCGATAGTGAGGAGCAGGAGGAGGATGAGCCAGAAACAAGTGCTATGGGGAGCAGAAGGACAAGAACGAGACGCGAGGCTGCGACTCCCAGTGATTCTGATGAGGATGAATAGATGGATACTTTTCAGTGGATAGGATGATGTAGGGTTTGCAATATGATAAGGTGTAGGACGGCAAATCTGGAAGGCGTTCATGGAGTCCGTGGCTGGGACTATATATTCAAGAATAGGATTTAACGGTATCTTAGTACATAATCATGTACAGTATGGTTGCTTTGACCAGCCGACACTTCCTCAACGGAGTAGCAGGGCCTGTGGTCCTTTATGAGTTATGTCTCCAGGGTGAAGAGGACACAGACCGCCTCATTCAACATGCGCTATCATATGAAGTAGCATTGCCGTGTCCAGATGAAAGTGGATCGTTTCATACAAATAAGTATCGGCTCCAGAACGATCATATAGAAGAAAGGCAGGATCGGTGGTTTGTACAAGGTCTGCTCATTGGCAGGAGTGGGGGAGTAAAGTTGACGCTAATCCCAAAGAGGGGAGTGGTTAAGCATCTCAAGGGTATCCAACATTACGTCTTGTCTGTCGTCAACCACCACCGCTTCTCGTAGAGATCTTGGCTTGGACCAAGTCAAGTTCCCAAAATGAGAGAAAACGCTCCAAGCAGCATGTACGAGAAGATAAATTCCAACTCCTCCCCAGCAACGTCTAGACGAACATACCGTCCCAAGCTACCAGTCTCAGTGATTACAGCAGTCCTGTTCATTTTGGGCATCCAATTTATCATTCTTCCGAAATATGTCTACCAACTGTCTCCTAGTGAGCTCCGACTCACGCAATTCCAACTTGACGCCCTAGATGAAGGACTTCGTAAATGCCAAGCAGACAGAGCACCTCCGATACAATATCCCGTGACGACTGCAGGTTCTCGAAGCAATGCCCGATGGAATCCTAGCACTGGACAAAATGAGACTGTCATTTTGCGAAACGCCACTTTGTTCGACGGGGATAAGATCTTTGGAAATGCCGTCGACATCGTCTTCAAGAAAGGCATCATTGAGTCTGTTTCAGATGCTGGGCAGTCAATACTCATACCAGGCGCCAAGGCATTTGGCTTAGACGGCAAATATGTGACGCCTGGCTTAGTTGATATGCATTCGCATCATCTCTCAAACAGTTGGCCTTTGCTCTCATCGACAAGTGATACCAACGAAATGAACCCTGCTACCGGGCCTCTAACACCCTTCGTCAGAATCGTGGACTCCTTGAAAGCTTACGATATTGCTACCACCATCATTGCTTCTGGTGGGATCACTACTTCTCTCATTTTGCCGGGGTCGGCGAACATCATGGGAGGCGAAGCTGTGGTCGTCAAGAATGTTTTGAAGTCTGGTGATAACGAAGAGTTTGTCGTCGAAGAACTTCTGCTTGAGCATGGTGAGGCGGTAGAGAATCGAAGACGGTATATGAAGATGGCTTGTGGAGAGAACCCAAGACGGGTGTATAAGCATACTCGCATGGGTAACGCATATATCTTTAGAAAGCAGGTCAGTAATATCTTCATTTCCCTTGTCTCTGGACCTTAGTCGCCTGTGCAGAGAAAGGAACCTTGGGCTTTCAATTCTAACATGCCATTCAGATGGAAAGAGCGAAGGAATTGAAGGGCAAGCAAGATGCGTGGTGTCTTAAAGCCGCTGCTCTGAGAGAGAAAGGCAATGTTGCTCCGATTTCCAGCTTCTTAGATGCATCTTCAAGTGATGACAGCGCCACAGACTATCTAGAGTTTGATTCTAGTATTGCTATGTTGCGAGGGAAAGTGGGTATCAATGTCCATTGTTACGAGCCTGAAGATTTTGAGGATATGATCAAACACAGCAAGGAGTTTGGATTCAGAATTCAAGCTTTCCATCATGCTTTATCTGCATGGCAAGGTAAGTGCAGCTTCCTGTTTGCAAAATGAACGTTGGTTTCAGGAAGCTGACACACGTCAACTGCGCTCTAGTGCCTGAAATGATCAAAGCGAGTGGCGAGTGAGTTCACCAAAATCACCAAATAGGGTTCTGGAACTGATTAAGTGATAGGAACATTACAATTGCTACATTCTCTGAGTTTGGATTCTACAAGAAAGAAGCATATGAAGCAAACTTATGGGCAGGGAAGATTCTCTCTGATCATGGAGTTCCTATTGCATACAAATCTGACCATGTCGAGCCTGAGACGAACGCTAAATATTTGCTGTGAGTTATGCAACGAAACCCAGGAACTCCACTAAACAGAGTCTCCCAGATTTCAAGCAGCAACTGGCCACTCGTTCCACCTTCCAGAGCTATTGGCCTTGCAGTCTGTCACAAGCGTCCCAGCACAGTCCATGCAGATCGACCATCGAGTGGGATATGTCAAGCCTGGTTATGATGCAGATCTTGTTGTCTGGGACTCCCATCCGCTGTTGGTTGGAGCTACTGCATTACAGGTCTACATCGACGGGAAGCCCACCTTGGACCCTAAGAAAGTCGAAGAGAGTTTATCCAGCGTTCAGGCTGCTACCTCTCAGGATATGAGTGTACCGCTGATGCGAAAGGTTATTTCTTCAGACATCAAGGAGGAGTTCTGCAGTAATGTCAAGAAATCTGGGACGAAGTTTACTATCACTGGAATCAAAACCTCTTACTTGGAAGGACATGCTGCAGCAGCAATAGCATCCGTCAACCTTACGATGGTGGTTGACGATGGCAAAATCGTATGCTTTAACTCGCCTTCGAACTGTGCCAGCATCAGTGCAGACAGTCCTGTTATTGCTCTCGAGAATGGGCATGTACTCCCGGGACTCACAGCAGTTTCTGTTCAGCTTGGCCTGGCAGAAATTACCACGGACAGTGCAACGTCTGATGGAGAGATCAAGAAATCGGCTGGCTCTGACCCAAAGCATGCCGTTTATGCTAAGTACGGTGTTCATCTCGAAGGTAGAGGCTTTGCGAGAGCCAGAATTGGAGGCGTAACCAGAGCAATCACTGCTCCTATGTCTGAAGGCTTCACGGCAGGTATCAGTGCTGGTATCAAGACCAGTGGGAAGAAGACAATTTTGAATGGTGGAATTTTCCAAGATGATGTCGCCCTACACTTTTCCATTGGACAGTCCTCAAAGGGTATGTTTCGTGTGTTGCTTGTGAGTAAAGCTAACACCTTGGGCAGGAACTGATTCATTGCCAACACTTTCGTCTGAGATTTCGAAATTACGCGAGATTCTTGTTGAGAATGACAAGAAAGATAACATTTATGGCAAAGCTATCAACGGAACGATTCCACTCGTTGTACACGCTGATAACGAGGTACGTCTCTCTCAATATATTTAGAAACAAGCTGACGCATGTTCAAGTACGATATCATGCAACTTATCAAGATCAAGCAAGACAACCCAGTTCTCAATCTAGTTATTCACGGAGGCTATGGAGCTGCACTTGTAAGTCTCTTGCTCTTTTGAGCAAGTTTCCCAAATATTGACAGTGGCATGACAGGTCGCGAATGAGCTTGCTGAGGCCAAGATCCCCGTAATACTCACCGCCAACCGCGGTGCTCCAGCTGCCTTCGAAGCTCGTTTCTCACTGCCAGGGCCACCTCTCAGCAGATCTCCCGCAGCAGTTCTCACTGAAGCAGGGGTGAAGTACGCACTATCGATATTCGGCGAAGGTAATCATTACCCTACCAAATGTCCCTTACTTTTCTATTCATCAGCTTACAAGACTAGGTGAAACATCGCATATACACAACATACCCATTGAAGCTGGCTGGGCAGCAAAGTATGCGGGATTGTCTGCTAAGCAAGCCGTGAATCTCGTCTCGAGGAACGTAGAAGACATTCTTGGGCTCGAAGTTGACGAGACGAAGAGAGATTTTGTGGTCTGGGAAGGCAATCCGCTAGGGCTTGGAGCAACCGTTGTAGTGGGTGTTGATGGTGAAGATAGGGTGGTGAGTATGTGCTGGCCCGAGTCGAACTAATATTCTGCTCGAAATAGAGGAACTTCCTTCACCGGTAATGGGGGCCAAGACGAAGTACCGAAGCACCAGGAAGCAGCGAATATGTGGACGACCTTGGACTTGGGTTTCATCGCTGTTGGGTATCAGAAATACTAAGAATAGCAGTACAGTAGATTGAATAAATAGAAAGCTGGGTAAGAAGCCAACTGCGTCGATTTAATGTTCATAATGGAGAGGGAGTTCGCAGCCAAAGTGTTGAATATCATATTTGTGTTCACCGTATTGACACTGAAGCGAGAGTCACTCGGCACGGAAGGGGGTTCAACCGAGCCGAAGAGGACCCGGCGGGAGGGCATGTGAGGTCGTCTGTGACGGAGGCAATCCGATCCAGTTTCAAGAATAAAGACACCCTCCTCCCCTTGGAACCTACAACTCTAAGTTCACGTACACCCACGACCACGAAACCGCAATCATGAAGATTCACTACATCGGCGTAAATTTCCAACGCTCCCACCTGCCGCATCTGCCTTACTGACCGCCTTGTACAGATAATCAAGAACGAGAGCAAGCCTTCCCACGAGCTATGCGCCGAGAAGGACTTAACTGCATACTCGCGATTCACTCGTAATAAGTAAGGATGGATCCTTGAGGAGAGGACGTAGCTGGGTAGCGGAGAGCTGGGCTGATGAATGGGGTAGTTATGGCGAATTCATGACGCTGTTCAGCAAGACTGTCGCCGAGAGGACTCGACCCGGACAAAGGCAAGATGTGGAAGAGCAAGGTACGAGACTTGGATTTCAAAATGCTTGTTACATGGTGGAGAGAATAGCAGGCTGATGATCATCTGCAGATTATACCTTCCACGCCTACGGCCGCACCGAAGGTATCGCGGGTATAATCATATCAGACCACACCTACCCCGCGCTCGTAGCCCACCAACTTCTCTCCAAAGTTGTCGATGAGTTCCTGGCAAAACATCCACGCTCTTCCTGGGCCAACTCTACACCTACCCTCTCTTTCCCCGAACTCAAGGACTATATTGTGAAGTATCAGGATCCGGCGCAGGCAGACAGTATCATGAAGATTCAGAAGGAGCTCGATGAGACGAAGATTGTGCTGCATAAAACTATTGAGAGTGTTTTGCAGAGAGGCGAGAAGATCGATGATTTGGTGGCGAAGAGCGATGGCTTGAGTGCGCAGAGTAAAATGTTCTATAGTAAGTGGGCTGTCTGCAGACCTCTCTTGATTCCATGTCCATATGCCATTCTGGCAGACATCTGCGGTGTTTATATATGGAACGAAAACTAATATGCGACATTTTAGCACAAGCGAAGAAGCAGAACTCTTGTTGCATGATCATGTAGAGTGGTGTTGGAGGTCTATGGTTTACGGGCAGGCAGGCAGGCAGGCGTTTTCATACCTTTACGGGCTGGATCAGCATAGCAGTTTTCCGCAGGTTCGTTCAGATTGTACATGGGTCGCTCTTTTGGTTCATATGTGCCCAATGACATTTCGGTATCCAGAAATGCATTCGAGCTTTGAATATAATATAGGCGTTACGAGAAAGACATTGGAACCGAGCTGAGACTGAAGTGGCAAGTACCAGCTTGCTAACACTAACCACAGTAGGTACAACTGACTGGAAGAAATGTCATTTATCAAAAACCATGATATCCACTGAAAAATCCACCCCTCTAACTCCGGATGCAAATGCAACCATGCATTACCGTGCCATGCCAAAATTCTAGACATTACCGTCACCCATCATGCTCGCTCACATGCAGCCCTCGCTGTTAGCTCAAACAGATAACACACAAACAAGCGCTCGCTCGCCCATCCAACATGCAAAACTCCAGGGTATCCAGCAAAGAAACAGAAAATCCATCACAGTCCTCCAAGCCCATTTCCTAACAGCACTTCCTCCTTGTCTGAACCTGTCCCTGGGCGTCCCCAGCAACCCCCTCCCCTTCCTCAATATAATTCTCCACAGGGACTCCAAACCAACTCCTCCTATCCCTCCCAACTCTAAAGCTTCCGCCAGGTCTCATACCATCAAAATATCCACCCTCATTCCCCATCCCTTCTATTCCCGGCGTCATCCCAGGCGTATTCGTCGCACTCAGTACGCTCTCCCGTATCTTCCTATTCTGCTCAACCAGCTTCCTCGTAATAACACGAAACACCTCGTCAACGCCCTCCCCGCTCTCAGCACTGACTTCATGGCAGCAGTCCCAACCTACTTCCTGCCCCCAGAACCCGCTACTCCGTTTACTACTGGGGCTCCTCGCACCATCGACGCCGAAGATTCCGCCTGCACCTCCACTCCCATGTCCTCCATGTCCCAAAAAACTGCGATATGCACTTCCGCTCCCCGCTTGATCGAGGACTCCGCCGGGTGTGGCTGTCGCGGGAGGTGTGCTGCTCATGCCTGGCGCGAGGTTCTCTGCTACGTAGGCGATGCAGCGCTCGAAAGGGACGTGTCGCTGGGAGGGATCGCGAGCGACCATGTCGGCTTTTGTGCCGACGACGTGGAGGATTATGTCGGGAGGGAGGTTGCGTCGGAGTTCGGTGAGCCAGACGCCCATTTCTTCGAAGGAGGTCGGGTCGGTGATGCTATAGCAGAGGATGCAAGCGTTGGCGCCGCGGTAGTAGAGTCTGGAGATAGAGCTGGAGAGGACATATTGGTTAGTGTTTGCATGTGAGGAATGCTTTGGAACGTGATTGTGGCATGAGTGGAAGAGGGCAGCGTTCGGGAGTTAGATATGGTGCCTCTGACTTTCGGCGCAGTCAAAATTGTATTGTAGTGAGGACATACCGAAATCGTTCCTGACCCGCTGTGTCCCATATCTGCAGCCGCACTACAGTATCACTCTCATCGTCGACTACGCGTTTCGTGAGGAAGCTCGCACCGACAGTCGATGTAGTATTTGCAGGTGCAAACTGGTTCTTGACATATCTATTTCAAAATTAGCTTCCCAAGTACCATATGCACAGATTTATACCTTGTGAAAGGGAATAACCAACCTGTGTACCAAAGAAGTCTTTCCAACACCTTGCGATCCCAAAACCACAATTTTGGCCTCGAGGGATTGTGCCATGTTTCTCTGCCCCGGACCGGATGTCTCGCTTTTTGGTACGGTATCTGCCTGTCCTCCTATCGCCAATCGTCACCTCGGCGAGTCTTCTCCCGCTTGCCTCGCAACGAACGTAATCTCGTGGCAGAGATAACGCGATGCAGGAACAAGAATTGTACGATCGAAAGAAGTACAGGACCGCAAGTGAGAAATAGATATCGTAACTGTAGGCTATTTTGCGGCGAGTTGTTTAGCAGCCTGCTTGCTGGGCTCACTTCCGACTTGGTCTCACAACAAACTTCCTTCTTGGAGAATGTCTCATATCGTGCACCTCATCATAGGCGTTTGTTTGCAGCCTTCTCCTCTATCTCTGTTTTCCGTTTCTGTCGTCCCGCTCGAATTACAAAGAGAAAAGTCGCGGTTGAAGAAGGACGTGCGGTTTTTGAGCGTGTTGAATGTAGGGATGGGGAAAAGTAAACAAAACAAATGTTTCGCATGAACAGTAATATTGTGGTTATGGCGAGATGTGGAGATACGAGGTCTAATCGAAATTAAAGATCACCGGGATAGGACGACGATTCTCGGTATGACCGCATACACGGCTGAGCAGCGGCTGGGAGCTGGGGTCAGGACAAGGCTGCAGAGGGTCTATCACGTGGAGATGGAGAATGATATCTATCCGTGTGTGGAGAGAAAAGCTGAGTGTTTAAGTGGTGGAGAATGTGGTGAGATGTCCTGGTGATCGCTATCCGAGTCAGTTTGGAAACTAATCTGGGACGTGGAGTGAGTCTAGGTGAGAATGGTGCCGGGATGATGGGCTCAGCCTTGTGATGAGAAGTGTGGGGTTGAATGCCTCGGGATGAAGATGGTCAATAACATATGATAGACGAAAAGACTGAAAGTAAGACGAAATTTTATTAAATAATGGACACGGCCGGGGAGGACGAGTCGAGTTTTATGACGACTCTATTTGAAAAAAGCTAGCTACTCTGTATATCCATGTATCGCGCTTTGGGGGTGATCCTGGATCTACTTCCTATGTAAATTCATAACAAAACAACCTCCGTTCTTCAATTCAGATTGAACTCTACTATTAATTCATAGTTTATATTAGTCTAGAATATTCGAGTAAACATAGACTTTGGGATCCTAATTCCCTTGACTATCCGTGGCGAAGGTGAGTCGCGGAGAAGCTAGGCATCTTGATTGTAAGGAGAGCTGGGGTAGAATGTCCAGGTGTTATGGTGGATTTCTGTCTCTGGGCTAATTACCTTCACTCCATTTGAAGCTCCTGGAGCATGGACGACTTGCGATTTGCCACTGTTGACATGCGAGGCGAGCCTTCAATTCTCTCTGGGTTTTGTGATGTGCAGAACACTTTGTAACCTTCTTATGGCGTATTTCATACTGAACCTCCCTTTCCCACATTCACGTAAGACCAATTGCCTGTACCCTTTGCATGTTTCCCCGTCATCTTTTCAAGTTTTCACAAGCAGGTTGCCTGCAAAAGTTCACATCTCCTGCTACTTCTCGGCACCACTGGCCTGGCAGCCTTGTATCGCCTACTGCGCTTCTACGAGTAAAGGTTTAATTGAATAGGTTTGTAAAGATCTAGCTATTCTTCTATAGAAATCTTTTTCATGTTGTAGGTCTTGCCCTCGCTTTTATATATGTGACGGAGTCTTGTGACATATAAAATCTGAGGGAGGATTGTAAAACAATTACAACATATAGAAAAGGGCTAAAATACTTAGAAGGTAAAAGACAAAACAAACTCCCCCCGGCTAGTGGGAGAACAAACCCTTTGATGATATGGATTTGCTTTTTGTCGACGTTCTTTCCTGGAAATTCTTTTTGCTTTTGTTTTGCAGTGTAATTCTCCCTGTATGTATTCGATTTCTGATTTTGTGTATTTGCTTCAGACTACCGCAAGTGTCTATTGCTCTGTATTCTTGCGGCACTGTTGTCGACGAGTTGTTAGGTCGTGATCTAGTTCTGAATTTGTTGCTGACTTCCATTTTGTCGTGTCCTGTGCCGGTTGGCGGGCGACATTCGTTAATTTCGGTAGATGTACTATCAAAATGCTTGGACCAAGATGTCTGTGTGCGGCTAAAATTCACTTGAGACTAGCCTTCGAGCCGCGCTCAGCGTGATGGGTGAATATCTACGAAGGGTGTCTATCTAGTTTTCCTCCAGTAGCGAGTCTAGACGCTTGCAGACTACCTAGCACTTCAGTGTGGTAATTTGAGGGAGCAGGTTCCAACACGGGACTCATGACCATTGAAACCGTGGTCTTTCAAACCAGCGACGAGTGGGTAGTTACCCTGGGTGCCGCCGAGAGTTCTCGTGGGCATTTCATAGCAGGATTTCAGGGCATTAAGAGCCAAGTTTACATAGAAGATAGTGGGCCTCTAGTCTCACCAAGAAAATAGCCATGACATGATACTGAGAAACTAGTAGCGACAATAGCTAAATTGAGCTCGCTGATAATAGTCCAACATTTAGGAGTCCTGAATCATCCTGCGTTTCTAACGCAGCTAGGACGGGAAGATCCTCCACAACTAAGCACTCATGTCGAATGAGGAGCGATACTACTATGATTGAAGAAGCTACTGTCTCCATTACATACACGAAACTTTCATGGTGATGGGATTTATGGATAAGTGAGGGCTCCTACCGACGCCGAAGGGCCTTGTAGCGATGCTACGTGCCAATGCTTTAGTCAGAAAGAGCGACAGAATTGTCTTATTCAACATTCTAGCAAGTAATGGACATCTTCGTGCCTGAAGTTTTATTGACTATGTGTATTGCTGTTGACATAAGATCTTACAATCTCGCCTAGAAACTTGGCATCCCTTCACCAAAAGTGGTTGGACTTTCAGCCCTGCGGGGAACGCTACTTCCGGGTAATATTCGTCCGACTCGAAGTTAACATGCCGCGATCATCTTCATTTTCATTTTCATCCCTATCTTCGGAATCAATCTTCTCAGTATACCTTCACAGACAGCAAACTCTGACAATGAACCATTTAAATCACTATGTATCCTACCTTACCAGATACCCCAGACTCCTCGCCTCAGTGCTTCTCATAGGCGCTCCAGTCGCGAATCTGTTCTATATGCACTGGTCCCTCTCTAGATTCGTAAACCATGGGAAAGAACTTAAACCTCTTACCCCTTCCATCAAGAAGACTGTTTCATCTATCCCAGAAGAGGCTCTCTCATCGGACCATGTCATGTTTCACGATGTAAGTCGCATTTTAAAATCCTTCTCAAATTCAGGAGTTTCAACGGATGGCATTCACTCAACGACCTTCTAGTGGGCACAACGATCAATACCAGCCTCCAAAGTGCCTGATCTCAGCTCCGACGAGCTGGTCATTTTGTTCCTCAGACACACCATGAAACTCTTCGCTCGTCTGCCTCAAGCCTACATCATGAAAGCTATAGCCAGTCCTGAGCAGCGCAGGACATTCGAGCCTTCGTACATCAATACTCTCGACTTCAAAGTTGGAGACGTAGTCCATGCTATGTATCGAGTGATAGCGCGCAGTGAAGGGAAAGTCGAGTTTGAGATGACTCCATTAGTGGGTGTTATGAAGGGCGGCAGGTTGGTTGTTACGGTTGAGAAGAAGGGAGATGAATTGGTTTGTGGGAATGAGACGGTGGTGTGGAAGAATGCTGGGGAGAAGGAGTTGATGCATTTGGAGAAAGGGATTGTGAAGTGGTTTCATGAGATTGCTTCGTGGCGGTTGTTGAGAGCTGGGACGAAGTATCTGATGGATTTGAAGAAGAAGAAGGAAAAAGAGCTATGATGCGATTTCCGGATGAGGTGCTGGGGTAAAGGAATACGTGGTGAACGGGTCCTCCCAGAGGTATTCAGGATTTTGGAAGGATTGTACATTATTTTTTCTATGTTTTGATACCCCCTCCACTGCAAATTACACAGTCTTCTTATATCAATCTTCTAGGACCCACCAGTTCTGCACATTTATTTTTTCTGTCCAAGGACCCAGGCAAGACGTCTGCTCCGAAGAAACACTGCTAACATTCTCTTGTCAGATTCAACCTAAGACTTGGCACTCGAATCTCCACCACTGCACCACCCGTCTTCTCCCTGACAAAAATGAACCTGTCCGCAGACTCGCCTCCATAAACAATCGCATCACTCGTCTGCCACGACGTGCAAAACTCTTCTAGCTCCTCCCATTGCGGTAGTTCCGACTCCGGCTTCGCAACCGTCGTATCCCAATTCATCCTCCAGTCCTCTTCTACCAATACCTTTCCGTCCACAGTTAATTCTTTGGACACATCTGTAGGATACAATCGGTACTCGCCAGTCAGGTTTCCGAGTCCAACGGGTTGAGCATCCCAGATGGTGTGAAATGCGTCGAAGATATCCGAGCCATTACGTGTCAACTCAGTCAGGCGCAAACCCGGTCCATCGTCAATTGTGATTTGCAAGCTCGCTTCGACGTCATCTGAAGTATTCGTGTAGTTGCCGGTGTAAGCATAAGCCTCTAGTCTAGTAACATCTTCGACAACAGGCATCAGCACTCTCATGAGCGCCCCTTCCAGAGCATTCTGGACTTCGACACCCTTCCCACCCGCGGTCAAAATAATGAACCCTAGTCCATATTGCTCGATTACGCCGAGTATTGCTGCATATGCGACTGCTGCTCCACTTTTTGTGTATACATCTATGGTATGTGGATGAGTCGAGGTGAGTGTTTGAGCTCTATAAATCTCCCAAGGTATGCTAATGAGCGTTCTGATATCCGTTGTCGTCGAATGCGGTTTGAGCCACGCGTTAATTTGGGAGCGGGTTAGAAGTCTGGGATTTGGGGACAATATGTCCAGGAGAAGTCTAGATAGGTCGTGTGTCGTTGAGAATAGACCACCGCCACTTGCTGCGTATCAGTACAGGCGTTCTGAAAAGGGATTGAGGTACGTACGGGGCATTATCACCATAGTCAGACCCCCAAGAATTCTGAACAGGTGGAATGACAGCTTTATCATCGTCACCAGGTGAGACACCAGTGTTTGTCAAGTTCAGAGGCTTGACAATCAGATCTTTTAGGAGCTGGGTGTAATTTTGACCAGTTGCGTTTTGAAGAGCGTAAGAGAGAATTGTGAATGAAAGAGAGGAGTATATGGGTCGGAGAAAAGGTGCTGAAACTGGATGGATCTCTTTCATGTTCTCCAGCAGTTCTTTGCAGCTATCAGTTAAAATCTCTTGCCGAGGGTAGGAGGGGAAGAGATGACTTACGTTCTCTCGTACATCCTGGATGCAACCCAATGATTCCACAGTCTGGGAATGCTGACTCAGGGAGTGGTGGAAATCCAAGGAGCTGATAGAGTGGAACGAGAGCGTAGATTTCCGGAAAGCCAACTTAAAAGACGTATCAGCAAAGATTCTTTCACAAGTCCCAGAGTCAAAACTTACAAGTAGCTGGAATCCCAGACAAATGGTCTCCCAATGACCCCAGGGTAATATTCTCCCACCTCACTGGGCTGTCTGCACTTTCCAACTCCGGCAAATACTTAGTAACAGGATCATCCACCCTCAACCCCGTTCTCAACAAGATCAAACCAGTGACCAGCTTCGAGATAGATCCAATCAAGTACTGGCTATCTCCATCGACGTTCTTCGTACCGTCAACGTTGCCACTCGCTAAGTGATGGTATTCCCATAATGGTGTTTGTGCGTCTGGTGTGTCAAGGGAAACGACAGCGATGGAGAAGGAAACATTGGGGACTACCCAGGGAGCTTGAAGATTGCCGGATACGGCTGAGTCGAAGAAAGAGGTCAGGTTTTTCGTGGCGATTTGGATTGCTGGGGAGGTGTGGAGAGTCGTCGGACGGGGTAAAAGAGGTCCAGATGGTGGACAGCCTGCTGCATTAGAGAGACTTGGGAGCCTCAACAAGCTTGCTGCGAGAAGGATGTTGTCATAAATTGTTCGTATAGCCATTGAAAGAGACTGCTTGATAGGAACGAGATCGAACTTTAATCAAGCCTCACGGAGCAGCGCTGCCAGGGCTATATTTATACCATCCAGAATCAAGGACGCCAAAGTATTTGTCTTTGGTGGCTGCTCGTACCTATCAACTCCAGAGTACTGAATTTGTCCATTATGACTTCATGTGTCTCTGCAATCCGTAGATCTCAACAAACCTCCGCTCAAAGACGGCAGGCACAGACGTCTTGCTCTGGATCATCATTCAGGTACCATCTTGCGCCAGAGTAAGCATGCACAGCAAGCTCTTGCTCTCAAAAGATGGAAAGTAAGATCGGAGGTACTGTGATAGGGAGCTAAACTTTATCTTTGTGGAGAAGGAAGTCGGTGAAGTGACTTTAGTGTGTCCGGGATAGTTGCCGAGAAATCGCTGACAGGGATCTTCGTATCGTCCCGCTGTTCTTGGGATTGGCTAACATTGTGACCGTGGTGTCTCCGAGACATGTCAGCCATCATGGGATGAGAGTCTTTCTATCAGATTTTCATTAGAGACTATTAGCCCAGGCCGCTTTGTCGTTCACTGTGCTTGCCTTAAGCTTTATTCTGAGCCAGGGAAGAAATCCAATAAACAGCTTTAAGCGAGAGGTCCACTCAAAGTCAACAAAAGGAGGGGGTTTCCGGTTGTGACAGTCCGGATCGTGCCTGTTGTATCTATGCAAGCAATTTTATCTTCAACTTCGGAAGTTTTCATCAAGCTGAATCAGTATTGAAAAAGAGAGGCGTACTTCAGGAACACGCAATGAAGGCTATCATTTCTTGAAGTTGACATTATAGAATTGTAAGCTCTTTGATCAACTGTTTGCAATAAACGGCGATGTGCAAAACAACCTGCAAGAAATTCGATCGATAATTGAAAGGATAAATTTGAAATCTAATGAAATCGTCGACGAATCAGTAAGCCTTAAAATCTACTGCTACACTATCTCGTCATCCCAACTATCTTTAATCGATCCTGAAGCCATCCTCAGTTTCGGATCTCCTCAGACCAACATATTGATGTTGAATACAAGAAAGTCTCGCTGATGCCTGTCCAGGCAAACTCAATGGTCATGCTGATAACTTTCAACTGCGCAGCACTGCCTAGACCAATGCACTCTGACATTTAGTGAGGCAAAAGCGACCCCGCCTCGTCTCTCAACGAGATCCTGCCACCACGCTCGCGTCTCAAAGCAACAAACAAAGTGGAATAGTAGATACCACTACGTTATCGTCAACACTGCATCGCTATGCAAAATCAATAAATTCAACGAATGCAACGAAAACTCACCCTGCGAAAACCAAGGACACGACAGTCGAAACTATCTTATGCACCGTTCCATGCCCACTCCTGTTACCCCAGAAGTCCCAGCTCCAGACAACAAGCCAAACCCATAAGATAGTCACGAGACCGGATTTGATGAATTCGATGCGCAAAGTTTGCTGGCGAGTTGGTGAGGAAAGTCGAAGTTGAGTGAGGACGGTGAGGAGGAGGGCAAGGGCGAGGATGGGAGCGATGGCGACGGTACTGGTGGCGCTTGTTAGTTATGAGAAGACTTGGGTAGGCATGGTGGTAGTTTGCTGGGAATTCTGGGGAAGGTGTTGTGACTGATTGAGAGAATGGTGCTTACAGATAATTGAAAAGGTGATGGGTATACCTCTCCGTGTTGAAGAAATACAACTGTGAGACCTCAAGACCAGCAATGAAGGCTTGAAGAAGGTAGGTGCCCTCTAGTAGGGCAGTGTGAATGGAGGAACTCATGCTGGGTTTCTAATGGTTAAAGTGCTCCTGGTATGATAATCGGAACAAAGATCTTCGGAGGAAAAGGGAGGGCGGAATTTGGAGGTGGTGGAATTTATAGGTATTTTGGAATAGCATGGGACGATATGAGATGTCGTGGTTGCCTTGTCAGATTGCGTAACGAGGCACGCGCATGTGTCGCGAGAACCGCCGCAAACTGGGAACCCGACGTTACTTATTCACTGGAGAAACTGAGTGTGCAGTGAAGATTGATGTCATAGTTGTTTGAGTGTGCGTTCAAAGATCAAAATCTTATCTCAATAGCTCTTTTCAGTGCAAATGCTGGGTAGAGATCCGGTAAGAGCTGATAGCTCTTCCTCCTGGAGGGGTCGGTGAGAGGCGTCCTCCCCTGCATTCACCCCGCCATTTTCTGTACATGAGGAAAACTCCAGGCGTGATTGGCACGGCAGATCGTGCCATAATGAGGAGTACACGGCATCCATTTGGAGACGTAGTTCATCATTGGAAGCTTATTATCGCCCGAAATGAGACACTTTGATGCTGGTACTATTACCAAGTTGGAAGCCTACTGGCTGAAATGGTCAACAGTTCTCGGGGTATGAACTTCCAATCAATGATGCGATTATGTCCTGTTCTTTCAACATTCTATCCTAGACCATCTATCGGGGTATCCTGTACGCCATCCCCGGCCTCTGATATTAAGCTCCAAAAGAGCCTACCAGCCTTCAACCACGGTAGTCTGCACATCGTACCCTCCAATGATTCTTACTGTAATTCCCCAAAGGATGTTGATAGCATCCGGGTTTGTCCCAGGTACGGGCTTGAAATCAAAACTTCCAATTAAAGCCGCCAGAATAACTTTATTCTCCCCAATCGCAAATCCTATCGTCCCGTCAGTATAACAGAAACATTCCATCCAAGTAGACTCACCTCTTCCTATACATCCTCTAGGCCCATGCCCAAAAGTCAGATACGCCAGACTATCTGTTGCACCCCCAAGCGCCTTCTCCTTGCCCACAAGCCACCGCTCTGGATTAAACTCATGTGCATCTTCACCCCAGAACTGCTTCGCTTGATTCATTGCCCACATGTGCAGTCGAACTGGAGTACCTTTTGGAATAGTTGCACCAAGAAGATCAGTGTCTTTCTGAGCTACACGTCCAAGAAGAGGCACAGGTGAGTAAACTCGCATGATCTCCTTGCTCACTGCATCGAGGTATGGAAGCTTGTCGAGAACTTCTGCTGTTACCTCCATTCCTGATGATGGACTAGGTAGGTTGGCTCGAATTTCGGCGCGAAGACGTTCTTGAATGTGAGAATAGCGAGGCTGAGAGAGGAGGTATATTCCCCAGGTTACGGCGGTAGCAGATCTTATAAGTGAGCCAATCAATCTGAGCGCTTGTGGGGTAAACTTACGTTTCATGTCCAGCACCTAGGAGAGTTTTTGATTGATGCACTAGGTCCTCGGTGCTGAAAGCCTTCGTCTTCATAGCAGCTGCGATAATGTCGTTCTGACCATTCTTATCCATCCAATCCAAGTCATCAACATGTTTATCCATGTCCGCCTTCCTTTCTTGAAGTAGGTTTCGGACCCAATCTGTCACGGCTCTCTTGCCTTCACGAAATAACGCGCTATTCTTCCCAGGTAGCAGATTGACCAATTTCGGAGTTGTCAAAAACGAGAGGACGAATATCAGTTGCGAATTTTCGTTCGCCACGAATGCCGCCCGGTAAGAAGTATTGAGCGCTGTATGAGGGTTTGACAGGGACGAGAATTCCGAGCCAAAACCCGCTTGCCCGATAATATCCAAAGAAATACGACCAGCCCAGTCATCGATGTTGACTGATGCAGAGGCTTTCTCAGCTTTGGGTCCGGTCTCCACTTCGCGCTTGATTAGAGTGACCATCTCGGAAGCTTTGGTCCAGAATAGCGGGTAAACACTTTTGATAGCTTTGACGTTGAAGGCTGGCAATAAATGTTTTCGTTGATACTAGTCTTGTCAGAGACAGTGAGCACATACCTAGGCAAGAAGACAAACCTTATGATCCATCCCCTCTGATACCACAAGGCCATTGCCCAAGATATTCTCCATTATCCGCCTGATTTTTGGATTCTTGACATATTGGTCCGCTTTAACTTGCAGGAACTCGGCAGCCCCTCTTGGAGTTGTTACAGCGACCATCTCTGTGTTGAATACATCAAGATAGCGGATGAGTCCATCATTCGGAATTGTCTCCATCCAATTAAGCACCTCTCTCGAATTTCGGGGCTTGAAGAAAGATTTCCATCCACCCTCACGCTAGATCCGGTTTAGCTGTGGGAAGGTAATACCAGCGGATCGACTTACTGGTGCCTGCGGTAAGGCTAGAAGGGGACTGAAATAGAGAGGGTACAGGAAAAGGCCCCATGTTATGTGAAATGGAACATAAAACAGCAATGCGTATATGGAGGCTCGGGCATATGAAAACGACGATGCAGAGTGGCTTGCAACATATGTCCCAAGACTAAGAGATGCAAGCGCAAATGAGACCCGTACAGCACTCGCCATCTTGAAGAACAAATGAACGGCAGTAAATTTAATGGAAGCAAAGCAATTGCTGGAAGGTCTACCAAGCAATAGGTACGGATGGATACCAGCTTATATGCAATATACATGTAGCCACACGAGGCGAAAGCCACACCCAGCTACACTGTGGTCGCCATCTTTGGCATCGTGAACCTGCATCTCTCGTAGGCTCTGGTTGGCCGCAAGTACGAATCCAGCCCTTCATTGGGCTGGCACTGCACAGATAGGAGGCTGACATCGGCCGCTGGGCCTGGGCATCTCACCTCAGCCGTGTTCCAATCCACCTTGTCCTTGTCCTCAGCGCAACACGGACAAGAGCAGATTACTCGCCATCTCGAACTCGGAAGAAATCGAGGGGAAAAGTGTCAGCAAGTCAGCAAGTCACCAATATGAGGGGTGGCCCCGACGCTACTGTCGGGTGATGCCAGATCAGCAAGAAGAACCATGCGCTGTGTGGTTCAGCGGATCCGAGCAAGTGGTTGACTGATGTTGCTTCCAACCTGAACAGGAAGTTTTGGTGTCTCGTAGGTGTGGAGGAGATGGGAGAGGGACAAAATGCCAAGTTTGATCATGTGGGCGGTGTACACTGGCAGAATTCCACCCCTCCAAAACTTTTGTGACCCATAAAGGCTGAGGGGCGGGGATAAATTAACAATAAATTCCCACCACAATGCCTACAGAATTGGAACAAGTATGTGCCACATCATTAAAACTGAACACTGTGCTAATTCAGCGTAAAGCTGGTCGACTTTGTCTCTCATGGCAATACTCAAGTGCGACAGCTTGGTGAGTTCTCCACCCTTCCATACCAGCTAGTTGAAGAAACTGACGATTCGTCCCAGCTGTTGAGAACCTCGTCCCATACTCTCTTACAGACCCCACGATATTCAAAACAAATGACCTCCTCCCCATAAAAGACTTGAAGCTGTTAGTGCGAGATTACGAAGTACGGATTGCCTCTTAATCGTCCTGTTCCGAGCTTGAGCTGACAAAATCCAGAAAATTGCCCACGATGCGACCACAATCCTCATAAACCTGACTGCAGACCGGGAGATACTCGAGAACCTAGCTTCGGATAGAGACTTCGTCAAGACATTACTAGGCCGTGTGACAGTATGTCAGTCTCCCATCTCTTGCACCCCATCGTCCACTGATTTCTGTTCCAGAACCCAGCGGAACCCAATGCGAACCTCATTTCCATGCTACTAGCCAACTTAGCCAAGTACGACGAATTAAAAGACATATTGACGGTCGAGGCACCTGCGCCAAAAGAGTTGGCGTCCAACAACAAGGCAATCGATCAACTGTTAGACCTGTTCGTAAAAGGTGCAGATGGCACGTACAACAAAGCAGCCGACTTCGACTACCTCTCCTACCTCTTCGCAGACCTCGCAAAGCACAAAGAAGGGCGGCGATACTTTCTCACGAAGCAAGAATACGATGGCGTGGTCCCGCTCACGAAACTTGTCGTCTTCACTGAACACAGGTCGGATATCAGACGGAAGGGAGTAGCGTCGACGATCAAGAACGTCGCGTTTGAAATCGATGCGCACCCCTCTTTCTTAGATGAGGACCAGATAAACATACTTCGATACCTACTGTTGCCCATAACTGGCAATGAGGAGTTCTCCGACGAGGAAAGCAGTTCCATGTTACCGGACCTACAGCTCCTGCCTCCTGACAAGCGGAGGGATTCAGATCCATTGATCATACAAACGCACATTGAGACGTTGATGCTGCTTACAACGACGCGGCAAGGCAGAGATCTGATGCGCGAGATTAAGGTGTATCCCATTGTCAGAGAAACGCATTTGCATGTGGAGCATGACGAGGTCAGGGATGCGTGCGAGCGACTAGTGCAGGTTCTGATGCGAGATGAGGAGGGAGAGGAAGTGGGCGAAGGGATGAAGGCCTTGGAGCGGATGCCTAGGACGGGAAAACCAAGTCATCCTCAGATTGCGGCTGGGGCGGGGAGTTGGGCGAAGCAGGATGTGGAGGAGGATGACGACGACGACGACGATGATGATAAGATAGTCGAAGTATAGAGATTAATCAGGACATATTTTGTATCTGTTCCTGTGTTGTTCTTTGGAAGCCCAGCAGTTTCGTAGCGGACTTAACCATAATTTGGTCTTGTGATAGTTTGGTAATCACGGATCCTTGCACACAGTGAAAGCCAAGCTAGTAATCGTTGCATCGTATTTACAATCCGGTCTAATTCGCCTGGGAGACTGCTCCCTGAACTGTCTTTATTCTCCCCGAAAATTCAGATCCGGTTCCAAAACTTAGCATTACCACTCGCTACCCCTTTTTCTGCCGTAAACATCGCTAAACCAGACGGCAGGGCAATCTTAACAACAATGAACGCGTCTACCGAGGTCCCGTAAAGATTCGCTACCGAGCTCAGAAGAACCTGGAAGATAACCAATCATACTACTATGACGTGAAGGGTACGCGATGACAAAGCGCAGTTAAGGCATGTCAAGAAGGCGTTAAGGGGAATCAGTGTTCCATTTCATGTCATAAACAATATCATTATTCATGCGTCCACCCCTAAGCACGGGGGATTATAACAAACCCATACCGCAACCCCTAAACACCCCCTAGACCAACGTAAAGTTGCCACTGGTCCCGGTAAACGCTGTAATCTTTCCTCCAAGCACCTTGCTATCCCCATAGTACTTGAATCTATACGTTCCCTTCTGCGCATAGCTCTCCGTCTCCCAGCTCAATACAACATGCGAGCTCCCGATCAAACCATCATCTCTGTACCACGTATACACGAGGAACCAATCGCTATCGTCGCGGACCTTGGTCCATGCTCCATTAACAAGCATCTGCACCTCAGCGAATGTTCCTTCAAGACGCAGGTTGTTACGCGGGTTGGCAGCCACAAAGGTTACATTTACGACGGAGCCGATGGAGTAGGATGCTTTGGGCTGGGCCATGACAGATCCATATGAAGTACCTGGATGAGGAGAGTCCCAAACGACATCGGTGATGAGGGAGATGGAATTATCGGAGTTGTCAGGTGGGAGGGGTCCAGAAGCAGGCTGGCTGGTATTGCTAGCCATGAGGTATCCGATATTCTTTTCAGAGAGATACATGTGCGCGCTGGATGTCCAGGGACCGAAGAGTGTTGATGCACCTTCGTAGCGCTGAATGCCGTACTCTTCAGGTGTGGCGATGTAGTGTGCGTATGTGTTCGCTGGACCGCCGAGCACGACTTTGGGGGAAGTGGTGATTCCTTTGGCGATAGCTGCTTTTGCCACGGCATCCTTCCAGCGGCGTCCTGTCATGGTCGTTGCTTCTCCGGGGGAGATGATCATGAAGAGTTGACCAACGCGGAAGGACTGAATATCGATGATGTTGGGTGACCATTCATAGGGGCCGTGCATCTCACCGACATCGAGGAGAATTGGCTTGGGTCTGTGACAAGCTACTTGCTTGGCAGAGGGCGTGGTGAGAACATCTCGAACGAGAACCCAAAATGGGTTCTGGGTTTGAGAGTCGTTATTTGCTTGAGTGAAGTCGAATGCTCCTGGCCAGTCGCTGGTGCCGGCAGCAAATCCTGCACCGAGAGCAGCTGGGCAGGACTGAACAATCGTTCCGTTGGGCAAAGGGAATTGGAAATACTGCATATCTTGGAAGGTCTGAAGAGAAGTCAATATCGAACTGCTCATTATGAAAGACTCGTATAACTCACGTGGTAGAATTTTACACTTGAATCAGCAACAGCTGTTCCAACACTGTCGAGAGAATCCTATAATTCGTAAGTCTGCGGCTCAATGTTTAAATTAGAAGATGAGCTTACATATAACGACTTGGCTGCCGTGAACACTCTTCTGCCAATCTCATAACAGCTAGAAATGCCAAGATCAAGCTTCTGGAACGCAGGACCTGTGTTCTGGTTAGTGATATCATCATCACAAACTGGAAACTTGACATACCTCGGCCGTGGCAAGCCTGACTGGTGCCACCGCATGTACTTTTATCAAAAGTGCATTGAGTTCCAGTTCCATCGTCACACCATGCTCCCAAAACATTGGGCGATGTGTCCCCAACACTGCTCTGACTGAAAGCGGCTACGAATCCAGGAGCAGCTTTGGGGTCAGTCAAAGCTGCCTTCTCGAACAAGTAGGACGTGACACCCTTGTTATCTGGAATCAGAAATCAGTAACTGGTCACTGAAATAGCGTTTCTGGCACGAAACATACCCCCTGTGACATGGGTATTGTTGGCTAATGCCGATGTTCCGTGGACACTTCTGAGGTTAGCTGAATGTCCTCCGCTACTTTGTGTATTTTCTGATTTTCTGACGACCAACATGGAAGAACCTGCTCGAACTGAGAATTGGGAAACATCTTACCTGTGCCAGCCAAGAACTCCAGTGTTCTTTCCATCCGAGGCACGTTTGAAACGCAACAAAGTGAGGGTAGTATCAACATTACTAGCATACTTGGCTCGCTCCGCAGCTGGGTTTGCGAGATAAGCGTACAGACTGCGGTTGATATTGGCGTCCGTGACATTAGTATCGCCGTACTTAAGATAACCAGGTGCAAGGCTTGCGTGGGCTCTCTGAATGGAAAGAACAGTTCTGTGATCTGGTCAGCGGCTCGTTCATATTCAATAAGAACTTGCATACCCGTCAACAATTGCCTGGTAGCTTTGCTTGGAGAATCCAAGTGTCGTGATTTGGGGCAGGAGATAGTTGTTGTAAGCTCCAGGTCCGGAGTGTGAATGAGTTCCTGTCAGAGCAATGTTGCTCTGGTTGTAGATTCCCAATCCAGCACCCTTCAGCGCATTGACAACACCGTATCTGATTGCTGTATCGCCATTTGCAATATCAAGAACGAGGTAGACAAATCGATCAGATGGCTTGTTGACATTGCCGATGATATAAGCACGTGAGTAGAGACTATCAAAATCAGTCACATTGATCACTCCATGAACGGTGTAGCTTACCGTTGTCTGAGACCAGTTCCAACTTGATCCAGGACAGCATATCCCATGAAACCGATCTCAACAACAGGTCTAGATGGTGGTCAGTCAACGCTATCGCTCTCAAGTGTATCGACAAACCCTGTGATGTCAGCCTTTCCAACTCCTAAAAGATACTGCTGGTCTCCAGCTCTTCCCAGGTTGGCTAAAAACTCTCTCGATTCATCATCCATGGGCTTAGCATCAGTAAGGTCCGGAACTGACTCGATTTCGGATGTCCATGCCGAAGTGATTCCTACCAAAGCCAGTAAAGCTACCGCGATCAATGCAGCAACTGCGACGTAGAACTTCTTGTTCCGTGCTTGGCTGCGACCAGGGAGAGCGGTAGTCTCATTTTCAGCCTCATTATGGTGCTTCTCCTGCTCTGGGAGGGCTTGGTATTCTCTGTTCTGAAAAAGAGACGACATGACTGAAAAACTACTACAGCATCGACACAGGGAGCAGTCGGTGCAAGAGGCAGGAGGGACGATAGATGGGCAGCGGTCCCTTGTTATAGATACTCCATGATGTGGATGAAAGTATGTAATATGTCCTTACTCGAGGTGGCGGCACTGCCAGGCACTGCACTTGGTCAGTCTGCTCTTTCCCATCCTTGATCTAAGGCCTGCACGACGTGGCACTGGCCGAGGCTTGTCAACGAGCTGCCTGTCTCGCTGAACTGCTCTACACTTGTGACTTGACCATGCAGAAACGGCATTGCCTATTGCGACTCGATACCCGATGAAGTCAAGATACGGCGACGATACGTGCCTGGTGGTGCTCTGCAATGCTCTGCAAATACGCCTAATCTCCTCTCCAGAGTTCAGGTCCTGTGGTTGACGAGAGGGGTTGTTCGGCGATCATGCCCCCTTCAGACCAATCAGCCGGCCAGGACGCTGTGGCCCCCAGACCAAATGAGACACCGTGAAATTACAACCATGGGACCTGCCCAACCCGATCCACAGCGGGCAGGTAGACGGGGACGGGGGAGTTCGATGCGGATGCATAGCTCCCAGGAGACTGAGGGAGGACGTTTATTACAGGTTAGATCATATCTGCCGGTTGGAATTATTGCAGGTGTGACCGTTACACGACATGCGCTTGGACGTATGGTATCAATAATTAATCTTTACTTTGCCCCTTCCTCTGGGCGCGTCGCTCTCCCAAGATTCAGCATTTAAAGCCTTAGTACACTTGCCGAACAATATTTCAGAGTTTGCTTGATCGTAGAGTTTGAATCGGTTAGGAATTGATCTAATCTATCAATACGAATAGAGAACAAGGTTGTTTATGAATCGTAGCAGGACCAATTACACCCAGGTCGAGGCGATTTAAAGTTACCTGACCTTGAAAAACACGCGTATTTGAAAGCTAATGGATCCAGAAAAATATCCAGGGCTTGTCTTTACTTAAAGAGCGCAGTTCATGTATCATGCTTGCTTTTAATTAGGAAGGTCTTGTTCTTGTTCTATAGTTGGCAATAAAGGATTTGGTTTCACGAGACCATTCATTTGCCGAGGCATCTCAAAACCCCATAACCAATTTTGCAAAATCCGACAATAGCTCCCTCAAATCATGGGGTGACAGTCTTGAATGAAACGAGTTAACAGAGTACTGTGAACTGGCTTCCCCGGATTTTCTAAGCGAGATCTGAATGCCTACAACGAACAGGGGGCACAAATGAAAACCGAAGATCAACAATGAGTCGCTTACTAGTCGTAAGTTGGGACAATAATATTACATGAGTTATTGAGAAGAGATCCCCCGTCGAGTATCCTCTCACAAGATCATACTTGAGACTGTAACAGCTCACGAATCCCAGCAAAGTCGTACTCGGCCATGGTTTCTTCCCAGAGCGCATCCATCACTTTGTTTCCTTCTTCGGAGTATACAAGGCTGGCAAATCTGAACACAGGTCAGCACTACGGAGGAAATCTCCCTATGAAGCATCGAGAATACTCGAAACGAAGAGAAGGAGTGAAGTAACAGGGGCCAGGCAACTTACGGTTGAATCTTCCCCTCACTGACAAAGCAGCCATGTGACTCTTTACCCCTCAATACTACAGCATCAACATACAACCATGCACCATCTTCTACCGATAGGGCGGTCAACAACTTGACGACGGAGAAAACAGCATTCATTACCACTGGTGCTTCGCGAAATAAGCGAGTGCCCTTGCAGAGTCCGGGTTGGACGAAGTTGACAATGGCGTCCTCTGGATCGAGAAACTTCAACAAACGGACGAAAAATAGATGACCGAGAAGTTTGGAAACGGAATATCGCTCTAGAGTATCGTAGGACTGAATATTCGTGTTGTCGAATAATGCAAGAAGAGGTCTCCTATTTCGATTGGGAAACTTTGCTGCTAATGCTGGTCCGGAGTTCACGATAGTAACCCTGGGAGTCGATGCCATTGGTGGGATTTTGCCCTTCAGTTTTTTCAGAGCTTGAACAATGAGAATCGCTAGTAGGAATGTGGATAGGTAGTTGACTTGGATGTTTTCGCAATGGCCCGTACTGGGGCAGGTTGTCAGTGTTGAGTGGGCGATGCCAGAATTTAGGATCGTCATGTCAAGCCTATCCAGGTCTGTCTCAATGCGTCGTGCGAAAGCTTGAATCGATTCGTATGATAACATATCTAGATCCCAGACATCTATTCGAGAAGAAGGATATTGTCCTCGGATGTCTATTTTGACAATCAGTAAGTGGAGTTCTATGATACTTCGCGAAAGTCGACTGTCACTTCAGCAGATCATCGCTATTTCCATATACTTGCACGCGAGAAAGTGGGGAGATTCTTACTTGCAGCAGCTCCTTCTCCCTTCTCCCTGGACCGGACAGCGAGGATCAAATGCGACAATTTGAGACAGAGAAGATGCTTGGCGGCATGGAAACCCAATCCCGAATTCGCACCTGTGATGATCGCAACTTGACCTGACAAGTCCACATCCTTTGAATGAAGAATTATCTGCGGTACACCATGTTTAGGGAAGAATCCTGGGAAAGGTGGACTATGAAATGGAGTCATTTCTAAAGATGCCGAGGACTTGTTACTGGTAGGAGGATTGAATTTAGCTTAGAGTAAACATGAGAATCGATACGGAACTGAAAGAAAAAGACGAAGACCTCATGTACCTGAATAATCATATATACAGGTACTCTATAAGTAAAGTCTGGTTCACCATCTTCAAAACAAACCTAGAACTCGCTAAGGATGCTTAATTGGGGAGTACTTCACGGGTCTTGGCGTCAGCATTGAGACGATTCTCCACGCCAAGACCACGATTTGTTCCTCGATAGGGAATATCTTGGTGTCAGCGCATGAAGCTTCATCTTTAATCCCCATAACCTTTTCGTGGTTTTCTGTCTTTCGATACAATCAGATCACAGAGCGGTCAGGAATAGCAAACGTTGACAATCGACCACCTGCGTTATGTCTCAAAATGCTCCCCGCCCTTTCATCATCACGACCTCCTTGGCGAAGCCGGACCGAGCAGCAATGAGAGACGCCCGCAGCTATGCAATGCGCGGTAAGAACAGTGGGAAACGGCGTAAACGAATATACAAAGACCAGCCCATAAGGTCCTGGGTTGATGACCAACTCGCAAATGAAGAAAGCCAAGATATGCAGCTAGTCTCGCCTGTCCCCAACCAGGTCAATAGACAGATCGCGTCGGAATGGACTATATTGAATGTTGCGGAGGACATCGGGCCCCATCCACGTCAAATGCTCGATCAGTGTAGGTCTGGTTGATGACAAAAACGCATACACAACCAAGCAAGTACTGAGTGCCACATCTAGATTTCTCCATCCTGGAGGAGACTTCCTATGCCAACAAAATCCTCGCCAGAAATGTTTTCAATCGCCAAGCTCCCCTCTGGATGGAGCACCTCGGCCAGAGTGCCACATATTTGAATAACCAGCTCTTCGTGCTTATAGCATATTACGATCTAATCATTGCGAGGACCTTAGCCATCAGACAAAGCACAATTTCTCACATGACCAGAGCACTTAGTCTTCTACAAACAGATCTAAGAACAAGCACTCGAGCAATATCCGAAGCGACGATTTCTACCATCATTGCATTTGCCATGGTGGCATTCATGTCAGGCGATACAGCGTCAGCGGAAAAACATCTTCAGGGGCTTGTCAAAGTGGTAGCTCTGCGTGGCGGTCTCCGTTCTCTGAGATCATGTAGATATCTCCAGACCAAATGCTGCAGGTTCGTTGCCAGTCATTCCTCCCCACCAGATCCCATCTCATTGGAGTCAAATTAGGCTTGATCTCAGCTTTGCTATGTGCACTAGCTCGACTCCCCTCTTCTTCACAGCCGGGAATATCTCTTGGACCTCGTACCTGCCACGAACTATACCAGTACAATCAACAACAGCTATACACCGCCTCCTAAGCGACTCCGGAATCGCTCCTGATACTAATATGCTTGCTGTATATTCCGACCTCCAGGAATTCTCTCGAGCGGCAAATCTCGCTGCACAAACAGGTCGCAAGCTTGAGCCCGATCTCCTACAAGACGTCATGATCTCCATTCAATATCGTCTTCTGCATCTTAAGTACGAGAATTCTGATCCTCACGAACTCTTACGAGTCATCATGTTAGATTACTCGGCAACTGTTCTACTTCTGCTATTTTGCCAGTTTGGCGCTTATGTCTGGCTAAACTTTCCATCGTTGCAAGTGTGTTTACGTATACATGTTCAGACTGGAAGTTCAAATGAGAGATCAAGAGTATGGCTCTGGCTTCTTGTTGTAGTTGGGTTGTCGCAGTTGGATTGTGACATGAAAGACCTTGAATCTTATCTAGCATGTACTGTACGAGATTTAGGGTTGAAGTCGTGGAAAGATGTACTTGTGGTTTTGAAGTCGTTCCTCTGGATTGATGTGTTGCATAGTGAGCGAGGAAAGGCTTTGTTGACGGACATTGTAAACTAGGATGATAGATTAAAGTGACAGTGAGTCCTCATCTAGCAAATGCTTCATTTGTGCTATCTCGTCTCCTGCCATTTTTGCTCCGTAGAGCCTGGAGAGCGCTACAGCACTGCAGCGCATCCTGTAACGAGTTCATGTTGACCAAGTCTCGCTAAAACCCAGGCTGGTCCAGTGCTTTGGTTCCAGGCCAAATAGCCTGAAATAATACCCTGTGCCTGCCTCAATCCAGCGGACACATTTCCTTTTCCCGAACAGTAAATGGAGTCAAAAAGGGTGACCAGTATCTATCTTCGGCTACATAATTATGAATATATAATCTAAAAACAATAAAAAAAGCTACTTTATTTGGGGTATCAATGTAAGTCTCCGCCATCTAGATTATCCAAATCCCCAACTCATGGGCCAATTCAACCCTCCGATTGGATCATGCAGCTCGATGCAGGACGAGATCATCAATCCTTGGATGAGATACAAAGCCCTGAATGTCCATCAAATATGCAGCTGATACACACAGATGCCCCTCATGTAGCCTAGTGTTGCATGCAGGTACCCTTACCCTTTGATCTCGGCATGATTGTCTCGGAGGAAACACCTCTTCCTACCTTATCTATGTAGGCAATTAATATATCCTTATCCTCCCACTTTTCATATTATTCTTTATCTAACGGTCTGGTTGGCGGGAATGGGGGCAGAAGGTGGATGGAATTCTGTGAGATTGGAATTCATGCATGTGCTTGGATCTGAGATCGATGCAGGTTTTCCAATATCGATATTGACCCTGGTAGTATCGTACGAGATTGTCACTTTCCTTCTTTCTGTTCCTGCTCTTGAATGATGCAGCTGCCCAGCGTGTCGTACCTACTACCAAGTCTTCAATTTGGCAAACCCGTCGCCCATCCTGGAAGTTGGAACACATCTCTTCCATTCTCCTTTTCCCTCTTCCTTCTCTTTCTCTTTCCCATCCACCATTTCAACAACCCTCTGCCTTAGGGATAGCCCCTCGCCATGACCCCTTCCATTTCAAGCTTCGGGACCAATACACCACATAAAACTACTCGAAGCTGTTCATCTCGGTACCAGATTCAAACTCACACCCATCTCTGTCTACTTCTTGTGTACCCACAGTACCTACTTACTCGATCGGCTTTCACCTACCCCTCAATGTTCATCAATGGGTCCCTTACTCCACTGGTACCACAATCCACAGCTTGGTACCATGATGTCATCAGAGGAGACATTCAGAAGCTGGAGAGTACCGAGTGGTTGGTGCACAGGATAGTATTCTGGATGATTGAATGTCCAGAGTTAGTTTGTGTCTAGTTATTGGACCTGACTTCAACGCAGTTCAACGGTAGAGCAAAGCAATACGTTGAATGGGGTGAGGTGTATGGTAGATACTCCACAACCTGAAGTGAGCACTAGTGGGGTTCAGCTCAAATCGTCTCTTTCCTATCAAGGTAAGATACGTACTTCATCATACACGACACCGAACAGGACGGATAAGAAGAAGCCGGACGACCAAAAACTTACAAACAGCATGTGGCATGTGAAAGTACTGATAAAGAAGTCTAAACTTTATTCATACTATATACGAATGGACTATGAGAAGCCAAGCTCCGTGTTCTTTCTCTCGTCCTTCTCTCTCTTCCTTCCCATCTATCACGCTCAAACCATGCAAAAAAATCCCATGAACGAGCAAACAAACAAATAATTCACATTCATTGATTGATGAGCGTGTACAAAAGTCGAGGAACGCCCATTATTATCATCCCGCCATAGCAATCAAGCCAGAAAACAAACACCAAAATATACACGAAAGGCTAAGTCTGTCTGTCTGTCTTTAGAAAGAGGCGACGGCGATGGCAATAGCCTGGCTATCAGAGTGTGAGATGGAAATGCTGATTTCCTTAACACCAGCCTTCTTCGCTGCTGCAGCGGCACCACCATGAAGCTGAGGAATGTTAGTTGTGGTCAGAGTCGGTGATGTGGGAAGAACTTACAGTGACAATTGGAGCACCCTTCTCGTTGTTGATAATCTCAATCTCCTTCAACGGCGCACCAGCTCCCTTGCTTGCAACACCCAGAGATTTGAACACAGCCTCCTTGGCACTCCACTTGCCAGCAAAGGAGGACTGAGGACTTGGTGCCTTCAAGCAGTAAGATCGCTCAGCATCTGTGAAATTGCGCTCGAGGAATGTGTCGTTCTCAATGTTGATTGCTGAGATGTCTTCAACATCGACACCAACCTTGTTGCTGGCGGTTGCGGCACCTTTAGCCAAAGACTCGACCATTTGCTTGGTGGCCTCGTTCTTGGCCTTGTTGATTGTCTTTTTGGAAAAGCCAGGGGCGTAGGTCAGAGTCGACGTCTTCTTGTCCATTGATACACGTGCATCAGGGTTGAGGAAGACCTCTCCCTGCTGGTCATCGGTGTATGGAGAATGTGTCTTGGCCACGAAGATCGTGTTGGAGATCATTCCGTTGTGGAAGTATCTGTAGGTCTTCTTTTGTCTGGACTCAACCTTGGCACAGTAGGAAGCGTAGGTAGCTTCATCGAGAGTGGCGAACAGATATCTTGGATGAATACCAATCACTTGAGCACCCTTCTGACCGAAACCGAACGAAGTAACAGAGAAAGCCTTGATACCATCGGTCTGAATGCTTCGGTTGGGGTAGACGATGTAGTCAAATTGCTCCATGATTTGGTCAACGTTATCGGCATTCCTGTTGCCAGGAACCAAACCAGTATCGAGAACTTGCAAACATCCGTTCATCATCCAAGCACCGGCAGCACCCTTGGGATGACCTGTGAGGTACTTCTGGAAGATACCCAAAACAGCGTTACCCTTCTTTCTGCCGAGATGCTTCAATTGCTGGCAGATGACAGAGGACTCGTTCTTATCGTTAGCCACAGTCGAGGTACCGTGGAACGAAGCAACATCGAGATCGTCGATAGTAAGACCCCAGGTAGCAAGGGCACCACGAAGAGGAGCAATGGATGGATCCTTCTTCCAGAATGTGTTGCCGAGACTGTTCAAGACTTCACGCTCTTGACGAGCAGCTTCGCGCTCGATATGGTGTGCACGTTCTTGAGCATACTCAGACTCGTTGAACTCCTGGCCTTGAGCCTTCATAGCATCAATCTCTTCATGAAGATACTCGAGCTCTGATTCTTGCCATTGCTTGATGTTCTTCTTTCGGAGATCGATTTGACGGCGACGATACTTGATGTCAAGGAGTGGCGATGGGAACTTGCTGGGGTTCTCACGAGCGGTGGTGAGGACACCCTGTCCAGGAGCCGGAACGGATCGGCCAATCTTGTCAGTGGCGGTAGTGGTCAAACCAAGGATACCATAGATGGGAACACCCATATCAAGAGCAAGCTTAGCTGTCATGATGACTTGCATACCGCAACCTTGGGATTCCATGAAACCATTTCGGGTAGTGGTGGTAGGTCTGGACATCTCAGCTGGGGTACGGCCGTGGGCAATTTCGTCCACAGCATTGCTGGTGGCCTTCATGTTGGCGAATTCGTAGGATCCTTCCTCTTGGAAGTCATCAAAACCACCGACGAAGCAGACACGAGCCTTGCCCTCAACGATAGTCTCGTACCCGATGTCAACGGACTCGACAGCAGTAGCGCAAGCACCGACTGGGGTTTTGATAGGTCCAGTGGATGAGAGCAACAACATATTGACCCAAGCGCTCATGGTGTTGATGAAAGACTCCTGAAGAATGTCCTTCTGGAGCGGCTTGTCCAAGAATCGGTCCTTGTACATGCCTCTCAGAGCGTGGGTACCACCAATACCGGAACCAATACAGTTACCGACCTCGGAAATGTGAACATACTTGTAGAACTCGTATGGATCGGTAATACCAGATGCCAAAAGAGACTCGACAGTGCAGACAAGAACGAACAGAGTGACGGGGTCGACCTGAGAGATGATATCGTCGGGAATACCGTAGTGCTTAGCATCCCAACCAGTTGGGATTTGACCAGCAACCAGGCGGTCGAATTGCAGAGCCTTGGGGATCAGGAGTGTTGCTCCCTTTCTCATGCGCACAATGTACTCGCCAGATTCAGGGATCTCAAAGATCTCAGCCTTGTCTCCGTGCTCGCGCTGGAATTCCTCGGCTGTCTCCTTGGAGGTCTCAAATGGCTCTAGATCTTCTTGGATAACGACCTCTTGAAGGAGTTGCTTCTTGTTGGGATCGTAACCTTTGAAAAGCTCAGGCTCGATAAGACGAATACCAGAGTGCTCAAGGATGTGCTTCTCGTACTTGGCCTTGATGTCTTTGTCATCGACGGGCTCTCCAGACTTGGCATCCACCCAGCCGGCATATTGCTTGCCCTTGATTGGACCATTGTGGTTCTTGATGAGTCCCATAATCCATGCCATCTCAACACAACCCTCGAGGGAGAACTTTCCGTGAGCTTCCATCTCCCATCGGGTACGAGAGTTACCCCAAGGTCCAACTTCAGCGAAACCAGTGACGACAACGACCTTCTCAAGGTCAACCATACCCTTAAGGTTCTCGTTGAGCGGCTCGACCTCTTTCTCCCAGTCTGGAAGGCGAGGGAACTCGAATTTGATGTTGGCACGGGGCTCGATGGTGACCTTCTTGTAGAGAGCTTCGCTGTCTTCTCCGTTGACGATCTTGTTCTCAATGGCGGTTTCTTTGGTAACAGCTTGTCGGACCTCACTAGTCTCCATGATGTCCTTTCTGAGCTTCATCATCAGGTTCTGGAGATCTGGGATAAATTGGAGGCCACCGTTCAGATCAGCAAAGACTGGCTCAGATTGGCAAAGGTCAACAATTGATGGCGACATGAGGCCGAGCAAGTTGAAAGCCATCTCCTGTTGAGAGAAAGTGCGGACACCGTATGCCTCGACGCCCTCGGCAACAATGTTGTTTCCGGACATGAGACCAGTACCACGGGTCCATCCAATAACAGCACCGCAGATTGTGAGGAAGTTACCCCAGTTCTCGGAGTGCCATCTGTTGAACAAAGTCTCCAGTCCCAATTTGGATTCAGAGTACAGACCGTCGTTACCGAAGGTACCGTGGTTGGGTGACAGGGGCAAAACGACCTGAGCTGGTCGAGTTTCGAAGCCGCGCTCTGCCTTTTGCGTCTTAACAGCTCCAAGCATGCGGAGAAGGTTTGTCAACATGATGCGGTGAGCAAGCTCAGACTTTGAGTCAATGCTATCGATCTCACGACCATTCTCGGGAATAGCGGCGAATGGGACGATGAAGTCCAGATCCCATCCAAGACCCTTCTTGGTGTCGTAGATGTAATCGATCAAAGCCTCCACATCTTGCTTGCTTCCTTGGTTGAAAGGCACAACAATGAGTTGAGAGCCTCGAGAGCCAAAGCGAGAGTACATGGACTGATAGTACTCGGTAACCTCGCGAGAGAAACGGCTGGTAGTAACAACAACCTTTGCTCCTCCACTAATCAAGCCTTGCAAGACATCGGCACCGATAGAACCGGCACCAGCACCAGTCATCAGCACATTCTTTCCTTGGAAGGTAACACCATTCTTTGCAGCTGTCTCCAAGCCCTCGATGTAAAGACCTGTGAGCTTTTTGCTGTACTCCCATCCATGCTCATCCTTCCGCTTCAAATGTAAGAAGGGTATTGTCTCAACCTTGCCAGTCTTGGCATGAGGATTGCGAGCCTTCTTGACACCGTTTATCTTGCCGTTTCCGTTCTCTTTGGGGATGATTTGGCCTTCGCTCATGGCCAAGGATCGAATGACATCGCCATAGAGTGCCTTGATCTGGAGCTGAGATGATTTAGAGAGCTTGTGTTGTTGTTTGATGAGCTTGTAGATACGACTGAGATCGTTCTGAACCTTGGTACGGTTGCCATACTCAGAGATCTTGCCACCATCAGCCATCTCGCGAACGTAGTGCTCGAGCTTCCGTGCACTTGTTCGTGGGATTTCTGCATATGACAGGTTTCCGCGAGCATCAATCGTGGTATGAGGTCCAGTTGGAATACCGACATCCTTGTAGCAAGGAGCTGTGTCCAAAACTTCACGGCAGTTCTCGATGAGTTGCTGGCCGAGCTCCTTGGCGAGCTGGTATGTCTCGCCACGCTCTGTGGGGCAGTTATCAATGTGATACTGCATGAACTCCAAGAGTGTAGGATTTGATCGATTCATGATGCGAATGCACTGGCTGACAATTTCTCTGTCCACAGCCTTTAGACGGCCAAAGATAATGTCGTAAAACATGGTAAGGGCGTCTTGGCGAGCCCAATTCCAGGAAGAATCGTACACTCTTGCTTTGAGTGGTGTGAAAACTGGCTCAATACCGGCAGCGTAGAAATCACCATGCTCAACATTCCAAAGATCCAATTGTGCTTGGAGAGTTGCCTGTGATTGTTGGGAGCCAATGAAGGCCTTTTCTCCAGCGCGGAGGTCCATCTTGAGATATCTGGCGAAAAGCTCGAGTTGTTGTTTGAAAAGAGCTCTTTGGTCCTTGGTAAGGGCATCGATTGCGGCTGGGTCCATCATCATTCCGGCTCCCGCAGCGCCTGCATCTCCACCAGCAACTGGCGCAGAGAGACTGATGCCTGCATTGCCAGCGTATTTCTGGGAGACATCGTCAAGGAATGCCTTGGCATCATTCTCAGATCCCAGACGAGCTGCAGGCTCCATGGTGAGAGCTAGCAGTAGAACACCATCCTGTCTCCCGGATCCAAGACCCCATCTTGTTTCGAGGTATTTTCTGGCTGAAGTAATGTTGAAGCCACCGGGCATTTTCGAAGAGATCAATCGTGCAACGAGGGAGGACGATTGCTTTCCGAGCTGGCCATTGAATGTAGCCTGCATAGAGGCTCCTAACTCATCGAGAGGGGTATCTTCTGGTTTCTCGGGTGTAGAGCCGAATTCCTTGCCCAAGTCACCGAGAATCTCGTTTTGGAGGGTGGATTTACCTGTGGACATCAAATCAGCTTTTGCACGTCCCTTGAGGGCAGTGTTACTTACCACCAACCAAATCTTTGATTGCCTTGCTCAGAGGAATTTCCAGAAGAGGTTTCTTAAGCTTTTGAGCAATCAGTGCTCGCACAATATCCACTGCACCAACGGGAGCATCTGGAACTGAAGCTGCTGGTCCAGCACTGGGAGGAGGAGGAGCGGCTGCTGCGGGGGGTCCGCTTGACGAAGGAGCAGAAGCAGCAGGTGTAGACTGAGTAGCAACTGGCTCTGGCTCGTCTTCCACTGGATCGACATCGTAGTAGATTTCCTTCGCATCTTTGTTGTAGCAGAGAATTTGTCTCTGGACGGATTTCGCTGCATCGTAGGCTTCGTACTTGGACGCAATTGTCCTCTTTGCCATTACACCCAAAGTATCCGCCGGACCGATTTCCACAATGCGCTCAGTTGTCTTTTCTGCAAGAATCACATCTTGCGTCTCAATCCATCTCACGGGCGAGGCAAATTGATATGCCAGCAACTCCACAAGGAGCGTATGGGCGAGCTCCTGCTCGACTTCGGGACGCATGTTGCAGGATCGAACGTCCGCAGACGTATTGACGGGTAAAGAGGGGTATCAAAGAGTTCGATTTTAGAGACAGGTAGAGAAGTCGATTAGTTTGCCGTCGAGTAGGCAGTTGTAAGTTCAGTCTAATTTGAAGTTTCCGAGAAGCGACGGAACGCTGCTGGGACAATGCAAGGAAACAAGCAACGATGAATTACAACAGAGAAGGCGTATGGTGAGTGGTAGAAGGAGGTTTGGGAGGAGGGAGAATGTGAACAATTGATCCAACAAGACCAAATGTTTTGCGAGTATGGCAGGAGGGAGATGGGAGATGGTGCGGAGAAGTAGAGAGGAATCCAGCAGTGATGATCCTCAAGCTCACTCGGGTATGTCTGGCTGTTTGGCTGTTTGGCTGTTTGGCCTTGTTGAATCGAACATCTTTTGCTGGAGCTCCCAACGGGTTGTACTATCTAACCGTCCTTGGCCTAGGCGGCATCGACCCTGGTCCAAGAGCTGCAGGGCCGCACCCATTCCACAACCACCAGCAAGTAAGGTAGGTGCATCCACATCCACATCCACACCCACCCTGACGGTCCAGCGGCAGCGACGTAATATTCTGCCCTGCCTTCCCAACTTTTACTTCCGTGCTGTGCTTCTCTGCACCAGCCAGGCCTGCTGAGGGGCCGAATCCCGCATCAATCCGCATGTGCATAGGTACGCATCTCAGCAATCTGCAGGCACCTTCTTATCGCGAGAATGCTTCGGGCTGCTCTAGATACCACCGTTCTTCAGTGAGGAAGGGAGGGTTGGAATTTGGAATGTCTCGTTTCGCTTCGCTGACTCGACCCCTATCCAGGCTCCCAGTCCCAGGCTCCCAGGCCAAGGACGAGGGTCCCTCGTTAACTGTGACTGGGGTGCATAAACAGTCCCCAGTAAAAACATGCCACTCTCCTCAGTCCTCTCCACAGAATGGAGGCACGACACAACAACGTCCATGCCTAGGCGAGATGAAAAAAGTCGGTCAGCCTTTTGCAATCTCATCAGCCTCACCAAAGGACGAAAGGAACGGCCAGATGTTTGCACCGTGTGAACCCAATGCTTGATGCTATTGAGTACAAAATGAACACATCACGAGGTGGAATGTAATGGGTGTGTCTGCTACGTGTTGTCTCAGCAAGGTAAGACGGCAATGGAAGTATTGCCTTGTTGCTTGTGGCCGGAGAGAAGGCTGACGCTGATGATGTTTCTGTGATATTGTACTTCACAACTTCAAATTGCCTACCAATGTGAAATCAAAACTTGAATAGACATCGCTGTACACATCCGAGCGATAACTTCTACCTAGCAAGCATCCGTATCAGTGAAAACTCTGAAGCGAAGTAAACAGAGCAGACCTATTGTTGAACTTGCTCAGATGCTCGCTCCAGCTGCCCCTCCATCACTGCACTTGCAGCGTAAATTTACCTCGCTCTTCCCGGCCGTCAACCCTCAACCCCTCATGTCCCCAGCACATCTCTCCCTCTCCCCACGACTAGAGCCCAGCCAGACCCAAGTTGTGTCTTTCGTCACCTTCTGCCCTTCGTTGCGACTCTCGCTACCTTGCTTAGTACTACTACTTCCTGTACTGTACTGTACTCAGCGGTACTGTCCTCCCCCTCCTCTATCCAATCCAAATTGACCCGCTGTGTTCCGTAGCGCACTCCCTCACTCCTTAGCAAAGTGCCCTACCTCCCTACCTCCCTGCCTCCGTAGTGCTGCCATGCCGCCCATGCGACGGGGTGTGGCGTCCATGCAGCCATGACCCGGGATCTACGCCCAACAGGTTCAGAAGCGAGTTAGCGGGTCCGGCGCTGCGGGCTTTTTGGCGAGTTGAGTTTACGTTGAGGCCGATGGAGCTCAATTATTTCCAACGAGCAGAGCAGAGCAGGCAAGCTGCAAGGACGAACGGACACACCACTTCTTCTTCCGCTCACAGATATCGTCAATTGATCCCCCCTCCATACTTGCAGCAGCTCTTCTCCTCTGCTTCACTCAATCCTCCCTTCCTTCCATCTCTCTGCCACATCATACATAGAACGCTCTTTCCTTATTTACAGCGTTAGCACAGTACTATTTGTTGATCCGACATCTCTCCCTTCGCTGCTCCCCGGCAGCTTCAATTTCGTGTCCTTCCACTCCTGCTCTTTGCTGAGTTTCTGGAGATCATAGAATAGGTCAGTTCTGCATTGCGAGCAATCCCAGGTTCCTCCAAAATCTACAAGTACTGACTGCTGCAAACACAGACAGTACTGGAAATACCCCCCCTAAGTAATCTCCCACCATGTACGGAACCTCAACAGGCCCTCAAACGGGCGTGTCGACCCCACGATCCTCATCCTCCCTCCGCCCTCTCGTCCTCTCACACGGCTCTCTCGAGCATTCCTTCTTAATACCCACGAATCTCCATTTCCACGCCTCACAGATCAAGGAGCGTTTTCTCGCTTCCCTGCCCGCCCCAACAGACGAATTAGCGCAAGACGATGAGCCATCATCGGTAGCAGAACTCGTAGCTCGATACCTTGGATTTGTTGCGCAAGATGTTGACGAGGGGGAAGACGATGCGCAGGGCTCATACGAGGATGTTCTGAAGCTCGTCATCAACGAGTTCGAAAGAGCGTTCTTGCGAGGAAACGAAGTCCATGCTTTGGCCGCCACTCTTCCTGGAATCAATGCCAAGAAGCTCGAGGTTGTGCGAAGTTACTATGCCGCTCGTGCAGCCTCTGGACGAGCTATCAAGCCCCATGAATCAGCTCTTTCCCGCGCGGCTGATGAGACTGCTACCATTTACAGCATTTTCGGCGGTCAAGGGAACATCGAGGAGTACTTCGACGAGCTCCGCGAGCTCTACCAGACATACCCCTCATTTGTGGAGGAATTGATTGTTTCTGCGGCAGAGCTTCTGCAAACTTTGTCAAGAGATCCAAGAGCCGAGAAGCTATATTCAAAAGGTCTGGATGTTATGACCTGGCTCCACGACCCAGAGTCAACTCCAGACGTGGATTACATGGTGTCTGCACCTGTCAGTTTCCCTCTGATCGGTCTTGTTCAGCTCGCCCACTATGCAGTTACCTGCAAAGTTCTGGGTCTTACTCCAGGACAATTCCGTGAGAGAATTAGCGGAAGCACTGGTCACTCGCAAGGAATTGTGTTAGCCGCTGCAACAGCTGCCGCAGATTCATGGGAATCTTTTGACGAAATTGCCATCTCCTCATTGACCATTCTCTTCTGGATTGGATCCCGCAGTCAGCAAACCTACCCAAGAACTTCTTTGGCTCCATCTATTTTGCAAGACTCGATCGACAATGGCGAGGGTATGCCGACACCCATGTTGAGCATTCGAGATCTGTCACAAGCCCAAGTTCAACAGCACATTGATGCAACAAACCAATACCTTCCGGAAGATCGGCACATTTCCATCTCTCTGATAAATAGCGCTCGCAATATGGTTGTGACTGGACCACCGATTTCCCTTTACGGTCTGAATTTGCAGCTCCGAAAAGTCAAGGCGCCAACCGGCCTTGACCAGACCAGAATTCCGTTCACGGAGCGAAAGAGTCGATTTGTCAACAGATTCTTGCCTATCACATCTCCTTTCCACAGCAAGTATCTCGCCGAAGCCACCGCCCACATCGATGAGGATCTCAAGGATATACAGATTCTCAGTAAGTCGCTTGCAATCCCCGTGTTCAGTACCAATACTGGGAAGGATATTCGGGAAGAGGTCAGCGGCAATATTGTCCCGACTCTGACCCGAATGATCACCCATGATGCTGTCAACTGGGAGAAAGCTACTGTCTTCCCTGGCGCCACCCACATTCTCGACTTTGGCCCTGGTGGGATTTCTGGACTTGGTGTCTTGACCAGCCGCAACAAGGACGGAACTGGTGTCCGCGTCATCCTGGTCGGCTCTATCGATGGCACCGTCCCAGAAGTTGGCTACAAGCCTGAGCTCTTCGATCGTGACGAAGAACATGCTGTGAAGTACAATGTGGATTGGGTTAAAGAGCACGGTCCACGCCTGATCAAGACCTCCACCGGAGAGACCTATGTTGATACCAAAATGAGTCGACTTTTAGGTGTTCCTCCTGTCATGGTTGCCGGTATGACCCCATGTACCGTACCCTGGGACTTTGTTGCAGCAACCATGAACGCTGGTTACCAGATCGAACTGGCTGGAGGCGGTTACTACAATGCTAAGACTATGACCGAGGCGTTGAAGAAGATTGAAAAAGATATTCCTGCAGGGCGGGGTATTACAATCAACTTGATCTACATCAACCCCCGCGCCATGCAATGGCAAATTCCTCTTGTTGCTCAGCTCCGTGCCGAAGGTGTGCCGATCGAAGGTTTGACCATTGGGGCTGGTGTTCCCTCCATCGAAGTCGCCACTGAGTACATCGAAACCCTTGGATTGAAGCATATTGCATTCAAGCCCGGATCTGGCGAGGCTATCCAGGCTGTCATTAACATTGCCAAGGCAAACCCAACCTTCCCAGTTATCTTGCAATGGACTGGTGGACGTGGTGGCGGACATCACTCTTTCGAGGATTTCCATCAGCCAATTCTTCAGATGTACGGCCGAATCAGAAGATGTGACAACATCATTCTTGTTGCAGGTAGTGGTTTCGGTGGTTCCGAAGACACTTACCCATACCTTACTGGTGCTTGGTCAGGCAAGTACGGATATCCACCAATGCCTTTCGATGGTTGTCTTTTTGGCAGTCGAATGATGACTGCTAAAGAGGCACACACCAGCAAGAATGCCAAGAAGGCCATCACTGAAGCGGAAGGTCTTGATGATGCACAGTGGGAGAAGACATATAAAGGCCCGGCTGGTGGTGTTATCACTGTCAGGTCTGAGATGGGTGAGCCAATTCATAAGCTGGCCACTCGTGGTGTCAAGTTCTGGGCCGAGATGGATGCCAAGATTTTCTCCCTGCCAAAGGAAAAGCGTGTTCCCGAGTTGAAGAAGAACCGTGACTACATCATTAAGAAGCTCAATGATGATTTCCAAAAGGTCTGGTTTGGTCGTAACAAGAATGGCGAGACCGTGGATCTCGAGGACATGACCTACGGAGAAGTCGTTCGTCGAATGGTGGACTTGATGTATGTTCAACACGAGTCTCGCTGGATCGACAAGTCCTACGAAAAGCTCACGGGGGATTTCATTCGCCGTGTCGAGGAACGTTTCACTCTCGGTGGAGGAAAGCCTTCTTTACTTCAGAACTACTCCGAGCTGGACAACCCATACCCAACTGTCAAGAGGATTCTCGCAGCTTACCCAGAGTGTGAGACCCAATTGATCAACGCCCAGGACGTGCAGCACTTCCTGCTCCTCTGCCAACGCCGCGGCCAGAAGCCAACTACTTTCGTGCCATCTCTCGATGAGAACTTTGAGTTCTTTTTCAAGAAAGATTCACTGTGGCAATCCGAGGATCTTGAAGCTGTCATCGACCAAGACGTCGGCCGAACTTGTATTCTGCAGGGTCCAACTGCCGTCAAGTATTCGAAGATCGTAGATGAGCCCATCAAACAGATCTTAGACGGCATCCACCATGACCATATCAAGGGTCTCACACAAGAGATCTATGATGGCGACGAATCCAACATTCCTGTCACTGAATATTTCGGCGGGAAGCTCATTGATGCTGAGCCAGAACTTGATGTCGAGGGCCTCACGATCTCACAAGATGCCTCCAAAACAACGTACCGACTTTCATCGGCACCAAGCGCCACCCTTCCATCTCTCGACTCATGGTTGACTCTTCTCGCTGGCAACAAGCGATCATGGCGTTACGCTCTGTTCGCTTCAGAGGTCTTTGTTCAAGGCAAGAAGTTCCAAACGAACCCAATGAAGAGAATCTTTGCTCCTGTCCGTGGCCTCTTTGTCGAGATTACCAACCCTGACGAGCCTTCGAAGACTGTCATCACAGTCAAGGAACAACCCAGACCAAACCACTACGTCGAGGTAATCAATGCTAAGCTTACTGGCAAGAATGAGATTTTGGTCAACATGATCAAGGATACCACCGCTGTTGGCAAACCCGTTTCTCTGCCTCTCAAATTCACATACCATCCCGAGGCGGGATACGCACCAATTCGTGAGGTCATGGAGGGTCGCAACGATCGTATCAAGGAGTTCTACTGGCGTGCATGGTTCGGTAACGAGACTCTTGACCTCGATGCACCAGTCACGGGAACCTTCAACGGTGGAAAGGCCAAGATCACCAGCGAGGCGATCAATGACTTTGTTCACGCTGTCGGTAACACCGGTGAGGCTTTCGTTGATCGCCCCGGTAAGGAAGTTCTCGCTCCCATGGACTTCGCCATCGTCGTTGGCTGGAAGGCTATTACTAAGCCAATCTTCCCCAGAACCATCGACGGTGACCTTCTTAAACTCGTGCATCTCTCTAATGGCTTCCGCATGTTGCCTGGTGCCGAGCCTTTGAAGAAGAACGATCAGGTGGAGACCACTGCTCGCATTAATGCTGTCATTAACCAAGCTTCTGGCAAGATGGTCGAAGTGTGCGGAACAATTACCCGAGACGGACACCCAGTCATGGAGGTTACCTCACAGTTCTTGTACCGCGGAGCATACACCGACTTCGAGAACACCTTCCAACGTAAGACTGAGACGCCAATGCAAATCCACCTTGCCACCACCAAGGATGTCGCGGTTCTCAGATCCAAGGAATGGTTCAGTCTTGATGAGCCGGATCAGGAACTCCTCGGCCAGACCTTGACCTTCCGTCTTCAGAGTCTGATCAGATTCAAGAACGAGTCCGTTTACAGCAGTGTTGAAACCAGAGGTCAAGTGCTGCTTGAGCTGCCAACAAAGGAGATCATTCAAGTTGCCAGTGTCGAGTACCAAGCTGGTGTCTCTCACGGTAACCCGGTTATCGACTACCTGGAGAGACATGGTTCTTCTATTGAACAGCCAGTCAACTTCGAGAACGCTATACCCCTCAGTGGCAAGACTCCACTTCTTCTCAGGGCTCCGGCATCGAATGAGACATATGCTCGTGTCTCCGGCGACTACAACCCTATCCACGTTTCCCGGGTCTTCTCAAGCTATGCAAGCCTGCCAGGAACTATTACACACGGCATGTACTCTAGCGCTGCTGTTCGCAGTCTGGTTGAAACCTGGGCTGCTGAAAACAACGTTGGTCGTGTTCGCAGTTTCCATGCTTCTCTTACTGGCATGGTCCTTCCTAATGATGACATCGAGGTCAAGCTTCAGCACGTCGGTATGGTTGCTGGTCGCAAGATCATCAAGGTCGAGGCGAGCAACAAGGAGACTGAGGACAAGGTCTTGTTGGGTGAGGCTGAGGTTGAGCAACCAGTTTCGGCATACGTCTTCACAGGACAAGGTTCTCAAGAGCAGGGTATGGGTATGGAGCTTTATGCCAGCAGCCCTGTGGCGAAGGAGGTATGGGACAGAGCCGACAAACATTTCTTGGACAACTATGGTAAGTACATCCAAGTATTCTCCAAATACCATTTATTGACATTACCTAGGTTTTGCAATCACAAACATTGTCAAGAACAACCCCAAGGAGCTTACCATCTACTTTGGGGGACCTCGTGGTAAGGCGATTCGCCAGAACTACATGTCTATGACATTCGAGACTGTTGGCTCGGATGGATCCACCAAATCCGAGAAGATTTTCAAGGAGATTGATGAGAGCACCACCTCCTACACCTACCGATCACCAACCGGTCTCTTGTCTGCTACTCAATTCACTCAGCCTGCCTTGACTCTCATGGAAAAGGCAAGTTTCGAAGACATGCGCTCCAAGGGTCTCGTTCAGAGAGACAGTAGCTTCGCAGGTCATTCTCTCGGAGAGTACTCTGCTCTTGCTGCTCTGGCTGATGTCATGCCCATTGAGAGTTTGGTCTCCGTTGTCTTCTACAGAGGTCTTACCATGCAAGTTGCTGTCGAGCGTGACGAGACTGGGCGTTCCAACTACTCCATGTGTGCTGTCAACCCAAGCAGAATTTCGAAGACCTTCAACGAGCAGGCTCTTCAATACGTTGTTGAGAACATTGCCGAAGAAACCGGATGGCTTTTGGAGATTGTCAACTACAACATCGCCAACATGCAATACGTTTGTGCTGGTGATCTACGTGCTCTCGACACTCTCACAGGTGTCACAAACTATCTGAAGGCACAGAAGATCGACATTCAACAATTGATGCAAACCTTGTCTCTTGAGGATGTCAAGGCTCACCTCGTGGAGATCATCCAAGGTTGTGCCAAGCAGACCGAGGAGAAGCCTAAGCCTCTCGATCTTCAAAGAGGCTTCGCTACCATCCCCCTCAAGGGTATCGATGTGCCTTTCCACTCGACATTCTTGCGCTCAGGTGTCAAGCCTTTCAGATCCTTCTTGCTCAAGAAGATCAACAAGACCACAATCGATCCCAGCAAGTTGATTGGAAAATACATTCCCAACGTCACTGCCCGACCATTCGAGCTTACCAAGGAGTACTTCGAGGATGTCTACAGACTGACAAACTCACCAAAGATTGGTGCCATCTTAGCCAACTGGGAGAAGTATGAGGAGCCACACACAAACGGAGTGAATGGCACGAGTGCCACTGCTGTAAACGGCGCATAGTTGGTGGCTGATGGATGAAAAATGGATGACGTAGATGTTCAGATGGTACGGCGTTTGGGGACTTTGTAGAGATGCATGATTTGTTTGCTTTGCGGTGGATTCCAAGTAGCGTTTTCTAGTTTTGTAGAGGTTTAATGGCGAGTACGCTTTATAGTTCTAGCTGTATATTGAAAGAATATTTCTTATAGAAAGGATCTCTCGTGAGTACCTGTGCCTCGTTCCTGAATTCATGAAATTAAAGTCTCAGAATAAGGAAGGAGGTAGATTTGATCTCTGTCCACGCAAGGTATATTTGGGAAAGTGGAAATCCGAGCTCGATTCCGAACCAATCCGAAAGTCACAGGCGAGGAGAGTGCAGAGAAATAGTCGAAAACTGAGGGGGAAGAGGAAACGAAAGTCAAATCTAGAGTCCAGCGAGCTTTGCTAGGCGCATCTTTAGTTAGCGTTCATCCCACTGATGAGATCTCAATGCGTCACCATCTGCCGAGTCACGACAACATTCAGGGATTCCCCGCCTCCACCTCCACTTCCACCACAGTGTCGCTCCGTGCCTGGTTCGCTTGCTAGCTAGTAGAGGGAACTTCAAGCCGATCTCATGCGTACGCTTGGGTTGTTGCTGGAGGAAATGGACCGGTGCATGCATAAGTGAACGGCCATTGGGATCTTTTAGGTTCAATTCCGGTCCGAGTTTTTTGACTTCTGGGGAGATCTGGCTAGGGGAGACGGGATGGATTGGACGAGGACGAGAGTGCATGAGGGGTATGAGCGGCTGTTGAGGTCGGATGGATGATCTTGGATGTTCACCATGGGCACAGATAGTAAGTATGGACGGAGGAGCAACCGCTAGCATCTTAGAATATTAGGTGGTGGGTCTTGGGGTAATGTTTCTGCCGTTCTTATATTTCTCTTGCTTTCCTTTTCTGGTTTGTTCTTGGAATTGATCACTTGCTTAATTGTCAGTCTACCTGTCTGTCATTCTTCTGGCTCGAGCGTCGTACACACAGGACTGTGACACTTAATGGGCATCTAAAGAGCTCTTTGAATCGTTCTTAATTCCTGAAGCGAAGAGTCAAAATCACATATTGTTAAAGCAATCTTCCTTTGCAGACAATATGCCCAACTCAACTTCTTTCTTACTTGCGCCGTTCTTGGGCTTCTTCACCCTCGCAAATGCCCACTACCCCTCAGGAAACCTCACCGACCCATCCGGATCCTGCCTTTCCCTCAGCACCGTCTCCCTCCCGAACACAACCATAAACTTCGTCAATTACCTGCCCGCTGGTACAAACATCACGTTCTCGCAAGACTACGATCTTGCATCATGCGGCTATGTAAGTCAAGTCATAAGCGTGGACTTATGTCGTGTGGCGATGGAGGTCAAGACTAGTGAGAGCAGTGCGATCACGCTGGAGGCATGGTTGCCTGGTGAGGAGTGGACTGGACGCTTTTTGAGTACGGGGAATGGAGGAGTTAGTGGGTGTATTCAGTATAATGATATGGCGTATACTAGTGGTTTGGGGTTTGCTACTGTTGGTAAGTCGTCTTTGATATTATCATGGGATCCCTGAAGTTTTGGAGAAGTTTTGAAGATTTCAGAGCTGACGGATTGGATGTAGGAGCTAATAATGGGCATAATGGGACGAGAGGTCTGGTAAGTACATCATGAGACCTTTACCTCATGCCCTTGAAATTTTGGATCTGGAAGATAGAAGCAGTACTTACTTGAACCCACAGGCTTTCGCAAATAATTCGGACGTGGTTCATGATTTCGCCTCACGTAGTATGCATACAGGCGTCGTGATTGGCAAGCAGATCACAGAAAAGTACTACGGTAGCGCCCATAAGAAGTCGTACTACCTAGGCTGCTCGACTGGTGGTCGCCAGGGATTCAAAGCTGTGCAATCTTACCCAGAGGACTTCGATGGCGTTGTAGCTGGTGCTCCTGCTCTCAACTTCCCAAACCTGTCAAGTTGGAGCGCCTTGTTCTACACGCTTTTCGGTAATTCTACTGATGCTTCGTTCATCACTGTTGCCCAATGGTCAGCACTCGTACATCAAGAAGTATTGAACCAGTGCGATGGCATTGACGGTGTTTTGGATGGCATTATTGAAGATCCAGAATTGTGTCGGTTTAGACCAGAAGCTCTACTTTGTGCACCTGGAACAGCGGCCAATTCAACCACTTGCTTGAGAAAGGAACAGGTTGAAGCTGTGAGGAAGGTGTTCACGGACTATTATGGTGTGGATGGGAACTTGATATATCCCAGAATGCAGCCGGGGAGTGAGGTTGCTGCCAGTCGGGCTTACTATACCGCGGGTCCATTCCCGTATTCGACTGATTGGTATCGCTATGTGGTCTATAGTAGGTTTTTACTTTACTCTATTCCCGTAACTAACTGTTGTACTTCTGCTCTGGGTTGAGTAATTTAGCATTCTTGGACGAGTGATGAACTGACGGAAAACAGATGACTCGAACTGGGACCCAGCAAGGTACACCATCGATGATGCAAAAGTAGCGAATGATCAGAACCCATTCGACATTGCTACTTGGCACGGCGATATTTCCGCTTTTCAGAAATGCGGTGGCAAGCTTCGTATGTCCAAAGATCTTGAGCATGACTTAAGTACCAGAAGCTGACACCCAAAAAGTGCATTACCACGGCCAAATGGACGCCATTATTACGTCTGAGAATAGCCCTGTGTATTACAACCTTGTCTCAAGGACGATGGGTTTGAAATCTTCGCAGCTGGATGAATTTTATCGATTTTTTAGAGTCTCTGGAATGGGTGGGTGAAATTCTTCCGCTGCTCTCCCGAATATTGGAGATCAGTGTCGTTTTGCTGCGACGTTGACATTGAACAGGACATTGTGCTGGTGGCGATGGAGCTTTCATGATCGGGAACCGTCTGGAATCAGTCACCTCTACTGATCCCCAAGATAACGTATTGATGCGTATGGTTGATTGGGTTGAGAATGGAAATGCACCGGAGACGATCACTGGAATAAAATATGTCAATGTAAGTTTTGTCTTCTTCGTTGACTTAAAGTTCGAAGCTGGGGCAAGGTCAATTGCTGACTGCAAATAGAATGACAAAGCTCAAGGTATAGATATTGTGAGAAACCATTGCAAGTACCCAAAGAGGAATATCTGTGTAGATCCAGCGAACTACAAGAATCCGGAGGCTTGGAAGTGTGTTTGAAACTGCCGCTTGCTGAGTACCAGCACATCTTGCACAGAAACATCTTGCACATAAAAAATCACAGACGTGGAATTTGAATAGAGCGGTAGCTTAGAATAAACAAGTCTCAAATGTTCAACTTGCAACAAAACTCATGATCGAGGATGAAGAACGTGCCAGCTGACATTGTTGACATAAAACCTCAAGCTCGCTTAAAGAAGCTCCCAGGGGTAAGTGCCAGATTTTGCCCCGAGAAGCTGTCGGAACCTTTTTATCCCCTCAGATAAGTCTCATAGTATCCATCTGGGCAGGTATGTTATAAACCATGATTATGTTCCCATGGAGGATAAGGATATGCACATGTCACATATCACATGATCTGAAATGGCTGACTAAGGCTTGCCAAGCCGCAAGGCATCGCGTCTCAATGGAAACCGCGACTTCAACGAGCTGGTCGAAAGCCGCAGGTAACTTTTGGGCCTCCCACCTACACAACCTCGACCCTCGAAATTGGCACGCATTGTCAAATCCGCAGTCGCTTAACGAAAACAAATCAGCTGCCCATTGACTTAAGCCCCATTCGCCAAAATGCCACCATTCAAAGACGACCACATCCTCATTATTGCGCCTGGTTCACAAACAACCCTCGCGCAACTGGGCCTACCAGAATCATTTACACCTGCCTCGCATAGATTCAGGACTCGGGTATTCCTTGCGCCAGATGGAAAGAGTTACGAGCCACATAAAATCCAGTCTAGAAAGAAGGAGCCGGTGATCCATGGAGATGTTGCGATGGGAGGAGCTGGTGAGGGAGAAGAGGAGGAAGAATTGGTGGAGCTGCCAGAGGACGAAGAGGGTGCTATTTGGCCACTGAAAGGTAAGTCTTCAATTGGAATCTTAGACTGGAACCATGAATGAGCGCTAATGGTCTGCAGAGGGTCGGATTGATGATATGCCTGCCTTCTTCGCCCTCCTGGAACACATCCGAGCTACTTTTAATGCCCCTCTGCACACGCCAGTCATGTTGATTGCGCAACCCTGTTGGACGGCGAAGAACCACGAGGATCTCACCCAATTCATTTTCGAGAAGTTCAAAACCCCAGCGTTGTGTATTATGGACAGCGCATTGGCAACTTCATACGCATTTGGAATCCCAGCCGCAACAGTCATCGATGTAGGCTTCGAAAAAGTGGATGTTACTGCTATTACCGACTTTCAGATCTCGGGGAGAAGCACAGTTCATGAATCTGGAGGGGAGGCAATGACACGGAGGCTGATGGAGTTGTTGAAGTCAAAAGATTTCACCAGAGATATGGCGGAGCAGTTGAAGAAGAGCATGATTTGCGAGATTCTCTCCCCTGGAACGCCATTACCTGGGACGGAGGCGGCGGATGTCCCCGTTGAAGGTGACAGCAATCCAGCAGCTGCAGCGACCACTGGTGCATCTTCATCTGGTCCAGACGTGAGGATCACTGACCCACCTCGAGTTCCTCTTTTGGAGGAGGCGGATGAGGAATATGGACTTGATGACAAGCCTATCGAAGATGACGGAGTATTAGACATTGCGACTATCGTTACGAGTGGGAAAACACAAGATTTCTTAGCGAAGAAAGAAAAGGAGAAAGCAGAAAGGGCAGCTGCCCGTAAAGCAGACCGTGAAGCAGCAAAAGAAGCGGCTGCTGCAGCTGCTGCGAGACCCTTGCGATTACCTAATTCCAAGCGTCCGCGGGCTACCTTCCACTACGAGGAGGTTGTTCGGGATGCGCCAAACGCGAAGAGGCAAAAGACGCCTGAAGCAGCAGCTGCTGTTGAAGAGCCAGTGTCTGCTGTCGACCCCAAGCCAGATGACGTGAATCCACCTGTGGATGGTGCACCAGCTTCAGTTGAGGATGAGGCAACTCGACGAGAAAATACCAAAGCTATTCGCAAAGAGGAGAAGCGAAAAGCTCTAGAGGACAAGGATCCCAGCATTCTTCGGAGGGACATTGAGATTGGGACCGAGCGTTTCCAAGCTGCAAGCGAGGGCTTCCTTGACGCTATCGCGGATGCAGTCTACAGAACGGTCCTTTCAGTCAACGAAATTGCAAAAAGACAAGAAGCATGGGATGCGTTAGTCATTTGTGGCCAAGGATCGAAAGTTCGGGGATTCAAGGATGCCCTGATCACGACTCTCAACAATCGATATCTGGTATCTCCCAGTTCCGCAACAATGTTTATGAGCGAACTTCCTTCAAATCTCGCAACTCCAAGCGGCACAGGATCCATGACTCCTACGGCATCATTCGCTGGAACCCCACATGCTCCTCCCACAGCAAGTGCCGTCAATCCTCTTCTTCTCGCTGCCACTACAGCCTCCCACCAGGCTCTCAATCCCAACCTCTCCTCCGCGTCCTTTGGTGGTCAGCAAACCCACTCCTCGCACTCGCAATCACCAACCAGTATCAAGGTCGCTGGCCCTCCTACATATTTCCCGGAGTGGAAGTCGTTCGACGAGGCGGTGTTCCTTGGTGCTCAGGTTGCTGCTAAGGTCATCTTTGTAGTGGATCAAGGGGCGTCCAAGGGCTTTCTTTCTAGAGTCGAGTTTAACGAGGAAGGACCTACTGCAATTCATCAAGTGTAAGTTCGCTGAGGCTTCTACATGACATGATTACTAATTCATCATAGTGGATTGCTATACTAAGGATCTAATTGGGCGGCGTTTGCTTGGTCTGGATGTAGGATAGGGTTATCGCTAGACAGGTGTTACAGGATTAAAGAAGTATACCCTTCTTAAAAAGTTAATATCCTTTCTACTAGCTTTTGCATGACTTGGGGAAATGAGAGATTGTACATTGGCAGTGGCTGCTGATGTACAATGACAGATTTCATGACAAGCGAGACGTCTGCTGCATTTTGTAATGTCGCGGGTATGTATTTTGTTTCTTTGTTGACTTTTTCTTACCATGTGATCTGCTTGGAGTTTGATATTGCTATAAGTCGCAAACGCTTATGGCGTTATCCCCCATCGTGATGCTCACCTCTCCTGTCCATTTCAAGCCGGCCTATTTCGAAATGCATTCACTTTGTTGCTCAACTCCACCATGAATGATGGTGATGGCTTCGACTATCAAGTTAGGCGACCACGTGCACAACCGGTACCATCCCTGCCACCATTGCCTACTACTATCCTCGTGTGCTCCTTCCTTCCTTCCTGGAACTCCCTCTTTCCCTCATGCTCGATACCAAACCTCGAGATTGTCATTCCTCCTCCCCTCAACCACGACGTGCCTTAATCAAGGTATAGGCAGTATCCGACGCGTCTTCACAACGCTCTTGATGAAAAGCTTCGATTGCTCTATCAAGCTCTTCAACTCTTTCTCCTCGACACCGTCCTGCCGATTTTTGGCTCCAGCTTCTGATATGGACAAGTCCTCTCCTACAATGCGCGTCACCCGTGGCCGTACCGGCAAGCTCCCGACTCCTGCGAGACGAAAGGAGTTCGTCTGCGACTTCAATGAGGAGGAAGACAGTCCACCGCCGAGTCCTTCGCGCAAGCGTATCAAGCTAGCTATGGAGGAAGTCATTGACACACAAGGAGTCCAAGAGGTTGTCCCTCAGAAGAAGCCTGGCCCAGTCTTCGAGGTCTTCAAGACCAACAAGAAGTTGGAGGATGGATTGTGCGTCGTACGTGCGCTTGGAGGAAGCCGATATGAGATCGTAAACTTGAAGAGTGTCGACACGCAGCAATTCTCGTCAGAGGAGACTGGTGCTATCATCAAGGGCAACGAAAGCCGTCACAATATCCTGGACATTGGGGAGAAGGAGTGGGAGGCAGTCAAGTTCACCCTCGGTCAAGCTGTCCGCAGTGCTAGTGAGTTGTCTTGTGTGCTGTAACGTGAGCATGACGCTGATAGTCTATCTAGACAAAGCTATCTTCCGTATCCAGAAGCTCCCATTCGAGTTGCGCCTCTTGATCTATAGTTTTGCCATGGTCGGCTCAAAGCCTCTGCATCGTTACAAAGGCGACACGCCAAACGTTGCACTGGCACCACTGATGCAAACCTGCAAGTATATGCTAGAGGAGACCCGATCTGTTTTCTATAAGAACAGCTTTCACATCAACTCGTGCGAGAAGGTTCCAGGAGACTATTTGACAATCGTTCAACCCCACCTGAGAGAAGTTACCTTCACTTGGGACACATTTGGCAGAAAAGACGCCAATGCAATCAAGTTCTTCCACGCCTGTCCAGATTTAAAGATCTTCAACCTCCGAGTTGACGCCTTTCTTTCAAACCCACGCGTCTGGCACAGACGCCAATGGAGCCACCAGCATGTTGCATCTATCAAGAAGTTCAGCAGATGCCGTGGCTTTGATGATATTGTTGAGTTGAGAGGTCTTGAGAAGGTCAGAGTTCAGGATCATGGATCAGATTTCACTGCCGACGAGATTAAGGCTTTTCAAGACTTCCTGACGCCACTCTTGACGGCCCCTAAATATGTACCACCTCCCGTAAGTCACTGTCTCTCAATGATGTGCAAGTCCAAGATTGCTGACTCTTATTTAGAAGCCTATGAAAGTCGTCATGGCCACCAAGACCAAAACAAAAAAGTCTCGAAAGTCCCGGAAAAGCACCAACTGGGAAGATGACTCCGACTACGCTGCATAATTACAGATATTTGAAATTCGGACTTTCGATCGTGGCGTTATGGATGGTATTCTGGAGGGCGTATACTGGGTTCCTAGAATTTTTGATGAATTTCCACAAATAGAGACGTTGGGTGGTTCAGTGTCTTTCGCTGAATTAGAGGTTTGCTGTTAGCTACTGCGCTATACTCCTGGTGAAATCATGGCATCGGGAGGGCTTTGCGACGTTCTCTTTTTCTTTTGCCGGCGCCTCGCTATGATTCTGCAGTGTCTTTAAAGGTAGGGAGGATTTCTTGACATTTGGAGCAAGATCTTTGCTGTCTGATCACAGCCTAAAAGCAATCGGCATGTGTAGACTATTTTTCCTTTCCATCTCGAGTAATGCGAGGTAAGAGGTCAATTAATCCGCAGCTTAGCAGATGATGGTGTACTTCGAGCGATATAACTTCATAATGCGGTTTCAATAAATACGGATGTCTTGCATTGAATCTATCTGCCGTGCTTCATAAAGTATCTAATCGCTTGCCTTGGTAGTTTCAATCTTAGCATAACCATAACGGTTATCCACGCCACCGAATTCGTCGGTTTCCCAGTTCCAATTACATATCAGTCCAAATCATACAACAATCATTAAACATAAGGGTATCAATCATCACACGTATCGTCATTTCATCGCCGCTCCCTCTCGACCTACCTGTCCCGATCTCTCCTCCTGGATTCCTTCTCCTCGCTCCTTTTACTAGTCGGCCTTCTCTCCACATGATCTCTCTCCCTATCATGCTCTCGATCCCTCTCCCGGCGCTCGTGGCGATGTTCTCTATCGCGCTCACGCTCACGACTGGACTGTCTAGATCGGTTCTCGCGGCTTGATCTATGTTCGCGGTCTCGCTCTCGCTCGTGGCTTGATGGGTTAGATCTGTGCTCTCGGCTTGATCCGTGTTCACGCTCTCGCTCAGTGATCCTGCGGGAGCTGCTAGGACGGTGGTGGCTTGAGCTTGGTTCGCCGTTGGATTCTGGGAGCATCACGTCGTCTTCGAGTTCGATGATGCGACCTTCGCTATCTACCTTTGCCTCGCGCTCGAGACGGACTTCGCGACCACGCTTGTGGCAGTACCAGAACACGAAGAGGAGCACTGTAGAACAATTAGTGCCATGTTGATGATGGAAATGAATAAGTCCGAGTGAAAAATGTAGGAGAGAACTTACCAAAGAGTCCAAGACTAAGCAAGACATTTGTACCCATGAACGCTGGCCATCGGAGCTTCAGTGTATTCATGATAGCTTTCAGCATGGATACCACTGCTCCTGGCTTCGTCACCAGATCCTTCAAACTTGTGGGCTTGAGGAACTTCATCGCTGCGGCACCAAGTCCCGCAGCACCTCCTGCTGCAGCCTCACCACCACCAGCGGCTGCCGATGCAGTATTGAAAGCTTGTGCTTCAGTTGCCACGGCCAATAGTTCAGGTGCCAAGTTCTTCGTCAACTTATCCGGCAACTGAGTGACGAGTTTCTGCAAGAAACTAGGTAGATGATCATAGCTCTTTGCCAATGTTCCTTGCGAATCGTCGAGTAAGCCGACGAGATCATCGTATGCTGTTGGGACGCCGTTCACGAGATCCTTCAGGATCACTGTAAATTTCTGGAGGACTTGCTGAGACTCGTCGGAGATGGAGAAGGCGCGGTTGTTGATCGCGGAAAGGTTGAGGTCCTCAAGAACTTTGTTTATGTCGTTTTCTTCGGCTGCGGCTTCATTTGGTGTCACGACTTCTGGGTTGGGTTTCAGTCCATCTTTGTCCTTATGCTATAAAGCCATTAGTCTCTTGCCAACATGGAGATATATATATATATATATATATATATATATATATGGTATACCTTCTTAGTCCCAACTCTAGACAAAAATGAAAATCTCCCAGGCTTTTTGGCCTCGGTCTCCACATTCTCCTTCTCCTTGCCCTTTCCTTTGTCTCTCGAAGCCCGGCTGTGTTCCTCCTCAGCTACTGTATTCCCATCATGAACCACCATCTGCGACGCATTTCCCGAGAAATCTCCAGCCTCTGTCAGATCGTGGGGTCTCGCAGGTAGTGGAGGAGGTGTGCCCTCTGCCGAGATTACACGACGAAGAAAGTGCTCGTCTTTCTCATCGAGGAGTGGTGATTGCTGGCCTGCTGCAACTTTCTTCTCTGCTTGGTGCTTCTTGACCTTCTTGTAGGCGAAGTATTCCATCATCTTGCCGGTATTTTATGGTTCTGCACCAGGTTTTTGGAGAAAGGTGAAGTTGTTGAGAGAGTTTGCAGGAGTTGGCAGTGGTGCGTTGATGTTGGATGTGCTTAACTGCTCAGCCACACTTGCAGATCTTGCCGCCACACGTCATCGCTCCACAACCCAGCCACCCCTGTCACTCCGGCTCGTGCCGGCGAATCAATTGTTTACGCAGGTAGGTCTGGCATAGCCAAGTACCACATGCTCTTATTCTCCGGGCAGTTTCATAACAATATGAGGTGTGGCGGGTCTTTATTGCAGGTTAAGCTCCCAGCTTGTGTAGAGAAACACCAAAAGCAGGATGTGTGGGCCCGGGAATATCTCTGCACCATTAGACAGACGCCTTGCTAAGTATCATTACGTTGAAGATGGCAGAAGGGTCGTACATTCTCAGGAAGATTGGTCCTTACAGAAGTCATGCGGGGTTGAAATGAAAAAATTTCTGACTTGGGTTTGTTCGATTTCAGCAAGCAGCACAATTCTGTCGCTTTTAAAGGTGTTTGGCGATTGCCTGACTTAACCACAAGCCTCAGGTCAACATGCAGCGTTTGGCGCTCGGTAATACAGTACGAAATTCCTTAGAACGACGGAAACTTCACATATCAATAGCTTCATACAATAAATCAGCACCTTCTCTTAGCTGCAGGCAATGAATGAGTCTTCGTGTTGTAAGCTGCCCGGAGTCGTTTGCACACCCGTGGAATCAGGAGGCATTGTTGTTAATTCTCGACCAGCAATCCATCTGAACCTTCAATTATATAGTCCATTGGCCAGTTAATTGCATCCTGGCCTTCGTATTTTGTTGAAATCTTAGCTGGCTTCGACATGGTGATGAAGTGTTGCCATCTCGCTTAAGCAGCTTGCCCCCTAAACAACAAAAAAGCAAAGCAAAGCCTGTTTTCGATATTGCCAACAAAGCTGCCTCTAGATGACTCTAATTTTCCTCTAAATATTCATAGTGTGGTCCTGCTTCTCTCAGCTTCGTTTAAGGCTATTCTCAATGAGTAAGGTGAGAAACTCTAGGTCCATGGATGCCACGCGTTGTCAGCACATCATTGTTTATCTCCTAGCATGTGCGAAGGCTCTTAGCATTGTGGAAAGCTTCTCTTGTTGTTCAGACATGGTTCAGTATCTGTTTCATTTTGGTATCGCGTTCTAATCATGCTAGAATGCAGCTTTAACTGTAGTGGATGAGAGCAACAATCACCAATAAGCTGCCAAATCTCAAAAGAACCATGCTATTCTGGCTCTTACAAAGGGCGGGCTGATATCCTTTTGGGCAGAGAATTTTCAGATAATATCGACAGTATCCAAAAGTAGCTTTCATCAGCTGGCACGTTTCTTCTGGTGGATCAGACATGATTCTGTGTTGTGGACATGGAATGAACAAAACAAGCCGACCTTCTTGTTATTAGCAGACTGCAGATGATGCGGCGTTTCCTAGCAAAGGTTCATTACTTTGAAAATCCCACAAAAACCTCATATTATGATTGGATCGTCGTGCCGTGAAGAGCATTAGTTTCTTTTGGTCGTGATGGTGTCGTGCGGTACTTTGCTTTTCCGTCTCGCAGGGTTTCCTCGACCATGACATATGTACATACAACTACATCCTACTAAAGGATCTCCTCAGGCCAGACAACTACCCAGTTCTTGTCTGCAGTAACAGCTATTCCATTCTCGGCTTGTCCTTCAGCAGCCTCAGTGATCAATGTCTGCAGCGCCTCATACTTCTCCAATGTGCGGTTGACCCACAAGTGTACACCTCCCTTATCAATATCGACATTGAATTGCATGTAAGTATCACTCCCTGGAGTATCTCCAGCCGCGAGAACGGGCTTCTTCCACATGTCGATATAGGTCAGAACAGCAGCCCACTTGCCGGCATACCACGTGGCTGGAGTCCAAAGATATGTTCCGAGTACGAGATCCAAGTTGGCAGTCTCGTTATAAATACCAGCTCCGATTTGCTTGCGGGAGGTGGTAAGGTCGCCACTGGTGATGTTCCTCATCATGACCGAAACTCCGAGGACGTTCTCAGGCTTGATGTTGAACCCGTACTTGGGATCAGAAACGACCATTCGTACTACTTCCTCGTTTGAAGCACTGACGATGTACGGAGTGATACCGTTGGCTGCGAGCTTATTGATGAGCTCGACTTGGCCACTGTATATTTTTGGTGGGTTGATTTCTGTTTGTACCACAATGTCTCCGTCCCAATACGACGTGGGAATGGTCGTGTTTAAGACCATTAAGTTGTCAATATGACCCTTTAGCTCGCGAATTGAAAGACCGGCGTATACTTGAGCAGCCCATGGGTAGCACACTGCGTCATCAATCTCACAAAGACGGATGTAGTAACCATGCAGAGTCTCGGTATAATTGGCGGTGTCTTTGAAATCGATCAACTTCAAAGACGGGTCAAGAGTTTCGCGAGTAATAACCCCCAGGTTTTCCAGGTAGGGCAAGGAAGACTCCTCGATGTCGTACCTCCATATAGTGTTATCCGCGTCAAAAAGTGCAAAGTTTGACTGATTGGCATTGAGAGAGATCATGCGGTCTAGTGCTGTTGCTTGATCAGATGGCCAATGTGACAGCCCGATATTATGTGTCGAATTGTGAATTGAATGCTTTGGTGCAGCTTGAGCAGCCAGAGCAAGAGACCCGGTAGCAATTGATCTGACGACGTGCTTCATAATGGCGAGAGACGATTTTGAAGTTGACAAAGACAGGCGGAGTGTCAAATTCTATCTTGGGAGTGGCAGTGGCTCATATATGCATGTCAATGTTTTCCCTAGGCTTGCTCATAGTCAACAAGATCAACGGACTAATCTCAGCCAGGTACGTAATTCATAAGATGTGGATATCCAGCTACCAAGGTACTTCGACTTAGGATCCTTGGCTCGCCATTATGACGGTTCGAAAACCAGTCTTAACTAGCGTGTTCTTCACATTGATTTCTCCGCTTAAAACTTCAATTGGTGCACGGTTTGGAGCTGAACGGAAACCAGGCCTCGTGATAACCTGACTGCTTTTTCAACGGTTGCTGGAATTTGAATGTATATCGCAGAATACAGACTTACTGCTTGAACTTCAACAGCAATGGCCACTCTAAGATGCTATCATCATAGCTTCTCTGCTCTCCATGTACCCGGTGAGTCGATGATACTGATCTGTTCGGGGGATTAGTGGAGAAGAAGGTTTGGTACGCGAAGATGACCCGAAGTACAGGCGCTCATCTCATCTCTCCCACCCCATCTTTTTGGTTTCGAGTCATGAAATGTAGGTGGAGATACTTCGGTGATTCTCTATTCCAGGATGCTGAACTTTTCGGTAATATAAATTTGATGACCGCTGCTGGGACAACCAACTTCGTTATCAACGTCACTAGCAAGTTGGGTCTGGCCTTGAGAAGTTTAAATTCTCTCTGTTCAGTACATGTATGTTGAATAGATCGAGAGTAGCTTTGTTGTATCTGCTGTACTGATTTGTCTCGATAAAAAGTTCACGTTCACGGTTCTAGTCTCCGCTCAAATAATTCCTTTGCTAATTCTCGGCTCCGAGCATGTCAGGCGCATCCGCAAGTAGATTCCATACCCTGCCATGGAATGAGCGTGTGTTACACTGTGAGCTACACAGCTATCTCATTCAAGTAATACTGACATACCATAAGCTACACTGAGCCGTTACTCCCAACCAAGTTGCTTCTGTGTATGCTGGCGATGCTGAAGACGCTTTTCTGATTCGCCGGAGCGAAAAACAACGTTATTCATAAAGAAGATAAGTATTCTTACAAAAGATATAATATAAATAAAATATGTAACTCGGACACTTTGCGAGTGAATTGCGCTTGCGCGATGCGCATGCCTGTTCCCTTCACGCCGCTCGTTCCTGCCTTCCAGATTACTATCCTCCACATCTATCCAAATAAGAAATTAATCACCATCCAACAACGTGACGTGGCTCGTGAGTCTTTCCAACTCCCCTCGTGTGGTTTAATCTAACAATTATCGCAGTTTGGTCTAGTGGTACGATTCGTAAGGCTTTCTAATCACATCGGTTGTCCTCTTCTAACTGTCTCAGTCGCTTCGGGTACTCCCTGGGTTTGTAACTCAAACATGTGAGAGGGTGAGTGCTACCTCTTGAAAGTTGTAGAAATCATAGCTAACACTCCAAAGTCCCGAGTTCGAACCTCGGAAGAGTCCGTTGAATCTTTTTTTGAGCCTTCAATTGCTCGTCACAACGAGTGCTGTTGAGAGAGTTGATCTGTTTGCGGAATTTGTCGCTTAGCTGCTGATGTCGGTTGGGTGGTTGCCACCTGCCCCTGAGCCAGGACCGCTTTAGCGAGCTCATGCCCTACGGGGTTTTTCATGCAGACAACGTCTGTAAATTATCTGTATTTTATCTGTATTCCTAGTAGTAGTAAAACGTAGTAAAATACAGATAAAATTCAGATAATATCTGCTACAATTTTATTAAAAAAATACAGATAAATTAGCGTGTGTTAAGGTACAAGAGTTTAGGTACCTCAGACTTTTCATATTTTAATATAAAGTTAAACATAGACCTTTTACTACTTACCTCCGGAATATTCGGAAGGGAGACCTACCTTAAGAGGGGAAGGAGGGAGACCTACCTTAGGAGGGGAGGAAGGGAGACCTACCTTAGGAGGGGAGGGAGGGAGACCTATCTTAGGAGGGGAGGGAGGGAGACCTACCTTGGAGGGAAGGGAGGGAGACCTACCTTAGGAGGGAGGGAGACCTACCTTAGAGGGAGACCTACCTTTAAAGGAGAGAGTAGGAAAAGGGAAGGGAAGGAAAGAAGGGGGGGGGGGAATAAGAGAGGGGATGTTTAACTTTATTAGTTAGAAAACTCTTAAAATATAGATAATAGCTGTATTTCCCTTAAATTACAGATAATATCTGTATTTTTACTCTAAATTTTCAAAAATCGATTAAAATTAGAGTTTCTAGCTAAGAAAAATACAGATAATTAACTAAAATACAGATAGAAAATCCGTCTAAAATACCTGTTTACAGATAATATCTGTAGGAAGTGCAGATAGTGTCTGTAAAAAAACCCCCGTAGGGATGGCCCAGCTTGCCGCTGAACCTATCCCGCCATATTAAGTTAAATGTGCCAGTTTCTTCACCCGCAAGGTTCTGGGTTGACCTGATATCTGTTTTCCTAGTAGCTCAATGATCTTGGAGACATCAGTTCAAAGCGCTTACTAGGTACCAGGTAGGCTCACCGCGACAACCATCATCGTCAACAACCCCACCTTCGAGGTGAGGTATCCGAAGACTCTCCCAGGCCAATCAAACCAAAAAACCACAGCCAGAGAAGCGAGTCAGCACTCAAAACCCCTTACTGTATCGGCGTCGATCTAAGATTTCCCCGGGCCCGGGTAAAACACTCTCGTAGCCGAATGCGAGTACACGGTGGTAAAACCAATCGCTAAAACAGTCGTACCTGCATCCTACTCCATCCTCATCGGGAAGGCGAGCAAAATGCCCAGCCAATGTGGCCAAGACGGTGACATCTGGCTTGCGTACATCTATTCACCCCACCAATAGCGCTCCGAGATCCCACGATCTTTTGCGCAGATGTCGGCGGCCTAGAGTCTGCTGTTGGAGACACTGCTGTCATGTGTGCGACCTGTGAGCTGTGATTCGCGAGATCTTGTTTTGAGGGTTGCAGCAGGCGAAGGTCTAGCACTTAAGAGGGGTTCTCGTCCCCGCGTTAATTGTTGGGTGGCTTTTTCAATTATGAAGTTTTACCGTCGGTGGCATCACAGTTGAAGCTGATTGATACTGTAAGTTTTCCTTTGAAGAAGAGCTCACACACTAACGGTGCTTAGGAGAGTCATTCTCGTTGTTGTACTTGTGAAGTGGTTGCTGTCTCACGATGTGGATCCTCCTCGTCTTTCTCGGATCAGTGGCGAGGATACTCGCCCAAACGCAATACACGGCCACAGCTGCGGCAGATGTTGAAAAGGCAAAGGCTACAGCTTTAACACTGAGTCCAGTTAGCAATGTCGTTGGAAAGACTTTCGATCGCTTTGTGACAATATGGGCTGAGAACACGGATTATTCTATGGCAGCAGGAGACTGTAGGTCCCGATCTCGTTCCAAAGTTTGAGTTTCCTACTATCGAATGCATGATATGATCTGATCCTTTGTAAAATGATATTCAAAGAGTGGAATATTGACGCTTGTTCAGCCAATTTTGCCTTCCTCTCGACAATTGGAATTACCCTCAATAACTATCAAGCCATCACGCACCCATCACAGCCCAATTACATAGCCGCTGTGGGTGGATCCACTCATGGAATTTCCGATGATGGCTTCTATCGAATCTCAGCAAGCAGCAAAACGATTGTTGATCTACTGGAAGCGAAAGGCATCAGTTGGGGTGTGTACGGCGAGGATGCTCCATACAGTGGATTCCAGGGAAACTATGTGAATCAGAAGAATGGAAAGAACGATTATGTCAGAAAGCATAAGTAAGTGGATGTTTTCTTAGTGTCTCTTCTTCTTGGCGTTCGAACAAGACTTCAGAAGAAGCTCCGAAATTGACGCAAGACTGACTGATTGAGGACTTAGTCCGCTCATGAGCTACGATTCTGTCACATCCAATATCAATCGTTTGGCTCAAAGCAAGAATTTTACTCTCTTCGAAAAAGATTTGGCTGCCAATAGACTACCGCAATGAATGTTCATTACCCCGAATATGAGTGTGTTCTCAACCTCTCCTATACGATGCCATCAGACTGACCTCAGCAGCCAACGATGGGCACGACACTTCCGTCACAGTCGCTGGCAAATGGATGCGATCGTTCATCGTCCCTCTGCTAAGTAACCCTCATTTCATGAAGCGCACTCTCGTTCTTATCAGTAAGAATTTCTTCCCTCCGCCAAATACTTGGCATTATCTGAGCCAGGCTCACACTGAATAGCCTTTGATGAGACAGCAAATTACCTCAGCAATAACAAGGTCTTTTCGCTGTTACTGGGCGATGCGGTACCGACAACAGCACATGGTACGACTAACAGTACATCGTTCAATCACTACTCGCAGATGGCAACTGTGGAGCAGAATTGGGATCTTGGGAATCTCGGACTAGGGGATAAGAACGTCAATTCATTTTACTGACTTCGTCTTATGTAGCATTCATTTGTCGGTAGATACCCATTTGTATTAAAACATTGAATGTTCACAGCATGAATCTCCACAGATTTATAGTGAACTTCTATTTTATACTTGGTACAGCGCAGCAGATTCTCCCCACATCTCCTTCAGACCAACAGCAAAGCCCCCCAAAGCAGCGTGAAGGCAATGTAAAACAGGAACAGGTTTGATCTGGTAGTCTGGTCAGATCACATTCAAAGATGTCTAGATCCAATAGCTCACGGTAAGATTGTGGGTTAAGCAACAGCCTCGAATCCCTCCACTCCGTCAACCCCTGCACTTCAACAAAACGCAGCTCCAGCACACACAATAATTTTATCATTCTTCACCACATCTTCTGCACAGCTTTGCGGCTTCATGCGATAATCTACACCATCATGAGCATACGCGACCAAACGACCATCATCGACCCAAGCTGCAAATCCAGGAATGCAGTCGAACCAGTAGTGGTTGTCGCGACCCCGCGGTTTGTTTTTGGAAACGCAGACTTGAACGCCGTTGTCTTGGATGAAGCCTTCCATGAGGTTGTTTTGAATTTTGGTGAAGGTGTTGACGCAAGCGTGGGTGGGGATGGGGAGGGATATGATGATGAGCGACGCCGTGTGGATTTGGAATCGCATGGTTGGTTTTGGATTGGTGGGTTGAAATAGATGGAATTTGCAAGTCTGCTTTTCGTATCAACGTAGATGATGGTATATATGTTTTATGAAGCGGTCGAGTCATACAGAAAGACGTGGCAAGTGTATTTATCTCCTGTGAGACCCATGGTCAGGAGACCCCCACTCGCATGTTGTTTGATACACCAACCCCGCGCCTAAACTCTTACAAAGTATCACCCACCCGTCGAAGGGTCAAACTTTTAGGCACCTCACCCGCAGCACTTTCAAATTTAAGCCATGGATAATTTCATTATAAATAGCTCAGATATTTGCGCTCCACGCAGAAGCAACCGAAGGCAAGCTTATTGCCATCTTCGACGAGAAAACCCCAAATCCAGCAACGCAGAACTTGTTCGGAAAAGCTTCAACAACATCATCCCCCGGCATTTACATATCGGGCTACACCAATTAGTACTTAAAGGCCATTGGCTGGAAAGATACAGGTAATTGTGCATCCAGTCTTCGTGAATCTAAGACCCGGCTCGCAGCATTTACAGTACGTATGTGTTGAGCTCTGTACGACCGGGTGAAGTGATAAGCTTGTTGGCACTTGGCCACGAACGTACGACGATGTCTACGAATCACTTCATGACTGTACACCAAGAGAACACAGTATCCCACAGAGTGCAAACAATCTGAGCTTAGCGTAACGAAAAATCCGATACAGCGGGGACCATGGCATGATCTTGACATCCTGGATACAAATAAATAGTACTGTTTATGTGACCCCTTGTAAGCGAAGCGGGCTTTTGGTAGAGACCACAACTTCGAAGGAGGCCGAGGATGGAATGTCATCCCAAGATTATGCTTCAGACTTGATGATTTGATGATTCTTAGGCGACACATATTACCTACAGATTCCACATCCTTGATTACCTTGGTAGTACCAGGTCAATTATCAGGGCATAGAAATGTATATTCACGTGACTTGAAATAACTCGAACTCTTATCGATAAGCAATCTGCAAGCTAACCTGTCAACATCAAGCAATCTACATTATTCTTCCAACGTCTCAGTTGACACAAAATGGCACAATATCGGGGGGTCGCGATCATGGGCGTCCTGAGCACAGCTTTCCTCGCTCTAGTTGCCAGTCTCATGCTTGTAGAGAGCAAAACTTCCAACCCCGTTCTTTACTGCCTATCCAACCCAGCTTCATCATCGATCACAACACTCAATGCTTCTCTACCACAAGCTCAATGCTTCAGGGTCCAGAATGGGCTGTTCACTGAAGTGTTGACTGAAACTCCTACAGGAATAGAAGAGGAGATTGTATACCTTAATGGATACGTACTTCCTGGAATCATTGAAAGCCATGGGCACATCTTGGCGTATGGGGAGATGCTGGAGTCTGTCTCCTTATATGGTGCAGACAGTATGGAAGAGGTGAGAAAGAGGATCAAAAGCTTTTTGAAAACCCACAAAGGCGGGAAGTATGGTTCACGTGAGAAGTGGATTCGAGGAATCGGATGGGATCAAGCCTTTTTCGGTGGTGTGATGCCTACAGCTGTAAGTCTTTCAAGATAAGGGCAGACTGGCTCTTTGAGACTCTTACATATCAGGAAGAACTTTCCACTGACAAAATTGCAGAGTGAGCTTGCTGAGGATCCCGCGTTAGCAGATCTCTATATCATGCTAGACCGCGTCGATGTTCACTGCGTCCTCACCTCTCCAAAGGTGCTTGAACTGCTTCCAGATCCGCTACCAGAAGCACCACCTGGTGGAGTTGTCGTCACAGATCCCGGTCCAGGTGTCTTTTGTGATAATGCCATGGACGTGATTGTGTACCCAATAGCGCCGAAGCCAGGAATTGAACAGAAAACACGGTGGTTCAAAACAGCTCTAGCTGAGCTGAACAAAGTCGGTATTATTGGAGTCGGAGATGCTGGCATGAGACCGGATGACGTTTCGATTCTCGAAGGTCTGGCTGAGAAGGGAGAGCTTACTCTGAGGATCAATGTTATGCTGGAGTGTGCGGAAAGAAATACCTACTGTCCAGACGAGACGAAGAGACTGAAGTTATTGGAGGCGCCAGCTTCTGAGGGATTGGGAGAGAGTACATTGATGTTGGGTGGTGTGAAGCTTTTCGCGGATGGTGCTTTGGGATCGTGGGGTGCAGCATTGTTGGAGCCTTATTCGGACAAGAGAGAGACGAGCGGGACTATGTTGATCAACGAAACAGAGTTGACCACTGTTGTCAACGAGGTAAGTTATATTCATATGCCGGGTGACAGTATGCTAATATAGTTAGTGGTTCCACGCTGGGTTCCAAGTCAATATCCACGCAATTGGAGATCGTGCGAATCGAGCTGCAGTAGATGCCTTTGAAAATGTTCTTGGGCCCAACTGTAACGGATGCAATGAGGCTAAAAGGCTGAGAATTGAGCATGCTCAAATTATTGTGAGTATCCCAGACCATTGTATATCGAGCAGGTATTAAGCAAATCCAGCATTCAGAGGACCAGAAACGTATTGCCAAAATGGGAATAATCCCAAGTATACAGGTAAAAATCCACCAATACTGCGCATGAAATGACATCTAACCTTTCTCAGCCTACTCATGCCACCTCCGATATGGCTTATGCTCTCGATCGACTGGGGAAAGAGCGCATCTCCCACTCAGCTTACCGAATGGCGAGCCTATTCCCATCGAAATCTGCGCTCGAAACCTCGAAATACCCTGGTCCAGTGCTTGGATCCGACTTTCCCGTCGAGCCACCTTCTCCTTTCGAAGGAATGTACGCCGCAGTCACCCGTCTAAATCCACATACCGGCACAAGCCCAGCAGGTCATCAAGGATGGCATCCTGAGGAATCGTTGACTGTAGAACAGGCTGTTCTGGGGTTTACGAAGAATGCTGCATATGGATGGTTTAAAGAAGGCAAAGCAGGTGCTATTGAAGTGGGAAATTGGGCTGATTGGATTGTTATTGATAGAGATATTTGGGCTGACAAGACTGGGAAGAGCCTCAGGGACGTGATTGTCAATGAGACATGGATGGGTGGGAGAAGGGTATTTCCGCCTTCGGGAGGCTCCGAAATTGGTGGTGACCAGAAGAATTCTTCGAAATGGCTGCAAGATACATTGCGTCAAGGTATTCAATGGATGACTGGAGGTGGACAAGAGGAGTTATAATTGACAGCATTAAGTGGTCGGCTATCTTTGCCAGCATTTCTTTACGTACCATAAAACGCCTGACCTTACAAGTCCTATAGTTCTTATGCAAAAAGGTTCCTTGCGAGTGAATTATTTTGCGAGCTATCCCTCCACGTTAAGAGGGAAGATACTGAAGGAGGGGATGATTCAAATCAGTCTAAAGCAGCCTTAAGGATCTAAATTCTAGCACTTCAATTTCTAACAATTTGATATATATTTCCACATATGAAGATATCTCCTGGGTCAGAGTTCGAATCCGGGAATTCTGATGTCAGCTTTTGCCGCGACGAGGCAAAAGGCAAGCAAGTGGAGCCTTTTGGCGTTGTTTTGGATCCTCGCTTGTTCTCCGTTTCCAACACGCCAAGCACCCCCAATCAACGGGAATCCTCCCGATCGAGGGATCTTCGACGTCAATTCGCTTCTGCGAAACACTTCACGGCTTGACTTTCCGCTGACAGCAACTACACCAGACCAACAGCCGCCACCAGGCAATCCGCCCGTCTCTAAATGCGCATCCAACATCAATCCTGATTCCTCTAGATGCAGGAAACCCCACAAGATCTGCATTCTAAGAGCTCGGCACTCCGAGCCGCGCCCCATTCGGTTGCACTACCTCGTTCATTCTGAGGGCCGCATTGTTACAGCTGGATTGCAGCGCGGTTGGTAAGAACATGGAATTGCATCTGATGTCCCCGTTCTAGTCAGGGTTTTTTCGTCTGGTCTTCTTTAAACCCGCTGAACCGCACAACGCTTGGTGTTTGAATGACTCCTTGTGTGAAACGAAGGCGTTACGGAATACGGACTGTATGGTTTATCCTTTCCTCTCTCAGTATCGTTGGACCAACCAACACTTCAGGAGAGCTTCGTTTCTGCCTTCCCTTGAGTTCTATTCCGCTTTCTATTTCTGTCTTTTGAATTTAACCCCACTAAGTTGCCGAATAGTATTTGGTACTTTGGGTCTGCTATTCTTCTTCTTCTCTTGTATCTTCATCCTCTTGGATATTCTTGAGTTGGTGATACCTTCATAATTCATTTCGATTCGAACATAGCAGCTGGTCCTGTCTCTCTGAGAGAGCTCTACTCTGTTAATTGGCTGTTTCTGCTTTGCTGTATTGGAACCATTGGAGTATTCAAAATTACTGGTAGCTTGTATTTGTCTTTGAATTCCCTTCCCAGAATACCCTTCAACATGGGTCTCCGAATAGTTCAAGGTCAGTCAATTCCTCCTCTCTTCATCTCCTTTCCAGCATGGAAACTAACACCACGCAGTATGTGGACTCTGGTTCTGGGTCGCATTCGCCTTCTTCATCATAGTCGTAATGCACCAATCCCAAACTCTAATCCACATCCCCTCATCGCCCTCCTCACCAGCCTCGCCATCAGCTTCCTCCCATGGCCTCACAACCCTCCAACGAATGGCCCGTTCCGAAACCGCCTGGCGCTCATCCGTTACTCTCCGCCACCAAATGGCCCTCGCCCACCCTCAAAACCCAGCAATCCCTCTCTTCCCAGCCCAGAAGATGTCGGACTTCAGCAAAACACCCTACACCCTCTGGGACTTCTTCCCAGCGACATACACCTGCCCTCACGATATCCAGCGAGTGGGTCGGCTAGGTGATGGAGGCAAATGGGTCTGCGGCATGTCATTGTACGAAGCCAAACCGGCGGTAGCAGTCTCGAATCCGCATCAACCCAGACGCCCCTCGACGATTATTTACAGTTTCGGCGTCAACGACGAGAGTACGTTCGAAGCAGAAATGCTCGCACGTATTCCAAGCGCTCAGATCTTTGCCTACGATTTCAGCGTTGACAGGATAGGAAGTCAGATTCCTCCCGCCCATTCAGCGCGTGTGCATTTCTCGAAAGTGGGTCTAGGTGGAAAGGACGAGTTCGACAAGATGCCGCAGTTCTTCACGCTGCAGACGCTGATGGATATGAATAAGCATACGTACATTGATATTCTGAAGATTGATATCGAGGGTGGGGAGTATACGGCGCTGGATGCGTTTATGGATGCTTGTGATCGCACAGGGGGCAATATGCCTGTTGGACAGGTCATGATTGAGTTGCATTTGGTGGATGATCAGCATGTCAACTTTGAGAGATTTACGAAGTGGTGGGAGAGACTGGAGGGCTTTGGTATGCGTCCCACGTGGTTGGAGATCAATCTTCTGGCCGTGACGCTAGGGAATGGAAAGACGGACCCAAGGTGTGTGGAGTATGTGTGGGTCAACGCGAAAGATGAGAAGAGTATTTTGTTGCAAGAGTAAAGGCCACATTTGGCTCTGCTTGTTCTCGGTCGTCAGATAGTTCTCGTTCTCGGATACACATATTGCATGAATTGCATAGGAAAGGCGTTGGGGCGTTCTGGATAGCGGCGCTGTGAAAAGCGCCTAAATTACAATAGATACTATGGAACTTCAAGTATTTGCTGAATATCGACTATACCCATGTTCTCTGTTGGGTGACATGTAGCCAACATCTACAAAACCTTCAGCTCGGTTCGAGGTGACTGCCCGGAGTTATGGTAGTGTTGTACTCCAAGCTGGTATTCGTTAACTGGTTCTCTCCGCCGAAAGGGGCCATAATCGTAGCTCATGGAAAATTCTCTGCATACTGAAGAAATTTCATTCCTCTTTGGATATCGGAACCTTCAGACAAGAAAGGGTATCGTGAAAGAAAGCTACATTTACAAACAAATGCTCCTGCTCCACTCCAACTGCTCATATCCAAGAATCCGCTGCAGTAATAGCTCGCTCAGAACCCCAGAACCACCAACACCATGCCTTTTCATCCCACGTCGTGCAATCATGTCGTCAAATAAACCTCATAAAAACTCCATCTTTTCATCGCGGGTACATCACCGCCCGGTATAAACTTCCAATCCCGGCTGATGGTTCGAACTCTCCGCACTCCCTGAACTTCTCACACTAACATTACTCCTGTCAACGCTCTGCCTCGAGCTCCGATTTCGACTTAGTGGGAAACTCGGTATACGGCTCGACAAGCCAAATCCACTCCTCGAGCCTGCACTAGTCGATAACCTGCCACTCGTAGGACTCGAACCCATTATCCTTCCACTTCCAATGCCCAAACTCGACGACCTCCCTCCCCCATCTTGTAGGTTCTCCACGAAAGCCGCTGGGAAAAGGCCCCATTTGCCTTTGCTGGATTGACCAGACCAGCACCACTGGTCCTGGAAGGTATATCCTATACAACTTATCCTATCTCCCTTGCTGAATTTCAACCATCCTCCATCCTTGGTGTCCTTTGGCTTGAAATCCCATCGCGCTGTAGCGATCAAGCTGCTTTGTGGGTTCATGAGGACGTCTTCTTTGGCTGGCGTATCAAGCATGAATTCGCTTGCTGGGAAAGCGCCTCGCTCACCGTCGTGATATCCCATACACCATTTCCCGCCAAAGCGTTCGGGGAATGTGATACCTACTATTCTGGCTCCGTTTGCGAACTTGAGGACCGGGTTCCCTTCCGGATCTCGGGAGCTGCTGCGAGTGTTCTTGGGGTGGTGAGTGCTGGTGGCTTGACCTGAAGGCCGGGTAGCTACTTTCTGGGCGATTTCGATCATGCTGTATGCTGAAGTTGAAGGGTGGGGTGTGGTGAAATGGATGTCAAAATCAACAACTTCAGGGGCTTGGAAGCCGTATAAGGTTGTGATACCGGTAATGTTTGGGAGGGGCCGTTGGTGTTTCGAAAGATGGCGGAAAAGTTGAGAAACGGAGAAAAAGACTGTGGCGTCATGTTCTTCGGTGGTTTTGTGCTCGTCGATGCAGAATATACACTTTGATAGGTGAGCATCATACTGACCAGATCAGGAGTGAACTTACGGCGTAGATTGGTTCTTCTACAGAGTTTGTCTTGAGATGGCATTTGGATATGAATCTTTGTCGCCATCTGATCCCACTATTGCCATATATTCCGGAACCTGTACAGTGTCAGCTGCTGTCGGTGAAAAAAAGGTGGGCCATTTACGTTCTAGCAAATTGTCCTTCTCCACCTCATTCCAACCCACTTCATACGAACACTTTATACACCTCGCCGATAAAGCTACATTATAGTTGCCCTGATAGGGCTGTTAGTATCCTGTGTTATTAACAAAGTCAAGGTGGTGAGAATTATACTTACAGATGGCCTCTTCACAATCTTCAAGCCATTCTCTCCCCTCAAAATCGCCTTGGCTCCTTCACAGAAACCACCAAACTTATAGAAAGAAGTATCATGCCGAATCGGATAATCTATAGATTTCATAGATGCCGTTGGCGTAGGTTGGTGGTAGACATCATCCGATCCTACAACTATCTTCTCATTCTCATAGTCAATTCCATTCGCAACCTCAAGGCCCGGCTCAACACCTTTCCCAAAATCCGGAGTCTGAAGAGTCGTAGCCAGAGCGCCTCCTCCAAGGCTTCCCCATGTGAGATTATCCGTACCCCCCGAGCTACGATGTTCACTGAGCGGCGGGCTCAACGGCGCAGCTCGAAGACCGAATATCGAGTCCTGGCTATCTTTTCTTTGAGATGGACGCTCTGGAATAGAACTATGCCGCGATCCTTGCGAAGCCTGGCTTCTTTGCCTGGTCATCAAAGTGCCATACCCGAAACTAGGCCGTGGACCGCTGATAGGACTTGTAGCCATGCCTGAGCTGCCCAGTGCAGGCGAAGTGATGAGTGGACCATCAACGAAGGATTCTCTTTCTCTCTCCTCGTCGATGGAAGATACGGATTTCCGTATTTCGTTGAGAAATGATAGTCTTGACTGTCTCCTCCTTTCGAGGAATTCTTCATTTGCGTCAACGCGAAACCTTACAACATCCCTGGATATTAAGCGATTCTCTGCGTCGGGAAGTGACGAAGGCGAGATATCTCGAGAAGGTTGGCGTCGCTGAGAAAGACCTCCAGGGCTACCCACAGGCGCACCCAGGTGGAATTGTGAAGGACTATCGATAGCCCATGGATTCTTAGGCTTCATTGGCTCTGGGGGACTTCCAACCACCGGCGAAACGGCTTGAAGGGTGTCAACTGGGGAAGTACACAAGGCCGACGGTGGTAATGGCTTCCGTAGTGTAGGTGAGCGCTCTACTCTCATGCTTGCAAGCTGTGCCCTGTCGTCTCTCGGCTTCTCCTGCGCGAGGTCCTGGGTCGCGAGCAATCGATCTCGCAGAGCATTCAATATGTTTATACATGTCGTGCTGCAGTTCTGTGCTTCCTCCTGCGCATCCACGCACTGTGCCGGGCTAAAAGATACAGGATCCTCCTCGATGTCGTCGATTCTATCTCGAACTTCGTTCTTAAGGTTCTTCAGCTGGTTCTGGATCGCTTCTAGAATTCGTTTGGTTAGCAAGCAACCACGAACAGGGCTTCCCCATAATGAGCCAGAGCCGAATCAACTCACTGTCCTCAACCAGTGCTCTGGTAAATGGCTCTCCGCATCTTGCAGCATTTTGACGATAGGCATCGACAACTGCCTGGGAGCTTCGGTCCAACGATTTCTGCAGGATCTGGGCAGCTTCGGAAATCTGCAGCGCTTGCGCAGCTGGTACTGTGCTTGCAGAAGAGGTGAGCCTGCCGGCGACTTTGATTCCTGCTTCCAAAGCCTTGAGTAGAGCTCTCACGGGTGCGACGAAATCGTCCCCCATTGCTCCCGCGCCGTCAGTGGCCTCACGTCTCGGTTCAAGGTCGGCGGCCAGGGATCGCAAGGTCCAGTTCTTATCGGGCGCGTGGTCGATCGTCGCGATGGCTGGCTACTGTTACTAGGTCCGTCCTATTCTGTCCTGTCACTATGTTTGGTTTGTGGGCGAAGAAGCAAGTTTGGAAGAGAGTTCTCGGGAAGGTGTGTGAGGTCAAGTGAAGGATGGTTCGTATGGCCAGATAGACGTGCGACTCCGATCGGTCGGTCACTTGGTCTTGGTCTTGGTACTGGAACGAAATGCAGTTCAGCGGCTCTGGGGTTTGGCAGCTTGGTAGGGAGAGAGGCTGGGCTGGGCTGGACAGGCCCACAGTCCGCTCGCCTTGTGTTTTGTTCGCAGAAGAGGGAGAGAGAGGGGTGGAAAAACCACAGGCTTATGCCTTACCCTACAGCACTCACAGTTCGCTCTAATACTGCTGCAAAGAGCCTAGAGGCGTTCTACTGCCAAGGGGTTCTTTGGGCTGTCTGGGCTGTGCATTATTGGCAATGCCCCCCTTTGCCCAAAAGATGGGACGAATAATGGCCTTGCTTTCATTTCCACAGCTCTGCCACTGCACGTGGTGGAGCATTTCCGTCTTGTGGTTCGCGGGGAACACGGAAGAGAGGGCTGTGAAGCAAGCACTGAGCGAGTGCTGCACTGAAGCTTGAGAATTGAAACAGTCGAGTACAAGTAGTGAAGTGGAGATACCGGTAGGTCCTTTTGTCTTTACCAGTATCCATTTAAACTTCTCGAAGTCTACGTCACATCGAAGATCTAGGCATGGGTAGTTCAAATATTCCCTATCAAAATCCCTCAAGTGAGGCTTCCCCTCTGTCCCAAACAACTCCACCTTTGATCTGACAGCTCCCCGCACTATCCTCTCCACCAATGACAAGCTTAAAGCTAGACACGATTGGTACTGTAGGATGTGATCCCGAAAGATGGATCCCTGAATAAGTTCCGGATAAGCTAACTTTGGCCATCCTTTCCCTGGTGTCACACAACCCTGTCGTTGACGATAGCAGTAGGAGGACCAAGGCCCTCAAAAATGGCAGCCTGGAGCTTCATGTACCGAGCCGAGTCCTCGGGATAGATATCGTGGCAATTGCGCCATTAAATGATGTCAAACGAGAGGGAAGGCTATCGTGGATGTGGTCGACAGGAATGTATCTTCAATTTCCCCTGATTTCGACTTGCAGGGCCTGTTACTGTATCCTTCACCAATTGGGTGCATTGCAGTGTAGCGCCAAGCAAGAAGTGCAACCACGGAAGAACTCAACCATCAACGGCTCATGCGAATCTACATCAACAAGAATATGTAAAACCTCTGCTTTGTATCGCTCTGAACAATTTCTGATTTTCGAAACTGGTTTTAATCTGTAAATCAAGGCCTTTCGATCTTCGAAGCAGGTCGGGTGAAAACACGCAGGGCCTCGCCCGGCTCTGCTCCAGTAACTTAAGCACACGCTCAAATGTAACAATTCACACACCAATCAATCCCACAGACCAATGGGACAACCTGCCTGTATTCGTTCTGATACTGGAGGGGAGACGTATTCAACTTCAAATTGTACGGATCACATTCATTGCCATTTCCGTGGCTGTCACCCAAACCTGCAAAGTATGCGCTTCGGAGCAACTCGTCCAACCTGCATCGAGCCAATTGCTATCAACTGATACTGGTAATATTCTTACCTTCACGGCGGCGCGACGTGATCCGTTCTTTTGCGAATACTCGCTAGAGGAGAATGTAAATTGCGTCAAATCTGGACACCGCTCAACCGGGTCAAACCCCAATCGACAACACCCGAGCGCTTGCTGCGAACCATCAAGATATTCGATGATAAGGCCTCGGCAGAAATCGGCTTGGGTATCTCGAAACACCCATATGCACGCAACATTCTTTAGCGAAGCCGATGCGTAAAAGGCGTCTGGTAAAGGAGAAGCGCCTGCTGGGGGTGAAGGTGAAAGCTCGGAACACACCTGGCCCTTAGGGGTCACCCCTAATATGGACAGAGGTTTGTTTTCTGGAATAGAATATAGGAGAGCTGATTGATTAGAAGTATATACGACGTAGTCCTTCACTGCCCCGTCATGATGAGGCCCCACAGTGAAATCTCCTCGATGAGGCGTACGTATCTGCTACTACTTTAGCTGTGCTTTTGGGAGAGCCCAGGCTATGACTCACTAGATAAGAGTAGTCATACTGCAGAGGCTGATTTTTAGAATTGATCTTGAGCCGAACCCCAAATGCAGATATCTTGTCTGCTGGTGGATTTGGCACATACAGCCATCTGACAAAAGGATGGATTGATGGTGTGAGTCGCGCAAACGTTAATTCTGCGAAGGGTGTAGCTTGAGTATGGGCATGTATTGCATGTGTATAGCTTTTAGTCATGAAAAAGGTGATTCCTGAACAAGAATTCAGGTCGATAGTCGCAAGACGGATATCAGGTGCCTGAGAGGGAAAGCGAAAACATGTCACATTGGCAAGATTCGGTGTGTCCGTGATCTGGAGCCGTCCTGGTCCAACGATTGGTGCAAGGCGACCAATGCCAAACTTAAGAACACAATTAGGCAACCTCGTAACGTTGCAAGAAAGATGTGTCTAACTGACCTGAAACTCGATAGTTAGGTTCTGACTGGGCTTGATAGTCGTGTAGACAATGAAATCAGAACGACGCTTGTGTGCCGAGGACTTTAGCCTCTCAATATACACGATGCCCCTTGAATCAATCGTTAATTCAATGAGAGAGTTTGATTTGTCTTTTCTGGTGACCGGAACACTCCCACGGCGCCAGACCTCAACTTGATGAAGAGGTATTGATATTGAGTCATCAAACTCTGTGTGAGAGAGGAAGACGACTAGTTCAAGGACTGTGGAGAAGCGTAACAAGTCATGTTGCCCAAGAAGGGTCCATATCATGGTGGTGATCTCGCTTGGAAGCCGTCTCAGCTCATTGAGGCTGTATATGTCTGCTGCAAGGCGGCTGGCGCGGTCCGTCTCTGGCTTTGGAGGGAGCAGCAGTGCCGGGCTTCCAGGCCACGGATATCTCCCAAGTGAAGCAGACCAGAGCCGGTGCATTTTGTCCGGGTGAGTTGCCCGTTTCATGTACAGATTGAAACAATCCACATGAATCGTAGCGGTCTCTCCGGCTGATGCGCACCTGCTGCATCGAGGGAATCGGCAGAAAAGTCGATTTTGCTCGATTTTCCCATAAGCTGCCATTGGAAAAGTGAGAGCGTCTAGAGCTATGCAACAGGCCCCCTCCGCTTTTCCAGTATGGAGAACTTTGTATATTCACGATTAGCTTTGCACCCATGATGCAGATGGTAGCGAACGAAGCACACATACGGGTAACCAGACGCTCTTCGACATGGAAATAGAATCCACAAGCCCCGCACTGAGAATGAGTGCACACATGCTGGAGTTCTTCAGGTTCTTCAGGACTAGATGACCTCGCGCTTCGTAACATCGTGTCCTGGTACTTGTCAGTAAGGGTTGGCAGTAGATACAGAACAGTAGGCGCTACGACCAAGCACTGATGCCAGGTGCAGCGCCATGAATACTCCTTTTTTTCGAATCAAAAATAGCGAGAACGGGGAAGAATAGCCGAGGTGATAAAAGATTGCTGGCAGCAAACAATGCTGCAATGCCACGAAGGCTTTCTTGCTCGCTTGACCCGAACCACAGTTTCTTCTGCATCCTCATCATTCACTCAACATCTCAAGCGAATAGATAGTGCGCCATGTATTTTCAAGGCATCGAAACCTGTGATCTGCGGTATAAGCTCCGTTAATAGACTTTATCTCACCTTATTCCCAAAGCTTGAATGTTTGAGCTAGATAAACCTCGCTTGAACCGAGGCCAGGGGACAGATATCGAGTTGATTGCGCGATTGAACGGTGTCCAACAAGGAGAAGAATTGATCGACAACAATTTAAATTACACGACAGATATGGTTCTGCAGTTGCAGGGCAAGGGTAGCCTGCCTCGCAACATCCTATGAAAGGACTTAGAGAAGCATCGACGACGAGCAAGAATCTACTGAGGATGATCGAATCCAAGGCAACTAACTATATTCAGCTCAAGGGTTTCTGGGTGCGCAAATCGATAGTTCCGTCAACCGTGGCCTTCCACTCTCCGAAATAGATTCAGCCGAGCCTGGTTGAGGTCCGACCGACTACTTAGCTTGAAGTACTCGGTGAGGAGACCAGCCGACGGAGCCGGCCCTTCAACACTCGGATACGATACAATAATGGGCAGAAACCCAGGATGTCGATACGCAAAATAAGCTGTTGAAAAACAGAAAACATACCTAAATTTTGGAAGGAGACGAAGAGAGAAAAAAATCCGTGAGCCTTGTCTTGGAGACGGGAGGAAAGCGCATGAGCATTACCGCATCCCTCCCAAAACAACAAAATGACCAGAGGGGTCACCAAGCGCTTCAGACGAACACGAACGACAAAAATTAAAAAAACAAGAGCCTCCTCCTTACAGCCTCAGACTGCTATGTGCAACAAAAATCAGGTCGGCGTGGACAGACCAGACCCTCCCCGCGTTTCCATCCCTTTCCTTCCTTGTCCTCAGCTGTTAAGGGAGATCGACAATCGGCACAAGGAGCTTAGTCCAGGATTTATGCTTTTTTGGGGGCCGTTGGCTTCACCACCGGCCGCTGGCCTACAGAGTCTAGGAGGATTTTTTTTTGTTGAAAGCACGTGGGATTGTGATTTCTGCTCTTCTCTGTGCTCTGTGCTGATGTACTGCTTTCTTTCTCTTATCGACTGCCATGCTGGAGGGAGGGAGCCATGGGTCTTGCGCGCTGAAAGACTTCTCAACATCTCGCTCAGAACAAAAACTGCTGCTGCTGCTGCTGCTGCTCAACCTCCCAAGCATTACATCAGCACATCCCAAACCTCAACATGCTCGTTCGTCATGGGCTGACCCATGCACTAGTTTCTATTTTAAACCCCCGAATAGCTTTCTTGTTGCACATCGTCTGCTGCAACCGGTGTTCAGTGCTGCATGACTTAGCGAGCGCGGTCCATGCGAGGGAGGGATTCCCATTTGCTGGTGAGGAAGACCCCTGCACATCAAGGCATCATGGACAGACACAGGAACGAGGTCGCGCTAGTATATCGTCTTCCCGTGTCGGAGCTTTGAATCTGTCAATTTTCCGAGGTTGGCCCTTGATATCTTTCCTGTTCACATTGAAAATAGTGTAGCTCTTGAAATGGGATTTGTTCCTGTCCTTATCAAAGGTGCTGAAGCTAGCATCACGTTGTACTTTGTGAATGATATGTGGTGAATTAGCTTCGAAGAGATTCTTCGCTAATGTGTAAACAAAGATGCTCATCATCCTGTTGCCACGCTCATTGATTTGAGCTGCAAAGACCTGCTGGTAAAGGCACCCGGTTGATAGAAGACTTTGGATAAAAATACTCCTGCCATGGGGTTTTAAGGGACCTGAATTGAGATAGGGTTGTCCGGATTCCGTCCGAAATGTCAGGACGAATCATGCCTTGGACATTTCCATAACCTCGAGATCCGGCTCTTCAACATTCTGAACACACTGTAACAACAAGCCCGCTTATAGCATTATCATAACCATCATTACACCCCGAAGTCCATGCCACAGGCACCCAATCATGCCTTCCTCCCTCTCACAATCCTCGCCAACCTATCTAATCCAAACATCCTCGGTAAAACCCTATCAAAAATCCAGCTCCCAAGCCACGTATAAACAAACCAAATCAGTGTACTCTTATTCCCTCTCCAGAGCCACTTCTTCTGTCTCCAGCTCGGCTTCAACGCCTCCCTAACTACACCCCTCGCATAATCGTCCGCCTTCATTGCCCCATCTTGACTATGCTTAACCCTCCTCTGAAAATCTGCACTGATATCCAGATACAAACTATCCTTTCCAAGCACTCTGTCGGTCCTCGCAATGCGACTCTGTACGCCGCCCGTTACCACAACAAGGACCCTCACATCGAAAGGTTCGAGTTCGAGACGTAAGGTTTGCGAGTAAGAGTGTAAGGCAGCTTTGGAAGCATTGTAGACAGATCCGAAGACGTAGGGGATTATGGCGGCTACGGAGCCGATGTTGAGGATTAGACCTTTGGAGGCGATGAGGAGGGGGATGAAGGATTGGGTGATAGCTATTACGGAGAAGAGGTTGGTTTCAAAGCAGCCGCGAGCATCGTCGATATCGACTTCAAGGGCGGGCATGGTACAATTACGTCCTCTGTCCAGAAGGAAGTATTAGCTTTAATCTCAATCCCAAATTCACTCTCGGTATTCTGTTCCTGCCAGGAGCGTAAGTGGGGAACGGAGATAACTTACGCATTATTCACGAGAATATCCAGCTTCCCACCCGTCAACTTCTCAACTTGCAATCTCGCATCCGCAATACTCTCTTGGCTCGTAACATCCAGACCGAGAGTCGACATGCCCAGCGCCTCGAGGTCTTGGATAGCTTCCCTAGTTCGTGCCGTTGCTATGACATGCAAGCCTGGTGCCAAACCTTATCAGTTCCCCTCCTGAACATCTGTTCCTTGACGAGTGATAACAAGCACTTGTGCAAGAACGGTTGAGGGACTACTTGCTCACCTTTGGCGTGAAATTCTCGTGCAAGAGCATGACCAATTCCTCCTGGTGAGCACCTATCCTCGAGTCAAATTTGCTTGTTCCTTAGGTACCTAGGTATTGGGAGAGGATGGATGTCACAGGGTTTTGCGAATCGGATGCAGACGAGACATACCCGGTGATGAGGACACTCTTTCTCAAGTTTTTTACGGACATAGTGTGAGTTGTCTGTTCAGGATCTCATTTGAAGAATTCCTGCGAAGTGTTCTTGAAATTCAAGGCTGAAGCTCTCTGAAGCTCTTTTGGCGTTCGCAACGCTGAGCCGAGGCACGTGCTGGCGCATTGGATTGCTGGTCTCGAGCTTGGGACAGTGCACACCCTGAAGCTCGCAAGGATAGGTAAGCGGCAGGCGGGGGCGCAAAAGTGGTCACATCGGCATTTGATTAGGCATGAAGTGTGCAACCTCTTTTGTACTTTGCCCAGATACAATAATGCTTCCTTCTCGAAGCAACTCTATAATACCTTCGAAACTTTTATGACTCCTGAAAGAGCCCAGATTTCACCGGCCGTTACCCACTTTCATCTCAACATAAAAAATCTGAACAGCAAAACAGAATATTTGGATATCTCCCAAAGGAGATGTGACAGCAAGTCTAAAGCAAGATGTTCAAATCATGGGAGAGTATTGTCGTCACCAGAGCCATCGACGACCGACATTGCGTCTGGCAGTCCCCCCAAAGTTATATCCGCCAAAAGACGGAGGACCATATGGCTGTGGAATGGTGGTTGGGTATGGACCATACCCCCATGAGTAAATCCCGGGAGATGTTGGAGTCTCGACTGGTAGATCGATTGTAGAAACAGATGTGATCAGTGTAGATGGAACCGAGGGGTCATCCGTTGATGCCACAAGGGATGATGTGGACGAACTTGTGAAAGCACCTGGGAAACGAAAGTTAGCAAAGCTCAAATCCAGTCAAGGTGTGGACTTACCATCAGCTGTCGATGTGGAAAGTTCGGAGGTTGAAGAGCCCTCTCCAGAAACAGTGGATAACACTGTGCTTCGTGTCAATGTGCATGACTTGCTGCTCGGCAAGTATGCAGTTGAGGTTACGAAGACTGTTGATACAGAGGCCGGTGCAGTGCCAGTTCCGCCCAAAGCCGTCGAGGAAGAATTTCCAGGATATGGAGGGCCGGCCGTGGTCAATGGAGGTGTGTCGGTGAACGAGCCCGAGATGCTACTCGATTCAGTTGTTGTGATGCCTATTGCAGAGCTAGTCTCCGTAAAGCCTGGAGAGCTACCGGTTCCTGTGGGCGCGATCAACGTACTTGAGATGGAAGGAGATCCGTAAGGAAGTGATGAAGACAACGAGGCTAAAACTGTCATACCAGAGCTAGTTTCTGTAATAGAGGCACTTCCGCTTGCAGTAGGAGACGCAACGGAACTCGCGTTTGACGGGAAACCGTAGGGACCAGACGAAGTCAGCGATGTCACAACACCGATAGCAGAGCTTGTTTCAGTAATACTTGAGTAGCTACCAGTTCCTGTGGGACCAGCTACAGCACTAGAATTGGATGGGAACCCGTATGGAGGATAGAACGAAGACGAAGAAGTCACTACGCCATCATTTGAGTTGGTGGATGATGGAGAGCTTCTTGTACCGGTTGGAAGGGCATAGCTGGAATTTGAGGAGATCCCGTACGGTGCTGATGTCGTCGAGCTGGACGCTCCGTCGTCGGAGGCTGTTGATGAGGCAATAATTCCAGTGCCCGTTGGGCCAACGGCCGAGGTTGAATTTGAAAGCGGAAAGGGAGCGGACGTGGGAAACAACCCACTGGCGGAAGATGTACTGAAGCCCCCAGAAATCGTTGGCGAGTATGGCGGCAGTGTGTATGAAGACGCACCTCCAGATACTGTCGAGCTTGGATAAGGACCAGTGCCGCTTACCAACGAACTCGTATTGGTTGTTGGGTATGGCGGTGTTGTCGAGTCGGTAGACGTGAAGATTCCACCCGAGATGCTAGATTCCGACACTCCAGTTGTTAAAGGGCCTTGAGTGCTACTTGAGGTTGCTGGTACCGTGACAGTGATCTGAGTAGTGATGCGAATTGTCGTGTCGGTACCAATATTACCGCTGGCTGTCGAGCTTGTATCAGCTGGGAAAGGTGGAGATGAGGTGGATGACAAGGTGTAGGGTGCTGTTCCCGTAGGATGTGTTGAGTAACCGGTACCGGTTGGATCCTCGGAGCAAGTCGTATTAGTATAGGGGTAGGGCCCAGCCGTGCTCGACGCAGACGTTGGGATGGCTCCGCTTGGCGATGTTGAAGTTGCAATTCCATCAGTTAATGTGCTCGATGTATCAACCGAAATCAAGCTTGTTGAACCTCCAGTGGGTCCAAAGATTGTCGAAGAATTGGAGTTATAGTACGGCGCTGAAGTCGGGACAGATGAGCTGGAAACGCCCAAAGAAGGTTTTGAGGTTGTGGTTCCGTCAGTCAAAGTGCTCGAGAAGTCAGGGGACATAGAAGAGGACTGGATCCCGGTGGTACCGACTGATATTGTCGAGTTGGAATTATAGTACGGGGCTGAAGTTGGTACTGAGGAGCTACTGAACCCTAGAGACGCTGTCGAGGTCGCAATTCTCTCTGACGATGTGGTCGATCCATCCAGCGAAGTCGAGCCCGTGGATTGCTCTGTAGATGATCCAGTCGGCTCAACATAGTTTGATGAGTTGGAACTATAATATGGAGCCGAAGTGGGAATTGATGAGGTGCTAAATCCGATTGACGGAGTCGAAGTTACAATTCCTCCAGTCAGAGTACTTGATATCTCGACAGAAGATGTGTTTGTGTACAGACCCGACGAGCTTGAGGGTAGGACGATTCCTGAAGAGCCCGTAACAATTGGCAGAGATGTGACAGCGGTTGTTGTGATTTGAGAAGTTGCAACGGTGGTACTCAGATCCTGACTCGCAGATCTAGAGGTGAACGTCGATGGTTGGGTATAATCGATGCTGCTCTGTGTTGTGGATGTCAGCGGTCCTTGGGCGGAAGAACTCGTCAAAGGAATTGATGATACCGATGAACTCGATGCACTTCCAGTTGATGAAGAAGAGAGTTTGATGCTTGATGATGCCACAGGCAGGGTTGAAGTATTTGGTGCTGTTGCAATACAGGAACATGCGGAAGAAACTGCTGCTGGAGAGTCTTTGCACTGGGAAAAGTAGCTTGGAAGGCTTGTCGTTGCCGTGTTGATGGTTGTGGTGTACGTTGCACAAAAGCCTGCAGCGAGAGATGAAGAGCGAATGACTTGACGCAGACAGTTGTTCTTATTACACTTCACGGGCTTCGGTGTGGTGACAGGAGGAAATGAAGTGATTGGAGGGTACGGCTCAGAGCTTGTGCTCGATGTAACAACCACTCCAGCTGTCGAGGATGTCTGGCCTTGGATCGAGGTCGCCGAGGATGAGTGGACAGCACTGGCTGTTGGCATATAGGTATCTGAAGTGATGGTGCTTGACTGGGAGGTAAAGATGCCGATAGCACTGGAGGTTGTCTCCCCCAAGCTCAGAGTTGAGAAATCAGATGTAAAATCAGATGATGCGCTGCTCTCAATTTCAGAAACTTCCGATGATGTCGACGGTCCAATGCTAGTCCTTGGTGAGGTATACAGTGGTGGAGACGATGTCGTACTGGTGAAACTACCTTCAGCAGTGGGGGTCTCGACCCTGGATGAAGCAGAGCCTGTGGCAGTTGACAACCCAGAGCTGAAGAGAGAGCTCAGAGTTGGGGATATGCTGGACGATACGTCCGAGCTGGAAGTGTAAGCCGGAGGCGATACACTCGGTGAAGCAATAATTGACGTGCTGGTTGAAGATTCAGGGGTAGGGACTGCGAAATGACATGTAAGTTGCTGGTGACCTTGGAAGGCTTTGGACAGCTTACCAGTGTAAGGATCTGAGGAAATTGCTTCACCGTCAGATGTGGCAGTTGTTGAAGCGGGTATGTTTGCCTGTGAGACGGTTGGAGCTGGACCATAACCTGGGTAGGTATAACCTCCTCCGTACGCAGCCGGATTCCCACCATAAACATTGTACTGGCGAGGAAGATTGGCGATATCATCAGCTTCGTGGTCTGCATGGAACCAGTTTGGAAGACCATAGATGCCTGGTGCGAGTGCCAGAAGGATATATCCTGTGGCGAGGGAGAGTGTGTTGACTTTCATGTTGACCTGCAAACCAAAACGCGTCAGCACATGTATTGTCAACAAATGTGAAGGGAGAAGAAGCCAGGAATGCTCACGGCAGCTGAATCTTACTTTCGTACTTTCCAATGAAGGAGAAACGAATGTGGTGCTATTTGAAGCAGGTAACGAGTGATGAGGGAGACGATGCTATGGGTCAGTACACCTGAGCACTGTCGAGACCCAGCACGTCGATGGGATGAGACCGAAGACGCAAGTTGAAGGTGAATGGAAATTAAGAAAGAGAAACGACTGTGGGGGGCGAGAGAAGAGGGTGATATAAGACAGCGAAGGACGTAGGTAGGTAAGGTAAAGTAATGTAGTAAGGTAGGTGATCAGTATAGGAAGGGGGAGCTCGCTTCGGACGGGAAGACTGTTCCGGAGTCACCCGCTTCAAATTGGAAAGGGGAGGCACGTTTACCTAGCGAAACCCCAACAGAACAGAGCAGAGCAGAGCAGAGCAGACGGTGTTGCCTGCCATGAATAGAAGCCTCTTGGGTCCAGACTGAGATACCTTAGGTAAGAGACAGATGGAATGAGGTGAGAGCCAGTCAATATTCACAATTTTATCACGTCATCAGCCTTTTTGTTTCAACAGGACGTACGAGGTTTGAGTGCCAGGCCCGTTTGTACTCGAGTGAGTGAGGAGAGAACGAGGTTTTACCCCGCTCACCATGGCTTGAGGCAGCCAGATCATGCCTCGTTCATTTGGAAAACATCTTTGCCATCGACTTTCCGGGTCTGGATGTCATATCTGAGTTTCACAGCATGCTATTCTAAGGCGGCTCAACTGCAAGCCGTCTGTGGTCCATCAACTAAGGTAGGCATGGGAGAATCTCAACAGCTCTGCAGTCTCCTGTCGTGCCTGCATTGGTGTGAAGATCTTTCATCAGATTATTCCTGATTTGAGCATTCAAGAGGCGATTTTGCACATATTGAAAGCCGAATCGGTCAATGCTGCATCGGTCTGAGCTCGGCTTGACGGGAGACATGTCTTCCAAAGCTCGTATCACTCACGAGCAGCCTCACTGCATGACCTCGACATGAGAGGTGTGACTCCGGTCGTCTGCAAACGCAGCGTTGACCCCGGATAGCAGCTTCTGTGCTTGGGATATTCTGTTTGCAAGAGCCAGAACGCTGGCGTATGATTGGTGGATATGAGATCAATCTCCTGCGTTTGTACAGGAAAGCTTGTCAGTGCTAGATACAGCTATCTTGTATGACTGCCGATCTTCATCTCGGGCATATCAGCCGATTTCGGAGATCTGAGCTGTCACGACTGATGCGGGCTAAGGTTGTAGCTTGAGATCTGGACGGGAATGCAAGACCTACATGCTCTGGGTCCAATCCCTGATTGCCTTGATATTTGGTGTGGATGAACAGCAGAGAGCATATCTTTCGAGTTCAAAGATTTCACACTTGAAAGGAGACCTGAACCACAGCAATTCAAAGAAGGGGTTTGTTTCTCTAAGACTAGAACTACTCGCCTCAAATCAATGCATTTTCTCCCCAGTCAACGCCGCGCTTTCATGATTCTTCATTCGTACAAATAAGATATGCTGGAAAAGAGGAGGAGAAGAGGTAAAAATGAGCCCCTGTGATGTGGCTGCATGCACTCGAAGCCGTGATACGAAGCCTCGAAGCGACCCGCCTGCGGCATTGCGATCGGACGATGATTGCACAGCCAACGCCAATCTCGGGAGCGTGCACACATACACTACGCTACCTTCTTGGTTCCATCACGAGATTTTGGCGAGGTCATCTCGGTCATTGCGGTGTTGTTACCCTCGATACTGGATGATGAATTAGTACTAATGGACTGCTAATTGTTGGAAATGTTTCAGAAGTTTGAGCAAAAGCTTCGGACTGTTGCAGCTGCTTTTCTTCAAGTAGAGATATGGGGAGGTTGGGGCGGGAGGGTACTTACTCTGCAGCCCACAATGCGGCACCGACTGGGAATTGGTCAGTATCAGGTGGAGTCGCATCCGTTGGGGAGGATTATTACGTACCAGTGTTAGTGAATGTGAAGAAGATGCTTGCGAACGGAATAAGTTCAAGCAGGGTAGCAACAGTTCCAAATCTAGAAATTGTCAGCTAAAATGCGAGTGATGCGAAAGCAACAGAAGCAAGGATTCGATCCAAATAACTGCCATGAACTTTTCTACTGGCATAGCCAAGTTGTGGAGCGTGGGGTTTTCTCTCCATTAAGTCAGAGTGACACAAGTCTCGCGAGTGCCACAAGTATTGCCGTTCCAAGTATATTGCATGATAGTGAAATTGGTACGGGCAGAAGAACTTACGCAGTGTATGGGGCTGTGTTCTCCTTCCACCAGGCCTCCTTTTGCGGGTTCGACCACTTTTTGAGCTGGAAATACTGCGGAAATGTCAAGGAGTGTTTGTGGAGGAGGTCATGGGCAACTTACACGAGTGTGGACGGAGTTCCCTCTGGCACGACCTTGAAGCGCAACAAAGATGACGGTACCCACAACTGGAATGAAGTTGAGAGGCAGGTACATGACATAGCGGATGAATGCCTTTGGCGTGAACCTCTCAAATGGCGACTTGATGAGCTTGCCGAGCTTCTCCATAGGGTCATTGAAGTTTCCTGATTTCAATTGACGACCTTCGGAAAGGACCCCAGTCTGTCTGCGAGAAACCAAGACTCCATCGAATGTATCCACCAATGCATCTTGTAACAAGAAAGTTCGCGAGAGGAGGTTGATCAAGGTGGACGATTCGCTGAGGGTGAGCAAGATCGTTGTGAAGGCAGCTAATGGGCCGTTGACGAACACGAGCACGGCAAGTTGCGGCAGGTATGCTACCAAGAACATGGCCACAACCACAACCACAGAAAGAGATAGGGTTGGTGCAAGCTTGGATAGGAGAGGCTTCCACAGCGATCGGTGGCTCAAGAAGTAGAAAATGCCCTGGATGTGTCAGTACGTTTCTACAGCTCCTCTTACGAGAGATAGCACGGTAGAGCACAACATACCTTGATGGGATACAAGTATGCACCAGACTTCGCGGCAGATTGTGCCAAAGCTCTGGCCTTGTTAAAGTCCTCGATACTGCAACAAGTCTCGTCAGCTCTATATCCCATGCAGACGACCGCGGATTTGTTCCACTCACGCCACCTCTTTGGCCTTCGCCTTGGTCTTGTCCATTGTGCTTGACATCTTCGAGGGTAATTGCGGTACTGTGTACTTTTGCAATGGGTTTTGAATGTATTAGAGAGATTATCTGGCGGATTATCACCAGAAAACGTTGCAGTGAAGTGGAATATAAACAATCCAGCTCAGCCTCGAAGTTGAATGATCGCGCCAAGCCTGCAAAACTTAGTGACGTAGTTGTGGCTGAAGCTCTACTCGTAGCTCCTCCCCTCGCTAGGCTTTATTAAGCGGCTTGCCCCGCGTTTTCAGGGGCAACGAAGGCAGGCGAGGCAGGGCAGGGCGGGCATGTGAAGATCGGACGATCCATCTCCTCGCTTGTTGCCAGCGTTTTCCATCCAGACATCTGCACCTTTAGATCATATCCAGATCCAGGTGAGGAAAGGAGAGGAACTCCTTCATTTACTTGCCTGGTATATTTGGATAGCGGCTCTATCTCTGCTGCAGATCTCACTTCACATGCTGCTCCAAACTTTGAAATCGCCAGATATCATTCAGCAGAGCCATTGATTTTCGTGGCTTCATAACATAATGCAAGTAAATACAGGCCCCTCCCTAACCGAACTTTTCCCAGAATATGAAACCAATAGCGCATTCCCGGTATTGGCCTATCCAATGATCCGCGTCTACTCAGTAGGCGTAAAATACCTGTGTCTCATCCGCATTCTGTCGGATCTTCTTGTTCGTTCTCTGGAGCCAAATTCTCAATGCCCAAGACGCCGCAATTGTAGCGAAAGCAAATCCACTGTTCGCTCCCATTCCAATCAGGTATTTCGGCCCGTCGGACTTGGGATACAGGTATGCAGTATAGATGTAACTCGCGTTCGCAACCACGTTCACGATTGAAAGTGAGATAGCTTTCTTCTCATTTGTCTGTCCCAAGGTGGCAGAAACCCAGCCCAAGATGACGGAATTGACAGCGTATGCTCCAGATGCGAACAAGAAGCAGGAGATATAGCGAGCGGCAGTGTTCATGGTAACGCAGGAGATTATGAACCCCACCATCGCAAGACCCATGCTAATGGTGATGTGCCAGGTTCGTTCGTTCAGCTTGCCAGAGGTAAGACCAACGAGGTATCCGACGAAGCCAGAAACGAGATATGGTGGACAAGTGAGGGCTAGGGTGACGGTTCTGTTGAAGCCGAGCGACCCGACCACGGTAGGGAAGAAGTTGTTGAATGAGCATGCCGAGAGATGCATGTTCTGGATGAAGCACAGGAGATAGAGTCTTGGATCTCTAATGGCTTGCTTGAACCCCTCCTTTGCACCCTTGTTCGGGGCGAGACCGACGGTATCTTTTTCGATTCTCTCGACAGCCATAATCCTCTCCTCGGGTGTCAACCACTTGGTGTTGCTGGGGTGATCTGGTAGGAGGTACATGGCAGCTAATGCGACGCCAAAGGTAACGATTCCTTCGATGATGAAGAGCCTGTATACATGATCAGACCATTTGCGAATAGAAAAGGTGAGCATAGTCATTGGCTTACCATTGCCATCCCTTGATTCCTTGAGCGCCCTCGATTGTGTTGTACACGGCCGCAGCAATCAATCCAGCGAACGAGGTTGCGAAGATGTTTCCGCTGTACAAGATAGCAATTCGAGTAGCTACCTCCTTTCTAGTGTAGAAGATACTGAGAAGATACAAAGCACCGGGGTCTAACATTGGTCAGTAAGTTGAGCACAATAGTGTATCGTTGACAGATCGAGACTCACAGAATGGCGCTTCAGAGATTCCAAGAAAAAATCTGACTGCAACGAGCCCGGCATAATTGTGAACTTTAGCAGTCATAGCGGAGACGAGAGCCCAGGCAGCCATGCAAGCTCCCATGTAGAGTGAAGGACGGATCTTGGTTGAGGACATCAACATATTGGAAGGAATCTGCATAAGAAGATATCTGCAAATCATCAGTTTTCCGAAGTACATGAAAATGAAGAGCTAACATACCCAACAAACAAGATAGATATACAAGTGTTGTACTGCGAGCCAACCAGGCCTAGATCATCCTCGAGACCACCCAATCTAGCATTGGCGATGGCGTTTCTGTCAAGATAGTTCATGAAATACATTGCCCAAAGAGTAGGCATGATTCTGATATCGAGCTTTCGTACCAAAGCGATCTCAGCAATGTCGGTCTTCGCAACAGCGCCGGAATAATCGCCGACGTGGTCCTTGCCAGCAACCTCGAGGTCTTCATTGTGGCGAGCATAATCTGCCTTCTCGTCTGAAACGCGTGCTGCCATTTTGAGAGTGGTTTGTAGTGTGCTTCGGGCAAAGAAGATTGGTGGAATTCTCCAACTTGACAATAAGAATGCTGATGTATGAAGAGTGAGGAGAGAGAGAATGGGGAAATCAAGCCATGCATATATAGATGACGAAGAGAGAAATGAGATGATGAAAACGACCGACATGTCCACTAGTCCACTTTGAAGGCTTTCCCCGGACCTCCACAGCTGTTCCTCTCCAGACCCCAGAATCTAGACTCCTCACTTCCTCGGTGAAAGCATCGATTTCGTGGCAGCTGTCACATAGTATCCTGAATTCAGCGGGGTGCGGAGAATCGGGGTCGTCCTGTGATGTCCGGAGAAGCGCTGCGCCGACCGCCTAGGGGTGGCTTGTTGCGAGAAGCTTTTCTGTCTTAGGTAGAAATTTATTGTGAAGTTGTGGTGGGATCAATCAAATTTCTTGCCAAATAAATGTTGAGATCTACTGGCATTGCTTACTCTAATTTTGTGATTCTGGGTTGACCACCCCATTGTCTAGCATCTTTGTAGTACATCGTATTTCATGCTTCGGGCCGTGGTACTTCAGGTTCCGTCCAGTTGCAAGATGCGATGTTTTGTTTTTCGTGGACTTTTTCACTGCTGGTTCAACAAATTTTGAGCCTTGCTGATCTGTCACAGCAGCCATTATTTCATTGAACAAAACAAGGCAATAATCTAGCTTAGGTAGCTGTCCATAGATGATATTTCGAGACTTGGTAAGCTAAAACTGCTAGTTAGCATTACCAACAACACAACTTCGGCATGAAGCAATGTGTCAGTGAATATGGACATCATAAGAACAAGATCAACGAGTCGCATGTAACTATTTCGAAATACTTATCCCATTTCGGGGGTTTATTTGCCCTCCAGCTAGTATTATGTGGTTTGCACTTGGTTGTGCTGATGTCATATAACCGCTTCACGACACTAAACGTCCCTAGAGCCTCCACAAGTACCACAGGTATCACAAATGACAATAGCTTTCGGAATGACCCATTTGTTCTAGGGCGGGGTGCTATCCATTCGGTTACCTTCGGCAGAGATCAGTACTGTATTTCTATTTGAAGTTTGAAAAAGTCAGTAGTCGACCGTGGGACCGAGATGTGACTTGGTGTTAAAATCTGGCTCGGCTATCGGTAATGTTTGAAAAGACTTCTGCTTTGGATACACTCCTTTTGATATCCATCACTAGACGAATCTGCCTTTTCTTCGCATCCTGTACTCCGCTAAAGAAACCTTCTTGCAACCCATCCAAATACAATTCATATGCTGGCATATAGACTTGCACTGTAAGAGAAATATCAGTATTATGCCCAAAACAACTCTTCATAGGCAGACAGAGGGAAATACTCACCGAATTTCACAACCTGCTCGTCAGTCATTCCACTCCCCTTTTTCTCTAGCAGCGCATGTTCCTGCTGTGTCCTCCAAATATACACATTCGCCAGATCATCCGTGTCAAGATGTACAAAGAAGTCGAAATTCTGCGGCCCCATGAATCCTCTACAGTATTGGTCTAACTGTTCGTTAACCCAGAGCAAGTGACTCAACTCATGATCGGCAATTGTCGAGGTCGAATAGTCAGACTCGGGCGGTGTCTCAATTTTTACTGTCGACGATCTTATTTGTATTGCATCTTGATGTTTCTTGTCGACTGCTTCCCTCGCAATTGGTCTAAAGCCAACACACCATCCCTCAAAGATGACAACATCTACTGGTCCATGGACTGTCCTCCACTGATCCCGAGGCGATCGATCACCGTCACCTTGGAAGAGACTCTTGTCAAAGATAGGGATCCATATATCAGACTGAGGGCTCTCGAATTGCTCAAAGAACTCTTTGGCGAGCTGGGTATCATGAGTGCCCGGCTGTCCCCTCGCACCTAGCAACTTATTCTCAGGATGTTGCAGTCGCAGCGCTGTCCGTTCTTGGTGCGGCAGGTAGAAATCATCAAGCGATACCTCAATCGCGTTGTATTGGTGTTTTTCACACAGCTCTTTCACGAGCGCAGATGCGAGGTGAGACTTCCCAGAGCCTGTCGACATAAATCAGCTTGGGAATACAAGATCCCAAACGAATGCGAGGAAAAATACTAGAAGCGTACCCTGAAGTCCAGTTACTCCTAGAATGAATGGACGATGCCCATCTCCATGAGACTGATTCTTGATCTTTTCTTGGATGCGTGGAATGACATGCTCCAGAACTACAGATGCTCGGTTATCCCCCATTTTCAATAGTTCTGCTGTCTGGAGCGTGTACTGCGAGCCGTGGATCACAATTGTCAGAAAGAAGAAATTCCGCCAACAAATCTGTCAAGATTTACTCGAACCTTGTAATGGTTCTAAACCTCGTTCATCCCAAAAACACGAAAACACAGAATTGAACTTAGTATGACTGAAGTGGAGTTCCATGGGAAGCATTGACAGGCTTCGGAGAAGCGAAATCCCGGCAGCTGCACTCCGGAGAAGCTATCTTTTTCGACCCCGCGCCACCAGTACCCCACCACAGCCATCACTTCTAGTTTCGAATGTTTAGATCTATATATCGTGTAGAATTTAATCTTGCTGGCTCATCAGTTTCCTCGATTCTAAACATCAATTCCTTCTCTGACCGATTTCATAGCCAACCGTCTCAAGAATTAAGAAGACATCATCAAAATGAGCCCGTCACTAGTCCAAAGCCAGCCAACCTACCGAATTGCCTCGATACCAGCAGATGGTATTGGCCCAGAGGTAATTGAGGCAGGTGTTACAGTTCTCAAGAAGCTCGCCGCAACACTCAAAACTTTCGACCTCGACTTCACCAATTTTGACTGGGGCAGCGACACTTACAAGAAGACGGGGAAATATATGCCAGATGACGCATTGACGACTCTGAAGAAATTTGACGCTATTCTTTTTGGTGCTGTTGGCGCACCTGGTACGTGATTCTCGACAAAAGATTGTTGTTTTAGCCAATGCCTTTGGGTTTTAACTTACTCGGAATAGATGTCCCCGATCATATTTCCCTGTGGCAGCTCCGTTTGGCAATTTGCCAACCTCTCCAACAATATGCCAACGTGCGCCCAACAAAGGTTTTCAAAGGTACACAATCACCACTCCGGAACTGCAAAGCCGGCGAATTGGACTGGGTCATTGTCCGTGAGAATAGCGAGGGCGAGTATGCAGGTCACGGCGGACGGTCTCATACCAACCAGCCATGGGAGGTCGCTACGGAAGTCTCGATTTTCACACGCCATAGTGTAGAGAGAATTATTCGATTTGCGTTTGAGATCGCTAAGGGAAGGCCTAAGAAGCATCTTACTGTTGTGACGAAGAGTAATGCTCAGAGGAATGGAATGGTTATGTGGGACTCAATTGCGGCAGAGGTGGCCAAGGACTTTCCGGATGTGCAGGTTGACAAGATGCTTGTTGATGCTATGACGGTGAGAATGGTGCTAAAGCCTGAGTCATTGGATACGATTGTGGCCACCAATCTGGTAAGTGCCGTGATGATCTCCAAAAGAGCAATCATGAACTAACTTATCTCTAGCACGCAGATATTTTGTCGGATCTCGCTGCTGCTCTTGCCGGATCGATCGGCATCGCACCAACCAGTAACCTCGACCCAACAAGAGAGAACCCCTCCATGTTTGAACCTATCCACGGTTCTGCATTCGATATCACTGGTATGGGAATTGGTAAGAAGCCTCATAACAAACATCAAGATTAAGACTAGTACTGAGATACATTAGCCAACCCTGTTGCCACATTTTGGACCGCCTGCGAGATGTTGACATGGCTTGGAGAGAAAGAAGCTGCGGGCAGTCTTCTAGATATCGTTGAGAGTGTTTGTGAACAGGGAATTATGACGAAGGATCTTGGTGGATCGGCTACCACGCTTGAGGTGACGACGGCTGTATGCAAGGAGATCGAAGCGAGACTGGGGAAGCCGAAGACTGTATGATCGATCTGATAGCCGTTTCTCACTTTGTCTAAACAACGTTTTGGGTGCAATCTACAAATTGATGACGCATGGTTAGTCTCCGTGCCCTGGTATCCGGTTGGATGTAAGACCCAATTCTTGGGTTATATTTCCAGACTCGTTTGAGTCGAACAAATATCAACCTATCCCTTCCACTGCGAAACGGAACACTTTTTGCACCTTTCGTAGAGTGGAGTCGACTAGAGAGTAGCGAGCCTTGGGTAGTATGTTATATGGAGCCTCCCAAACTTTAGGTAGCAAATATTGCGTCGTTTTGCTAGTGGAGCCTCATTTATTTCTGAAGATCTTACCCACAGTTACAGCACTAATTATCTTGGTACTCCACTTTATCGAGCATCAACAAAGTGTTCCGTTTCGCAGTGGAAGGGATAGGGTCGGGGAGCTTGCGTCAATTCCATGTCATACTCAAAGCTTCTGTAATTCGTCTCTATCATTCATAGAAGAACAAAACGTAGTAGTACTGTGCCTTGCAAAGAAGACATAATAAATACATGGAACGAAGGCCTGGACGACTACAATCTATTCTCGCCTTCGTAGTATCGACCAGAGAAATTTGGCTCAACCATCTGCTCACCCAGCTGGTAAGACGCATCCATCAGTTGGAAAATATTTTCAACTCCGTCGAAATGATTTCCCATGTCAAACATGCCATTCATGCCAAACAGTGTAGCATCGGTGAATTGATCTGGCGGTAAAGTGCTCGCCGCTGGACGGGACATTGAGGTAAAAGGTCTTGGGATACTACGATCGCCCTGATTGCCACCGATTTGAGAGGATTGCTGTGAACTCATGGACCTGAAGTCCGTATTTGCTGTAGGGGGAGAGGTAGACTCGTCCCCTTGTAGAGAGCTGTCAGGTCGGAGCCCATTTAGCTGTTGCTGTTGTTTTTGTCGACTTTGTAGTACATTGGAACTCGTACTAAGGGTATCGATTGGTCTCGGAATACTGCTTTTTGGTGATTGCCCCGGTCCAGACACATTATGGAAGCCATTTAAAGATTTGCTTGCCAACGCTTTATGTAAATCTCTTAAAGCGGAAGCACATGCTCCTGGCCAGACACTTCCTCTCATAGCTAGAATGTCTAGGATTTTGATACATCGTTCGGTATCTCTAATATAGGTCAAGAACTTTCCTCCCTTAGTTAAAGGACCATTACTTACCGTTGAGCTAATTGCACCGAGTAATGGCCCTCGGACGCAGCGTAGACTAGTATCAGCCCACTGCAGAAAAAGTCAGCAGTCACTAGGACGTCCCGTCGTACCGAAAAGTCCACACACCTCATCCAGATGCACCAAGTAAATCCCGGCCAGCATAACGGGTTGAGAATACGGCCATCACGAGACCCCGATTCATCCATGCCCGTTTGTAAGTGTTGATAGACTTTTGATACAATCTGTTTCGAAGCTCCGATACATTTCTGAACCGCTGATGCAAACATAGATGAACATGGTGCTGAGGTGATGACAGGGCGGTTAAGCAGGATAGTTGATTCATGCTTTTGCACAATCAAGAGCAGCTTGTGTGACTCTTTCAGAGACGAAGCATGTCCCGGGCTGGTCAAGTCCCCGCCAGGTTCTTCGTCCTCCATGTAATGAGGGTCTAGCAAGTCTTGGGCTTCATTCCACCATTTTGAGATCTCCGAATCAACATGTGCAGCTTCATCCGGGTCCGTGGTGCGATGTAAAACTGATTTATGACGAAGCTCCAAGATTAAACCTTTGATGTAGCCATGCCGAGCAAGAAAAGCCGGAAGTAAGAGCAATCGTGGGTCTGGAGTAATCAGTATATATATGTATGGGATGTGAGCTCAATACCTTGAGGCCGCTGTACATTTTGTTCTTCGCCAAGATCGTCTACATGAAGCTCTTTGTCGGAGTAGCATACATCAACATCGTCGTCTTTGATGTCGAGCGGAAGTCCAAGAGATTGAGACAGATATCTTTCAAGGCTGTATATGGTCCAGAAGAGTCTCCTACGCATGTCCGCATCAGCAACAGAAAATTGCTGGAATCTAGATGGACATCTATGAAGTCCAAGTTGGAAGGCAATTCTCGTTATCAATCCACCAATTCTTGAAGCTGCGTTCAAGCGCAACATCGACACCAAAAATAGCTGTATTGCAACGAGCGCTTGAAGACTAGCTAGTGTCGACGGCTGTAGAAGTATTGGAGTCAAGCACGATATGGCATCGTCGATAGTATTGAAGACCAAATTTGAAGACACGAGCTTTCCACGACTCGGAGGCATTTGTCGTCGATCAGCCACTGATATTGATAGCACTGAACGAACTGTTATCGAATCGACCAAGCTGAGGCTCCGTAGTCCGTCCAGAGATACCCTTTCAAGCACCCCAAGAATACTAGGTGCATGAAGAAATGGAAAGGGAGGATGCCAATTGTCCCAGTACTGTTGGCTCCAGCAGGCGAGATCATCGAATGTCGCAACATGCGAAGGATGAGGGTCAGAGAGCTGAATGATCTCGCTAGGGTGCCATATACAGCCTGATGGGCTTCCACTTTGCAGACGGTCATCTTCTCCAGGAACGAGTGCCTCATCGATGGCATCGCTCTCGCGGCGGTAGTTCCTAGCAAATGCCGACTGCACAGTTTTTACGAAGTATATACCGCTTCCACTTCCGACGAAGCTTGAAGAGCCTTTCGAGAGACTTGGTCTCATGTGACCGAGCTCTTGCGGAGAAGCGCTAGTCATGTTGGCGGAAGACATGGACTGTCGCCGGCGTTTTCGCCTGGATTCTCCATCTCGTGGTGAGTAGGAGTCCATCCTGCTATGGATCGTGGATATGGAAACTTCGGACGGTAGTCAAGGTCATGCTGTTTAATATAAAATTGGTTGCAGAAAGAGTGAGGCACCAGCTGGTCCGAATGAAGACCTGAGTTTAGGTTTGCGGGGTACAGTCGAGCCTGGGGAACAAGCTTAGCGAAGAGACCAGCGCGTGGGGACAGACAACACAACAACACGGCTACAAATAATTCCGTAATTAATGTTATTTATAATTACATTTATCCACCTAGGTATTTTTATGGCCCGTTTGAAATCCAAGGTCCGTAGGCCTCTGACTCTCTGAAACATTTTCAAAAAGAACGATCCGGATCACACTGGAAATAATTTAATCCTGGAAAGTTAGCGAGTTTTGAACGGCATGAACCCCTGGACTCGAATACCTGGCATACCTAGGCAGGTTGCAAGACATTTTTGGCCCCAAACACTCGATACTCGACAAGTTACTTGTTGAATGGGTATGGTGGAATCAGATATATTTTAGGGTTATTAGATAGGTAGCCATGACATGCGAGGCATGGGATACTTCCTGCAACATCATCGTTCGCTAATTTAATCCAGATAACGACTTGGCTAATCGAAGAACGAAGCTCGCCAGTCTTGACGAATCTAATCTAGATTTCTCTTCCACAGTAGGTCCGGTCCAGAACCTCAACTGATTGTTGGCATTGAAATGACTAGAAGGTGTGTTCCGGGCCAGATAGGTAATAAGGTACCTAGTTCAAGCCACAAGAAGTCAGCTGGTGAACCATCACGAGTTCCCCACCTTCTACCTAACTTACATACTGCTTGACGCACAGCGACAGGGTTCGGCTTTCGCTTCTCCGCCCTTTTTCCTCAAAAATCCAAGACTGTGAGTACAAACAGTCAAGGAGAAACGCTCTCCTGGAACTCGTCCTTCTCCACAACCATTCAAAAACTGGACTGTGGGCCATATGATTCGCTGAAACCACGCGCGATTGGCAATGCGCCCGACCGCTCACATGAGCACCAAATCATGACCGAGAATCACGGTGGTTCTTGTGAGCCTTGCAAGAGGAAGAAATGTAAAGTGAGAATTCTTTTCATCAACAAATGGACATGGCCTAAGCTAATATTTCTTCAGTGTGATCGTCAATTGTAAGATTCGGTTCTACGGGATTCTTGGGAAGGAATTCTCGTCCAGATTTTCAAGATCACTAACACCTCTCAGGCCGTCCTGTGGACAATGCGAAATATCTAAGCTACCATGCACATACGGCGAGAGCACTAAACGGTACTCTCCCTATTCTCCGTCCTAATTCAACCATCTCACTAACCAAAATTTCTGCAACAGAGGCATACCAACCGGATATCTTGGCCTACTGGAGCAACGATTAGGCGAGACTGAAGTCTTGCTCTATCGCGCTCTATCCGAGCTTCGAGCTCTCAAACTCCAGCAGAACAGTTATCCTGGTGTAACTAGCACGTTGGACATCCCTGATCCTATCACAAGGGAAGCCAATGCCCCGAAGCCAGTCAGGATGGAGGAATGGAAGGAGTATCCATTGAAGTATGAAGAAGAAGTTGAGAGATGGAGACAGTATATGAGCGGAGGAAGAGAAACTTCCATTGGCTATGGTAGGCTTACTTATGCTCCTGTCAGTCAATTCTTTTTAACCAAATCCAGACGAAGGATTTTCGGGCGAGCAATCTCAAGTAAACAACTCATATTACAGCAACCCAACAAACCAATTCTCCAATCCAGACCCATCACAAACATACCATGATACGGATATGGATTTCAATGTTGCGGCAGGTCTGGTAGGGCTCTCCCAAAGCCATGGTCAGATCCAGTTACAAACTCAAAACACAAACAACGCCCATATCCCACCACCATCCCAACACACCAACGTCCTGAACCCCAGATTCTCCAACCCAATGCCTCCTCTCCCAGACTCTGCGAATAATCCTTCGCTCCAATCAAATTATACAGCCGAATTTAATTCTTCAAAGGATTTGCACATTAATCGAGGAATATCTAATCAGAACCTTGATCTCGACCAGAACCCACAAACGAATGCCATACTTGAAGGGTCAAGCTCTAACACTGCAGTTGGATGGGAAACTCCACCTTCTGATCCTACTTCTGGTGCAACAGGTCAAAATGCAGGAACCCAAAGGCCAGTTGAGTTGCTGAGGTCGCAGCAGTTGTCTGCGGCGTTCAAGAACATATATTATTGAGATAACGGTAATTACAATAGTGTTCAATAGTAACGAAGATAGGAATCAAAGATGGCGCACGACTTGTTCCTCTATATTTTATCGCTAGAAGGCAGATTAAACTTGATGTTGGGGATTTCAGAACCGGCAGCATACTCCTTTCATCTAAGTGACAATAATCCTTTACATGACAGCATTTCGACAAAGTATCAATCGTCTCCTTATGCTGAGGCTACAAGGTACGTACATTGTATAATAAGCTTGCTTGAAGGTGACGAAGTTGATATCTCGCTTAGATGTTGACCTGACCAGGGGCCTAGGACAAGACTACATACAATATTATTAACTTGGGAAGATGACGATAAGCTGCTAAATTTCTAGAGAGAGTAGTGCTAGCTTATATTGTTTCGAAATTAGTTCAGACTAGCAGAGCTAACACTACTAGCACTTTCCAACATTAAGTAGAGAGACCTTAAAAAAGGAGCGCTAGCCACTGTGGAGTGCAACAAATATTGTTAGCAGAGATGACTGAAAGCAGGCGAAGGTTGGTTTACTCGTGAACTTTTCTCACGGCCGTCGTCAGAGTTGTCTCTTTTTCCGGCGCCAGTTTTCCGTTCCTGTGTTCCAGAGCTTTTCGGGTGCGTGTTCATTATCTTATCATCGGAGATCGGATTTACTGTCGCGCCGGCTTTTTGAGCTAAAATGTACGGAGCTCGAAATGCTTAGCATTCTCTCCATCTCTTATTCGGTCCCGGTGTTTGACTTTCGACCTCGTCAACATCTAATCTGACGCCTCACAATATCTACATAATGTCTGCTCTAGCAGGAGTAAAGGGTGAGACAGGTTCACAGGCAGCAAAATCGTTGGTAAGTCTCTCATTTTCTTTGCAAGCTTCGCCACTACTGCCACTTCTCAACGCGCAAACGTTTATATTGAGTTCATCCCTTTCCTACGTAGCCTGCTGACTTGTCTGGAAATAGTACCGACAATTATTACGACAGGGAGCGCAGTTTGCATCATACAATTTCAGAGAATACGCCAAACGGAGGACGAGAGATGCATTCCGAGAGCATAAGGATGTGACGGACTCTAGAGTGATTCAGGAACTCATGCAGAAGGGCTTAAAGGAACTACAATCTATGAAGGTATGGGCAGTCTTCCTGGGTTCTGTTGGGACCATCTGCAAAACCTCCATGGCGGGAGAAGTGACGACGAAGCATAGGCGGAGATAGCACGGTCTATTCGGCTACCTATGGATGAAGAAGATCCTGGGATAATGCTGACGGAAAACAGAGACAAACAGTTGTCAGTCAATTCTTCCAGTTGGACAGACTTGTGGTCGAAGGAGGCAAATCGGTACAGCTTCCCACCCATTGGAACAATCTCATATCCATTGAACCTTTGTTGACTTTTGGTATAGGGAAAGCAAGGCGGCCAGAGAAATGACATAGTCAGACAGAAAGATACTGGGTAAGCTAGTCGGTATCTGTCATGATCCACGGGTTTTGTCTAACAGATTTGCAGATGGGATTGATGAGCCAACGATTAACGAAGGACCAAGATCGAACGGATAATTAGATGGTGTACTGAGCATCATGGGAGAATGACCATACTGTACATTCCTGTAACATAGGCTACTTTGGGAAATTTATACCAAGCATCATGGATCATTTCCGCTCCAGCCACCTAGATTTAATTAATGAAAGTTGACAATGGGAGCTCCTCCCAAGCGCATTCTCTTCTATGTATATCGGCTTCAGAAATACATGGAGGCCGAAACTTTAAGCCGCCACAAGATAGAAACTTCTCAACTTGAAGCCTAAGACCGTACTTTTGAAGCACATAAGACTTGCAGATAGTGTTGCTTCCAGGTCCGAATCAGGCAAGGCTTTTTTATAGGAAGGAATCAGAAGTATTGATACCGCTAGCTTTCTTGTAGCTTCTCGCAAATACCTCAAGTATGCATTTTACGTCGGTGAAAGAGCTTCACTGAGGAAACTCATACATACTTAAAGTCTCCTCATACTGGTTTGGAGATCGCCCAGAAGGCCCCCGTCCAGCGCGATTTCATCAGCCTCGTCACGTGACACACAAACGCCAAGAGCTGTGAAGTCGCGGTCCAGGGCAACATCGCGAGAACCTCAAGGCTATCCACCAGCCCTGATATCCAGCAGCTTCCCTTCCTTAATCTTTCTCTAGAAGCATTCCATAACCCAGGCGCATCATACTCTGGATACATGTGAGTTTGAATCACTACCTAACCCCGAAAGTCCCATCAATTGATCTGTCTGTCGCACCTCAACATTGCATTTGCTAATTATTGCGCCTCTTGATCCAGTATACTTACTCCAAGCCATTCGGCGGCCGTTCGAAGCTAGAAGAAAACAGTCAGGTGCAGATCGCTGGGAGGTCATATGGGGACTGGATCATTGCGACAGTACCACAAATATCGGAACGTCAGCGGTCTCGACGAATATCACTAAACCCTCCGCCAGACAGTGAGAGATCCGACGCATTCGGATAAGCTAGTCGATTGGGACCTGAGCACATATCACACCACTACCTGACCGGGTATCTCAATTTGCAGTGGCACGAAAGTAGCAAATCTGGGTAGAAGGTCGCAAAGCGCGCGGAGTGAGCGACAGCTTGATAAACTCTCCAGCGGTAAATCATGGCACCTAGTGTAAGCTTCATCCACTCGTCGGCAGGCTCCTCTCTCATGTATTTTAGTATCGCAATGCCAGTAGGCGTCAAAATCGTCCCGGAGTCGACCATGGGGAGTACGAAGGTATACCAATCCGTCACTGGCGCCGTGATTTTGTCACAGTAGCACCTCCGCCAACAACAGACAGTACGACATCTCAAAGCGACATTTGGGCTATTGAGCTTCCCTATGGAATGCCAAAAGATTCGCACCTCTTACCTCAACACAGTCAAGACCTATTACGTGCCGCGCGATCGGGGAAGATCTATAAACGGCCGGCACCCGCCGATGAAGAGGAGGCTGACCCTGAAACGGTCATTGGTGACAAGCCTGAGAAGAAAGACGAGGACCTGAAAGAGAAGGGATTTACCGCGAAATCATGGAAGCAGGTGCCTCGACATCTAGAGGGAGCGGACGTTGTGTATTTGGCCAAGAGACGAAAGGGATTGGTTACTGCTTCTTCCAAGCCACTGCCGGTCCCAACTGTGACCAAAGCGACAGTGAAGCGAATTGATGCCGCAGGTAATGAATACGTCCAGGATATTGTCGTGCCTCAAGGCCAGGTGGTAGAAGGAGAAGTTCTTTCACAAACTCAGATTCCAGATCCGAATGCACCTGTTGGTCTGGCACCGGTCCAAGCCACGCCTCCTAGACCCAGGCCAAAATCAAAGAAGAAAGCGAAAGGGCCCGGAAGAGGACGAAAGAAGAAGCCAGTGGCCCCCACTAGTGCGCCTCAGGTCCCACTGGCTGTTGGGGCGGCTCCCTTGCCAACAACTGAGGGAACAGTTGGTCCTGATGTGAGTACAGTTAACAAAGTGATGCGGCCAATGCTAATCGACGATAGGGAATCAAGCTTGAGAAGGAAACAAGCTCGACACCAGTATCCAATGAGGATACCGAGATGGGAGAGGGTTCGGCAGCTAACTCAGACGATGATGATGGCGAGGACGGTGAAGACGGCGATGAAGGGGATGATGACGAAGGTTCTGTTGATCCCCAGGATTCACCATCGAAACCATCACAACAGTCCCCCTCAGCCGCTTCGGCGCCAATACTACCTCCAATCACACCTCTCGATCAAGCTGATGTTTCCATGGGAGGAACGGAATTTCCTCACGTGCCACCGAGACTTCTGACCGACCGGTTTGAGGCGAAGTCAGGAAGCCCACTGAAAAACGTTGTCATGACCACCTCTACACTCACTTCGCCGCTTGAACCACCATCAGCCTCGTCACCAACAAAAGATTTACCAGAAGTCCACCCCTTAGCATCGGAGGATACTCCCTTGAGCGCTAAAATGGAGACGCTCGAAGAAGAGATGCAACAAGAAGTGCATAGAATGGCTCCTGATGACATTCCACTTCCACCACCAGAACCCACGAATGTAGAGGTGGCTGCGGCCATAGCGGAGCGGGTTGAGGAGGAAGAGGAAGAGGAAATGCTCTTGGATATTCTGGACAGGGCAAAAAACGCTGAGATTGGTGCACCACTCGATTCTCCTTTAGTGTCCGCTAGCCCGGCACATCGGAGCCCCCCAGTCGAAACGGATGCTGCTCCATCCGATCCTGCTCCTCAGGTTGAGAGCGAAGTTCACTCAACCCACGCCACACCTCAGGCAGTGGTCATATCGGAACCAGCTCAAGAGGGAAAAGCTCCCTCCCCCGAGGTTAAAGAGACCCCAGGAGAGCAAGAAGCTGTCCCAATTCCACCTCCAGCTCCAATCTCCGAATCTGTTCCAGTTGCTGAGTCAGAAGCTCCTCTTCGAGAGCCGTCCACCATTGACGAGGATGATGATGACAATTACCCGGATTTACTTGGTGGCTTAGAGAAGTCTTTGAAAACACCTGAAGCGAGAGTTGAGACACCAGTTGCTGCCCCTGTGTCTGAGATCTCTCCTGAAATGGAGAAGGCTGTAGTTGATGCTAGCGTAGGGGACGGACTCGCTGAGGTGACCGAGGCGACTGAGGAAGAGGTCAAGAAGGATGAGCAGAATACTCATGATTCGGAAGAAGGAATGCTGTTGTGAAAGGAATGTTCGCTTAGGCGTCTATGGTTGGATGTTAGGTAAAGGCTGGATTGGCGCTAGGCAATTATTGGGTATACTTAGCTTGGGATATTTGCTTTCATAGTGTGTACATTACTTTAAGTTCTTCAAAGATGCCGTCCTGTAGACTTCGCGTAAATTGGCACTTTTTAATCGAAGAGCCTAGATGTACACCACGTGTTCCAGGTGATGAGTGTTCTACAATTTGGGATGTGGTGAATGCCATAGAAGCAAAACACTCGATATTTTGTAAACTTCGTGTCAGGAAAGCCAGGCAATTATCCAAAATCCTATTACTTTTTCGGGAAATGGCTTTATAGGTACTCACGCTCCTGTTCCTGATCGGGTGTTTCACTTTGTAACATGGGTTATTAGACTGTCTGAAATGTCGAATAATGATGTCGATATCGAGCTTATATTGAATATAGAGGTGTGTTTCAGCGCCAGTAAAGATACTCAAGCCGATTTAAGGTAAGTCATTGAATAATTAATCCACTCGTTGCTAGACATTAGTCAGATGCTTTGTTTCTTGAGTGTTATACGCCGAGGTGGCTTCAAGATATTCACCTTTCTCGCACTAGCTGGGAGAAATGGTCTTAGGGCACGAAAAGCAGTGTCTGAGGGGATTATCATACCTTGAACCCTCTACTCCAATCCTACTTCTGTATTTCTTCGTAGGTAAATTGGCAATGTGATGGATAACCTCAAGATAGGCCCCCCCCCCCCCCCCCCACCCCCCCCCCCCCCCCCCCCCCCCAGTTTACAGATATAACGATTGAACAGTCGAATGAACAGATCAATAACTTCTGGAGAAAAACACTCGTGTTAGAAGTGCTTACTACATGATAGAGGAAACTTGTTCTCAACTCACCAAGTCCTGGACTCTGGAACCTTTGATACGCCGCGGAATCAAGGTATAATGGCTTGACAAATGCTGTTTCGTTAATTTCATGGTAAAAAAAATTCTTTTGGGTTATTTATTGAGCATTACACTATAATAATCTATCTATAGGAGCCATTCTTGAGGGGAATCCGTTCCGATTCATGTTGGTTTCCCAAAATAACAGCTCAATAATTAAGTTCAAAAGCTCAAAAAAAAAAAAAAAATTGGCTCTCTACTCATGATTCCAGAGCTTAGTCGCAGGAAATATTCTCGTCTACCACTTTTGCATCGCTGCTGAAAGGCTACAGAGTGTGACATCAAGACGAGTCTTTGCAAACTCTTTGTTTACGTTGGAAGCAAATCGCTCGGTAAATAGAGTTTAAGATCTGACCCATCTAAGCGAATGACGATCTTTCAGGCAGAAAAGGGGGAAACAAGGGTCATGTTGAAGAAGACTTTGATTGATTGTTATCAGCACAACTGGTGGCATTCACCGGAAATAGCACAGTAATAATCTTCTTACCTTGCGGCAGGATTACCTCTTAGGGTGAAGTTCCTGAGTGGTATGAGACATACGGATTGGGCGGAATATCTGAGTCTCACGCACCACCCAGTCGGGAGCTTTGGCAAATTGATCTTTTTCAAGATCACTAAACTTTTCCATTGAGAGGGTCGAATTTCACTCAAGATCAGAACCAGCTAATGAGGCACAGCAGCAATCCTTTCAAAAGAGGAAAATTTTGTCAGCTACTCTAGTGTATGCGTGCTCCACATGCGGAACTGACCCAGATGTAGGCAGCTTTTGATAGGTACGATCGGTGACGGGCTCCGCCGATCCAAGGCTTAATAAGAATTTACACACGAAACAATGCACCTGGTACCTCTTTATATACTTGGCATCTCTGTTCAGCTTCGTGCAACGCAATCTTCTCCTAGACTCAACATTAAATCTCCAAAGCCAGAACCTCAGAGCAGAAGCAGAAATGGAGTCGATCAATGGACATAGCAAAGCATGCTGTAACATCCCACCCGTTGTCTCGAAGGGCTACGAGATCAAGGGCAAGTATGAAACCATTGGAGGCTTGAAGACTTGTAAGTATATCTATCCTCAAATAACGTTACGCATGCTCATGCTCACCCCACTTTCAACAGATGTCACTGGTCCTTCGACGGCTACCACTGCCATCTTCGTGATCTACGATGTATGTCATGTATTTACTTTTAAGTCCACATATCTTGATAAGAAATGAGCCCAGCAGCGATATTTGGAGTTTGCTTAGTGATACATAGGAGGGGATGTCGCAACTGACCGAGCCGTGCTTTTCAGATCTTTGGCTACTACGAGCAAACCCTCCAAGGCGCAGACATCCTCGCAACCGCTGATCCAGAGCAATCTTATCAAGTCTTCATGCCCGACTTCTTCGAAGGCGTTCCAGCCGACCTTGCCTGGTAAGTACTATTCAATTCCTTCACCCACTCTTCCTTTCAATTAGACTTGCAAGATCAGGTGTAGATCCCGAAGTTCTAACGAGAACAGGTATCCACCCACAACTGAGGAGCAGAAGACCGCATTATTTGGCTGGTTCGCGACTCGAGGCCCTGCATTGGGCGTAGAGAAGACCCCCAAGATACTCGCTGATATCGAGGCCGCGTATGGGAAGAAGACATGGGCCGCTCTCGGGGTATGATCCTCCACCCTTGCTTTCAGGTTCCCCCCGCACGCCCATCCGCATCTCCAAATCCGAATCAGAGTTGTACCACAGCTAACACACACAGTTCTGCTGGGGCGGTAAGGTGATCTCTCTCACCTCAGGCCCGTCCACGCCCTGGACAGTAGCGGCACAATGCCACCCAGCATTCGCCAGCGCCGACGATGCAGCGAAGATCACTATCCCTATGTGTATGCTAGCATCCAAAGAGGAGGATGCGAAGGACGTGAAAGCGTTCGATGAGGCTCTCGCAGTAGAGAAGCATGTCGAGACTTTTGAGACCCAAATCCATGGATGGATGAGCGCGAGAGGGGACTTGGAGGATGAGGCTGTAAGGAAGGAATATTTGAGGGGGTATGAGACGCTGAGTAAATGGTTTGGGAAGCATATTGGGGCACAGAAGGCCAATTTATAAAGTCTGTTTGGCGCTGTAAAAAGACACCGATGGATGATAGTTTAGATAGAGAATGAAAAGATGCTCGAGAGACGCAAGGTGATTGAGACTTACCTTGGTAGTGTTGTTCCTCCCCAAGGATTTCATAACCAAATGATCGTATTTTCTCGTGCGAAGATAGGTTGGGGAATACACGCATTGAGATAAAAGCAGACCGTAAAGCTATCATACTATTGAGATACATGACATACCCTCCTACTATACAAAGGCTCGTTCCCCAAATTTTGTCAATCCTCTTCGCCGTCTCCTCCCAAAACAAATGAAAGTGTTATTATGCGGCAGTTGCCTCGTTGCCTTCACTCGCAGGCTTCGCCGCACCTGTCTCGGCCTTTGCAATACTCTCCTCCTTGCTCTCATCTGCCTTGACTTCAGGTTGAGCAGCCGGCTTCTCTTGGAATTTTGGCTCTGCCTTTCCAACAGTTGACGAGTCAGGACCTTCAGCGTCAGGATGAGGTGGGGCGACTGGGTTCGCATCTTCAGGCTGAGGAATCTCGTTGCCTTGAGCGTCAACCAAGCGAGTGCGGGTCTCGTACCGGGTCTTGAAGCTGACTTTGCCTTCAAGAGCCTTGACTTGTTCAGGGTCCAATAAGTTGCCGTCTTGGTCTCTGTACTCTACCTTCTCCTCGCGAGAGAGAATACTCTGGCCAGCCTGGAGAGGAGGAGGGGAGACCTTGGGTTCTTCAGGGGCTTCAGAAATGCCAACTCGCTCTTCCACGATCGGCTTTTGTTCGCCTGCAACTGGTGGAGGTGCAACAGGGGCGTTGGTGGGGATCAGAGGCGAGTCTGTCTTGTGGACTTCCGCGTTGACATTCGCAGGTACACCAGAGTATTCAGAATACTAAGAAGGAAGTCAGCCACGGTTCGGAAGCATCCTTGAAGGAATGTGGGATTCATTTACATCTGTGAAGAAAGTATTGCAGTCCCAGTCCCAGGAGTCGAAAAGCTTGACCTGTTTGCAAGCTGACTGGGTCCAGGGATTGCCATATGCAAGAGGGGAGTAAAGTCCAAAAGTTATGATGGTCAGGGTGAGGAAGACGACAATACCAAGGCGTCCGACCAATGGGTTTTCACGGAGCCCAATGCCAGGGATACGAGCCGTGACATGGTCGTAGATCTGGCAAAGAGCAATAACAGCAAAGTAGAGTGCTGGGAAGTAGTGGTGGAGGAATAATTGACGCTGAAGAAGGTAAAATGGGAAGTAGTGGAAAGCCCATGCCAGAACCATTGTACCAACTTCATAGTCGAAGCGTTTGAAAATAACGTTGTTATAATCCTTGAATCCTCGTTGCCATCGGAGGACGGCTAAGCCCTTGAAGATGACATAAATGACGACTGCCAAAGTCGAGGTCCACCAAACAACTGGGTTGCCGATGAGATAAATTTGTCGATGGTCCTTGCCCCAGAAGTTAATACCACGCTTGAGTATTGGCCAAGAATCGGGGCGAGAGTCCCATGCGTGAGATTCGACAAGTCCGGCATTGGTGTGATACATGACCTTCTGCAACTCCCAGAACTTGCCAAAGAAGCCAGGGTTCCTGTAGTTGACCTTCTCCGCATCGGCTCCTAGGAGTGGGTGCTCGTTTTGCTCCACATACCAGACACTATTTGGAAGAGTTCCCCCCTTGGCGCAAGTAACCTCTTGCTGTTCAGAGGCCCATTCAGGAAGCTTGACCTTGTGTGAAAAAAGTACACATCCAGTCATAACATGAACAAGCTTGAACTTGGTCTGGATCGTTCGGAGACGCTGTTTGGCTTCTTCGCCATCCGACATTTTCTTGATGATCTCAACTCTGAAGTAGTCATTGGCATCGCCCTCAAATCCTTCATAGCCATAGGCGGAGACCTCATTCTGCCAGTCAGCCTCGGTAACAGGGGGTCGAACATCGTGAGAATGGAGGCGTCTACTTGTGGTCAAGTGGAAAAGCTTGATGGTATCTCCATCCTTGACAAAGGTAGGAGGGGTGAGAGCGTCCCAAGCGAGAGATCCGTTGATCGGCTCGCCATTGATGTCAAGAGGTTGGGTCATGTTCTCAAGGAGCCACACATTGTTCTCATCCTTGTGGGGGTAGAGAGTGATCTGCTGTTGCTTGCTTCCTGTGGGGTACATAAGGTTGTGCGAGTGCAAGTATCCTCCTTGAGTGTTGTGGTGTCTGATGCTAACTCGGCTACCAAGTGCAACATCGACTGGGACATCTTGCATAGCTTTGGAGTTGAGCGTGGCTTGGAACTCAGAGCTCATGAATCCATCTCCATCACCTGGGTTTACCAAGCAGAGAAAGTGAATTCCGAACATAGCCATGTAGAATGTTACTGGGATGACGATGAGACAGAAGACTCTCGATACCACATGCTTGGCGAAGATGCGCTATAATGATCAGTAAAACCCCTCATAGGCGATACTTTCGGGACTTACAGGGGTAACCGTCTTCACGTCTCCGAGAAGAATCCAAAGTTGCAGAATTGTCAAAACCCCAACCCATGCGATTGTGAGGAAACCAACCCACTTCACACTGGCTGTTGCGCCTAGTCCAAGACCCGTCATGACCAACCAGAACCACCATGTTGGCTGGAAAGCCTTGGTAGGACCTAGTTCATGTTGATTCGTGAAAGACGTGAATGCCAATCCAGTGAAAGCAGTGAAAATCATAAGGGGGGAGTCGAGGAGGATCAATCGTGCTTGGGTGAGGAGACCGTTCTCTGGAAATTGTATTAGCACGAAATCCAAAAATCAATCGAGATTTGCTCACCGAACACAATTAAGAGAGCACCCATCGCAGCAGTCCAAGTTCTACATCCGACAGCCTTCAAAGTCAAGAACATTGTTGGGACCAAGAAGATACCGCACAGGGCTGGCAGCATCCTCATGGCCACGTATGGCACACCAGGTTCAACATAATCCTTTCCAATGTCCTTGAAGTCGAAATCTCCATTGAATCCAGCAAGCCATCCAGCGAGTGTGAGAAGCAGTTTTGCGAGCGGTGGGTGCACATCCATAAAGAATTTGCCCTTAATGTATTTGGATGCGAATCCTCCAAAGCTACAGCGACATTAGCAATTGCCAGGAATCTATGGAATCGCAGAAACGTACTGTACTTCATCAAATACCACACTGCTTGGCTGGTATATTCTGAATAATCTCACAACAGCAGCCAAAAATGTGACGGCAATCATGACCTGGTAGTCGGATCCTGGCAAGAGGAACACATCGTTGTCCTCAACGCCCTCGGACGTGTAATCATTGGATTTCTTGATTGACTGAGACGAGGGGCTTCGACCGACCTTCGAAGGCGTCGGCGAGCCAGCTTTCGTAGGACGAGCCATGTTGGCAGAGGTGTTGATGGTGAGGTAAGGTAGGACGAGGAGAGAGAGGCTGTCAGTGGAGCTTTATGGCCCTGCGTGGCTCCTGAGAAACACCCAGGATCCAAAGGAAAGGCGGATTCAGTCCCTAAAAGAAAGTAAGAAGAAGTCGCAACAGTATTAAAAGTGCAGCATCGAAGACGAAGTTGAAGGACTGCTGGTTGAAGGGTTGGGCGAGAGTCCGCTTGGGGAAAGGAGAACAGTACTTGTATCCATCCCTTTAATCATGAAGCCAGATCGGCTGAGAAAGTTGACGGGGCGCGACAAGCTGGCTGCGCTGCCACATGAGAGTTATCTCTCCAGACTCAGACATTCAACACCAATTAATTTTCATATTACATCTACACGGGGTTCAACGTCCAAGTACAATTAAACGTATTTTGACATTTCTAATGATCAGATCGCGTCGAAACAGAGTTCGCGGACGAAAGTCCAGGAGCTCCATCCAAATTTAGAAACGCCAGAGTTCCAAATCGAGTTAAGCGTTGCGGGAGCTAGGACACGAGGCTGAAGGTGTCACTCTGAGCGTACACTCGACGAAAAAAATTGATTCAAGGAGCATCGCGGACCTGTTAATTATAGATATACTGGTGTATGAGTATCATAATGACCTATAAAAATCATCTGCTATCAGACCAAATCTTTCCTGCAAGAACTCTTCCTAGAAATGAGGACACAAGAGCTCTGAAGCCTCAAGTATGATCTATTAGCAACCAGTTACGCCAGCATTTACCTACCGAGATTCTCTGGACAATGTCGAAACCAAGGTGTAGAGACGGAAAGCACGTCAAAGGGCATCGATGCTCTGAAGTGTCTCTCCTGTGAAAGCAATTCGCATGTACCCTTATCTACAATACAACGGCCCATCCCATTCACGCTCTAAAGATCCAGCAGCGATCCAATTGGCTTCCCCTAGTATCCATCCTTTCCCCACTTGTTGTACTTCTCGTGTAGCTCCTGTTTGACCGTGTTAGCAATTTTGCACTGAATACTCGGTACAGTAATTCTTTCTTCATCCATAGCTCTTTCTAAAGACCTGGATGAATAATATTCCTGCCAACGAGGATAGCCTAGCTCTTGCTCCAGTCAAGTTTCAATAAAACCAGGAACCAGTTATGAGGTTCCGTTGGCAAAACTCCATGCAGGGTAATGTAGGGGATGCCGACGGCATGACTTGCTCTACTTCACCCCAAGCCTGAGGAACACCCGCTCACTCATTGCCAGCCAAAATTTGTCCCTCCTATAGACTTCTAAGACAACAAAGAAGATTCGTACCTTTGGCAAATTGACGTTCGGCACAATTACACTGTGCAGCGCGCTGGGAGCGTCCTTGGGGGGGTTCTTTGGGTCGCCACCGGGGTGGTATTGGTACTTGTAGTCACCTCTGGCCTTGTCGCCTTCGGTGGTCTCTCCTTGCCATGGCATGCTTCCGGGAGCAATGCTAACCTTCGCCTCGGATGTCGCTGAAGTTGGCTTGCGGCCTGCAGAAAGGTCAATTGAGTCCTATGAATCTTCAATTCGAGGGGCAGATGTACCAAAGTAGAATCCTGCAAGGCCGAAAGCTCCAGACATGACGGCCAGAAGGATCTGCAATCGTGGGTCAGCGATTGAATTGACGGTATGATGTGAAGCGCACATAGAGCTCGGGATCCCTCTTTGCTCCCTGGTTCAAAACATTGCCTTCACTCTTGGCTGCGGCAGCAGCTCTCATGAGAGTCGGTCTCATTGATCGGACGAGTGTTGGTCTCATTGTGATTGTGCGGTGGTTATTGGATGTTCAATGCGATTTGGCGTCGATGGTACGATAATCTTGAGGAGCTTCGAGGTTGCTCGGGTGTTTGGTAGGTGGTGGCCTGAATGCCTGAGAGGAGGTGGGCTCGGTGGGGCAGATTTCTGAGAGGCAGTCCCGAACTTTGTTCCCTCAACCTCCTACCGTCTTCACATCAATGGGCAGTACAAAAGCTCATAGCAATAAAAACCACGACATAACAAATCTCGCAATCATGCTATATCAATGTCTGGACTAAATTGTCTTTCTAGACACCAATCTTTTCTAGACCTGGGCAAATAGAAATCCCTTTAAGCTCTCACACCACTTCGCTAAGTCATTTCTTGGAACACTCCAACAAGTGAAGTAGCAAATGATCAACCATATGAGGGGCTAGATTTCTTGATAAAAGGGTCTCATTACTTACTGACTTAGCTATTTATGTCTAGAAGTGGTGCATGACATGTTACAGTATGAAGCAAGCGACCCGAGCCGGAAGTGAAGTCAACAAATCCTTTGTCAACCTTCTTGATCTTGGGCAAATAGAATTGCTGGTCGGAGGAAGAGCTCACATTGGACGGGTTCTGATATGGTTTGGAGGATGGCTATTGTTCCTGAGCATTGCGTTATTTCTGTCACAATTGCTAGTTCTCCTTAAACCGAGGATAGTACTGCTCGTGCTTGATTGAATACACCAAATCGCCAACTGTGATGGTTTACTCACATCACACTCCATGCAGTGAAAGAACGTCTGAAGTTGAAAGAGCAGAGCAGTCCTATTTTCGTCCAGGACCAAGACATTCGAAATGCATGCCGTTGGTGTTTACAACGCCGGAAGCAGAATATTGATATACAGGTATGGAGTGTACTCTTTAACTCCACAATATCACAGAACATTCCTCGCAAGACGAGCTGTTCGTTACGGAAGTTTACCGCGAAAATAAAGCTTCCATAAGCGTTCTCCTCTAAATGGATCTCCCGAGATACGTTCCCTGAAATCCCCAGTCACCCTCCCTTTGCAACAGGATTTCCCCGGCCATCACACGAAAACGTCATGGGAGGTTCGCTCCGTGCAGATGCATCTCCAAATCAAAAGCGAGAAATTCATGCACCCCTCCCAGGTGCTTGGGTCTGCAATTTCGCGGCCCCTGCGTCGATGCGGCCCAATCGAGAATGGCATCGACCGGCGTCTCTCGTTCTTGGACGTGGACGTGCAGGCGTCGGCACCTCATCCTGTACAGACGCTTGGACTTTGCTACGGCAGAGCCAGTAGCAGTGAGCGACTACTGAAGACTGAGCAGGCGAGGCGAGGCAGGGCAGGGCAACAACAAGAGCACAGGGCTTCGCCTCGCCTCGCCTCGCCTCGACCCCCTTTGGCAGCGACCATTTGCTTTGCCTGCTTCGCTCTGCTCCAACCAGGCAAGCTGAAGAAGAACTCAGATTTCCCACACCCACACTCCTTACTCCTTACTCCTTGAGCCGATTAATTAATTCCATCAGCAATACCCCTTTGTTCGCTTCGATTCGATTCACCATCCGCACTTCTTTCGTGTGTCTCCTCGCGCTCGCTGCGAGTAATTAATTTCCGTTCGACGCTTCCACGCGCTAGCTTTGGACACGACCCAGATTTGACTTCACCTACGCAAGGCAAAAAGGATTGTACCGGTCCGAGTGTGTGAGGGATGTTATGAGATAAGGACTTTGGGAAGAGAAGGGATCCTCTTCATCCGCGGCGATGGCGTCTCAGGACAATAGAACAACGATCCCACAGCCTTCGAATATCCATGTTTCGAACCAGGTCCCAACGTCCGAGGCAGGAGATGTAGAGAGTATATTATCATCGCGAATGACAGATATAGCCTCTGAGGATGGACGAGAACATGTGGCAAACCCTTCGACAGGCTCAACCACACAGCAGCCTGGGCAACGACGTAGTGTTCAAACCAATTCTTCCAGACCGACGACCAGCGGAGTTTCGAATCAAAGAGGCCCCTGGTCTCAAGGGCCAGCTTCTCGAAGAGGACATGCCTCAGTCAACAGCACAGCACGGGGTAGCGTTTCTACTATTACTGGCCCAAGACCAAAAAGTGGCAGGTCTCATGTGCCATCCCTCACTTCCCACGCCTTCTTTCGCCCGATGAGTTCACAAAGGTTACAAGCGCAAAGAGGAGGTGCAAGACCACCTACCTTGACACAACAAAGCGTCAGTGAGAGTCTGGCTCAGGGTGGGGGTATGGTCAGGAACAGCGTCAATTCCAACCAAGCGGCAAGGCAAGATGATTCTGATGGCCCAGCACCACCGTCGAGAGGTACGGAAATGACTGAGCAGGAGATGATGGAGAGGGTGACTGCAAATACAAGCCCAACCCAAGGCCACCATCCGACTGGAAGTTTGACCGACAGCGTGCGACCTTTGCAACGAGGTGGACAAGCTAATGCTAAAGGACTGAGCCTTACGATCGACAAGAGTTACAAGAACGGGAATGGTCTTGCAACACCTTCAAAATCCCCACGGTCATTCCGTTCTAGCTTCCTCCTGCCAACCCGGGGCGATGTGGCACCAGCCAGCCCTAACCGCAGTAATCAAGGGAGAGAAAAATTATCTTCAATTGCGTCCTCACCTGGTTTGACACCAGTTGATCCGCCAAAAACCGCTCCCAGGAATCCAAAGCTTGGAAATAATTACGAGTATTTTACTGGTAACACTGTTTTTTTCTGGGGAGGGAGGATACAAAATACTCGACATAGACCTATCAACATTGCCACAGGGCTCCTGTTCATTATTCCTGGAGCCCTCTTCTTTATATTTTCCGCCTCTTGGCTTTGGCACAACATCTCGCCAGCGATACCCATTGTCTTCGCCTACCTCTATTACCTTGCCATGTCGTCTTTTATACATGCTTCCATCACTGATCCGGGGGTACGTACTCAAATACTCGTCATATAAACTTACTAATTTCTCCAGATTCTTCCTCGAAACCTTCATCCAATGCCACCTCCAGAGGAGAACGAAGATCCCCTTCGGCTGGCACCTCCAACAAATGATTGGACCATGATCAAATCCGCTCAGTCTGCTACAGCAGCCATGGAAGTACCAACCAAGTACTGCAAAACTTGCAATATCTGGCGACCCGCACGTGGCCATCACTGCCGGATTTGTGATAACTGTATTGAGACGCAAGATCATCACTGTGTCTGGATCAACAACTGCGTTGGACGACGAAATTACCGATACTTCTTTACCTTCGTCTCATCTGGTACGCTTGTCGGACTTTATCTTCTCGGCGCAAGTCTCACCCAGATTCTGGTGTACATGAACCAACAAGATATCTCTTTTGGCGCAGCGATAGACCACTTTAGGGTGCCATTCGCTATGGTCCTTTACGGTGCTGTTGGGACACCATATCTTCTGGCGCTTATGGTATATCATCTCTTTCTCATGGGTCGTGGCGAGACCACTAGGGAATATCTCAATTCCCACAAATTTCTCAAGAAGGATCGACACAGGCCATTCACTCAAGGCAATATTATCAAGAACTGGCTGGTAGTGCTGTGTCGACCTCGACCGCCTACGTATCTCAACTTCAAGCGACAATATGAAGAAGGCGATCAGCGCTTTGGCGAGCGCAAAGGGAAACGCACGGCTCCTTTAGCGAAAGAAGTCCAAGGCAAGGGTGTGGCCATGGAGATGCAAGACGTCCCCGCCGAGAGTAGAGGCTTTCAAGGTCCTTCGGCATTGAGAGAGAGCAATGGACAGCCCCAGGCATAATCAGTCCCGCTACTCTCTATTATATTTTACTGTTTGCGTGCTGCACAATTTAGCGATGTTTGTTTTTTTTTTCTTTTGGAGATGAGGATGGAATTGGAAGGGCGGGATGGGGAAGGAAAACCGCTTGAATACCTACTTAGTGCTAATTTTGTCTTTATATTTTGGGAGGGTTGTGGTGAAATACCTCAGGTGTTTGTTTTTAAGACATCCTGAGAGGGGCCTGACGGCGTGGCTTCTTTGTATCATGAAGTGGAGACTTTGGGTGGCCAGTCAAAGACTATAATTGGTCTGACGTTGTAAGGGGACATGGATGAGAAGGTGAGGCGAGAAGAGGGGATGGTGTGTATAATTTTTGGATGCGGTCGTGCTATAGATATACCCGCTGCGTTTTACTGTATAATTGGCATACGTTGCTGTGCAATACCATCGGAGAGCCTTCGATTTCTCGTCTATTTTCTGCTTCTCCTTATCAAGTGGCCGATCGAGCAATAGCTTCTCCTGCGTCTTCGACTGCCTCTAGGCTACATTCACCTCGCAAAGCATTTTCTGCTTCTATTGTACGAGTATGCCAGCCGTTTTAACTTCTCACAAGTGATAGCGACCATGTCTTGAGCAGAATATGAAGACCCAATTCATTCGAAGATGCCACAACCTTAACTCTGCTAGCCAGCCACGGAACAAACCTTGAGATTCCCAGGTGCTGTAGGGGAACCTCGCAAAGCTTTGCTGAAAGTCTGCTTCGGGTCAAGAAATGTATAGAGGACCATACATGTCTTCAGCTTTTGGTTCTGAAGGCCCTGCTGTTACATGAGTATGTCGGTAGCTTGTTGACTTTCCCCGGTTGCTAGCTGCAACTACCACTTGAAATATCGACCTTGAAAATAATGTTCTACAAATATCAAAAGCTGCTTTGAAATGTCAGAGAGTCATTTGATTTAAAAAGTTTGTATTACTACAATATCACAATTCATTTGTTGACATCGATATCCTTGGTCCTCCGTCCTCACAGCTATTAGTCTGAAACGACTTCTATGCCGTTTTGGTCTTTCAATTGAAGTTTTGCCTCGCAGTCCTTTTCGGAATCACTCTACAAACTACTTTATCATCTTTTTGTGAGTATTATTTACATCCCCAATCTATGCCGAGTTCCTTCCGTACTTAAGCAGGATGTTCCGAGAAGGGGGGCAAAAACTCTGCAGAGTGGAGACTTCGGTAAAGACCCTCTTTACATCCCACACCACACACTTCACTTTCCTGTACAAATCGCTCACCCCAATACCTATTCAAATAGAACAGCCAGAATATATCATCTGGACAGATGGCCGAGCTGGTTATGGCGCCAGGTTAAGGTTTCCTTAGCAACAATCTCCTGGTCACGAAAGTGGCGTGGGTTCGGTAAGCTCTTCTCTCAGAGAAGATTATCAAACAACGCAAGAACTAATTTCGTCAATAGAGTCCCACTCTGTTCAATTGAGATATTCTTTTTTTTGTTATTTTACCTTAATATCTTTTACTTTTAGCATCAGCGATGTAATGACAGCGCCTACAGCTACATATTTCTAGCCTTTTGAGGTTCCGAAGATTGGCCTTAGTCGTTTTCATATTCTCTTGGTCGAGTCCTGCTGCAATATTGTCTTGCGCACTTTCCTATCTATCAGGCAGTGAACAAGTTGTCATCTTTTTGCTAGGCCAATACCATGGAATCACTCGCGATAGGACTATAGGATCAAATGTCACAGAAAGAATTTATGGTAAAAGCCTTAATGGTCTCAGTTCATGAGCCAAAGTTTTGATAAACAAGTGAGCGGACTCTCACGTAGGACTGTACTTTATCCAGCTTCCTTTTGACATATGGACATCTTGTATGTAGACCAGCTCAAGTAGTGGCTCTCCTTTGGTCACTTCTGCAAAGGCTAGTAAACGTGAGGAAATGAAAGCACTGAAGTGTCAATGATGAATAACGAGACGCCCGAGTACATGATGTATGTTTGAGGGTAGCTGGTAAATGATATGAAAACAGCAGATTTATGCCAAAAGTTTGGCGTCAGTAGTCTGTCTCCCTATTCAATCGAAATTCTTTGGTGATAAAAGTTACTCGAGTTTACTCATGCGTCCAGTCAGCATATTAACGTGTTGCGGGAAATCTACAAGACATCGTCTCGGCCGAGCAGCTTCCAAGTAATTCTGAAGCTGATTGGGATACGAACAAATGAGACTCACCGGAGAGATTTTCGGCTCCCTTGTGGCCCACTTTGCGTCAATCAACTGCATGGTTTATTTCAACGTGGGACAGTGTAGTGATAGAATCAAGGCTAGCACTCCCGGAAATGAACAATCACCAAGGGTTTACTACAGCAGTGAAATCAAAAGACTCTACTGATCTGTAAAGATCAAGGAACATGGTGGACAAGTAAGGGAGTATGTGAAGTGTGTTCTGAAGAGGAAGTGCTTGTTGGGTTGGAGCAGTCCCGTTTTCTGTCACTCGAGAGTGGTGAGTATTCCCACATTAGGGGCTGTAAAAGGGATGAAGAAGCTTACAATATGTCTAGAAATATCCAATGTAGCTCTATTTGACCCATAAATCACTGAGAGTGCAATTTGAGTCTATTCACAGTCCTAGATCAAATTTGTTTTGTGTTGCATTTTATCAGCATTTCAGTCTTATCACCGTACCGTCGCAGGTACCCCTGAACCTTATTATATTTGTTTTGACTGATTTCATTATGAAATCTCAATCGTTCGATGCGCCGCAGTTTCTCTGTGTGGAGGTAGTTATTTAGTCCACTCAGGTCTTGGCATGGTGGTGTTTCGTTGAAGTGACTGAGGAGCATCGCAGGGTGCAGACAGCTTATACATGAACAGACCACCGGTTTGTCCAAGGAAGTGTGTTGGAATTACATGAAGTGAAGTGCAGCACTCATGTACGTTGCAGCACGAAGGTGAGAGACGAGCTTCCAGAACTCGCACTTGCGCCATCGATCCTCTCACTCTGTCAGGGTTAATGCTACACGACAACCTAAGGTCTATAGCTCTGCTACAGTTTACATTGACATCACTGTCACTGGCATGAGAAATTCGAGGCTGTCGAACTTCACAATCCATCCTGACTAGGTGCATGTTGCAAACGTCACTTGAAAGCAGACAGTTGCTTTGAAAACATTGAACCTTGAACATCCGGTTTGAGCATGGCCAAAGGTCAAAGAATTTGTTGTGTTCGTAGACGTCGTGACTTTGAATTTGTCGAGGTGATATTGTGGCCTCCTGTAGTCCGGCCATGGAGTCCGGCCATGGTTCGCGAGGACCACATTGGATGGAGCGTGGCGCAAATAGTCAAAACACACAACAGTCACGTTGCACCCTGCAAAACCACTGCAACTTAATACAAATCTGTCATGTATGAACACACCGATTGCTGATTTCAGATACAGGTGGCATGTTGGGAATAACTTTCAAGTGTCATGCCTGGCACGGTAAGGGTCGATCAAGAACTCAGATCTCCACTTTTGAAACAGGAGAAAATGTTAGACACATTGGTGTATAAAGATATATCCAGAGATTGAAAGAAGTCATGCAGTACTTGATACGTTGAGAGGATGTCTTTGATCTCAAGGCTGCTTTGTTTATGTTGTTGGATTGGCCCCAGAGCTGGCCGCCACATTACGTGCCGGAGCGGATGAGCCTAGCAACAACAGAACATTCTATGCAATCCGAAGGGGGAAACATATCTTAACTGGAACCCTTTAAGAAGAACGAGGCCGATTGCAAGGAATATGTTTTTCACCTACAGAGGTGACTTGAACATATTTCGCTTCGTATGGTTCTCAAACCAAAGATGATATCTAAAGCTAGCACCTCTTAGCCCAAGGCTGAACCGTCTTTGAGCCCAGAAATTGTGTGCTTGTGATGTCAGCCGTTCGAGAAGATAGGAGGTGCATTCAAAGGGGTCACCAACAAATGAGGAAGAAACACCAAGTTATACAGGTATTCGAAACACTGACTTCCTCCCTTGATCCCGAGACTCTGTCATCGCTTGAAGAAACACAATTGATAATATATGAACTCTTGTGTAATAGAAACTTGTCTTCAGGCTTTGGAACAAAGAACCTGTTTCGCAAGGAACATAAGTGAGAAATTGCGGTCTCCCTATTCGCTGGAGTGTAGTATTGTTTTTAAGCTGCTCCCTCCCTCAGATCCCAGCCACGCATTTATAAGTCTACCACCATACGAACCTTCCTTCCTTCTTCCCCGCAGACAACACCAGACCACATTTCTCGAAAACTTGACCCTTCAGTTCTCCCTCTGCACACGGCGAACCATTCTGTCTTCGAGATACTGCAAACGCGCAGCAAACAGACAAAGCTTTTTCTCATCTCCACCTCGCTGCGCGAGGGCGCCCTCGTCAGCCCAATCGGCAATTTCCGTGCACGCCTCAGATCGCGCTCTTGATCAACAACACTCCTTCACCACATGCAACGCGACAATGACTGAAATCGCTAGGCCATTCGATCTCGAGGACACAATGGCGACAATTCCTTTTCCTCCAGCTCCCAGCATGAGACGCGCCTTATCCGCAGACTCCGTTCTCAGCGTCATAACCGTTGATGATAGCTCCAACGCGCTATCCTCCTCCTCTACACCTCCAACTAGTATTGGCGACCGGGCCAGCGTGTCATCTGCTTCTCTAAAGCTTGACGATACTACTACGATAGCTGCGCCAGACACCAATGGACGCAGTCGTCGCCAGCGAGCCAGTATTGGGACGTACAACGTGAAGATCCTCAGCGGAACAGCAATTCATGCGCCAAAGAAGTTCAGCAAAGACCCAGCAGTCCGTGACTCTGCGTCTTCTTCGCGGAGAAGAACAGTCTCAGGTGATACACTTCTCGGAAGCCTTAAATCTACAAACGCATCCACTACGACAATTGAGAAGACTGCAAATCGACTTGTCCAAGATGGCATAGAGGCACTCGATCTGCAGTGGTCTGCTAGGGCACTCCCAAAGTCCAAGAGCCAGAGAAGCCTCAGCGGAACCCCAAGGAAGAGTGCGAAGCAACGCGATTTGGAGCGTCGCAAGTCGTCCCGTGCTGCACCAGATGTGGTTCAGAGCCTTACCAAGAAGCTCAGTGTTTTGGGAAAGAGAAGTCGCCAAACATTTGATGACGGCCTTGCTGGTGGACTAGCTGGACTGGCAAAGGCAAAACGAGAACTACGAAACCTTGCCGATACCAACGAATTTGCGAAGATTGATACACAACCAGTTCTACATGAAGTTTGGAGCAATGGCAAGCTGGTTGTGCCCGAGAACCCACGAAAGAAGAAGAAGGCTGAAGAGGAGGCCCTTGCCAAAGAGAAGGAGAAGCAGAAGCAGAAAGAGGAAGTCATAAAGCTTGCAGAGAAGCCCAAGCCGGTTGGCAAGAGACAGAAAGTTTGGCTCGTCAAAGGCTTGTACGCTGGCCAAGATCGAAATATTGGAAGCTTGAATTGGTTCGGTGAATCATCTGAGAAGCTGAGAGGAGACGGAGAGAAAATTGCACCTTTCAGACCAAACAACTTCATGCCGCTGCCAATGTGGCATGGACAACGGTTGCTTCACGTTGGACGCGACTTCAAGTTGCCTTTCGATGTCTGCTCCCCACTCCCTCCCGGACAGCCAAAGCCTGATGAGTGGAAAAAGACTTCAAGCAGTAAGTACAAATTTCGACTAAAATCTCGCACTTTGCTGACAGTATTTCCAAGATCGTTTTGTGGGTGAAGCTGGGGCTTTATGGAAGAAGTCAGGCCTGTTTGATAGCTTCTGTTCCAAGTGTGTCTGTACTGCAGAGGGTGGCTGTGATGAAAACTGCCAAAATCGATGCATGTTCTACGAGTGTGATGATACGAACTGTGGCGCTGGCCGTGGACACTGCACCAACCGCGCTTTTGCAACTCTTCAAGAACGACGCAAAGCAGGCGGAAAGTACAGAATCGGTGTTGAGGTTATCAAGACTGCTGATCGAGGGTATGGTGTTCGAAGCAATCGCTGCTTCGAGCCCAACCAGATCATTGTTGAGTATACAGGTGAAATCATCACTGAAGATGAGTGTGACCGTCGTATGAACGAGGATTACAAGAACAATGAGGTTGGTCTTTCCAATAGCAGCACTGCATTCTGTTTACTGACATATTACAGTGCTACTACTTGATGTCCTTCGACCAAAATATGATCATTGATGCTACAAAGGGCAGTATTGCTCGATTTGTCAACCACTCATGCAATCCCAATTGCAAAATGGTCAAGTGGATTGTAGGTGGCAAGCCTCGGATGGCTCTCTTTGCTGGAGACGGACCTATCATGACTGGTGATGAGTTGACATATGACTACAACTTCGATCCATTTTCTGCCAAGAACGTCCAGGAATGTCGTTGTGGCAGCGATAATTGCCGTGGCGTCCTGGGCCCCAAGCCAAAGCCGAATCCGAAGGACATCAAACCTGTAAAGGAAACCATTAGAGCGGCGCTCAAGGCTGGTGTCAAAGCTGGAAAGCGAAAGCTTAAAGAACTGTTAGGGGGTGATGAAGGAGATGAGGCAGATGCACGTAGTCCAAAGAAGAGAAAGATGAAAGCAGCCACCGGAGTGAAGAGATCGGCTTCGCGCGCCAGTTTGCAGAAGGCTAAGGTAGCGGCAAAGGCTATCAAGAACACCGTTTCTACTCAGCTTCTCAGTGCTCGCAAAACGGCTACTACCAAGCGAGTTATCAAGAAGACGTTGAAAGCCAGTTCCTTGAAGACCTATGGCAATCGAAAGACCATGGTCTCCTCACGAAATTCGAGTCTCACAATCGTGGCGACTGAAGGTAGCCCACGGAGTCTCAAGAAGTCAAGTGCGGCGAAGAAGAGTGTACGAAAGACTGTTGTTAAGAGTGTCCGTGGCGCCAAGGCAGCTGCTCGAGGTGTCAGCGATGAACAAGATGTTAATGGCGGCACGATTCGAGTCGTAAGTGGCAAGGACGAATAGTTTCATTGGAAGCCGGGCGCAGGGAACACTGGGATATGGGTACATCTTTAACGGCGCATTTGGAGTTGGATGCGAACTCTGTCATTCATTTGTGACTCGTCTTCAACAGGAGTCACCATGTATGATTATCTACTAATTCTTCATCGAGCTGAGCATTGCGTTTTGATTTGGGCGGGAGGTTGTGAAAAACACTCTTTGGTCGTTCTACTTCACAGAGTTTTAGCTAGAGCACCGTAGCCGCAATCTGTCCCTGCTGAACATTGTGCCTCCAGTGAAATCCGAAAAGTCAAAATATTTGGAAGTGGAATCCCACCCCAGCCCACCTTGCAGTCTTCTCCACATATTCCAGAATGAAGCGACCCCCTTTTCCATTCTAGCGCGTCCAAGCGCGGCTCTTCCCGTGCATGGCTTTCAGTCATCGAAATTTATCTTGATACCGAACCGCTCGTCATCACACATCTGAATATTTTCGTCCCAGCCATACGACTCCACAGTCTCGACGACACCTCATACTAAACTTTATTTCTGGTCATGATACTTCCATAACATCCTTTTAATCTCTAATACTCTGATTCGCTTCAAATTTCCGCTCGAGAACGCCAGGTTCTCACTCTCCATATTCATGAATACCAAATCCGAACCAGAAAGCCAACCAAGACGCCCGCTTGCCTCACCACAACTTCTGCAGTCGCGAGACCATGGAGATGGAGGTTCTCAACCATCAAGATATGCAGCTTCGATAGCGACGAAGCCTGCCCCTGTGGCAAAGTCATGGGCGCATTTCGTTGCTGGAGGGTGAGTACCCCCTGGGCAAAGGACATCCCAAGCTAGTATGTGCTGATTTCAACTGTAGCGTTGGGGGAATGACAGCTGCAGCACTGACAGCACCTCTCGATGTCTTAAAAACGCGTCTACAATCCGATTTTTATCAAGCACAACTCGCCCAGACTAGGCTTGCAAAAGGCATCTCGCCACATGCACATCTCTCTGCATTTCGAAGTGGACTGTTACATTTCCGAGAGACTTTCCAAATACTAGGCTCAGTGCATAGGATCGAGGGATGGAGGGCTTTGTTCAAAGGCTTGGGTCCGAATCTCATAGGTGTGGTACCGGCACGGTCTATCAACTTTTTTGTGGTTGGAAATGGGAAGCGCATCATTGCCGACTATGGGAATAATGGAGAGGAGTCTGCTTGGGTTGTTCTGTGTGCTGCGGCTGCAGCTGGTATTGTCACTTCGACGGTTACGAATCCAATCTGGTTGATAAAGACCAGGTTACAACTGGACAAGAACGTGGTGGAGAGGGCGGGTGGTGCGGCCCAGAGGAGATACAAGAACTCTTGGGATTGTATAAAACAGGTCGTGAGGCAGGAGGGTGTACGAGGACTGTATAAGGGCATGAGTGCGAGTTACCTGGGCGTTACGGAAAGTACATTGCAATGGGTTCTGTATGAGCAGATGAAGAAATCGCTGGCGAGGCGAGAAGAGAGGATCAATCTGAGTGGAAGACCGAAGACTTGGTGGGATAATACTGTCGAGTGGACGGGTAACGTAGGGGCTGCTGGAGGTGCCAAACTCGTTGCAGCTCTTGCAACTTATCCACACGAGGTCTGTTTTGAGCCCGAAATCACAAGACCAGATTGCTAACAGTTACCAGGTCGCCCGTACCCGTCTTCGTCAAGCGCCTACCGAGAATGGTCAACCCAAATACACCGGTCTCGTTCAGTGCTTCAAGCTGGTATGGAAAGAAGAAGGCATGGTTGCCATGTACGGAGGGCTCACGCCTCATCTCTTACGAACAGTTCCAAGCGCCGCCATCATGTTTGGTATGTACGAGGGGATTTTGAAGTTATTACATGCACCGGAATAGGACTGCAATAGAGAATCAGGGCAACCTTTGTAGTGTATGTCTGGACGGTTCGGCGTTTGTACGAAGCATAGTATTGGTGGGATGTATAAAACTCGACTTCACTCTCGGAGCCTGGCATATGGGTGTATTATAGAGGATGGGCAGGCGTTGGTAGGATTGGAGGACTGTTTGGATCATCACCACTAGTTAGATAGATTCGGCGGTCAGTTGTCATCATTATTGTACCATCACATCCTGCCATGCCGGTCATTGTATGGCTTGTGAGCATTATTGAATATCATGAAAGTTCGCCAAACTTTTCCTCCAAAGTAGAACGCTTCGAAAAGGGAAAGGAACGCCACATCCATACGCCTATAAAACAAACCCCCTAGTAACGCACACGAAATGAAGAAACATCCGCCCACACTCCAAGCTCCATTCGGACCCTCTCCATCGTACATTCATACTGTGTGCGATCTGTGAAGCGAGGCAAGGTCATGCTGGGTATTGATCATAGTAGACGGTCGTGGCTTTTGCAACTTCCTTGGTCTCCGCTTGCCGGCCTCGTTCGGTGAGCTTCACCATGCGTTACGGTCCCAATTAGGGTCTGTGACAGAGGTTAGCAGCTACTCATCACCACTTCGAAGTTTGATTTGTGAAAGTCCCACAGTTCCTGGAGCTTCTAAGCCGGCGCAACAAAGTTCCACTTACCTTGAACAAAGCCTGCCAGAACTTTGCTACCAGTCTGCAAGAGTGGATGGCCCACAACAATTTGCAAGAACCGCTGCAAACCTTCCCTCCTGTGCTCGATCACATCATCGCTGAACCGGTTGGTAAAGACCTTACCGGGCAGAGGAGGAATGGTCACACGGGCAGATTCTCTCTCCAGGATGTCGCGGAAATATTCGAAGTCAGAGTAGCGCCTGCGGACATTGCTGTGGCGGAGCTTGAAAGCTGGGATATTTGTACGGCATACGATCTCGTAGTCGGTGTACATGCTACGGCCCATACCGTGTGTTCGTGGATTCTTGACCTGTGGAGATGAGGTTAGCAAGGCATATTTCAAGCTGATACTGGCGTAGGGAGGCTGCAGATGCCAGCGCTCTTCGAGCTTGAAACTTGCCTCTATCTCTAGGAAGTTCTCTGGTGGGCCATAAATCTCCTCGAAGCTCTGCGTGCGTGAATCGGGCATTGCCTGCATGGTGGGTGGTATTGGTTGGCGCAAGGCCTCCTGTTCCTTGTATATTGCTTGCTTCTTGAGGCGAGTGCTTACTGCGCTTCGTATGGCGCTCTGGAGATGCTCTTGAAGATGGGGGAAGAGGATCGTGTGACGGCTTGTAACTTGAAAGGAGGCCCCGGGCGCGACTATGCATGAGGAAGGAGCTTCCACTTTGGAGCTGAGGGGCAGATTCCCCACGTGACTCTGTCCTACCTTCCCCTCTTCTCACCTGATGATTCTTGTTGTTTGTTTGCAGATCAAGGCTGGACATTTGGTCGGTACTGTATCGTGTTTCCTTGACTGCTCCTTATTGCTCTCCAACTAATAACGCTTTGTTTCATTCGTGGCCAAGCGGCAACACACCGAACTGAGCTCGAGGACATTCACAGCCGTTGTCCACAAATCACATATCATAACCTTCAGGTGCTTATACACACTTCTGAGATCTGTGCTCTACGCGCCAGTATGACCACCATCCTCACAAAGCTGGGGCTATTCGCAGTACCACTTGTGAGACTCATTGCGAAGCTGTATGATAAATGCTAATAGCTCTAGCTCCTCTTGGTACTTACCGGAATTGCAGGGCAACCAGCCATGAATATCACATCCCAACTTGTGCTGTTGCCAACGAACAATCTAGTTATGCATACACTCAAATCCGAGCCTTGTCCCTCCCAATTCCACAAGCGCTTGCACTGTTGACAGTGGTTCTACCACTCATCACCGGAATTTCTGCTCAAGGCACATATGGACTGGTCCGGCGAGCTAACAATGAGCCATATCAACTCACCATACCGCTCATTGGCGTCATTGGCTTCCAATTAATCTACGAGACCGTGATTGCCACTTTGGCCTTGACCCATATGATACCTCCTTCGGCGTTGAACTGTGAATTGGGAAGCAAGTGGCAGAGTTTCTGGAGGATGAAAGATGGGATTGCTATCAGAACAATCCAGGATGCTTTGAACTGTTGTGGATTCAACACTGTCAAAGATCGCTCCTGGCCTTTTGGTGAGGCCACTACCTGCTCAAAGACATTCAAGCGAACCCAATCTTGTGTCGTACCTTGGAGAAGATCAGAGCAAAACATGGCTGGGCTGCTATTACTTGTTGCCGTGATTGTGTTTATTATCAAGGCATGAAGAGCCCTGTTCGACTAGAATGTCTTTCTGGAGCAGTGACTAACCTTCACTTGAAATGAAATAGGTCCTCTCCCTCATCTCCCTCCTCACCAGTAATTCATTCGGCCAATCGAGATGGGCACGACCTTTCAAGCAGATTGGACATGCTCGCCATGTTGAAGATGCAGAACAGCCGGAAGAAGACAACAGAGCTACCATGAGACGACTTATTGAGGAGAATGTTGAAGAATATCATGACGAACCAAGTGACAGAACATCGACTCAAGCACTTACTGCTCCGAATGGAGAAGATCATGGTCCAAGAGTTGAACCTTCTCAGCTGACGGGCCCTGGCAATGAATGGCGGGATTGAAACGGGGTTTCGGAGGGATATTTAGCTTGTCACACGCATGGAATTAGCAAGTTCAGAGTTTGGGAATACGTCTGGCTCAGGATTGCTTTGGTAGGGGGTGCTATGAACCGGTAGTATGCTTTAGCTGTGAGCGAAATTATTTCAGCCAAGCGCGGGCATAGTCAGGAAGCATATACCGGATCTTTTGAAGAAGATATGTTCACATTAGCAGATTTCATATCAACAGATTCACACCTTCAAGAAGCTATAGTCGAGCTCCCGCCAAGTTTAGAAGTAGCTTCTCATTCAATGTTGAGACACTAATTCCTACACATCATGGACATGACCATTCTAGCGAGCGCTTCCATACTTCCTATGTATCAAGGCCCCTTCGAGACTCACAGCAGTCTCCTGTCAATCCACGCCTGGCAGGTCCCCAGCTTCCATGTATGAAGCTGGAGATTGGTTAATTCTTCTTCAGTTTTTATACCTGCAACATACCTTGAGCTAGGTATACAGTATTAGCACAACAACAAGTAAACACAGCAGCAACTCACCAGACCAACATTCCAAAGAAGAAGACGATCCATACGGCACAAACTTATCGAAAATTGAACCCAGCTTCTCCATGGTCCATGGGGCCTTGTTGTGAAGTAAGTTGAAATATTTTCTTACTTCCACATCTTCCTCTTCACTTTTCTGACAATTAGTAGTGCGCAGCCGAATATCAGAGAGGCCAAGAATGTCTCCACTGCTTCCACAATGTCTGCTGGGAATGTGCTGTTGGTCGTCCTCATCAAAACTTGTAGCAGAACAGTTGGGCGGCTGACATGTGACAGTCCTCGAGTGCGGTTGTGCGAATGTTGTGCTGTTGATTATTCATATAAGCGCCGTGGGTGGGAAAGCAGTTGGCGAGGCGCTAAATTAAAATTAATTGAGTTTTTGCGCTTCGTACAGGAGCATCAAAACACCAGATAGTTCCACACAGTGGCGCCTTGTAGCATTTATCGGAGTCGCCAAACACTCGGTATTTGCACGAATGAAAGGAGGGCCATGGTGTCAAGTGCATGTTTATGAGGCCTCTCCAGCCTCTCCCCTTTTATGTATTGCCCCAGAGTCATGGTTAGACACTGCAGTAAACGAATAACTGCGTTCATCAGATATGCCCGCCGTCGGCGATTAGTTGGTAAAAGGACCATGACAACACAAGACTCGCAGTCTCGTCGTCCACCCTCACGAGTCTTGCTTCCAGGTCAGTTCATCACTTCTACAAGTGTGGGTCTTCTTTGCTCATGGAGTCAGATCTAGAGAACAGCGATGATATCTTCAATTACACTCGAGGTCGTTTCGTATGTGATGAAGAATATGAGATGGCACAGCGCCAGGTCCGCTTCGATGTCAACGAGCTGGCTCGCATCGCCACCGAAGCTGTCGGAGCGAAATCATGCGTTAGTGTTGAAAAGTATCCTGATGGCGTGTACAACAAGGCTATGCTTCTTACTATGGATGATGGAAGTCGAGTTGTGGCGAAAGTTCCAAATCCGAATGCTGGCAGGCCTCATTTTACCACCGCAAGCGAGGTTGCAACCATGGATTTCGTACGTTCTGGCCCAGGCTTCATGTACGAAGATGATCTGACTGATACATTGCAGGTACGGAATGTCCTAGGGACTCCTGTTCCCAGAGTCTTGGCTTGGAGTTCTACGGCCCAGGAGAATCCTGTAGGCGCAGAGTATATTGTCATGGAGAAGGTGCCAGGAATTGAGTTGGAACGTGTTTGGCCAAGCATGAAAATTGCAGACAGATTTACTCTCGTCAAAGCTATCGCCGGTTTTCAGAAGGCCTGGACTTCAGTTTCTTTTCAGCAATTTGGTGGCCTTTATTATTCCAACAATTTAGAGAAAGGAACCGGAAATGAGCTGCTGTACACCGACGCAAATGGCGTTAACGTTACAGACGCCAAGTTTGCCATTGGGCCGACCACAGCGCGCGAATCTATTGATTATCGAAGAGCGACTATCGAATTTGATAGAGGACCATGTAAGGTTCCAAAGTGGGTGTTCCTGCTCACGTAACTAATGAATACCAGGGAAGACGCTGGAGGATTACCACGCCGCAATCGGGCGTCGAGAAATAGCTTGCATCAGTCAACTCTCCAGCCTGCCCAAGTCCCCAATTACCCTCTGCGGCCCAGGGACCTACCAACCAACGAGAGATAGAAAGCTCAAAGCTCTACACTGCTATCTCAAGTTGATCAAGTTCCTCCTACCCATAGATGGATCTGTTGGATCATCACATCTGTGGCACAGCGACCTCCACGTTGCCAACATATTCGTGAATCCTTCCAACCCTACCGAAATTGTGGGAATTATTGATTGGCAATCTACTGAGCTGGCTCCTCTCTACTGCCATGCCCGCCAACCTCATATCATCGATTATGATGGCCCATCTGTCCACGGTTTAGAGCGACCCCAGCCACCAAAGGACATAGAAAAGCTCGATGGAAATGCAAAGGCAAAGAAGCAAGCACAAGATTTGTATTTGCAGCAATCATTGTGCTCTCTCTATAACACTTTCACTCACCACCACAACCCACGGCTCTATGCTGCCCTCGAATTCCAGCAAACGACCAGCTACCTACTTCTCCTCCTCGCACGTAATCTTCTTGTCGACGGTGAGGCAAGCTATCTGTCACAAGTCGCCGAGTTAGAGGCTACGTGGGACACTTTCCCAAATGCCAGAAATTCTACTTATCCGTTCACATTCTCCGAGAAAGAGCGGCAAGAAATGAAGGCAGATGTCGAAAGTGTAGCACGTGGCATGGAAGCAATGCGTTCGATCAGGGAGAGTATCGGGGAGTTATTCCCCGAGCAGGGAATAGTTAGGGCAGACCAGTACGAAGATACTCTAAATGCGTTGGAACAGATGAAAGATCAGGTTATGGATGAATTTGCGAGCAATGAGCAGGAGAGAGAGGTATGGCGGAGGGAGTGGCCATTTGGGACATGAGATGGCAGGCGAATGAGTAATTTGAGCTGTCGCAGTAAACAACGCCTTGATTGTGGGATGCAAATATTGTTTCTGCTTATATTTTACACCTCATGGCTACTCTCGATGGCTACTTCCAATGCCTTTTGATGTCCATATCCCTCCACCTTCATCCGATCTCCACTTCCTCACTTTAAAGGCTCAGCGCTTAGTCGCATCCTCTTGTATTGTATCACAGATAGCGCCTACTGAAGCCTGGTTGTATCCCTCCTAGAAGCTGTCGTCACTGGTCAGGCTATTGTTCAGCTTGTGTGACTAAGATTCAGAAGTTGCCTGAAAACCAAGAGCAGATATTTCTTCACATAGTTTTGTACATCAATGATGTATTTTCTCATTATTAAGCATATATCAATTCAGGGTACAGATTTTCGAGTATTATACATGTATAATGTTTGCTTCAACTTGTTCGGGGGGTTGCTATTCGAAGATTGAGAGAGTGGTATTCTTTATGGAACCGATCTTGCCCAGATGGGCTGGAATCGGAGAGGGCCAGGCATCGACAATGAGCTTCGGTCGTAGGAGAATGGTAACCTTGTAACTCCGCCATAATTAATAATATAGACTTGTAGATCTTCAACTCGTGTCAGGAACAGTCGCTTGTGTGTTCGCGGCAATTCATAAGATGAGGTCAGACTGGCGTGGGGGCCGTGACAGGCATGGTCACTTGGATAACAAAATTGAGAATAAATTGAATGGAGGGTACTCTAAACTGGTAGCTAGCTGTTGGTACAATGCATTGTTCAAATGAAGAAAGAAAAGGAAGTCGCGAGACTGAACAAAGTTCTTCAAACAAATACAGGTACAACTAGAATACACCAAGGGGAAAATAAGCGAGAAATGAAAACAAAAAGGCATTGTATGCAGGAAAGGAGAGTGCCAGCTGGTAGCACAACAAGCATGAAATTGAAACCAAATAACTAATAAGAGGATCGACTCGCGTCGCACATCTGAAGGAAATCTATGATCGCTATGGTGGAACTGAGATGTTTTTGCCAATACTTCCATCCAATGAAAACGGGAAACACGAGTGTCGCGGCCCATCTCGCGACCTGCCTGCCTGAGCTGACCGAGTAGAGAGAAGTGTCGTACTGGGATGGATGGGATGGCCGTGACTGGTTACTGAAGGGGGCTTGGATGCCAATTAATACCAGGCGGACAAGGCGCAGAAGGTGAAAGCAGGTGATCGTATGTGTGCTGACGATGTTGCAGGCGAGATTGTGTTGGAAGGGGTTGATTGACTTGGTGCATTGGTGAAGTGGAATTTGGATTTGTATTGCTATCCGAAGTGAAGTGAAGAAGTCGACGTGGTAGTTGCAGCTAGCCGCAGCAGCAATAAGCTCTCGTACATGATCTCGAGCAATTGAAGCACAGGCTAGCAGCAACGGGTCTTGCAGATTGAACGACGTCGCTGGGGAGGTTGGTGAGGCAGAAGCGAGAACGAGAACCGTTGTCGAAAGACGATGCCAACTGCGAAGTCAATGACCGGATTTAGATCGTGAGTCAACCGCCAGAATGTGTATGTATGTATGTATGATCCGAAAGATCGAGTGCCAATTTCAAACGGGAGGAATCTAAAAGGGAACATCAGTTAGCAGGGTTTCAAAGCAGGTGAGTCAGGTGACAGGGTGTCGTCTTATCGGACGCCCAAAAATAAGCGAGTGCATTTGTTCCAGCTCGGCCAGCTCCGCCTCAACTTAGGCAGGAACAGAAAGAACTTCTTGGAATGAGAGAGCAGACGAAAGGACTGAGTCACCTACCGGCAAGTGTGTTGTAGTCATCGCTCAGGCAGAATCGAGTTTCAGTTGCCTGTGTCTGAGAAATACAGTCAGTAAAAAGTGCGGGAGATTTTGAGGTCGGGTGGGAGTTGAGCACGTACCAGTGTCCCTCTCAGCTGGGTCTTCTGCCATGTTGATGCCCTCAAAGCGCGGCATTCTGTCACCGTAGTCTATTGAACGATAACAGTTAGTATAACGCCTGTAGGATTGCAAGGCAATGTTGGAAGGAAGGCTGAAGGATTCGTCTGAAACATTTTTGCGCAAGGTGGAACTAAGTTATGACATACCTGGGTCTCTCTCTGGCTTCTCGTTGGGTGCCTCTCGTGATGAAGCGAAGCGTGTGTTTGGGTTGGTAGATGCGAACATTTTGGACGTGTGTTGAGTTCTGGAATCGATGATTGAAGATTGCTTATTGATTTTGAGATGAGAATGGATGAGTAGTGTTTCTTGTGTGCCTTAGATCAGTGTCTATAATACAAGGGAAAAAGAAAGGCATTCATGAGAAGAAGGCTTCCACCATATATATCAGTCATATTGGCTTCAACTGGAGCTGGACACAGCAACGGGGCCATGCCAGGCATTGCCCATCATTAGCTCGTTGTAGCCTCGGCGTCCTTGTATTGCAGGTGAGCAATGTATGGTGCCTGATGGCCGGTAAGTCAGGAAGGGCATGGTAGAGTTTCGCCCTGTCGTTATGCCTTGCTGGATCATAGTAGTTCAGTCAGAGTCACAGATGGGAATCAGGTAGGTAGGCGAGGCAGGTGAGGTAGGTACGATCATTGGAATGGGGTCCAAAGGGCAGGCAGGCACAGGCACAGGCATCGGCACAGGCACAGAAGAGGCGAGACAGGCAAGGGCATCGCCTAAAAAAGGAGCGCGGAGAGCTGGCGCTGGCGCTGGAGCGCTGTGTGCAGTGTGTGGAGGCCGGAGTCTTAGCCTCTAGGCTTCGACTTCAGGGATTGGGATTAGCGGGTACGGGGCCAATCAGCCAGCCTGCGCCATTCGCCAGCGGTGGAGGGCAGCATCCTGCCCTTCCCCTTCCTTCCCGCCAGGCGCAGAGCCACTGCCTGCAGCATGCCATGCCGGTCATGTAAGTCACGAAGTTAATGGATGTCATGGTTACTTTGTTTTCCCAAGCCTGATCCTCTCTCCTTCCAATGCGGCGCAAGACTGCAGTCTGCGAAACACAATTACCATCCCAATAATCCGCGTGGGAGATGTGCCGGTGCTGCGTTTCGAGCTGCACATGCAGTGTACGAGTAACTTACAGTACATGCAGTACCTAATAATAAGGTACCTACTGCAGGCCAGGCAGGTCAGGTCTGGCCGGTGACTCTCCAGAGCACTGGGAAGCTCGTTGCCTGCAGCCCAGCCAGGCCCGTACCGTACAGTACAGTACAAGGACCTGTAATTTACTTTGGGGATGTTTTTGTCAGGTGAGTCCCTGCGGCTTCTGGAAGCTTTCCTAAAACGTTCACAGAGGAGTCAAAGCCCGCCCACTCCGCATCATTATTGCTCAAAGACAGGGCGTGCAATACCTCCCTTCAGCTCTCGTTTTCCACCCAATCATTTCATACAATCCCACCCAATCTGCAAACCCCTTCCCTACCACCCCACGATTCCGAGAAATAATTTGTGGTTTTGTTTCAAGGGCCTGCCCTGGTGGCCGTTTGCTTTGAGACCTTTCCAGTACTTGGTCGTTCGCCGCAAGGCCCAGAAGCGCGGCACATATTTCCACTACTACCTTTCATCTTGTCTTGTCTATCTGACAGCCGCTGATCACTTGCTTGTGTACTCTGTACCGGCGTCGTGGGAGCCAGTGATGTCACAAACGGCCCTCCGGACGATTATCGAGATCGTCGAGTTTTCGATCATCAGCCTCACTTTTCTGTCAAGACGGTCGAAGGTCATCTGCGTTTGATTACGAACTAAATCACGCTGCCCTCGAGTGAGGCATATCGGCTATGCCCTCCAGCATCTGTGTATCCACTCTTCACCGGTCAAGCAAACCGCAAAGAAGGGCGCGAACAAATCTGTAGTTGAGTCATTCCGTATTACAATCTCACTGCTGCACACGCCGGACGAATGAACGAAACAAAGGAGCTCTCGTTTCAGCCGCGGCCTTTCTGCTGTCACGCTTGCAGTTTGAACGGTGCAATTGCAGTCAAGAAACGGCCTCCCGACTTCAAGACGAGACTAGATTGTGGCAGTGGATCTTCAGGGCTGTGGCGGAGGCCTAGCTACTGACGTCGTGGATGCATCCCCCCTGCTGGATTCATCGGTGCCTTGCATAGGGACGCTGTTCGGCCGCTCATCACAGCAAGTGCCATGCAGGGTTGATGTCCACCGGATGGGCTACCTGTATCCAGATAATTCAGAACGGGTGCGAAGTCCACGCCGAGTTGCAGAGTCACTTTCTCAGAGTCTCCCAGTCATTCCAGTCATGCCTAATGTCCTGCTCGCTACAGGCTGCCACGAGTAGGTGACTGTTGTCACAGCTGTCACAGGGAGAGATGCAGTATAAGCAGTTTTAATCTGGTCATTGATTCCGACTTTTCTTCGTTAACGTCGTCATTTACCTCTTTTTTGCATGTCCTGTCTTACAATTATGTCGGCCGTTAAAGTACAATATCATCCAAAAACGAGATCCAAGACCGAGAAGGCGGAATTGTACACAAGAAGGGTCAAGTAAGTACAGAAACCACACCCGCAAATGCCTGTTGTGCGTTCTCGCTACATCAAATCCCATCTTGAATCGCCGAAACACCACTGCCAAACCAGTTTTGGATCGTCCTGTCCTCTCACACATGGCTCAAAAAGTCGTCCAAGAAGATGCATGCGAGCCGTCCAGCATCCGTGTACTCGGAATCCTCGTCCCGATCGGAGGATCTGTGCAATCGCACAGCTTCTTCTGAAGAATGGTCAGTCTGGAGCACCAACTGGAGTGAGGAAAGCCTACCGTGCTTGCCCACAATTCGTTGCAAGTCCATTACAAATCTCACAACATCCCGATCCACAGTCTTGGACTTTCCCTGGAAAGCATCAATGCCATCTCGGATTGGGTTGCAAGCCTCCTTGCCTCCTTTCCGAGTCTTGAATTTCCAATGGAAGATCTCTTTGCACCTCTCAAAAAGTTCCTTCTGCGTCAAATGTACGAGGTCCTGGAATAACACTCGTTCTGTCGACGCTTGATGGCCGTGGTGCTTTATGCGTCCTTCGCAGTAAAAATAGGCTGCACCGAGTGTCTTGTCCATTACGAGGATGAGGATGAGGAACACGCTGAATGCAAGCGCCCACTCCTTGTCTTTGGTGGCACTTGGGTTCGTGGCCCAGATCATGGCACCCCAATCCTTCAATACCGACTGAATCCGTCTTTGTTGTAACATGAAGAAAGCCAACTTGATCTGCCTTTGCGCACACCTTGGAGACGACCGTCTGTGGTATTCCTTTCCTAAGTGGCTTTGGACTTGTTGTAACGAATTCGGGTCGAGGAAGAGGCTGCGTTCGAGGATTACCGAGGTTACATGCATTTCGAGGGCTCGGCGGAGGAGTTCGGACTGCGGCTCGTTAGATTCACACAACAGAGGGGATCTGAACACTACATACTTCGTTATCAGCCGCATGACCAGCGCTGTAAAATGAGGCAACTGCTTCAAGAAGACGTGTTGGGAGTTCCGATTCTTGGTCAATATAAGCCGTTGGTATGTACGAAGCAATGCCGCTCTGCACGATATCCTGAATGTATTTGGAGTAGGCGTCTTGCATCTCGTCCATCGCAGCAAGCGGAATTCCAAGCGGTGGACTCGACTTTCGCACTAATTGCGGTCGAGCGTTTCCGTTCGACACTGTTTGATGGAAGAATCCCATCTCCGAAGAACTGCTCCGCAGAGCAAGTGCAACGACTTCCGCCTCTAGGAATTTTGGATAGCCCCAATCCATTCGAATGAGCATGTGTTGCGTGCCCCAACTCGATGCATTCCTAGTTACGAAAGACTCGACGTTGGATTTGGTGAAGTGTCCCATAAGGTAAGCTGTAATTGTTAGCCACGAGACAAAATAGTAGAAGGGGAAGCTCCCACATGGAACGAGAAACGTGTATAAGGACTCCAGTGGGTCATTGAAGCACGAGAAAAGACAGAATCGCCTCTTTCCAGCCAATCTTGCACACTGTTCGCAAGGTTTTCCTGGCGAGCATGGAGAGCACTAATAGTTGTCAATTTTGCGTGTGGCACGTTACTAGAGATGTATCTACCTTTGTTTTCGATATATGGCAAGCCCAGCATGCTTTCGCTTCACGGACATCTCTCGCTTGTTTCTTTTCTACCGCTGTCAGTCCTCTTTGACGTCCACGGGTAGCTTTAGCTCTCGGAGCACTTGGGATAGAGTTGAAGATGTGTGAATGGTGGACCTCAGGTTCCTGAGCCGGTGGTGAGGGAGCATGAGATAGCGGAGAGTTTTGCGACGTGGGGGATCCATGGGATGGGGCATAGCTGCTGCTTGGATTGGAAATAAGCGCCCATGATTTGCTGTCGTTTTCGCTGTTTGGACTGAGATGGTCCAGGTTGAGCTGGTTCATATTCGAAGGGCCAGCATCCAAGAAGTCTTGCCTGGCTAAGTGGGTCTCATAAGGCGCACCGCGAATAGGTTCAAATGCTATGCCGCCCGCAGTTGCATCAAGTTGGAAGTGACTGTCTTGGGCAAATTGCGAGTTCCATGGAACATCCGGCTGAAAGTCTGCATTGTTTATTGTCTGATTTTGCTGGGTTTGATGCGGAGCGATCAATGTTGTCGCAGACCACTGTCCGCTTTCCGTTGCATACATCATAGCGTTGTCATTGTAAGTCCAAATTGGTGATACTAAGCCATCATGATCAAATGGGAAGTCTTCTGTGAATAAGTGTGGTGAGTTAGTAGTCGCGGTACCAGGAGATGGCGCATCAAACGGAGGCCCAATTCGGTGGAAGCCGTCTACCATTATCAGTATTAGGAGGGAGGATCTGCCAATGCTGCACGAGACTCGAGGATAATCCAATCACGGCCATCAATGAAGAGAGGATCGTAGAGACTTACTTGGAAGTACCAAATCCTGCAATTGGTTTCCAGCGGAATCGAGATTAGAGTTGGTAATTGGAAAAACGTAAGTGTCAGAATTGGAGGAGGCCGCGGTATTTGCTGCCGAGAATGTTAAGCTATTGAAGCTGCCAAAGCTGCCAATTTGCAGATCAGACATGGACATATCATCCATTTCGGAGTCCAAGGTGCTAGTCTGGGGAGTACTTGTGTTCCAGGATGCCTCCTGGACATTGTTGCCGGACATCTGGGGCACATCGCTTCCTGGAGACTGGCCATGATTCCCACCATAATTCTGTGACGAGTTCGGGAGGTTCGCGACCAACGTATATGAGTTTGGGGATGAAATTGATAACCATGAGTTCTCATCCGATAGGTTTTGATGCACTACCGGATTGGAATTGAAGTTGGAGTTTCCAGCTGACTGGCGGTGAACATCAAAGTAGCCACTCAGGATATCCAAATTAGGGCCGGCGCTCTGTTCGCGGAGCTGGCCATACTGGTCATTAGTACTATTTCGTGAAAATAAATGCTCTGGCGATGAAGGGTAAGCTGCACCAGCGTTATTGTGTCGGGTCGAGTAGCTTGGATGGTTGCGATATGCGACTTTGGACTCCCTCCTGCCTGGACCAGCTGGGCCCCTCACTCTGCGCTGTGGGATGGCACCAACACCGACGCCACCGGCCAGTTGCGAGCTCATAGTTTCCAACATCGCTAAGACATGTTCACAGCGCTCCTATCTTTGCTTCGTTTTGCTGACGTTTGATGGCGAGGCGGGAACGGCCCCTCTATTGACTGACTGACTGAGTGAACTGACTGACGTTGGTGAGGGGGAATGGGGGACGGGACAGGATTGCCACGACGGCAAAAGGACTTTATGGGTGTCAGGTCCAGGATCGGCTTTTCCAGCATACAGGAGCACGCAGTACGACATCGATCCGGTGCAGCAGTTCAGTGCTGGCAATTCCTCGCGGAGCCTCAATCCCGTCAGCTCACACTCACACCTCCAAAAGTGTCGCTGCCATTGGGCGAGCGTGAGACCGAGTAACTGTGTTCTGCATGACACTAGCTGCATCGGGGTCACCGAGTAGGAATTAAGCGGGTCGTGGGGGACTTTGGGCGAATACCAGCGCGCGAGAGTTATGCATGTGTGCCAGAGGACTGGAGATCGATTGGGATATTTGTGCTTGACCCGAGGTTTTGTGCAGCGATGCTGCGTTGGACGTGCGTGGGAGGAGGCCAGTAAGTATCTGGTGATTCGTAGATCTTCCGCTGTGCTTGCCCCACATGAGGGGATGAGGAGGGCGAGTGGGTCGGGTTAGCGATGTTGATGGTGACACCTACTCGTAAAGGTAGGTAGTTGAGTATCTGGATCGGGATGGGCCAGAACTCTCTACGGTGCGAGCCGTTAATGTTTCAGTTGATCGCTACCTTACCTTACGAACTCAATTGAACCTTTGGTAACCGAGCCTTTATCATGAGGCTCTTGGGAAGTCCCGTTCTCTCATATGACTTCCAACATGTGACGAACCTTGGCATCACTACCTACTGAGCTCGGATTACTGATGTACTTGGAGAACTTACTTGGCCAGAAGCGATTGGCCACTCAGTATAAGACTGCACGATCATACAATCACGAGCAAAGCCAGTATTGGTCTTTGCTACGAAGCTCATGATCAGGCGCTCGTTTAATTGTTTACGACTATATAATGGAAGCCATAGAATTGGGCTTGGGCTAGATTTGCCAAACTCGGTCACCTGACAAGCAGCCTCAAGAACCGAGACGAATACGTGAACTAGACGTGGTTTTGGTGCATGGGGAGGAACTGCTGAGAAGTTGTTTTTGAGAATGCTAGTTGCTCCGGGGTGATCATTTGATCACAGATCACTTGTTTGGACTACGCTCCATGTCAATCCCAGGCACTAGAAGTGCTCATAACTGATCTTCAATAAAAAGGTGTGGACTTGGCGACAATTGTTCCACTGGAAAATAAATAATTGACTACTTCATGTTCGCAATTTGCTTAATCATGACCTCAACCCAAGTACTCTCTTTACTGACCAGTGTACAAGAGCCGCAACATAAAGCCTTTCAGATGAGGGGATACCTGCCGAGTCAGGTCGAATTAGTTGCTGCTACCAGGTCATTCCATTGTATCGCGAATCTGAAGGTGAGCATCAAGCGTTGCATTCACTTGACCCAGACCTAAACCAAATTCTAACCCCTTGATATGGCAAAATAAGCATACTTCTACCATGTACAAGCACCCACATATATGTCACGGTGATGCCACTTTAAAATCACGACAAGCTCATGGGTTCTAACAGACTGATCGCTTCTTGGTCGGCTACGTCCGCCTCACCGCGATGAGTCAGTGAGCTTTACTTCTTTTTGCTGAGTATAAGTTATTGGATTTGATTTTGCTAGGTGATGACTCTAGAGTTATAAACTAAGCTTTTGTCTTGTTGACGTCCTCTGTTCAGATCCCCATAAGCGAGCGAGCCCCTTATCCGCCGCCCACCCCCTCCAAAAGCATGCCCCATGGCTAAGTAACCCAATCTCCTCGGTTATTTTTTAACTTCCAGCGGCACTATTCGGAACCTTGTTAATTGTTGAATATCCTTTTTATCTAGAATAGCCTACTCTGCCGAGTTACCAAGTAGCGAGACTTTTATCTACCTGTTCCTACTTTTGAGCCTAAGCCAGGAAGCCATCTGAGCATTGTCACTCTTGACTGATGTTATCTTCGACAGCCCTATGTACTAATAAATAGACCAGCTAACGTACAAAGGAGTCACAGTGATTCTGCATTGTTGGACAGGGAGCAAGCAATTCAGTGAGAATGGAGTAGATCGGAGATAATTACTACATATTCAAGTACCCAAGAGTTCAAAATTGTGTTGCTTTCACACGTGCGAGGCCAACTGCAAGTACATATCAATGTAGACAGGCGAGTATTTAGAAACATTTGCATGCTGAAGGTCTTCATTTATCATAATCGGGCGCAAATCGACTGGCCAAACCCACAACTACAGGCCGTGCTCTTTACCCACCCATCATACCCCCAAGTCACCAATGTATGTCAAGTGCCCAATTCAAGCTCTTTTTGCAGAAAATCACCAAAACGCCATCCATTCCCGGTTGGGTATCAAGTCTCCAATCTACATCCAATCGATCGCATCCCATTGCAAAGCTGTACACTAGAATCGTCGCAAAAAATTTGATCATGGCACAAGCGTATCTCTGATGATGCACAGAATCCCATTATCAGGACATATCTTCGTCCTATTCAACTGCTTATCCCACGGCCCCGTCGGGCCACTCACGAATTTTCTAAATCCAAAAAACGGTGGTGGTTGTTTGGGGTCGTCATCGGGGTATTGTTGGTCTCCCCATCGTCCCCTGTAATACATGGCGCCCACTGGGCTGCCATTGATGGATTCAAAAGAGTGATCGTTACCACTGTAGTTGTAGTGGTATGCACTTAGTGTTGGATCCCAAAGCAGGCCCTTACTGGTATAATCCTGAAGAAAACCTGCAGGGAGATTCAGGTCAGGAATGGTGTGGTCATGCGTCCCTTGAACGCCGTAATTCGCATGGCTTCCTTTCGCCGAATATGAGATTGGCCGTATGCCCTTCTTCTCCACGGCTTTATACGTGAATGCTTGGCCGTTGCCGTGCTGGCTGAACCACATTGCTTGTGGTGTTCCGTTGTGGAAACGAATCATGTTATGTTCCCAGTCCCCAATATGATCACCGAGCTCCTGGAAGAAGACATTGTTCCCTTGGTTGTAGGCGTAGAAATACATGTAGAATGCATCAACCTTTCCGGATCCCCGGTCGTTGACTATGATTGCAGAGCTGGTAATTTCTCTCGTTTCTCCGGTTGAATCGGGGACTATGCCAGTGAGCCATACGGGCTCTGTTGTGACGTCGAGATTGGAAGTCAAGTAGACATTGCGTCCGTTGTTGCCGTATGCATTGAGGATATCGAGGTTCTCGAGAGTAAGGGGAGAAGGAGGGTCTTCGATTGTCGTTAAGTTGATGTCGGGATGAGTATTGGTAACTTGGGCGTAGATATCGGATGGAAAAAAGGCTTCCTGTTCATGAAGCCACACCAATGGTGCTGTGTACTGTCAGTAACTTGATCCTACATCGCGCAATGCAACCGTGTACCATAATCCAAAACATATTGAGGGACACCTTCGACTTGGCGAGCTTGTATTGATAGTCGAGCAAAGGATCGCTGCAGCAGCAGCAGACATACAGCAAGGCCTACCAACATGATCTAGGAGATTGAATCAGCAACTTTCTTCTAAAATCACCCACGGAAGATATACCCTCTTGATATAGTAGCATTGTTCCCTAGCTTGTCTCTGACAACGTTCCACCTGCACAACGCCGTCGCGGATACACCGCACCTCTCCCTTCTCCAATTCGCCTGTCTTCCACCACTCCATGGTTACCACCTCGACCTTCTCCATTCATTCAAGCTCAGCGGTGTCGTCAAAATTGCCTCGAGCCTCCAGAGAGGGCAATCTTGGTTCGGACCAGCACCGTCTGCGGATCGCGTCCCGATTCCGGGGTTCGTCAAGGATCTGCGGGGAGACTGGAGCGGACGCTAGGGCAGATGAGTGGGCTTGGTGGTGACAAAAGTAGTGGGACATGCAGAGCCCGCTCTTGCATGTATGTCGGGATGATGAGCAGCTATCAATGATTGCCCATGTCGCGATGCAGAGGAAGCTCGAAAGCAAGCAAGTAAGGAAACAAGAATGGCAGGGTGGCAGACTGCCAGCTAAGTACCGCGCGGAAAGGTCTCGTCCTCGTCCTATGACGATGCGCCTTTAAGCTTTCTTAGCGGGTTCGGCTGGCTGCATCGTGCTGTAATGATTGGGTCAGTCTTCTACGACACCGGCCTGCAGAGTCATGAGTGGTGAAACCTGAGAGTGCAGTAACCTGGAATATCTTGATTGCACGGCGTGGATAGGCGAACTGAAAGAGACATTAGGAGAAGTAACTTAAAAGACAAATGCAGCATCAAGATGTTTAGTTGAGGAACAACGGTTTTGCAAAACACAAGTTGTCAGCATTTGCGAGTTAAATTTTTGACTGAGCGTCGACTAAATGACCACGTCAAATCCTCCAGTTGCCATGGAGCCAAACACAAAGAAGAATGTGCGTTAAAATCTCGAGGCTTTAAATATAGATATGTACAGCCGCAACGCCTACCAGGCCACCTTCAACTCCGAAGAAACAAAAAGCCGCCCCCCGCAGTCCGGTTCGTTGTGGGTATCAAATCATGTAACGCCAATTCCCAAAGTCCCGAGTTGGGGTTTTGTCCACTTAAGGCTCATAGTCGGGAAATTTCGCTCTCACCGACGCAATTTCCTTCTTCCCAAGAGGTACCTGTTCCCAATTCAGGGGGAGCGGCTGGCCGGTCCTGTCAGGAAGTTAGTCAAGTCACTGGAATCGACACATGAACTTACTTCAGCATGTTGACTTTCATGTTACGCGCTCTATCCTTGAGAGCCACCTGGTCACGTTGAACATCCCATTTACCCAGATGGTGAATCGTAGACCACGCACAACCATATTTTTCTATACGGCGTGATAAGAGGTTCGAGTCCCGATCCGACCAAGCTCTGCGGCCCTTGGGTACTTGGACGCCCTTCGCTTTGGCTGTGGCATAACGGGCGGCTATACTGATCTCAGAAGCTGTCGGAGGTGGTGTTTCTCCGCTCGATTCGGTGTCCGAGTCGTCTGAGACCTGGCTTCTTCTCCTTTCGGGCTCTACTCTTTCCGACGTCCTCTGAGCCTCAGCACGATTCGAATCACCACGAGGGCTCATTTCCTGGTGGACACGCTGTCTTTTCTTAGGAGGCGATGTATCATGGATAGGAGAGAAGCGAGGGCCAGGAGGTGCAATAGCTCTTCGATCGGGATCGATGTGTCGTTGATCCTCCTGAAAACCTTGATCTTCACTCTCGTCACTGTGGTGGCTTTCAGCCCGTGTCCTCTTGGGAGGTGAATGACGAGCTACACTGTCCTGACTTTCGTCCCAAACCACTTTCTCTGCATCTGGCTGACGATCTATGAGCCTTCGCTTGCTTGCCATTGGTTTGTGGTTTTCTTTGTTTTTCTCTTTGCTGTTCTCGTTCCAAGCAGCGGTGTACTCGGCTGTGGAGCGTGGTCGATTGTCCAAGTCTTCATCGATAATCGCCTGGTAATCATCGTCGTGTGATTGCACAGAGTCTGTATTCCTATTGCCTTGAATGGGGACTGGCACTGGAGCTGATCGTGCTTTCGTAGAGCGCGGTTGGGGGCGAGACGACGATTCTTGGGAAATAGGAGGATCCTGGACAGATGAATTGCCGATCGTCTTTTTCTTCAGTCGCATAAGGGTCTGAACAGAACCGGCCGATAAGAAACTAAGCTGGTTAGTTTATACAGTCAAAAAAGCGAGCTTGACAGGTAAAGTATCTCAAGGATTTGACATGCCGGGAACTCCAAAGGCAATCTTACCTCTGGTTACCACTTTGCGTGATGTCAGCTGCTGGTAGTAGCTCCCGCTTTCTGGTAGCAGGCTGTGGTGCATCGTACCGAACATCAGCTTGACTATCATTGGTTTGGATAAGCTCTATGAGAGACTGTGTAATCTCCTCGATGCCTCCTTGTCCACTGACGGCTTCAGATACTTCGGTAAAGCGCCGTCGACTCCACTGAACCATATGGGTTATGAAGGATATCCAGGGAAACATCTCATTCAGCTGATCGAAATCAACTAAATCACCTGCTTGGCGAGCCTCCTCGCTATAACGAATTGTGGCACTGAGCAAACCCAGTCTCTCTTGGATCATGTCGACTTGAGTTTGTGAATATGTCTGGCCGGGCCGTAATATGTTCTTTAGTACGCCACCGTCTGTCAGCTCTGCGAAACGACCATTTTGATCTGCCTGGTCGTATTGGTCGTAGAACACGTCCGCAAGGGCTTGGTCAGGTGTGAACCTGGCTCCATCCTCTTCCATCCGTGACAAGTTCACAATGGCTGCTTGAGTGTACAGGTCTAGAGCCAGGTCAAAATTCTCGTCCACTAGATCTTCATCTCCCACAACTTCAGATTCGTCAAATTTGCCTATAAATGCTTCTGGGAATATTCTGCATACGCCCTGAAGAGTGCTCTTGGCTTTCCGTTCTCTTGGCTGCAAAACCAGGAATTCTGACAAAAGAGTTGCGAGATTAGCAGCGTGAATGACGGGATCTGGGCGAAAATTTCCTTGCTCAGGATTGTCTGTTCCGAGGAGCTTTCGGAGAACGAAGGAAGATTGGATATATATATCGCCGCCGTAATAGGCCTTCGCTGCCATGAATCGTTGCTCATGAAGCCGTAAGTGTTTTCCGCGCCGTGATCCGAGTATTTTCAAGTCTTTCACAATCGCGTTTACCTGCTCCTCAGTCTCAATTGCACCAACTGGAGCAAGCTGCTCTAGGATTTTGGAAGCGCTTTCCAAAAGCTCAGGGAGAATCTCTGCCATTATTGGATCCAGTTTCGCGATTTCTTGTGCCGAGTATGATGTTATAGCTGTAGTTCCGGACATCTGTGACATGGCACCCGGCGACTGGCCCTGGTTTTGTACTTCGACGTTTTCAATTGGACTGTCATCATCGTCAGACGGCTCGAATCCTCCAGCCTCCTCGTCACCTTCATTGTCTTCCGCGACGATAGAGAGATCTGTTTCATGGATCAGCAAACCTTCCAGAATACTGATATGACTCCTCACCTCGATTGACAGCAGGTTTCCTGGTGTGCTTTCTGGCGCGAGATCCTGTGCTAGAAGCACTCCTGCCGCTCTCAATACTGCTCACACTGGTTTCGCGCTCTCCCCTCCTGCTTATTCGTTTTGTGTTTGTAGAAGCTTCCTTGTGTTCTGGATCAACGCTGCGACTTCGACTGGATCTTGTCCGCCGTCCAACTGGGCTCTGGGAATCTGTCGGTGCTTTTGGAGGTGAGGATGCCTGATTACGCGAGGCAGAGGAGCGCGCCGTACCTCGTGGCGGCATTTTGGCGTGTCGTTGGGCGGTGTTTCGTTTCAATGGGTGGTGACAATGGTAGGTGACGTCCAAAGAAACTCAGGTCGACGCGACAGGTCGGGTTTGTTGACTGATGGACGCCCGCGAATCTCCAGGTCAGGTGACGAAGCCGAATCCCTGTTTTCATCAACCGCGCCGTGGGATGTCATCCATGCCAGGTGAACATCGGCCAGCCGGGCCCCCGGAGAAGTGCCAAAATTAGAATGGAACGCGCGGGATTGAAATTATTCTGGAAGTGTGGAGGAGAGGGTGGTGGACGCTGGAATGGAATTGAGACAGATATACACGAGGTGATGGAATTGGTGATTATTGAGTGAGCGATTTGGGAGGATGGGTCAGTTGAGTCAAGATAGGTAGGTACCTTAGTGCTTGGGTAGAATGTGACACTCAAAGCAGAGCACACCTATAGGTAGGTAGTAGGTATTTCATTCATCGCCGCACTCTCATCCATATCTCCTACCCACCTATACCTGCCTGTCATGCACTTCCTCTGTTGCTCTCTCGTTTTAATGGCTTTGTTTGGTGAGAGCTCTTGAGAACTTTCACTCGCTACAGTAATAATTATTGATGGACCTCAAGCCTGTGCCTGTGCCCCTGCCCTGCCCTGCCCTGGCTGGCCGGCCGCCCGCAATAGGGAACTTTATTGATTGCCCCCTTTCCCATTATTCAGGCACGCCAGCACCGCCGCCAAAAGCAAAGCGAAGCAGAGCCCCTTGTCAACGCATGAGGCTAGGATTCTACCTGGCCTGGGGACCACTCCACTAGCGAAAGAACAGGGAGACCAACAGCCAGCCCTTTTCATCCCCTACATCGCGACTTGAATTCCAGCAATTCTCTCGCCTCTTCACCACTGTCTTCTTATCTTTCTCTCTTCTTTACGCTCCTTCCACTGGTCATATAGCTCGCAGATTCGACTTCGAGGCCCCTACCCAGATCAATCGAGCTCGCCACGTCACTTGGATCCAGGTCGTCCTCCTGCATTACGAGATCTTCACTCGCGTGCCTCGTCTTTTTACTTCTCTACACGATTGCTGGCCACTGACTGCGGAAGCAAGCTTCAATATATCACAATGAAGTTTCGCAGACGCCCCGCGCCCTTATTGCTTCTCCTTCTACCATCTTTGGCAACAGCTCTCGCAGTCGGTGCTCAAGACAATAACCAGGCCACACTTTCCAAAAATTCACAACCTCGAGATGCACGGATAGATCCCATTCCAACCCCTGCGGTCGATCTCAACACCAAGTCGAGGTACGAGATAGGAACAAAAGATGCGCCAGTAGATGGAAAGGATGGAAAACCACACGCCGGTCCCTTCGTTGGAGACAAAGACATAAAGAAACCAAAGGTCGGTTCCGAGGAAGAAAAGACGCTGAAGGAAGATAAGACAGAGCTCGTCACACCAGACGGAGAGAAGATCCCACAGGTCAATGATGGAGTAATGGACGACCCGAGTAGAGAGCCACCGAAACTAGGTACAACAGGCACAGAGGGGGGAGTCAGTGAAAAAGACAAGGTGCGCAAGGCTCAGGAAGGCCAGACCGGAGAGAAGTTAGAAAAACTGCCAAATTCACCAAAGGAAGCTCCGCCTCTTCCTCATAGCGAGCAAACAAAACTCGACGGTGAGAAGATCAAGACGTCAATTGACAAGGACAGCGAGGATGGAGAAGGTCTTGCCGGACTCGAGGTATGCCCTTTGGTATATTTGCTATTCGCTGGAGCTGACTTTGACAGAAACCAAATGACCTTCCGAGCACGCCGAACAATCTTCCTCTCCCACTACCAAATTCCGCCAACAAGGACCATCTCGACATCTCAAAGCCGGACTCGAAATCGAGCTCTAAGACTACTACGGCGGAAGACGAAGCCGCCGAAGGCCTTATCCAACCTCTTCACTCATTCGTCTTGTCTCTTACCATGATTCTGTTTTCAGAAATTGGTGACAAGACATTTTTGATTGCGGCTCTTATGGCCATGAAGCACGACAGACTATTGGTCTTTTCAGCGGCCTTTTCGGCTTTGATCACTATGACCGTACTTTCTGCAGTTTTGGGCCATGCGGTTCCTACATTGATTCCAAAGAGGTTTACGAACTTTCTTGCATGTGGACTCTTCCTTGTCTTTGGCGGACGACTGCTGAAAGAAGGTTTGGCAATGAGCCCCGAAGAAGGTGTCGGAGCAGAAATGAAAGAAGTTGAAATGGAGCTGGAAGAGAAAGAACATCTTGCCCGACAACAAGGCAGGAGAAGATCGTCAATTTCACCATATGCTTTGGAGATGGGTTTGGGACGAACCAGCTCGAGGAAGTCAAGGTCAGGATCTCGCATGCCATCACCACCACGAAGCCCGTCATCTTCACCAGACCGCTCGCCTTCCCCTCCACGTTCAACAGTAAAGGGAGTCATGGGTGGTTTGCACAACCTGCTTTCTCTGCTTCTCAGCCCTGCCTGGGTACAGACTTTCGTAATGACATTTTTAGGCGAATGGGGCGATCGAAGCCAGATCGCTACCATTGCTATGGCTGCTGGTCAAGATTACTGGTGGGTGACTGGCGGAGCAATCAGTGGACATGCTGTATGTACGGGGATTGCAGTCATCGGAGGTCGAGCAATTGCTGGTAAAGTCAGCTTGCGAGTTGGTAAGTGCTACAAAACTGCCCATCTAAAAGAACCATGACTAACCCTTCTCAGTAACTTTGGGCGGCGCAATTGCCTTCTTAGTTTTCGGAGTCATTTATCTCGCAGAGGCCGTCTACTACTCTTAGACAACTGTCCTTTCATCTGAGCCGTCATCGTAATATCGGCTAGAAAAACTCGTTCAGTCCCGAGCCGACTCGAGAAGAGCACTTTCCTTTCTAATTTCACGCCAACCATCCTTTTTCTTGCTGTATACGATAAGAATGTGTATGGATCTTCTTTGGGTATTCGGTGGTGCTGATGCGGTGAAAATTCGGGTTTTTTTGTCTGGGAAATGAACCGGTTCGACAATGCATATATTGGAGTCTGCTGGCCGAAATGAACTGTTAAGATTATGGAGAGAGGATGGGAGCTCGAAATGCCCTTTGAAGAAAGAGGCGTATCAGAGACCGGGGAATGCTGGTATCCATCTCTTTGAGCGAGCGATGCGGTATCAGTTCAATAAAGTACAGATAATAGAGTCTACAACTCGTTCCACAAGAATCGTAACATGCCGTCGCGATGCTACTTCAAAGCTTCGCGCATACTACGATCCTCTGTTTTGACACAGTGCTCATACCTACACTGGGTACGGAGCGTGCTTTAGCATCTTTTGTTGACCTTTACCCGAGCCGCAGGGTCTCAACGCCTTCACCCCACCTCTTCCCACAATTCCCAACCCACCCTCGCCGAATATTGTCCCGGGGATACCGCAGTAGATACCGATCCAACCCACCAAGCAACAGCTTCCAGCTTGCAGCTTGCAGCAAAAGACGGTGACGTGCACCGGATAAATTCTACCTCTTGTGCCTTCAGCGCATCTAGAATTTGCACAAAAAGCAAGGCGTAAGGCCCACAGCAGCGCTTTCGGAGATCTGGCCCGCTTGCTTGCTGCTTACTTCGCTGGCTGGAAAGGAAGTCGAGAGCTCTCAAGCTTAGAAATCTTCATGCAGACCATCTCCGGGTCGGTTTTCTAATCAGCTTCGGACCTTACTCTACCTATTTTTCGTGCACTGTTCTGTTTGGTACAGGTATCTTCTCCTGTCTTGGAATTGCCAGATTCTGCTTTTTTGTTAAGGATTAAGTTTTGGAGTGTTGCACAAGAATTGCAGGTTGAATTGATATCAGAGCAACCCCGCACCGCCTCGCTCGCAGCTTGCTTCGACTTTCACGATCCCCATCCCATCCCTTCGGTCCATTAAATTGTTCGGCCCATTTTCGAGCTGCAACAGATTGATTCACGAGTCCGATTTTTCCGGAACTATCATTTAGCCCACCTTGAGTCCTGAGAGGAAAGCGAAAGTGAGGATCTACAATTTATACAGCATTTTGGAAGGTCAAAGCAGTAACAATGTGGGCCGGAACATCCTCATCCAACCCGACTTCTCCAACCAGTCCTACGACGCCAGCGGCCTCGAAGCCCACTTACAGGCTGAAGAATCAAGGCCGCAGAATCGCACAAATCGTTAAGCTGAAGCCGGAGTTTGTAGAGAAGTATAAGGAGTGTCATGCGAAGGTCTGGCCAGAGGTTTTGAAGCAGATTAAGGATTCGAATATTGAAGATTGTGAGATGTTGATCTTCCTTCTACTTGAATTTTTGCTCTTGGAGATGGTTGATTCCTGATTGAGAAACTGCATGCTAATGTTTGTTTCTTGTTCCAGACTCAATCTTCCATGATCCGGAAACCCATATTCTATTCGCCTCGTTCAAATATGTCGGCTATAACTGGGCAGGCGATAGTAAGTAACCCTTCCATGCTCCGCGGCGCGATTGCCCTTCCCCACATCCATTACTTCTCGGACAAAGTACTGACAGACTTCCAGTGGAACGTATGAAAGAGAACCCAAAAGTCCAAGAGTGGTGGAGGATGACAGACAGCTACCAAGAATCGTTCGTCCCCGGCGCAAAGAACAGCTACGATGGAGTTCCACCATGGTGGAAGGGTGTCGAGGAGGTTTTCTACAATCCATGATCCGGTTTCATATCGGCTGGAAGTCGAATGTCCAGTAGTTGGGGAGGACAATGAAATGATCATGAAAACGACCCCATCAGACCATTTACTTCTTCTCTCCAAATCCAAACAGCCCCCCAAACAATCCGGGGCCTCCTCCATCCCCCCCAGTCCCTCCTCTCCTTGCTTCTCTCCTTATCCATTCCTTCAGCCCTTCAATATCCTTCATCTGGCTCGGATTCGTGATCTTCGTGCCGACTTGCGCTTCTCCCCGATCGAAGCTCAAGAAAGTAGGCATGCTCGTAATCATATAGGTCATCCCCAGTCCGGAGTCCATGATATCCATGGAGTCATACTCGATCTCGCAGAAAGAGACACCACCCTCTGCCTCGCCTACCCCGGCATTGATGAGGTCCTGCAGGATAGGCGAGACCGTCTTGCAGGTATTGCAGTAGGAGGCTGTCCAGAAGGTCAGGAGGGGTGTGCGAGACGATGTCGATAGCGATAGGTACGAGTAGAACTCATCTGGACGGCGCACTCTGCGGTTGATTGGTGTTAGCATGCATGAATTCCGGGGAAGTGATTGTGGGTTCCACAGGTCAGCTGGAGTCAGCGGAGGGGAGAGGCGCTCACGGGGTGAAGATGCGGTTCTTGGCCTGCTTGTTCCTCGTGGTGGAGAAGTGTCGGATAGGGATCGTATATGCGCATGTACTCGAGACGAACGGGAACGGGAACGGGGCGACTGAGACTCGCAAGAGTCGTGTCGTATGTCTTGTGATCATGGTGGTGTTGGTTGTTGACAATACTCGCGAATGAAAGAAGAGTTGTTTTGTCTCCTGAAGCTCCAACCCCCGTCAAAGTGCAGCCCTCAACGTGGAAAGTTGCGTCATTACGCCGCTGCACCAAGACCCCAGGCCCAGGACCCTTCTGTTCCAGCGAGTGCCAGTCGCTCGCTGCTCGCTGCCTTTTGCATCTGACAATCTATCCATCCCATCCTCCAGACATCCCGAGCTGGGCGGGAGGATATTACATGCATGCAATAAGGCGCAGTATTTTTGATTTTAGATTTCTTTCTTCAGTCTTACTCTTACTCTTACTCTTACTCTTACTCTTATAAGTACCCTTGCCCCCCAATTCTCAATTTTCTCCAGGTCTTCCGTTCTGCCACCGTTCTCGATTCGTCCCTCCCAGGTTTGACCTTCCTCCCAAGACTCTCAGTGGGCCTTCTTGCGTTGCGCCACTCTGCGCCGACCGAGTCAAGAAAGAACAACTGTTGAGGCGTTCTTTCATATCCATATCCCAAAACCCCTCCTGCGAACAACCGGGAGCACTGGGATGTCTCCTGCCATTCCATTTACCTCGTCCATATCGTATTTAGACCTTGTTTGTTCCGCTGCGTACATTTCTATGTCTATTGCGCCTATCCCTAAGCACTTCTCTTCGACCCTGTATTAGAACTACATCATTTTTCCTTTTGCTGCTAGGAAGTTACTCTATCGCTCCGTCGTCTGCTTTACAGCCATCGTCATATTGGAATAATACCCATCTCCGGATCTGTGAGCTACGAGCCCACCTCAGTATGCCCGAAAATGAGCACGCTGAAGTAAGACCACCCATCAGTACCCCAACCTCAGAGCGAGCGCGGTCCTTTTTTGGCCGTAACTCTGCCTCTGATGTAGACCTGGAAGTCGAGGAGGAAGGCAAAGGCCGGCCGACAAAATGGAGCATGGGCGTTTCAAACGACCATGCGACTCATGAAGTTCCTGGTAAGCCTTCTATGCTATGAGAAGATCAAGGATCAGACACTAAATTTACGACTCAAGGTTCTGTCCTCCTCCTTACTGGCGACCATAATCAACCTCTCGGTCTTCGAAATGCGCCCGCTAGAACGTCTGCCTCCTCTCTCCCTGCACAACCACAAAGTCAGAGTAGACGCCAGTCGCACCACTCCAGGTCTGCGTCTGGCAAGAAGACAACACAGGACGGAAAAATCATTCTTACCCCGCAACCCGAGGAGTCTGGAAACGACCCACTGAATTGGCCGACATGGAGAAGAGATGCGGCACTTCTATCACTCGGCATATACTGCATGGTTGGAGGAGGAATGACCCCTATTCTGGCGGCAGGCTTCACAAATGTTGCTGATACGTACGATGTGACCGTCCCAAAAGTTGCTCTGACCACTGGGCTTTACATGATGGGAATGGGAGTGGGCTCCGTATTTGCTTCTCCTACGGCAATCCTTTATGGAAAACGACCTGTGTACCTTGCAAGCGCGGTGATATTCATCGGCACCTCCATATGGTGTGCTGCTTCACCAAGCTACAACTCACTGCTTGTAGCACGAATATTCCAGGGAGTTTCTGTCAGCCCAGTTGAATGCTTGCCATCTGCTACCATTGCCGAGATATTCTTCCTTCATGAGCGTGCCTATCGCCTGGGCATTTACACACTGCTGCTTCTAGGTGGTAAGAACTTGGTGCCACTTGTCAGTGCTGCCATTATTGAACGGTTGGACTGGAGATGGGTTTTCTGGTATGTGACCACCCAGAGAACGGGGATTATGAAAGTAGCATCAATAACAAAGACAGGATTGTGGCCATGGTTGTTGGCTTCTGTGGAGTGTTACTTTTCTTGTTCGTACCAGAAACATTTTGGGATCGTGCTCCAGTTCCAAAAAGTCGAAGTAGGAGGCCTTCAAATACAACCTCGAGATTTTCACTATTCTCCGGAATGAGATCACCGAGGCCTCCACCGGCGCCAGCTCCAGCACCTGCCGCTGAACTGGAAAAGCAGGGAGATGGGATCACAGACGATCCAAATCAAGAGAAAGCAGTTCCATCCCCCAATCCACCTGCTTCCAAGAGGCCATCGAATATACATCGTACAAGTACCTCGCGTCACCTTCACGTAGGCTTTGTGCCAGATCAGCGTGACGACGATGACGAAAATAGCGAAGCTTCTCCTACAGCTGAAAGAAATCCATCTCGGGTACTACATGGCGCGGCGCATGATTTCAAGGATAAGGTTGTACCCACCGGTGGAGTGCCCCCGACCCCCTTCCTGCACAACTTCGACTCCCCTTGGTATCGCGATATTGAAACCAATGCTGCGGATTATGTGACCGTGGGAGGTCCTACTAGAAATGGGACTAACATGAATGTTGATGGGGGAACATCCGCCAATAGATCAGGGATGTTGCTTGATGACGAGTCCTCCATCCCTCAGCAGAATTCCCAAATTCAGCGATATACGACAATTCTTCGCGATAGGCCAGCGTTGACATTCGTTCAGCAGCTCAAACCATACAACGGCAGGCTTCACCAAGATAATTGGTTTCGAGTCGCCATCCGGCCTTTCATTTTGTTCGCTTACCCCGCTGTTCTTTGGTCTGCCGTTGTATACTCTTGCGCAGTCGGCTGGTTGATTGTGCTTTCGGAATCCGTTGCAGTAATTTATCGCAGCCGTGAAACTTATGGTTTTTCTGCACTTTCGACTGGTTTGATCTATCTGTCACCGTTTATCGGCGGTGTCCTGGGTACAGCTGTGGCTGGGAAGGTTAGTGATGTTATAGTACGCGCCATGGCTAAACGCAATGGAGGCCTCTATGAGCCCGAGTTCCGTTTGGTAATGGCTATTCCGGTTGCAGTTACAACTGTTATCGGATTGATGGGCTTCGGATGGTCTGCTGAAGTGCACGACGCTTGGATTGTTCCCACAGTCTTCTTCGGCGTCATCTCGTTTGGATGCTCGCTAGGATCCACAACGGCCATTACATTCTGCGTTGATAGCTATCGCCAATATGCTGGTGAAGCTCTTGTCACACTCAACTTTAGCAAGAATATCTTCCATGGCTTAGTCTTCAGTTTGTTCTTCCCTGGCTGGCTCGAGCATTCGGGCTCCAAGTCCGTGTTCATCTGGCTTGGGGTCATTCAACTCATACTCATGGCATTCACGGTTCCCATGTACATATTCGGAAAAAGAGCTAGAATGTGGACCGTCAGAATGAACTTGATGGAGAAGTTTTAGAATGGCGTTTTTACTAGGGTTGGTTGGAAAGTCAAGGATTATTCATGCTAGACGGGTTTGCATTGAGGGAGTTTCACGGGCTAGATGGCTTTTAAGGTGCATCTGTAGGAGTTCATTATACCAGACTGCTTGCTTTTAGTTTCATTACAGAATGCCATGGCTGATGCAAATTCGGGCTGCTAGAATCCACATGAAGTTGGTCAAACCACTGGGGATGGGACCTTCTGGAGTAATGTGCTTCAATGCCGTCTTGTTTCTGATGCACAGGTTTTTCTGCTGAATTTTGGAAGAGCAAAGGAGTTCTGGCCAAGTTTGTGAGGCCAGGGTTTGTTCTCAAAGTTTCGCAGTTCCATTCACTTCAAAGTCGAGATGCAAAAGAAAGGCATGAGATGGTAAGACTTATATGTGTTTACATGGATGTCATATCGGTCATTAGTAAGACCTCAGTGCGTTACGAATATACTAGGAAATACCGCTACACAAGCCCGCGGTGCTATTGTAAGAAGGTCTGGAAGGCAGAAATATCAGAATCACACTGGACGAGTTTCAAAAGGGGTAAGAAGGTAATGGCAGGTTAAGAAGAAACCAGCCTTTGAATCGTTCTTGAAGGATCTTGCCTTCGAAGATGAAATAGATATTGTTCTTGGTCGAGCTGGTTTAGAGGAGAGGCAGCTTTTTGGTGGCGAGGGGATGCAGCAGTCATTTCACTACTGGTAACGGCAACGACCAGTGAATTATTATTACTCAATAGTGTACATCTGATTTCTTTATAACTCCATTTCCAGATCTAGATCCTATTCTTCGACCAAATTCTAAATTCCAACCATAACCCGGTCTTTCCACCTCACTGCGTCTCCGCAAATCATAGTGCCCCCAATCGCATAATGCAGACATCTCACCACTTCTTCGTGTACCATCCTGTCTTCTTCATCCTCATCGTCATTGCCAGGCGGACAAGCAGGTACTTTTATCACACGTTCAAACCTCTCCCCAGCAAGCCCACCCACCAAGTCCTCGATCATAGCATCAAACAGCGGGACGTCACCCCCGTACAGGGCATCCATCAAACTCCAAAATTCCATTTTGCCCCACACCAACTCCAGCCTCTTGAAATTCCCTAGTCTCGCCCGACTAGAAAGCGTATTCAATACCTTCCTCAGTGCTCCGTACTCTGGTCCCAGGCTCGACATATGGATCGTAACCCTTTCAATCAATCGACTCGCCGTCTGCCCCATAACCTTCAATGTCCTCGCGATGCCAATTCCACGACCCACCTCTCCCAGCCCTTCAAAGTGAAATATATTCTTACTCCAGAACGGCCCGGCGGTCTCGTTGTATATCTGGCGACATGTTGAGCGGAGCGAGAGACTCAAATAATCACTCTTCCTACTACTGAGGAATATATCTGGTGTCTGGAATATAGGATCATGTGGTGTGAGTGCCACGGGATCGTTAATGAGGTGGAGCTGCTGCTTCTGTCTGGATTTGCTAGGTTTGATGGCGCGTCGACGGGAGGATTTCAGGGTGCTGGAGCGAGGGAGGAGATAGGGCGCGATCAATCCGGTGGGGGATACGAGGCAGTACGTGTAGATCTCATCGCGGATTTCGCGCGGAAGGTCGAGGAAGGAGGGCATGAAAGGGTTGTGGTTGATGGAGTATGATTGACGGTCGGAGGTTGAGGCCCTCGATATGTGAAGTCTGGGGTTTCGCGACGGGCCGAGCCTTGGCGGACTGAGGTTGTTTTAGGCTTAGAGTACACGTACATCCCTACGTTCATCTATCTTCGTAGAGCTGTTTAGCTTTGGAATTACTAGGAACGATAGAAAATTGTTTCAAAGATGGAAGATCGATGCTTGGACAAAATCGAATGAACCATGGATCAATTGGCTACGAAACAGCACTGTTGCCGAACATAATGCAGGTCAAGCACTTCAAAATATTTTGGCATGAATTCTTCAGGTAAGAGCTGCGAAAAAAAGAAAGTCGAGCCAAATAATAGCCTCGGACCATTTCTGTACGTTCAGCGAGCGACACAAATCATATCCAGAATTCTTTCGTTCCACGTAAAGGCTTGATTTGAAGAGTGTCAGCCTTTCCTTTAGCAGCTCGAGAAAGCTCTGGCAGGAACGTAGAGATTTTGACTATCTTTGAATACCTATTCTAAACCCCAAGAGCTATAAAGCTCTCCAAGAAACAACAAACAGCTGGTTTTCGTGGCGGTCCTAAAGAATAGGAATGATGAGCACCCCATTGAGTGAGACCCCTTTTACTCTCGGCTATAAGGCCTGAAAACAAAACTGTCCATATGCTAACAGAATGTCTGCACAGCGTTGAAGTGTCGAGGCCGTCGTAGATTACACTAGGTGTAGTAAGAGCTCAGCTTTTCGTAATCAGAGCCCCACGTCGAGAGAAGATCACGTATCAAGTGGGCACATCTGTCTTTGCCTTTAAAAAACTGGTCCTCTACCCACCACGCCTCCAAGCTTTTGGCTTGCGTTGACACCTTTATAGTCACCTCCCGGAGGTTACTGTGCTTCTCAAAGTTCCCAAGCTTAAATGAAATGAATGTTTGGCATATTGCCGAGATGTTCCAAGTCAGAGAAAGGATTACAGACGTTGTACCAGACTTCCTCACAATTTGTTTAGCAAGGTCACCAATAAAAGATAAATTTTGCCTCAAATCTCGCCAAATTGTTTGTTTGCACGAATGTAAGGTCGGATGCCATACGTAGAAGAGTGATACAGTAATGAAGCCAGACTACTGTTGAGTTTTGCTTGGAAGTATTGAAGTGACAGACTTTAGAGTACAGCAGCTCAAGTGGAGAAATGAATGCATCTTTGGCTAGTTCTTGGCTCATCTCGTCTACCGCATGGAGATATCGTGCCGTTTTGGGCGTCAAAGGAATGGCTAGACTTGAAAGCTTGAAATAAAAGAACAACTAAAAGGTTCGCCGTAGTAGGAATGTCGCGCAGCATCACAGAGAACGTCCATTGGCAAGACCACTGGATTGTTAGATAGATAAACATCATGCTTAGTCACTCCAAACCTGTTGTGCGACCTAGACCAGCAAATAAGGTAACACCTGGGTATTCCCCAGCGCTTGGGTCAAGTAAAGTACCCAGAGTTGTGCAAAAGATGCTGCAACTCAACCGACAAAGAAAGGACTGAAAACGAGTTGTTGAGTCAAGTCACAAGGGGCAAGCACAAAGGGTTTTCGCAGTGTACGATAGCACTCTCAAGGAAACGATCACACCTTGCAAAGTCAAGCTTTGTTGTCTGACAAGCATACTTTTACAGTATTGGCAACCCGGCTCATTGTTCCATCCGAACCTAGATGACATGTCAAGCCTCAACTATTCTCTTTTACGGGCGGCAAGATCGTCTGAAATAGAAACTCCTTCGTACTGTACTTAAGCGCGTCCTTGTTTCATCGAACAAAGGTATCTATCAATAGAACTGTATCAAGAGGCGGCGCGTCCAGTGTTGATTGACACTTGACAGACGCCTCTATTCAGGCCCCGGCTAAGTGCCAAGTCGTCTCTTTAGCCGACAGCCACACGGCGAAACACGCAAGGATTGTCCGGAACACCTTACCAGAGCCAATCAGTCCGCCGGGACATGCGTGCCATCGTCATAGGCGCGGGCCACAACGCTGTCTCAAGTCTCTCAACTCTCCAGTCTTCGCCTCCAGTGCTGTTTCTCTCCTCCGGCTTGTCGCTTTCCCAGGTTGCCATCCCTGTTGGAGCCCTGTCACATCCACATCCCTCCCCTGCGCATGCCAAAGAAACGGCCACTGGCATCATTGTCTTTGCTCTCTTGCGTGGCTGGCCAATACATATAGCCAAGCCGACCGGGGCCAGCTGGACATCGCGACAGGGAGAATAAAACCACACGGACGCACAGCCCTGCCTGCTCTCTGCCCTGTCCTGTCCCATGAACATATCAAAAACCTGCTGTTGCCCTTCCCTGCCCGATATCGACATTTCCTCCGCCTTCAAGAATAGCTGGTGATTTTGATTCTGCACTCTTAGTACCTGTGAATCATCTCATCACATACAATTACCTCAACCGCAGCTGGCGACCTCCCTCCTTCAATAAATTCATGTCTCGATAATCGCCATTTGCAGTCCGCACCATGTCTACGACGACTAGCAGCGCCGCTGCGGCGACGACCACAAAGACCTTCGGGGACGGTCAGAGTCAAGAAGGCATCAGCCTGGTAGCTTTCATCACTGCGTTGGCTACTTCGCTGGTTATTTTTGGCATCCAGATGCTGGCATTTATCTTGCTGAAAAATAAGCTGGCCCGCATATTGTGAGCTCCTGAAACATGGAATATGGAAGCTTTTGTTAACATGCCACAGTAAACCAAAAACCTACCTAGTCCCTGAACGAGAGCGGACAGATCCCCCGCCACGAAGCCCCTGGGGCTGGCTCGTTGCCATATTCCGATTTACCGATCGAGAAGTCATAAACAAGTGTGGTCTCGATGCCTATTTTTTTCTGCGATACCTGCAGACACTCTTGGTCATATTCATACCTCTGGCGCTCGTTATTCTGCCGATTTTGGTACCCCTCAATTATCATGGAGGACGTGGGCCTCACTATGCGAATGAGACCGCAGGTACAAGCGAACAAGGAATCAATGTCAAGGGATTGGATGTGCTAGCATGGGGAAACGTTCGACCAACGCATACCCATCGATACTGGGCGCATTTGATTTTAGCATTGCTCGTTATTGTTTGGGTTTGCAGTGTCTTCTTCACAGAATTGAGAGTTTATATCAAGGTCCGACAAGACTATTTGACCTCAGCCGAGCATCGATTGAAGGCATCAGCAACTACTGTCTTGGTCAGCGCCATACCATCGAAATGGTTGACTACGGAAGCTCTCAGTGGGCTTTACGATGTATTTCCTGGAGGAATTAGAAACATCTGGATCAACCGAAACTTCGATGAATTGCTTGAAAAGATCAAGCAACGAGATGAAATATTCCTCAAATTAGAAGGTGCTGAGACGGAGCTAGTTAGGATGGCAAAGAGAGCCCAGAAAAAGCAGCTCGAAAAAGATGAGAAGTATAATGCGAAGCAATCCCGACAAAAGCAAACTAAAGTGGACAAAGAGCAGCGGCTGAAGGATGAAAACGCCAGGGCTGAAGCATTAGCTCAATCTGGGGGCGTGAGCACGGGAGATCCACATCAGGTACCTCATACGGTTGACGATGCTATAGATGAGGAAGAGCAGAGAGCAAGAGAGCAGGGTACTGAAAACGGTACACATGGAACAGAGCGCAAGAGAACTTTCAAGGTTCCTGCAATTGGTGGAGGTTTGGCTGCCGTTGGGCAAGGATTTGAAGCTGTTGGTCAAGGTATTGGGAAAGGCTTCAACACAGTGGGAGATACTGTTGTTGGCGGGGCTCGAAACGTTGGGCGAGACATCAATAACCAGGTCGAGACAACGAACGGCTTCATGAATATGGATGCAGGATCCATAGCGGAAGACGATGCGTATGATCAATACGGCCGATATCGAGGAGATCTTGCTACCCGTCAAGCTGCTGCGGCTGGTGGTCCCTTTGGCGCTGGTTCCGACGCGGACGCGGAGAAGCGAAGACAGCGACAAGCAGCCGATGAGGTCTCACCAGTATCTTCTAAGGCTCCTGGACTTCATGGAGGTGACATGAGGTTGCCAGGGAACAAAACACGCCAAGCAACATACCAGCAAGGTAATGACGGTGCAGCCGATGATAGTCGGGGTTGGGAATTTCTCAAGTTTTGGAAAGCTCCATCAGGAGGTTTTGCCTCACCTTTGCCAACCGGTTATGAGCAAGGCGACGAGTTTCCACTCACACAGGAGGATGGTGGTCGAGGATCTGTGTCCAAACCCAGAGCTGACGCAGACGAGAAAAAGGGATTCTTGCAGAAGGTTAAATCTGCCATCCCTTTTCTTGGCGGCGAGGGGAAGGAGAAGCCCGACTACCCTATTGCATACAATGAAGAGTACATGGAAGATGCACACGGTGCTGTATGGGAGCGCTATTTGAAAGAAAAGGACCGACCAACTCACAAGAATCCGAAAGCTAGCTGGTTCCCTGCTTGGCTGACCTGGATACCATTTACTGGCAACAAGGTCGATACAATCTACTGGTGCAGGGGAGAGCTTGCCCGTCTGAACCTCGAGATTGAGATAGATCAAAAGCATCCAGAACGCTTTCCGTTGATGAATTCCGCCTTCATCCAGTTCAACCATCAAGTTGCTGCACATATGGCTTGCCAATCTGTTACCCATCATGTGCCGAAGCAGATGGCCCCCCGGTCCGTTGAAATCTCTCCCAAGGATGTCATATGGGATAACATGTCCATCAAATGGTGGGAAGCCTGGTTCAGAACTGCGGTAGTGTTCGGTATTGTCGGTGGTATGGTGGTTCTTTGGACCTTCCCTGTCGCCTGGACGGCTTCTTTGGCTCAGATCGAGGGACTGGCAGCTGAGTATCCTTGGCTCAATTGGCTCAACAAGATCCCGCACAAAGTACTCCAAGCGATTGCAGGTGTTTTGCCAGCTTTGGTCTTGGCTATCTTGCTGGCTCTGGTTCCTATGATACTGCAGTATCTAGCTTCCGTTCAAGGGGCCCAGACCGGTTCCGAGCAGCAACGGAGTGTGCAGAACTACTACTTTGCATTCTTGTTCGTACAAGTCTTCCTCGTTGTCTCTATCTCTGGAGGTGCTCTTGCAGCACTTACCAATGTAACGGATATCACTTCGATTCCGAATACTCTCGCAACTCAGCTTCCGAAGGCCGCAAACTACTTCTTCTCCTACATGATTCTACAAGCATTGTCAACGAGTTCTGGAACCCTGCTTCAAATCGCTACACTGATCATGTGGTACTTACTTCCAAAGCTTTTTGACAACACGGCCAGACAGAAGTGGAAACGAAATACAACTCTCCCAACCGTCACGTGGGGCAAATTCTTTCCGGTCTATACCAACTTCGCATGTATTGCTCTAATCTACAGCGTTGTGTCACCCATAATTATCATCTTTGCCATCATCACATTTACGCTCCTCTGGATTGCACATCGCTATAACATGCTTTACGTTACTCGATTCCAACTCGACACCGGTGGACTGCTTTATCCTCGGGCCATCAACCAAACCTTCACTGGACTGTATGTCATGCAGCTCTGCATGTTTGGCCTCTTCCTCTTAGTCAGAGATGAGAACGACAATGCAAGCTGTATCCCGCAGGCCATCATAATGATACTTGCCCTTGGGTTTACGGTTCTCTACCAGTATCTGCTCAACATATCTTTTGGGCCTCTACTCAACTTCCTGCCGATCACATTCGAGGATGAAGCTGTTCTTCGAGACGAAGCTTTCGAGAGAGCTCAAGCCCGTCGTCTTGGCCTGGACGAAACTGAGGAGGATGATGAAGCGACCGCAATTCCTCAGCACGATGGAGCGATCGAGATGTCGAAAATCAACTCTGGAGGAAAGTTCGCCAAGTTCAATCCCGTGAACATCGCCCATGGAGCCGGAACTTGGGCTGCCAAATCGGGTCGCCAAATCAGAGCAAAGACCGTTGGCAACAGCACTGGCAACGACGGAGCCCAGGAAAACGTCTCTCCCCAACCTCATCGTCGTAAGCGCCATCGTGATATCGAGGCACAGATGAAGATTGCAGATGCTTTGTACGGTGGCTACAATGATGAAATCGAGGACCTAACGCCTGATGAGAGAGATGTGCTTGTCAGACATGCGTTCCAACATTACGCTCTTCGGGCTAGAAGACCGACTGTGTGGATCCCTAGAGATGATATTGGAGTGAGCGATGATGAGGTCAAGAGGACGAGAGAGTTTGCTGGGAATAATATTTGGATCAGTAATGTTGGTGCCGCCTTAGATGGGAAGGCTAGGGTGGTTTATGGGAGGAATCCTCCCGATTTCTCAGAGGTTGATCTGATCAATCTTTGATCTAAAGGAATTTGGTTGAGGTGTGGTTCTGACACTAGACATGGGTGGACATTGGAGGGGAGTGTCATTGTACAAAGCTTGGGTTTAAATTTAGCGGCATGGCGTTGGGTCTTCCGGCATTGCTTTATCGTCTTGTGCGGCGTGGTTACCACAGGATATACACGCATGGAAGAGCATTATATACCAGCTGTATCAGCATCACAGCATAGAAATGAGTGAAATCAAGACTTCAACAACATAGAGGCAACCTTAGTCGATCATATGCCAGTAAAGTTTCCTCTCGTAATAAGGACTCACTGGGAATTCTCTGTCTCGGATCCTCCTCTTTGAACCTTTCCCCGCCTCGGCGCAGGCACATCAGGCAACAGTTGAACACCCAAAATCCACCTACACACTTCCCTTGCACTCTCCTTCGCCACACTCTCGCTCTGTCCTCTAACACGCTCCTCGTCAGTCTCCCACACAATGCCTAGAATCCTGCCCTCCATATCCCCCTCTTCTTTCTTTCCTCCGGATCGACTCTCCTCTCGTAAGACCAGAATCCGTATGATATAGACAAGGTTACCTGTCCAGCTACGGACCATGAAGAGGCGCATTATCTCGGGGCCGGTACTCTGCTTGTGAGAACCTTCGGGTAAACCTCCAGAAGTCCCACCCTCTTCCTTCTTCTCAGAACTCGACTCTGTTCCTGAGTCCTCCTCCACATCCTCATCACTGTCCTCCCCGACACCCGTTCCAATTCCCCCATCACTACCGGCCTGGTCATCATCCCCATCCCTCGAATAAATAAACCACTTATCTTCCATTTCTTGAGGCGAAAATCCCCGTCTGAGATTAGCCATCTGTGCCGGGGACAGAGGGACGTTCCATGGTGCGGACACAGGTTTGGAGATGGGCTTCTGGCGCGTTGGGGGCGCGGTGCGTGGTTTTAGGCGTTGTAGATCGGAATCATGACCTTGACCGTACAGAGACCAGTGCTACGGAAGGGGTTAGGATATGTAGCATAGAAGCTGTTGACGGGTTGAGGAGCGAGAGTCAATGAACATGAGCCTGAGCTCGATCGCTAAATTATGAAGATTTTAGAGAGAGAGCGAAACATGACCTCCTACCATAAGAGCAGCTCGTTCGGATGGTGTGAGTTCTGGAGATGAGGTATTGTTTGCAGGATCTGCTGGTGAAGGCGCAGGGGAGGAAGACATCGCTCCCTGATTGCGTAGGTAGATGTGAATATGTGCAGGAGAACTGGTGAGAGTTTTGGCTTTGGACTTTGAGAGAAGAACAACCAGAAATACGAAATGATGGGTGGGTGAGAAGTCCTGGACTATATTTCTAAGAATGGCTTGTCTATTGTGCTGGTTGCCTACAGCTACTGGTCAGCCCGGAGAGGCTGAACTTTTGATGGGCGAATAAGATGCAACCGTGATGTAGCTCATTGGCCAGACTCAAGCGAGCTTCCAATAGAGCCACTTCCAGATTTGATACCAGACAAATGAACTCAGCTGTGAACACTTGCCTGCCTGTGAACAATTCGGATGGTTTATACATCATATCCCTCTCCAGGCGCTTTCCGGATTGCCGAAGAGGAGTGCTAGCCCCAATTAATATTCTTGACACAAGATCCAGCCTCAGTCATTCGTCAATCTCCCAAACTTCGGCTCAATGGAGACAGCCCCATCACCATCTATGACCTTTCCTCTATCCCATTCTCTCCCCTCCCCCCTCTTCGACCATTTAACATCCTCCTCTCGCTTCTCTCCTCCTCTCTCCCACTTGCTGACCTCCTCCTCCGTGAATCCAGCAGCTCTTAGTCTATCTGCACCCTGCTGTTTCCACTTCTGACGATCCTTCAGTGCCTCCAACGCTTGATCCCAATCATTCTCCTCATCAAAATCAAGCTGTACATCAGCCGTAGGGTCGTAATTAGCCGAGAAGCGAGAATCGATTCCGGAGGCGTTAGATATCGTGCCTCTCCCTTTCCGCTTCACTTCTGGGATCGGAGGTGGGCGTGGCCCGATAATATCATCCAAGGGATCAGAATCGTAGTCTGGTTTGCTTTCTGGTTTCTTGGATTCTGTATTTGAGGATTTGCGCTCTCTTGATGGAGAGCGGTGGTGACGGTGTGAGCGATGGGATCTCTCTCGAGATCTATCTCGTGTGGGTGTTCTTGAGCGTTTCCTCCTAGGTGATCTGTGTCGGTGTCGGGACTCTTTGTCTTTGCTTCGATGTTCTCTGGGCGATCGGGAACGTGATCTATCTCTCCGTCGCTCTCTATCGTGATCCCTCTCTTCGGAAACACCTATATCCCTCCGGCGATGGGCTCTATGACTTCTGGGCCTGTCGTTATCTTCTCTACTATCTCTATTCTCCTCCCTCGCACGCTTCACTCTTGGCTTCTCTTCAAGCTCATCATCCTCACTTGAAGTATTCGGCCTTCTCCCCTCCGTTCCCACTTCCTCGACTCTCCTCCTCTTCGCCGACCGCCCCCCAAGAATGGCCGCGATATCGCCAAGTTGCCTCCTCCTAATATCACCTGCGCCACGGGCCCTCTCTGTCTGCTGTGGACTGCTGGCCAAGCTCTGTAGCCTTGCGCGAGACTCGGCAGCTTCCTTCGCGAGCAGTGCTGCGTTATGATTATCAGTATCTTTAATAATATTTCTCAGGAAACGAGTATTCGGTTTCGGTTTAGTCCCTGGTGGTCTGTACCTATCAGCCTTTGTTTTTGAGACATGAAATACATTGGATAGAGAGGGGCACATACTTGGAGGGCCCAAAAGCTTCTAAGCCAACGGAGGAGTATTTGATAGAGCTCTCTTTGGCGTCTTTAGCCATGAGATTGGCGACATAGTCATCGGTCAGCTCGTCTGTCGCCATGTTTGCAGCGGGAAGAAGTTGGCTTCCACAGTGCGTCCAGTTGGTTGGAATCGCTCTGGGCAGTTTTTGGGGTCGTCTATTCTGCCGAGCGGTGAAAGAGATAGGGGCTTGGCAAGGCAAGGCTACGGCTCGAAAGTAAACAAAGCTCCATCGCGATACATTGATCCATAGATAAGAGCGTCGCTCAGTGCAGCATTGGCGGAATAGAAGCCTCGCGTTTTGCAGTATTTCAAGTTCTGTCTCCTGTCTTCACGCTTGATCGAGATCAATCCACGCGTCTTGTCACTCATTTTTACCCCTCCAACTATATCCGCGCAACCACATTGTACCAGGAGACATTTGCGCCTCTACTAGCAACATGGCACAATCCCACGAAGATATTCTAGACACGCTTCTAGACGCCCAAAATGGACATGAACTTTCTATAATCAAACTCAGCGAGCCAGTTTCCGGTCAGCTGAAACAAAATTCAGGGGAGCGGACCTCAGACGTGTCTGCAGATGTGTTCGACAGTCCTACTCCTGCAAGTCTCGAAGCGGATCTGGCACATTACAAGGTAGGCAAAGTTTTCCTAACTTGCATCGGGTTTTCGTTAATGCTTCCAGGAACTTTTTTCCAAACTCCGTTTCTCCTACCTCGAACAAGTCACCAAAGAGAAATTCATACGCGCGATCGTCGGAGATCCACCTTTGGTTGTTGAACATCAAGAGAACATCGAACTAGAAGCTTCACTCGCTGTCTCGAAAGCTGCTCTTAAATCGCAAAAGACCGAAGTCGCGGAACTGGTGGCAGAATTAGAGAAGCGAGGCCGGGAGTTATGCCGAAAGTACGAGAATATTCAGATGCAGACCTCACAACTGCAAAAGCTACCACAGCAGATTGAAGGGCTAGAAGCGAGTATCGAGGAGCTGAGGGCGGCGCAACAGCCTGGTTCGAATCCAAGGCTGAATATGCCGTTGGAGAAAACACTTGCGGCTGTTGAGGAAAAGGAGAAGGAACGCGCGGAATTGGATAGGCAATTGGAGCAGTTGCAGGTCATGGTTCCAAGAAAGACAAAGGAGCTAGAGAGGTTGAATGCTGAGTTGCAGCCTTTGGAAGTTAAGAGACTGGGTAGTACTGCTTCGGCGAGAGAAGCGAAGAGGAGGAAGGAGGAAGCGCTGGGTGGTGTTGGCGATGATCTAGAGGAGAGAGGGAGATGGTGGAGAGGTGTTGAGGGTGGCTTGAAAGGCATGCTGGGTGTAGAAAACTAATGAAGAGAGGAAGCTTACTGGGGTTGGGAATATGGGTATACCAATGGCGTAAGACAGGCGTTTCAATGGGGTGACGAATTGCTGGTTTGTTACGATGATGTGTTCTGAACTTGGTTTACCTCGATAACTAAACCTTTACTTGAATCGTCCGTTGCCTATGCGAAAGTGGATTTTATCGTTGGGGAAGGTTAAATGTCTGTAGGAGTCTGGGACATTCATTTATCATTTTGCTGTATCTAAGATTCAATGGCTTAGGTTGGCAATCCAAAGCAAGTTGCCATGACTTTCATACGCAACCCCTATAACGGATTTTTGGCTGGATGTCTCCAAGTCTATGCAATCGTTCCCTCGGTTTATATGTGTCATATGTCACATGTTGAAACTCTGACTTGAAGAAGCACTGCCAGCTAGGGAGTAAGAGAACAGAAAGCCTGCTACGTTTTTATCTATGAGATGGAAAACGAAATAGAACGAACGAGATTTGAACTTGACCTCGGTGTCTTGATCTGAATTGTCGAAGAAGCATTTGAGCTCTGGAAATAGCAAAGAGTTGATGATTGTCCGAAAACTTTTACGGACATTTGACCTTTCCGCAAGCATGAGATTGATTGAGATTGGCCTAGGTAAAAGGACAATTCTAGTACATTTTCGACAACGAGGGGAGAATATTGACACTTAATTTCGTCGACATTTTGGCTGGATATTTGAAACTCCAAGATATCATGTTGGGAAGTTATTCCAAGTAATGTCCTATGTTGAGATTGCGACTTGAAGATGCCTACACTGTCAGCTGGGTGAGTTGAGAGAACAGAAGATCCCGACATCTTCAAATATCGCGAAGTGAGAAGAGGACATTTAGCATTGGGAGATATTAAGGTAATCAAGAACGTAACAATGACCCAAGCCCGCAGGTTCTTCAGACAAGGTTGTGGTGGGGAAGCACAGTATGTCTAGGTCGTGCCTTCCATTTTTGGATGATCGAGGCAGGAACCGTGGTGACTGCCCTATCTGCGTTCAGCGGAGTGCATCGTGACTTCCTCCTTTCTAGCCCACAATCATCTATATTTCTGCCTGCCCCTCCTCCACTTCTCTCCATCCTTCAACACCAACAGTTCACCTCAAACCTCGTGTCGCGTCTGTACAACCAATCTAACTGTTCCAATTTATTATACCCAAGTAAATAACGAGAGACCGCACGCATAACCATTGTTGACCATGGTTGACAAGGTATGAGTTCACTCACCTCCCCAAAAGTACTTTTGGAGGACTGTTGGTTAACGAGTGGCAGGTTGCCATCAATCACGGTGAAGAGGGCGATGAGGAGCCTCGCCTCACGTTCTCACCATCGATAATCAGCTCTACAGAAGGTAAGAATCGGCACTGTCGATTAGGGCACCTTTGGCAACATACTGACAATGATTTGGTACAGCTGCTGCGAAGACACCCCAACCGATTGATGTGGACACGACAGTGACATCCAATCAATGAGGAAGGGTCGTGGCAGAAACATCGTGTACGACGATGAGGACGATGAGACTGATGAAGAGCCACAGCCAATGAAGAGAAGTAAGCCCCTCCTCCGTCGTGGTGATAGAGACAGCCTACTAACTGTGGTACAGGAAGACTGGTATCTACTACCTTTGCCATTGACCTGGACAAGGATAGTGATATTGAGATTATCACGGTTGGCAAGAAGGATCTTACGCAGATGACCCCGAACAAGCCAGACGAGAAGAATAACGTTAAGAAGAGCATCAAGAAGTGCATCAAGAAGACAGTCAAGAAGACATTCTTCGATGAGGTCCAATTCGTCAAGGATGTCAAGGATATCAAGGACGTCGAGACATACAAGAATGATGTTGCGGCCGGCATCTCAACCAAGGATGAAGACCTTGGTGATGACGAAGGCTTCATTGATGATGAAGATGATGATCAACCCAAGAGAAAGAGTAAGTTTCCTCAGCGAATCGACACTACCGATTTGCAAGCTTCTCCAGAGTACTTTTCGAAGCACTTGCTAATATAGAGTAGGACCTTACAAGCCTCACAAGAAAAACCGAGGTGAGGGCAAGGGACCTGCTCGTGAGTGTTCCTTTCCATCGACGGCGTCTATTTGCATCTTCACATTCAAAAGTACTTTTGGAAATGCTAACATGAAATAGGTGTCAAGAAGTATACAGGAGGTAATCACGCCAAGAAGGCTCAGGATGACCCAACTCTAGCACCATGGGCGGTGGTCAGGAAAGATATCCCAGATGATGGACTGGCTCGCAGTATGTATCCTTGACCCCTTGTAGAGCATCGCTGACTCTGGAAGACAAATTTGGTAGAACCAAGGAGGAGGTAATTCAGAATAGAAGAAACGCAGCGAAGGTTCGTCGCGACAACAGGTCTGAGCAGAAGAAGAAAGATGATGCTGCTGCTACCAAGAAATGGCGCGAGGATAATGCGGAATATGTCGAGGCCTTCGACTGGCTCCGACATGCCGATCAAGTCGCGAATTATACGCTTGAACACAGAGAGAAGCTTCGCCTGGAAGGCCGGGAGAAGTGGCATCAAAGGGTTCTCAAGGACTTTCTTGAAAATCCTGTCAAGGGAGTGAGAGTTCCAGAGACAGGCAGAGAGCTACAAAAGAGATGCATGGTTCTTACCGAGCTTCCGTTCGAAGTAAGCACTCTCGGAGTTCACGTCATCATCTTGGCTCGAAAGAGTTGGAAGGCAGAGAACAACGAACACATCGAGCTCGAAACAACGAATTGGCTTATTTTCGGCAAGTTTATGAGGGATTTCCTGGCTCAGACTCCTGTGCTGTCAGCAGAATCAATTGTCTGGCATGGCAGATGTGCCAGTGCTGCTTTGCCATGGGTTACCCGGGATAATGCTGATGGCCTGCCACTTCACTTTCTTGATCCAGATCTTTGGAACGAAACCAATGACCGAAAGTTCAGCAATTCCTTTTCAGCTGCTCGCGATCATTCTACTGTTGTAGTTGTGGGCCGCGGCGTTGATGGGGGATCTACCAACACAGACAGCTGGACAGGCCTTCAGCTTCGGTATCCGAAATTCGACATAGTCCTGGCCTACACTTTCGCCGAAGTCTATGCTCGCTTCCGAACCCCACTCGATAGTGATTGGCTTTACAAAACCAATCCGTATGATGAGCGGATCTATGCGTTCTTCCCTCTTCGAGACCTGATCGATCATGTCAGCGGGGTTAACCCTCAGCCAAAGTTTGCGTGGCTCATCTCTGAGTGGAAGGCAGCAACTGTTTGGCGACAGGCATTCTCTGTGGCATACCAGTTCCCAGAACCGACGAGAACCGAGAAGGTCAAGGAGGTCCAGGACGCATATTTTGTCCAACGATTCCGCCCACGAAATACCCTTCCTCTTTATGTCTGAGGAGTCTGTGCAAAGTACTTTTGAGTTGAGCTCATCGGCAGTGCCGATTCGGACGATGTCTGAATGGCTATCTATGCATGTCAGAATCAAGCCATAAATTATTGCTTATTGCTGGGAGGCTAGAAGATTTATGGACATTTTTACTAGCTTGATGATCATAGCTGATGGAGCAGAGAGGGATATGAATAGCATAGCATAGCATATGTGTACACATCGTGCACCACGATTAGCTCAACAATATGGCAATAAATAGGCATTTGAAAAGTACTTTCCAGTCTTACAGGTTGGGGAGGAGTACACATCGTGCCTTGTTCACCGCAGTGATTATAGAATACGTGTGAATCGGTAGTGTTGATTTGAGGCTCAAGGACATCAGAAGCTGGTTTGGTGTGAGGATGCTCGCTAGATTTTTGAAACGCTAGTCCATTTATGGTTAGCTCCCTTAGCCCGCACATTTGAATTTCTGACCTCAAACCCCAAGATTTGAAAACTCCGCCAACAACAACACCCACGACAACAACCACCAGGTAAGTCAGCGCATTGTTATAATTGACTGGAATGTGTTTCTGATGCTTTGGACATCTGCTGACATTTTGCTGTGCAGAAATCCGCCAAAATGAGTACGTGTCTCCAAACAAACGCATCTCACGCTCCGCGCACCTCTCCCAATCCCTCTCAACTCATTTCCAATTAATTACGAGGCAATATATACTGATACCCGCACAGCAAAGGGCACGAGCAGCTTTGGTCGCCGTCACGCAAGTTGCCCTGGCTCTTTTTCCGTTGTTTTAAAGCTAATATCCACATAGAACAAGACGCACACTCTGTGCAGACGTTGCGGTCAGTCCACCCGAAACTTTCAGAACGATCGAACCAGAAAACCAGAAGCTGGAGATGAAGAATTCTTAAACTGACGTGGAAGCTCAGGTCGTCGATCCCTCCACATCCAGAAGCACACCTGCTCGTCATGCGGATACCCAGCTGCGAAGATTAGACAATGTACGTTTTACTAGATTCTCGGGAAGCAGAATGAAGATACGGAAAGCGAACGATAGGAGGATGTGGCGACTGACGTTATGACAGACAACTGGGGCGAGAAGGCCAAGCGTAGGAAGACCACTGGTACCGGACGCATGAGACACATGAAGGGCGTTCCCAGACGATTCAAGAACGGCTTCCAAACCGGTGTACCAAAGGACTCGAGAGGACCAACTGCCAAGGCCGAATAAATTCAATCATCATCTGCGGAGTTGAACTGGGAAGGGTTGCGGATGGATTGCCTATGATGTCTTCAGGACTGCGATCATGCTAGCGAATGCAAAATTTGCAACAATGGGGTTTTAGCTGCATGGTGAACTGTGAGGATATCAATAGGCCGGTTTCTTTAGGGTTCATGCATCGCTTCATTGTTCTTGAACGGAATCAAAAACACACTGGCAAAATCGTCACATGGAAACTTACGTATCGCTGTGAGGCGGTGGCAGGTGCAAATCGATTGGTACTTTATTCTGCATTATTGGCCTCTCTCGAAAATCTTCACTCCACCATCTCCGCCCACGAGGTACAGCAGCTCTCTGTCCTCTTTTCTTTCCTGAATATCTAGGTCTTCTTCAACTCTATCACCTGCAGTGACTCTTAGTACCCCACTAACATCCCTCGCGGTTCCTGTATCCAAAAGCCTCAGATTCATGATGACATCTGCTTGGTGAGCCGTACTTAGCAAAATAGCCGAGTGGTTTGCTTCTAGGGGTGTTTGTTGACTAGACACCAGCGGTTGGTCGGCTGAGAGCGTCATGATAGTTGCATGTACATTCTGGGATGACATTAATCGCAAGTCATAACCACTTGTAGAAACAACATACCTCGCGGAGATCCATCAGCATTTCTTCTACTTGTACAGTGCCAAGCTCCTCGCCTCCAGCTGCTAACAAAAGATCTAATTGATCGATTACAAGCAATACTTTGCCTGTCCCTTGCGGGCCCTGCAATGCTTCAATGCTCTCTTGGATGTCTCTGGTGATAGTTTCAAGCCCCGGTTTTGTGATGACCCTTTCTCCGCCTCTTCTAGCTAGAGCGCTAGACTGCCGGGGCAGGAAGAGACCACCTATCCCATCTAAGAAAGCAAACCTCTTCTTAAGAGCAAGCTTGTCAAGATCCAAACCCTAAACATCAAAACTTTCAGTAGAGTCCTTTGAAAATGAAGCGAGAAAAAAAGGGCCTCGCAAATAGTACACCAAACTCAGTGACAGACTTAGGCTTACCAGTCTCCTTGCATTCTCCTTCCAGAATGTCAAGTCTCTCATAAAGCTCACCAACAAAACCTTGGGCTCATCCTCAGAATCCACCTCCGAAGATACCTCTGAACCAATCATAGCGCTATAAAGAAAGCGCAGGACAAGCCAGTTCGAGCTGGCGCCCAAGACGCTCGTCAGGAGCACCAGAGAAGCTTCCGGTGGGAGTTCCACGTACGGCTCCAGTAGAGGCGGGATTCTGGAAGACATTTTCGTGCTTGTTGTTCCTTGAGAAACCTTTCAGACGCCCGATAAATTTCGCAGTGCCTTTTGGCCAAGGGAAGTCACGTGCACGCTGACGATGACCTCTCATCAGATTGTTCCTTCTGCTGTTGAGGTCACGATCATCTCTAATCTCTGGCAAAGCTTTCTTGTGGGGTTTTGTGTCTTTGTATACCTCGCTTCAGTAAGGGCTCATACAGGACATAATTTCTAAATCTGCTCCATATAGTTCTTGGAACTCTCGGCTCTTGGTTTCTTGGTCCCACTGAGTATTTTCACTTGGTGAGAGTTATCGTGGTAAGTGACAAAGGTATCAAGTCTATCCTCGCAATGTCATATCTTGAAAGTAACACTGGAGCCAGACTCGCCAATTAGTAGATACTTCATTGAAACCTGTCAGTTTCAAGATGGAGAACCATGACAGCGCGGTAACACATCTTGCCACTGCAGTCAGGATATTTCATGCTCAAAAAGACGCATTCCGGATATATCATGGCTCAACAAACAGTACCCGTCAGTCACAATATCAGCGAGACAGAATGATAGATACTTCTAAGCTCAACAATGTTCTCAAAGTCGATACTAGGAGCATGACCGCTTTGGTGGAACCCAATGTCCCAATGGATTCTCTGGTCGAGGTTACTCTGAAGCATGGTTTACTTCCTCCTGTTGTAATGGAGTTTCCAGGAATCACAGTCGGAGGTGGTTTCGCTGGAACGGCTGGGGAGAGTTCTTCTTTTCGCTATGGCTTTTTCGACCGAACTATCAACTGGATTGAGATGGTTCTTGCCAATGGAGAAATTATCAGAGCATCCGCGACAGAGAACTCAGATCTGTTTTATGGCGCCGCTTCATCATTTGGGACGCTGGGTGTGACGACGCTCCTAGAGATCCAACTGATAGAGGCTAAGACATATGTAGCCTTGACCTATATCAAGGTCTCCAGCATCTCCGAAGCTCAAGAGGAGATTGAGAAGGCCACTAAGGACAATTCAAATGACTATCTAGACGGTATCATGTACTCGAAGGACAACGGGATCATCTGTATTGGTCGCCTCACGAACAATGTCCCAACCGGTGTGAAGGTTCAAGGATTCACACGCCCGACAGATCCTTGGTTCTATATCCACGTTCAGCGCCTCATGAAGAGTCGTGCAAGCCCAGTCACTGAAGCAATACCCGTTGTAGATTACCTTTTCCGTTACGACAGGGGCGGTTTCTGGGTGGCGAAGTATGCATATGCCTACTTCATCACGCCGTTTAACCGAATCACCCGCTTCCTTCTCGATTATTTCATGCACACTCGGGTGATGTATCACGCTCTCCATCAAAGTGGTCTCTCGTCGTTTTACACCATCCAAGACGTTGCGATACCCTTTGAAGAAGCAGCTACATTCATGTCATATCTCGACGAGAACTTCAAGCACTACCCGATATGGCTCTGTCCACTCAAACAAAGTGGCAGCGCATCAACACATAGTCTTCAAGTCCTAAAAACCAACAAGCGGCGTCCTGAAATGATGCTCAATTTTGGGGTGTGGGGACCTGGCCCGAAGAAACGAGAAGACTTTATACAGTGGAATCGAGCATTTGAGAAGAAGGTGGATGCACTTGGTGGTCAGAAATGGTTATACGCCCACACATATTATACCGAAGAGGAATTCGATGAGATATATAATCGAGAGCAGTACGATACTTTGAGAGGGAAATACCATGCAACGTACTTGCCGAGTGTGTATGATAAGGTGAAGGTCGATGTTGAGAAAGAGAGGAGATTGAGAGCAGAGTCGAAACTGAGCGCTTTCTTATGGAACATTTGGCCACTGATGGGATTGTATGGTGTGTATAAAGCTATGATTGGCGGAGATTATCTTTTGCCTAAGACAGGTAAAGAAACTTCCAAGAAGTCATGATATTGAGGAGTGGAAGAGAGAGCTCGGGGTTGTACTTAGCAGAGAGGGCACGTTGGGCCGTCACCAGAGGGAAGGCACTTTCGCGACATGACGAGCTTGCTACCATCATGAAAATTAAACTATTATATAGCTTAATCGTTCGCTGATTGACTATTATCCGCTCAGTACTTGAAATGCGCCTCTAGCCATTCCCAGCGACTGGCCTTGGCCTAGAAGGTATATTGTTCAGGGGATGTATCTTCACTATTTTGTGGCTCCAAAGCTCGATGGTTGTTATAGGGAAATCAAAGTAGTGTTCTGGTACAGATTTGTCTATAGGAAGCACGCCGACGCCTTCTCGAGCAATTCTTTCTAATCTTTCCGCGTCATATCACGAGGATATCCTCTCATGGACCAGCCTTCCCTTGACCCAGACCGCAAGAGTGTTTCTGTCGTCACCATTGAATACCCACTTCGCAATCCGCTCATCCCAATTCTCCCATCCAAATATATCAACCGGTCCTGTGTCGCCCTTCTCGTCACCCCCAACTTGACCCATACCAATAAGCTGAGCATCCCATTCCATGCCCAGTCGAAATCCACCAATCTTATCACCCAGTCCAACGACATTTGCTCCTCCTCTGGTAGCAAGATACAACACCTCCTCAACACTCAGCTTCGCTGAGTCGTCCCCTCCCATAGCTACATGATTGCTCACAAGAGCAGCCTGTCTGACAGCCTCCAGGATGCTAGGACTGTAGCCTCCACTCATATCGGTCCCCAGTCCGACTTCAACACCTTTGTTCAACATCCACCGAACCCTGGCTGTACCCGAAGTAATTGACGAATTGCTGACAGGACAATGACTAATCTTCCCTTCTCTCTTCTTGATCAGATCGATCTCAGCCTCAGAAAGATGCACCGCATGAGCCAGGATGGTCTTGGGGCCAAGCAAACCATGGCCATCATACACTTCTGTATATGAGTCAAATTCGGGGAAGAGCTCGCTGACCAAGGCGCACTCATTCTTGTTTTCTGAGATGTGCGTTTGGACGGGGAGGTCTGTTTCCTTTTGTATGGCACCGAGGCCGTTCATCAAATCTCTGGAGCAACTGGGTGCGAAGCGTGGAGTAAGAATAGGCGTAATGAGATCATTGGTCGGGTCGATACCAGCGATGTGCTTGATAGTAGCTTGGGTGTCAGCTAAAGACGTTGCTGCAGATTTATCGCGGTAGTAGTCTGGTGCCAGAGAGTCCATACAGCAGCGGCCAATGAAAGCTCTCTGGCCTTTCTCGAGACAGAGGTCTGCAAGCAGGTTGGTGGATGGTACCGAAATAGTGGCGTAGTAAGATGCTGTTGTCGTTCCGTGGGAGAGAGTACGCTCGATCACGCGGCTGTAGACTTTCTTTGCTTTTGCAGAATCCGATAAGCTGCTTTCCATCGGAAAGGTATAGGTGTTCAGCCAGTCAAGCAGAGTGCTCTTGCCGAAGATTCCTGCATTTGGGTACTGTGATGCGTGGATATGAGTATCTGAAGATCGTCAGTAATAATTCGGTCGGATTTTGGAGCAAACAAACCAATGAAGCCTGGAAAAAAGAATTGTCCCGGTCGAGACGTTCGCACAATGACCTCCCCAATAGTCCATCCAAGTTTGGGGTAGACGGTCTCTTCGATCTTGTCCTGGCCACAACCCCTCTCAACAGCAACAATCACCCCTTTCTCATTAACGCAAACAGCAGAATCATGCAGGAAATCCAGTTCCCCCAAGCTCTTACTGTGTACAAAGCTCCCCAGAAACAATGTCTTTTGACACAAGGAGGATGCCATGATAAGGTTGGGTCTGTATATTTGTCTCGTTTAGACTACATGGAATTCGGTCACAGTATCAGCTTTGCGTTGCGGATAGCTTTCTACTTCAAATTGGAGCGCAATGTAAAGATGTGTTTGTCATTTTATGGTGCTCTAACCACTGCAAGTTCCGTTAAGATGTTACTTGTCCCGTTTGGTGCGACGGAAAACGCCGATGTCCTGAAGTGGGGTGGCTCTTCACGCAAGTCAAATCGGCAAGTTCAATATATAGATCTATACAGCTTCTCCCTGGGAGATGCTACATTTGCTTGAGGGACCAATAAACGAGGAACATATCTCTGGTAAATTCGAAGAATACTCTGCACATTGGATCATCTAGGCGAAATTTACAAGCCCCCAGTCGCAGTCAATTCTCATCTATTTGTGCGTGTTCTCTATGATGGGTATTTCCCAGCGCCTACCATTTATGAAGTCCCAACCCCAGACGCCATAATGTTGTCCATTAAATGCTTGCTCTTCGAGGGGCCATTGTACGACGAAGAGCCTTCTTCTCTTCTGTCTCATCAACCAGCGGAAGAACTCCTTGCTCTCGCATTTTTGACAGATACTCTTGACCAAATTTATACCCAACCTGATATATCTCATCAAACTTTCCGAAATCTAGCGTACCATAATCATCAATCGGAGGACGCATGTAATGACAGCCTGGAGTTGTCTTTGCTCTCTCTAAAGCATCGACACTGGACACATAGGCCAGTCGTGCTTGGATTTCAGCAAGTGTGGGCGGATTGGGAAACGAAGAGAAAGGATTCCATCGATTTGCAAACGCCCAGAATCCTGACAACGAATCCCCGAAAGTTTGTGGCGTATCGTCATCGAGACTACCCACATCAATGGCAAATATTACATCTGCTCCTAAAGACTTCATGTGTGAGACAGTCAAGTTGTCGACGTAACCTCCGTCGAGAAGCATACTACCCTCATCACACAGAGGAGGAAGAAGTCCAGCTAACGACATAGAAGCCCTGACATACCGCCAAGCATACCCGCTAGTGTGGATCTCCGATCTGCTCTTGCTAATATTTGTCGTGTTGCAGTAGTATTCAAGCCAAAAGTCCTCAATCTGTGTATTTCCAAAAGTCTTGAAAATACCACGATTGAACTCGTGGCCAGTAGTATACGATGCAGATGGATACGTCAAATCCAAAGCAAATCTCCACATGCTTGCCATGCGCCCTGCAAATTTCTTTGCTCGACCGTACATTGGCACAACGTCCGCATCACGAGCGTATAAAGCACCAATAAACGCGCCAATGGAGGTACCTCCAATGATATCGATGGGAATACCAGCTTCTTCCAAGGCCCGAATAATGCCAACCTGAGATATTCCTCGAGCTCCTCCACCGCCAAGGACAAGCCCAATCGACTTGCCGCAAAGACGCCTTGCAATCCTATGGAAATCTCCTTTGAAAGGGGTCTCTGCGGAGTACAGTGGCGTTTGCCGGACTCTTCGAGATGTGTATTTTTGGATCTCTGCTTGGATCACTTGAACGCGTTGCTTTAAAGCCGACCCAAATTTCCTGGCTTGCGGGTGTACTGGCACTGAGCTAGAACGAAATGCCATTTGAACATGATGGTGACCGCCGTTGATCCACACGCGATTGCGTAGCCAAGCTCTTGTCAAGCCTTGTGGCGAGAATCTGTCGGCATGTAACAGAACCAACTCCTTTCGCGCAGTCGTTTTCATGCCCAACAGGAAACGTTCATACTCGCCTATTGCAGGTGAACCTTCAGCTAATCCGACCAAGAGAATACAGTCAGCTTGGCTTATGCAGGTTTGGGTCCACGGGGAGTTGACGTTCGTATCTGAATATTGATAGGTCAGTGGCTTGCCTTTTAAAGGGACATAATAAAGGTGGTTGAGATGTGTCAATCAGAAAAGGTTATGTTGTTGTTGTATTTTTGTCTTCATCGAAGATTCGGGGTTAAAAAGATTATCATCATATGACAGGCAAGAACGAAGAGATCGGAAGTACTCACCAGCAACATACAATACCAAGCCATACTTCTCCTCGAGATCAGCCAGATACTGGGAGAGCTTCAATTTTCCCATTCGACTGAATGCATGCCTTCCAAGATGATTCAGAATCGCGGCATGATTAAGGGACGTAACTCCGTTGGTTGCTCCTATTTGGGTAAGTGCATTTGTCAATCGACTAGCGAATTCAACAACAGGCACACCAGCTGTGACAGGGAGGATTGCCACAGTTCTAAGATTAATAGTGGATGACACTTTGTTGTTTGTGGCGCCGGTCGTCTTTTCCTTTCCTTGGAGGAAGACCGGATCCTCTACTAGGGACCGCATGCGCGACGCTATAATCTTGGAGATCTTGATAGTGATTCCAGGATGTTCTTGAGCGAGACTGTTGAAAAGTGTGCGCGGAAACTTGGCGAGCTCAGTATCTCGGATCGCGTGGAGTGTGGCAGGTCGCACTGATTCTGTCATGACCTCCAGCTCCCCAACACTTTCTCCTTGACCATACTCGCCTACAACTTTCATTCCTGCTTCTTCGTTGTTTGTGACCAAGCGCAAACGGCCGTTGAGAACGATATATATTGCATCGCTGTCATCACCTTGGTGATAGATAACCTGGCCTGCGTTGACCTGAACCCACTCCAGCGCGAAGTCGATGTGGAGAATCAATCTCGGCAAAAGACTTGTTAATCGCTTTGCCATAGTAAGAAGTACGACAGGGTACTTCTCGACTATTCTTTCCAGAGAGGACCGTGGCAGAAATCCAACATAGACGTCTGTTTTGGCCACAACATCAATGAATGATCGATATGACGAGATGGTACCGATGTACCCGGCGATCCCACCGGGTTTGATCAGCGCCAGGCTCTTCCGACCAGCAGACCTTCGCTTTTTACCTTCGGTACCGCCATTACCCAGAGCCGAGCCAGATGTGCGAGAAGATCCAGTGCGTGTCCGGGAAAGTGGAGCCAGCGTTTCATGGCCAGCTCTTGCATTTGACGACGTTTGATGGGAGTGAGCTAGTACAATAGATTCGGACTTGTCATCGAGAGGAACGGTGACATCCAAGAACCCATCAATGACATAGTACAATCCAGGATTACGCTCGCCTTGCTCTACAAGTACAGAGCCTTTTGGGAAGAACACAATCTCAACTTCATCTTTGAGCTCATGGGCAAGGCCTTGCGTACTTGGAAAGCCACCAGCACTGATCCCTCCGGATGTCATTGACTCGGTATCCCCATCTGCAGATCCTTCGTAAGGGTCAATGAAGCCAAATGCATTGTTGCTGAATACAGCCTTTTGCCGACGCTGATCGTACGAGACAAGTCTCGGTGACGCCTCCACTGAGTCTGACATTCTCAGGGCATTTTTGGTGTTTGTCAACCCGATGGCTTTGAATATGCACTCCAGAATTGACCCACGGAACATGCTGTCCTCATCTATGGACTCTTGACGATGAAGAGTCCTTCGAGGATTGACGGGGCTATTGAAAGGATTGAAAGATCTTTGCGCAAGAGGACTTTGAGCATCATGGTGCCAAACTTCGGGGCCATTCCCTACCGAGTGACCAACAGAGGTTCCTTGACCAAAGTTACTAACTTTACGGCCGCCATTGCGAGACATTTGTATGTTTGTTAGAAGATCCCCAGGGCTTGGGCTTGCGCCAGTATCACTACCCGAGATTGGCTCTGCACGTACCGAAACGGAAGATGCTGTTTTCCCAGACAAAGCGTGCAAAGTTGCCTCCTTCCGAAGGCTGTTGCTGGATCGTCTCCTGCGGCCAGCGCCTGCATTGTGCAATGCAATACCCTTACTGCCTTCCTCGACACCGATGCGCTCGCGTTCGCGGATGAATTTTTCTTTCAATCGTTCCAAAGCGTCCCCTCGCAGAAAGTTGGGAAGCTCATATGTTGTATACTTGTTCATATGCTTCTCTGTACGTAAGACCTCGCTCGTCAAGCCAAGATAAGAGTGTCCTGTCGCCAAAGTCACCCTTTGTAATCTTGTCAGAATTACCTGAACAATGTGCGCAGTAGCTTTCGGATAGACTCGTGTAAGGCGGCGAAAAGCACTTGCGGGTATGATGGCAATGGTGGTATCCACAGTAGCTCTTGCCACGATATCTGGGTGGGCAGAATTGGTCTGAGTCCTTCTGGGCATTGGTCGTTGCTTCAAGGGCGGTCTGTCGGGATCATCAAGAGATAGAGGGGGAACGCGAGGAAGCGTGCCGCCAGCTGTCGGACTCGCTAGGGTGGAGGAGCGGTCGCGCGAGGTAGACTGGCCTTTTTCACTTGGGGCACCGTAAATAGGACTCGTTGGTAGAGAAGGAGGCGTTTCGTGGTGGTTGTGGTCATAGGCAAAGCTGCCGCTGGAGGGAAACTGCTGACGACCGTATGCGGAAGATCCGCTACCCTCCGCCTCATCATCCTCGTCATGTCTGAGCTTAACATCTTCCGTAAACAAAGATAGAATTGAGAATAAGGACGACATGGGGGCGCCATTCTTCACTTCTGTCAACAATTGGTAGCCCTGTTGTGTACTTCGCCGGTATTGTCCCTCTCCACTATCGGATGAGTCGTCTGGGTGAAACCCTGTTTCCGAATCCGAACCTCTACTTTCCCGAGCAGACTTGACAAAGATCTCCACCAGGCCATCTACGACCAGACAGAAGCCCTTCTCCTCTTCCAGATTCAGAGTCTCCCCAGCAATTAATTTCCTTGTCTGCATAGTCCTTGTGAGCTCGTGGAAGACTGGTCGCTCCAAGTATCCAAACACTTTTATAGCACTGAGGAACTCGTCCAAGTAATTAGAAAATCCAGACTTGGAACCTTCTTCTTGAGTGTCCGGATACAGGTCGATTTCCGGTTCTTTTCTTTGGGGTTCTGGCGGCAACCGAGCATACATGTTCAAGAACCTGTACCGGACGAACCAGCTCAAGGTCGACACAAGCGCAATGGCAATCAACATTCTAAGAATGGCGAGTTAGCAAAGACTAATTGATAGGGATCAGACCGACTGACAAAGTGGTTGCATTCATAGTGAATGTCAAGCTTGTAGAGAAGAGCGTGAAGAGGAACGTGGGCATGGTGATAGTTGAGAAAGTGATGATCCAGTAAAGAAATCCAGGGATCACTTTGATCATGAAAAGAATCATTCTCCCAAACAAACCGAACCAGGAAGACTGGGCTTTCTGCTTTTGGATTGTTGTGTTTGCCACAGCCAGAGCGGAAGGAATTGCAGACTCCATAGCATTTGGCAGGCTTGTGACGCCTTCAGCAAATGCGGAAATGGTTTCGGACATGGTGATGATAGACTGCTGAAAGCTATCAGCACTCGCCCCAGAGCTCTCTCCCATTTCGACGATTCATCCTCCAGCTTCTGGAGCTTTCATATCCTGAGAAAGAGGCGGAGATTGGAACTGTGTGGTTGGTAAACGTGGTAAGTCATGGTCGAGGCACGGGGTTAGAAAGCGAGCTCAAGCCTGCAACAATACAGGGAGACCCGAGCGGCCGCCGGGATTCGCCGGCCGCTCCCCACCAACCCAGTCCAACCCACCAAACATCAAAAGATTCCGTCGTGACTCCAAAAACAACCAAACCCCATACCAACGCCAACACCACCTTTGCGCAGCTACCAGTCCCAATTCTCACGAAATAACGACTCCAATTATTGGGAGATACAAAGCATCCGCTGCGGAGCACAAAAGAAGCCCCCAGAACCCGACTTGCGCCACCACGCGCAACCATTGCCATCATGTCGTTAACAAATTGCCGCTTCTATGAGGAGAAGTTTCCAGAGATCGATAGCTTTGTGATGGTGAACGTCAAGCAGGTACGCGCTTTATAGTCAGGTTGGAGGTGTTGCAATATCTGACCTGTTTTCAGATCGCAGAGATGGGGGCATATGTTAAGCTCCTTGAATACGACAATATCGACGGCATGATCTTACTCTCAGAATTGTCGAGACGTCGTATCCGAAGTATCCAGAAGCTCATCCGAGTTGGCCGGAATGAAGTTGTTGTGGTTCTCAGAGTTGACAAGGAGAAGGGTATGGACATATCAGTCTGTAGTGGATGATGAGACTGACAAGGCTGGACTCTAGGGTATATCGATCTTTCGAAGCGTCGAGTTTCACCAGAAGATATCGTCAAGTGCGAAGAGAGATACAATAAGAGCAAGATGGTACACTCAATTATGCGCCATGTTGCGGAGAAGACACAGCACCCTATTGAGGATCTCTATGAGCGCATCACCTGGCCGCTGAACAAGAAGTATGGACACGCCGTAGATGCTTTCAAGCTATCCATAACGTAAGTTTCATCCTGCGATGGCCTGTACACGTTTACTGACTTGATCCTGAAGTAATACCGACGTCTGGCAAGAAGTTTCATTTCCCAACGATGTCGTGGCAGACGAGCTCAAATCGTATATTGGAAAGCGCCTGACACCCCAGCCAACCAAAGTTCGAGCAGATGTGGAGGTCACCTGTTTCGGCTACGAAGGAATCGACGCTGTCAAGACGGCACTGAGAACCGCTGAAGCCAGAAACACCCCAGACAACCAAGTTAAGGTGAAGCTCGTTTCGCCTCCTCTTTACGTCCTCACAAGTACTTGTTTGGAGAAGTCTGTTGGAATTCAAACCCTTGAGGCGGCAATCATCGATATCAGGAAAAATATCGAGGGGGCTGGTGGAAGCTGCATTGTGAAGATGGAGCCCAAGGCGGTAACAGAGAACGACGATGCCGAGTTGCAGGCGCTTATGGAGAAACGTGAGAGAGAGAATGCTGAGGTTAGCGGAGACGAAAGTCAGAGTGAAAGCGATGAGAATGCCGTGGAGGTGATGTAAGGCATTTTGGGATAATTAAAAGCATTCGTGATTCAGAATTGCATTGCGGGCGCATAGATGGCTAAGTCTACAGATGCAAGGCTATATTCTAGTATTGTCTGAATGAAATAAATCAACTTCATAAAGCATTGCAGCAAGGAGCTAAAGGATCCAGCCGCGCAAGGCTGGCTGAGGCGGGATCGCAAGGCTGACGCTAACTCCTGATAATTAGCCTTCGCCTCCAACCTATTCATCGACACCAACACTTGCAATGTCGGCCAGTCGTGTATTCTCTCAGCTAAATCGCAGACTCCGTTGGAGACCTACTTGGCGAGAAGTTCGATATAGGCCATTAACCATCTTACCTTGGATCCCAGCCGTGATCTTCTTCAATGACCATGTGGGAGAACATGTGTGGATAAACGGTCAATCCATGTACCCTTTCTTGAATCCGTCGTTCAACGAGGATCTATCGAAAGATTTGTGCTGGAACAGTAGGTGGAATCCTACGGCAAATCTTAAGAGAGGCATGATAGTCTCGTACCAGCAAGTCAAACTGCTCAAAATTCGATCCCATATGCTTACGAGTGAAATTTAGGAGTCCAGCCCACCCAGAAGTCCTAGTAGTGAAACGAATCATTGCTTTGGAAGGAGATATCGTATACACACGAGCACACTGTGCAGTGCCGACCATTCAGATTCCCGCAAACCATGTCTGGGTTGAAGGAGACAATAAAGACTCGACCAAGTCGCTCGACAGCAATACCTATGGTCCTATTCCATTGAATCTGATCACAGGAAGACTCACACATGTTATATGGCCTTGGAGAAGCCTGGGAGCAATACACTGGGAAGAATTCAAGGGAAGAACAAGGGTCATTAAGGGCACGAAGGATGCTGCGCCTGGATGGGATTGAGCTGGATGAAAATATGCCCTGAAGGAGAAAGGGATGAAGCATGCACGCTGGGTCTTTCTATTACCCCTTCAAACCTGCAAAATGATCTTCAGCTCGGATAACATGTATATTATGAACGAGATACCCAATCCCTTTCTGCATGGTCATGGCTTACCAACGGACCAAAGTCTTGAAAGCTTTGTCGTTGCCAGCATATCGTATCTAGTAGAGCGCTATGAAAGTTTTCTCCGATGAGGGCAAGTTTAATATCAATTACGAGTATGCCATCATTGAATTGAAGATGATCTTTATTCACAGCAGTGCTATCAACATACCTAATGCTGACGAGATTCTCGCTGGCTCATAAGCACTGGTATGTGATTGGCCAGCCTCGTTCTTACATAAACATTTTTTTGAACAGGAGGCATCTACGAAAGCCGCGCTTCAGTAACTGCAGACAACAATCGGTCATTATTCCACCAAGACAGGACATAGTCACTCAGTGTCTCCGTACCGAGAAGCCCTGAAGGCGACTCAATTGGAAAATTGAGAAAGGACATGTCCTTAGGCTCTCTGGTCGACAATTTGTTCCCCGGATCAACAACGAAAAACCAAGAGGGTCGCAGCCAGTTGGGCTTCGCTGATGATGGACTGGAGGGCGGGAAACATACCTTCGCGGATGCAAACTTTAGTGCAGGGCGATTCAGGACAGAAGATATGGCACCGAAAACGATTGAGGAGGAGGAGGGACGACCACCATACCTACATGTGAGCAGAAATCCAGCAATTGAGGTACCAATACTGAAACTTCATAGTCTATGATAGCTGGAGGATTAGGAGGTACAACGGGGGATCTATTGATGCATTCTTTGGATACAGTGAAGACGCGACAGCAAGGCGATCCTCACATGCCGCCCAAGTATGCTTCGATGTCTTCAACTTACGCCACCATATTCCGGCAAGAAGGACTACGACGTGGATTGTACGGAGGCTGGGTGCCAGCCATGCTTGGATCCTTCCCCGGAACAGTCATTTTCTTCGGAACGTATGAGTACAGTAAGAGGCATATGATCGATTACGGCATAACACCTCAGTTCGCCTATCTTACAAGTGGTATGCTTCCGACAGCGCTTTTTTCGCAGGGAATACTAACTACGAATAGGATTTCTTGCGGATTTCGCTGCGTCTTTTGTCTATGTACCCTCAGAGGTACTTAAAACCCGATTGCAACTCCAAGGTCGATACAACAACCCTTTCTTTCAGTCAGGATATAACTACAAGTCAACCGCACATGCTGCCAGAACGATAGTCCGCCAGGAAGGGTTCTCAGCTCTCTTCTATGGGTACAAGGCTACCATATTCCGAGATCTCCCTTTCTCAGCATTACAATTTACTTTTTATGAGCAAGCTCAAACATGGGCTAGGCAGTGGAAACAAAGTCGGGAAATCGGGCTGCCATTAGAGCTATTCACAGGTGCCTCTGCTGGAGGACTGGCTGGCGTAATTACTTGTCCACTCGACGTAGTAAAGACGAGAATCCAAACCCAGGTCAATGCGACCACACAACCGGCTCCGAAACAACCATCCTCATCGATGCCTGTACCCGCTCAAATAAGGGTCGGACCAACAGCAGTCAAGCAACAAATCAGATCGATTTCCACTTCGTCTCCTTCAACGCATATGCCACGGCCGGGTTCAATGAATCTTGACACATCTTCGGTCGTCACCGGCCTTAAGCTCATTTACAAGACCGAAGGCATAGCTGGGTGGTTCCGTGGGGTTGGACCTCGATTCGTGTGGACGAGTGTCCAGAGTGGATGTATGCTTTTCTTGTATCAAACGATTTTACGGAATCTAGAGGGGTTTAATTCTTCTGAAAACCACGAGTCAGCTGTATGAATAAGAAGGGTTCCAGTGGGCAGGGAGGGAATGGAGCTCCGGAGCATTTTGTAAGCATATGTAACTGTATACAAAAGCATTGGGCGGCGTTAAGCATATATCATGCCGGATTAGACAATAGATCAGAATCTTCACTTTTTGAGATCCTCGCTTCCTTCCCGCTCTCATGAGCTTGGTTTGATATTGTAGTAGCAAATCAATAAAAACGTAGCTGCCGGAATCAGACGGTTTCCAACTTATTTTGGAATGACAAGTGCACTTTAATGACACACTTTAGTGAGCGATTATTCTGCTCATTTCAATTGTCATAGATCATTCTTAACATCTGATTACACAAGTTGTATTGAACATTTATGATCCAATAAATAGTACGTTGACCTAAGCGCGCCAATGCCGTATGGTTTTCTGGATCAACGAGCCAGCCTTGCGAGCTTTCACCTATTTTCTACAGAGAACCACGACCCTGACAACCAGCTGGCAACGCCAATCCAGCCCCAGAAGTCATTGTTCTTACGCGATATAGATGCAATGGCCACAGCATCATCCCCACAATGCCGACAACTCTCCCTGTGCCTTCAAAAGGTGCACTTCGAGCGCTCCGCAAACTCGCCCTCGGCACATCATGCACAATCGCATTCGGAGCAGGTCTGCTAACAGAAGACCGTCGACGTCGAATTCATTCTGCTAGGGAGGTCCACGAAAATGCGAAGAAACTCAAGTCGTCCAGGAAATATCACAGTGCAGGCACAACATCTTTGGAAGCATTGGAGGGTCAAACTTTGCAATATCGAGATGCAGCATTCTGGCTACCGAGTAATGTCTTGAAAAGCACAGCATCTGCGGTACTGGGCCCTTCCGAAGACTCAGATTGTTCCAGGACCGAATCGCCGACAGAAGATGAACTGCCAACGGAGCTCTCAGATATTCCGAAATTTACACCACCTCATCTTAGGGTTGCCAAAACGCCTCCCCTGAATGAGCGCCGTCCACCGTTGGGACCCCGAACGTCTGAAATGGCGGATCATCCAAAGCGGCAAGCTCACAATCGCCAAAGAAAGCTTGCGCACGATGTGAACAAGCTACTTGCACAAAGCCCGCCCAATGTTGATGAGGCTACTGCTCTATTCTTCGACTCCCTAGAGGAAAGATTGTTAGTAGACAAGTCCGGTCTATCACAGTTGATGATTGATGCCTCCGTCCATCTTTCCAAGGCCTGCCAGCTGGAGTCTATGTTTGCCAGCTCAGCAAGAATTCTGGATATCATTTTGGGCTATGGGCCGATCAATGAAGAGGACTTTTGGGAGTTCCGTCCTCTCAGCGTCATACGATCGCTCATCTCTGTCGAGGGGGAAAGGGATCATCCTCCAGTCGATCCTGAACGCCTGGGAAAAGCCTGCTCAATATATCTCACGACGTTCAGGGAGAAACCAAAATCGATGTCGTCAGATGTGCGGCTCCTCGGTTGGGATCTTTGTAAGGTGACTTGTCAGCAAGGCATGTTTGATCTGACTTTGGCGGTATTCTCGCGGCTCGAGTCTTGTCGAGCTGGCGAATCACCTATAGCAGTTGATTGTCTCCTAAAGGCTACCCACGGTAAAGGCCACCACAAGAAAATCTTCCGGCATTTCCAGAGACTGTACACACAAACCCGTCCAGACCAGACACAGTTTTTTCAAGTATTGAGTCTAGTAATCGACTCGATGCTTGTTCTTGGAAAGTTAGAGCAGGCCGAGCAAGTTTTGCATGCTGCGAACGTCATGGCAGAGGGAGGTGATCTAGACATGTCAACAACATGGTTCCTCAAAGTGCTTGGTGAGGAATACAGGACACACCGCGACCTGGTCCGACTCCAGGCCCTGTTCAGACGCCTCCAACCACTATATCCACGCACCCGTCACCCACAAGCACTTTACGGTGCAATGATTCAATTCTGTGTTGAGTCTCGTGATGAGGAGCTGGCTTCATCGTACTATCGTGAGCTTCGCGAATCGATTGATCCTCGCCCAGAAGACTTGCGTATATACGGTCATTTTGCTCTTGCCAAGGCTCATCAAGGAGACTGGGAAGGAGTCAAAGCAGATTTCCATAAGATGAAGAAAATTGTTCCTGAAGATGATGAAGTCTACAGTAATATTTTCACACCCATCCTCAAGGAATATGCCAACTCGCACTCAATCGACGAGATTGAAGATTTCGTCCAGTACTTCTTAGTCAGGTTCCACTTGAGAACGAATTCTCTCATTATGAATGCGATGATCGATGTGTATTCGAAAGTGCACGAAGTGGATGCCATCTCTCGGTGGATTGCCTATGCTACGGCGGATGGATATCTAGTCAGATCAACCACATTTAATGCCATCTTGAGAAACTGCGCATTACACTTCCAGTTCTCATTTGATGAGTGCTTTAAGTTATATTGCTTGGTCCAGGAACTCGGTTCGGATGTGGTCGACAACAACTCCCTACGAATCCTTCGAAACGTTGCCATGAGTCGTTCCCCAAATGATGCAACCAGGAATGAGAGGCTTCAAAAGCTGAAGCACCTAGATGATCCAGTCCATATCTCGGGCAGCAATGAGGTCTATCGAGCGATGACAGCAACGTCTGCACAAGGAAATCATATTGCAGTCCTCAAAATCTACAAACGAGCTCAGCTTGATCACGTCTATCTTGAAGCTAAACATCTGAATCTTGCCGTTCGCGCAAGCCTGTTTCTTCATGGTCCGAACGTGATTGAGGCTGTGCGACTTATACGAGACTCCCAAGGCAATGGTATGATGGATGTCACCAATGCTATAGCATCCGTCTTCGTTCACCAGATGTCAGATCTATACGAAGATGGCAGTCAGGTAGATACCCTAGCCGAGCTTGCTGATCGAACCATATGTTCTTTCGAGGAATGCAAAATGAAAGTACCTCAGAAAGTGATCACACACACGGCAAGTGTTCTTCAGCGACGAGGTAGGAATCGCATGGCAATTGATCTTTGGGACTCAATGTCCCGGCGTTTGAATATTCCGAGCTCAAGTTTCGACCTTGCAAGTCTTACGACACTGCTGAAGGCATACATAGGGTTAAGAGATGGCCACGGCGTTCGCTGGGTATTCCAGAACCTAGTCTTCAACAAGCTGTCACCTGACGCTCAGCTGAAGTCAACGGTGAAAGAGGCACGGAGGGAGGTTCGGAAGCAATTGAACACAAACCCAAATTCCGAAAGGCTTCATGATTGGTGGACTATGCTTGATGAAGCTTACCAAGAGGTGAAGGGGATGCGACAGGAAGCCCTTCTTAAGAAGGAGGAAATCAAAATCAAGGTTATCAAGATCATGGAGACTGCTATCGAGGACCATGCGATACAGGGCTGTACAGTAAAGGCAGAGCCGCAAGGGCACGGGCAAGAGGGCTGTCAAGAGAAAGGAGTAGATAGTTGGGAAGCAGGAGGCAATTGGGTCGATCTCGATACGGAGATGTCTCACCGACCTGAACGACTCGTTAGTGCTGTTGGGAGCTGATACAGAGTGAATATCATATGTACATTTGATGTAAATAGCATAGTTGGAGCGATGTGAAGAATACTCTTTTGTGACACTATAGCACTGGTTCACGAGTGTCCTAACGACGGCACAATTGCTTACTCAAATACGACACCAACCGAAGCATTTGATTGCTTTTGGAATAGGCTAGATATTGATCAACCAATAGGAAACAATCTCTGACTTGGGGCTGTGGGAGATACTCGTTCGCTTTGACTACTCAGACTACTCAAGAAGGTGGGAAAACACACCTTTATGTGTCATAGGCCCGAAGCCCATCACTTGCATTATTGTTTAGTGGATGCCATAATCCAGGAATGCGTTCGACGAAACTTGCGCTAGAGTTCCCATGGACTTTCGGTACCGGCTTCCTTGCTTATTCGCGTGCCAAATATTTACTGGAGCAGGTGTCAACAGCACAGGCTCGATTCGCTTCACCATTGCATCTTAAAACCCACCTATCGATGGAATTCAAGCCGTGATGTCGATAGTTGCTGAGTATGGACGATCGCATACCCCCATTGTGTTCCCGACGACTGACCTTTTTTTCAAAGCCAGGTTCGTCGCGTTGACAGCGCGCTAGATGGAGTTCTACACCTGGTACCACACTCGGCCAATGATGCCTTCTTTGCAGAGCAGAGCCATCCGATATCATACTCCCCTCGAATCGTGGAATTGCAGAGCATAGTGAAAGCTCTTTCAACGACTTCCTCCTCAAGCCCACTTCTATCATCATGGCGAATTTCCCAGCTTCTAGAGCGGGCAGCCCTTTCCGAGTTCGTGGCAGAGGACGAGCAGGATCCAATTACGAGTAGATATGAAGCTGAATTGGAGTGGCTGTTAGTGAGCAAAGCTACAGTACAGACTTATGGCCTGTTGATGAGCACACTGCTGGAGCAAACTATTCCTCTCAATAATGACATATGGTACTGGGATGAGGTGCTGGGATCATACACTTATTCGAGTCTATACACGGTCCAGACGTCGCCACTGAGATTCTGGGCGTGGTCGAAGGATATCTACAGCGACACAATAACCCGACTGGAAAGAGTTAGGGAATCTCCCTCCGACGCCATATCTGCGAGAGAAATTGGGACAAGCCTGACGGAGCAATGGAAGCAATTTTACGGGCTCGTCAAGGAGAGTATAAGAGACAGTTCTGTTGCGCATATTCAGCAACAGGTTCTGTCCCCTATTGCCCTCTGTAGGTCACAAGCCAGACACAATCAAGCGCGTTTACGACGACTTCGAGAGATGGGAGCAAGCGGTTTGGGTATGTTGATGGATGAAGGGATGAACTTCGAAGTCTCTGACGATAGATCTGATGTGGCCAAGACGGAGGAGGGTGATATGCAGGAATGGAAGTTTGTGGTGGAGAGAAGTGTTGCCTTGATGGATACTGTTCTACGAAATGTCACCACACTTGATACTGGCATCTCCGAATTCGAGGATAATGTCTTCGCGACTGTAGATGATGATCCAGAAATCACGACTCGAGAAACTACCCCGACAGAAGTGGCGAGACCCTCGAAGTTAGGCATGCGTCTTCAGCATATCCTCGAGATCCATATCCCGAATCATATTGCATCCTCTCAGAATCTCGCAGCAAGATATGGTCGTCCTTCAAAACTCATACGATACTGGTTGCCAGCAACCGCTCTGCTTTTGTCTTCGACAACTATTCTAAGGATTTTCGTCAATAGAAAGGCAGCAATCGTGGCTTGGATTAGAGACCTCGGTGCAACAACTCGGGATTTCTGGCTCAATTGGGTCGTTGAGCCTACGAAAAAGGTCATTGGTACGATACGTCATGACAAAGAGAGTGAGGTGGCTATCATGAGCAAAGAGAGCCTCAAGGGTGACCGAGAAAGCTTGGAACGAATGGTGGTCGATTTTGCAATGGACAATCCTCAGAGCTCGACTGGTGAGGTTTCTCTCAGTGAAACTCAAATAGCTGATATCAGAGCCAAGGTCAAGGAAGGCGATCTCACTCCAGTACTTCGAGCATATGAGAAGGATCTTCGGAAACCTTTTGTGGGTACTGTTCGTGGTGATCTTGTACGCACGCTGTTGATCCAGGTTCAAAAGACCAAAGTAGATGTTGAAGTTGCTCTAAGTGGTATTGATGCATTGCTCAAGAGCCAGGAGCTGGTGTTTGGATTTGTCGGTCTTACTCCCGGTATACTGGTCTGTTTTGCCACATTTCGCTACCTTGGAGGGGTGTTCGGAAGCAGGAGGGGGTTGAAGCAGGGCCAAAAGGCTGGACAGACGGTCAGGGTGCTTCGCAACATCGATCGCATCCTCACACTTGCCACCCCAACACACAACAACTTACTGTCATACAAAGACCACGGACTGCTGCTGTGCGAGGTTCATGTCCTGCGACAGCGAGCTCACAAGCTGTTCCCGAACAACGTTGAAAGGGAGTTCCTAGAAGATCTTTCTGATCTTGGAAACATCAATAGTGGAATTGGGCAGCAATTGAGAGTCCTCGAACGTATTCGATGGGGTTATGCCAAATGGCTGAGGTGAAACAAAATCATAAAAAGGTATCCATAGAGCGAAAGAATGTAAATATTCCTGGGCAGGGGTTCACTTGATCCCCTGCAGCGACTGCACGACTTTTCCACTGCAAAAATAAGTCATCGTTCACCTCTTCCCAGTCTGATCATTGTTGAAACTTCTGACACCTTCCTCCCTAAAGTCAATATTCTGAAACTCAAGTGAATGTCATCCCGTCATGCCACCGTCTGTTGATAAGTCCTGCCCGTTTGGGCAAGCGATACGGCGAAGAGCCGCTACTTGACCTCCTGAGCCAACAACCCTGTGTATACAGACCTCACCAAAACGCCCGCCCAAGACATACCACGATCACATCACCTTCACGAAGTTCGTAGGAAAGTAAGTGCGGATACAGAAGCGAGTACCCCTACATCCAAGTACCACCTGAATCACGGATCCAGTTGCGAACCCTTACCGCGCATCGTCATCGCTCTTGCCGCACCGCCTCCCACCAGGCTTCTCTTGCAACATCAGCGACTCCCCGCCGTACTACCCCACGGAACTGTGATCTTAGAAGGTCTTCGCTCCTACGACAAAGGAATATTTCACCTTGACCACTGCGCGACCAACTCCGAGATGGCTGGGACGCGTAATTATGACTTCCTGGTTCGCCTGTCCCTGCTGCGCTCTTGCATCACTGGTTGCTAATATATTCTACAGATCAAGCTCTTGCTGATCGGCGACTCTGGAGTCGGGAAATCATGTTGTTTGCTGCGGTTCAGTGAGGACTCCTTTACGCCATCCTTCATTACTACAATCGGCATCGACTTCAAGATCAGGACGATCGAGCTGGATGGCAAGAGGGTCAAGCTACAAATTTGGGACACGGCAGGACAAGAGAGATTCAGGACCATCACCACTGCTTATTACAGAGGTGCAATGGGGATACTACTGGTCTACGATGTTACTGATGAGCGTTCCTTCAACAGTATGCACCCCGCACCCTCTAACATCTCCACAATACCTAATGTATGCCTGCAGATATCCGAACCTGGTTCTCAAACGTTGAGCAACATGCGACAGAGGGGGTGAACAAGATCCTTATCGGAAACAAGTGTGATTGGGAAGACAGACGTGTGGTTTCTACGGAACGGGGACAGCAGTTGGCAGACGAGCTCGGCATCCCATTCCTCGAAGTCTCGGCAAAGAGCAACATCAACGTCGAGAAAGCTTTCTACAGTTTGGCGGCAGATATCAAGAAGAGAATTATCGATACGGCGAAAACAGATCAATCGACAAGCCAGGGTGTAGATGTTGGAGCACAAGGAAATGGAAATGGTTTGGGAGGCAAGTGCTGCTAGATAATGTGAGAACGGAAGGAAACGCATTTCGTTTGTTAAGAACAGATTATGGGGCGGAGTTTGGTCATATCATATGGTATTACAAATTGAAGGCAATTTTTGCCTATCCCGTTGAGGCTCGAGGTCAGAGAAGTGAGGCATGCGATGGATTAATGGAACGTAGTACTGTACATGTGAAAGTCAATTCAGTCTTGTGTTACCACAAGATCTCTGCATTAACTGTAGGGGGGGTATCATCCCCCGGCTGCGGTGATCTATCTGTAGGAAATGGCCGTCGATGCCACTCTCTGACAAATCTTCGTGCCTCATTGGAGTCTTTGAAGGATATCGTATATCTCGCTGGGCCACGATATCTCGACTTAGGGCGGCTATTACCCTCTTCGCTATCAACATCCTCCCCAGTAGACTGAGCATTCATCTCCAGCTTCACAATTGCTTCGCTCTTTGCTCCAGCAAGCTTCCAGTGCAGATTACGACGTTTGCCATCGTCCATAATCGCATTCTCCACTTCGTGATTTTTGATATCACCGCGGTCTGTACTGAACAGAATGATGTTCTGAGCCTTTTCCTGCCTGGTAACTAGGGGGGCCGGACCACCTGCATCGATCATCCACTGTAATCCTTTGCTATAAGGGGGCCGGAGTAATCTTAGTGAAAGTTTGCCGCCCGCAGGTACCAAAGTGAAATTCCGCAATATGGCGTCTACATCTTCTCCTTCCCGAAGCCGTGAGCGGCCGTAAGGTTTTGAGAAGAAATCGTTCGACTTTGACAATTCCAGCAGCCGCATAGTCTTGTCTAGGTATAGTCGTGCGGCCGCAATGCTCGAGAAAAGCAGAAAGTACTGGCCGAAGGGTTCAAGTGTAAGGTTATCGCGGGCAGGTATAACTAGTACATCTTAGCAGGAGGTATGAATGTCTGGTAGTAGAGCACATACCTTTAAGAATTCCATTCGTCCAACTTTCGATATGATTGCCCTTTGGTCCAACTCGGTAGAAGTCACTCTCCTCGAGCGTCTTGCTGCATGCCTTCAGAACAAGAATACTGACTCTACTTTGCTTCCCAACAGACCCCACCGACTTTGTATACCGATCCTGTGAGGCTACCTTTGGCGCTAAATTGGGCTGAACTCGTACACTACGTGTTCTTGTGTTCATTTCTGGGCTTGATGTATGTTTCTTCCTGTTTTCCTGGCGTACTTGCTCATGGTCACGGTCTCGCTCGTCTGCCTCTTTGCTTTCCACGGCCCAGTTGAATGCTGGTAGCTTCTCCAGTCTCTCCCTGGCTTTCTTCTCCCTCCTCTGCCGCGCGACTGCCTCCTCTGGAAAAAGCTCTTCGAACAGTGACAACGTATTTGGGTTCGTCTGCGGTTCCTGGACAATGTATTGTGAATCGCTCGTCTCCCTCAAGTGTGGGGAACTGGACATTGCGCCTGTCCCGTTCCCACCATCTGGTGGCTTCAATGGGGAGCATTGACTGGAGCCATTGCTGTCGTTGTTTCGCCCTAATAATTTGTGGTTTTGCCGTTGGTGGTCTTCCTCTAACCAGCTGGAGCCATGAACAGGCTGTTCAATGGCTTGGGGCTCGACTGGTTTCTTCTTCGCCGGTCCCTGAGATAAATCGAGTCCATGTTCGCTCTTGGAAATCTTGAGATTCAATCTCCTGACATTAGACCACTGCAGCCTTCGCAATTGCCTCTTGGTCAGCTGCCGGCTTGTACAATCGTTGTAATCGTCTTGAGCTCCATCCGCGTAATCTGATTTATGAGCCCGTTGTGCAGCTTTTGCTAATTGTCTCGTGGTCCATGCTGGCAACAAGAACTGCGGAGGCAGCAAGCGCGTCAACAGCATCAATGTTCGCCAGTGGCACGTTGTTGGCACTGCAATGTAATGGTGATGTGAAGTAACTTGGGGCGAGCGTGAACGTGGGCATGCTCTGAGAGCTTCAACTTGGCGAGGCGAGGCGACGGAGCAAGCTTCCTGCAAGGCTGCACAAAATTATTTTTCAACAAAACTTTTATGTTTCCACAACCACCAACGATGCGAATTAATTTCAAATCCACCAACTCACCATGTCGAAGATTCAGGATGCGCAGAAGACCTTGGAGGTCAAGATTCGACCCTTTGCCAATCAGAACTTCAAAGACCGCCCTGATCAAAACGGAGTGTCACGTGTATATCTTTCAAGCACAGCACTCTCCGAGCTGAATCTCAAGCCCGGGATGCTCTGTCATATATGGAAGAAAGATGAGCTTGAGCATGAGAAAAAAGAAGCTATTGCTTGGCTTACTACAGAAAAGAGTACTAATAAAAAAGTCATATACATGTCGAAGACTTTCCAAGATGTGTGCGACTTCAAGCTAGCGGATGATTTGCTCATATCTGGTGCCGGTGTTTTGGGCATAGCAGGATCGATTTTTTTGCGAGACATCACTCAGCAAGAGTCTGCTGATACTTTAGATATAGAGGATGAGGACAGACCTCATTGGGAATGGTTTCTTCGAGAAAATCTTGGTACGTTGCGCACTGTCTCATACTCTGGTTCATTTGGAGATTTCTTCAGAGTGGAGACACATTAGGATCTAGAATTTGTATTTTACATGCAAATAACCAAAGAAATAACGGCGAAATTCATCCTCATTACAAAGAATCATCACTATTCGACTGCCCAAGCATAGCTAACAACCCTTAGGTCGTGCGGAGGTGATTTTCCCTGGCATGGTGCTCAAGAACATTTCCCTCAGAGGACCTAAACGAGATTTCATTGTTGACTTTATCAATGGGAAACCGGCCGGTCTGGGCAAGTACGACTCAACCACTGCCGTCAAGATATCGAGTCGGATTGAAGCCCCAGCGCAATATGAGGTCAGTAGACCCTCAGCACGCCTCGAAGTTGTCGATATTGCCGGCATCGATCAAGCGCTCAAGAAACTTAACCGTTTCCTGACCAACTTCGACCGACAATTTAAATTCACTTGGGCACAGAGATCGTGTGCCGTGTTACTACATGGCGGCCATGGAACAGGGAAGACCTATCTACTCAATAAGATACTCAACACTGGCTGGAGCAACAATGTTCTTCGTCTCGATGGCGATGCCAAAATCTCGAATGTTCGGTCGACTTTCAGAGATGCTAAGCTTAGCCAACCCAGCATCATTGTCATTGATGACCTTGAATCTCTGGTGTCAAAAGAGGATGTCATGTCTATCAGCATGGCAAAAGCTTTTGGTGAAGAGCTCGACATCCTCGCACAAAGCCATTCTGGAAGCTCATTACCACGAGTACTGGTCATTGCAACTGCACTCAATTCGAGCAATATTCCAATTTCACTCAAGAAGAGAGGCCGGTTCCGAACAGAGATCTCGCTGCCCATACCTGATGTAGCTGCTCGAAAGGCTATTCTTAAATCTCTCGAGCCACCAATTCACCCTGATACTCGCGAAGAGACGCTGAACAAGCTTGGCGACCGAACACATGCCTACACAGCAGAAGATTTGGTGGCTCTACTGGATGCTGCATGTGAGCTTGCTGAGGAAAAGGCCGAAACAGTCAGGGAAGAGAATGAGCAGGGCTTTTACCTCGCACAGGAAGATATTGAGCAGGCTCTACTTCTAGTCCGACCAACAGCTATGCACGACATTACACTTCAACCGCCAAGTGTCCGCTGGGACGAGATTGGAGGACAAGATAGTGTGAAGAATGCCCTTCGTCGTGCTGTTGAAACCCCTCTACTGGTAAGTATTCGCCTACTATGCTGAAAATATCTCTAACCGTTTCCAGAATCCGGAACGTATGAAGCGAGTTGGGGCTTCGCCAAAAAAGGGGCTCCTTCTGTACGGTCCGCCTGGATGTTCAAAGACCTTGAGTGCCCAGGCCATGGCAACAGAAGTTGGATTCAATTTCTTTGCCGTCAAAGGAGCCGAGTTACTGAATATGTATGTCGGCGAATCTGAGCGAGCAGTTCGCGATGTGTTCGCGCGAGCACGAGCAGCCAGCCCCAGTATCATATTCTTCGATGAAATTGAATCGATAGGAAGCAAGAGGAGTGGACGAAATAATGGTGTCAATGTTCTCACCACATTGCTGAATGAAATGGACGGTATCGAGACATTGAAAGGTGTTACTGTCCTTGCTGCCACCAACCAGCCTCAAGCTCTCGACCTCGCTTTACTACGACCAGGACGATTCGACAAGCTACTCTACGTAGCACCACCCGATCTAGAAGGCCGAAAAGAAATCCTTCGGGTCAGAAAACGGACCATGGACATGGCGGATGATGTTGACATTTCTAGGCTTGCTGAGCTGACGGACGGCTATTCTGGTGCTGAGCTGGTGGGCATCTGTCAAACTGCTTGTGATGATGTAATGGAGAAGTGCGAGAAGACCGGAGAGGAATTACAGGTGCATATGGATGACTTTTTGAATGCCATTAAGTTGGTTAAGAAGCAGATTACGCCGAAGCTTATTGAAGGATATGAGAAGTGGGCAGCTGGCGCAAGAGGGGATACGGACTAGACGAGCACAAATCATTTCAGCGGTGCTTGCTGTCAGAACGGGATTTTCCAGATATCAGAGAAGACATCGACATATAATGTTTGATTTATTGAGCTGCTCCGAGAATCAGAGGGCTTTGGGGTACAGAATGCCAGGCGGGATAAAGGACCTGCTTCCTACCAGTGTTGCACCCGCTTTCGAGACAAATTTTGGAACACTTATTTCCAGCATTCTGGAACAGCCCTATGCAGCATATTTCCAAGCAGACCTTGAGAGATTACAACTTCGGACTTGCGGTGAAGTCAAAATTTCACTTAGGTTCTGCATTTCATGCTAGGTCTTGACTACCTACCGGCAGCACCACTTCCAGATCAGTCACTTTAGCAGTCGAATCTAGACCCCTTGATTAGCAAAGTAACATAACTTTCAATTACGAGAAGAATTGCCCTATCCTGATATCGTAAGCAAAATATGCTACCTTTCAACTGTGTTCCAAAGTCTAGAATACGGGGGGATTCATGGCGATAGAGAAGACAGGAGAAGATAAAGTCGATGTTTCCAAGAAGTTCCTATCACTGGTCAAAGACAACACTTTATACAAAAGCAAAGAGATGAGAGGTTAAAAGAGCCAAATGGAACTCAGAAAGCAGACTGACCTGGTAGGAATAAACACCAGACAGTAAGACTTTCCGCCACAGCGTATAAGTTTCTAATGAAGCTTGAAACCGTAAACCGATTAATGCAATTGTCAATGTCCTCCAGCCTCAATTTTCTAACTGCGATCTTGACCCCGACGGCATCTGGCGGCTCAGTACCCTCAACTGATTCTATAAACTTGAATATGGGTTCATTCTCTCCCTCCTCTCAGTGCTCATCATCCACGTAACTTTCTCTTACCCAACCCTTCCGCCAGGCCACTACCTCCCGGGACCGATTATTCCGCATTTATACCGCACGTGTCCACAAAGGTAAATACGGTAGTGACTCCGGGACGTATAATACCGAAGGTAGGTTTGTACGGCAGAAGTTTGAGGATATCTATGTGAAATTGGTAGTGGTGATAAGCAGGGCATAGCATTTGGGGAGTTTTGGACATATCCGGAGGACAAAGACTTTATGCTGATCTAGTCGGATGGGGAGCTGCGAATTTTGACTGAGAGTATTTGATCTACTCGCTACATTGGTTTGGTTTCTGCTATGATATGACTGATGACTGATGTAGCGATTACAACATATGTTCTATTGTGGTCGGAGGATAGGAGGATGAAGAAGGGTGATATCAGGCGGATTTACGATGGCAGTCTGTTCCTCGAGATTGCTGCTAGAGGAAAGAAGTTGGGTGTAAAGGGAATACTTAACGGCTCTTTAGCTGTCATGTCTAGTGGTGCTAAAGATGAAGATATTGTTTGTTGTTGTTGTGGTAAGTAAGCGAGGCCCTCTAATTCTGTCGTTGGAGGTACACCTAAAAACATTCACCGTGAGAGGCTTCGAAGCAATATAGCCACAATCTTTTAGCCACTGACGCTGCTACCGTCTTCTATACACACCAGCCATCCAACTTGCTCTCAGCAAGGCCAATCCCCACGCCATTCCCAGACTGTCCCAAATCACATTCAGCTTGCTCCCACCAACCTCTTTCCACCCAATTTGTACCTCTGCAACCCGAATCCCGGGCGTGGTACCAATTTGCTCCCCATTTTTGCCAGTAATGATTCCTGGCGGCGCACTCTCAGCGAGCATCAACATCTCAACGTCGAAGATCCAGCCTTCAGCATGCATGTAAGGAACAATATGGGGCAGAGCGGCCCGAGAGAATAGTTTGAAGCCGCACTGAGTATCACGAATTCGTGATGTAGCTGGAGGGGTGAGGATCTTGAGCAGCGCATGGAAGGAGTGCATCAGCACATTTCGTATAGCAGAACGCTGTATTCACTTAGTGACATTCGGACCAGAAAGCTTCATGATTCCTCACCTTGACAACCGCTTCACTACCCACAAGGTGGGATCTGCTTCCTACTGCAACAGCACGGTTTGGCTGATCAGCTACCGCTTTGCACCCCTCTACCAGTTTTGCAAGGTCTGCAAAAGCAGAAGCTCCATCCGCATCTGCAAACACCGCAAAAGCACCTCTCACGTGTCTTAATCCATGAGTGACAGCCCCTCCTTTGCCTCTATTCTCCTTCAATTTACAAATTCGCAACACATCATGTAGCTTGTGTTTCCTAGAAAATGCGAGCGCAACCTCCACGGTGTTATCTCTACTCCCGTCATCTACAAGCAGAATCTCGTAGCCACCCATACCACTCGCATCGCCTTGGGAAGCTCCCTTGGCTTTTGGTGTACGTCCGTATTCTGCATCCAAAAATGGTACTGCTTCCTCTAACATAATCTCAAGCCGTTCTTCTTCATTGTATGCGGGTATCACTACACTCATTTCCAGTTGTGCTTCTTCAATATCGCCAGTGTGCTTCTCTGAGAAATCCTTTATGTTCTCTGCCTCCTTTCGGTGGGATAGCCATTCGTCGTGCCAGCATGGGAGAGAAATTGGGCCTGTGGTTGATCCATCCGGGGCAGTAGTTATGTATGTCTTCTCTGAAGAAAACGGAGGTCGCGGAGTAGGTGCTAGTATATATACCGCAGCATATATCTGAGCGCTGGGTCAGCTTGAATATTGTCATACGAGGGAGCGGGCTGCCTACCGAAGTCAGAACAGTGACAGCCGTTGTAATTGCTAAAATGAGGAGAATTGGTAAAGGGGTCTGTTCGAAATTCTCATAGATGATCCAGAGCAGTTTCTGCGGAAGTTGGAGAAGTGCATCCATGGCTGGAAAACGCAAAGAATGAGCGACTTGGTGGTTCGGACTTTTATGAAATGCGCAAGAAATGATCGAATGTCAACATTGGATGTACCTGGCACATAATACATGTGGCTACCGACTAAATACACATAGTCCGAATTCAACTGAAACTGGTACAGGTGAAAGTGGAGAAAGACGTCGTTGTCGGCGCAGTCGTGTTTCTCTAAGACGAATTGTGAACACGATTCAGACGAGGCCAGCTCGGCGGGTAGTTTTAGCGTTCCCGGGAGGCTGAAAATGATGTGGCTTACGAGGCTACATGGCGAGGCTGAGGCTGTGCTTGCTTCCTATGTTTTCGCGCTTCTTTCTGTGTCAGTTTTTCGCTGCTTGAAACACGTATTCATCAATTACCCGACCTTGGTGCCGAAAGTAAAGGATCCATATAAAGACCTACAATGTTGACATCCACTTGATGAATGCCAAGCTTATATTCGCTTAGAAGAATCCACCCCAAGTCCACAGCAAACAAAAATAGAGAATTTCCACAAGACATCCAAATACCTGTTGCCGTCGCCCTTGAGATGATTGAACCATGGTCAAAAGTCATCAGTGACAAAAAATTGTGTTTTGACCGACGCAGGGATCGCTGGAGGAAGGTTAGAACACATTGCTGCCATGTCGTATTTCGAGAGTACTCACAACCTGCAATCTCTTGATTCGTAGTCAAGCGCCTTGCCATTGGGCCAGTCGGCCTTCAATATATCCCCTGCAGTCCTATCTGGATACTTATCCTCAGAGGACTTTCGTTGTGGGTCATTTTGGCAAGAGACTGCGGAGTCAGTTGCCCATAGTCAGCATTCTCAATTCTCGGCCTGCAAGACATGGTCTCGATATCCATTCATCTGGATACTATCTTCGACATCATCTACCAACCACAAGTCCATGAAAAAGTACAAGAGAGACCCCATTGATTCATCGAGAGCTTCCTTGGAAGCCTCAACCCATTTCGTTCACGGCACAAAACCTACCGTTCTTCTGTCACAAAGCCTTCAGGATCACGGTGTCAGACTCTTAACAAACTCAACCGGCCGCAATGACAACAGAAACTCACCTCAACATTATACCTGCTACTGCGGTCATGAAAAAAGGGTGTCGATAAAGCTATGACACCACATAACATGTCACTTCGAGCAAGTAGTCATCCGAGGGTATCACGGAAGGACTTCATTCCCCAAAGCGCAATATGACAGCTGTGCTTATCAAATGTTCATTGAGTCTGTGTCATGAGACACTGGCGGTATCTTTATCTGCATCATCTGTCGTGTCCCTAGCCACCCATCTATAATACACGTAACAAGCAAATCCGTGATCGTGATGATAAGATGCTCCGTCTCACTAGTTTAAAGTCCCATAGCCAAGCAACAGCCAGATGAAAATGGGCATCTCATAATAACAACTTCACTCGACCATAACTCCATACACCTTCCTTGCAAGACGCCGCCCTCTTTGCTGAGTTTGATGCCCTCTTTGCTGAGTTTGATACTCTCTCAACTTGTTGCAAATGAACATGACTTTTTCAGTTACCGCCGTCTCCTCCTGGACTATCGCCACCGGTTTTGATAGCTGTTGATAGGCTGATAGCAATCTTGTTCTTGCCACCGGTAGCCCCGTTCTGACTGTTGTTGAAGCTCTTTTTCCTTCTTAGCACACTGCTTGTATTTGATGCCACTGAGCTAGAAGAATTTCGACGCTTCGGATGCGTAAGCTTACTCATCTCGTCGTCATCTTCTTCCTCGCGGCGGCGTTTTTCTGAGATCTTCTCTGGAGGAGAGGGGGTGGAAGAAGATAGGGGAGTAGATACACCATTGCTGCTGTCCTTTGCCGATAGGGTGGGTGGTGTGTTCTCGTCCGTCTCCTCAAGTATTCCAGCGGACAGATCGGTCTCCATGTTATCGTTCTCCTCATCAGAATTGTAGTCAACCAGAGGCTTTGACGCAGGTGATGCACCATTGACAGCCGGTCGACTAGGTGATGCCTTAATGGCCACATCGTCTTCATCATCTGATGTGTTGAAGTACTCTTCCTCTTGGGCGTCGAGATCCTTGATTCCTTCCCACCTGGTCCCTCTGCCCGTTTCTGGTCGTTTTGGGGTATCTTCCTCGGTATCTAAAAATGAACTCTCCAAGTTCGAAGCAAAACCCTGGGTCTGGTCATATCGGATGATATAGTTGTTGAAGGTGTCGACGTATGTGATCTTTGCCAACTTCTCCCTGTAATTTTCAACTAAATGACTAATGATGTTCTTGATGTTTTCCCTCTTGATGAAATCGAAAAACTCCAAGCAGGCTGAGTTCAAGAGATTATCACGCGGCATTGTCTCGATCACCAGGTCCAATATTGGCTCGAACAGCTTCCCCTGGGTCATCTGTTGATTATAAAATTCGTCTTGCAGACCAATCAGATTACGGAAGAATTTAAGTGCGGCTGCTAGCGTATTAGCATTGAACGATGGTTGAGGCTTGCATTACTTACTTAGACGCAGATACTTCTCTGGACTCTTGAGAAGCTGCGCAATTCGTTGACCCAACTTCTCTGAGAGAACGAAGTACTTGCTGTGATGAGTGTGTTGTCTGACGAAGAAGCAAAGTATCTCGATGAGATAGATGAATAGGGATACTTGATGAACGCTGAAATCCATGTTTTCTCGATCTTTCAAGTCTACCAGAGGCTTAAACAGCTTCTTGGCGGAATCATCATAGAAATCCTTTACAAACTCAGCTTGCTGAGGATCAGGCTGTGGTCGCATCCTGCCTGGAATGTCTCCATTGCCTCTAGACATATTGTCGAGCGGGCCATTCTGTGAGCCTGGGTCAAGCAAAACTTTGATTGCATCGGCGATTTGTGCTTTGACTCCGAGGTCCGCTTCCACAAGGAGGAGATCAATCAAAGAGTCTGTGAGAGGTGTCTGTTTCTCATTGATTTGACGAAAGATAGTCTGGCGTATCATTTGTGGATCATGATCGATCATGGAGACCAAAACGTCCGTGGCTCCCACTCGAACGCCAACATCGCTGTGGCGAAGAGCGAAGTTAATTACTGATAATAGTCCATGCCCAAGGAAGTTATTGTAGAGCTGTTGTCTAGTGGGTTGTTGAATATTCTTGGCAATGGCACAACATTGTTGAATGAACAGTACGGCCTCTTTCTTCCGCTCCTGATCCGTTTCCTGTGGCCCGAATACTCCAAAAAGCTCCTTGAGAAAAGCGGGATTCGTTTGTAAGTGACCAACGATATCGACCTGGTTGAAGAAGATTGAAGAATTGAGCACAGAGAAAGTAGGATCATCCAGAATCCGAGCCAGTACAACATCCTTCAGATACTGTAGTCGGTATGTGGCGTGGATCTTCTTCCGGATAGTTTCATCGTCGATATGCACGACCTCCTTGTATCTCCCTTCCTTGCTCAACCAATGCCGATGATTTGCTTTGTGACTGGGAAAGTCTGGATCATATTCCAAGGCTCCCACCACACCAAGAATAAGCTCGTCCGAAACTACAAGGTCCATGATGTTTGGGTCGTTGAGCAAGATCACCGTCTTCATGATATTGCACAGCCGGTGAAGACTCGGCAAATCTTCCATATCCTCGGCCATTTCCACCAAAGGTATCAACTTTGAAATGTAGTCTTCATTGAGGACGTACTTCATTAATGCCTCCCGTCCTTGGGGCGAAGCGTGTAGGCTTCGCACTTGTGATTCGATTTCCGCGAGATTGCCTAGGCCGGGATTGGGGAGAGAGAGGGTGTTGCTGAAAGGATCAGTAGAAATATCGTCCGATAAGGCATCATCTTTTGGTCTAGTTAGTAATGAGCAGAAGAAGGTTGTTGTGCTGCACGTACCAGGTCCTGCGATCGCAAGCAACTGTTGTTGGATATTATGGATGAATTTCCTGTCGTCGTATCAGCAATGAATATTGGGTCGCCTGCTCTCAAGAAGATATTTAGACGCACCAGATAGCAGCACAGCCGTCTCCCTCCTGGAAGCTGAGGGCCATATCAATGGAGGTTGTTGTTTCGGTCCATACTATGAGCGTATCTGGAGGAGAATCAGCATCGACCCACAACCAAGCCTTCCCAATCATGTGTACCTTGTTGCTTTTGGAACGAATCCTCCTTGCAGATGCGAGTTTCTAAAAGAATCTTATCTGGTTCATCTTCCGACTGCACAAGCACGCGAGGTTCTTCTTGACGGGTTGCTTCATTCTGTAGGAAAGGAGTCAGCACGGTATCCACAGCCTGATGATTCAAGGTCATAGCCAGAGCGCATGCACCTAGTGCGGTAACAAGGAAAGGACTGGCGTACAAAGATGAATGAAGCAACGCAGAAGCCTGTGCCTCGATCGAACCAGTCGTTGTTCTTCAGCTCATAAACCTTCACTCTCTTCTTGTCATTCGGCGGGTTAGGCACCGCTTGTGCCATCATCAGAGGTTGTAGTTCCCCCTCAAGATTTCCCGCAGAGTAGTCTTCGGAGGATGGTGTAATGTCTATCGTCGCCGCAAGAGTTTCGGTGGTGATCGTCGCCACGGTTGTGATTTTGCGATTTGCGCCGTACCGATCGCGCGCGTCTCTTCGAAAGGCAGGGGGGCGGGTGGTGGAAGATCTGATTAGGGTGAGGCGGACGCGGCTCTATTCACTCCTCCGTTGTCGTTGTGCGCGAGTCGCCGTATTGTTCTCACGCTGCTGCTGCTGCCGACCCCGAATTGTTGGACGTTCGTTGTGTCCCTTGGCTGGGCTTGATTCTGACGAGAACTGGATGGTGATCTTGCGCTCACGGGGCAGCCTTCACTAGCGTGAAATTGGGTCGAGATCAGATTAGCGGATGGCGGCGGCGCTCAGCTCAATCAACTCATCGTGCCCATACCACAATGCATCGGCATCGGCTCCATGGCAATTCAGCGAGGCCATCCAATTCGGTTTCTTAAGTGACCTCTAACCTCTACCTTAATGATATTACTACGTCTGCCACTTCCCCCGTCACTCCTCCTCTTCCATTCCCACGTCACTCAGTTGGCATCACGTGCCTATACAAGTGAAGCGCTTGGGCCTGCCTTTCTGGTGGAGCAACCTAGGCTATTTTGGGCACATTGATTGGTCGTAGCACGAGCCTCGGCGAGAGCTCGAGGAATTTCGTCATTCGTTTCAGATATGATAGGTATGAGCTTAAACGATCCTTCGCTTCCATAACATGAACATCAACAATGACGACCGGTCGTCATATTGGATTATGTTAAGTTTATATTGGATCTCCGGTCTGTCATTGCTCGATTTCCCTGCTCTATTTTCCGCAAAATCGTAGCGAGCCGTCCAGCTGGACCTTTTGTCATGGGTGAGAGAAGAAAGTTTTCCATGCATGTACAGAAGGGTTGACCCTGGCTCAAAAAATCAACATCTTTCCAGAAGATGGTCGTTCTCTTAGTTTGACTTTGAAAAAACAGGCAACTTGGCAGCAGATCAAAAACATTGACTGCCCAGAGTGGCTAGGGTTTTCTTCCAAGTGCTGGGACAACCTCAGACTTCAGAAAGTCTCTCCTAGCATCAGACAATCTCGCAAGCAGGTACTTCAATGCACGAGTCCTTAACCATGTAGCATTGGGCATTGGGCGTTTCCCTTGGGCCCCCTTGGGGGCCCGATATCAAAAATAATGACCTTGGAGATTCACTTTACTTTGGAAACCTCTACCCCAAGCTTCTATTTGCTCGGTCAATGCCAGCTCTGATCGAAGAGTTGTTATAATCCAGTCGTTATTTGAATTTTGTATATTCAGGTATCTCGAAAAGTGATTGAGCGATTCTTTGGGTTATTCTATTGGAGAGAGAGTAAACCTCCGCCGGATACTGCCAAGATATCGTGGATGGAGAGTGCATACTTTACTTTCGCAACCCCTCGCTGAGGTTGAGGAGGGCTTCTCGCCCTACGAACCATGATCCATTCATCGTCGGGCGCCTTGTCGCTGCGTTATCGATTGAGAACAGGCGACATTGCATTCTTCTCTTCGGAACTGGCATTCTTTCAAACAGAACAAATCCTCTCATGTTGACATTTCGTCATGAGGTTGGATTAAGCGAGAGAATCTCGTTGAACGATGTCACAATCGCCTGCATATATTGCAGTCTTGCTGGATGCTCCCAGTCATTCTTCCACATAACCAAAATATAGAAAAGTGTATTGACGATGCTAGCAACGTAGGCTGCACATCTTCCTCCTCGTTTGTCAGATCAGTTACTAAGTCAAATGTCATGGTTCAATTAGAGTTTACCTTCACCAACTCAGCTCTAACCAGAAGCTAAAGCATTATGGGAAGACGAGACAAAAGTTCGGGATAAGTGTACCGAGCTACTCATTCAGGTGGAGTCTCTAGGAGGGCTTTTGGCTCATGTTCAACTCAGAAATCCGAGATGGCGATGGCTGTTTTGGTCATCTTAGGAAGTTTCGACGACAGGACCAGAGCTTGCAAACAAGTTTACCTACCACTCATTGGAAGCCGAGCGAAAGAGAAGCGAGGAAATTGACATAGTTACCGTTGACGATATTACGAGAATGATGGTAATTCTGGCAAGGTAGAGCCAAATCCAGTGCACTCAAGCTAACCAGTCTACCCAGACAAACTTTCATCGACGATTCCTGCAAAGACCGCGAAACAAAGCTATCGCTAAGCTCCCCTTACTGGATAGGAGCACCGCACTCTGACCCAGATGTCACCCATGCCGGCGGACAAATTGATATAAGCAAGAGACCAGTAACGCTCACACAATGAACATCTGTTGTGAAGACCTCTAGGTCCGTATTGTTCCGCACAGAGAAGCGCAGGATCGATATCTCAAATGTGGCGAAACATGTTATCATTAGCTCTGGCGACACTTGTCATTGAGATTACACGCCTGTGCCAGGTGTAACAACTCTCTCCAAATATAGACGATGTGGAAAGGAGATAATGATAGCCAGAGAAGAGTCGAAGGCAAGAGTCGAAGGACTTGGACCTATCTGAACCGAGGCTTGGATGGAGGTAGAAGCATCAGAGATGCTTATGAACACTGCCAAGAAGACGCGAGAAGGCCAATCTGATATATTGGATTCTTCGTGTATGCACAGCAGGGCATGCCCAGTCCTCACCTCAGAGACTGATGCCGAGGCAAATAGCAAAAGCTTGAAATGCTTTCCGGCATGAAGTGCGTCGAAATGCAGAAGAAGACGGAAGCGTTTCCGAATATTCCAATGTGGCTTGCGGAACCGTCCATTTTCGAACTGCCTGCATGAGGTGTGGATGATGCATTTGCATATGTAGGACAGGCTGTTCGTGCAGCAGGCCATGCTTTCTTGTCTTCAAATGTGGGTAGCTGAAGCAAATATGCCGATTATGCCCAAGGTCCTTCGATTGCACCACAGCATGCGGCGCACAGGATTGTGATGGGGGCGTCGTCAATGTGAGACTCAAATTCGACCCTGAAGAGCTTATCCATTCGCTTGCGCGGGAGGTCTTACAGTCCCCCACTCACCCTGAAATTCCCGATACGATAGGTTTCTGGACCTGACAATCCGTCTTTCTTACCGAAGAGCTCCTAAAGATCCCAATTCGTGCAGGTGGTTCTTGAAATCTCAATCAAGTTTGATGTTTGTGCAATTCAATTCTGAGCGAACCTCATCCAGCCGATCTCGACCACAGCCCGTTGAAAATTGTCGATGAAGAAAACGAAATGGTCCAGGCGGAAACAAAGTGCACTGAAAGACGAGTGTAGATCTCGGCGAGACGCTGCATCCCTGGGTAGATCACCAGGAAATCGATAGAGAATCGGCGGGCACCCCAGCAAGATTTTGTTTGATCAATGATCACCAACCAGGCTGGCATGCTTACAAAAGGAAGCGATTCCGCTGTGTGCTGCACATCGCAGAAGAAAGGAGAGACAACTTATGCAAGCGGTCAAGAGATAAGGAGAGGATAGCTGAGATAGACATCGGAAACTGATAGATACCCTGGAGCGTGAACACTCGATTTGGAGCGTTCGGAAAAGGAGGGTACCTATTCGGTACTTGTGCAGAGTCCTTTTTGGACGAGCAATGAAGATCCATTGCAGAAAGAGTGTTACAGCTGAGCATATGACGTTCTTCCAGCGCAACTCCAAGCAAACGGGAACACAGCGTTGCAGGAGGTTTCGTCTTGTCTTGGCTCTGAACCCGTCTTGACTATCAACTTGACAAGCTTCAAGCTGCAGTCATCCGGTCGGAACAGACATTGGATTTACGCAGGGGGCCCTGGCATACTTCGTAGAGCCATACCAAAATAATTCTGTATAAAAAACAGATGGATAGGAACATCACAATCGGGCTGGCTTCCGGGGCTGGGCTGACAGATTGTCAGGGGCAGCAAAGTCTAGTGGCAGCCATCAATTGGAAGTTTGGAGACGCCGAGCCTCCTCGTTCGAGAAGGACCACTTAACAGCTTGTTTCTTAAGCCTCCTTTGCTGCCGCAGACTCGATGCGGAACGAGACAATATTGGTTTAAGGAGTATGTCGCGATCGTCCAGGGTCCAGACGCCTGGCAGCGGCCCTATCAGATTCCTGCTGGAGGCGAACAGTCACTGGAAGGTCATCCCAACCTCAACGGGAATGATTTTGGATGGATGCGTTGAACGTTCAAGAGAGAGAAACTTGACCTCTGACGGTGGAGTCTCTCCCCCGAGACTCTCCTGCAGATCTTTGCAATACGGACTCGACATTTCGACAGCGAGAGCGCGCATGCCTGTCTCCCTGTCCTGTCTCATTAATATAATTCACAAACGCGAGTTCGAGTTACATAAGGTTTCTGCTAGCCCAGCAGGCTGACACCTCACGAGCCTCCCGAGCCTCCATCAGTGCTTGATCCAACGCTACTGGCGGGAGGGGAGGGATATCAATAGTGGCCAAATATAATAATGTTCCCGCGCTTCTTATCGTGAGACATATATTTAGGTTTGGACTTTTAACTTTGACCCAGAGTGGATTAGCAACAATCAGCCCAGGCGCTCGGAAAAGTCAAACTCAGCCATGTGTTTCAATTGAAGGATACGGGGAATAGGGGAATCAGGACGTTTACAGCTTTATGAAGACCTCCTTCGTACCCCACAGTACTTTCGTGGATATTATTTACCGTTCCCTGACGCTGAGCCAATCCTTCGAACTTCATGGCTAAACAAAGTTCCGAGCTGGATGATGCGATTAGCTGAGCTTTGATGTATACGGGCCTTACCATCCATCCATCTGCAGGTTTCGGTGCCACGCAGGCTCCCATGCCAGGGGATATGATAGTGGGCCCACGATCTGCTGGCATGGGCATTATTGCCAGCCCCGTGGAGTGGATGAATGGACATCCGACCCTGCTACAGTATGTACTGTATGATGTTGAGATACAGAGGTTCCTGGCCTGGGTACAGGAAGAGATTCCCATGTAGTCTGCTCTGCTCCTCAGGAAATCCATTGACAGCACTCCGTGCCTCGTACGACTGCCTGTACGACTGCCTGTACAGGGAGGAGGAGGACTTAGTACTTACTGGCAGCCCATTGAACGTAGCCCACTGGAAGCGAGCATCCTCATCCCACATGTTCGCCACACGAGATTGCGTACCCTGTTGTGCTTCGCTGTACTGTACTGTACTGTACTGTACTGTATTCAGGTGAGATGTATTTCCAGACGAGGCACGGGATTTGTGTCCTCGCCTAGGTGTTATCTTACTGTACGAACGAAAGTACTGTACTTCGTACTTTACTTCGTACTCATCTCCTCACCTCGCTCCGGTGCAAGTCAGACCCGCTGTCGTGCCCTGGTCCTTTCGTTATCAGTTGGCAGTTGCCGGGACCAGGATGTGTGCCAGCCAGAATCCAACGTCCCGTCAAAAGAAAAATCACCGCCCAGCCGGGCACCGCACACCACCATCCAACACACCGATATCCACTCCACTTAGTACTCCACGGCACACTCCAGTCCAACGTTACGGACGAAGCTATTCCTGATGGAGGCCTTCGCTCAATGGACCAGTCCTGTTTTACCGTGTAATATTTTTTTTTTAATCGTATTCCGACTGTCGCTGGGGCTGCCAGTGCAAGCCCAGCTTCAGCTGAGAGGCACGGAGGAAAGCATCGAGCTATATGCATGAGCGCCTCGTATCCCTTTGGTTTGAACCCAATACCCATTATTGCAGGCTCAGGCTCCCACTTGACTCTTGAAAGGTACCGTACGGTAGGTAGGCTTACTTACACTACAACAGTCCCCCTCTCATGTGCACTTCCTTTCCCACCGCACCGCACCGCACCGCGCTTCCTTCTTCCTCTTCTTCCTCTTCCTCTTCCTCTTCCTCTTCCTCTTCCTCTTCCTCTTCCTCTTCCTCTTCCTCCTCCTCATCCCCATCATAATATTTCAAATTCACTACCCTTTCACAGATTCTTAGTACGCCAAGGTGCCAATTCTTCAACCAAAAGCGACTAAATCACTGTCCTGTCAATCTGTCCACTATTCAGAACGAAATCATTGTCAAGCACAGGTAACTCAGTTGGTGGTTTTCGTTTGCTGCTGGTGTTAAACTGTCCAGTAAGTACGAGTTGGGACTATTCTCCATGGAGCAGCACTAACAACCTCGTCCCAGACTATCGCCAGCCGTCTGGCACAGCGCCGGTCTTCCGCCCTTGTCTAAACTAGACTCCCGCAAACCTCGCTGATCACTACTTAGTGAGGCAGTCGGTCAGTCAAGAAGCCAATTAAACAAGTGCGGCCCGATATATATATTCCAAGGTCCTGCAGAGTCAAGGCCCGCAAAAGCCTCAGCAGCCTAGATACGAGCGGGTCAACGTGAACGTCAGAGCTAAGGAGAGCGGTTCAAATACATCGGCGCCCCCAACCGTTTTCCATCATTCCAGACGTCAATTACAACAACAACCCACAAACATGTCAATCTTTTCGAAGCTCAAGGCCTCGAAGAAGGCAGCAAAGGAGCACAAGGCGGCGGAAAAGCAGAAGGATCCAGAGGCAGCTGTCGTTGTTCCCTACAAACATACACCTACCCATGCTGCTGTTGATGCCTTGAGCGGAGCCCCCTCAAGTTGGTCGAGAGATGATAGGTCTAGGATCAAAGCACAGCATAAGAGAAGGAGCGAGATGGTCATGAGCAGAACCCCAAGCTCTCTCTCCCAAATGTCATACATGAACCCAGGAGCTAGCTCCAGCTCCCAGGCACCGCCACCAATGCCACGGAATTCCAGTTACAGCAGCTTCAATCCAACTTGGTTCGATAAGACTGACGGTGTGATCGACTCGAGGCAGAACAAATATAGACCTCACCGAGGTCATTCATATCACGACTCGGGCCTTGGACCCAGCCCATTGGGAAGTAATGGTCAATCCAAAGGTACTTCCTCCACCAACTCGGAACAAGCATCGAATCCTCTCAATGCATTTCAATCACATCTGGACAATCGACTGACTTCAGATGCAGAAACATCCCCAGTGGTCAGCTCTGGTAACAGCACCAGCTCGAACAACTCTTCCGACAACCTCGAGATTGCCGGTTTCAAAAGACCACCTGTCTCAGAGAATCAAATCACACGTGGCGAGAATGGCAAACCTCAGGGAACTGTGTTTGCTGAGCAAGACATCTTTGATCGACTGCACACCAGTACACAAAGAAAATTAGGCGAAGCTCCACTTCACGATACTCTACCAGCACCGAAGCCCAGGACTCCTACCATGGTGGCGCCAGTTCCTGAGATTAAGCAGAAGAAGCAAAGATGGAGTCTCCTCGGCAAGAAAAACAACGCCGCTGTCGCATCGTGATCCCTCGATGCAGGAACCCTACCATTTTTGGACGTATGATCCATGAAATTCGGTAGGATGCAGCATGTGGGTGGTTGTTTTACCGAAATAGTGGAAGACCTGGATCACAATATGCGAAGCCGGGAGCACGCATACCCGCATACCCGCACATCATACTTTCAGCCTGCATACAACATTGTTTTTCTTTCGCGTTCGAAATTTGGCAAACGCAGCTTCACAAACGCATCATTTCTTAGCCGACTGACGGACGGACCGCCGATAATTTCCTTTGTCTCATCATAATGTTTTTTGGAGTCTTGCTCAGGCGACTCTTCTTGATTTTTCTAGCGCCACGAGTTTTCTCTCCTGTCTCATGGACACAAGCTGTTCCACCACCACACCTTTGTGTATCAAAGGGGAGGAGGAGTCTGTTGCCTTGCAACTGGTAACGGACGAGTACAAGGGAGTTACTGGATTGGGACGGCTTTTGACATGTTACTTTTGCGCGGAGTTATCTTAGATGGCTGGACTACAGAACAACGGATTTTTTTTATTTTTCTGGGATTGGCTTTCGATTCGGTTTCTGGAGATGGCAATGCAATGCGTTAATGTGGCTGGATATAAGACAGGGTGGGCAGGGACTGGAATTGGATTGGTATTGGACATTATGATTGCTGCTTGCTAGCAAGACCACTCCGGGTACACGAGAGTGCGAGAGTGGTCACAACATGTGCATATACAACCCCCACACAAACAGGATAAAAAGTATCTTTTGTACGATCTTGATCAGCGGTCTACCTCTCATTCTGATCTGATTTGATCTTCATGCTGTGCTCGCTAACTACTGTATCTCTTAATTTGACAGCACACCGAGCAATTGTGCCTTGCAGATATCCCAAAGCGCTGCCCCAGTGCTCGGTACCACAGGGCGAGCTGATCATTCGAATCTAGATCAGAATCAGATCCCCCGCAGTGAGAAGTGACAATGCATTGGATTCTAGGGTACAACAGACCAGCCTCCCTTACATGCCGAGCCAATTACCTCCACAATTGAACCAACCCCTCAACACAAGACAGTATGGCATTTCCAGAACACCAAGGACGCCACACAACATGCATTTCCACCTATCTAGCCCTACGTTATCCGATATGCGTAATCAACCCTAATTTATCGAGCCGATTGATCGGTTGTCCTCTAAATAATTAGCTCCCACTAAGTATCGTCAACCTCTTGGCAAATCCCGGCGCAACACAGAGCATGTGGGTCAGTGGCCGTTTAAGGCTCGACAAGATCTATGGTTTCTTGAGAGAGTGCTTGGCCTATCTACTTCAGGCAGGTAGGAACGTTCTTGCAGATGTGTGAATGTGGTGCAGTATTTCGATGTGTCAAAGCCAAGGAGAACATCTTCCCTCGTTCACGCGAGATCTTGTAAGTAAGCCCTTGGCTCCATGTTTAGTAGTTGCACCACGGAAGTGAGATCCGAGTAATCTATTGACTAGGAAGTCACAAATTTGACATTACCGTCTCTCTCTACTCGCATATGAAGCAAAATGCAGAATGTTCCTCCTCTTTTAAAATGACGATTGTTTCCCCACTTGGACTATAGACGATTACTTTTCAGTGCAACAGCTGAGTCTAGTGTGGAGACTCCCGGCGATGATGAGCACATATCTAGAATTTTTCTTCCACATAGCCAAGGATTCTCCATTCCAGTGGCAGTTCTGAGCGAATATCTCGTTTTCTCGGGACCGGTTCAGATCACACAACGTGGAGCTGGGCAAGCTCCAGCTCGTCATATCTTGTCTAGAAGAAAAGTTTGCAGTAAACTTCCAGTTAGGGTACCAGAATGAGGGTTGTCTGGTAGACTTAAAGACTAGAATCTGGAAAAGTGGAGAGACTTGGATCTCGATGCTTGGCTAGTACTCCACTTGCGGATGGCCCCGGTTGTGGGTACTATTGTGGATGTGTAGATGAAGATTGACGACATCTTTAGTAGGATGGTCCGTTACTATTCATTTCAAGATATGATCCATAAGTTTGAAGCTCCACTGCATGTAAGCGAAGAGTCAGATGGCTCCTTCGACCATTCTTCCCCGTCATAGGTATTCTTTCATCTTGGTAATCTAGTCCAGCTGCGTTCTTTTCCAAGTTTCACCCACTCACCATGTTACCTCATCTTTGTTTTCAAGCTTCAACCAGGTTTTGTGTGACAGCTCTCTGCCACGTGCTGTGAAGCCGATTTCGCTTAGGATGGAATGTAAGTCACTCTTTTCATCATTTCCAACCATGTAGACTTCATATTTCTATTCTGTGACCTTTTTCACCTCGAAGCATTTATCATTGTTGAGTTAAATGACTTTTATTCCTTTGTGGCTGCACATTCACCAATCAACTTCATTGGCACACGGGAATACAAATGAGGATAACAATGCACCTCAGAGCCAAGTAAGACGTCCAGTATTACCTTTGGAACAAGAGACAAATCACGAATCGGAACATTTCTTGTATCCCTCGGTAGAGTCGGTGATGGCTTGGAATCGATGCCGCAAAATCATTCCAGGACTAGAATTCGACCATATACTTCCACCCAGAGGAAAGAGACATGGTCTGCTTGTCGTGGGTTTGTATTGCTACGGTCATCATGAAGAATGAGATATTTGATCCAGTCGATGTCAGTGCTGTTGTTGACATGAGGCTAAGCGAGAACGTGGTGAGTATATTGAAAGACGGCATTGGCCTCAGCATTCCTGATTGACATGTTCATTCTCAAACATCCTCTGTTGTGGGAAACGTGGTCTAGATAGAAGTGTCGCTTTGCTTTCTTCCGGCTGAGATGCCATTAATGTATGGGATGAATACATTCAGTCAAGTTATGCTCTCGGGCCACAAGAAGCGATGTTGAGGGCTGAAGGGAAAACTTCAAGGCCCAAAAGGTCTTCTGAAGCCACGCAGCTAGCTTCACAAGCTCTTTTTCTCGACCAAGAGCCCTAGCTCAGCCTGATATCCCAGAGCCCACTCAGCAGCCGACTTCATTGCATCATCTGTCAACACTTTCGGGACATACCCAAGTCTCTCCTTCGCCTTTGTGGGATCGAAAGTTCGATTCAAGCACACCCACTCCAGTTTTCGTCTCCTCAAAAGCTATTTGATGTTACTTAGAACCTGTTGTGACTTCAAGACCAAAGCGATCGTGCTTACCTGTGGCTGCTTGAATCCAAACGAGAAGATGAAATAAACCCACTCGAGAACGAACGCAACAGCCATCAAGATGGAAGCAGGGACGACCTTGGAGTCTTCGACTTTTTGATTGTAACCAGCGTAGACCCACAATTTTCTCCGCAACTCCCAATAGGACATTGGGTTGTCGTCCGTGATGAAGAACCCCTCCCCATCGACTTTAGGTGCATCGGGGTTGGCGATGCCAGTGAGTAGAGCGCTCATGGCAAGGATGTGAGCGTGTGCTGTATTCTCGACCTATTTGGAATTAGTGGATATTCAGTGACTTGGAAAAAGTACAATCGTACAGCGAGGAAGTCTGCGCGTTTAGTGCCATTTCCAATTTGGTAGTGATGCTGACCAAGTCGGAGAGCCTCGAAAATCTGCCACACGAGCGTCATATCCCCAGCTCCGTACATGCCTCCAATTCGAAGACAGCAGGTGCGTAGACCACCTTCATTGCTAGGTTCTCGACTGTTTGCTAGGAGAACCTACGGAACATCAGTCCAATTACTCGTGACACAGCAAAGGTATGGAGGCTTACCATAGTATCAGCAATGCCTTTCGTACCAGAATAAGGATCAAATCTGCTGATACTCATCTGGACTTCGGAACTTGTCGCATCCTCCGTTGCCATATACGACTCTTTTCGCCTCAAGATCGTAGCCGAGGACGTGTAAATAAAGACCTCAACCGAGCTTTCCTCCTTGGCACACTCCAACAAATTTGCCGTCCCATCCACATTTACTTTCTTGAGTAATGCCGCATCATCAGGTTCATGTGTTAGAATGGCGCTTGACAGAGCAGAGGCGGTATGTATAATGACCTGGGCATGATCGTACAGATGACGTGTCGAACTTGGGCAAGCGAGGTTATGTCGCATGTGTGGTACATAACCCCATCATAGCGATTTCGATCGGTGTTGATGTCAATGACGGAGATCTCGGGGTGGTGTGAGAGAGTATTCTTCTTCTCGAGGAGGGACTTGACAATATGGTGGCCGAGGAAACCGCATCCACCGACTACAAGGACTGCTCTGGATGACTGTGACATTTGGGCAGGAGCCATTCTGAGTGGTAAAGGTGGATGTAGAATGATGGGATTTTCAAGATCGAACGGAAGCTGATTTCGAGATGCAGCTAAGAGAGATGCAGAGAGAGATAGGGGAGGAAGCTTCCCAGCGTCAAGCTTCATGATGTTGAGCTACCAAGAGGAAAGTGAATTTAAATAGACAGACACCCATGCGACACTACCCTCACTGTGGCAAAATTGACAGAGGTGAGATTTTGATGCCAATGTATTCATCCGAAACGAAATGGAACAGGAGGCTAGCAGACCTCGTACATACGCGTCGAATGAGACATATCTGTCCGTGTTGGCAGCTACTACGCGTGCACGCGAGGATTTGCTGGATGGTCTGGTTCAGTATTCATTACGGAAAGTGGATGAACTACCAGGACTGGTATGGTAGGGAATGAAGATAGACTTGCATACATACCGGCAGCATTGCAGGACGTAAGTCACTATATCTTGCTTCATCTTCAATATTTACGTTTATCCATGTTGCATTTCGCTTATGCACCGATTGCAATGTAAGTGCGGAACCCGTGATCATTCGGGTTCAACGCTGACAATGACAGCTGAAGAGTACATAAGCAGAATTACACTGCGCATAAGATTTGAGAGAGTTGTGAACAAAATGAAGCAAGAAAGTCCCAGAATCACATGCAAATCACGAGACTTCAGCAGTATCCTGCCATTGACCACTTCTCACTTCATCCACCACCCATATCATCCACACCTCAAATAAATCATCCGCAACTTCAAAATGCGTCCTCCCATCTCCTTCTCACACATTCACCGAAGTATACGACAACCAAAGCATCTTTGCCAACACTTCCCACAACAATACAGCACAACAACCTGCAGGATGACCACGTCCACCTCAGCAGCACCGCAGCCAACCTTCTCATCAAACTACCCCCCTACCCAAGGAACCGCGGATCTAGAACCTTTGCTGAAGATCAATGGAGGAAAATGGACGTTGATTGAAAGTGGGAAGGGTATTGAGAGATGTTTTAAGTTTAAGACTTTTAAGAAGACTTGGGTGAGTGATCATGCGAGAAATTGTCTTATCTGCTGGGTCTCGCTTAGGTACTAGCATTTGTTTGGCCTCGGGATTCTTTGGTTGACATAAATGGATAGAAGGGATCGTTCTATATCACATGGATAGAGGAGACACTTGGATCCCGAGGCGTATTACTTTTGCTGGCGGGGTTTGAGCCCTTGCAATCACGACAGGGGCTTCTTCTTTCTCTCTCTCTCTCTGGAGATGAACTGGACAGAGGGAAAGATTGGAAATGGAGACTAATAGTTTATCATCGTATAGGAGTTCATGAATCTCATAGCCGCCGAGTGTGCTGTGCAGAAACATCATCCCGAATGGTCTAATGTAAAGTTACCTTTCCATCCTCTTGCAAGTCCTACACAGCTCATTCCACCTCAAGGTCTACAACACGACATTCATCCGGTGGACGACCCACTCTCCACCGGGCCTATCAGAGAAAGACGTGTTGATGGCCCGGTTCTGTGATGGGAAGGCGGGAGAGTGTGACGAGGTTGTGGTTGAGGATGATGGTCGCGGAGATGTAGGGAGAGATCTGGTGGATAGAGTTGCGGTTGAGGGCGGAGACTGTTGTGATCCGAAGAAGAAGAGCTCGTGAGATTAGAGTTCCGGGCAAGGGAAGTAGGATGTGAGGTTTGTGTAGAATTCAGGGTATGAAGAGCTCGAAAGGTGGACGACTAGGAGAGATCCGTCGGAGGTTGGAGCTTGTAGAAATTTAGGTCTTCGAATTCCCCTGCACTGGTCAAGCAGTCTTTAATGGGAGAGGATGTAATATGGTACGATCTTGTATTAATTAGGAGGGTACTATGTAACCCAAGTAATAGTCTAAACGGGGCTTCCTTGCCCCGAATCAAAAACGCCAGTAGTAACCAATGCACGTGTAAAGCTATGCTGGAAACAATTAACCCTTCACCCATCCGACCAGAGCTTCTAGTCATGCTCAGTTGACAGCTCTAGTGTCCTGGTCATACACCGACTCTTCTGCTCTCTGCACTCTCCATTTGTACACCCACCCAGAGCATATATTTCACTGGGCTTTCTTTGCCTTCTTAGCTTCTTTGGCAAGCTTGCGCTCACGTCTCTCCTTTGCAGCCTCTGGGCCAGCCTCAGTATCCATGAGATAATCCCACCATCTGAAACTGCTTGCATAGTTGCCAATGAAACGCTCGTGGTGGACGTCGTGGTGCTCAGCTCCTGCCCAGAAGGGGATGATGTGGTGCAAGCTCCATGGGAAATCGTATCCGCTGTGAGCATCAATGGCTTGGAAGAGACGTGCTGCGATCCAGAGATACATTGTCAGGACGTGGAAGTTGCCAGTGATAAGACAGAAGACAATGGGGACAACGACTGTTCCAGCGCCAAGAACCATGGTTTCGATAGGAGAGGCGTACTCGGCAGCGAGGCCAAAGGGTGCAGAGTATTGGTGGTGGATCTTGTGGATGTTCTTGTAGAAGAAGCCGAAGTGAAAGAGACGATGCATCCAGTAATGCCATGTATCCTCCAAGACGAAAAAGATGGCGATTTGAATGCAGATTGTTTGCCAGGAAGGGAACGGCACGCCAGTATCCATGCCGCAAGAGACAGCCATCGGGTGGAAGAGCCAGATTTGAGGTAATTCAACAGTGAAATGACTGAGGAGGACGAGTTTTGTGCAGGCCCACTGTTCCTTCACGGTGGGAATCTTTTGCCCCTGAAGCTTCCACTTGTTGAAGTATGATATTCGATCGATTATTATCCATGGCAGACTCCGGCCGAAGTAGACAGCTTCGTGCATGACGAAACTCATGATTCCGGTTGCGAGGACATCATTTTGCATGTAGGCGTACCAACTCTGCATTGCGCGTTAGCATGAGTGGTGGCGGCATGACAAGGGATCACTTACTGCCCAGAGACGCTCAAAGATGTTCAAGTGAACATTGTACTTGGACAGCTCGTTGTAGATACCAAAGTAGGTATCGGGAGCTGCCAGGGTGGAATTGGCAACGAAAGACATGGCTGCGGCCGCGAGGGAAGGGAGATGGTTGTGTCGTGGAGGCAAGTTTGTTGAGAGGCAAACGAAACGAGACGAGACGAGATAGGAAGCGCGGCAGTGGTATTTTACTGTAATAATTTAAGGTACCTAGGCTTTGCGACTCTAGCGGGCCGGGCTCAGGCTCAGGCCACTGCAGCGCTCCCGGAATTCTCGATGCCGGGCGCTGCGAGTGCGAAAGGGGTAGCACGTGACTAAGCACGTCAGGAAAGTGGCGAGGGTGGCTTGGGGCAACCCAACCCAACCCAACCCAACCCGAGTACGACTCAGATGAGATGAGATGAGATGGATGTTTCTTGGTTCAGTCGCATTGAAAAGCGGTGAGTGAGTGAGTTTTGCTTCCGAGTTCCTACGCTTTCATGAACTGGTGATTACATAAGGTAGAGTACAGCGACTGCCAAGCAACGAAAGCTTTCTGTCCCTCGCCCCACAGCAGGTAGAGAACCCTGTCGATTCAGGGGAGAAATCGAACGCTGCGCCCACCAGCGCCTATCGCCACACCACACCCTGGGCTCGACTGTTTGTTGCACTCGTCCGATTTCAACAATAGTCTCATCCCGCCTCTTTGTGGTGCGACAACTCTCACTCCGTCAGTCCTCGGTCGATTACCATCAGACCACAGTCTCGACATCTAATTTGCCTGGTCCCGCCTCCGAGAGCGAGCCACAGCTGCAGGTACACGAGCCAATTCCTCCACTCACATCATACAGCCTCTTCACATGCTCGAAACCTCCTAAAAAGTCCCTCGCATCCTCTCAAAGATCCTCAAGGATCCACATAATACCTCGACAATGTCTTCCAGTCAATTACAACGCGCAAACGAGGAGCGCAGACGTGTGTATCATGAAGCAGATGTAGTGGTGGTTGGCGCCGGTGTCTTTGGATGTGCCGTTGCATTTGCCCTTGCAAAACAGGGACGGAGTGTCCTGCTTCTGGAGAGATGGTTACAGGAACCAAATCGTATAGTTGGAGAGTTGCTGCAACCTGGAGGTGTCTCTGCTCTGGAGAAGCTGGGTTTGGCGCATTGCACAGAGGATATTGATGCAATTCCCGTACATGGGTATGAGGTCATATACTATGGGCAAGGAGTTAACATTCCCTATCCACCCAATGCTGGGGCAGCACCAACCAAGGGAAGCCAGGAGTACACAAACGAGAAGGGTGGCAGACCAGAAGGAAGAGCTTTCCACCACGGACGCTTCATTTCGCAACTACGGAGAGCTTGCGCCAGTCAAGCAAATATTACAATCGTGGAGACGGAAGTCACAGATACTATTACCAGCGAACACAAACCACAAGTACTTGGTGTCAAATCCAGAACACTGAACCCAGAGACAGGAAAGAAGGAGGAAGATTACTATTTTGGACAACTCACAATCATTGCCGATGGATATGCCTCTAGGTTCCGCAAACAATATATCACGAAGCAACCTATTGTGAAGAGCAAGTTCTACGCGTTGGAACTGATTGACTGCCCGCTGCCTGCTCCTTTCCATGGAACTGTCATTCTCGGCGATGCATCACCAGTTCTGCTCTACCAAATCGGCACACACGAAACTCGAGCTTTGATAGATATTCCAGAGAATCTTCCAGCTGCGTCGGTGGACAATGGAGGTGTACGTGGTTACCTAAGGAATATTGTCCTTCCAACACTCCCACCGCAAATGCAACCATCTTTCGAAGCTGCTCTTGCAGATGGAAAGATCCCCAAGAGCATGCCTAACAGCTTTCTACCTCCCAGTACGCAAATGGAGAGAGGTGTAGTCGTTCTGGGTGATGCCATGAATATGCGTCATCCTCTTACCGGGGGTGGAATGACCGTGGCGTTCAACGATGTCGTCTTACTCTCCGATCTTCTTTCGCCCGAACGTATTCCAGATCTTGGCAACACTGGAGCCATTCAGAAAGCAATGAAGGATTTCCACTGGCAACGCAAAGGCTTGTCGTCAATCATCAACATCCTCTCTATGGCTCTATACAGCTTATTCGCCGCCAACGATCGTCAGCTGAGTGCGCTGAAGAAGGGCTGCTTCGCCTATTTCCAGCGAGGCGGCAATTGCATCGATGGTCCATCCAGCCTTCTCGCTGGTATCATTCGCCAACCTCTTGTCCTCGTCTACCACTTCTTTGCTGTCGCTGTCCTCTCCATCTGGCTCGTTATCCAAGACACCATTGGCGGATTTCTCGGCTTGTGGAAACTACCCTTGGCGATTGAAGAGAGCATTCGTGTTTTCTACAAGGCTTGTGTGGTTATCTTCCCCTTCATCTTTAGCGAGGTGAGGACCTAGATGTTAACGTTGGTGCGGATGGTTTTTGCGGATGGTTTTTGCGTTTTAGCGTAATGAGCAAAGATGATGATTTCAGCATGTACAGTACACTAGATGTGCGATCATGGCGTGGCGTTGAGAAATAGGAAAGCATGGCATGGCAAGGCATAGTTCTAATAAGCCAGTCTTCCCACATAATATAATACTAATCTTAGATCACATTCTTCTTTCAATTTTCGGTTTTCCTACTACGTGTGTGCTTTGTTTACTTTCGTCTCGTTTAATATTCTTCGAAACTCCTCGCCAAGACGTGCATAACCGAAACTCAATGCTTACCGTTCAGTGCAGCAATACCGGAGGAGTCTCGAACATCTTCATCCTCTCTCCTCATGAAGTAAACTCTCCCATCCCCTCAAATCCCTCCATGCTATCCCACGCAATAGCTCCAGCACCTCCAGCATACTCATCTAGTCCCCAGTTTGCCTACCAGGAGGTTAGCTGCTTCAAGTTAACAGATAGGCGGCTACGTACCATGTCATACGGATCACTATTCGTGTCTGGGTAGAATCCCAAACCATTTCCGCCTTCTACATCTGGTGGCAGCCAGGTGTCCATGAACAGGGGCTGGTTAAGTTCTTGCGGTATGGGATTTGTGGCACTAAAATTGGAGTACTGGGGTTGAAACTGGTCAATATGGTTCGAGTTTAGAGACTGATGTGCTGAGTTGGCATATGTTCGCATCTCCACACTGCTTGACGCTGCAATTGCAGGCACTGTTACAGGTGCCGTTGATGAGGTCATTGAAGCATGGCTGTGAGCTTTCGAAAGTAAGATCCGTATGACGGTGGCGGCTTTCTTCGCTTCCTTTGATGTCTCCGCGAATCTTTGCCAGATATGATAGGATGTCGTCAGAGCTTTGACGATGTCTGCTCTACCCGGATAAGTACGGCCTCCATCCCCATTGCTATGTCTCGTCGTTCTACCTTCACAGTCCCTCTCAACAGTCTCGGAATTCGAGTCTGCATCCGAACCTGGTTTCAAATTTTTGATCTCCCAATCCAAATCCAAACAAAGCACCGTCGTTGCAACCAAAAACTCCATCCTCACCAGACTGCTGATCTTCCATTTCTCCACCTCGAACCTACCCCCAACTCCACACTCTCTCTCCACCTCTTCCTGCCACCCCAGCATCACTATCGCAGCTTTCACACACAGCAATCTACTGTAAGTATATCGTTGATCTTTCCGCGCAGGCACAAGGTATTTTCTATGTAATGTGATCTGTGCTTTGTGGAACACGAGAAGTAAGAAGATCCGGCATATGATCAAGTGTGAAGGGTCGCTTAGTGATTCGCCGAGAGGCTTGATTTTCAATATGTTCGGGATAGAAGAATATGCTTTGGAGAGGAGCGTATCCATGTTTAGGATCTCCGCGTATGTAGAAGGCTGAATCCGTGTAGTAAGCTCGCAAATCGAACTAAACACATCCAGAATCCTAATTTTTCACAACCAGGAACTGCATGGGCGTATGATCTGTCTCCGGTCTAGACAAAGGAAGCTCCGTAATATTCTCAAGGAAGTCCGTATCCAGAAGATTGGCAGGCTCACGCGTATCACATTGTCCGGCTTGATCATACTGGGTAGGCCGACTTGCACGGATGTCACTCTGTCCCACAGGGATATGATTGCCCATTTTCGACGTCGCATTTCGATCTCGTAGGGGGAGAGACGCGGGAAGTGAGACCCATCGTCGTGATATCCCATTCGTAAAGCAAGACGGACTATGATGCCAAGCAGGATGTAGATTGAGAGCTGGGTGTCGGGGGAGTGGTGGTAGGTTATGCTCATGTAGAGCAGGAGAGTTTCGAGGGTGTGTGGAGGGGCTTTTTGATAGGATCCCAGGATGAGACATTGGGTAATTTTTTGGAGGTAGTAGGAGGTCTGAGATGGTACTGTGGTGCCGGTTATTTTGTTGGTGCTGGATAAGGCAAGCTCAAGATTGCACGAGGAGAGGCAGATGATGGAGAAGAGGAGGCCAATCCACATGATAGGTGTTTCGAAGGGGTTGGCCCAGAAGTTCTCGTACTTTGTAGCTTTAGAGATGACCAGTCACACTAAATACTATATCAGCACTCACCTGTTTGAGAAACGTCGTGCTATGGATAAGCCCTGTTCTGAGTCAAAACACATGCATTCGCAAACCCAGCAGCAGCATACCATGAGCAACTTCGCCTTGAAAATACTGATTCACCAGCTCATCAACTACCTGCCTCACCGGAATTGCCATGATGATCTCCTCCTTGGTTGCGCTTTGATATTGCCCGAAAGGAAGTTCCAAGCCCCCAAGAACTGGCTCAGGCTCGGAATCAACAACTACAAAGCCATCTTCAAATTGGTCCTTGAGGTCTGATATCTGCCAATGTGTGAGCACTTCATAGAATCTCTGGAGAGTGGTCTGGAGTACTTCAGCAAGGATTGCAGTCCAATGTGCACTTTCAAAATAATTAGCTCCATCATTCTCCAGGCTGATACTGCCGACTCCATCCAAGACTTCGTCATCTTTCGACTCCCATTGATCGTGACTTTGAGATTCAGACACTCTCAACGAAGCCTTTTCAGCAGCTTGACCTTTGTTTGATTTCTCATTCAGGCTCCTTTTCAAAGAAATGACAAGATGCTCAAGCTGTTCAAGTTTGTCTTGCATATTCAAAGGCTTTGGTATTTCTGGCCGAGGCCGAGAACCAGTTCCGCTGATAGGGACATAAGTACACGACGCAGAGAGACCTCGCATTGCGCAGGTGGAGCATGGTGTGCGGCGGTCACATTTCAATCTACACATGTGTTAACCTTTGTTTATGGGAAAATATTATGAAAATATTTACTTTCTTCTTCTGCAAAGATTACAGGATAATTGAGGCTTCTCTCTGCGCCGGTTAGCGGGTGAGCCTATCAGATTGGTGGTATCAGACGGATTTGGATTGGGCATGTTGCAGAGCTGAAAGGAGGAAGCCATGATTGGGATGGCTGGACTTTTGGCTCGGGTGGAACACGAGGGCTCGGAATCGGGACTTCGTGGGTTATTGGCTTTTGGATGAGGTACGGAGGAGTGGTTGTTGAACTGAAGGTTGAGAGCAGGGATTTGGTTAGATCCGACTTAATCTTGACGTGCAAGATTTTGAGACTCGCTTATTGATCAACATGGAGTTCAGGAAACAAAGAAACAAAACTTATGTATAGTCTTGCATCACGCAACTTAGCCTCACGAATAGATATCAATTTCATCGTGGCTCCTCGAACGTCAGACATATTGGTAGTTTACTTTAATTGATATCAGAACCGTCAATAATTATATTGCTGTTGCCAATTTCACTTCTCCGTAGATTGTATCGCCAGCACCGACACTCCATCCTGAGTGACATAAACCTGCGTAGAGCCTCTCCGACTGTACGTAACACCTATGGTTTCTAGTTTCAAAGCAGATCTGAGCAGAGCTAATGAATGATATCAAAAGACCTCGTCTACTTCAGAGTAAGGTGTTGAAGTTACCCCTGTGCAAATTTCAGAGGATCAGGGATAAATGTGATGCCAAGATCAGAACCGAGGATCAACGCATCATCAATATCAACGACGGGTTTTCAACCAAGCAGTAGCAAGACAACGCTATGAAGGTATTGCACGACCTGTCCTGATCGGTGAATCTATTGCTGCAATATTCTGTTTTAGACTCGTCCCTTGTGGTTAACTAATTACCTATTGTCCTAAAACTCAATGGAAGTGTAGGCCTGAATCGCTTATAAGCTTGGAACGTATTGATTCAAGATCGTAGAGTAAAAGTAACCCTTTATCGACTTAATACAACTCGACTCTAATACAGTTTGAACTTGGCTTCTGATAACGTTATCAATAAGGTATTCACCGTCTACGAGGCTCGTAATTGAAATTTGAGATGGCCAGGAGAAGCACGTGAAAAAGGCTTGTTTCTTTCCTCGGCTAGCTCCAGCGTATTGAGGATCTGGAGAATAGAATACCGGAAAACGGACTGGGAGGTTGAGATATTTTATAGCTCACATGAACACATCGAAGGTTGAAAACCACCCATTGCCCAAAATGGTCTTACAGCTTTCTTTTTGTCACGACAAGAAGCTGGTCGTGAAGCCGAAGACATCATTTGGTGTGGTCAGGCGAGTCACTGCCCAGTTTGTTGTCCATCCAAGCCACAGTCTGCTGCTGACCGCATCCCTGCCCTCCCCTGCCATTCCGCCATGCCGCCACGCCCATGCCCTTGTCGCTCTCAATCGTAGCATCCCGCCTGAGCCACAGCACATCGCATCACATCACATCACATCACCATAACCATCTCCAGACTGCGCTCCTTTCGACCTCAAGACGCCTGCGAAACGTCGACCCCACCCCAGAAACAAACCCACGCAGGCTTGTCGAACTATCACCAAGCACCAAACTCAAGATCAACTTCAGACCACTTTGGATGCGACCTTCCCTCTGCATTCAGCAGCCGTCGAGCTGATTAGGAGCCCGCAGTGGCATTCGTACCCCCATCATGCGGCCTCCGAGAGTCATCATAGCCGTGGCCTTCTTTATGACCACGGTTTTCTTGACATTCCTCAGTCTACGCTCGTCTTATCAGCCGCAGACGATCACGACAAGTACTCCAGCGACCCCGAAGACCGGAATACGATCGTTCTTTGCTTTCCGAGCACCCTTCTCCCTCTTCCCGCCGAATGCCATCATCACTTTGACACATGATAATACGACTGCTTTCCTAGCGCGGCCTGCTGGTTTTGGGCCTCTGCTACCATCAGCCGGCCTTAAGGGGCAGGTATGGATTGGAAGTGGGTTCGGGGATGATTCAATACGGCAAGGCACTATTGCGGCCGGAGCAGAAGGGGAGTTAGGATGCAGTGATGTACCTGGCTGGGTTGATAGCTATGCAAAGTCGAGCGCGGCGACATCTGAAGGGGCAAAACCCGCGGATGGAAAGGCTGCGACGAATGCGGGGAAATCAAAATCCCAGAAGCGGGCAACAGATGAGGATGGCCCATTCAACGACGAGACTACTCGGCAAGAGAGCCCTGACGCGAAGGAGGACCCTTCGAAGCCACATGTGGACGACGGAACTGATGACTACCTACACCACCCATTACCGGAGTCAACAGTCACAAAACCAAACGAGAAACCACCAGCAGATTCGAAAGGAGACCATGCGGATATTCAGTCGATACAAGAGGGAGCAGAGATATCAGGCAAGATTGTACTTTTGAGCCGTGGCGGATGCGGTTTCTTGGAGAAAGTGAAGTGGGCACAGAGAAGAGGAGCAATTGCTCTTATGGTTGGAGATGATGTGCAAGGAGGTCCTTTGATTCAGATGTACGCTCGAGGAGATACCTCGAATGTTACGATCCCATCCATATTCACGTCTAGAACTACAGCACATCTTCTATCTTCTTTGATCGGCCCAGGAAGCTTCATTGAAGATGTGGTCGATGAGAACGGCAAAGGGAGTCTTAAGCTCCAGTTTACGGATAAGCTCAAGAAAGGAGGAGTGAAGAAGCAGGGATCCCATCCAACATTCACACCTACCACAGGATTACCCGAAATTACTGGGATCCCACGAGCGGTTTCGAAAGTTTCACAAAAGAAGACTTCCAAGGCTGTAGGGAAGATTGCAGATACGACATCGAAGAAACCGGGATGGTTCAGATCTATCTTTTTTGGCTCTGGTGCGGGAAGTTCCAAGTCAGAGGTTAGCCGACCACCAGGGAGTGGTAGGCTTGACTGGGTTCTGGTTGATGAGTGGAAGGATGATGACGAAGTAACGACTAAGAAGGTGTCGACGAAAGCGAAAAAGTTGGACGACAGCAAGGGTACCGAGAGCAAGCCTGCCCCCAAAGCTCCTGGAGACGATTTCCAGATAGGTGTTCAGGACTGGCGTGATCCGGATTTAGTGAAGAAGCCTGGGAAGGACGGAGAGGTGAAAGCTCCTGTGGCTAAAGTTGAAGGAAAACCGGTTGCTGCAGTTCAGAATGCTGCCCCAATCCCAACTTTGAGTGGGAAGAAGCATACTGGAGGTGCTGTCCAGGACGTTCCCGAGTTCTCTCCACCACTGAGAGGCGGTAGCATTACGCCAGGAAGTGGAGAATACGTGGGCAAGGGACCAGAGAATGCCCCCCAACCGGCGGAGCAGAAAGCTGCGACTACGAATGGAAATTCTAATAGCCTTCTCACCACGATCTTCGGAGCCGATGAGGAGAATGTCGAGATTTTGCCCAACAAGAACGCTCCAGTTGAGCTTGCAAAGGAAAATGAAGGAAATGGAGAGAATGAGGAGGAAGGATTGTGGGTTACTTTGACGCCAACAAGTGGAGCAAGTCCATTCCTCGATACACTTCTGGTCTTGGTCGTAAGCCCATTGGTTACCTTGACGGTAGTTTATGCTCTGTTGTTGATCAGATCTCGCATTCGGCGCCGTCGCTGGAGAGCACCAAAGTCTGTAGTAGAAAGACTACCCGTCCGGACATACCAGACCATAGTCCCGTCAAGGAGCCCATCGCCAAGAATACCCAGAACACCGAGTCCTAACAGTTCGACTGCAACTACACCACTCCTTGCAAACTCGCCTCGGACTAGACCTCGTCCACGGTCAAGAACCACAAGCGGATTACCAGAACCTGGGGATTCGATGCGCAGCTCAAATCCTTTACAGGTCCCTGTGATGCCGTCTCGAGCACCAGAGCATGAGAAGAATGCCAGTGAGTCTAGCGAATGGAGGAAGCACATGGGCAAGCAAGTCGAGTGTGTTGTTTGTCTTGAAGAGTATGTTGCCGGGGTTAGTCGTGTGATGAGTTTGCCTTGTGGCCACGAGTTCCACGTTGATTGCATGTAAGTCGACCCGATGCTGTGTCAAAAACTTCCACTGATAAAAGTAGAACACCTTGGTTGACTACACGCCGACGAACGTGTCCAATCTGCAAGGGCGACGTGGTACGTTCGCTTGCGAGGGGATCGCCGTCGAGTCCTCGATATGAACCATATCACGACGACAGCGACGATGATATCCAAGCACAAGCAGCAGAGTCCATCAACAACTCTTCTTCATCTGCACTACCTATCGGAAGGAGCTACGACAGCCGTTCGGACATTGAGCAAGGCATTGCTTCTCCCACGCCTACACGACCACGCCGAGCTCCGCAGTCAGGTAGCTGGCGAGCCCTTCTTGCCAGCAGTCTCGGCTCATCATCACGCAGTCCTCAACCTCAGCCAGAGGATCGTGATAGGTGAACCTGTAGTGTAGACAACATATTCATATTCAGGAGCATTGCTTCAAGCAAGTGCTGTTTCTTTTAGGTTTCTAGGGATCTGTTGCCCTGTAGGGCAACCAAATGGAAGGGAGGTTGGGGTTTATGGATTGGACTGGATCGGAGCACAGCGAAGGCGCATACCACTCGTTTATATCTTCTTTTTATTTTATTATTTGTTGCTGCGCTACGGCAGAAGAGCAGCGTGACTGATCAGTCGTGGAATTAATATCCTATCGAGATATTGAGAGGAGCGGCGGGCGGGCTGTAAGTATTGTCAGGCAGTCTAAAGATAGACATGTACGTACAGAGAGGACACCAACTGTCCTGGTTTTTCATAGAGGAATGAGAGAGACTTGAAACCACCGATAATTGACTTGTACCTCGAAACCGAGGCAAAAATTGCGACGACTCGAGTCCGTACGTATACTGATACAGCTTACCTGAAAGCACCTGGTCGAGTAGGTCTCCATCTCCTTGGTTCTCCTGAGCCTCCCCTTTGTTTATAATCTTTGAGGAGGCTAGCTTAGAATTCCCTCTCTTGTTTAAATGGGCAAATCGGATGTGACTGTTTGATGATTTGGACTCGGCCCGTAGTGATATCTACCGAGGTGAAGTGCTCAAAGGGGCTGAGGACTTACATCCTCTCATCCGCTCAATGGCCTTCAAAAGCAAACACATTGTTGTCAAGGCTTGGTGAAATCAAAATATACACGGCTGCTGAATTGTGTTTATTTCCAGTATTAGCTAGCTCTACACAGCTGGACAAAGTGGACTATGTACTGTACCGCAGTACCTCTTTCTCAACGCCAAACTGCAATCCCATCTATCTATCTAACGCACGCTGATGCAAAGAAGTACCTATCATACAGAATCTACTCCAGCCATCTCCACGTCTCAGCCCTCAAACACTGAATGCTGCAACTCAACTCCGAACTGATCTTTCGCAATAAAGCGCATTTGTTTCTCCAAATCATCATCCATGCCCTCTCCCCACCCAAGAACCTGCCTCAAACGACTTCCCCACCACACGACATCGCTGCCGAGAAGAACGAAGCGAAATAGCAAATGCCGCCATGCATTCACCCATCTCTGTGCGAAACTTAGATCTCTATCATCAACAAGACTACGGCTGGCCCACCACCCAGTCATCTTAATCCTATTGACGGGCGAGCCTAAGTACTGGTTATTGCCTTGAACGATCCGCATGTTGCGGCCGATGAAGAGCAGTTCGCGTGGGAAGTTCTCCTCCTCAGACAGCACCTCGCGGATACCCTGGCGCATGCGCTCTTGGACTTCGTAATGTCGTTCTGCTGGCGTAAGGCCCTTGAGTTCGCCAGTGATGCGTTGCTTCGTACTACTATCCCCCCCTTCATATGGGCGCATGAGTGTTGCTGAAGCAAACAGATCGGGGGCTTTGACTCCCCACGAGCTGGTGATCTCGCTTAACGTCTCGTTATCAAACGTCATGATTGCTTTCCAGAACTGGCAATATTGGCGTCTGAATTTCGGGTTCATGGACACGTATAGTCCATGGTCTATCAGGACGAGTTCCGGCTGTCCGTTCGGTTGCCGTCGGATGAATATGTTGCCTGGGTGAGGATCACAGTGCACGAGACCCCAAAGGAACATCTGGGCGGAGAACAAGTCGATCATGGTTGTCATGACTTGCTTGAGGGAGAGGCCTAGTCCACCTTTTCCTGAGCGACCGCGCCAGTCATCGCGGGAGGGCTTGAGGAAGCCGGTGCCATCATTGGGGCGGGTGGGGGTATTTACAGGTGGGAGAGGTGTGCCTTTTGCGCCGGGAGAGCCACGTCCATTGCCACCGAGCCAGGTTCCTGTGAGGGTCTCTTTATCCCAGAGGCGTACCCCTTCAATCCACTCTGCTGTCATGACCCGCTTGGAGGAGAGCTCGCGGTAGACTTTGGGGATGTAGACGCGACCTCGGAGACGGGGTTCACTGGACACGAGTTCGGCCATCTTCTCGGAGTTATTGGCTTCGTTGACAAAGTCTGTTTCAAGCATCAGGCGCTCGGCGATGTAGGGTACGAGACTGTAGAAGGGAAGATCGAACCAGTATGTGTAGACTTTCATCATGACCCTGGGAATGTTAGTCTTTTTCTGTCTGGCAAGGTGGACCACTTACTTGAAAGCCCAGAGATCCCATCCAACCTGCTGTTCGATCTCTCTCTTCTGGACTTTGATAGCAACCTCTCTCCCATCTGGCAGTCTTGCCCAGTGAACCTGCGCAACAGATGCCGATGCCCTAGCTTTCTTCTCCATGACACCCTTCCCAGGTTCATTGCTGAAGCTTACGCCGAAAACCTCCTCGGGACTTTTACCCCCAAAATCCTCTCTGATAACCTTCTCGATGTTACTCCAAGTATTCTGCGGAGCATCATCGAACATCCTCGAAAACATTTTCTGGAATTCAGGTGGCAGAACCGCACTCTGCATAGCGATCGCCTGACCAATCTTCAAGTATAGCCCTCCATTCTGGTGCAGGAGCTCGAAGAGCCTCTCTGCGTTCCTCAAGTGCAAGTCCGTTATGTCGCCACCCAGCCAGGGTTTCGGTCTGAAATTGAGCTTGTAATCTAGTGCTACTACTATGCCCAGGCCAAAAGTTCGAAGAGATCGTGTTATGGAAGAAGCGTAGAACTGTGTATCAAGAACGTAGAACGTTCCCCCCACTAAGCTGACAAACAAGAGTCTGCGACCCCATTTAATCGTGCGCGGGTATAGCTTTGCGGGACGAGCCTTTCCGAGGGACTCTGGAGATGGCGGAGTGAAGGACTGGAATCTCTGACTTTGTATTGAGCGGGTGGAAGCTTTCGAGAAGTTTGTCTTGCTCTGTGCTATCGAGGGGCGATCATTTCTGAGGGTCTGGAGAGCGCGATTTGATGTACGCTGAAACGATTGTGAATATCGCATAGGAGTATATGGAGTTCTAATTCGGTGCCCATTGTTGCACAGATATTGTCCTGCAGTACGTACTGCAGTACGCAGTGACATTGCTTCGAAAAGATGTAGACATCAGAGTAGAGCTTCAACATCTCGTCATATACATTCTTTTCATTTCAGATATGGATTAAGGTTACCCCGGTTGCCGTGTCTATCTTAACTCCGATCTAGTCCACTGGGCTCGGGCTCGGGGCCGGGGAATTCCTCTCCTTTACCTCGTCTTATTTCTGGAGAGTTGGGAATCTTGGATGACAAAGTGGCACAGGCTCAGTGCCAAAATTGGGACTGAATTCTCTCTTCGAAATCTGATAACACCAGTCTCGTGAGTTGAGTTCTTTGACCGCATTCCGAGGTTTCCACAGGCAAAGCTTATCCACTCGCTCAGGCTGACGAGTTCTTGAAGCGGCAACAACAGCTCAGAACAGCTATCATTTGGTAAGAAGTGGTACCGCTGGTCGCAAGCTTTGAAACGAGTCTCAAGTATGCAGATTCTAAATATACCACAACTAATGCATGCCATGAGAATATCCTCGACTAAGATCCAATTTAACAATCCTCAATGTTTGTCTGGACTTCCAAATCATCGATCAATTCTCGCCAGATGCTGAGATGAGCTGTCTGCTTGGTGGCCGGATAAATGTGAGAATTATATCAAGCCACTCTGCCAGATGCAGCAGCTGGTCCGCTCGCATCAGCATGCTTCCAGAAACAGACTTTCCGCGATATCCCATGTTCGCATATTCGCAAGGATATCTCGCCATGCAGACTGATTGGAGCAATCTTCCAGGATAAATTATGAAGATTGCATTCCCAGCAACACCATCCCCTTAACAGTGTCTAGGCTGGCCATATCAAAATATGATGATGGCTCTGCTAGGCCGGAGTACGGAGCATGTACTTTGCTGCTGTACAGTCCGCGGAAGCTGTGTTTTCTGCACAGTAGAGGGGTGTTGAGCTAGGATCTCGTCTGAATAGCGTCACTGTGAGATAGCAAGACAGTCCCGGGGACCGCAGCCAAGATGTCGCGATAAGTGTGACGGGACTCCAGTTACCTGCAGAAAAGACCCACGATAATCGTGGAGGGAGATGAGGATTGCTGGGTTTAAGCTTGTACCTTTTGATACCCGGGACAACCGACCCATTTGTTTGAGATTAGAGCAAGAGCCTCTTCGTCTCGAGTTTTTGAACGATGACATGGCCTGGACATGATCTGCCACAGAGCAAGCAGGGAAGAGAAGAGAACAGGCAAGGGGAGATCCCGTCCGCTATCACTGTTATGTATGCTGTGCACAGCTCCTTGTTTTGGAGATTTGACATCTTCGTGACTTGGACCCTCGATATCTCGAACCATACCATACCTTATTACCTTACCTATCAAATATAATATCGTGACATCGATCACGTCGTACCGGTTTCCTGTACTTGGTACTTTACTTGTACCACTGCTGCACGCCGTTCTTCGTATCCCATCCCACCGTTGCCTGCTCCCTTCGTTCGGTGCAACGCGTGGAAGATCGTGGCTGAGCCGCCCTCTTGTCTTGTCCTCCTCCTCCTCCAGAGCCAGAAAACCGAGTCCATCGTCTGAGAAGGTCGAAACCACCAGTTCAGTGAGGTCCGACAAGCACAAAAAGTATCGCTCCAGCGTTCCACAGGGACCTCTTCTGCAGTGCTTGATGCTCGTCTCGTCATCCACAGCTAGAAACATCGACTGGTGTCGACATTGACTATCGCTCTATCGCGACGACATTGCTTCACGACAGTGCTGCCGTACTTCCTCTGACCTATTCAACGTTCCTTACCTTCCTCTACCATCAACAATTATCGCAGGTCGCGCTGTTCCACCTCTTGCCCAATCCTTCGAGTTGAACTCGCTCACCAGAGTGGCTGGGGTGCCCTGAGGCCATTGGTGCACTGCACTGCACCGCATTCTGCAGGACAGCATAGGATATCGAATCGAATTGCCAACTATTCACAAGACCAGACCAAGTGTACCGTCGCCGTAGCCCCAGAATCGCAAGGTCGCGACGATACTAGGCCTGAGGGTGCAGTAGTATAGAGTAGTTTGGTACTGGTTGACACCATCCCCCCGCCATTGGCTTTCCAGAACCTGATCCAAGTCTGGCCCTCCACACCACCTCAACCCCATCTCGTCGCCGCCTCTGCCAACTTCATAAACCACCTCAACTTCGACCACGATCTTCACCTTCGTCGATTTATTGACGACGAGGTGCCACTCTCGTTATCTAGTACCTACGGATCCGGGTCTGCGAGATCAATGCGAGCGGAAAAAGGCGACGATACCGAATCCCTCTCATGCGAAATCCCCTCGAGTAGAAGATTACCTCATTCCAACGAAATATTGAAATACTGCCTTGCGCATTGAGAGATCGCAACTTCTTTCTGAAGGCCGCGTCTTGAAGACGCCGGCACAAATACTCCTGTTCAAACACCCGTTTTCCCGATCACAAAATGTTGAGACCAGCGACACCATTGACGATCTTGCTGTTCGCAGCGTTCTTCTTGCTCCTCATATCCGTTCTCTCGACGCCAATTATTAAACAAATTCCCTTGGCTTCGTTTGGAGGAGTTGATTTTGGTGTGTTTGGATATTGTCAGGGTACAAAATGTACCAGTATAGAGATTGGATACAATACCGGTCAGTGATCATAGCGGGTGGTTGTGGATAGCTCCACGGATACCTGCATGAGCAAGTGGATCTGATACTGACTTTCATAGCAACTTTATACAACAAGGAACAAACAGACAGTTTCGACCTGCCAACTGAGACCAGAGCAACTCTCTCGGCCATTCTTATTGTCCACCCCATCGCAGCACTATTCACCCTCGTCATGGCCATCATGGCTGCAGCTGCACACTTCCACGCGCCTTCACATTCTCCACGATATCTACTCGGGATCTTCATCCTTAGTATTCTGACCTTGATCACATCTCTTCTGTCATTTTTGATTGATGTTCTGCTCTTTGTCCCACACATGGCATGGGGATCTTACATTGTTTTAGCAGCCACCATTCTAATCGCTGCTAGTGGTATTGTATCCTGTGCAATGAGGAGAACGTTGGTCAGCCGAAAAGCAAGGAAGCGCCGAATTGCAGAGAATGCAGAGATGAATGGGGAGAATTTCTATAATCGACAAGGACCGCCTCCGGCGCCAGCACCTCCCGGCACTACTTTGGTTGGAAGTGAGTCTGCCGTCGACAAGCTGCCTGCTTTCGCTACATTTGATATGGCGAAGAAGGATCCAGAAAGGACGAGTGATGAGAGGATCCCCTTGACAACCAGGACTCCATCTGAGACCTCACCCAATGGTAATGGAGCTGCAGCTATGGGAGGAGTCGACAGATATGGAGCACCTCCAAGAATGGGAGAAGCTCCACTGCGTGATCAATATGGCAATATCATTCCACGACCAGGAGGTTATGGGGGAAGGAGTAGAGATCCATCAGCAGACCCATCTTTGAATCGTCAATACTCAGACCATTCGATGAACTCGAGAGGTAGAGGGGGCCCTGGTGGTTATAGGGGAGGACCAAGAGGTGGTTATGGGAATGGACGTGGTGGACCACCAAGGGGAGGTTACGGACCACCTCGTGGTGGGGGCTATGGAGGTCCTTACAGAGATCAGATGGGTCCACCTGGTCCAATGGGCGGTGCTATGATGAGAGGAGGAAGGGGAGGTGCACCTCCAGCCTACGGAAGAGGTGGCTATGATAACAGAGGGCCACCAAATGGGTATGGCCAGAGGAGACCTCAGCCTGGAGGATACGATCCATATGCGCCTCCAGCGCAAGGAGAGTATGCGGCATACAACCCAGATGATTCTAGAAGTAGTCTTCCTCGAGCTGAATCACCACCACCACTGCCAGGACTTGACACCGATGGTCCTGTTGGGCAAGCCATAGAAATGGATGCTACGACCGGCAGTCCCTCAACTGCTCCAAGAGGGTTTGGGCAGTTTGGCAACATCAGAGAGAGTGACGGAGATGTAGCTGGAATGGTTGGACTCCAACAGCAACGGTTACAGCAGCAGCGTCAAACTGTTGACAGTGACGTGAGCAGATATAGCACTGAGGAGTAAGTTGTTCCGTCATTCATGTTTTCCAGAAACTAACAAATCCAGGGCATATGTTCCCCCACGACAAGCGTGGGGAGAAGCCGGTCGTTCATCTCCGTTGAACCCAAACTCACAGCCTGCTGAGTTGCCAAGTCCTTCGGGAGCAGCTCACAGACGTATAAGTTCGGCTGGAGACAACTACTATGAAGATGTGGATCCTAGATTCGCTACAGAAGAGCAAGCAACAGCACATACGGCAGTTCCAGGTATGGCATCAGGCTACCCTCAAAGGAATCCTTCCAACCAGAACCAGAATCTTCGACCCATCCAGCCCGTCAGTAATCTGGATGGTAGCAACTCCTACGAAGACCTCCAGTCGGGATCACGTAGTCCTGCAGAATCAGACCGCTCGAACTTCACCTCAGTATCACAGCGAGGAGTCAACCCTAGATGGAACGGTGGACCGGGTTACGCACCAATGCCAACCAGACGACCCGCACCTCAGCAAAACGATATCCTCCTCAACTCAAACCCCGACTTCCAATTACCTAGTGGTCGTGGTCGAGGAGGATTTCCTAGAGGAGGTCGACCAAGTCCAGGACCAGGAATGGTACCAAATAGCGCGTACCCCACAACCAACGGCATGTAGACACATCTGAATACGACGATGAAACTTTTCACCATTCAATCATCACACACCACTTTTAGAATCTTGTCAAATACCCACTCCGACATGAGTACGAACAAAAATATCCGCAACGTAATATACTCCGCCAATCGCGTAAATACTTCGACTCCTCGTTTCCTTTTTTTTATTTACCTGTTCTCTTCGTCCATATGCCACGATTCGTTAGAATATTCCGCGGATGGATAGTTTTGACGTCGATCTTCAGTCAAATATCGGCCCAGGCGGTTCCAGGCGTTCAGGTGTCATGTCTTTTGGCTCAATGCTTGCATACACACGAAAACATGAAATGATTCGATGTATCCATCGCCGGCCAGCAAATACCGACATTGAAGCCAGGTCACTTGGCTAGCTAGCAATCTTTCACCATCGTCGCAGGCTTGTATATGTACATACAATATGGAAACGATACACGCACCAGTGCAATCAATTTTCAACTCTGTTACATTTTCCCAGGTTCGAGTTCTCTGCAGCGGGTCTTGCTAGGTTATTCTAAATAGGGAGGAATGGTGTTCCTCGCAAAACAATGAGATTAAATGAGGTGGGAGGAGGTCTGGGCGTCTCTTTTTTTGTTGGGGGGAGGGAAGTGAGGGAAGAATGGGGATCTTGGCTACAGAGCTTGAGATAATGGAAAAGGATAGGCATGTGTAACAGCTGCAGCACTCTGGTGAGATGAGAGGATTTGGCTGGGATGCGTAGAGAGCAAGTTGAAAACGCCCAGTAATAATGAAGATATTGTAAGACGCCGTGAAGTTCTGTCGGTTTCCTTCTGTGATGAGAGCAGCCCGGATCAAGCTATTTTCATGCCAGTTGCTGGCTCGCTTTTGTAATCCATGATGATGAGAATAGCACTGGAAGAGCTTTGAAGCTATTGAATAACACGGATTTGCGGTACAAAGAGTAGGCTAATTGCAGTTGCTTGATATGTGTATATTCTACGCTAACAATTGCCTTCCAATAATGTGTCTGCTTCACGAGACAGGTAAACAAACGCTCGTTCTTGTCCGCTCTTCTGAATTCAGAAGTCAAATGTATGTCAACTCCTTAAAGTTCTCATGAACTTCATGACGACTCAGCCCACCACACTCCTCTGCTTTTCAATACTAAGGACGGCTTTCGGGGTAGTATAAAACTCGTCATCGTTGCCGCCAATATCCCCACTTCCGTTCTTCGGAGTTGGCTGTGGTTCAGTACTGTCAATTGATGGCTGGGTTGGTTACGTGTGCCCATTTCTAGGGTGTGTCGTTCTTTGCTGGTAATCAATCTTATCTGATAATGTCGAGCCCATCTCCCCATGTGCTGGGTCTAGTGATACAGAGTGGGAACCTGTCTGAAGTGCTGGCTCCGATACTCTCCCGTCCTGTGTTTTATTGCCACTCCCTGGGGGCATATGATAACCAGCAGACCTAAAAGGCATGCCACGTTTTGCACATGACTTCTGATGTCTTTTTCTTGAATCAGAACGATCAAAACTAGCTCCACATATAGCACAGTTGTAGGGTCGCAACCCAAGATCTATACAAATCAGTAATGTTAACAAGATATGGTTTGAAACTCACGCCGCAGATTATGCCGGTTCAAATGCTTTCTTTGCCGATAGGTCTTTGGGCAACTGGGACAATGAATTCTACCATCTGGACCCAAAACAGGTTTGAACGACTTCAATGACTCCGGTGGTTCGTTGAACCCTTGCGATGTGGGTAGGCGTCCTCTCCTACCCTGGGTACCAACAAGCCGAGTGAGGCCTTTCAATTGTGCATAGCATCCGGTCCTGGAAACTACGTCGCGTGTATTACGTAGCTGTGTGGATCCGTAGTGAAGAGGAAGCGGTAGCTGCTGGGTTGATGTGTACGGCCCATCAGGCGTATGAACCTGATGGAATCCTTGAGCATTTTGACTTTGCATATGAGGCACATTGGACGAGAATTGGTTGTAGGATCCAGTGTGTCCCTGAAATGGCTGTTGCACGGGCGTCCCGTACCCATTGATATACGGCGCCATGTTCTGAGCAGGGGCTGGTAAGGAGTTCGTCGAAGTTGGCATCAGTGACGTATCTCGCTGCTGAGGTGGGTAGGCATGGTGACCCTGGACGTGTTGCGGGGGAAGAGGATTAGATCCACCAGAATGAGGTTGCTGGCCATTCGCAAACTGCTGGGGAATATCAGGTATGTTTCCCGGACCATGCCAGTTGCCGAATTGAGGCTGTATGCCATACAACAAGTCTCCTTGCGGCCGTTGGATGTAAGAATCAATCTTCGGCACAGGGTTTCTGCCTAATACCTTCTTCGTGGCTTTTTTGAGCGATTCAGATATCGACTTTCTTCTGTTCTTGAGTTTCTTGAGCGATTCGGAGAACGAGTTCCTCCTTGAAGTATTCTCTGTGTTCGACTTCCTTGATTGCCCATCCGCATCTGTTTGGGCACCCATGGTAGTGTTAATGGCCAAACCCCTCGAAGTCATGGTATTCTTATCACTGGCTTCGTCGGAGCTGGATCTATTCCAGGAGCTCTTGCGCCAGGACTGACAGCTGTTGGGTTGTGATTGCAGGTTCTGTGACGATTGGAGACCGCCCAGGTCCTTGTCAACGTGATGGGGGTTGGCTTTTCGTCTCTGGGGTCGAAGACTGTCAGTAACACATACAGACTGGGATGCTTGGGGAGAAATTAGCCATGTTGAATGTTGCACTGGATTTAACAGGTTGAGAAACTGACTCTGAGATGTCTGTGTGTAAGGATAAAATTCGAGCCAGCACGGAAGGTAGCTTTAATCTGGACGGGAAGCAGCTTTGGATAATGATGTATCGATATGTAAACCGACCCAGCGCGAGGGAATATGATGCTGTTATGAGTAGCATTATTTTTGGAGCCTCGAGATAGAGCACAGGTGAGGGGCCTGCTTTCGTCCATTTTGGAAGGAGCGGCTTGATCAATCTAACCTCGCTTACGAGGCATCGCATGGAGAAAGCGGTAGGGTTGATCCCATACACAGAATCCTCCCTGATCGCTGAATTAATTGCTGATCAAATTGGCAGTTCCTCAGGTTGTATATGCTCGATCATGTAGTAAGGGCCTTCTCTCTCCGGCCTCTTCGTCCACCGCAGTTACAACAATCGATATCCCACATCCATGGCTTCTTTGAAAATTCCATGCCATGACCAGACCGAGAATAAAAGGGACACTAAACATTGTCAACATTTGCTCTGATTTGAGGAGTTTCGAGCTTACCTGGCGATTAGGGTGAGCCCAATGATCCCAGTGAGCATAGTGTTGACATTGTTGACATCTCGCTTCTTCCAGGCTAAGCCGTACAGCTCAACCGAGAGGAGGGTGGTAATGAACAGAGCTATCTTGACAACCTGTGAATTTCGGTAAAGATCTGGGTTTAAGTTTTGGCGAATGATGAAAACTGCTTCATTGCCGATGGCGACGAGAATGAGAAAGAAGAAAATAAGGATTGTGAGGTATGATCTAGTATCGTCCGTTAGTATGAGAATGGAACTGTCAAGAGTGCATACGGTCCCAGCACCCCTAAATCCCCTTTAAAGGCCCTACTAGCGACAAGAAAGGTTACAGCGTAAACATATACAGATATCGTGATGAACTGGACAACCAATAGAATGATATGGAGAGGGCTGTTCATTGACGGAAGTCGATTGCTGACCCCTGAGCGAGGCATTATGAGCACTATGAGAAAAGATGAACTGCTTTGTATCACACGAAGCTGAAATTGAAACAGAAAAGAAAACGCTTCAAAAACAATTTGTACTTAGCGTAACAAGGGATGCCCAAGTTGATATTCTTTTTGGAGATTCATGTCACCCTACCAAGCAAGGAGTTTTCTTGCGCAGCGAGGCTTAGGCATTGAGGCGAAATGCTGGTGAACAGCTCTTCCCTGTCCCACAATCCAACGACCACACAACTACAAGATGTTCTCATCATCACACGGCCCCGCTCGATTCGGATCTGAGATTAAGCATGATGGGCGTTCGAGAAGCAATTTTGCATTGAGACACAGAACTCAAAACAAAGCTTGGGTCACGTGGTCTGTATCAAACAAAGTGGTCTGGGATGGCTGGACCCACGGCCAAGGCTCATCGTGATCGTTTCCTGTTTTCCCCGCACTCCCCGGGCGAGAAATTGTTGGTGATCTCGAAATACCGTTCAAGCGCCTTCTTGGTGTTGATGTTGTGATCTGATCGTGGAGGCTCTGAGTCTCTTGGATGTTTGGCCGGAGATAATTCAGATTCAGGAACCAGGAACCAGAAAAGGAGAGATGCAGCCAAGGATCCAAAGTGGATTTTACCCATTTTACCCCTGAGTTGCCCTGAAGTGACAGGGAGGTGCTAGGCTCGATTTGGCCCATCTCCAGAAAATGCTCCATCAGGCGCTGAGTGCTGTATGAGTGAGGTGAGAGTCGGAATCGAATGGATGCAAACAAAAGAATGGAATCCGCGAGCATCGTCGGTTGCGGGGATGAAATGCTGTGCATCTATATGGCCCTGTATAATCCGTGCAGTTGGCTGCAACTATATGTATATGTACAGTACCGATATGTACAGCCTCGCCAGAAGAAATCAATTCACGATACTGTTCGGAGGTAATGCTGCTGTTAAGTTAGATGCCGTCCCAGGTATCCACTCCACTCCACATGCACAGAGTTGGGTCCCGGACTCCCGGTCGTGCATCGCAGTAGTAAATTACAGTGCAGCGCAGTGTTGAAAAATACTGGCAGCAGGGCACGGCAGGGTACGGTAAGTTAGGGATTCAATTCAGCAGCCCCTTATTTGCGCGTGAACGAACCTGAATCTGCCTCTGACTTCTGGCCACCCAGACCGCAGACTGGGCTACCTTCCTACCTACCTACCTACCTACCTACCTACCTACCTACCTACTTGGACTAGAGGCCAGGACTGGACGGACTACTGAATCTGCATTGCTTTATTGAACATTGAACAGACTATTTCATCGTCACCTCCACCTCCACCTCCACCTCCACCTCCACCTCCACCTCCACCTTCACCTTCACTTCTTGCCTGCCAAACGACTTCTCCTCACTTCACTCTTTCTCTCCTGAACCCATTCTTTCGCACATTGACATACTGTGCTCTTTGCTTCACCTTCACTTCCCTTCCCTTCCCTTCCCTTCCCTTCCCTTCCCTTCCCTTCCCTTCCCTTCCATTATTCCGTCCGCCTGGGGCTGCATTGTAAAGCCATAGCAATTCGCTCCGCCGGCTGGTCCCCTCCCCTCCCCTCCTTTCCGGCTACGACTAAGCACTGCGCCAGCTATCTCGTTAGCTACATCAAACGCTTCTGGCTTTGTCTGATCGCGAGCGACCTTAAGCCCTACGACGTCGACTACATTATTGCCTCGGCCTCAATAGCTACGATACAGCGCAATTCGTACACAGCTCGGCTGCTCCAATTTCATACTTTCGCGCCTCGAGCTCCTGGCCCAGCTCCTGATCCGAAACATCCTCCTTGTACCCCCAGCTCCTTCGCAGATCGACCAACGAAGTTTCGAGACAATCGCCTTTCACCGGTCTGCAAACGCGCCCCTTCTGCCCGCAGACTCGAGATACTCAATTCACCTTTGCCTCCCTTCCTCCTTCCTTCCCTCGACCGATATAAAGCCCGAACCGCAGGTTTCGATTCCACTGCAAATTAGGGGAGACAAAGTCACGGCACGATCCCTGCCACTTTCGAGACTCCTCCGTATCCAGTCAGCATGGTTTCCTCATCGCGACCACGAACACCAAGTGCGAGCCAGTCTCCACCTTCCGCAGACAAGTTGGCGGCAATTCCAGAGGCCTCGAAATCACATCCTCCCCGTCGCTCCTCCCTCGGCCTCCTCCTGCGCAGATCCAAGTCCGGCGAGTTCAAACCAAGCAAGAAGCAGCAAGCGATCCTGAAGGAACAAGAACTCGAGAGACAGCGCAAGGAATTAGCCGCCATCCCGAAATCACCTCCTCGTCTTCCAGATCTCTACAACGGTCAGAAGCCAGCAATCCTTCCATTCGGCGGCGAGGACCGTCCCGACTCGGTTGCAATTATATCAAACAGATCCGGTGCTTATCAGAACGCTCGCGTGTCGATGGATCCCCCACGCACCTCGATGACGGTTGGTAGCGTTCCAATTCCTCCCATTCCATCTAGCGGTAGTCGAAATGGCGATTGGGTGGATCCTTATGCTCGTACGGAGAGCATGACCCATCGTGGGAGATACAGCTACGCAAGTAGCGCCGTTAGCACAATCAACAGTCCTCGTAGAGTTAGGAGACGGAAGGATCCAACACCGTTCAAGTAAGTTTTGCGTTACTTTTCGAAGAATGGGAATTGACTTTACTTAGCATCTTGATAATCGGTGCGCGCTCATCCGGAAAGACCTCGTTTCTTGAATTCCTCAAGACGTCTTTAGCTCTCCCACCAAAGAAGAGGTCCAATCGTCCAACCGAACTTGCAGATGACATATTCGCTCCTCAGAACACCAAGAACGGAAATTTCGAATCTCATTACCTGGAGACGGAAATTGATGGCGAACGTATTGGTCTTACCTTGTGGGACTCGGAAGGTCTGGAGAAGAACGTAGTTGATCTGCAGCTTCGGGAGATGTCTTCTTTCCTTGAGAGCAAATTCGAGGAGACTTTCACCGAGGAGATGAAAGTTGTCCGAGCACCCGGTGTTCAGGATACCCATATCCATTGCGCTTTCCTCTTGCTCGATCCGCTTCGTTTGGACAGGAATATTGCAGCATCCAAGGCTGCGGCAATGAACGGCAATGGACATACTACGAATGGAAAGTACAACTCTTCTCCTCGGATTGTCGGCGGTCTCGATGAAGACCTTGATTTGCAAGTTCTGCGCTCATTGCAAGGCAAGACGACGGTTGTTCCAGTCATCTCCAAGGCGGATACCATTACCACAGCTCACATGAGCCATCTCAAGAAGACCGTTTGGGACAGCTTGCGAAAGGCAAATCTGGACCCCCTCGAGGCCCTTGGACTTGATGATTTCGACCCCGATAGCCCAACTAGAGATGTAAACCGAATCGACGAAGGAGACGAAGATGAGGAGTCCGATAAGAACTCTGGCGACGATCTTCCAATTCAGCACCAAGATGTCACCACATCTCCAAAATCCAACAGACTCTCGACAGGTTCAGTCCGCCGTCATAAAGGCGATGAGTCCGAGTCTCAGGAGATTCCATATCTTCCACTTTCGATCATCAGTCCGGATATTTACGAGCCTGGAGTGATTGGACGAAAGTTCCCATGGGGATTCGCAGATCCAATGGATGTAGAACATTGTGATTTCGTCAGATTGAAGGAGGCTGTATTCAGCGAGTGGAGAGGAGAATTGAGAGAAGCGAGTCGAGAGCTTTGGTATGAAGGATGGAGAACGAGCAGACTCAAGCACCGCGAGGTGAGACGATAATCTGTCCTACTGAGCATGTCTTACAAGCCGGAGGCTTGCTCTTGGAACGGCCTATCCATGATACCGGAGACATGGCGATTAATTTCGGTTGTGATACTCATTTTTCTTTTGTTGATCGATTGCATACCCCTTACTTCGTCGACGCATGCTTTGTACTACTTCCCCACAATGCGTATCAAGGATGAGAGGAATACCTCCACAGTGGAATTCCTAGACATGAGATGTGCGATAGCGTTTGTGCAGATAGCGTTTTGAATTTCGATTCTATTGCGCTGGGCGCGACATTTTTACAACTCTTTTGATGGAAAACCTCACTGGAAGTTTCGATAAGGAACTCATGAAAACCTATTTGGGGGAGGAAATATTGATCTCGTGGAGAACCTCACTGGAAGTTTCGATAAGGAACTCATGAAAACCTATTTGGGGGAGGAAATATTGATCTCGTGGAGATGGATCATCCAATACCTTTTGTCTTCTTGAACCAAGATTGTCACGTAGCGCTGACTACTGTATGTTTGTGTTTTGATGAATCAGAAGCTTTTTTTTTTCCGCCTACCTCTTGAGCAAATGGCTTGACTTTTAGGCCGGATCGTTTACTGATTAAATGGTGGAATTTATCATGTTGTCGAGATTAATTTCTTTGATCCGAGGCGAAGTGACTGAAATCCTTCTACTCTTCTTTTGCTCTTGCCCCTGTGTAGTCCGGCTGCTTCTCACTCATACTAACCCTTTCCCTCGAGTCATACGATTAACTCTCCCAGGCGCTCCCTGTTTCCTCAACGTCCTCTTCTTCTTTTCATTGACCAACTCATCATCATCCTCATCGACGAGTATTCTCCTAGATCTACCCTTCTCCTTTCCTGTAAGAGGCACCTCCCGCTCCCTCCTTCTCACCACTCCTCCTCTCCCATCAACAAACCCCTCCCACTCCGTGATAGCAGCAACCGCGGCCTCACACAGAACACAACTAACCCGCCAACAATAATACATCAACACTCCACAGAACATCCACAACAGTATCCTCCCCACCTCACCAACCTCCCTGCTCTCACTCGTACTCGCTCTCTCATCAGATCCAGCACAAACCTTCTCAGACCCAACATCGTCCTCTTGCTTCCCAAGCAACACCACACCAAGCACCACTACGAACGCCGCACCGATCCACGTCATCCACGACCGTCCTACATTTCCATCCTCAATCGTCGACGACGGAGAAAGCGTGAGAATGTCTGAGTTGGCATAAGCACTCACTTGAGTCGGACTGTGCGGCGTGTTTGGCGGTACGTGGATGAATGGAGGAGACCCAGGTGTGGTTGAACCGACGCTCAGGCGTCGCCACACGGTCTCGAACAGAGAGATGTTTGGTAGGCGTTCTTGCTCGAGTTGAGCAGCCCGGACTCGGGGTTGGGGATTGACTCCATAGGTTTGGACTTGGTGTCGTTGCGAGCGTTGCTGGTCTTGTTCCCTTTTCTCTCGTCGTCGCAGGTCCTGGGAGTGTTGGGCGAGGAGGGGGCTGGGACGGTTCATTTTGGGATGATGCAGTTAACGATACAAATTTGTTGATCGTTCCGAGCTGTTCCTTAATATTCACAGGGCTCGGGAAATTGTAGTTGTAGTGAAGGGAATTTCCCATGTATGTGGAGGGTGCGCAGTTGCATCGAGACCACAAGGAGACATAGGCTTGAATATTTGGGCTCGCGTTTGGAGCTTGAAGTGGTAGAATTGAATGCGGTTCTTTGTTCTTCTGTTGTCTTTGTTGACATACTCGGTTACGGGCGCCTTCGACGAAAACGTTTACCTTGCAGGAGGCGAAAATTCTCGAGGTTTGCACTTGGTACCTCGCGATAGCTGCAGTTTCTGAGATATGAATGTGCTTGATCAAGATTTGAAGCCACTCGACATTCATTGTAGCTCATGGGCTTGCAGAATGGCATTGTCTCGATATATACCGCTGTCGTTGTATCCGGATGCAGAGCTACCTCTCTTTCTGCTGCACGCGACGCGATGCCCTTTTTCCGATCCCGGCCAACAACACTTCAACACCTGGACCAATAACGGCCTTGAACTGATTTCCTCCGAGCTGGAAACGTTTGGATTTTCGTTGAGGGGTATGCTGTTCTCAGAAAACTCAAGCAGATTTCTTTGTCTTGGACCCTGATTTTGATTGCCGATCCATCTTGGCAATGATGGGGGCATCAACCCTTCATCTCTATCAAATTGAGGTCGCCCATGAGGATATTTGGCGAAACAGCAGTAAGGATTATCGGATACCGAAGTCATGAGAATTCTATAGCTTGTTCCGGGTCTAAAACAAAGCCACCCTCCGCACCCTCCGCACCCTCAGCGCCTTCGTTACTTGGCTGACACTGAACGGTTCGCGACTAAGTCACTCCCAAGCTGTCCAAAACAATTATTTGCGTCTAACATGATGAGGCCTGCTTCTGAATTGATTGCCAAGAGAAATCGTTTCATTTCGTAATCGCTGAACATCTACGCAAACTCAATTTTATATCCGAGCCTACCTAAAGTCCCTATAACCCAAATGCATGCTGAACCTCATTTACCATACACCTGCCCGCTCGATTACAACTCCTTCTTCGACTCCTTACCCACTGTCGGTGCGGCCTAAGGAGATATTAGCGAACGAATTCTCAAGTACGTTGACAAAGACATACCTTTGCAATGAAACTCTTGCCAATAGCAATAGTCTCCACCTGACCTCGCTGTCTGCCCCAAAACCTCTCTTCTGGAGTACCGTGACCCCTAAGAGTCGATTGCCTGGCCTCCTCTTCCATTGTACTTCTACTAATCTTCTCGCCAGCTGCAATTCCACCAGCAGCCGCATAATCAGCTTTCTCTCTTCCTAGACTCTCCTCGAGGTATTTCCTACATCAATTAGTCACGGTTCAATTGATGGGAGGGACAACTGACTTTCGGATAAGATATCTCTCCGACCGTTCCTTCTGCAAGCCTGGGCTATCGAGCTTACTCAGAGCTTTACGGACACCAAGTTGTACAGCGAGGAAGATATGTTCGGAGAAGAACATTGTCAAGAGGAGACCCCAAACTTTGATATCCCAGGGAGTTCCCGATGGACCAAGACCGTCTCCACTGAAAAGATAGACAAGGGCTGCAGATGTCAAACTTCCAAGCCAAGCCAGAAATCCAAGTGCATCCAACCATGGGCCGATGGAATCTCCTCTCCATGGCACAGGTCGCTGAGTCTCCAAGGCGATTTTCAAGGCATCCCCACGAAGCTCGATCCAGTTGTTGATGAAGAACGAAACGCCTGTCAATGGCCAAACAACCGAGAAGAGTGACAAGTAACCTTATTCTGTCAGCAAATGCAATTGATCCAGTGGTAGATGGTTTACCAAATTGAACGACCATCTCTCTGAAATCAGTTGTGACGTCGTAAACGTCTAGCTCTGCCTCATTTCTCACGCGTGTCAAAAATTCTGCCTCCTCCGGGTGATCATCCATGGAAACATTTCCAGCATCACCTCCACGTTTAGCTGCTCGATCTGCTTGTACTTCCTTCACCTTGTGGAAGACTTTCCTCTTGGCAAACGGAACAATAACTTCAAGAGCAAAGCTAACAATTTGAGCTGTTACTGTAAAGTAGATGACCTGTTTCTTGAGCCTGTCGGGATTGATTTGGAAGCCAGATTGTGGCGTAGACATTTGCTTCTCATTTTCAGCAAAGGGCTTTACAGCCAGTTGGAACACGTCAAGATATGGGACAATGATTTGTGCAAATGGCACATAGACAAAGGCTGTAAGAAAGATGGGAAGGTATGAAGTGATGAAGTTCAAGATAAAGATCTTCGAGATCATAGCAGCTTCGTATGCTGCAAACTGTTAGTGGTGTTGGATCGAGTTGGGGAGCACTTACCATCCTGTGTCTCGTAGTTCTCAACATCGGTTAGTCTAGAAGCAAACCCCGTCAACAGGGTAGATAAAGTAGGCATCACAGTTGTGAGGATCACTGTTGGCAGGAAAACCTAAAACGGTCAGAGTGGCTTTGAGCATGCCAGAGAGTAGACCTACCAGATAAGCTTTGAAAGGACCATCATAGACTTCCGAAATGAAAATCTCAATTCCGAAGCAGGTTGCGATCAAACTTCCAAGTGCCAGAGCTGCAGCAATAGCGAATGGTACCTGAAGTAGTTGTCTTGCAAGTCTTTTCGCTGGTGAGTATATCTTAACGTCCTCTCCTGTGATTGGATCTCTCATGATATTCTCATGCTGGAAGGCAGGGCGTTTCCGTTGAATCTTGGAGACCCCCCGGACACCCCATTGGACTGCAAGATCAGTCTCCTGTTTCTTCCAATATTCGACAAAGACAATGCACCATAATCCGTTGATAATTGCATATACCGGCGAGAACTGTCCGAGTACGAGCCACGAGAATGCTCCAAATCCTGCGGGAAATGTGAGGAAGAGGAAGTAGGATTGCAGGAAAGAGAAGTAGAATGCGATTCTCTCGCCGAACTTGTCCTTGATTGCCACCAAGTCCCGAGCATTGAGGAAGTATTTCGACGAGATATCCTTGATCCATGCCTTGTTAAACGTGCGGTCGTGTAGAGCGAATATGGACTCCACTCCTTTCCATTCTCCCTCTTTCGGTGTGATTCCAGCTCCCCCATCGCTTGTTGACTTTGTGATCAGCAGGTATGTGAGTCGCAGACGTTCGGCTTCGGTAATAGGTTCATCGTCTATTGCCTTTTGCATCTCCTTCTCCGGGGCAGCACTTCGTACTCCATAAAGCCAATCTTGAACCCTGGATCGATAGACCTCTGCCCTCAGGTGCTTATCGGAAGCAACTTTGACGAATATCAACAGGGAGCAATTCTCGCTGTTTCGAACTTCGGTGGCTAGGCCAACATCGTTGAGGGCTTGAATCAATTTTATGAATTGCTCTTCCGCTTGGAGTTTGCCTGCAGATCGTTAGAGACGTATTCAGAGAGTAATCCGTGACAAGCACACCTGTTGTTGCAAAGCGGTAATTGATCACATAGTCAACACTGGTCCAGTTAGTCTTGTTTTCACATGTGGAATCCAAGGGCATACTCTAGGTTGGTGTGCAAAGCATTGCCCGTCTTGGAATTGGGCTCGTAGAGACTCTTGACAGTAGCCATGACTCCTTCCCAGATCACGGATGCGGTTTCAAGAGTAAAAGATGTTGGAAATGCAGGCGGGGGAAGAGGAAGAGGGGGGAGGAAGTAGAGGTCAAAGAAGTTGGCATTCTACTGCCGTGGGACAGCAGGGCAATGGAAGGCTGGCGTGCTGGCTTCTGGCTTCTGGCTTCTGGCGGCATTGGACTGGATTCCAGTCCAGTGGCATGACGTCGAAACGAGCAGTGGTTCAGGGAAGCTGATCCCTGCGGTTGATCTTCCCCGCCCAAGCGATGGGACGGAATAATAATGGATCGAATGGGATGTCGCTGCAACCTTGCCCTGCGACCATGCCTTGATGCCGTCGTCACAGAGGACACTTCTCCCACCGACCTTCAATATCCAGCTTCAATGACGGCTTCAAGATCAAGGCATCTTGCTGCCGAATGCTTGCATAGCCAACACCGGTAATTGCCCACCTTGGGGGACCTACCCCTCCAGCATGTCCCAATCAACAGTCCGACCTCCAAAGCCTGCGCAGTGGCCCTGGTCTCGACGCAGAAGCGCTTTCGACCCGCCGACCATCCTCGATAACTTCCTCGACTCGCCTCTACGATATCTTGTATCTACAATCTATGCCATCCTCCTGAGCCTTCGCGGCGCCTCGTTCAAACCCCGCAAAGACAAGCCTAGAGTGAAGGTTGTCTGCATCTCGGATACTCATACCAATACTCAAGATATCCCGAATGGAGATGTGTTGATACATGCTGGAGACTTGACAAATGCGGGTACGGTCAAAGAAATACAAGCACAGTTGGACTGGCTGGCTGGCTTGCCTCACAGGGAGAAGATATTGATTGCGGGAAACCATGATAGTTATTTTGATCCCAAATCAAGAAGGGACGAGGACAAAGGGAAGAAGCTGAACTTTGGGTCTCTTCATTACCTTGAGAATAAGGCCATTACTTTGAAGTTCAAAGGTGGACGAAAGCTCAACTTCTATGGAGCTCCAGATATTCCTAAATGCGGTGGTAGTGATATGGCGTGAGTGAGCTCTTCGCTGGCAACACATCTGGCTGACAGGGTAGATTCCAATATGATCGTTCATCGGATCCTTGGGATAATCGGATTCCTATAGAAACAGACGTTCTAATTACCCACACCCCTCCACGCTATCATCTCGACCTCAACCTCGGATGTGCCGGCTTGCTCAAGGAGATCTGGCGTGTCAAACCACGGCTTCACGTCTTTGGACATGTACACTCGGGACATGGCCGAGAAGCCGTTTTCTGGGACGAGGGACAAGCTGCATACGAGAGGCTGATGGATAGGAAGAAGGGCGGAATACTTATAGATGTATTGCCGAGCCCTGCTTGGTGGGATGCTTTGATGGTTGTTTATTATGGGTTCAAGGGTATTCTTTGGCAAAGGCTAATGGTTGGACCAAAAGGCGGGAATGGTGGCTTGATGATTAATGCTGCTCTTGTATACCAGAGTACGGTCGATTTGGGAAACAGCCCTGAAGTTGTAGAGTTATAATTTGCTTGCAGAGAATGATTGACAGCTTTTCACAAAGTCACAAGAAGATTCAAGAGCAAAGCTGGTCAAACATCCATTGATTTCTGATTCTAAGGGAGCTGGTAGCGGCAAGGACCAAGTTTCTCCTGGTACATGATGTATCTATTTAACCCCGGGACTTCCTGATTCATTCGGAGGTACAAAAAGTGGAAGAAATAAAATTTACAATGGCACAGTAACTTGTCACTTGTTGGTAGGATCTCTCGTCAAAGGATCGTTCACTTCCAGGGGCATTGTTTATTTTCGGTAAAGATAAGTCTTGGAAGTCACGTTGCTTCAGAATCCGAAGCTTCTGGGCGGACGATAGGCCACAAAACACGATCTAATGAAAGGTGGGATTTCAAACCCCACTCTCGGCGAACGTTGGGGAAGCTGGAGACCGTTTGACCAATCCTCCCCGTTCCTCCGTTTAGAATTGAGGGACTGTGGATTTGACATTGAACAAGGCTTATCTTCTCGTAGACTTCATCTGCTAACGATCAAAATGACTGCGACAACTATCTCCGCTGCGGAGGTCAACCATCACAGGTCAGACGACAATGCCTGGATCGTCCTCAACGGTGTCGTATGGGACGTTTCTGGGTTTGCTGCCAAGCATCCTGGTGGAGCAAAAGTGATCCAAGAGCATTATGGGCTTGATGGAAGTGAAGCTTACAACGAGATCCATGGCCCAGGTGTGGTTTCCAGTTTCCTCGGGCCAGCCAAGCGAGTAGGAGAGGTCACCGAAGGGACAATTCCAAAACCAATCCCCAAACCACTTTCTGAAGACCAATTTGATCAGCCAAAGCCACAGAGACCAGATTTAAATTCAATTGTCAACATAACTCAATTCGAAGCTGTTGCTGAGGCAAATCTTCCAACGAGAGCATGGGGTTATATCTTCGGAGCAACTGAAGACGGTGTAACTCATAATGCGAATTTGGATTGGTACAAGCGGATTATGTTTCGCCCCAGGATTTTGAGAGCCGTTGGTACAGTCAATACCAGCACTCGAATAATGGGGCAGAAATACGACCTCCCTTTCTTTATTGCACCAACATCATCACTGAAGCTTTCCCATCCGGATGGTGAACTTGCAACGACGAGAGCATCAGTCGCCAATGGCGTAGCTCCCATTGTCCAGACATTAGGGTCGTATTCATTTCCAGAGATAATGGAGGCGATGCCTGATGGTCACCCATTCTTCTTCCAGCTTTACTTTTACACAGACCGCGTTGAAACAGCACGACTGCTAAAAGAAGTTAGCAAGCACAAACCGCAAGCCATCTTGTTTACCGTTGATCTGCCAGTCATCAGCAAGCGAGAAGCTCCTGTACGACAATCTCACACGTCTAACAGCGGAAGCCCTCCTCAAGCTGAACTGGCTCCGCCACCTGGAACCAATCCAATGGACTCTAATATAGACTGGGATTATATCGCGTGGATCCAAAAGCACAGTGGGGCACCAGTTTTTCTCAAGGGTATTCAGTACGTCCCAGGCATGCCTGTTTATTATTCTTTTTCATCGTACCAGAAATTGCGAATTTCCTAAGACATGTTTAGAAGCTTCGTAAGCATCTACAAGGAAATACTAACTTCCCATTGCGTATAGATGCGCAGCTGATGCTCGAAAATCCTATGAGTATGGTTGTGCTGGGATCTATATCTCGAATCATGGAGGCCGTGCTTTGGATACGGCCGTTCCATCCATTCTTGTGCTCCTCGAGATTCAAGCCACTAGCCCGGAGATATTAGAAAAAATGGAAGTTTTCATCGACGGAGGTGTTCGAAGAGGAAGTGATATCTTAAAGGCGATTTGTTTAGGTGCAAGCGGGGTATTAATTGGTCGTCCATTTCTATATTCGTTACAGTATGGCGAACCAGGAGCAAGAAAAGCGTTCAACAGTAAGATCTTTATCCCGTCCAATTCTCCCGCTGACAGGATCCTAGTTCTCCGTGAAGAGCTTGAGATTGCAATGCAACTTGTTGGCATAACGAGCCTAGATCAGGCGCATCCTGGTCTGCTAAACACTGCGGACATTGATACCTATGTTTACCGCGGGGATGATCATCCGTGGGCGCGGAAAATTGTGCGCAGTAGGCTATAGATTGAACGGACAGGTTGTAGTACTGGTGCGTTGAGGCAAGTCAGCGAGAATGGTGTTGGGATGGTTATGGATCAGCAAGATTTTGCAAATCAGACATCTCAGATGAGTGACATGTCGCATGAAGAATTGGGTACTCTAAGGTCGGAAATCAGCCTGTTACAGTGTTGGTTGTTGTAAGGTTGGCTCATGGTGAGCAACGACGGGGTCAAGCTTGATAAGTAGAAGCTACCCGCCGACACAATATTGGTAGTTTAATGTCTACGGATGTGATCGACCTGTCCGATTTCTATTTTGTGCTTCAACTTTTCCGCCCTAAAAAATGATGTTACTGCTAAGTCCAGTTCGTGTATCAAAGACTGTTAACAGATGAGACCTAGATTCCTCTAAAAATTTAATAGGAGGCTTCGATTCGCTACATTTCAAATAATCAGAACTTTTTGTTGCACATCGTCAAGGGCGACCTCAACCAGTCCTTCGGGATTCCCAGGATTCTGTTGAGTACTATTTGTTCGCTTAATTGGAGAGGGCGGAAGCTTCTGCAGGAAATTCTAAGTGGCGTCTAGATGTGCAACAAACCCAACTATCGGTGCTTATGCCAATCATGTGATGGGCCTGAAATGTTTGTGAATCAATACTCACTTTTACGTCGTGGTCCCTTCTCTTTGACATTGTCGACAAGTTTTGTGTTCATGATAATTATCTGTCATTGTTATTCGAGGAACCCGTTCTTCGGCTCATGGCGCCAAGTCATGTCAGCCGACTGTCTAAGGGTTTTCAGCTTTGAATATAGACCAACAGGGCTGATTCTAGAACTTCTAGTCCAAGCTCTTGCATACGCCTCTTTTCGATCCAGATCTGAGGGCTGCTGATATATCTAGGAGGGAATTCCGGAAAGCTGTTCCAAGAATTTAAGAGTGTCATGACCTAAGGCGATAAACAATAACACATTTCCCGTCAAAAAGAACACAATGCCCAAAGGAAGCTGTTGGTGTAAAGCTGTCAAATATGAATTCTCCGCCGAACCGGCCATGAAGGTAAGACAGCTCAATTGTCTCGATCTTCTCATTAATCCACGGCCCACAGGTTGTCTGCCACTGCCTCTCCTGCCAGAAAATATCCGGATCCGCATTCACAGCCAACATCTTCGTTCCCAAATCCTCTCTCAAAATCACCTCAGGCTCAGAGCACGTGAAGGATTACGTGCAACCTCACGAAACTGGTCTCGCTATCACACTCACATTCTGTGGAAATTGCTCCACCGCAATTTACAAGCATGGCGGAAGCGAAAAATACGAGGATTACTTTGTGATCCAGGCTGGTACTATCGATGCGGAAGAAGGGGATGGTGGTAAGATCATGGGGATCGACATTGTTGTTCCCGATGAGGAGTATTGGACGAAATTTAGGGCTTGCTGGTTAGGTCCTGTGAAGGGTTTGAAGCAATTTGAGGAATTTGCTTGATGCCAAAGACAGGTTTACATGGAGTATTTGTTTCTATCTAAGAATGTTCAACTTGATTATCTAAAGATCCTAGGGACTTGAATATTCCCGGCATTTCTGACTTCAGATTCATTCCTTACAGCTTCCCCGGTCTCTCTTCGCATGTTTCTCATACAATCCCGGCAAAACACCTGCAAGTATCGCCATCTCCTCAGTAGCATGTCTACATAATCCCTCCGGCAAGAATCCCGGTACCGCATTCTTCCTCACCTCCGGATCCGTCACACCCTCGATATCCCCAAGCCAGAACCGACTTCTCATCCGCACCCCAATCTTCTCTTTTTTGATCAAATGGATTAGATGCCCCATGGGAAGTGTTTCCCCAGTCTCGTCATTCCAGTTTGACACCCTCCCACAAACAGCCACCTCATACCCCCGTTTCTCGAACTCCTTCTCCCAGTCATCACCAAAATACAGCGCCGGAGCCAAGAACGAGATTTTCAGTTTAGCGAGATGCCCACCGATGTATTCATGTACGAGATGATGACCTCCGATATAAGTAGAATTGTTATCTCGAGGTCCTTCCCAGGAGGAGTAGACGTGATCAAGAGGATGCCAGAGTTTGTATTGGTCTGTGGTATGGAGCCAGCCGAACCACCATTTGATCATGTCACCCGTGCAGTTGGGCATGTAGGTTGATGCGGCGATATGGTACATGCCATCTGATGTTTGGGCGTAGCCTGTTTCTACCGATGGATAAGGTGCTTCAAGGAGGAGTTTGGCATCTTGGAGGAGAAGGGGGAATGGTGCTGCTTGTGGTGAAGATGTCATTTTGACTTGCAATCATGAGCTCCACAACTGTCTTGGACAATGTATTTGTAGCGTTCCTATGTGTAAATACCTCAAGATACTCTGCAATGTTGAAAGACAACACCGACCTTTGCAATTATATGCCCTCGCTGATTACTAAAAGACGGAGCGGAGTGATGGGCTGGTAACGGGAAGGTTGACGTTTGCAGCCTGTAGACTGACTGCGGGGGTGGGGCGGATGAGGGGTCGAGTGGGGAGCAGATCGCTGAAGTACGCCTGCACGGAGGACACAAACTAGAAAGTGGCTGCTCCGAGATTCAAGGGTTTATTGCTCAAGTGAACGAATTACATCAATTACCCATACAGTCAAACTTGCACCGCCTATGTGCATGATCTTGTAGCTACTCCTAAAGCCAGCTCTCTTACTCCAGTCCCGCCTTCTTCATCAAGTTCGCACTGTGAATCCACATTCTGAATGACTTGCCGTAGAAGTAGAAGATAATGGTCGTCAAGTAAACACCGACATTAATAGACGCAATGGTCATGAAGACAACAACAACCCCAGCAGACGTAATCCAGTCATTGATGAACCAAGTCCAGATCCAAGCAATGAGTGACTTCAAGCAGGAAATAGTGACCATCAATTCGCCAGAGAGCTGGTCTTGTTAGCACCCAAGTCATACACGTGGACGGAAGTGACATACATCTTTGTGACAATCCAGGGAGTAAGCCATGGCAAGCGTTGCTCCCATCTGTGCACCGGCTGAGAGGATTCCGAATCCGACAATGGGCCCTGCCCAGTGGGTGTGTGCGTTATATGTCAAGGACGCAACCAGGGCCCCGAAAAATGTCAGGATGACTGCGATGAGACATGCCGGTAGGCGCATCTCTGGTTCTCGAATGCCACGATTCTTCTTCGTTGCCCAATTGGCGATGTTATCTGCCAGCGGCCCACAAAGATATGTACCGACCAAGGAACCAATAAATGGCGAGATAAAGACCAGACCCTGAGCTCCAGAATTGAAAAGATAAGGACTAGAAGAGTCAGTAAAGTCGACAACAAGAGACTGTAACCTACGGAGGAGCAAAAAGTTGGGCAACAACTGAACCAAGAACCACGTTCCATCCAAGCGACATCCCGTAAACTATGGATGACCACATCACCGTTGGATAAGCCATCAGGACGAAAGGCCGAAGAAATGTTTTCCTCAGACTGACACTATGGTCCACAACAGAACAAAACGCCAGACTCTGGAAGTAAGTTTTCTTCGGAACCTGTGATTGTACCGATACATCATCATGGGAAGTGCCCTCGAAGTGGGGGCTGTCAGCCTTGCCAGCGGTGGCATCATCAGCTTTCTCATCATAGTCGGCTTCAGGTGCTTTGATTTGCGGTCTGCTGCCGATAAATTTGGTCTCCGGCATTGCAAATATCAGGGTGATCTGGTTTATGAAAATGGAGATGGCAACAATGAAGTAGGCCAGCGCATACTCAGTGTTTGTATGATAAAAGCCGAGACAAGTGGGCCGATTTCATTGCCACCCAACACTCCAAGCCCGTAGATGGAGATCTTCTCGCCTCTTTCGTGTAGGTAGAATATGTCAGTGACAGTGCTTGGTACAATTGCCTCGATGGGAGCTTCAAATAGTCCCAGAAAAGCTCGACCAACAATGAACGGCACATATTTTTTTTCAGCAGCAATTGCCAACCAGATGCAAGCGACTCCCATTAGAAGGTTTGAGACGAGATAGACTGGACGTCTACCATACTTGACAGCAAGTGGCCTACATACAAGTCAGTTACATACGGAAACGGGACAATGGGGTTCTCACATCCAAAGGAGATTTCCGAATCCTTGGCAAATTAGAGTAGCACCATTTGCATAGGTTATATATTTAAGCGATGTGCCAAAGAACTCTGACAGCTGAATCATTCCTGTACGAATCAGCTTTGCAGGTTCACCAAAGAATATTTGAACTCACCTCCTGCCATCATCGGCCCGGTAACAGCTCCGTTGAATGCATAGGCGACTCCGTTCATCAGAACTGTCCATTTCCATGGAGTTGACCATCGGAGAGGATCGTTAGGATCGGTAAGTGATGGTTGCGGGACAAGAAGTATGTGGCCATCGCCAGTCTTGGCATGCTGAAGTGTGTGCAGGTATCTACCAGATGTACCTGGTCCGTCATCGTCCATCAAGATTTCAGTGCCAGGTGCGTTAACAAAACTTGGCTCGATGAGGTCTCCGGACTCGGCTCTGTTGTTTAGGTCCATTATGCTGATATGTTGTAGCAGATTGAAAGAATAGTATTATCAACAAACATTCGAGTTCAATCCTGAAGGCCGAAGTACATAGTCGCTTTATGATCGACATATCCTTTGTTGCATTGCGGGGACCGCCCACATTTCTCCCCCACAAACCTACAGTCGCCCGTTCCAAAGTTTATTCATCCAAAGCTCACTAATAGTCGGCGGGCCACCAATCGTCGTAACTCCTCAGTCGGTGGAAGCGGGAGGCCGAGGTAAGCAAAGGGCCGACGTAAATTCAAAAGCAGCGAGCACAAGGTGAAAGACTGGGTTCCGTGACGATAGGATTGAGCCTAAATCGATATTGGGTGGCGCTCATTCGCAATCGAGATCCAGCGATTGAGGACCTTATCCATTTCGTACGACACTCCCCACCTGGAAGATATTGAGTTGAGGTTTATTTGTAGCGAGTTAAGTTCGTACATTAAACTCTTGGTTATGGAGTTAGGCGTTGTACTTGAGTACCTGCAGCTCAAGAAACGATTCATGTCAATGGTAGCAGGATCAGAAACGTTGGCTTGAGCATCCAGATCGCTTCCCCATACACTTTCCCACTTGAATGCTCTTGGGGTGGTGATTGTGGGAAACCCTGCAATAGATCGAGCGCTGTAAATGGTGGAGACGGCAAAGATAGCTGCGGGAATGTCTATGCAAAGAGGAGTTAGCAAGCGCCATGCAAAGATGGGGCAGAACAAAGGTATGGCGATACATACGGATGGCATGAGCTCGACTGAAAGGCATCTTCTCCACGATATCCTGGATAGCTAAAGCATGTATAACAGCCCGCATGCCATTCACACTTTGAGACCACACACCAAGATCAAGCTCACCAACGTCTTGCTTGCTTGTACCATGGAGATTTTGCGGAACATCAAAAACAGCGCATAGCTTCCTGCACATTGACGTTGTTGGTGATGCTAAATCGAGAAATATTGAATGCCATCTGATGAGTAGCTCGAGTTGGTCAACTGAAGGTATCTGGTTCTCCAAGTGCTCTTTATATATTCGAATGAGCGCTGCTGAAATCTCATTTTTTCGTGGAGTTCCGACAGCAATTGCTCCACCGGCTTCTTGGAGATCTGCGGATAGTGACTGTAATCCCTCAAGTATCACTCGCAATGTGAAGTTGGAAAGGTGAAGATTGTCTCGAGAGGGACCAGAGAACAAGATATTGAAAAGTTCTCGAAAAGACATGCGATCATTGCTTGATTTTTGCATCTCTTTGATCCACTCATCAGCAGTAGCCGCATCAAAGGCGGCATCTGATGCAGGCATGAGCAATGGATTAGTAACGTGTCGAGCACACGCAGCGTATCCCGAGAATCTGGTGAAATCGAAATTAGTTCCATCTTTTTCTTCAGTATAAGACAGGTAGAGAAGGAGGCTATTTTTCAGTGCTACTTACTGAGATATGTGCCCATCTAAGACATAGTGACCCAAAACTCCCCGATTCTGTACTTCTCGTGCTGCCCACAGTTTCCAGGCTTCGATCTTGTCTTCTTCTGCCGCTGATAGAGCTGGTACAAGGATTGCAGATCGATCAACATTGAACATCCCACACTGCCTGGCCCAATAGAAGCCAAGGCCATGGAACGTCTGACTTGTCATACGTAGACTTTCATTTTTGGACATGAGTGCACTGTGGTGGTCAGTGATGGTCTTTTAGCAGATATATATCAGAGGCAATCTAAGATCTTAAAATGTCTGAAGTGTAACAGAACCCAGAGAGCACTTACTAGGTTTGACCAAGTACTGCTGTAAGTACCAATTGAACACCTTCACACGTGTCTCTTGGCCCCCTTGTAGCCATCAAGTGCTTCCAATTTGTTGCAACAGCAATATGTGCCAATCTCCACAAAGCCTCGCCTTTCGGCACAGCATCTTTTGCTCCGACAAATAGAGAGCCGAGAGCCATGATATTCAGCAAAAGTGGATGGCTGGACTCCTTGACTACAAATGTTGCTTTATGTAACACTGGAAAGGAAGGTATGAATTTGTCAAAGAAAACATGCATGCATGTGTCCAGAAACGAAGAAGTAATCCCCGTATTCATGATCTCCGAGGTCAAATTCGAAGAGAGAACGGATATGAGTCTGCTCATCTGCTGCATGGCTTGATGACCCTGACCACTTTGACTGTCATCGTCGAGAGGAGGCAGTACTGACCCAGGACTATCAAAATTTGCTTGGAACTGAGTGACAGGGAGAGTGACAGGCCAGGTACTGCTGAGATCTGAGGTCAAGAACGCGAGCATGTCATCAGTGTCAGACCATGTTGGGAACGGAATGCTACTAGATGGTTGGAATTGCTGCTGGGCACCAAGATAGGACTCGTTTGGTAGTAGTTGACCGTCTGCTGATGCCGCTGGGCTAAACTCGGTCATGGTCATGTCGCTTCCAGCTTGACCGTTTGATGGAGATTGTATCGATACTACATTTTCAATGGCAATTGAACCGCTCCGGCTGTGTAGCTTTCTGTGTCTCACAAGCACATCTTGTCGACCAAACTCTTTTGAGCACTCGGGACAAACGAATGGTTTGTGCTTTGCATCTGGAATTGTCAGCTAGCATCTCCGGGTTCTTAGCTGGATGTTCTTACGACTCCTTTCATGTCTCTGCAATGATATTGATTAGTAAGGTTTCTTAGTTGGGGAAATGAAGGCAGACCGAGAGATGTTCCGCCTTCGTAAAAGCACGCTGACAAGTTTTACACTGAAATCTCTTCGTCATATCAGCCCCCGGACTTTGGGCCTGTGAGCCTGAGCTGTTTGTGCTCATTGTGCTCATTGTGGGAATTGCTGGATGAGCTGAGGGCAACAAATATTCGACTTGTCACCCAGCTCGATCCCTGGAGAGCACTGGATTGGGCTCGCCGTTCTAACAGCGTCAGTAATCGGCTCGCCACCTATGCAGCAACACATGCAGAGGCCTTGGACACTCTCTTTTGCATGGAGTGCCCCCGATAATCTTGAATGGTAGTGGCCGGTTCAGAGATATTGGCCCGGGCATTCGGTACTGCAGGTATCCTTGGGGGGAAAATGGCGGGGTACCTTAGGTCGGTCGGTTGGTTGGTTGGTTGGTAAGGTCTGGGGGCGGAGTGGCTGGTCACGTTGTTGCCACGTGCGAGTTTCTATGGAGAGGTGAGTAGGTAGGTACCTTACCTCAAGGAAGTTGACAAGCACAACCTGCCTAGGCAGGTATTTAGTACTGTAGGTAATTTACGTACCTCTAAAGAAGTAAGGTGGGATGGTATCGGCTATGTGCTCTGTGTGGGCGTTGGAGGTTGCCTTAGGTATCTTCTCGAGGTACGGAAGTACACGACAGTGCCCCAGGCCGGCCCAAGCACTCTCCGGAGCGAGTCAAAGACAAACCCGCCCTAACCTCGCAGCCTCGTAACCTGTCTGCCTGTGAGAATTAGGTTAAGCTTCTACTTCTCTTCTACCCATGGCGGCGATGGAACGAGAGTATCAGGAGTCAGGACAGGACAGGACAGTCAGGTATCATTGCTTGCCTTAGGCATGTGTCAGTGTCAGTGTCAGTGTCAGTGTCAGTGTCATTATCGTCACTTGTCTTTGTCTCTCACTGCCCAGTGCTCTCCCTGCCCTCCCTGCCCTCCCTGCCCTCCCTGTCCTCCCTGCCCTCCCTCGGCCCCTCCCTTCCTTCAATGCTCCCTTCCCCTCAGGTGACCGTCGCCGCAGCCCGCAGGTGAGGTGAAGTGGAGAACTCCCATTTCCCCACGTTTCCCACTTTCCCCACCAACACCTCGCAACCTCTTTGTCCCACCTCACATGGATCTCCCTCCTCCAACCTTGGCTCATGTTTATTGAGGAATTCCGCCGTCGTGATAACTCAGTCGTCACATTTCCCCACGGGCATGGCGGTTCATCCATGTAACAATGCCGAATGCGAAGCCCCGAAATCTAGACCTCCCCGAGGAGCGAACTCTCGAAAATAGCCTTATTAGGACGCTGTTGGAACTTCTCGCTCATCATCCAACGTTCCCTCTCTTGCTCATTCCAAGTCAGAATACTCATTTGAACTCTAAGCTACGATTTTTGTCTTATACTCAACACAATGGCACCTCACTCAGATCATGAACCTGATGTCTCTACTATCTCAGATGAGAGAGAACTGGATATCCCAATCCTGATTGTTGGGGGTGGTCCCACAGGACTTTTACTTGCTCATATGCTCACACAACTTGGTGGTATGCAAAAGACCGACATTTGGCGATGCCCGGCTTACAAGTTCCAGTCAAATCACTAATTATCGAGCGGTATCCAACTCGACTCGCAGCACCAAAAGCTCATGCTTTGTCTCCTAGAACTCTGGAGTTATGCCGACAATTTGACCTTGATGTGAATGCAATCCGCAATATTGGCACTAATCGAGACGATGCTTACTGGGTCAATTTCGTGACGAGCTTGACGGGTCAGTATGTTGGCAGCCTTCCTTACGAACGCATGGATGCGGAGGTTCTTGAGCAGACTCCAACAGTAGGACGTTCTTCCCAATCTGTTAGAGATGACTGACGTGGCTTCAGATGATTCACAACATCTCACAACCAAGATTTGAAGAGTTTGTGGCAGCTCGGCTAGCTCAAGATGGAGTAGTAGAGGTCCGAAAAAACCATTCTTTCGTCAGTTCTAAGCAGGTAAGCGTCTCAAATGTATTTCATTACCATCATGCTGACACGAAAAGCTTGACGACCGAGTCATCACAGTTGTTGAAGATAGATCCAACAGGACAATGTACGAGATCTGCTCTCGACATGTTGTGGCGTGTGATGGTGCCAAGAGCAAAGTTAGAGAGACTCTGGGGATAGGATGCGAGGGAGAGTCATCGTGTAAGTTTGGGATCGTGGAAGAAATGATTCACTACTGACACATGAAAGACGAGACCATGATGACAATTCATTTCAATGCGCAGCTTCGAGAAGTTGTAGGCAATCAAGTTGGAATGTTGCATTGGATCATGGACCCTGAAGTCTCTGGGTTTATCATCGGTTATGATCTGGATGGTAACCAAGTTCTCATCTGCAATTTCGATGTGAGGAATCTACAAGATCAAGCTCATATTCTTATATGCTAAATTTGACTAGTCCGAAAAGCATCCAGTCGAAAGCTGGAACGAAGCGCACTGCCGCAAGGTTCTGAATGCAGCGATCGGAAAGTCCATTCCTTTCGATGTGCTCAGCTGGCGACCTTGGGTCCTCAGTAGGAAGGTTGCCGAAAGCTACTTCAAAGGCAACGTATTCTTGTAAGTCGCTTTGCAAATGGAATGTACACCTACTTACAATCACAGAGCGGGAGATGCGGCTCATTCATTCCCGCCTACAGGCGGTCTCGGTCTGAATTCAGGGCTTGCAGATGTACACAACTTGGCCTACAAACTGGCCGCTATCCACCAAGGCCACGGTGGACCATCTCTCCACAAAGCATATGAGAATGAACGCCGTCATGTCGCTCTCGTCAACTCCCAGCAGAGCGTAAAGAATGGACAGCAAATCTTTGGACTCCTGAAGATGCTCGGTACGACAGACAGCGACCTCGCTACTGCAAAGAAGAACCTCTACCGCCGTATAACAGACCCGGTAACCCGATCCGAGGTCCTCAAAGGAGTAGAGGGCCAGCGAGAGCATTTCGATAACCTTGGCTTGCATATCGGCTATGTCTATGGCGATACGGAAATCCCTGCATCTGCATCTCTTTACACAGCTTCCTACCGAGCTGGTGCCCGTCTACCTCACGCCTGGCTATCCGGCCCTCCTTCATCGCATCTCACTTCTCTCCCAGCCATCTCGAATTCGTATGTGAGCGAGTTATCCCATGCTACAGTTTCTGAAAAGCAATATTCCACGCTAGATCTCTTGAATTTCGACGCTTTCACTGTTATATTTTCGTCAATCTTCGCTGCCGAGTGGTCTACCCTCGTCTCTGAGCTTCAACTCCGCTTGGCCAAATCCAATGCCAGGACAGTCAAGATCAACAGTGCCGGTTTGGGAAAGGACTTCAACCTAGTAGCTGGAGCTCGTGCCAACGAGTGGGTTATGGGGATGCAATTAGAACATGGGGCCGCGGTACTGGTGAGGCCTGATCAGCACATTCTGAACTGTTACGGCGCAGGAACGAAGGTTGGTGAGGTGCTGGATGCGTTACTTGGGCACCTCGGAGTGTAAATAGAAAGATAGATGTGGATTATTCCGATGTGGTATGAGACATGTATAGATACTCCAACAGAGCGTACTTCTGAATCACGGGCAAGTCTAGTTTGCTTAGATCCGACTCCATTCGAAGAGGGCTCGATGGACTGGTGACATCAAAATACTCCATGATACCTAGGTAGTCTCACTTGGGGAATCCTGCTGCTCGACACATGCGAGTCCAATCAGCGGCCACGTTCGAAGATGGCGATCGTGCTTAAAATAGCAGGGTGATGTTTTCGGAGCTCCACGGCTATGGAACGATGAAACCGAGGGCATCTCCAAGCCTGACGGTTGTGGGTTGTCAACTTGTCGCTTGGACGAAACGAGATGATTGTGGAGCAACCCTTAAAGACGTTTCACATAAATCGCAATCAGACGAACCTTTGCTAACCTTGACCCCAACATTTCAAACTGCAACCCATATAGATGCACTTTCGCTCTTCATACTCGTTGAATTCTTGTCACAAGTGTCAATCGATCTTCCCTTCCGAGCCCTCAGTTGGGATATCTGTGCCTCGGCATAGCTCCAACGACCGATGAATGAGCTCCAGTCGGGAAGCCTGAGCTCGGTTTGATAGCTTGTTCGATCGCCTGATCCTCGATACGTGCCGATTTGTTCGAACCAGATGAAGCGTGTCCCTATGGCGGCCATGGTCAACGTCAAATACATCACTGGCCAGTTGCAGCCGCCTGTGTAAATCCGCGAGAGTCTGTGTCTTTCTGCGAGAGCGCCTTTTTACAAGCATCGTTGATCCAGTTCCAAATCCCTAGGCAGCATGCTCGTACTATATTTCTTGTCAAGCAATATAGTAAAAGCCATTTATACATCCGTTCAGCCTTATATTTCATCCGTAGAAGTGCTTGGTCGAAGCTCTTGAACTCGTTCACCCTTCCACCACCTACCAGCAATCCTTTCCCACTCTGCTCCCTGTCAATGCCCTGGCAAGTGCCAACCCTGTGTCTCACTGCTATGATAACCCCGGCGGAACCAAAAGTGATGCCAGACATCGCGATCTGCACATAAGGGCGCTGGTTGAGGAGTAATTCGGGAACTGCGTGGCCGAGGCTGAAGTTGAGTCTGTCATTCAACAGAGCCACTCACACACTCGTTCCGAGGCTTTTGCCTGCCCAACTGGAAGCTCGCAGACCTACTGGGTAGAGACAGATGAAAAACAATCACAGAGCCTTTGTAATTCTCAATGTATTCACTTGCTTGCATCTTCAGGTCGGACGCCGAATCTTTTGGCTCATAGTGGGACTGATTCTAGCAACGGTAGTTTTCGTGGAGGAAGTACTGCTGGGCAAGCCAAGTCTGGTATTCTATTTTTCAGATCAGTCATTATCAACCATTCTTCTCCAACGGGAAATCGGTTTTCCATTGAATGATTGTTTCCACTTGTTGTTTTCTCACTCTCGAAAGACGAATGAGGGCGATATAAGGTTAATTATTGGAAGCTGCCAAAAACATCCAAAGATCCAACTAATACTTACGTCACCTCTCAATACTTTATCTTTCTCAAGTCTCTGCTCTCGTTAGATGCAAAACATTTCATCTCATGGCCCGGACCAAGACTTTGGTTTCTATTAATCCAACGTCTTTTGGATATACAGTAGAATTCATCGATTCCGAGTCGTGCATCGAATCCACTCGGCACCGGCGCCACACTAAACTTCCAGTAAGCCATAGTAAAACCGGTTCTACGGAAATGCCGTCCCCCCACATGTCACCCGCAACACAACAGCCCACTACTACTGAGTTGTCCGAGGTCTCCGAGCTATGGGTTGATCGTACAGTACTGTAGTGCTAAAGTCAAACCAAGGGATTCCGCTGGGCGGGCGTTACCCCTGCTTTTCGCCCAATAAATTAATCTCAACACCGAGAACACCTCGGGTCCCTGCCAAGAGTTATTATTCAGCCTCCCCCTTACTAGTGACAGAGGCGTAAACCACAATCCGAATCTAGCCCTCGACCTCAGCTGTGGCTTCCACCTGGCTAAACTGTCCGCCTTGAGAAAATTGGACAGTAAGTGAACCGACTGCTTCCTATTGGACCCAAGGTTCTACTGTTTCGACGTTTCAATAAAGCCTCAACCGATTGGCCAATCTGATACTGGCGGCATGAAGATGCTTCAACCTGGCTTGTCATAGCCTTTACCTAGCACAATTTCTGTTGCATGGTCGCTTTGACACAGCCGGTTGAGCAGATGATCGACACGGCATACCATCGAGCAGGCATTCATAAAGCTTGATCGCTGCCCGTCCGGGTTGGATCCATGTGAACAGTCGAGCTGTCCTGTCTCCGAATCATGGGGTTTGCATCCTCCTGCTTCTGATGCCAGTTTTTTCTCCATCTTTTCTTTTTTTATCTGAAGCACCGCTTATTCCATCTTTCGTTCAAGAAATTTTTCATCAACGTACCGGCTTTTGGGTTCACCATCCGCTTTTTTCCCCCTAACACCTCTTTCAATCTTTTCCTGCACTTTGGCAACACCCCAAAATTGTCGATGGATGGGGGGAAGATGATCAAAGATCACCCGCGGGAGATCTGGGAAATCATTGAGGCAGATACAGCACAGCATCCGGATTACGCAGTGTTCTTCTTCTCCGGCAAAAGACTAGTACAACGAATGGCATTTGGCCTGCTCCCCAGCTTCGTACAACGAAAGATACGACCATGCCACACGAAACCCCAACGATTACATCCGACTTCATACCTAGATGGCTTGCGAGGAGTTTCGTCGTTCATTGTCTTTCTAGGACACTATACAGAGGAAAACCTGGGCTGGTATACCGAACCATATGGAGCTTACGAAGATGGAGCTGCTTCATCGCCACTTCAACTACCTTTCGTCCGAGTAATTTACTCTGCTCGGCCAATGGTTCATGTCTTCCTCATCATATCCGGCTACGTCCTCTCCTACAAACCTCTCAAGCAGATCCATTCTCAGCAATATTCCGCCCTCGCAAACACACTCTCTTCCTCAGTCTTCCGACGAGCTCTACGACTCTTTCTCCCTTCATTTGTCACACTGTTCATCATGGCATTGGCGTTGTTCTCTGGACTCTCGAATGACAGGTACGCCGAACGGCAAGGCAATCTTTCATCACAACTACACCACGTATGGGATACATGTGTCCGGCTTTTGGGGGCCTCTTGGGCAGTGGACAATTTAGCATATCCTCATCCTTTATACAATCCGGCTTTGTGGACGATCCCAGTCGAGTTCTCCCAATCTATACTTCTTTTCGCCGCTCTGCTCGGACTTTCAAAGTGTCGAGCAAATGTGCGGCTATTTCTACTGGCTGGCATTATCGCATTTTGCTTTTACAGCGGGCAGCTTTACACTGTTGAATTCCTAGGTGGCATGTTCATTGCAGAAGTAACACTTCTTCGAGACCGATCTCTCAGTACGCCATCTTCAAGTCCGATGCTTCCAAAATTTGAGGATACGGCTCGAGATGGGGACTGCGGATCCAACGCCAGACAAAAATTGATCCAACTATTCTGGCTGGCCAATGTCTTGTCTGGGCTTTTCATTGCATCTTGGACAAATGATCATATTGAGGCAGTATGGGGCTTGAGATTCTTGGATTCGCATACGCCGGCGCCATATCGTGGGCAGCAAGTTTGGTTCTGTATCGGGGCATTTCAGATTGTCGCAGCATGCACTCAGTTGAAATGTTTGCAGAGGATCTTCACGACTCAGATTGCTCAGTACCTAGGAAACATCTCTTACGCTCTCTACTTGATGCATAATCTGTGTCTCACGATCCTGGAGCCACGATTCAATCCGGTCTTTGATAGTTTTTTCAGCAAAGCAACATTCTGGGGAAGGCAAATGTCATGGATGGCAGGAATCTTTATCTATGTTCCGACTGTCATCATCGTCGCAGACTTATTCTGGCGCGTTGTCGATACACCGACAGTCCGCTTTGCTAGATGGTTCGAATCAAAATGTGTGGTAGACAAAAAAGGATAAGGGACAGGTTACACGGACACCAAGGAGTTTGGTTTCATTTTTGGCATTGGGAAAATGGGCGAGGAGGCTCCTCGTCTTGTAATATGGAATGATATTAGCGGCAATGTATAAAGTAGATGATTGGAGATACAGAACAAAGCTATCTGCTAAAATATGGGCGAAGCTGTCTCCTAATACAGTGCACGTTCGATCTCATGCTTCTGCTCTCGCCTCAATTTCCCTTTGGAGTTCCCAGCTCTAGCGAGTCGCCACAAAGTCAAATCTCATTGTCAAGGCTTTCCAAGCTTCCAAGATCTGACATGCGACACAGCTCAGACACCAAGCCCACAACGATCTACTCCACCTTTTTATTTTGGGTCCTCGATTGCACACCATTCGGACATCCTCAACCATCGTAATCCATGACCCACCTCCCCGATTCTTGCGTCACGTCGTGTGAGCGCGTCTGTTCATTTGAGCCAAGGATCACGATATCGATTATCGAAGCTGCAAACCTCCCGGCTTTCATCGCAGCACCCGGTCAAGGAGTGATCACCGAATCGGCATTCGGGGGATTGGACAAAAAGGAGGTTCGCTAAAGCGTATATATCTAATTATCGTAAAGCCGTGGTGGGTTCTCATCAAATTGTTTATCGAACCATTACACCCAAACTCCAGGGAATTTCCCATTAAACATATCCACCATCTATAGCCCTTTCCAGAACACCGTCTTCTGAATCTCAAATGAAGCTTTCAAGCACTGATCCCCTCCGAATACTGACGCTGTATATTGTCCCTTTTCACAAGCCCATGCATCTCTATTCTCGTCCCACACAGCTGTGCTGTACTTGTCGATTGGAATAGTCACCGTCACGGCTTGCTGAGGGTCCAGTCTCACCTTCTCGAAACCCTTTAATTCCTTCACTGGCCGCTTGAACCTTGAAGATTCTCGGTCCGCTGAGATGTACATTTGGAGTACTTCTGAGCCTGCTCTACTCCCGGTATTCTCAACTACCACCTGGATTTCTTCCGAGGATACTCTGAAATCTCTCAATGCAAAGGTTGTATAAGACAGTCCGTGTCTGCAACTGTCAGCATTTTTACTCACCTCCTTCCAGGGTCGACTTACCCAAAAGGAAACGCAACACCTCGACCAACAGCATCATGGTATCTATAACCAACAAAGATGCCCTCATCATACCTCGCCTTTCCATTGTCACTTCCGAAGGTCAAGAAACTTGCAGTGTTCTCCAGTCGATCTGGAAACGTCATAGGCAGCTTCCCACTGGGGTTCGCCTTCCCGAATATTACGTCTGCAAGAGCAGTACCACTTTCGTTACCACCGTACCAGCTGTGGATCATGGAATGTGCTTGAGAGCGCCAGGGCATCGAAATGGGAGTTCCGGCCTGGGTGACGATGATTGCGGCAGGGTGGGCGGCAAGTACTGCATTGATCAGCGCATCGTAACCCTCTGGCATGTCCATGGTTTTACGATCCCGACCCTCTTTCTCGTAATCACCCTATTTTGTCAGTAAATCGTCAGACACATTTGGCAAATGCTTACATTAAGACCTGCAACAACTATAACATTTTGGCAGCTCTTGGCAGCTTCAACAGCTCTTCGGATCCCCTCTTGATGGTCCAGTTTCAAAGAAGCTCCCAGTCGACATGCACCGCCTGGTAAGTCAATCATACCACCCAGTAACTTCGATGTCAACGCACTTCCGGCTTCCATTCGGAATTTATATGTCTTCCCTTGTTCCATTTCAAACGTAGCCCTTACCTCCTTCGAGCCGCTCCCAAAGAACATACCACCTGGTTCTTGAGCCGTTGAATTATCGATCACAAGCTTCTCATCTATATACAGATCTGAAATGCCAAAAGAAGCCAGACCAAACTCGTACGTCCCTGAGCATTCGGGGATGAATGTCCCTCGCATGGAAATATAGAAAGTCTCACCGTTTTGGGCATGCTTGTAGTCCATCAGCTGATATGCGGTTTCTCTGACTGTGGTCTTGTCGAATGGAATTCGGTCTGGTATAGAAGATGGCTCACGGAAGAACTCAATGGTTGCACCTGGCAGTCCATTCTCGTCCAAGGCGTTGTTTTTGTTTAGGACAGGCAGAAGCACATGGCTGTAAACGCCCGCTTCGTACAGTACCTTCGTGCCAGGTGCTATCTGCGACATGATTCCTTCGTACGCAGATGTGGTGTAGTATGGATGTAGGCTTGCACTTCCTCCTCCACATGCAGCCGCGTTCTTGACATTGGGTCCAATCAGAGCAATACTGCCACAGTCAGGGCTAAGAGGCAGTACCCCGCAATCGTTTTTCAATAGGACAATACTTTCGGTTGCGAGTTGGCGATTGACTTCCCTATCTTCTGGGAGATCCCTTGTGCCTTCTTCGCTAGCTACTTCTTGTTTCGATAACTTCTGGACGAATCGGAGAACATTGGTGGCTGCTGTATCGACATCTTTCATCTGAAGCTTCCCTGTCGAAAGAGCTAAATTTGCTGCCATTGAGCGATGTAAACTTGGCCCCGGCATCTCAAGATCCAGACCTGCTGCAAATGCGGCATCGGTCGAGTAAGTCCCAAACCTACGCAAAAATAAGTCGAGTCACAAATGTAGTCAGGAGACCTACCAATCGCTGATAATCAAGCCATCAAATCCCCATTCTTTTCTCAGAATATCCCGGAGCAAGTGCTTGCTCTCAGAGCAATGCACGCCCTGGACTTTGTTATACGATGACATGACTGCATCCGGCTTGCCATATTTGAGAGCCAGTTGAAATGGCAAAAGGTATACCTCTCTCAACGCACGGTCGGATATGATCACATCGATACTCCTCTTCTCCGTCTCTTGATCATTCGCAACGAAGTGCTTCAGAACTGCTGCACTTCCACCACTTTGTACACCTTCGATTATCCTCGCAGCCAACATCCCGCTCAGAAAAGGATCCTCTGAGAAACTCTCAAAACCACGACCGTTCAGAGGTGATCGATGCATGTTGACTGTCGGCCCAAGCCAGGCGTGTGCGCCCTTGGCTTTACATTCTTGCGATAAGAGAATACCAGCAGCCTGCAAAAGTGCCTTATTCCATGTTGCACCAAGTCCCGAGCCACATGGGATACAGAGGCCAGGAACACTGTCGAAGAACTTAGATCCTCGCACGCCGTTGGGGCCGTCAGAGCATTTGATTGATGGAACGGACAAACGGGGGATGGGGGCAGTATGCCAAAAGTCATGACCTAAGAAACGCCCTCTATGTTAGCAAACGGCAGGCCAAATATGCTTTAGGATTTAGGAGAGGCTGGGTACCGGCTGTAAGGGCTAATTTCTCTTTCAGCGACGCCTCGTTGATGATTTGATCAATGTCCATCAAATTACTAGAATTCTGCCGTACAAGAACCATTGTGACTCTGAAAGGCTGAAACTGTAGATTGACGAAGAGAAGTGAGAATGGGAAAGGCTGTAAGAAAAGCCACGAGCAGTCAGCCTTGTCCCTAAGCCTTGAGACTTGGTGGCTTGGCTTTGGACCCTCTTCAGTGGTGGATGCAGGTGGTGTTTATTATTTCCCCCCGATAGCCGATGGGATATCCACTATGATTCCGCAGACCCGTATTTCTCCATTTCCGAGAACTGGGGTGCAACATCCGAGTTTCGGAAATGGGATGTGGCCTCCTGGCATTGAGATCGGGATTCATTCCAGGAAGGCAATAGGGTGGTGCTTCGGTTCACCGGCGTCGCTTGTTTTCATGCCACTATTCGTGCTATGTGGTTTTAAGTAGAGCACGGAGCAATCAATACGCATATGATTCATGGAAGGTCAGTACCATCAGAAATAGAAAGTGTCATTCTGGTCTGATCCAGGGAACCTCTCGGAGCTCCAAGGTCCATTTTCCACCCCGTTTTGCATTCGCAGAAAAGGATCCATGAGCATATCATATTCAGCATTGCCCATTGCAAAGTCTGGGCCAAGCATCCAGGTCATATCGTAATCGGCGGACCCTCCTGAAGTATCTTGTCTGTCTCCAGATTCAGCGGTGAAGTTTGTGGCCATGGAGTTGTTGATTTCAGGCTGCATAGCTTGTTGTGATCTGGATATTCCTGCGGGCTGTGTGAGTGTAGATGAAAGTTGAGAGTCTTGCACTGCTTTGTTAGATGGAATGAGTTCGTCCGCATCATGAGAATTGGCCATCTGCCGAATTTCAGATAAGAAACTGTGTTTTGTGAAAACCTGACGAGGTGGCAATTGCAGATTCACATCTATTGCTGAGCCAGGCGAAGGCTGGACGTCTTCTCCACCACTTCTTGATTGTCAGCTTGTACATTAGCACAGATGTTGAAGCTGACTTACATGAGTTGGTCAGACTCTCGTCGAATATCACGCTCTGCAGCTCGTACAATTTCCTCGATTTTACCCTTCTATTGCAGGATTAGACGAGGCCATTGAGTACGGTTGGGAGTCTTACTAGTAGCCTAGAGGTCGGGTAAAGCTCCGTGTGTCTTTGCAGTATGTCTGAGCATGCCATACTTTTCTTGACAATAACAGATCTTTCCATGGCCTCATCGACGAGAGGACCAAGAGATGTGATGATCCTGGCACACTGAAGTGCACAGATGCCAAGTGCCGTGTCTGTAATGAATATATCTCTTCCCAGCCTAAGTATGCTTTCAAAAATGTTCGCCACATCCACTGCGTGCTTCAAGCAGCGCTCGCGACAATCCTTTAGAAAATTAGAAGTGAGGCCTGAGAGTATTTCATCAGGCAATGCTTCGTGGAACCCTGGGATGGTGAATCTATACAAATCACAGTAACACAGATTCCACCATACATGTAGCATGATATATGTTGTTCGCTCCGGAGTATAGGCACGTAAGAAGAAGTTCCGCTCGTTGAGAGCGTAGGTTGGGGGTAGTGCTGTCGAGAAATGTTGGACTTCGCTTGCGAGAGACTCCAATTCCAAGCGAGCCTGTGGAGTGATGTTCTGCCGATCCACCATTTCATGAGTAAACCTGCAATGTCAGCTTCGTTTGAAAAGAGCTCTCACCAACCCACTTCTGTATTCGAACACGTATCTCCAATATGCGGATCAAGAAACCCATCATGCCAATATTTGACTGGTTGTCCAAACCCGGCGCAGGCTTGAGCAACTCGGTCTCCACCGGAATATCAAACGAGAAATCCCGCTCATGGCAAGGCAACTGCAGATGAATTCTCTCCGCAGAAACCAAGGTGAAATCTGCTCTGCCATTGGCCAGTAAAGTATCACTCATGAATATCGACCACATTAGACGGCGTCGACGTTCTTGTCCTACAAATGTAAGTTTCTTGTCGGTGTAGTTTAATCTCATGGCGAAGGCAAACCGAACAACGAGAGCAGAAAGGGCCATCACTTTGCCGAATTTGCGTGACGTCAAGCGATCGAAAATGATTATCAATAGTGTCTCGACTACTGACAGAGAGGGCTCCGAAATCATTTTCAGTACTTGGTTTTCAGCCTCGTTTATCCAAGTTGCTGCTTGTTGGCGTTGGGCATCACTTGTTGCTAGAAACCTTGCTGTGGCGCCTAGATAACCGGTTACTTAGTAATTGAAACGTCATGGATTATTTCAGAAGTGAACATGGCAACTTTTGAGGAATATTTGGGTCGCTTAAGAAGCAAGGCATGGAGTTCTCAATAGTTACGTACCGCAGAGTGCTTGTAAGAGATATGGACTGTGTGCATCTTTGGACCAGTTCTGGAGGAATATCGCACGGTGAAGGAAACTCTGACCAGGAATCGGGTAGATGTATTCAAAGAATGCGTCGATATGCTGCCTGACAATGCCTTTATCTGGACTGATGCCCCTGAGAAATCAACTTGACTGCAGAAATGCGAGGAGAAGGCGCTCACAGTGGTACAGATTGTGTATTTGATGAGTATTGACATTCAGTCCCTCGCTGTGAACATCTCTCACATTGAGGAAGCTCTCCAGAACACTTTGCCTTTTGGCTGTGGCAACTCAGGCAAGCTTTTCTCCCTCGTCGGCGCTCAAGGGTCATTGTAGAAACCGGTGATCGACCCTGAGAGGACTGGGGGGCTGTACTACGGACTTGTTCATCTGGAACCTTGAAAGAACAAGTGAAGCCCAGTCTCAGGCAATTTTCACAGCCAGCTGCAGATCCATCACAACGGACCTACTTGAATCAGTCTCGAAAATATGTGCTGCTTTCGGTCGGGATATTCTCCGCAGTACCTTACGATTTCGGCATTGGAAGCAAATTCGTGTCGGTCTCTTCCCCGGTCTTGATGCTCGCAATGACTTGCGAGACGTACTCAATCCTTCCCTCATTCTGTCCTAGATTTAGGTAGGAGGAACTGTTGTAGCCGAGCCACGTGATAGCTGTGCCAGCACGTGGTAAAGCAGCTTCCTTGAGCTGAGCGTCCGAATCCAATTTTCCTGCCGTCTTGCTGCAGTGCTTGGTTGGAAATGGAGAAGCCGATAATTCGGGGAGAAATCACAATGATGGGGAACGACAGCGCCGGATATTCTCACAGACAGAAACTTAAATGTCCCCCCGACAGCCGCTAGCTCCGGAATTGCCTCAATCTCGCTGGTGGACACAACTCCACAAGGAACACCACGAGACATTCCTCCAGTGCCGTGCACTCCATGTATTCCCCGCTCTTTGCCTTTTTGTCTCCCCATTTATGCCCTCTCCCCCTAAACTCCACGTCGTGGCATCCAATGGCAAGCATCTCCAGACCCCGAACAGCTCCCTTTCCTCCACACCCCAGCCGTGTTGATTTGACGGGTCACCCTTATGCAGGCATTTGGTCTCGTCTAGGATGCCAAGCACTACCAGCAGGGCTCGGTCCTGTAAATTCCTCCCCTTTGCTTCCATTCTCTAGTGTTGTCGAATTCTCCACTATTTCGATACTGCTGTTTCTCCAGGTCCGCATCCGATCTTGACTCGCTTCTAGGATGAATAAGATTTTATATAAGACCTTCCCACCCCTCACCCGAGAGCGTCGTTTAATCTGTAGCCAATCTCCTCTTTCAGCATACGAACACTTGCCAATAGGCTCTCCTCTCCTTCAAGATGGTGTCCAAAAACTCAGTACTCCAGCATTTCAACAAATCCTTGACCCTAGCTTGCATGCTGATTGCCGTCTCAACATTCAACTATGGATTTGACAATGCCGGATTCAATACTACACAAGCCATGGACGGCTTTCAACAACAATTTGGAAGATACAACTCCGCAACGGGCAAATACTTCCTCCCACCTTCATGGTTGTCCCTGTTCAACAGTCTAAATTACATTGGATTTGGAGTGGGTGTTATGGTAGGAAGTCTGGTCAGTGCTAGATACGGTAGACGCATGTGCATGTTCTCGATGAGTTGTTACGCACTGGTAACAGCGACAATTGCCATCACATCTACGACTCGCGAGCAGATCTTGGCTGCTCGAGTTTTAAATTGTAGGTAGTATTGCCATTGCGAAGCTTCAGTGCTAATTTGGAAAAGATATTTACGTTGGTATGGAGCTTGCTGTTGTTCCAGTGTTCCAGTCAGAAATTGTTCCTGCCCCCGTTCGTGGTTTAGCTGTTGGGTCGTACCAATTCAGTTTGATGGTCAGTGATATCGAAAATCAAATACTCAAAGACTAACATTCGGCAGTTTGGGACCCTTATTGTGAACTGTGTTTGCCGTGGCACGAGCACATTGGAGGGAAATACAGCATGGAGAATTCCAATTGGTCTTTTCTATCTCGTGCCCACCATCGTACTTTGCCTGGTCTGGTTTATACCAGAGGTACGATCTCTGCTCCTATTCAAACCTTTCCTATCTGACCCAACTTCTAGTCACCACGTTGGTTGTTGACAAAGGACCGAGTTGAGGAGGCAAAGGCTGCATTCTACAAATTCCGGGAAGGGTGCGTTAGCGATGAAGAAATTGCTGCCGAGTTCGAAGCACTACAATTGGCATTAAGACTCGAGCCCGAACAGGGGAAATACATGGAGCTTTTCCAAGGCGTCAACAAGAAGCGAACTGCTATCGTCGTTGCCATGAACTTCTTCCAACAAGCCACCGGTCAGGCTTTTGCTTCGACTTATGGTACAATCTTCATCAAGGGTCTTGGCACGATCAATCCTTTCAACATGAGCATTGTCATGTCTGTCATCAATCTGACTTTAGTCAGCACGGGTCTGTTCCTCAATGATCGGATAGGGCGAAGGTGAGTCTATCAGTAGATCCTCCGAAACCATTTCCTAACTTCTATCTAGACCCCTTCTCTTCATTGGCGCCAGCATTCAAATCGCTGCGATCCTCACTATGGGTGGTCTCGGCACCGTCTCAAACCCCACAGACGGGCATAAAATTGCAATCGTAGCCATGCTCATTGTGTTTTCGGCCGGCTTTGTCTTTGCATGGGCACCTCTGACTTATGTCATCACAACCGAAGTCTCCGCACTCCGCCTTCGTGATGCTTCTCAGCGTACGGCCTCAATGGTCAACGTTCTGATGAATTTCGCTGTCAACTTTTCCCTCCCATACTTGCTTTATGCACCATACGCCGCCCTGGGATCAAAAGTCGGATTCATATTTGGTGCGATTGCAGTTTGTGCTTTGATTTTTACGTTTTTCTGTGTTCCGGAGTGTAAGGGGAGGACACTGGAGCAGGTAGACAGGATGTTCATCGAGGGTGTTCCATTGAGGCATTTTGGAAATCACCATATCACCGATCCAGAAGAGACACTGGAGAAGGGAGATTTGGGGGTTGAGGTTAAAGCGGTGGAGAAGGTGTAACTTGATATCCGGAGCTGTTGGTCAAAAGTGGATACTCACTTAGAAGTAGCCAGGCATATATTGTATTCAGAGAATGTATCAAGACGCAAGCAAATTTCTAAAGCATGAGGGTAGCCAAGATGGACGATGAGGAGCTCTGTGATGCTGAAGATGCCCTCCAGGGAGCCTCGTGGCTTTTTGACTATTTGATGTCGAGCTACGTACTATTCAAATATACAAGAGTTGAGATTGAATGACAGTTCCAAAGCCGAGACTAGTTAATTTCGGCTATTTCTATGAGAAATCGAACCGAGCATGTAGAAGGGACACTCGTATAATGGAAGAGCTATAGGTACATATTCAGTAGGTATCACGTTGATGTGTAAATCACGTGACATTTATGTTCTTACAAGGAAAGGCGCGGGACTAAGTACACTATTATGCCCAGAGTTGTTGCGTAGCAGATAAGTAGTAGATAGTTTACCGTCTGGGCGGTATCATTTTTCTAGGTAATTGTTGCCTATCAATCTTGATTTGATTTAGTACAGTGTACCCAGGACACTCCTAAGCCTCCTTCACTTCAAGGTAGGTATCTACATAGGCAGTCATCATCTAGAGAAGCCTGGAGATGTTTCGGAAAGCAAAGAAAGGTAAATAAGGCTACTTGGGCGAAGTACATCCCACAGCGATTCTTCCGGTACCTATACAACAACAAGGAAGGCACTCTGGTAGTCGGAGACGCTAGTTCCGAGCTGATACTGCACTCTTTGCGCTGCATTCTTAGGCGTTGCAAGCAGGTGTTCAATAGGTACAGGTATCCAAGTGAAAACACATAATGTAATGTCTCCATTGTCGCCTTTGGGCGACCCTCCAACTCGCATCCTTCAAGTGTTGTTTCAAAAGCATGACACCCAATGAGGAGACATTTAGAGCTTGATTTCAGGCCCACTGTTTCTGAGTCAGCGGCTCTTGCGGCGTATGATCCACCTGCACCAACGCTTGGATTGCTTCAGGTCCATTCCAGGTGTGGTTTGGGAGCCGGCAAAATTCCGAGCTGTGGGGCCCACTTTTGTGGTAGTTTTAGAATATGAAATAAGCGAATTTGCGACACAACCAAGTACCACAACAGCTGATTAACATCTGTAATTCCCTCGTGGCGCAATTGGCTAGCGCGTTCGACTGTTAGAAAGCAGTTCAATCGAGAGGTTGGTGGTTCGAGCCCACCCGAGGGAGGAAGAGCCACAATGAGGTAGATAATCTTTTGCTCTTTGGCCATTCTTACCTAGTCTCTGTTTTGAGCGGACACTCTGTTGTTTTGTGTCCCTGCCTTGCTTATATTTTGTTCTATGAAGCGTCGGTTTCCATTTATTCATATCGGGGAATGGTGTTAGTTGTCATATTTTCTATTCTGGTGCCTGCCGAGGTAGATCCATTTCACCCTAGTTAGTCACTGGCACTGGATCTCCGAGTTACCTATACTTCGACAAACGAATGATTACTAGATAAAAGAGAACCAAATACGACTGTGTTCTAATTTCGTTAATGGTGAACTCAGTTAGCAGAATGAAGTTTCTTTGTCTGTTGCTGAGCTGCTTAGGTACCCGGAAGGGGTCGTCTAAAAAAAGCCCAATAGAACTAATACATCGAGGACTTAACGTCCGCAAGGTTCAAGCTCTTTGAGGATCGCCCAGATTACATACAAAAGTGGTAAAAGCTCGTTGTAACATCGAGGCTAGCTAGGGAACTGTCACAGACAAGCTTGTGCCAGATTCTATTCGCAATATCGTGCATTTGAGTCGAAGAGGCCTGTTTACTGCTCGCTAAGAGATTGAGGAAGCCAGTCAAGATCCAGACGCTTCGACTTGATTGTATGGAAGTCTGTACTACCATTGTAGCACATGCTATCAGGATGTCCTCACTTTATACTTGTTCAATCAGTCTACAGCATATTCTCGGCTGTTGTGTTGTGGTAGGCGAAGGCTTTCTTACTACCTCTTTCTACATTGAACGCCTACATTCATTCACAGTATAGTGAATCTTTATTATTGGCGATCTTTATGTTGTCTATAATCTCTCCGAATTTTCAAGAGACAATTCTTTTCCAAAACTCTACAACTACAAATCTTCCTCATTCCTCACAATTGCAACTTAATCGTCTCCAATCCGACGGTGGACAACGAGGTGGTCCGTGCACTCGAGCGCGATCTCGAATCTAAGATGGCGAAGAGAAATATCAAGGTCGTTTTGCGACGGGGAGGAAAGAAAGTCGCAACCAAAATGTCGGCAGGAGAAGCTTCTCCCCATAGAGAGGCGACGCCTACCACTTCGACACCGATCTCCTCAATTCCACAAAAGCGCGCACTCGAAGACGATCATCAACCCGCCATCTCCTCCCCCTTGAACCCTGACTTCAAATCCAAACTCCAAGATGATGCTCCCCTCGCGCGAGAGCGAGCATCAAGAGCCAAGAAGGAATCTCTGAAGAAGCGTGAATCGAAAGCTGGTTCTCTGGCCCCAGATTCGAGCGCGAGAGCTACTCCAGATCCCAAATCTGCGAAGAGCAAGAAGAGCGAACCCGATCTCGCGCCCATCAGATACAAACTACCTCCACCCAAATCTACAGACTTTGAAGCTCCTAGGGGACCAGTATTCATACCTGCGGATACAAGGACAGCTCCAGATGGCTCAGAAATCCAATTCAACGAGACAACGGACCAGTAAGCCTCTGGAACAATTTCATCTCCTAGCTAACATGTCTTAGTGTCTACAATAAGAAGGGCTTTCATTATACCCATTGTATCGCAGATCCAGCCTTCCCATCCTCCCTCTTCTATCGACAGTCCGAAGCAGAACCATTCACTCCACGCTTGAACTTCGAAGACACTTCTACGCATATGTTTTTGGACGAGTCTGGCAAACATGTCACAACAGACAAGGGTTTTAGAATGGCAAAAGCCAACGTAGGAGTAAGAGAGGGGAGGTGGTATTACGAATGTAGGATCACAAGTGGCATCCCAAAGAGGAAATTAGGTGCCCCGGCCGAGTCAAATGGTCATGTTCGAATGGGATGGGCAAGACGGGAAGCTACACTGGATGCGCCGGTTGGGTATGATGCCTACAGTTACGGACTTCGAGATGCATCTGGTCAGAAAGTCTTCATGTCTCGGCCCAAAGACTTTTTCCCAAACAACGAGGATATCAGAGAAGGTGACGTGATAGGACTGGAAATAAACCTCCCCTCAGAATCGCTCCATCGAAAAGTTGTAGAGGGACATTACAACCCCGCGGTCGATCTAGAGGACGACGGAAACATTGGGGTCGAGAGGCCGGATATCATCCGCGACAGGGTCCCTATCCGGTTTAAGACACACCTCTACTTTGAGCAGATCGAATACCAAGCAACCAAGGAACTTGAGGAGTTGATGAACCCATCTCCCGTTATTCAATCAACAGGTGGGGTTGGTGGATCCACACAACAACCAGGACCAACACACCCAGTACCGGCTCTTCGAACACTTCCCCATTCAAACATCAAGATATATAAGAACGGACACTACATTGGCACGCCCTTTACCAATCTTCTTGCCTTCCTGCCGCCCGCTTCGAAACCTCTCACACAAGTTGGAGCAAGAGAAGGACTGGATAATGGTATGCTAGGATATTATCCTGCCGTGTCTGTCTTCAGAGGCGGAGCTGCAGAAGTCAACTTTGGGCCTGACTTTTGGTTTCCGCCCCAAGAAGAGGGTGAGCCTGATGATGAGGTCGACATGATTGGAAGTGATCAGCCAGTAGCGACAAAGATAGCAAAGCTCAGAGCGACGGGCGATCGGTTTGACGAGCAGATCGTGGAGGACATTGTGTACGATATTGTGGACGAGGTTGATTTCTGGATGCAAGATGGCGGTGTTAGCGGAAAAGGAGCGACAACTGGTGTGCGTTCTGCAGCTGGGGTTTCGGCAGATGATGGGATTTCTGGAGGAGTTCTGGGTTCGGAGGAAATCAAGGAGTTGGTCCAGGAGGACGACTGAGCTGGAGTTGGGAATTTACCTGGTATATTGCATTGCAGATGCGATTCTCGAGATCTGGCTCAGCAGATAGGATTTGATGTACCACCATCCACATGTGCCAGTCAATATCCAATTTTTGACATCTGTAACCGTTCTTCGATGGCACTTAGTCTTCGTTCGTTGTCTCTGATCATTCCCATGACATCTGCCAGCATGAATCGTGATTCCGTTGTTTCTACTGCAATTCTGCGTGTTTGGATCTTACAGCCATTTAGTATCACTACAATGTCACAGGATTGTTTGCTTGACCTTCTGGAGCTTTTCAGCGATACTCTCGATCCCTCCTTTACTTCTTAACCACAGCAATCGGTGGGAGAAATCGCATCTGTAGTGTTGTTGAGTTGCATTAAAGCTCCATTCTAGCTCCTTTTCTCGGCCTGTATGAGGTGTCTCCAGGAACGGACGTTCATATCTCTTGAAATCGTGTATCAGGTCCTTCACAGCATCATTAATAACTTTTGTTGGTCCACCTTCATCGTAAAGTGATCTCTGCTTCGAATCTCTGTCGTATGTCCCCTTCTCACGCCGCCGCTTACGTTTAAGGTATTCCCGTTCTTCATATAGTGATTGACGGAGCGTTGAGAAGGCGTCTCGTAGTTGCGACGGAGCCGAGACAACAGTAAGGAAAGCTCCCCAAAAAGCGTGAATCCAAATGGCAAGTGTGAATGCAAATGAGATAAACCCGATGACAATGGATGCTATGCTGATGGAAGGGATGGGTGCCATTATTTTGTGGAGCTAGATCCATGTACAGTGCGGGGTTGAAAGCTTGATTCGAGAGGGGATTCGCGACGCAATAAATAAGATTAGAGCTTGGATGTTCCGGGACGACCGGAATTCTTCACGAAACCACCACTACGCACGAATTGCTCCAAGCTTAATAAGGATTGGTCTTGTTGATTACTGCTGGACACTAGAGTCAGGAAACCCTCACCCACAATACACAACTTCATAGTGTGAAGAGCGCCTATGGTATGTTTCGAGGAGTCGAGAGAACAATTGTATGTGCGAATGCATCCTTTTCGTTCCATTTGGTATTGTCGTGATCAATAATCCCCTTCCTTATGCGATCCTTTTTCCATTTGAGCCACCGCTATTTGCAATTTTCTTGTCTCGCAAGTGGTCTTGTCAATGGTCATTATTTTAATTGACCGTCTGATTCTCTAGCATGCCGATTCAAGCACAAGTGGAAGCAATGAATAAAGCTATCCAAGCAGTATTGTCCAAAGACGTTTTACAAAACGAAAAACAGCATGCTATTCAGGTTCATTAAACATCCAGGACTTGTTCTCCTGTTCCGCCTGGAGAAAGACTGGGAGAATTCTCGAGTCCACGTGAATATACTGGCTTCCATGAGAAGGAAGCGAAATGCGCTGTGAGGCACAAGTTCTACTCCTTTCAAGAATTTGGGGCATGTTGAGAAGACCAGATATTTGAATGGATATGGTTTTACCGCAGCTGGCTGCGCCTTCACCTTATCGGGTCACTTTATACCGACCCAGCATATGCATTTGGAGATCTGGGTGTCAGATCGCCTCCAAAATGGTTACTGAAGTCTGCCCCCTTTTCTAGAGAACTGAGATTCGAGGGGAAATTCTGAAGTGCGTGAGAGACGCAATGGCCAGCCTGTACGGCCATTGATCCCTCAAAATTTGTGTTGACGTGAGGGAGATTTTCTGCTATCATAGTAGAGTGCGTGTGGAGTCTGGGAAGGTATATACAAGGCATTCCGGATCATCTTCTGCCTTCATCCGATCCTTCATAGTCAAATCGCGTTCAAGAATCGAGCAAATAATGCTTAGAGCTGAACCATGAGCCACGCCGGAGAATGCTGCAACTTTTCTGCCTCTCACGTCACCTCTCCCCGAATAAAGACTTTTCTGGTCCTCCAACCCTCCATTGCGGACAGTTCTGTTCTCGTTCTTTGAATTGGTAGTGGGTATGTTAAGTCTGCCATATTAATGTCGCAAGAGATGGACACGTTTTTGTTTAACGGCAATTTCCCTGCACAAATTCAAATCTTAGGATTAGGAATCGCGAGAATCACTTGAGCGACTGTTTGATGTTTGTACTTCCTTTATAGAAAAGAGTGGCAAGAGTACAGAGGTGGGCCAGATTAGCCGAAGCGTCGAACGAAAAGGGGAGCTGTTTACAATACCGAAAACTTTGTGTCTCTTGCGTCTCCTTTTTCTTACTCGAATGGTGGAACACAGGCTTTTAAGTAATGACAATGCTCTTTAGAATAATCTTACTTTGAAAATCTACCGGTAGTGGACCAACACAATGAGGTCCCAAGGGGGGAGAAGATCGGAACCTAGATGAGTTCCTTGAATTGAAACAGTTTTCTTACTATTTAAGTTGTTGGATGACAGAGGACGAATTGTATGTTCTCTCTGTGGTATTTCTGTCCAATAATAATGGCAATTGCGGGTCAATATCATATAAAAAGTTCTCAACCACAGGCAGAAATTCATGTATTGAATTCTTCGATATTACGCAAGACCCCATCGGATCAACACGGACACAGTAAGTAACAGAATCCGGAGATCAGCTTCTTGTGCGGTACGTCAAAGCACATATAGTTGCTATTGTCTGCGCATCCAATCCAAGAAAGATACGTGCTCCGAGTCAGAAGTCGGGATGCCGAGCTGAACTTCTGCACTTCTCGGTCCTCGTCGAATAAGCTGTCAGAAGATATCCTCAAAAACTCCAGCCTTACGTCAGTGACTCCGGGTTTGTCATTGACAAGACTGTTGGACGTCGAATCAAGCACTCTATTCGCGTCTGTAGATATTGGAGCACATGGCCTGACGCGTGGCTTCAACTACAACAGCCGGACTTTTATGGCGGACTATTGGTGAAGGTTCACGGATGTCCGAATGAGATGTATTGTTCACTTGGCACAACTGTTAGTGAGTTCTTGTGCTAAGCGAGCCAAATGAGGGTCCTCCGGCGTCCAGTTTATAGTAGGTACCGAACCAAACAAACCTAAATCCCGTCGCTTCACTGAACATCAAATCACCACTAACCCTCCCACAGCTCCTTATTGGAGATTCGCACGAACAAGAACGCTATCAATCATAGACCCTGGAATGACTTCAGAGTGATCAGCCATCCCTTCTCCACGCACGACGCCGCGTGTCTCTCTGCATGATGTTGAAACACACCGGATTACACCGTACTGTTGGACAGTCCCAAAATACGCCGTGAGGCGCATATAAATCCGCCGGATCTGTACGACTGGGTGCATGCTATCGGCGTGGATTCGCAAGCTTCTGACATGAGTATCCCGTACTTGGACCTCCGAGACTACGTGTTTTATCTGCGTAATTCTATAACATTCGTCGATCATCGTGTCATGGCATATAAACCTCGCTGCGCTTCCGCTTCGGGGCTCTCTCCATTAAATTACCTTTTATTTTTGAAATTAGTACTAGTCAAAAATGATGTTTACATCAATTATTCTGTTTGTTATCTCTTCAAGCGTCGTAAGAGCAGATTGGGGACCAGGCGGCGGCTTTGGTTGGAATGGGAATGATTGGGGAAATAATTGGGGTTGGGGAGGAGCGCCTGACTGTGCTGTCAGTTTTCGGCGACTTCCAGTATCAACCAACTGACATTTTTTTTTAGAAAACATGCTTCTCCTCTATCTTCCCGGCTCAATCCACTGCTTGGTCCAGCGCCTGTGCATCTCAAACTGTCATCGACAATTGCGTCACATCAGCGTGTCCTACAGCAACAGCTCAATATGCAAGCGCTTCTAGCGTCAGGTCCGAATGGTGCTCTTCGTACTCTAGCTGTTCTACTGCATCAGACTCTTGCACCACCAATTGGCCATGGTGGGGTGGAGTGAATGGTGATGGATGGGGAGGTTACTGGGGTGGCAAAGGGTCGGGTGGAGTTTTCACTGTCACCGTTACAAGTGGACAGGCTACGGTGAGATATATTTATCTTCGATGCGCTGGGATCAAATTTATGCTTGCCGCTATTAAATAAAACACATATGACATTCAGAACGGCTACTGAACATTTGACAGGGCCTCACCACCAGAACCATCACCGTGACTACCACAGCAAGTGGAAGCCAGGTCAGGAGCACCGAAACACAGACGGGGACTTTTGTCCTTGCCCAGGCTGCTAACACTCCAACCTCAACTCCTACTTCTACGAACGGTGCTGCTCAAGCAACAAATGGCGCTGGAGCCTTGGTTGTTGCAGCTTTGGGTGCTTTTATGGCTCTGTGAACGGCAAATATAGAGACTTCGGGAGTTAAGAAGATCATAGGAGTTTGGATCAACGAGCCTTTCAATTTGAGTATTTGGAATCAAAACTGCAACTATGGGTAGCGTAAAAATCATGTCTTTTTCATACATGTACCGGTCATCTGCTATCAGTCCTTCATTTAGGTTTTAGTTGTAGTTCATTATGATTACTATCTGAGTACTATCCTACAGTCTTTACTTGCCTCTTTTACAGATGGGTCCTTCTCGACGTGCCTCGTGTTTGGAAACTTTCATCCTTCTCATTTCTCTTTTCACTGATCACGAAGCTTCCACCCTTTTCCCCATTGCTGAACTTGGTGCCGCCACTAAGGATGGAGTAATCGCACCCCAAGCATTGAGAATAGCGAGTATTCAGCTCTCTCCTGACTTCCACTTCCTCTACAGCCAAATTTGTCATCATTTTTCCTCTTGAACATTGGTTTCAAGTAACAGTCAAACTTCAAGTCGGTCTCGGTTCCTGTGGCGCTACATCTGCGGTGTGAACAGATGAACTTCTTCGTCGGTGCTCGTGGTCGTGGTATAGACGACGTAGTGCCGATGTGTATTCAGTTCCTGTATGTGCTTGACGGATTTCACGAAGCCTTGACCGGAATGATGTGCGATCTCGCGGTACTGCTGGAGCCGGAACTGCTAGTGTTGCAGCAGCAGGCGCAGGAGCAGGAGCCTCGCTTGTCTCGGTTGTCTGCTCTCTAGGAGCGTCCGGCTGGGTCGGCTCGAGATCATAACGACTGCGAATATTAGTAGAGTACATCTGAGATCCGACAAAAGTAGCTTACCAGATTGGACAAGTTCCCGAAACGTTCAAAAGCCATGGGTCGATACATGCCGGGTGGAATCGGTGACTACATGGCAGAACACGAACTTCTTCACTTTCCACGAAGTCTGCGATGCAAATCGAGCACTCGGTACCCGTTCCAAGCTCAGCATTTTTGGTATCTGGAAGTTGATGTGACGGAGTTGGTTGACTGATTTCGCTTCCTGGGTTGGCTGGAGTCTCTACCGACTGCCTGCTCGTACTGGCGTTCGACTCGTCATCGCCCAGTCCTCCGGCAAGCTCAACATCCTTCTGAGGTCCAACCTCCGCACTCCTGTTATTGGCACCAAATCTCACAATGGGGATGCTCTCAAGAACTGCCATTGCAAGTCCCTTCTTCCGCGTCTGTTTGGGCCTTCCGGGTAATGCTGGACGAGGACCATATCTTTCTGGGTTCCGTCGCCTTCTGATGAGACCTATCACAAGAAAGCCGCCGAAAAGTACAAAAATCACTACGAATGCGCTTATAAAAACAGTGACTGCAAGGCTTGTAGGTGGAGTGCCGCCATCTCTGGTTGCACTGGACTGTGAGGGGGAAGCACTCGAAGTAGGGGTAGGTGTGCTCATAATGGCGATGAATTCTTATCGGCGAAAGAGGAAGTGATATTGAATTGATGTTCTGTAGATGTTTCAAGACTCGGCCGGAAGCCAGCTTGTTTTATGTGTTGTGTCTGCCCAAACCTTGCGGTGTTAGGGTCATGATAAGCAGGGTCGGCTGTGATTTGTATTTGACTTGCGAGGGGTGGCTGAGTGTGAAGGCCGACCACCGTGCTGACTTTCTTCGACCCGTGCTCGCCGTGGAAGACACAGGATCTCCACAAATTGTCTGCCATGCCTGGGCACATTTGATACTATTGAGTTTGACAGCCCGGTGGTGCTTCGAATGCGAGTGCGCTTCAGCAGACTGGACAAGCCAAGCGTTCGAGAGCGTCGCCGCAACCGACCCAAGAAAGTGGGAAGAAGACATTTCGCTCGGCATCCGACTTAGCGAGCCTCGAGCCTACGTGTGCGACGAGATGAGCCTATGGCGACCCGGGCAGACGGAGCAGTCAGAGTATATTTACTTCGGAGGCCAATAATAATCACGCGTGCTGTATGCCCAAGACTTCAACGTCATCACAGCACCATACCATACAGTAGCACAGCATAGCCCACCTCCCACCAGCAACCCTTCGTAAGCGAGGCTCCGCCCCTCTTGAGTCTTGACTTTCCGGCAATCCGACCCTGTTCACAGCATCATCAAGATGTGATGTGTGTAACCAACCTAATCCGTCTCGCCTGTCATAAGACGCTGAACATTTATTTGGTTGCACGCGTCCGATCTGCTTATTTGATTCCAAATTTCCAGACCGCCAAGATGAGACGTATAGAGAGGCCTTGGTGACTCTACTTGCAGGCAACAACATCATCTCACGCATTCGCCTCGGATTCTCGAGACTGGCACTGCCTTCCCAGGAACCGAGGTTGGTGCGCCTTGGTCTTTCGATGAGGTATTATTATTTGCTGGAATGAGTGTGGTACATTGATTTCAAACTCCATGGAACTTTCGTTTACAGTACTTCTTTTGCCCTGCCACTTCCCATCCTTTCCAGGCTCTGGCCAAGCGCTATTCTTGGCGGAAGTTAGAGACAATGTCCGGCAACACTACTTTGACAGTCTACAACGATCGCTGCAGCAACTCGGATCTTCCAATCTTCGCGAAAATGATAACAGTAGATGACGTGGATCTTACCATAAAGCCGAGGGCCACTCCGAGCCATCCAAGCGTTCGCTCTAAATACCAGGGGGGTGTTCCCTAGGTACTCTTTCGTTGTTTTTCTTTCTTTCGGCTATCTTGGCATCCAGCTCCCTCGCTCCGTGTCGCTGTTCATCACAACCGTTGTCCCGTTCTATCTTCCAACGGTTCCACAACATCAAGAGCATCTCTAGAACAATTTTGCGACATGAAGTAGAGTGGTTTAGCTCTGCTTGCATATCTTCTCCGCTGTCTCAACCTTTCAGTCTTTTTGTCTTGGCTGATTTATTTTCTCCCAATGGTCGGTATGGCCAATTGTGGGCTTTCCGTTTGCTCAGAGATCATTGTATATATATCATCAGCTTCCATATCTGAGAAATGTTGACCGATTTTTGGCCGTGCTCATGAAAGCCAGACGACATCATCTTGCAATTTTCGATTGGACGAATGTCTACTTCAGGTGACGAAGAGAACGAATCTCAGATAAGAAGAATTTTAGAGGACTTGAAAAAACCTCGATCCACTGGAGTTATATTTTCAAAAACTTGTGCTGTGCAGTTCTTGTCAACAAAGCTTAAGCGAGATCCACCTTCCACATGGATAACTTCCTCTCCCATCTCCTCCCCCAGGAATATCAATCTCACGTCACAGATAATACCGAGCGTGATTTATCTTGCGGTTGAAGTGACTCAATGGTATATGCTGTTCCTGCACGCTTATGATACTAATGGCGTTAGCGGAAGCAAATTGAACAGCGACAGTTGTCCATCTATCGCCATATCAAAACACTGACACGGAAAACTCGAGGGATAAGCACGTATTTTTTTGAATCTAAAGGACAAAGCGGGCTAGGAGGAAAAGATTCACTACTACTCCTTCCATTCGCATGCTGCACATATCTCATGCGCACCCAGTCACTCACTGAAATTGGATAGAAGTTCCTGGCCAATTCAACCTAGGAACTTCATGTCCTTTAGCTATCATAGCACTTTGCACTACAGTAATGACCCCCGTAGTCCTCATCGTGTGAGTCTCATGGAAGAATGTTTACTTGCGACGCGAGGGTCATGTGCAATATGCTCCAGTTTCATAGCCATTGAGAGAGTCTTAGGTAAATCTCTTAATACCACAAGGTGGAAATCTATAAGTCCTATACTCACCCGAGAAGAAGAACCCTTTTGCACTTAATATGTTGCCCAAAATATACATTCGAAGAGTACTACCTACGTGCTGACATGATTCTGAACTGAAAGCTCACAGAATACGAAGAAAATATGCCAAAATCAATGGCAAAACACCGAATACGAGAGTTGCATCAAAGAATTCCAAATTGTACATGTATGACTGCAATTACTCTAATATTGAGTATCACTCCCTGCCTTGGTCGAACCCAAGAGAGTTTAGAGGCAAGTCTAGATGATCATCTCCTCCGGTCTGTCCTTAACGAAATGTCTGCTGTTATCCTCCATCCGGAGCTCGTGTAAACAAAGAGAAAAGAGTAAGCTTCACTAGATAATGAGTGCGGTGCTGCTGAGCAGCCGGGCACTTTATAATTTTGTGAAAGGCATACAGCAGATGCGAATGCTCTGACTTCAATTATGGTGTCATCCCTTTCAAGATGCGGTAGGAAATGAACAAGTCTGAAACGGTGTGTTTGCAAAGCTAAATACCACCGTACGTAAATAAGAAGAAACGCAACGCTATCTGTACCAGCGGCAGTTGTTGCCGATATCATGTTCCCAATGTCTGAACGCCGTCGTAATGCATTCCATGTACTCAATGTCACTCCATAACTAAGCTTTTTTGAAGGGACTGCTCTTCTCCAACCAAGTACCAAAATCTTGCAATTCAGGATACTCCTTCCTAGCAGCCGCAATATCAACCGCGTATCCGTCCGTCTCAAACCACTTGAACATGGCACCAAGATCCTTCATCGCAAACTTCACCAATGTGCCTACAGCACAGAAAGTAGTTGGCATCTCAACGCCCATCTTCTCCTTGAATATCGTACAAGCCTGCTCGTAATTCAGCTCGTCACCTGCGATGCCAATCTTCTTGCCAGCGTATTTGTCCCGGTTGAGAAGTGCCGTAGCAGCAAAGTAGCCAATATCGCTTGCAGCAACGAGTTGGACTGGTTTCTGGCCGACTTGGTTCCACATGGCAGTGAAGCCCTTGCCCGCAAAATCCGGAGTGAGGTTATCCATGAAGGTGACTGGTCGGAGGATGGTCCACTTCATGTCCGTGCCCTCGGCCATGCCACGGAGGTGAAGTTCAATTCGGTGTTTGGTGGCTATATGTGGAACTGGCGTGGCATTTGTATCTGAGACCTTCTCTCCTCCTCGATCGGCAGATGTGAAGACGAAGTGCTTAACGTTGTTCTCGAGACTGGCTTTGATGAGACCATCGGCTTGAGCCTCCTCTGCACCTGCAGGGCCGTGAACTGTGACGCAAAATACGGCATCGATGGGGTATGGGGATTCTTTGAAGATTTCTTCAGGAGCTGTTGGGTCACCGGAAAGAGGCTCGACACGAGAGTCTAGAGCTGCAAGGGACTTTGCTTTTGCGGAGGAGGCATTGCGGGTGAGTGCGAGAATGTGAGCATCGGAGGGAAGAGACGGATCTGCGAGAAGAGCTTTGACGACAGAGCTGCCTTGAGTGCCGGTAGCACCAACGATAAGGAAGGTTTGGGAGGTCATTTCGAAGTTGTGTAGGTGTTGACGTGGGGTCGAAAATGGATCGCGCGGCTGGATGGCTGTGTTGATGAAGGCGGGGCAACAAAGAATATCTCGATTTGGATCTTCGACTAGAGCTCGAGAGGCAGAGCTTGAGAACTGGCCAAGGGATTCGAGTTGTATATGTAGGAGCTTGAAGTTGCTTGTTTGTTGGAGCTTGTGAGCGTCTCTCCAATGGGGAGGGAGAGGCAGGCTGAGACGAGGCTGGGTAAAGTCACTGCGGGGTCATTGAGGCACTGTCGGAAGGTGCGGTGCGGTGCGGTGCAGTAGGCGCTCTGCTCTGCTCAGGAACAGCTGCTTGATTGGAGTGAATAATAGGTAAGCTGGATATAGAATTGGGCAGAGAGGGGGAATGGCTGTGAAGCTGCGACCTGAGAATTGTGAATGGCAAGATTGCGGTGGCTTGGACAGGAGTGTTTGAGGGCAGGTTATGGAAGGAAATCTACTGATACTTATGGTTATAAAAACTCAAAGAGTCGGATAATTGCACAAGATGAAGTCCATCGTTGCGGAGTCTCCGGCCGTAAACTGCGTTGGCTTTGTTGGTTGGATGTCGTTGGTGGATGTCGTTGGTGGATGTCGTTGGTGGATGTCGTTGGTGGAAGGATCATCTGAAACTCTACCCTAAATTCCGGCGCATCGGCAGGTACAGACGTGGCGGCGCGACTGTCACCCGACCACGTGATACGATAACGAGTCTGTCGTCTTAGATCCGGGCTGATGTTCTTTGTTTCTGGTCGTCGTCATGTCCAGGGATGAATCCATTGTTGAAACCATGCGCAGATGTGGATGTGAGAGCTACTCGTTGATGGCTTTTCGGTCTAAGTCCGCACGATCGGCGCCTGGTTGTCGCTTTTCATACAGGCAAGCATGTTTATCCACAGCATGTAAGCCGACAGCGAGACACTGCAAAGCGAATGTCTGTTATTTTACAAAGTTCTTCCACAGTACATGACCCTCTCACGTACTGTGATTCTTACAGTCTCCTTGCTATCTCATTATGTCCTTTAGTAGCCTTCAAGCTCCTCTCTCCGTAATCTGCCACTCCTACAGCTTTGCAAATGCAAATTTTTACCCGTCCATTCCACTGCCTTTCAGAAAGCATAGAGAACAATAACACTTTTGGTCAGCCGCGATCAAGTGTAATTTGAGATTTCCGTCGAGTTCGTTTGGGCCGTCACCTCTACACCACCGAAGGCCTTCCTTACGGCAGCCCCGATATTTCCAGACACTACCCGGAGTGATGCACCTCTGGTCACATCAACGCCTGTTGGACCACGAGGATTCATCAAGATGTTTCCCAGATCTTTCCTGGCAGCAATAGCCATGCATCTGAAAACAGTTGTTTGCAATGGGGAGATATTCTCTGCCCTTGCCGACTCTGTCATCTTGGTAATGTCTTCCGATGCGGCATCGATTTCAAAGGTATCCTTCAGCCATATCTGCACCGTGCTGCAGGTGTTTCCAGATAGGATTGTGGCGCTAGGGAGCAGCCGCAGCCAAGACGATATTGTGAGGATTGTAGAGAGCGCTGAATTGACTGCAATAGCAGGCAGGGGTGGCACATCAGTTTCTCCAAGGGAGTTCGGAGCTTGGGTGATATCTATACCTGTGCCCACTACCAGACTTGTGCTTGATACAGCGGCTGGTGCTTCTTGGCCTTGCTCGGCGGCATCTGAAGCCTGGCCACGCTTTGCTACCGGATCGGTGTTTAGTGATGCTGGTTGTGATGGTTCACTGTGCCCAGGGGCAACAAGCACTTGGCTGTCACATACAGCTGTACTTGATTTCAAGTCTGCGTTTGATGCAACCTCTTTTGGACCTGATAGGGCTACTCTCTTGGAAGAGGGCTCGATAGTGCTTTCGGAAATTTCATCATTCTTGCGCTTTCGTAAGTTCGCCGTCCTTGACATCAGAGCTGCGGGAGACCTTGAAGCATTCTTCTTTGGACAACACTTAAAGCACATCATCTGCCTCCAAGTATTTGTTTCGAAAATGGAAACGTCATTCAATCTACTGAAATGAATGAGAAGCTCCACATCATCGGTTCTGATGTTGAACCCGAAAGTTGACATGACTGCTTCCTTAACCCTTTGCGTGTTGTCATCCTCCGAAATGTCGAGTGAGTGATCCTCCCAGGCGATCAGAATCTCCTCCGAGGTAGGCTCAATAAGATTGTAGACCGGCGTGTCATCCTTAAACTTGCCCTGGGCATGGTATTTTGTGGAGAGTCCCAGAGCGATAGCAGCCCTGACCGCATCTGAATTGCTTTGAGTATCAACGAGTTGGAGGATGTGATCGAATGACATCGTTTGGCGCTTTCCATGGAACGGGGGGCCAAGAGGATGTATTGCCCACTTAATTTCAAGATCCGCGTGGAATGGCCGAGCTGTGAAGTAGCAATAGACATCTACGCATAGCTTGTGGTTCCAGCCAAGGTACAGGCGTGGATACCTGTCAACATTTAGCAGCAGCCAAAAATCATTGAAAGCAGAAAGGCACCATTCTTCAGCAGACGGTCTGACATGATGATCTGCAGGATCTCCTGAAAGTGTTGCTGGGCTTGCCACACTGCAATGAGAAGAGTTAGAGACCGCCAAAGATCTCCTCCTGCTGGGGGGAGGATCCATTTGACGTGGATATCTTCACTGGGATCACGGGCTTGAATAAGACTGTACTTGACCAGCGGTGGCCAATATGAAATGATCCACAGAGAAAACGTCGACAAAGGCTCGTAGTCCCACCATAGACATGGAAGTTGGAGCCTGTTGGGCTCTTGAAACTTGAGAGTTGGGGATGAAGTGAAGCACGCGTTGCGCGTTTGTGGTTAAGGAGGAAGAGTAGAGAGTTCCGCTACGATGCGTAGTGCCACGCGCCGGAGGGACGAGAACAAGGTGAAGAGGAGAGGAGAATTTTACACAGCAGTCTCAATACCGGTAGGTAGAACGTGGCTCAAGCACGTGGAGAACAGCAGTCGGCCATGGACCTAAGTCTTGCAAACAGCAGGACTGGACTGACCATGCATGAGACAAGAAAACCTAAGGTACCTACCTACCTACCTACATTACCTGGCTAGGAAAGTGCGGTGCGGCAAACCAAAGCATGAGGTACGAGTAGGCAAGGTAAGGTAAGGCAGGTAAGGAATTGTTCCCCGGTGCCCAACACAGGACACAGGGCATCAGTGCATCACAGCCTCGATTACGGCACCTACCTACCTACCTACCTACCTACCTTGACTCTCCAATGTCCTGGCAGTTTGTAGATTGTATGGTATGGACAATTTCCATTTTGAGTGTCCAAGATCTGCTCGATACTTTGGGACTTCCAAACTGGCAACTACACTAGGTATCTGCCTACCTTACGAGCTTACCTACCAGGAGAGTCAAGGGGTTGTTCTGAGGAGGAAGATCGGTTACTGTAGCTGATTCGATCCACCCCTGACGCTGAACTAGATGCACCCACGCTAGCCCGTCCCGTCCAGTCATCAACATTTTCTTCGATACCTAGCCTAGGTGCCTCTCAGCTCAAGTTCACGACCACGAAGTTGAGACTCGTCTCGTCTATTCGCTGATACAAATCCCATTTACTCATATTCTACAGACAGTTCACTTGAGCCCGTGTCAAAGTTCAGCTCATCGCCCGCAATGGACTCAGCCTCGGCCCTCGCCCAGTGGCAAACGCAGCTTGCTGCCATGCGAGCTGCCCTAGCAAAAATTAAATTGCCTACACCTACAGCTGATTCCTACGGCTCCGATATTGATTTCGATGAAGATTTTACTTCAGGAAACAGTGGTGATGATGTGTGGGATTTCATCGATGACAGCGAGGAGGATGTGTGGAGTAGCGATGCCCACGACCTTCCAGACGCCGAAGCTCACGGGCCTCACTGGTTGCAAGCAAAATGTGCGGAATTTGCATCAAGGAAGCAAGGACTCTCGGGCGATGATCTCCAGGAACAGATCAGCGCTCTTTTGGCTTCCGACAGTGCCGAAGAAGAACTCCAATCTACGTTGACTGATATTATTGGTTTCGATGACCTTGATTTTGTCATCGAACTGATTTCTCACCGCAAGGAAATCACCAAGCCCGCCCCATCGATTCGTGGCGCTGCAGCCACGGATGGTCTCTTTGCTGGAAAGCTCCAGACCAGGCGTGAGCGAGAAGAGGCACTGAGACAGCGGGACTACGAGCACAAGAATGCTCAACTTGGCCCTGCTTTGAATCGAGATGGACCAGTGTACCCACACGTCTATACCACTCATGTCGCTGGTAATAAACTTGACTCAAAGGGTCGACAGTATGCATTACCAGTGGGTCATACTAGGAAAGAGGAGCGATTCTACGAGGAATACACTATTCCTGCTGGGAAAGTTGGCACTCTCGGTCAAGGAAGGAAGCTTGTAGAAATATCGGAAATGGATGGGCTCTGTCGAAACACCTTCAGAGGCTACAAGACCTTGAATCGAATGCAGAGTCTTGTCTATCCAGTTGCATACCAAACGAGCGAGAATATGTTGATTTGTGCTCCTACTGGTGCTGTAGGTGTTTTGCTTGTCGTGCTCAACATTATGCTGACCATTCCAGGGTAAAACTGACGCTGCCATGCTGACAGTACTACATGAGATAGGGCAGAATATCACTCCAAGCCCTGCTGAGCAACCTGAGGCAACTGACTTTGCCGTCAACCTCAAGGACTTCAAAATTGTTTATGTCGCACCCATGAAGGCTCTTGCGGCTGAAATCACTCAAAAGCTTGGTAGTCGACTCGCGTGGCTCGGTATTCAGGTTCGCGAATTCACTGGAGACATGCATCTCACCAAGAGTGAGATCGTAGCTACCCAAATCATCGTCACTACGCCAGAGAAATGGGATGTAGTGACTCGAAAAGGAACTGGCGATACTGAGCTGGTGCAGAAAGTTCGTCTGCTGATTATCGATGAAGTTCACATGCTTCACGATGATCGTGGTGCTGTTCTAGAGTCTCTTGTTGCCCGAACCGAGCGTCAGGTAGAAAGTACCCAGTCTCTCATCCGTATTGTCGGCCTCTCCGCCACTCTCCCTAATTATGTTGATGTTGCAGACTTCCTCAAAGTTAACCGCCATGCCGGGTTGTTCTACTTTGATGCCAGTTTCAGACCGGTTCCACTTGAGCAGCATTTTATTGGAGTAAAAGGTAAAGCTGGTACCCGAACATCCAGGGATAACATCGACACCACTGCGTTCGAAAAGGTACAGGACATGTTAGAACAAGATCATCAGGTGATGGTCTTCGTTCACTCCAGGAAGGACACGTCTGGTACGGCAAAGATGTTATACGAAAAAGCCATCGACCAGGCTTGCACCCACCTTTTTGATCCAATGGAGCATCCTGGATATTCGGCCGCTATCAAGGAAGCAGCTCGCTCCAAGGGACGAGAGATCCGTGAGCTCTTGCCCAAGGGCATCGGAATTCATCATGCAGGAATGGCCCGATCTGACCGAAATCTCATGGAAAAGCTGTTTGGTAGCGGAGTTCTAAAAGTCCTCTGTTGTACTGCGACACTCGCTTGGGGTGTCAACTTGCCAGCTGCAGCTGTCATCATTAAGGGAACCCAAGTATACAGTGCCCAAGATGGTAAGTTTATTGACCTGGGTATTTTGGACGTCCTTCAGATCTTTGGTCGTGCTGGTCGACCTCAATTTCAGGATACTGGTATTGGCATGATATGTACCACTCAGGACAAACTTGCCCATTATCTTCAAGCAGTCACTTCTCAAGTTCCGATCGAGTCCCGCTTCTCGAAGCACATGGGGGACAATTTGAATGCCGAGATTGCTCTGGGGACGGTCACTTCTGTACCAGAAGCAGTTCAATGGCTTGGCTACTCCTACCTCTTCGTGCGAATGCAGCGAAACCCTCTGACGTATGGTATCGATTGGTCTGAGATTCGAGATGACCCCACGCTCGTTCAGCGCCGTCGGTTGCTGGTGATACAGGCAGCAAGAACCCTCCAGCAGAGCCAAATGATTATCTTCAACGAAACAACCGAGGAGCTTCGAAGCAAAGATGTTGGGCGAATTGCCAGTCAATACTACATCCTCCATACAAGCATTCAGATCTTTAATACCATGATGAAGCCCCTCTCCAGTGAAGCGGATGTGCTGAAGATGATTGCTATGAGTGGAGAATTCGACAACATCCAGTCCAGGGATAATGAGTCCAAAGAGCTTACAAAGCTTAGAGAAGAATCATCTCCGTGTGACGTTGGAGAGAAGAATGATTCACCACAAGCAAAAACAAATATCTTACTTCAGTCTTACATTTCTCGAGCATCATTAGAGGATTTTGCACTCGGCAACGATTCGAATTATATTGCACAGCAATCAGCCCGAATCTGCAGAGCGCTCTTCATGATCGCGCTCAATCGGCGTTGGGGACATCAATGCCAGGTCTTGTTATCCATGTGCATTTCCATTGAAAAGAGGATATGGGCTTTCCAGCATCCTCTACATCAGTTCGAACTGGCGAAGCCAATCTTGAATCAACTCGACTCCAAGAATGGGATTTCGATAGAAACCTTGCGAGACATGGATGCCGCAGAGATTGGTGCCCTGGTTCACAATCATGGAGCTGGGAAAACAATTTCGAAGATCCTGGACAACTTCCCAACAATTAGTGTGGATTCCGAGATCGCCCCTCTGAATAGAGATGTACTGAGAATTCGCTTGTTCCTAACACCCGACTTTCGATGGAACGACAAGTACCATGGCACCTCGGAAAGCTACTGGATATGGGTCGAGAACTCGGAAACCTCAGAGATCTACCACCATGAGATGTTCATTCTTAGTCGGAAGAAGCTTTACGACGACCATGAATTAAACTTCACCATTCCGTTGTCTGATCCATTGCCGACCCAGATCTACGTGCGAGCTGTGTCAGACAGATGGCTAGGAGCTGAGACTGTCCACGCTGTTTCATTCCAACACTTGATTAGGCCTGATACAGAAAGCGTGTACACAGATCTGCTAAACCTCCAGCCCCTGCCCATCACTGCTCTCAAGAATCCTGCATTGGAGCAGATATACGGTCAGCGATTCCAGTATTTCAATCCCATGCAGACGCAAATATTCCACTGCCTCTACCACACATCAGCAAACGTGCTACTGGGCTCACCCACTGGCTCTGGTAAGACAATTGCCTGTGAGCTGGCTATGTGGTGGGCTTTCCGAGAGAAGCCAGGCTCAAAAGTCGTTTATATTGCCCCCATGAAAGCCCTTGTGCGTGAGCGAGTCAAGGACTGGGGTGCGAGACTTACGAAGCAAATGGGACTGAAGCTTGTAGAGTTGACTGGAGACAACACGCCGGACACCCGCACTATCCGAGATGCAGACATCATCATCACTACCCCAGAGAAATGGGACGGTATTTCCAGATCTTGGCAAACAAGAGGATACGTAAGACAAGTCAGCCTTGTCATCATCGATGAGATCCATCTGCTTGGAGGAGACCGTGGTCCGATTCTAGAGATCATCGTCTCGCGTATGAATTACATCGCGGCACAATCGAAGAACTCCGTCCGATTGATGGGCATGTCAACTGCCTGCGCAAATGCCTCAGACCTTGGGAATTGGTTGGGTGTCAAAGAAGGCTTGTTCAACTTCCGCCATAGCGTTCGTCCAGTGCCACTGGAGATCTTCATCGATGGTTTCCCTGAAGTCCGCGGATTCTGTCCATTGATGCAGTCAATGAACAGACCCACGTTCCTTGCCATAAAGACTCACAGTCCTGATAAGCCAGTCATCGTATTTGTAGCTTCCCGCCGGCAGACAAGGTTGACAGCAAAGGACCTGATAAACTACTGTGGCATGGAAGACAACCCTCGAAGATTCGTAAAGATGTCGGAAGAAGACCTTCAACTAAATCTTACTCGGGTAAAAGATGACGCATTGAAGGAGGCTCTCAGCTTTGGGATTGGATTGCATCATGCTGGTCTCACAGAATCGGATCGTTCCCTGGCCGAGGAGTTGTTCGCAAACAATAAGATTCAGATTCTAGTGGCAACTGCCACCTTGGCATGGGGTGTCAACTTGCCAGCTCACTTGGTTGTTGTCAAGGGTACACAATTTTTCGATGCCAAAACTGAAGGCTATAAGGACATGGATCTCACAGATGTTCTTCAGATGCTTGGTCGTGCAGGTCGTCCCCAGTTTGACACTTCCGGTATCGCTCGCATCTTCACCCAAGACTCAAAGAAGGCTTTCTATAAGCACTTCCTACATACTGGTTTCCCCGTTGAATCTTCTCTACACAATGTATTGGATAATCACTTGGGCGCCGAAGTGTCAGCCGAAACCATTACCACTAAACAAGATGCTCTTGATTATCTCACTTGGACATTCTTCTTCCGCCGACTGCATAAAAACCCTTCTTATTACGGCTTGGAAATCTCAGCCGAAGAACACAATACCATCTCTGCTCAGCAATCAGCTAACGATTACATGATATCAATGGTCGATAAATCCCTCGGTGAGCTGGCCGAATCCAAATGTTTAGAGATGTATCCAAATGGAGATGTCGACTCGACCCCACTTGGAAAGATCATGAGTTACTACTATCTGTCCCATAGAACGATTCGCCACCTTGTCAAGCATGCGACCCGCAACGCAACCTTCACAGATGTTCTTTCTTGGATGTCAAGTGCAACAGAATATGATGAGCTTCCAGTCCGTCACAATGAAGACCTCATAAACGCGGAACTTGCCAAGAATTTACCACTATCCATAAAAGCTTTTGGAGACCTGCCTCTTTGGGACCCGCATGTCAAAGCATTTTTGCTCCTTCAAGCCCACATGTCTCGCATCGACCTACCGATAACCGATTATGTGGGTGATCAGACTAGTGTTCTCGACCAAGCAATCCGTGTCATCCAGGCCAGCATCGATGTCCTTACAGAGATGGGATTCTTGTCAAGCTGCATGCAGATGATCACTCTCCTTCAGTGCATCAAGTGTGCTCGATGGCCTACTGACTACCCTCTGTCAATACTATCAGGAGTTCCCGTTAATCAACCCCCTGAAAAAGATCTGCCTTCAACCCTGCAGGACTTCTCAGCCGAATCAGAACTTGCGTATCAGCGCACAGTGGCCAGTCTGGATGTACCGCGCCACAACTCAGCAGCTTTTCAGAAAGGTGCAAAGGCAATCCCATGTCTCAAAGTAGACGTTCGGGACCTGACTGCTTTATCAATAACGGTGGTTCTTACCCGTCAGAACCTTCTCGGTCCAGATGGCAAGATGTACGCGCCGCGGTTCCCGAAGTCTCAAACCGAGGGATGGTTCGTAATACTCTGCAAGGAAGATAAAGACGAGATCGTTGCCATTAAGAGGATCGGCTGGAATCCTGGCGGCCCAGGTGACAAAGGAAAGACTGTAGGTGGGAGAATCACTGCGAAAGCAGCAATAAAGTTGCCTGTAGAGGAGAGTGGGCTGATCAGTGATGGGAGGAAGATGGATATCTGGGTGAGTCTTTGTCTGGCCCAAGAACATGCGACTGGTCATTACTTACGCTTGAATAGGTTGTGAGTGATGGATACCTTGGCATGACCTACAAAGTCAAGGGAATCGAAATTCCTGACGCACCAAAGGTTGTCGATGACGGCAAGAAGGAGAAGCCGCGTGATGAGAGAGCTGGTGGATCCTCCTCACATAGATCATGAATTTGCAACTTTTAACAGGTTTGAATGGACGATGGTATCCTCGACTAGCTTCATGGATTGGATCATTCAACTGTACATGTTAACAAACAACTTGTCTAGATATCAGCGAGCTCATTTCAAGCTATGCATTTCTCATGATGGGTGGTAAAGCGAAGTTTTAGTTCCGCTAATCGGGACCTGCTACTTTTGGTAATTTTAGTTTACAAATTCACGAGAAGCTTTTAAAGGAACACTTCAAAACATGTCGATAATTGGTCCTTTCATGTTTAGTTGTTGACAGTCAACTTAGCTTTGTATACACGTTCGCAGAAAGTTTGATACTTGACACTTACGAGTTTAGCCATCCCATATCATACTCAGTCTGTCAATCCTATATCATGTCCTCGTCAAGGACGATTGTTATCATTGCCGGTGAATATGCTAGAGCAATCTGCCCATAAATCAATCATTTGACCACATCCAAAGATCCAGCCGTGAACTCAGCACCAAACCTACTCAATGTAACACCCCACAGGGTATCACGTTCTTCTGCTCAGGTATGTCTGACGCGGCAGTCGTTACCATTCTCTCGACTTCCTAGGTTCTGTAACGACAATCTAACTTTGACGTGGCCTCCGAGTTATTCATCACCTTAGCTCTCGAGTACATCCAAGAATTTCACCACCCATTAACAATGCCGAGCCCAAACTCGTACATCTCAAGGATATCGGATAACCGAAAGGAGACTGTGCTAAATTGGGAAATTGACACAGCCGAGAAATTTGCTTCGATGAGACGATCCACCATTGTTTAGGATTTGGGGCGAGCTTCAGCAGCTCTATGTCTGATATTGTCGACAAAACATAGTAATTAATTATTGACACTCAACATCTACGGCCGGAAGCGCGTTGACGTTTGGGACACAAACATTGTCCGAAATCCTTACCGTAAGCAACGCTCCTGCTGTCCGATCTCGCAAATTGCAGCATTAAAAAACCGTAAGAGGAGGGGTATCAGAGTTCTAGAATTCGACCATGCTCCTAGAGAAGCAAAAGGTACAAACCGAGGGGTAGTACTAGAATTAGTAAATGATTACTTATCCTGGTCACTATACAATACTAATTCCTACACAACTAGTACTGCTGGGATCTATATCTACACTTGTTGCCACATGTGTTGTGTAATCATTCCAACTGAGTAAGCAAGACAACTAACTGTCTTGGAACTTACATGTCCTTTTGCTTATATTATCAGCCAAGAGGTAAAAGTGGACGTTTTGAATGGGGAACATTGATTTAACCAAGTCCGATACTTGAGTTGCGTCGATCACAAGGGCGGTAATACGTATAGTAAGGCGCATCTGATATGTATACCACTTGTGATACAGGTCAGACCAATGTGCAAATTCTAAGAAATCAAGACAGCATATATAAACATTCAAGTTCAGGCATAAGTCTCTCATCGGCCGAAGTACTTGATAAGATGGCAAAATGCCCAAGCCATTTGGTGAAATAGTCGCCGATATGCGAATAAAATCGCACATTACGGCTATCATTCACTACGTAACATTTCAACGACTCGCTTTATCGAACATTTGCTTCCTCCTTTGAGGAGCCAAGCGTGTCGGATGCGTCAGTCCGCGTAACGGAATTCCGCCGTAACGAGTAGACATGAGCCTGGTATTTTGTAAGCAATAAGTATACACCAGCCAAGAAACATCAGCTTACCCTTCCCAGTTCACACTACCCACCTAAGGTATCGGAAAAATGTACCAGTCGAGCAAGGATCTCGGGGTTATGACAATCCCCATTGCCGCAATGCAGGCTACTGACACCCCACTTAGTGGAGATGTTGGTTGATGTTGAGCAGGGCTGTAGGGGGACTTGATGGGATTCTGGACTTTCCAAATTCTGTACTCAGGTTCTCCTTGTGTATTGATTCTTCCCTCCGAGCAGAGCGAAGACGTGGATGATGGTATCGCCGAGACCCACGGAGATAGTCGTCTTCTGTGCATTAAGAGGTCAGATCGAAGGGCAAAAGTGTTGAAAGTCGGCAGACAGATCGAGTCAATGATGAAGATCGAGATACAAGAGATCAAGATCCGATCCCTGGTGTGTACCAAACATCTTGACATCATGAATATCCTTGGGCATAGTGCCGCCTAAGCAATAGACAGGACTAAGTATCAAAGTAATTCCAGTTACAGATAATGCAGGGACATCTCCAACATCTCCATTTAGGCTTGATGAATGATCTGATGGGTGTGATCTCAAGCTTTGCGGCGACAGGAGGCACGATCTGGAGTGCAAGTTGGATTATATTATGATTAAGGTACATCTGCATGGGGATATAAGGCTGACGCCAAGGACCTGAATGTTTTTCGAGATGAGTGTCGAAGGGATGGATGACTAGATTATTAGACAGAGATATGGATGGAATCGATGCCAAAGGCCCCCACCAATTTCGGGGGCTGATAAGATGCAAGCAGAGTCTAAATGCAGATACCAGGAAATATGATTGGAGGGACTCGATGCTGGTATGCAAGAATATACATTGATGCCCTCACTAGGCCAGTCACCTCCACCCAGACATACCTAAAGGCCGGCATTCTCGGTACGAGCCGTCTGAAGCGAATCACTGCGCCAATTGTCAAGCAAGTCTGTTCATAACCTTCGATCGATCAAAGGAGTTGCAAATACGACACTTGCACTTGCTCTAGCAGATGATGACTATCTCACCCCAGTAGTATCATGCAACAGTCGTTGCACTGCACTTGCTTGAGCTCTCGCTAAGCGCATGACCAAAATGGAAAATGCTGAGCTCGCCTGGAAACCCCGGAGCGCCGGAAGGAAAACAAGTAATTTGTCTTGCCGAGATATTGTTGTGTGGAGAGTAGTAAGGAAGGTTGCTAGCTGGCTGGCGTTTTTATCTGGTGCTCTCTTTCAATACCGTAAGTGACATGCCGATTATGGATACATCTCGCCGCGTCGGGGCGTAATTATGACAAGGCGCCGAGGGTTTTCCGAGTCAACAACCAACCTGACCTTTTCGTTATGCGGACTGTCGTGTGTGGGTTCACGGGGAAATGGGCTGGGCCAAGGTAAATTTGAATCTACTTCGTTTCCCAATAATGCCCGTTCGTTCTTCGTGAAGCAGTGCTGAGTAAGTGCTGAGACTTCCTCCCGTCCACAACAGCCTGGAACGATTGGCTAATAGAAGACCTCGATTCGACATAGAACAACATGGGGAGGTATGGCAGCGGCAGCTCCATGCACGATCTCGTAAGCAGCAACAGGGAGGAGGAGGAGGAGGAGGAGGAGGAGGAGGAGGAAGAGGTTGGGTCTTGGTCGTCCAAAGTTCAGAGTCCAAAGTCCAGCGTAAAAGCCGAAAACATTAGATTGATATGTCAGCAGTAACAAACGAGCCGAGAATTCCACCACTTCGACTCGGGGATGTAGAACAGGCCAATCGCAGAGCATGCATAGTATAGAATCGAGCAAGCTCCCGCAGCCATGGAAAACATCATTGCTGCGTATCGTATCGTATCGTATCGTATCGTATCGTATCGTATCGTATCATACCATATCATGTCTAGGTGGTGGAGACCACAGTCGAGCCGGACATTCTGGATAATCACACTCGCTGCAGTCCTGTGTTCCTGCATAGCAATTAAATGCTGGTGGTATTATCCTTGATGCCATTCCATGATTCCAGTGTCTGAGTGAGGGCGAGGGCGAGGGCGAGGGCGAGGGCAGAGGCAGGGCCAGGGCCACCCGCCAGCCCGCCAGCCCGCCAGCCCCGAATGTTCCGAAGTCCGCAACCATCCACGTGACCTTCCTCTCCATCTCCATCCCCGCCTGTCTGTCGCCTGCAGGTGTGCTCTAGGTAGGTACGGAAGTACCTACCCTACCTACCCTACCTACCCTACCTACCCTACCTTAACACAGGTCCCTACCAGCCTACTCGTAGGTACCTGTACCTCTACTCTACTCTCTGCCTACCTTACCTACCTACCTCTGCCTACCCTGGGCCGCCCTCATACCACTCACTCACTGGCTGCAGTGCGGAAACGCTGGTAATACCTAAGGTACCTAGTTACCTACCTAGTTACCTACCCTACCGAGCCTACCTAACCTACCTACCCTACCTACCCTACCTACCCTACCTACCCTACCTACCCTACCTACCCTACCTACCCTACCTACCCTACCCTACCTACCCACCCTACGGACTCGGACCCTAAGGTATTTTGCCTACGAATACGTCTTACTTTACCTCCGCTACTTACCACCAAGACTCAACCTCCATTTGCTGCAGCCGTCCACAATCACAATCACAATCACAACAAATACACACAGACATTCACATACACATACTCTCACATACCTTAACGACGCACCGAATCCTGCACGGCAAAAGCCCAAGTCAAGGTCAAGCCCAACAGCAGCAGCATGCAGTCGATCGCCCCGGCACCTGGGCCCCAGCAGGTACGTCCGTCTCTCGTCAGTGAAAGCGAGCGAGCGAGCTCTTTACACCTCGCAGCCTCCTCTCTCAAGTCTCGACACCCTCACTTCACCTCCACTCACCTGCATACCCAACCCCTACTCCAAGCCCGAAGTTCTTGTTTTGTTCCCTAATAGCCGAGATCCATTGCACTGGAGCTATCTCCTCGTAATCCGGAGAGGCTTCGCGCTCTGCTTGTTCCTCTTTATTCCCCAGCCAGCGCCGCCCCGTCCACTTCCCATCCCACACCTCTCGACCCTCAGCAAGCTGACTCACTTTCGCAGGACATGAACGCTGATAATGGTTTGACGCCCCTCCCTCCCCCTCCCCTCCTCTCCTCGCCTGGCTCGCTTTAAGATACGAGTAATCCCCTAGACCCCGTCACTACCGTACGTACCTTGTGTGTCCGGCTGCTGACATGATGCTTGCGCCTTTCTCTAAAGACCTACGCGCTCAGCTCTCAGCTGTTATAAACCATGCGCCAGGCCCTCATGGCTATAACGATGTCTCCCACCACTCCTCCAGCGCAAGCCCTCACGATCACAACATCGATCCAGCTATTGGCGGTCCGGGAGGAATCATGAGCACCGGCGGAGACAGCGGCGGGGACGACAGCTTGGGCGATGGACGAAAGGGCGGAAAGCGAGAGCTCTCACAGTCGAAGCGCGCAGCGCAGAACAGAGCAGCCCAGGTACGTTGTCATGTCGGCGAGTATTTCTTATGGTCGTGTTGTTCACTGAAGTCGGAGATGCTCGTTAAACTTTGAAAATGGTCTCTTTGCTTTGTCAATTCTCATGTCATCAACACCACGAACCCAAGCTTACGTAACATGCCATTCTGCAGCGTGCCTTTCGACAGCGCAAGGAAGGATATATCAAGAAGCTCGAGGAGCAGGTTCGCGATTTGCATAACTTGGAGGATAATTACAAGGCCATCCAGACCGAGAACTATTCGTTGCGCGAGTACATTATCCACTTGCAGTCGCGGCTCATCGAGTCACAAGGCGAATACCCACAACCACCGCCAAATGTCATTCTGAACCACCCGCCACGCCATGATCAACACCCAGAACACATCCAGCAGCAGCATCACGATGCACCCGTTGCACCTATGGCACCCATGAACCAGCTCCAGGCATCTGCAGCTCGAAATATAGCTGCCGCTAGTCTACAATCGGGAAAGCACAGTCAGGAAAGCAGAGAATATGAAGAAAGCAAAAGATATAAGCAGAGCACTGAAGACAGCGTAGAGCAGGAAATTCGTACTCGACTAGGTGATCAATCTGCCATGTCCTTGTAACAGTCTCCTTGGGTAGGCATCATGGGGTTGAGGGCTGGCTGGCGTTAATGGACATGGATGACTCGCAAGGGTGTGCACTCTGGCATGTGGAAATTATGAATATACGGCGTTTGGGACTACTAGGTTATGATCGCTTTGGCTGGTTAAAGAACACTCTCATAGTTGAGCAGGAAGCAATGAATGTCAATGTTTGTTCTCGCCAAGTAACTCGTGCTGTTTCCCAGTCCCTCAAGAGTAAGCGTTACCCAGATCGTGTTCCTGGGAGCAGTGAGCAGGTATCCTTTGATCATGAATTACTTCACGTACCTTCATATATTCCGCGCCTTTTTCAAGGTACTCGTCTCTTGTGACAGCAGCTGTCTTCCACTTCTCCCCCCCAGCCCATTTCGCAGCTCCCTTCCAAGAATCCATCACAGAATCCTTTGCTCTGCGAACATTTAGTGGCGCTTCGGCAGGCAAATATGCTCTCAATCCTTCCCTAAGCCTCTCATCAAAGTTCAGGAATAGAGAGCTACCTCCTGTCAAGAAAATGTCTTTCAGGAATACATCCTGCGTACCAACTCCATTTAGGCGTTGAGTCAAGATGTCGGCCGCGATCTCCACAATGCCAGCTTGGTCGAGGCCGGCGATTGATGGTTGAAATACCACCTCGGGAACTCGGATTCGCTCCACGTTCAGATGAAGCTGGTGTGCCTCTCCTTGGCTCTTCATGTCGAACGGTCTCGGTCCACGTAGGAAAGCATGCATGAGGCTCTTGGTCCAATCGCTTTGTGCGTCAAGAGTATGCTGGTCAGTGAAGTCGGGGTCGTATTTGAGTAGGTCTGCTTCAAGAGTTTTCAGAGTGACACCGAAATCTTCCTCTTCTTCATCATCACTGCCGTCGCCTGTAGCAATCTGTCTGTAAACACCCCAGTCGTCATCGTTGGCACCAAAATTATCATCATCTCCACCTCGGCGACGCTTCTTGGTCGGATTGTCGGAAGCCAGATTTGCAATGCTCTTCATTCTGATTTGGCTTGCGAGCGACTTTCGATTACCTAGATCAGCCTTGAGACGATCTCGGTCTTTGATCTTCTGAATCAGGCCTGCTCGAGCGTTTCTTCGCTCCTGCAGCCAGCCCTCCAAGTCGTTTTCTCGCTTCTCGTCATCAAGTCGTTGCTCCTCAGCAACACGAGCCTTCTCTTTCTCCTTCTCGGCTTTCGCCCTGGCACGAGCTTCATGGTTCGATTTCATGAGGCGTTGGTGACGTTTCTGTTTAATGCCAGCTTCGTCCAGTTGATCGTCCGCGATTTCCAGCAAGCTGAAATCCGGTTCCTCGACTTCCTCCTCAACTTCTGGACCCCCAACATCCTTAGTCCGTGCCTTCCGAATTGACTTGTCGAGCTCCTTAATTGTCCTTTCGAGAGCTGCTTCATCCTTTAGATCCTCAGCATCGAGCATTCGCTTGATCTCCTTCTTCGTCTCGTCGGCCAGTCGATTTTGTAGGTCTCGATAATAGTCAAGCTCTTGTTCCTTGCGAATCAACTTCTCCAATCGCATCTTGGCAGCCTGCTCCTGTAACCTCCTACCGCTCTCTTTCCTTTTCTCGGCAATTTTCGCTAGCTCTTCCTCGCTCTTCTGAATGATGACTTCTTCGGTGTACGGGTATTGAATGACATGATCGCGGTCCTCGAGGCCACTCCAGTCGAGATATTTGCTCAATTCCTGGTCATATTCTTGGGAAAGATAGCAGTGATCCCGGAGTAGGTACTCCATTTGTGAAGAATTGAGTTTGCCCGGAAATGTAGGGTACTTCAAGCGGATGAGCTTAAGAAGGTACTCAGCACTGTGAGATCCTCCCCAGTTCAGTCGGGTAGCTTGGGCGAGAATCGCCTTTGAGTTCAGCACCGGAATAACGTGGGTGGAGCTATGCGAAGAGGAGACAACAAGTCCAGTCTTGCCATCGTTGAAGTCGTAGGAGAATAGGGAATCGATACCAAAAGCCAGCGAAGGGGCCGAATATGCCTCAAAGATAATCTCAGTCATAGCTGATTCCAAAATCAGTAAAGTTCTTGGATGCCTTTCGAGAACTCACTCTTTCTTGAGTACGGTAGATTGGCGACAGCTTCAGTCATGACAATGGGAACATCCACCCCTCCATTTACGCCATCCATGCCCAATTTGATGAAAACATAGTCCAGAACCGATTCCATAACATCCCAATTGCTGACGATGCCACTACCTGCCTCGAAAGCATTCCTCATATGTCCTCTAGCTGTAGTATCGGCGTACACATCGGCACCAACAAACGAGTATGTCTTGCCCAGCTTCCGGTCTCGATATCTGGAATATATGGGCACGAGATTCAGTCGAGGAGCAGCCTCGAAGGACCATCCAGCTCGAGTAGCAGAAGACCCTGTTTCGTAGTTTTAGCAAGGGCCATTGATGTTGGCGCATTCACAGGTTTTGTACCATTATCGATGACAATTGCCACCCCTTGATTCCTTCTCGATTTTGCCTGCCGATATCCATCTTCCTGGATGTCAACAAACTTCTCAAAACGGCCTTCTCGAGGCGTGTAGAGGCGTGGCGGCGGCAGTGCACTCTCCGGCTGTGGAGGTTGAGCTTGGGATTCTGTTGCAGAGGGCGCCATTGTCGTTGAAGGAGATGTAACCGCGATCAGGCGTTTAGGGCATGGTGATATTTTACTGAGAGAAGAGACAGTTTGGAGGTATTGGTAATTGAGCTTCAGACGTTCGTGAGCTAAGTAGCTGACGGCCAACAAGGTCTCTGGGCTGAGAGCTCGAGGTCTCGCGGTTTCGCGACGAGGCTGGAAACGGTGATCTTGGATCCCGGCGAGGCTACGATTGTGCGGACAGAACAAACCACATACTGGTTGCAACGCAACCCTACAAAGGATTTTAAATCATGCAGCTATTTGTGGGATACTATATCATTTCTCAAATTCAACCCATAATCTAGTTAATCTCAATCTTAGCCTTAACGCCACCACTCCAAATCCAATACATGCTTCACTCGAAACCCGACCCACTGAGCCACTACGAAGGATCTTTGAGGGAATCCGTTGCTAGATATCATTAGGATTATATTGTCAGAGTGACTGACCATGACTTACCTTCCAGGTGGAAGAGGACGTTTGACTGGTAGTTCTTGAACATTTGGGCGACAAGTTCAACGTTCATATTCTGGATGTTGATCTCCTGTCGTGATTTAGCAAAGGCTGTGAAAGAAGCCTGCTTGGCTCCATTTCGTACCTGAAGACTTTTGTTCAGAAGCATAATAGCTTCATTGAGTTTCTCCTTCTGAATATTAGCGGTTGCCTGAGAGTGGAGGTGATTTCATCACTTACCACATTGGTAATGATTCGAGAGAGCAGCAAGTTCTGCTGATGCTCGTGAGGGCTTTCCTATAAGAGAATCAATACAGTCGCTTTCTCTAGCCTTGAGTCTCATCATACCATTTTGCGTCCTTGGAATGTTATTGTCGCGGCATTAATTCGCCATATCGACGCGTTCGTCTACAGAACCAAGAGCGGGCACAACATCACGTGGATCCAGACCTACGTTCCATTTGCATGGAAGCTCCCGTGAACAAACAGCCAGCCTTCCTCTCTACCTCACTCGATAAACGCCGAAACAGCAATACAATGGCACCCCAACCCTCCACTGAAGAAGCAGATGCTCATCAAGCGCTCCTTGACCAGCTCGACATACACGCAATCCATAAGCCGTTTCGCAACCCTCATTGGAAGCCCAACCAGCGCCGCAACAAGAATATCAAAACTATCCTCGGCGACGCAGTCCGCAAAGAGGCCTCCCTTCAACCTACCAACGAGAACAGTGGCGCTGCAACTCCTAATCCAGACGAATCTTATGTATCCACAGATGGCGAATCAACCCCCGCAGTCTCAACGCCTGGTTCTACACTTCAACCTCCCAATCTCGCGCAAGCTTCACGGAACTTGTCGAAGCTGGTGCTGGAGAGGAACATGAGGTCGAATGGATTTTCAAACGCTCCCAGTGCGACGTACACGAACATCGAGTCTGCGCCGTCTTTGGCACATCCAAAGCATTACTGTGATATTACAGGATTGGGAGCGCCATACACAGATCCTAAGACTAGATTGAGGTACCATGATAAGGAGGTCTTTGGGGTTATCAGAACTCTAGGACAAGGTGTAGCAGAGCAGTACCTGGAAGCCAGAGGAGCGCATACAGTTCTCAAGTAATGAGCAATTTGCTTGGGGAGCAAGTGTAGAGGGGACGGAGGGTTGGATTTTGGCGCGGCATACACTGAGGAAGGATGAGCAGATGGCCACATGTTGCGGCGTACAAGCTCCAGGTAAGCAGAAATTACGATACGGAGTTAAAATCAAGTCTTGCCATAATGGCAGCATATGATGTGTTGTCTGCCTCCAGAGTACCAAATGGTGCTGGCTGGTAAATTCTTAGAAGCAAACACCATTTCCTATGCTGCCAGCTAATCCTATTAGGCAGGCTCTCTTCATTCCGAACAATCCCAAATCGATCGAACGGCTTTGTATGATGGGCGGGCAGCAAGGTGGAATGAGCCGGCAGGCGGTGCAATCCAGCAGATACAGCTTCAACGCCAGGACACAGTCTGTATGACCGACAAAGTCAAGCGCATTCAACCCACCGAAAGTCTTTCGACTAACGGTTCAAGAAAGAGCTCCGGCTTAATCGCGATCAAGATTCTCATTATCTGCCTGAAGCACGACGGGGTACCGAGAAGATATAGAAGAATAAACTCAGTCACCAGAGCAAAGATGCCCCAGTCGTCGCGGCAGTTCCCAATTCCGGAGTCCTGGGACTCAACATGAGACAAGTGATGAAAAACAAACCTCGATGGCAGTGCCTTTCTCAATTACTCACTATGAACACCACCGGAAGTGATATCCGACAGGTCAAAGTAAGGCCATATTTGCTGCTACAAGTAGCTGGCTGGTCTGGATCTTGAAGATCGAGAAGCGCAAGAAAAATTCCAAGCTAGAAAAGCCCACCCACTCGGCAACCAGCCCACCAAGTTTCCCAAGTGCCAAGGCATCCAAGCCATCCCTCACCAAAAAAAAGTCCGCGTTCTGATCCCTGCGCGTCTTCCCAAGCCCAGCTCTCCCTTCTCCTTATCGTAAAGTCCATTCAAAACTCACGAATTTCGAATTTCGAGTTCTGTCTCCTACACAAGTTGAAAACAGCAAGATGCCTACCATGTGGTTATCCGATTCGCAGAGTATGTTCCCCTGTTTCCCGCGATCGGAGCAAAATCGAGGCTCGAAAATCACCAGCAGGAGCTTGAAAAGGGGCATCGAGACACTTGATGCGCCGGCTACAACACCAGGCTTCGAGGAACGCTTTGCGGGATCTTTTGCTAATGGTTGAGTAATATAGAGATTGGCGTAGCGTTCTGTTCAGGAGGTATGTTACCCTCGTTACTATGTGCTGCGGCGCACTACCTACAAAGTACTGACAGGGAGTTGCAACAGGTGGATTCTTTCTCATCTGTGGAGTCTTCATGTTCTTTGATAGAGCAATGTAAGTTTTCCGTTCCCTCTGCTTCTCGGAATCAAGCTGACCAAATCCTTCAAGGCTAGCAATGGGCAACGTATGCTATTTCCTGTCATATCCATTCATCACGGCTCACCCGGGCAGATTCTTTTCCTCCTCGGCCTAACAATCATTATCGGACCCCAGAAGACAGCGCTCTTCTTCGCGCGCCGCCAGAAGCTCAAGGGTACAGCTGCGTTCTTTGCGGGCCTCTGTCTGATCTTAATGCGCTGGGCTCTGGTCGGCTTCTTGGTCGAGCTGTACGGGATATTCATCCTGTTTGGAGACTTCTTAGGTACGATTGCTGGCTTTGCGAGGAATATACCCATCATTGGGCCGTGGATTGGTGTGGCTGTTGACAGAATGGGACTTGGTGGTGGTGCGCAATTACCAGTATAGGGGAGTTGTGATGTCACCAGACCTGCGTAATTAATGCGGTTGGCTTTGTAATTTGCGGAACGTTTTCAAGATGTGGGATATGATAATGGGTAGATGGCCTGTACAGGACATGCGGAGTTAGTATGTGTTGGCGTTTAGGCTTTGATACAGCTTTTGGGTCGTGGTGTGGTTGAGCTCAAGCTCCTTACCCGGCCATTCCGCCGGGAGACTTCTTCTTAATATACCCAGAATTTGAGGGACGAGGACCAGTTTGTCGAAAATCCCTTATGTTTCTTCTCTCCCGAAAATCCGAGTAAAAAGTCGTGAATTCATCCACCTATGCAAAGCTCCAAGCCCTCCCCGTTCCCTAAGGCATCTGCAAGGCTATCTATCCACATCCTCCTAACTACCACTCCCATGATCCATCGTCAAAGATACTGTTCTAGTATCGGCCTCTGACTCCCAAAGAAGGTCTCGCCTACGTTTATGCACATCTCTGCCCTTCTCCACCCCTCTAGAAAAATCCGAATCGCTACCAACCCCACCGATCCATTTGTTTGAATGTGCCCTAGTAACCCGACTTGATGAGGTAGTCTGCCAGCTGTTCGACAGTTGTTGCTGAGTTCCCGGCAATCATGCTCTCGCCATAGTGGGCTATGAGGATAGCTTGCTTGGTCTTGACAATGACGACGCCCTCTCGGCCCTGAGGAAGTATTAGCAATAGCAAGAGGGTTGACTGCTGCCAAATCTATCAAGATATCGCAAACGGTTTAGGAAAAAGAACACTACCTTTCTGGCATAGAGACTTCTATCTTCGGCTTTTGTGAGGACGTATCTCTCCCCACCAACGTGCAATCCTTCAGCATACAGAGCATCGACCTTTCCTGACAAACCATTGATGATCTCCTTCATCTCAGTGGCAGAGACCTAATGGAGGTCAGCATTTTCGGACCATGATCATCAGATCGCCTCCCTCGCCACCCTTAGAAAAGGTAGACGTACGTCGAAGTTTGGACTGGCAGCCCACTTGCTGTCACCCGCAATGCTGTAAATAGCTCCCTTATCGACATGGCCACTAGCCACCATGCTATACTTCCATCAGCTTCGATTCCTCATTGCCAAGTTTCACCTATTCGAAGTCGATCCCAGAGACGTACCTAGAGTCAACATATGCTGTGGTCTTCAAGTCAGTGTGTGTTGCAGGAGGGGTAGCCATTAGGCAGTTCCACGTACCTTGCCACGACATTTCGAGCGCGCTTAGTGCAGAGTAATGGACAGAGCTGAACAGGTGGAAGATTCTATGCGAGGATGAAGCGGTGCTGAGCAACAAGGATTCGGAGTAGGTCGATGTATGATGGAAAGTGGTTGAAGTTGTTGTGACTTGCGTCGCTGAGCTTGGCGCAGAAGCCTTTTTGGAGGGGTCGCGGACGGCACGCTACGGTAGCTTGGGGTGATAAAAGTGGAATGCCTCAGCCGCCGCTACAAGACTTGGAATACTTTACTTCACTTGACTCATTCCGGTTTTCAGTTCTTCCAGCTCGCCAGTATAGTAGCAGGTATATTAAGACTCCTGGTAGTTTTCAAAGTACGTGCTTCAAGTGAATTATCTGTCTTGAGTTCATTGCAATACCTTACTCCCCGCTGTTAGCTGCTGCCAACGTCCAAAATTACTCGCCTCCGTGGACCAACAACGCCAGCAAGCACTGTCAAAGGCAGAGCGAGCAGGTACAATAGTATCAGCGAACTCTCGGCGGACAAAGAAAGGGACGGCCCTTGCTGTGTTTGCTGTCTTGGCTGTCTCGACGACTAACCAATACGCAATGCACTGTAGCAGAGTCTCTCAGGGGATCCCGAACGCTGCATTTATCCTCTGATGCGATTCGACACTGGTATCAGACTGCAGATCTCTTGTAGAAGGCATCGGCATCATTCTTCGTTGTTGCTTTTTGGAGCAGACAAGCTCGAGGGAGATTAACATGCTCAGCTCTTCTGCAGTTGCTTCACCGAATTAGACATGTTGTGAAGCATGTTATGCCCAGATTGTCTGGCCGCCAACACTAACTAGATACTTGGGATAGAGTTGTCAATGATCCCCCCGGCAAGCCCTAGAACCGCGGGGTAGGAAGGGGAGGGGAGGGGAGATAGCAGTCGTCGATGACAGCGGCTCTTTAGACTTTGGCGAAGTGTTCCAATATCAAGATCTTCGAAGTAAGGTAGTGAGTGATGTGTGGCGTCATGTGCCACGCTCGGGATCATTCTACCTACTTCGGGCTGCACTGGTTCAAGAACATGGAGATCCGAACTTGTAGAAACGATCACCCTTCTAACTCATGATCCCCCGGTATCACGATCATTCGCAAGCGCATCTGCCGCTTTCATCAATGTCTGTGGGAGATCTCCTTCCCTTTGACGGCCAAGCCTTCAGGTTTTGTGCACGGTCTGTCCTCGGCTCCGTCCAGTCCAATCCACGTTCCATTCAGTTGAAACTGGGAGACTGGCCATCCACAGATGGATTCGGACAAAACGTACAGTAATGTCAGTCATCATCAACATCACGAGCCCTACCTTAGGATGCAAAGGTGAAGAAATCGAGGAATAGGTTATCCAAATGATAGGTACGGACCAGTTCTTGGTCAAGAAGCGCTGAAGCAAAACCCCAAGAAGTGGATCCGCACTTCTGCCTGGGGGGTACCTTAATTTCCATTAACCTCATTTAAACGGAGCCCTGATTCGTGATTCGTGATTCGTCGTGCCGGATATAGGTACGAGACTGCTGCTCTACGATTCGGGATCGGAAGGCCCCGCAGTTAGTGGCCATTGTTGTCGTTATTTCATCATTATTATTGCAGGCCCTGAGCAAGAGTGAAAGAACTTGATTTCCATATGTGGCATAGGGGATGGTAGGAAAATGGGCGTTCTGTTCTGATGTTGATGTTTCATCTCATTGCTCCCGTCTTTTGGTTCTATGATTGGATCTTTCAATTAGACGCCTACCTTCGAGGCCAGGGCTTGGAGAATCTACGCAGCGTAAACAGCAATAATAATGTCCTCAAGACCGCTAGACAATCAAACCGAAGGTGGGACCCAAGCAGCGCAGGTTCGCTCGCTCTCTTCCACATCCTCGCCTCAACAACCACAACAACCACAACAACCACAACAACAACAACAACAACAACATGACCCATAACAGCGCGGCCGGCCATGGGCAACAACAACATGGAATGAATGCATCACCAGTCATGCTGAAATGCAATCCTTCCGCCTTGCTGAAGACTTCTTCGACACTTGTAATTTTGGCTTTTATCATCGCCAGATTGAGTGCTGTCGTCAACCCCTGCAATTGGGCCTCCCGTAAGATTAATGCGGTTCCGGTCCCTTGTCTGATACACGACAGCATCACAGGGTCTATCCCTTCCAGAATCCGTCACAACCAGCGCCACGAGCGCAAGCCTCCTCGTCCTCGTCGTCCCTTGTCAGAAGCAGCCGGCATCTCCACGCTCCTCCTTTGGTCCTGGAGGGCGATCAACCTGCCCACCTGTAATCAAATTACCATCCCATCAACCTCAAACATTCACTCCACGGCTCAGATGCAGGGCTGAGAGGCGAAAGGTACGCGCTCAGCGTAGATAAGTAAATTACTTCCTCGAACTCTCTTTTCTATCTTCTTCCGCTCCATTGCTCTATCTGGTACCGGCTCTTAGTACATACTGGGCTCCTGGTGAACCTGTCCACTCCTTTGTACAAACCCACACATTCTTTAGTCGAGCATAAACACCACACTCCTTTGTTTCATATTCACTCGTCAATTTGGGCGCCGAGTTCTGGAGGATCCACTGATCAGTCTCAAACCAACCCATCTCTGCCACCTTACGAAATACCTCACTCGTTAATCCCTCAACAGGCTCACCACCGAGGCATCAGCGATGGGCAGGCCACATCCTCTGTCAAAGTCGGTGTGGGCCCAGTTGGGGCGTGGCACGAGAGGTCGAGACGCAGAGGATTCTGGTGCGCCAACTCGTGTATCAGAAGATGCACAGGCCACAAACGTCAACCCAAACGCTGCCGCATTGTTTGAGTTCGATCAGCAAAACCGAGATCAGCTTCCCGAAAGGCCTAGCACCTCCGCTGGACCTGCATCGAGCCTTGCGAAAAGGAGAAACGCTGAGAAGAGAGAAACAAAGGACGACCTTTACTTCAATCCTCTTGCTGCTCATGGCGTAGGAACAACTTTCTACAATTTTCCACTGCCGGGCTCCCGAGGCTCCCTCCCTACTCCTGCCAGCTCGCCAAAGGACCTTCATCACCCCGCTACTCGTAAACCGCATGTGACTCGCCCCTCGACCCCCGAGTCTATTGAAATAGCGCCCGGAAATATGAATGTCCCACAGGGTGAGATCGGTATGGCTCTCGGGAGTCCACAGCATCCTCCTACAGCATGGCAACAGATACCTATGGAGCGATATACCGAATCGCCAGACCATATAGACGACGAGATGACTAATTCGGCACCAGCGAGGCAAAAGACAAGCAAGTGGAAGCTACTGGGTGGTCTTTTTGGAGGGAAGAAACATGAGGCGCAACCGGTTGCATTTTACCAACTCCAGCCCGAGGCGTCACAACAACCCGTCAACCACGGATTCGATTTCGGAGAACCAGCAGCTAGTGAAAAGCCCAAGTCTCGAGGTCGAGGACGTTCGAATTCCAGTGCTCGCAAATCAAGGAAGCACAAACCAGAGATGAGCAGATCAAATACCGTACCTCTCCGCCTTGATCCTGAAAGATCAGGGAGACAGAAACAGACTGGGACTCCAGAGATTACTATTGACGGAGGAAATGTTATCTACGATGGCTTTCATTCGACCCAGAAAGGTGCTGGACTGCTTGATGTCGACATACCTTCAGTTCAGATGGAGAGGTGGGTATTGGAGCAACTCATTATTTCCGCTTCTAGACTTCTAGAGACATGTCATTTCCTCTACAGAGGCTATCCTCTTCAAATATTTCAGACTTGGTAATTGCTTACTGACCCTTTACTTTCAGATTTTCGATTATGTTCGGCGCAGTCATTCAGAAACCCCATTCGCAACCGTCCTCGTTGCTAGCTAGGCGGCAGGCTACACTAGACAAACTCAAGACAGTTAACGAGGCCCTCGCTTCTAAGGTTAGAAGCCCGCATGTCCATTGGGCTCCTTCAAATGACTGGTTCTAAAGGTGGAGATAGGAACGCGAATTAGAGGCCAAATCCAAGTTGTTAATGCCCAGACGAGCGACCTCACCAGGGTTCAAGACTCAAAGTCCGGCATTCTCGCTATTCCCAAGTACACCTCGAACCAGGGACGCATCTCCTTCGTCGCGATCACGACCTTCAGTTACTCTTCAACGATCCAATACTTCTCCAGCCGCTCTCTCTCCATCGCGACCAACTTTCGCGCCTGGAATCACCAACGAGGAGCATGCAAATCTCGTCTCTGCCGACTCACCCACAGTTCCCATCCGCCAGCACCCCGACATGTATAGAGGTCCCCGGGCACTAAGGAAAAAAGAAGAACCAAAAGCGTTCGCAGAACCAGCACCTGAGCCAAACAGATGGTCACCTGACCAGTCTCAGCTACTACTTGATTCGTCCAGTGACAACGAGAACGAAAAGGAAGACGAGATACCTCTCGCCGTGACCGTTCCCATGAAGCCTAAACTCCCCGAACCAACTTGGCAAATGGTGAACCCTGCCCACGCTACCAACGATTCGGTCTCTGGAAGCTCGACGTCTGGATCCGATCGTTCAACCTCAACATCCGCATCCAGCATTACCACACCCCTCAGCGCATCCACGGCCCCCTACCCAGTCATCAAATCCCTCCGCGTCAACTCGCCACCTCAAACACGAACAGGAGCCTCCAACATCGCACAAAAACCAGCAATGGCCCGCTCAAGGAGCGCCACCACAGTTGCTGCGCCTAGCTCCATTCCGCGGCGTAATGCCAGTGCCGCTGTGCAAGTCTCCAGCTCCAAGTCAGAGGATGAAGTACGTCTTGAGACTGCTGCAGACGTGTCAATAGCTCGTCAGATTTCCGTCTCCCGTCAGCAGAGGCACCTGCTCGTACCAATTAAGACGAGTCTCAAAACATCAAGTACGGGAACCTCAAGCAAGAAGTATCTCAATTCCTCGAATCCTAGCGGAAGTCCTATGAATGACCGTGTGGTTGGTGGCCAGAACTTCCCGGCGCCTGTTAGCGGCATTGGGGCTATCGGCAAAGTTTCGAGTCCACTTGGCGCCATTGCAACAGCCACGAAAGAGGAGCATGAGCGGGGAAGAGGAAGCCCACAAGTTGAGAGGATAGTCAGAGGGGAAGCTCCCGCGGAAAGATTGGTACAAGTTGCGAAACCTAGCACGCCCACACTCGTTGTTGTAGGTGACGGCGTGGGTGGCAAGGAAATGGCTTGGACTGGAGCAACTGCCAACCTGAACAAGCCGCTGTCGCATCCACCTGTCGGGTTCTCAGAACGTAGACGACAAAAGGAGGCAACTAGTTCGTATTCTCACACGAGTCCCATTGTTGGAGAAATCCATGTTGGTCTTGCAGTTTCAAGAGACAGTTCGCCCACACGACATGCGAGGGACTTATCGCACAGGAAGAGCGAGAGGGTGGTATTCGAACGTGTCAGCGTGGCTTCCAATTGAATTGTCCCACACCCACGTATCACATCCACCGAGTATTTTTGCTTTCATAAATTTGTTTGCCGGCGTTGGATCAGGGACGACAATATATTCAGAGAAATTCGATACTCTGGTAGTATATTACGGGAACATGCATTATTGTTTTATATTCCAGAAGCGATGACAGGATGGGATGGGTTGTGTCGATACCTATGTTTCGGTTCGTGACTCTGCACATAGCAATTGAGGATGGGATATAGGACGGAGTAGACTCTTATGAAAGCAAAAATTTCAAAATCTAAGATTGAAGAACTCTTAGCCCCTGGACGATGTCTACTCGTCTCCGGATGCACATCCAGTTTCCAGAAATGCTTATATGGGAGCAATTTCTGTGGATATTGGGGTCTGGTAGCTCTGAGAACTACCAACTCTAATCCTGCGCAGACCGACTCTGGAGCCTGGTCGCTTTCTCAGATCGCCTATATAGCTCACTAAACGCTTACTCGGCTGCGGTTGATGGCTTGTATATTTTTACACGAACATAATCACGCAGAAGCTTCACATAAATGAAGCGATTTCAACAAGGGAGCTGATAAGAGGTGACCTCCAAGTTCCAAATCCCAAGTACAACCTCTAAGGTACTCAAAGCTTGTCAGTCCAGTTAGCGCCACTCCCTTACCTACTTGATATTTCCTTCCTTCTACTATCTACCCGTAGATACATATTTGAAGCTGTTCACGTCCCCGGATATGACCTGTGTAACTCGATTACCTGTTTTGATCTTGAATCGAGGGGAGGTATGAAATCATTTGAATTACAATAATTATTTAATGTCAAGGGTCATTTCCGCGCGGTGTTTCTGTTTTGATATCGATGCCTGCATTAGAGGTCGAGTTTGTGTTGCAATCCGTCATCATGTTCGATTCAGGTTCTGGGCCGCTTGCCTTCCACTCTAATTTAAGGAAATCCTCTATACCGTTCACTTTCGAGTAGTCAGACCTACACTAAGAGATGGGGTGGCAATAATTTAAGAATGAGTGACATACGGAATACATGCTTGATAACTTTCTCCAATTACTAGGGCAGGAGATGAGTCTCGAAAACAGGATTTTCAAAGAGTTAATACCTAAATTATAAGTTCGACATGAAAGTTTTATAGAACAAAAGTTGACTTTAGCCGCCGTCTAGATTTACCCGTCTACTTAGGTATGTTGTTCTCTCAACAATAACCACGTGACAAGCTCTTCTTCCTGACCTACCTTACATCCCTTCCAATGTTGTTCCCCCAACAAGTCGCAATCTTGAGAAGGCAGTACGAGATTAAATTGGCAGTCAATCAAATGGTCACAAATGCTCCTCAGACTGATTGAGTGGCATGAATGACCTTTCGATAATCACCATTTACGTCCTTAACATAACTGTACATACTGTTGATGCACTTCGGCATGTTTTGATTAGTCTCGGCTAATTCCTGAGGTTCCGACTTGCCATGAGGCTGCAGAAAACTTTTTCATAACTTTTGTAGACAAATAATTCATCATAACTACACGTAGAATCAGATACTACTAACCATAATATCATTTCAATCTGCCAATACATGACGCGGATCAATTGCATGACATATTATTGAGAGGACCGAAAAATCAACCAATAGACATTAAGTTGGTCAACAATTAAACTCTCCCCATTCCAATCCCGTGGTATTAAAAACAGATTGGAAATAATTAATTATCAACCATAACATCCATCCCTCAAAACTTCAATGAACAAGAAGAAACGCTACATAAATACCTACATGTTAAGAACTTGTCACATACGCTGAAACGACAGGGTATATGTGAAGTACAACAGCAAAACGATTCATGTTGGCAGTGAAACAGATCAGCAACTTTGAGCTCACGACACTTGTTAGATTCAAGGCATATCGCTCCGCTTGAAAAGTCCAAGTTTGTGATTGAATTTCATCATGCCCGACCGGTACTCGTTACTGCAGGGTTAGCGGAGGAGGAGAATGCCTCAACACCGGCTCCCTGTCTACCCATCCCAGTTGCATCTTGAGGACTATTTACTGGGTTTCCACCGGAGTGTCCGTTCTGTGAGTCGCTGTGTATACCGTTGGTGCCATTGGTGGGGTGTGCACCTGAACCGCTGCCATGGGCTGGGACATTGGCACCATCCAGTCCTCCGGTATGACCAAGCTTCTCGCGATCATATGCTCCATTTGCTCTATTGGCTCCACTGAGGTAATGGGTCATTCGAGGTTGGTCATAGCTACGAACGTGGATACCAATGTCCTCAGGCTTGATATTTCTGTGAGCCCAGAGAAGGACCAAGCCGAATCCTGGTTTAGCGAGCACGTCTAGGACACTGTAGAAGATAGCCTCGGAATCAGGTGAAATGACATTGCCACCTTCGGAAATACCCCAAGCAATGGGATAGAGGAACCACAGACCCATAGTCCACCCTGCAGCAAGGATGTAGGACTTCTTGATGTCCGTTTGGTTGGAGGACCTAATGCCACCTGCATGTTTTGGGCCGACATAAACCACATTGTAGGCGATGAAGAAGAGGGAGATCATGGCGAAGACAAAGTAGCCCCACTTGTATTGTGAAGATACAAGTGCACCGACAAGACCAGTGACAATCATGATCTCGTCAACGAGAATTGTGATCAGAATGGTAGACCATGGAAGGCCTGCTGTCAAAAGGACATCAAGCAGGAGAAGCTGTAGCATTATTAGCAATAGTCGGTGGTTGGGGAGGGGACGGACTTACCGGAGTCGTGATGACCCAGTCGATGTACCGCACATAAAAGATCTCCCGATAAAGACCGGCGACCACCGGATCGCTGCGTTGGAATTCAACCATGATGGCAGCATATCCAAGATTCGAGGCCATAGTAAAGTATGCGATACAGGCTACGAAGCAGATTGCGGCGGTGATGTAATGGAAGATAACATATTCAAGGCGATGACTGTGTTTGGGTGCTACCCAGATGTGGGCATGAGCGATGAAGGCAAGTGCACTGACTCCCATTATCGCGGAAACAGCCCAGTAGAGGTCCGAACCACCTGTGGGCGGCGAGTGTCAGTGAGATACATCGACAGTGCAAGGGAGCATACGTACGAGAGGTGATGTTGATGTCAGACATCCGTGGGTAGTTGAATATATTGGGATTGGCAGTTAAGGCATCTCTGCCGGCCAAATGATCAAAAGCTGACATCTTCTGTGGTACTCCAAGATGTATGGGCAGAATTAAAGACAATTTGATTATGTTTGCAGTGTAGGAGCGCGAAGACGCAATGATTAAGGGATGGTTGAGTTCAAGGAGAGTAGTACACTGGCGGAGGAGGGGTACTATTACTGATATTATTCTGGAATAAGCACAACAGATAACAGTCGAAGAAAATATTATAAAGAGGCGAGGTATTGCATTATATTGTATTGGGAAGTCTCGACACATGCTGTGTTGTGTTGGCGTGTAGCACAGTGAGGAGGTGCAAGTGAAGTGACGTTGTTGATGTGTAGTCCCTCCCTGTTTGGGATGGCGCTGGCTGCACATGCAAATGCCTCATCACACAAAGGAGAAGGAAGCGGAGACAGGTTGGTAGGTGTAGCCAGCGCTTGCCCTTACTGCGTACGAGCAAATTCTCCTAGCTGTCCCACTAGGATAGTCGGCTGGTCGACAGGGTAGATACAGCCGTGATGACATGCTATGGTATGCATATGGCACTGCGTTGTGTCTGGACAAGGCTTGATAGTTACCCAATCAAAACGACTAACCTTCTTCAGATCATCAGACTGATAGTATACCACAGCCATCTCCAACGGGGTCTCATGTATGCACCAGCAGACCAGCTCATCAGAGATTCCCGGCAGGGGACACTAGGAGGACTCTACCACATACTAAGCAGAGCATGCAAGAACGCCACTCGGCCGGCAGTTGAATCATGCAACCAAGCGATCAGGTCACAAACTCAAAGGAACAAGCATCGCAGTTTTGCAGGCATGCAGCAAGCTCTCCAACCATCGAGCCATCCTATCATTTCTACACCTCAAGCGAGAACAACAAAAGCCGGTCACGATGCTACAGTACTTCCGTACTGTACGTCTCGGCTAGCAACAGCGATCAAGCCTTCCGAGATCCACTAGACCCCTGTCTAACGTCCCCGATCTGACTCAAGCACCAGCCATTTCTCATTCTTCCTCCTACATGCATGCGGCATGGGAAAGGAAATCTGGAGAACTCCCATCTATACTCTACATACCCACGTCATGATTTCCTGATTATGATAACAAAGACAGGGAGCAACGCCGACTTGGACTACTCAAAGCCAGTGACCGAAGAATTGCCTCGGCAGAAACCACCTAATTGAAACAATTCAGGTAGAGCTAGGGAAACAACACGAAGTGCGATGGCAAGGTCGGATTTGCGGCAAACAAGTTGGTTGATCAACAGAAGTAAGTAATCATGGGACCTCCGGACAAGCCCATGCCACGACCATCATGCCACAGCCATTTTTCGAGGTGCAGATAAGCATGCAGTCCTAGCCTTTGCCGATCCGGCATTCAAAAAGGCTTCTACTGCTTGTGTCGGAGACAAGAAAGAGAAACGGTGCCCGCAAGTGTGGCGCTACTCTCCTGACTAGCAAGCTTCACCATCCAAAAACAAATCACAACGTCATCAACTTTCGACCACATCTGTCAGCTCTGAAGAAATCGTGAATTTACGAGAAGAAGCAGGAGGTCTGCTCCGGAAAGGGAACAGGATCTAGTGATTGGGAGGTTAGTTAGAAGGAAGAGGTGCTTCAAAGTCACAAGCTAATGACAAATATTCGGCAGTGACCATCCAACGTGAATTGAGTTCCATAATTATGTTGAGCAGAATTAGCAGCTGCCTTTGGTACGCATAACCCTTATTCCCCAATCGTACCTTGTTCATAACAAATCTTGCTCAGGCCATGTGGTGTTGCAAAAATAAGAGGGTATGGTTGCAGAAGAGATGGCCAACCTGGCGCCGGAAAATGCCAGATGCGATACTGTACAATGCGAAAACTCCTGCCACTTTTCGAATCGAGTAAGGCTTCGCTGTGATGATTATAAATGCTCTCCAAAATAGTGGATGCAACTTCACAAAGATATCAATGCAAAGCTTATCCTATGATATCCAATATCCGCTTCCTCACCGCCATCCAAACATTCATGCCAAGATTCTCGCTTGCCTCCATCTCGGTAAAGACTTTTTGTTGTGGTATGGGTAGATGCCGAATTGTTTCCACTGGCCGCTGGTTGAGAATCTCGTGCTCACTGAACCAATTTCCATGCAGACCATAGGGTACTCTTTGTGGTAGTTGTACTTTGCATACCACTTCTTTCATATTCTTGGCATCAATGATCCAGAGCTCGCTCTTGGAACTGATGTCTGCGATGCCACTCTGGTCGAGCTGACTCTCATCAAAGACATAAGACAGAATCCATCCGTCATCTTCTGATGTCCCGTATTTGCGTGGAACAAATCTTGACTCTTGCGCATAGAATCCTTTGGGTAGCTTAAAGACTTTGATCGGATCATTTGCATCATCCGAGGCCAAAATCTCAGTGACGGTTCTTACATCAACACATCCTGTGATTGGCGTCGGTGGATATTCATCTGCCTTTTCGATCAACGCAGTAGCATCAACTTTGACCAAAGAATCGATCTTCACTGCCCGGCCCAACGCAGCTCCAAAAGTGCTATCTGATACTGAGCAGCCGTAAATGTAGCGGGCTGAGGACATGGACATGTCATCTCGTATGGATGGAAACTCGAAAGGCATAGCAGTCAATGCGAATTGATGAGTAATCTCGTTCTGTGCACTAGAAAGCTCGAAGCGGTAGTAGTATAGACGGCACTGTTCTTCCTCCGGCGTATACTTGGGAGACATGACTTTCTTTGGAATTGGCGATGCCACGTCTCCAGCACTGAATACCAGCGCCGCACTTGTAAGCCGGCAAGCAAGCATGTGAACCGCAGCTGTCTCCACTCTATCAGTCCCCAGGCTGGTTTTGGTCTCGTCCCATGTATTCGCAGTGTGAAATATGCAACAGGGATTTGTCTCGAACCAACGGACCGCTTCGGGATTCCATCTTGGAAATATGCCAAATCGTGACTTGCCAGAAGGATCGTATGATACCACAGGCTCGTTTTTAGCGAGATTCCTTGGATCCAGGGATAAAGGCAAGTCCAGGATAATAGTGTGTGTAAAGGAAACTCCAAAATCATGCATCATCTTTGCAGATCCAATACCTGGAACGGCAGCATTCACAAGTCGACTGGGTGTTGTAGGGGTGTTTGTTGTCTGCGAGCTTGGTATAATTGAAATCATTGCGAACGGAGAAAGAAATGTTGAGTGGAAGAGTATGAGTTCTTTGGTGCGGGGATCGACTCGAGGGTGTGCTGTTGTCCATTCCTTCATGAAAGCAAGTAGACCATTCCCTCCAAAAGTATCACCTGGAACTCTCTGGGTAACTGGCTCTCCTTCTGCCTTTCCACCGTCAAACCATCCAACAGTCTCCAAACTCGGTAGAGACACCCGTATTGGTGGTCCACTTTCACAAGTAGCCAATGCCCTCCCATCATGATATAGGATTCCAGTGTTGGCAACACTGATCTTCTTAATTGCTTGCTGTGAGCCAGGCAGATGAGAGAGGAAGACTAAGAGCAGCGTTCGAAATATTCGTAGGATGATGCGCAGTAAAGTCGATGCTGGATTAACAAGTGTTGCAATACTCGGGAGAATTGGAATTCGAAGAGATTGGGTGGTAAGAGTCGAGAGGTAGGCATCGGTCAGGATATATTGATTGACAAATGCTGGACATATTTGCCCGTCTCCTTGTCTTTGGAATGCAACCCCGCTGAGCATGCCATCTCCGTCAAACCAATGTGCATCTCTTCCCAAGTCGAAGGAGGCCGAGGGCGGATTTCCTCCATTCCTCACATATTCCCCGCCAGCAAGTTCTTGAGGTATCGAACCGGTGTATGGACAAGCCGTGAGGGGTTGAACTCGGTGGATGGGAGCGAAATTGCCATGAAGATATGGATGTGGTCTCCCTGGCCTAGTCTCCTTCTCATTGACGAAAGTCATGAGTGAAGCTTGACACTTGGATCGCAGGTATGGACATATGTAGGTCGAGGAGTTCTTGTCCCAAAAAAAAGCTTTCTAAGAGGCAATGGATGTAGAACACAACAATCAGAAGTCAAGCTCTGCTGCGGCTTGCCTTGGTCGGTTGGAAAAAGCTGGGGTAGATAGGTGAGGCAAGGTAAGGTAGGGTAAGGTATGATGAAATGCCGATTATTCGTTTCCTCTCGTTCTATGTTCCGCAGTGTTAACCAAAGAAGAATGGGGAGGGTGTGGTAGTGGTAGTGGTAGTGGTAGTGGTAGTGGTAGTGGTAGTGGTAGGAGATGTGATTTCTGCGATGCAGCATCTCACGGACCTGACACAAGAGACCTTACAAGGTAGCACTTACAGAGTAGCACCTACTCGTACCTCCCACGTCTAGGTGGGGTGAGGAGGTAAAGATTGGTACTGTAGGAGTAGGGAGGGGGAGGTGGCCATGACGAAAGCGCTTTCCCGTTCCCGTTCCCTTCCCTTCGCTTGGCTCGACTATTCGAGGCGAAAGTATGGATACCTTACCTTTAGCCTCCTACAGCAGGTACGAGTAGTTGACGGGATAGCGAAAACAAAAGCGAGTGACGACTGACGACTGGTGTGATGAGGGGAGAGGGAGAGGGAGAGGGGAAAGTGCAGCCCCTGTCAACCTACCGTACCGTACATAAAGAACGACAGAAGCAAAACTGGGCAGCTGACCAGCCAGTCAGCTGCCTGACTGATTGCCCTTGAGGTGATGCACTGGTAATGACTTCCATTCCATTGCAAGTTCAAGATCAACCTGTCAAGGTCAAGATCATGACCATCGAGCTCTGTCTGCTCTGTCTGCGCTATGCTGCTTTGGGCCAAGCCTGCCGTACTCGCACATCAACACAAGAGTAGGTAAGAGCTGATCAAGAAGCAAGAGCAAGATCAAGATCAAGATCAAGATCAAGAGCAGCAGAGCAAGAGCGAGAGCAAGAGCAAGATCAAGGCAACATCAGTACCAAGACCAAGACCAAGACCAAGACCAAGACCAAGATCAAGACGTCATCGAAATTGGAAGGACGTCGGGATGCAACACTTGCAATGATCGAGGCGAGGCGAGGCGAGGCGGGGTGAAGCTATGGCCACCTGCAGGCCCTTCAAGCCTGCAAGCTTAGCGAGCCAATCGATGCTCTAGGAAGGGGAAGGGGAAGGGGAAGGGGAAGGGGAAGGAAACCTTGAGTCGGACCTTGACTGCCCTGTCGAGGTCCATTACGGTAATGGAATGGATCCTGGCGAGCCTGGACATGAGCCTGAGCCTGAGCCTGGACCAGGAATGGCACCTGGAAGTCCATGTCCCATCGCACTAATACAGTACTGTACTGTACTGTATTATCACTAATTTTACCAGGCTTTAAGGTAAATTTACCTCAGGGCTGGGCTGGCGAACGCAAAGGTCCATTATTATTATTGTCCATTACCTACCTAGTACCTACCTTATTATCCATATTCCCACTATCCAGTGTCCTCTGCCCATTCATTACCTTACCTATTGTCTCTTGCCCACTGCCCACTGAGCATTGTTTATTTGGGCCCTCTCCCTCTATCTCTCTCTCTCTCTTACCCTCGCCTCTCATTACCAGTCTTGGCTGGTCATGTCACTCACTCAGTCACTCACAGTCACCACCTTACCTACCTGCCTCAATTTATCTACCTACCTAGGTAATAGGTAGGTAAGGTACTCACCGCACCTGCTCCATCACTGAGCTCTGCCCTCTCCTGACCATCCCTCTCTGAGCCTTCACCACCTGCACCGGCGGACAGCTCAGCTCAGCACAGCACAGCACCCCACATCACATTACATTATATCACGTTTCGCACATCTCCAAACGCTACCTACGCTAGGGAACTACTGCTTCCGCGTGACAATGACTCGGTTGTGTTCTGTGTTCTGACCTGTTCTCGACCTGTTAATATTGTACACGCGAGAAACCATAACCATGGGTTTCGAGTACGCTCTCGTGTAAGTTGGAATTCCTTGTCTCGGCCGGAAACCAACAAAGCAGCTGATTGACGCAGTCATCTGAAGTACACAATTCCACCAGGCATTGCCTTGACACTCCTTTACCGGCCTTTTCTCAGTCGGATAGACCTGTACAAGATCGCATTTCTGATCTGTATTGCTGTCATTTCGACCATTCCGTGGGACTCCTACCTCATCCGCCGCAAAGTATGGACCTATCCACCTCACGTGATCATTGGTCCGACTTTGTTCAACATCCCAGCCGAAGAGGTATTCTTTTTCATTATCCAGACATACAACACATCTCTTCTGTATCTACTGCTCAGCAAACCAGTATTTCATCCGGTCTATCTTCCAAGTCAAAAAGACCGGGCGACACGATGGAATTTGGGACACGCCATACTAGCGTTTCTTGTCACGGGAGGTGGATTTTTGGTGTGGAAAGGGAACGAAGGAACTTACATGGGATTGATCTTGGCATGGGCAGGACCCTTTGCACTCCTCCTCTGGTCGCTGTCGTCTCGGTTCTTGCTCAACTTGCCATGGCTCAGTACCACAGCGCCACTTGCTATACCAACTCTCTACCTCTGGGTGGTAGATACTATAGCCTTGAAGAGAGGGACTTGGACCATCGAGTCTGGAACAAAGTTCGGAGTACATCTGTGGGATGGATTGGAGATCGAGGAAGCAGTATTCTTCCTGGCTACCAATGTCCTCATTGTGTTTGGTTTGGTGGCGTTTGATCATGCCCTAGCCATTCTCCTGACCTTTCCGAAGTTATTTCCAAAAGTTCCGGATTTGCCTTCGCCGTTCATGCTTATCCAAGCCCTCTTGATAGATATTTCGAAGTACGACGAGGAACGGGTGGCTGGAATAAAGCAAGCTGTCGAGAGGCTTAAGAAGAAGAGCAGGAGTTTCTATCTCGCCAGCTCCACATTCTCCGGAAGGCTGCGAACTGATCTCATTCTACTGTAAGTTTCTCATGGTGCCCCGATGGTTAGCAAGTCAGTTTTGTCTGACTAGGCCCAGCTACTCTTTTTGCAGGGTTGCCGATGATCTTGTGGACAACGCAAGTTGCGAGGCCGAAGCCCGGAAATGGATCGGTAGACTTTCGCACTATCTTGACATAGCATATGCATCTAGAGAAGCTCGAATCGTCTCCAAAGAACCAAGTGTTCATGCATTCGTTACGGAGAACTTCCCAGAGTCAGCTCAGCCAGCTCTGAAGCTTCTGCCAACGCACCTGCTCTCATTCGGGCCTTTGTATGACTTACTCGAAGGCTTCAAAACAGATCTCGGATTTTTGGAGAAAGGTTCCAACAAAGTACTTCAGAAATTTCCTATCGAAAAAGAGCCTGATTTGGAAATCTACGCTGCACGGGTGGCAGGAACAGTAGCAGAGCTATGTCTGGAGTTGGCCTTCTTCCACAGTAACTCGACAACGACGGAGGCCCAGCGTGATCACCTGGTCAGAGCTGGTGGCCGGATGGGAATCGCCCTTCAATATGTCAATATTGCCCGTGACATCGCGACAGATGCAGCCATTGGAAGAGTTTATCTGCCAACGTCTTGGTTAAAGTCGCAGGGTCTTGCTCCCAGAGACATCATCGACAACCCGCATCGGGAAGAAATAGAAAATTTACGCGGCCGACTTCTTGACAAGGCCTTTATTATCTACCGAGAAGCAATCGGTGCCATATCCCAATTACCAGATGACGCCAGAGCACCAATGAGAGTAGCTGTGGAGAGTTACATGGAAATTGGCCGAGTATTAATAGAGAAAGGATATAGATTCAAGGGGGGAAAAGCCACAGTGCCGAAACTTAGAAGGCTGAAAGTCGCGTGGAAGGCATTGAATACTGCGTAATGAGAAATAGAAAATCCTCAAAACCACCTCATGCTGCGCGACCCCGCTGTTCGTTTTCTGCTGTGCAACCTGATGATGCTGAGACTCTCTGCTAAGACTAAGAGGAAGTACCGGGATATAAGCTGCACGTCGTGAACCCTGCACGAGACGCAGTACAGTACAAATGCAAGGACAAGGACTACACCTATCCGAGATCGAGATCTATCCACGTCATGATTCGTCCAATGCAAACAGCAATCAGGAGCAGCCTTCTCCCGCCTCAGTGAGCTAGAACCAGAGCTAGAACTGACCACCAACAGCCCATCACGATGTGAACGCCGTACATTCTTTCCCACCTGCGAGTCTTCGCACCGCTGCAGCTTCCAAACCTCAGACAAATATTGCAATGGCACCTGCCGACCAGAAGCCGACCGCCATAGTCGTTGGTAAGCAAGCATCGACCAAGCTACAATACCCCGCCATTCCGTGCCCTGCAACCCATTCCAGCTCTCCCCAACCCCAACCCCAACCCCAACCCTCACCCAAACATCAACTAACCCTCTTCATAGGCGCAGGAGTTGGCGGCGTAGCAACAGCTGCCCGACTCTCCAAGGCCGGTTATTCCGTGACCGTTCTCGAGAAGAACAGCTTCACAGGCGGCCGTTGTAGTCTCATCAACCGCTCGGGTTATCGATTCGACCAAGGCCCCTCCCTCCTCCTTCTTCCCAAGCTCTTCCAAGAAACCTTCCATGACCTCTCCACCTCCCTGGAGGCCGAAGACGTACACCTACTGAAATGCGACCCAAATTACAACCTATGGTTTGGAGACGGCGAACGCTTCGAGCTGAGCTCCGATACGGCTGTCATGAAGCGCGAGATTGAGAAGTGGGAGGGCAAGGATGGTTTCGAGAGGTATCTGGCTTGGTTGGCCGAGGCGCATAGGCACTATGAAATCAGTGTGAAGGAGGTGCTGCATAGGAACTTCACGTCCGTGTTTAATCTGCTGAGGCCGAGCTTCTTGAGACACCTTGTGGCACTGCACCCGTTCGAGAGTATATATTCAAGGGCAGCAAAGTACTTCTGGACGGAAAGACTGAGGAGGGTATTTACGTTTGGAAGTATGTATATGGGTATGAGTCCGTTTGATGCACCAGGGACCTATTCTTTGCTACAATATACGGAGTTGGCAGAAGGGATTTGGTATCCGGTTGGAGGATTCCATGTCGTTGTTGCTGCGCTGGTCAGAATCTGTGAGAGGTTTGGAGTCAATATTCGACTTAACGTTGCTGTGTCGTCCATTCTCACATCACCAAACGGAAAGGAAGTCACGGGCGTCCAGCTCTCAACAGGCGAACAGCTCTCAGCAGACCTAGTAGTTATAAATGCAGATCTGGTCTACGCCTACAACAACCTCTTCCCAAACTCCTCCCCAAGCTACGCCAATTCGCTCCAAAAAAGAGACGGCTCGTGTAGCTCCATATCCTTCTACTGGTCCCTTTCCCAGACCATTCCGGAGCTCAAAACTCACAACATCTTCCTCGCCGACGAATACCGCGAATCCTTCGACTCAATATTCGAGAGACAAGGCATCCCAGATGAACCCTCATTCTACGTCAACGTCCCCTCGCGAGTTGATCCCACCGCAGCTCCAGCCGGAAAAGATGCTATCGTTGTCCTCGTCCCTGTCGGCCATCTCCTCAACTCCGCTACCTCGAACATCGACAAAGCAACTTATGGAACAGGTCTTCTTCCCGAACAAGACTGGGATACTATCGTCTCCTCTGCACGCAGAACTATAATTTCAACAATTGAGACCCGGACGGGCTGTGCCTCTCTCGGACCTCTAATTATCCACGAAGAGCTCAACACGCCTATAAGCTGGGAGTCAACGTTCAATCTCGACAAGGGCTCTATTCTAGGCCTCTCGCACTCGTTCTTCAATGTCTTAGCTTTCAGACCGAAAACCAAACATCCCAACATCTCAGGCGTATATTTTGTTGGCGCTTCCACCCACCCGGGGACTGGCGTGCCGATCGTACTTGCTGGAGCGAAGGTTACAACTGAGCAGATATTAAATGACAGAGGAAAAGTTGTCCCGTGGGAGAATCAAGCTAGGCAGATACGAGATCACGGCGCGGTTCAGGGGAAAGGCACAAGTCCATTGGATGTGTTGAGGCGGAGGGAGGGCGCGGTATTTCTGAGCGACATGGGAATTCTTACACTGGCAGCACTGGTGTTGGCCTTGGTTCTGGCATATGTCAACAGCGGTTTGAGTGTGACTTGGGACTGGGAAGGCAAGAAGGGTTGGGGCACCGGTAGGGTTTAAGTCGCGGTCAATAGACGGGGAACAAAGTGCTTGGTAAGTTAGTTTAATAGAAGAAGGATTTGAGTCCAGTAATGTGAAAAACATAATGCAGAGGGACCCTTGATCACTGTAGTCTCTATTGAGCGTGATTTCTTTCATCTGAACTATCATTCGATGCTTCAAATTTCCGAACCATATGTATAGGAGGAGCTGGCAGTATACTTCGGGATGAAGCTTCGCGTACCTTAACTGACACTGTGCCATGAAAGCGAACAATATCGCAAGATGTGGATTGCCAAAGCAGCTTTCACAATGAAGGAGATTCTATCCCTGGAGATATGTCTGTCAGTGGTACTGATATTTCAAAAAGTAGCTTTAGAAAGCACCCTGCACCCAGTAAAGTATACGGTAGTGGTGATGCGATTTGGTAGTGAGGCGTATCAAGATCTTCACAACACGAGCAGAGCAAGTGTCACTCACAGCAGGCGAGCTTAAAACAGTGGTGCAATAGCCATTAGATTATCAACTAATGCCCCGATGTTTCTCTAACCATTTACAGAAGACATCCTCCGTTCCCGAGATCGAGCATCCATGTACACGCATGGCCAGTCCCAAAATCTCGTCACTTGCAGATTCTCCACCCCAGATCGCAAATAACAGAAAAAGAAAGATTCATGCCACAACTTTGAGTGCGCGTGGATTTTTCCTCTCCTCCATCCTTAACCACCTTTGACGTCCAAGATGCAAATGCCAGCCCATGTGGGAGACTCTGATCGGAAAGACTCAAGAAGAACGAAGAATGACGACAAAGAACTGTTACCAAGTAGCGCCATGATCCCAGCCAACGTTAGAAGCAGTAGTAGCCGGAGGTAGAGTAGCTGCTGGAGCTGGTCCATTGCGAGGAGCAACGTTCTGAACCGGAGCACCCCAGCCACCCCTATTAGCAGCAGGAGCGGAGTTCTGAAGGGGAACGGATGGAAGAGAGCCATAGTCTGGAGAATTGGCGTAGTGAGTGGGTTGAGCTGGCTGGTCGCCATATTGCTGATATTTAAGAGGTGCAGCAAAGCCTTGTGCAGGTTGACCACCATATTGAGCACCAGGCTGTCCAGAGTATTGGGGACCCTGACCATTGTTTCGAGGAGCGTGGCTACCATACTGAGAGCCACCATATTGAGCAGCCTGAGCAACATATTGAGGACCACTACCAAAGGGAGCACCATGACCATGTTGGGTGACTGAAGCAGCTGGGACTGGAGCAGGAGCTGATGGGACACCCCAGTTTGATTGCGTAGGAGTTTGCTGACCAAACTATCTAGTATATTAGCACTGGTTTGTTCTGAAGTTTGGGGAAAGGAGATAAGCTCTCCAAGACACCAGCACAACAAGATAGGGATATGCTAACCTGAGAAGGAGGGGCAGGTGGACCCTGAGAGGCACCAAAGTCACCAGATGACAGGCTTGGAGCAACAGGAGCTGGAGTAGCTTGAATAGGAGCAGCCTGAGATTTCTCAGTGGCCCAATCAGAAGTCTCAGTGGGAGCTGCAGCCTGAGCATCAGTTCCCCAGCCATCACAACCGCCCTCACTATAAATGATTAGCAACTGTATCGAAGAAGCGACCAAGTACAGAAGACTTACGCATTATCCTCCTCGTCAGCATCCTCGAACTTGAGCCCGGCGAAGTCACCAGTAACATTTCCATCGTCATCAGTGGTGAAACCCTCCGGAAGGAACTCGCGAAGGAAGTCGGGAATAACTTGACGAGTCTCGAGCATGAGCTTTACCAATGGTTCGGCAATATCAGCGTCCCGACGGGGGTCGTAGAATGAGGTAGCTAATCCCAAGTTGCCGATACGACCAGTACGACCTATACCTAATGTCACTTTTAGGTCTGAAAGAGGGAAAGGGGCTTGCTTACCAATTCGGTGAGTGTACTCTTGAATACCACCGTATTGAGCAGAAGGAAGGTCAAAGTTTACAACGCTGGTTACAGCATTCAGCATGTGCTATATAGATATCTTGGAAGAGTTGATACTGACTGCATAACCTTGTGAATATCCAAACCACGAGCAGAAACACCGGTAGCAATTAGAACTGGTGTCTTGCCAGATCTGAAAGCACGGATGGAGTCCTCACGCTCACGCTGAGTACGACCGGCATCTGGACAAGAAGAGAAGTGTCAGAAACTGAATGCACGTGTTCTACATGTCAACGCTGACTACTCACGAATGGATGTGCAAGGGATGTTATTGTTGAAAAGGAAGTCATCGGCCTCATCTGCAGCTCGCTTGCTGTTGACAAAGATGATTGTTCTAGCAGGTGGAGCGGAGAGAAGGAGATCCAACAAGGCTTGCTTCTTGAGGTGAGGCTCGACGAAAATAACATCCTGCTTGATGTTTTGGTGCGAGGAACCGGCACGACCAACATGAATGCGGACATGGTTATGAGCCAAGTGCTGAGTGGCGAGTTCACGAGCCATCTTTGGGAAGGTGGCGGAGAACATCAAGTACTTGATATTTCCCTCCTCCTGATCTGTTTATCCCTTCAGTGCTTGCTCGATTTATGAAGGTCAATAAACACTTACCACCACCAGACATGATCTGCTTGAGCTCAGCTTCCCAATCTGTGTTGAGCATCTCATCGGCCTCGTCAATGACCATGTACTTCAAGCGACGAAGAGTGAGGAGATGGGGGCGATTGATAAAATCACAGAGACGACCGGGAGTACCAATCAGAACATCACAACCCTTCTCCAGTTGACGAATCTGTTCGGCGATTGGACCGCCTCCGTAGACAACGGCTGGACGAAGCATGGAACGATAACAGAATCGACGAGCCTCGTCAAAGATCTGAGTAGCCAACTCTCGGCATGGAGCAACAATCAAGACCAATGGCTCGGCACGAACACCTGGAGTTTCGCCTGAAATGAAGGTGGCTGGATTTGGGCGTGGAGCACACAACTTCTTAGCCTTGCCCATCAGCTTTGATAATATGGGAATCAAGAAGGCTGCGGTCTTGCCGGAACCTTGCATACAGTCAACAAAGGAAGATTGATGAATTGAATACTCGGTGATTACCTGTCTGAGCACATGCGACCAAGTCATGGCCTTCAATAACCGATGGAATGGTATATTGTTGAATGGGGGTTGGGACTTCGTAACCAGCAAGCTGAACGTTTTCTAACATCACAGGATGCAGGCCAGCATCAGAAAAGTGCTTGATGGGCTTGATTCGGATAGCACCTTCCTGTGAAACCTCGATCTGAGTGACACTATGCAACTCGTTAGTTGTGCTCCATACAGTGGAAGGGATCACCTACTTCTCGAATTTGATGCCGGTGCGGACATGGTTCTCGGAACCGAAGAGCTGCTTCTCAAGATCAGGAAAGCGAGGAACGACATCGCCGTATTCGTCATCCCAAGTGTAGATTTTAGCGTTGCTGGCCCATTCACCAACCGCAATGCCACCAACACCTACATCCTCGGTATCAGCAGATTCACCAAGACCGTTTGATTGAGCCTCTGCAAGCTCCTTCGAGGACTTGGTATAGAGGTCATAATTGTACTTGGTTGGCTCAACCCAACCATACTCTTGTGGGTTCTTTGCTGGTACAGCGGCCGGAACAGCTACGTGGACACCCTCGGAGGTTTGTTCAGGAAGAGCAGCGTGCATCTCAGCAGTGCCCCAATTAGCCATGGTGAAGATTGTTCTGTGAATGATGTTAGCCAAGTCCGGAGATTCAGTCAGTGTTTGTAGGATTGAGAGAGACTATGGAAAGAGAACTTGTGTGTAGGTAGGGGATGTATGGCTGTCAGGAGAGCGCGAATGTGATAGACGATGAAACTTAGGTGAAGGATAAGACGAGGGCAAGCGCAACATGAGGATGGAGGAAGATGCTGTAAAGCTGCCCGTGGGTTGTGGACATTCTTACCTTCTGAATGAAGAGCAGTCTTAAGGTTATCTGTAAGGAAGAATCAATGTCACTAAGCTGGACATAGACCAATAATGCGGAAGTAGGTAGATGGCAGGTCAAACGATACGCAGGAAAACCAAAAAGCAGAGGATGGAGCATCTGCCCCACTCAGTGAACATCCAAGCTTGATTGAATGACCACCAATGTCCCCAACACAGAGTTCGAGAGAGCAGGGAAGTGGGAGAGGGATGTAAGCTTACATGCTGTTTTGGTGTTGACAAGCAACACGATGTGTAAGGGTGATTTGGATCTGGGGAGAATAACGCGTCAGTGATCGAGGTTCAGGTTGAGACGTGATCAAGTGAGACGAGGTGAAGTCTTTGATGAAGGGCAATTGGGACTGGAGATGGAGAAAGAAAAGAGATACAGTAGTCTTGCAGTGTCTTGATCGCGACCGCGACTGTTGACGCTGGGGAACTTACTTGAACGAAGCTGGAGCTTCCAGAGATACCTTAGGTACTTGACATACGAAAGCTTCAGAGGAGGAAGGATTGATCGAGAGATCGAGGGGGGGAGACGAGAGAAGAGGTTGTGTTGTGTGTTTTGTGTTGTGTTGTGGAAGAAGGAAGGGAAGAGGCGTGGGAAGGCAGAAGGAGAGGGGGTTTATATAGAAATGTATCGAGACGAGTTCCTTAGCGCGGGAAGGAGCGTTCGGCCACCTCGTCTGCTCTATTCACCCTCCCTCTGGGGCCACTAACCTTTCAGGTTCATCTTGGACTCCTACCTAGGTAAATTTCCCTCTTCAAATTTAGTTCGGGTATGTTTGAGGCGAGAGAACCTAGACAGGAAATGGGAAGAGAGGAAAAGGGGGAAGACCAAATTCTTCCGTCAGAAGTTTTTCTTGCTCCTACACCAACAGCTGTCCTGGGCCTCTGGCAATAGCAAAGGGGGCAAGAGATGGGTCCGGGAAGTACAGATGATCGAATACATGGATATAACCATTGAAGAGACAAGCATCAGGCGGACTTCGTTGGAACTACCGCTTCTTACACCTTGACTTGATACTTTGGAGCACCTGCCTGTCAGCTATGGTGCACCAAGAATACTAACAAGAACTTCAATGCAGCTTCCGCAACGAATCCCCAGCCTTCAGTTCTGGCACAATTTCACTTCGTTAAGGTCAATCCAAGTCGACGACACACTCTACGGATAGAGTGCGCCAGAGGCTCTACGCAGACCCAGAGGCTTCGGAATTGGGGAGAAGAATTCCACTCCAAACCTCCAGAAGGATTGCGAGATTTCGAGACCGAGCACACGACAGGAGGATAACGCGAAAAATTTATCGAGAAGGCAGAGTACTTCACCCCGGAAGAGAATGATCAGATCCACAACGCCAGCTTGGCCACGGATCAGACATCCTGCGCAAGTCATGAATAGAGCTAGAACAGGAGGATCGCGATCAGTACGCAGGGGTACCTGGGATGGCATCCGTGATGGAGCCGAACCATGTGCTCACACAATACCCAGCATTCTCCCACAAGCAATCGAGCTTCCGCCTCACAATAGTGGTCTAACTCCTCCCATCTTAAATATTCGACCTCCTCATCTTTCAAAGACTACAACACAGCCATGAAGTCCCCGAGAGACATTTAGTACAAGCATAAGAACACATAAACATCATGGAAAGGGTGACCGCGATGTACGACTATATACTGTTCACCATTCAACCACGTAAGTCGAATGCCAATGATGTGATGGACCAGATGCAGATTTCCCAGTAGCATAGCTCGAGGATCAATACTAAATTTATTTGCAGATGTCAAAACAAGTCACACCTCGCTTCAAGAGTAAACAAACCCTCCAAGGCGAATTGGCTTCTGCCTCGTTTAGATGTGGAGATATTTCGGCGCTCGAGCCACCTTGACACAACGAGATACTAACGAGGTACAAAGGATGTTGATTGGATGATTCCTGGACTACAGGTCTTTTTCAGATGATTGTATGCCAATGGGAACAAATGATTTGTCGAGGAGTGGCAAGATGAGACTTGAAAGATTTTGTGTCCTTTGACAGCTGCATATCGGACACTGCCGGTATTGCAGGCAATTTGTGCCAAGTTCTTACGCCTATAATATGAAAACGACTGGTTGTGACTTTGGACAGGACTCTTGGATGAAGCTTTCAAAAGCCGTCTAAAACATGAAAGGGGGGCCAAGGGCCCTGGCACGCAGTAAAGCTTGGATGCCAGAAACCAGCACTCCGTCTTAGACCAATTATCTGCCAGACGGATGTGATGTTTATATGGGCAGATAACAACGAAATGGACTTTCAAGAACATTTCGGCATTGATGACCTCAGACTATTACCCGTGGGTTGTGTCATCCAGTCAGAGGAGCAATACCCGATCAATTTTCAGCCTATTGGAAACCGGCAAACAGGCTATGCGACTCCTGGAACGACCAAGATGCTTGAAAGAGTCGTTCTCGCCAGAACATATCTGGTCGGATAGAGGCGTCCGTTCGACAAAGCCTCCATGACGCTGCTTGATGAAGAATATCATAGGAGTCTGCGCCACGAACCTGCGCGGAAATATTTCCAATGGAAATGAACCGTAATTCTTTTTCCTTCGCAGTGTATAAATTGATGCATGGCACAAATTCCTGTCCTGGTACTTCTGTCACAGTTGTAGGCAGCGTAGTTACAACCCGTTCTTTGGCCTTTCTCTTCGGGTTTGGTGCGCCATTCCGACCACAAGCTGCGTTTCCCTACATCGCGAGCTTAGACCGGAACCATTGGAATTGCTTCCTGGTGCAATAGATCATGATGTGAAACATAATCAGCCAAATACCGTCCAAGATAATATGGTACAAACAAAGGGAACAAAGATCTATCCTATACCGAGGACAATTCAACTGCACCGAAATTTCCGGGATAATCTGTTGAATACGCGCAACTGGCGTGTAACATGTTTGCCGAGAAATTATGTAGGATGTTGCAATCGTTGAGGACTACTCTGAATCTAAACGTACGAGGAGGCTTAAAGACATACGAATGCTCAGTGGCATAATGTCTGCAATCGAATATGAGAAGCATCCGTCGTGGCATTTGAGTAGTTTCAAATACCAAAACGGTTGATCTGCCAGCTAGCAAAGTCGATCATTGTGGTTGTATGATTGCAGCAAATTGAAATGGAATCAATATTTGATGTTGAACTGTTGAAACTCTGTTGATCAAACAGAAATTTGGTATAAGAAAGACTCCGTGGCGTTGAGGCGCGATAGTGCTGCGCCTGGGCGCAAATGGTAGTCATACACGACTCGTTTGGAGATTCCTTACGCACCAAGTTGAATAGTACGCCATTTCGGAGTCTGAGGATGATGTTGGGTTTAGGATCGGCGAAGGATAGCCAAGTGATTTGACAAGGGCTGCGAATGATGGTTTTGAAAAGGTGTGAGGTTTTTTGGTCGTATTTCTACCGCTATCCTATTTTGCTATTTTCGAAAACAGCTATTCTTGCGATTTTGGTTCTTAGTAGTTCGATTGCTTGGGCAGATTTTCGTTCTCCTTCGTGTCTGCGTACTGACCAGGCGTAAAAGCCGCAACTCTCTCGGGACGAAGTTAATCGCGATTGACAGGCTTTGGGGCCTGGACTTCGAATGAATATGTACTTCGATGCAAGATGCAATACTTGCGGCAGATCAGCTGAAGAATTAAAGTCTTGCTTATTGAAAGCTAGACATATGTAGTGCTGCTTTTGCTTCGCTGGTGCTTCACGGGCTGTTAAATTGGGAGCCGACCGCGGCTGCTGTAGAGGGCCCCAGGTGATCTGTCCGGAGAGGTGTCAAATAAATCGCCAAACTAGTGCTGGGTGATGCTGTCTTGAACATCTTGTGGTCGTGGTGCCGGTAGTCGATGTGGAGCTTTTGAGGGAAGTCCCTGGAGGTGCCAGCCCGGCATGAAAGTGTCGGAATGCTGTCTATCCCCCGGATAGGACCTGTTTGCTGTTATTCGAAATCTTCAATGATTGGCCAGCATGCGAGAGCAATGCAGATGGTAAATGTACTTTATTGATTGTAGCATGTTATGTCGACAAGTTTAGACATGCCTCTTGCGCGGGCAGCTCATCAGACGATTTCCTTTGCAATTTGGACGCGAAGGATGAAAGACATGGCTAGGTAAGCATCATCTCTGTCATTCTCTCACTCTCCATTTTGAGAGCTTGTCCGGGATAGAGAGACAGAATCTTAACCACCAGCAGGAAGAGCCACTAGTCTGGCCAATGGAAACTAAGGTTAGTGTGGAAATGGATTAGGTAATTTACCTTCTCCTTCCTCTGGTAGATATGGAACGGCTGGGCCATCGACTCTTTTGGTAGCTTCATCAGTAAACCTCACTCGGGGCAGTGACAAGAACAGCTGCAACTGTCTTATACTGCATCTTTCATATTCTAACTAGTATCTCTCGAATTTGAAGTGGATCGTCAGCCAAATTATGAAATGGTGGGTAAGGAAAGCATGATATTAATGCACCCTTTCATTCTCGGCCAACAATGCTTCATGGTCGACTTTGCGTCGATTGCCAACTCATCGCCGTGGCCTTGTAGGACGTCGAAGCGATGTGGATCGTTCGGGTGGTAAGAGTTCCCGTCTTACTGTATATATCAAAGTCTAGCCCGAATTGCTCAGATGAAATATACATTTAGAAATCCTAAGTAAGTACTCGTTTGGGTATGTGATCCCATGTCCCGATTCGATCCCTATACTCGTACAATGCTATCCGTGCCAGAAACGCCCTTGACCTCTCATGTATACAAAAGTCCTATTTCTTATCTCCAAATTTCTGATGAATAGCTCGGATCTGCTCCTCAACGTTGACATTCTGCATCATATCCAAGCGACGGTCACCCTTTTCTGGAGCAACACCATCGTAACTAGTAGCTGCCTTCTTCCTCCTCGCAATTTCCTCTTCTGAGATGATGGGTTGACCGGTCACGCCATCGAAAAGATCACTACGTTGGCTAGCGAGACGCTTGAGGTTATTGGCAACATCCTGGGTGGACAGGTTGGTTGTAGCATAGCGGCTATCTGCCTTTGCTTTCTGCTCCTTCCAGCGAGGATCAAGAAGCTCGACTGTTGGCTCGTTAGTTGTGGCTCCTTGCGGGGGATATAGAAAATGCATACTTCTCATGTGTTCCTCAAGCTCATTCGCGGGCATCTGTGTCCTACAATTTGGACACAAGACCATATTCTGCTTGTTCGCAGCTCTAGCAGCTGCTCTCGGTACGTAGTTCTCCTTGATTTTCATCGGTGCGGCAACGGCCTTCGCTTCAGCTTGTGCTTGCTGAGCACGTTGTCTCGCCTCGGTTCTCTCGCGGATGCGCTGCTCTTCTTCGTCTTCTTCATCCGTGTTCCGCATTTGAAGATCTTGGTATTGTGGTTGGTAGGTAGGTTGAGGTATTGGTGGAGGAGCCATTTGCTGTGGCTGTTGTGGGTATGAGTTGTAGTAGTCTGTATCTTCCGGCATAGCTTCCTCGATCCGCATGTTGTGAGAACTGACGGACATCATAGCCTTCTGATCCAGGGAAGCAAATTGAAGCTCCGAGAGAGATGTTGGAGGCGGGAGATGTGCTTGGTCATCTGCTTCCGTGAAAACCACCGTCTCGACAACCACAAAGTCATGCCAGTCAATCTGTTGATACGAAGTCTTCTCCTTCTCGGCTTCTTCCTCCTTTTTCGCCTTCTGCTCATCCTGAAACTTGAACCATTCCGCCCTCTGCTTCGCCCGGCCCAGAACGTGAAATTTATCGTCCACATTAGCTTGCAGCTCCTTGATTCGCAATTGTTGTAGCTTTCCACCTTCTCCATCCATTCCGCCTGCTCTCAGCAGCATCGTATATTGATCGATCAATCTCTGGAAGAAGCTGTGAAGGGTATGATTCGGGCGCAAGAAATCAAACTGATAATTCCCCGTCTCCCTTTGCGAAAGAGTCGTCATGAATTGTCTTCCGTTCTTCGCCACGAATAGCGCCGTCAATCGCACAACCTCCAAATCTTGCGCACTGATATTTGGCATGCGTGCAGAGAAGTGGAATTCGGGAGGCTCTGGTGGTCCTTGAGGCTTCTCGGGTTCTACTTCTGCTTCTCCAGCTCTACCAGCTGCCACAGCAGTGCCTCTACCTTCCTTGATCTCGCTGAGTCGCCATAGGTAATATGCATTGTATGAGTCGTTTGGGCTGAGGAAGGAGAACTTCGGGTTATGCTTCTCCTTCTCTCGAATACGATCTAGCAGTGTCAGTCTGTGGATCTTGAGGGTTGGAACATCGGCACTAACCCTCAAAGACATTGCCGTTTCGCGCCACGTATCCTGCCGTCTTTTCAAGGATAGCTAGAGAGTGTCAGTAGAAGTGAAGGTAAATTTGGAGCTGAAATGCGCACCTTTAATCTCTCTTGGAGGCAGCACAACACCTGCAGGCGCTTTTATTTCCTCAAGCACTGCAATTGCATCGCCATTAGTAGCTGAAGGGGCCATACTGAATGGCTTGTGGGGTGTTGCAGTCTACGAGTCTCGTTTCTGTCCGTCAATTGATCAACAAAATGGAGGTTCTGCCTGCCGCTAAGATTTTTGCAGCCTTGCCTTGCCTGGAATCAGCCAATTAGATCTCTGACCTTGCATAGGGCGCCGCCCATTTCAAGACACCTCGAAACCGTTCTTTCTGTTCCAAGTCTGCTTTCAAATTCGGGTAACTGGGAGGAAGAGGCAGGTGTAATGAACCGTCCTTTAACGATTCTAGGACGATTTCCCACAGGAACAGTCTCAACTAAGAAAACGTCTCTCAGAACGCCTTGAGAAGGCTTCTTTGCCCAGGGACGGCCCTGGACATAAGTGTATATGATAGATACCTGGATGCTTTATCTTAGGCTGAAATCCCTTACAAAGTTACTTCGATTAGCATCCCTCAACCACCCTGTATTCTAGCTCACACGTCGGAATCTTACAACCAACCTTTTCCTAAATTGATCTATGTAGATCCTCTTAAACACTAAGAGTAGGAGGTGATCTTGTAGGAGAGGCACCAAGTATTCAATTGAAGTAAAGATAAGTCAAACTTAATTCCCTTCTCAAAAGGAACAAAACGGCTCTCACCTTTAAAGTAGAAAGAACTGCCCCTAAGAAAGGAAACGTTCCAAGGCGGTTTTGACGTTTTGGAGAGGAACACAATTCTAGGAAACAACTGTCTACAAATGATCCCGAGACCGTTCTTTTACCCTTGCTTTTGCCTCTAAGTTAGCTCTTGATTCACACGAGCTTCTGGCATTACGAAGTTCCTTTACCATATATCTGTGCGCAGAGTCTTCATGTTGGCCGGTAACTACACTGGAAAGCACCAAGATACCAAATGCGTATTCAAAATAATCTATTATCTCGTCTTTCGTCGCTGTCTTCTAGTCTTTGCTATCCTCCTGAGCATCCTTTGGCGTTATCTTAGCCAATAATTATGTTCAATAGTGTAGATCCCTTAGTATGCCCAAACGCCTGATCAATAACCATTACAGCAACTCTCAAGACGCCATGCACCATACGAAACGCCGCTCTCCGCCTCTTTTGTCGACTTCCCACTCCCACCCACTAGATACACATTAAGAAAAATATTTCAGGACCAGCTGATCCCTTCTTTACTTAGTCGAAGGATCCTGGAATTGTAATAGAGAGCCTGTGGCCTCCCTCTTTCTCACCTTCCGCAGTAGATCCCACTGTTAGCGACTTTGTTGACTGGGTTGAGTTCCTTGCATTCTCCACCGTTGCAAGATCACCAGCAACCTCTGTTAGATTCCCGAGTTCCTCCCCTACAGAGGGCATCGGTGCAGGGTTTGGGAACTCGGCCGTATCCTCCATGACAGCAACTCTGCTTGCCCTCGGCGAGCTCAATTTGATATCCACAGGAGTGACATCTCTCGGTTGAATCTCCCCGGTCCGCTCCAGTTCTTCACTGATCTTCTTCTCCTGATCTTTTCTCTCCTGGCTTATGCGCGGGCTCTTCATCGCATCGGCATTGCTGTGGTGCACGGGAATTACCCCTCCACCAACCCGGCACCAAAACATCTGCTCCCTTAGCCTCACACTCTCTTCCCATGCTGCTTTCTCCGACTCTTCGTCGTCACATCTCCAATGCCCATCCTTCAATATCCTTAAGAAGCCGAGGAAATCACAGGTGGAGCGAACCCGACCAAGGCAGTACTTGCATAGTGGATATCTCTGTGCACTGTCGCTCTCGCTCGTTCTGAATCTATGACTGCGAGTATGGGCGGGGTCCTTCCGCGACTCTCCACACAGCGAGCAAGAAAATGAATAAGGTTTTGAAGAAGTGGGCATTGGCTCTACTACCAGAGAGCCTTCACAAACCGCATTCAATACTGTCCGTCTGGCAAGCCAGGAAAGACCGGGAGCTGCATCCAACCTTAATGTAGGCTCTATATCCTCCGCTTGAGCTCTCTTGTAGAATTTCGTGTCCTTTAGAGGGGTCAATGAATTTGGTCCATTAGTCGATCCGTTGCTGACTGTAGACGCGGGCGTTGTTGGCGTTGCAGGAGATGAACCAAGCGTTCCAGCGGTCGATAAAGAGGTTGATGATCCATTGGTTGGGCCGTGTTGCGAGGGGTTATATCCTCCGAGTCCTAAACCTACACCAATACTCCCATAAGATCCGCTCGAGACTCTGCTGCTTGCTGGAATATTCTTGGACATCCGCAGAAGCGATAAAAAGTCATCGTAGGCTGAGAGATCTGTTCGAAGTACCGGCTGCAGAAGATGTGTGAAGCTCGTTGGGTATGACGGTGAGATAGCCTCGTAAGCTGTTGAATGTGGTGCTTCAGTGTCCGGCGTGGGCTCTTCCTTACTATCGAATCTGCTCAGGCCAGGAGTCGAAGGAGCTGTTTGGTTAGTTTGGTCGTCTCTTTCTTCCGTCAAATGTTCCATAACCTGTTTCAATTCCGCCAATTGCTCTTGATGTGATCTTAACAAGCTCTCAGTATCTGCTAGCTGCGCTTTCAGCTGGTCGTTCTTCCGCTGAACATTGTCATGATCCTTTTGCGCGGCTTCCCGAGCTGTTATGACCATCTACAACCATCAGCTATTAGCCCCATTATCATTTCCCTGAGTACGTACCTTGTTAGCTTCCTCGAATAAAGCTGTGGTCAAGTTCTCCAATTCCTGCTCAATGTCCTTCTTCTCCTTCTCTACCTCGGCCCTTTGTCTCCTCTCCTCTGCTAGACTGGCAAGAAATTTGGCCTTCTCGGCCTCCACAGTTGCTTTTTGGATCGACGCTTCACGAAGTAGCGATGTAGCCTGCTCTTGGTTCTCCTGCTCAAGCTGCTTAATTCGAGTCCGGGCGCTCTCCAACTCGTGCCGTGTTGCGGACAGCGAATCGTCCAGGCTCGTTTGATGATTTATTGCGTTTATAAGCTTATTGCTCAAGGTGGCTACTTCATTGCTCAAATCCGGGTGCTGAGCAGGATTCGCTACCCCACTCTCACTTGCTGGAGTCATTGATCGACTTCGAGGATCTGGCAGTGTACTCATGTTCCCATCCTCATCACTGAATGGGCTTCGAACTTTCCCAGTTGATCCTGGCGCGTTGGATACTGTAGCCATGGCATGCAGGGCAGATGTGCTTATTGACTTCGAGACTGGCCGCGGCGGTTTGGGTGAGACTTGGGAAGAGCTTGTTGTTGAAGAGTACGATCGTATGTGCTGTAAGGACCGCTGCGATGTTGGGTGATTGTGCTGCGAGAAAGCAGCTATCTGAATAAAGCTACAATAACATCAGCTGGGTAAGTAATCAAAGGTTGATGGAAGTCCGTAGACACTTTCACATACTCGGACATTCTGGATGTTCCTCAGATGTCTCAAGGTGCTGGGTAGACCTTGATATTCACTCTATCTTTGCTCGACGACACGCTCGGATCTGGGACGCAATCCAGAATAGAAAGGCACTTCCCTCAGGATTGAACGGTTAAAGAAGCCTCGAATGACCGGTAAACATCATTGGAAGACAACGAACAGCAATGAAGAGAGTGGGCGTGAGTTAAGCTGGAGCCATCGGGTCTACCTCCACGAGTTCCGCTCAATGCCGTTGACACGTCGTTGCAGTTGTTGAGAGTGGAAAGGAAGGAAGGAAGGAAGCAGCAGCGGAGAACAGTGAAGCGGTGGAGCGATGGCGATGGCGATGGCGACGGGACGGGGATGACAATGACAATGACAATGACAACGACAACGACAATAATGACATGGACCACCACCACCTGGGGGCAGAGGGCAACCTTTTCGTTTCCTTCCTTTCTCTCCCATGCCCTGCTACCCTTCCCTGCAAGCCTGCCTGCCTGCCTCGCCTGCCCTCGTGTCGGGAATCGGGATGGATGGGGATGGGCGGATGGCGGGCAGTGCTGGAATCTGACAGGCTCGGCTGGACTACCTACTGGACTGGACTGGACTGGACTGGACTGGACTGGACCGGGCTCGCCGGGCTGGGCTGGGCTGGGCTGGATTGGTGGACAAGAAGCCAAGCCAAGGTCAGTCCACGGAGTCAGGACTCAGGACTCAGGACTCAGGACATGGATCCCTAAGGGGGCATGGGCGCGGGCGCTGGCGCGGACGTGGGCATACAGGACATTGGTCGGTAAATTTGATACAGAGGAGAGAGGTAAGCTGTAAGGTAAGGGTAAGGTAGGCAGGCAGGTACTGTAAATTTACAACAGTATGTACCTCGTACCTAGGTACCTACCTACCTACCTTACCCAGGTACCCAGGTACCCAGGTACCCAGGCTCGGGCCAGCTCATTACAGTATTTGGTCATGAGCTGGATCAGTCGATGCGTTCTTGGCAAAACACAACGACGGTGCACTGCGCTGCACTGCACTGCACTACTACTAATGTTCCAAGCGAGCCTACAGCAAGTTACTCCGTGAAGAGGCAGAGAGGGGAGGTAAAGTTTAACTTCCTCTCCTCACGTTGCAAGCAGCTCGGACTTGGTCAAGGTCCTGTGCTGTCTAGTCCTCTACTTTCATGTCCTGTCCTGTCCTGTCCTGTCCTGCAATCATTATTGAGTTCGATTCGCAGACAAAGCAAAGCGCTGGCTGGCTTACACGCAGGTTTGTCGATTTAACGTTTTCAGTATCCAGGCGTGTCATGCCATGGAAGAATCCCGTCGAGGTGGAAGACACGGTAACGCAAAAATACAAAAACAAATGACCATCGTCATATTTCACGCCAGAGCATGGTGGGGCTCATGTCAGACAGGGAACGGAGAATGACCCACAGCCATGCCTCGCAAGGTAACCCAGCGAGCCCAGGCACCTGGAGTCCTGGACTGGACTTGACTTGACTTGATTTAAGTTCCAGGTTCGCTCGCTTTGATCGGAGAGCGGCGGATGAACTGCTGGAACAAGATTTGGGCTGAAAACTTTGCTGGCGACAGAGGAGCTGACAGGAGCTGACAGGGATAAGAGTGTCGTTGATATCAACTGTGGACTTCTGGACAGGGTGAAGGTATCGCTTCTATTCTCCTTGTGAAGCTCACGAGAAAGTATTAACACTAATGACAGTATAAGTAAGTTCTACTCATCGGCACTTTGATAGCCAACAGAATCAACATTGTCCTGGCTGTGATTTGTTTAATGTAGGCGAGCCCCGGCATGTCTGTCGTTACGAAGTTAGCAGCGTTTAAACTTCTAGGAGTAGAGGCCAATCAATTATTACTGTGCACTTCACTGCTGCCAGAAGCCTGGACCTCGCCCAGGATCCAATCCTAAATTCCTTAACGAAGCTTCGACTGCCCCAATCCTCATGCCCTTCCTTTCCGGTTTTTAAGCTTATCCTCGAGCACATCCTACATCAACGCGTTCGTATCTCGAGATGGATCATCCTTGTTTTCGTCTGGGGTGGCGAGGTACATCACTGCGTAACTACTGCTGTTCAAAACAAGTCTCTGGAAGCAGGGACGAGTTTTCAGCAGCTAGTGCTGCGGTGTACGAGTAGCACAACTCCGACCACGTATCTCGTATTGCTACTGCTTTTTGCTCACCCGAATTCATCCTTTGTACCTCGTATCATCTCAAGAAGCTCTTCTTTGACATGCGGAAATGTCCTTGACCTCCCCGAGCACGAAGTAATAAAATCGAGGTTGAGCGCGCCCGAAAATACTGGAGGTCATACATAATTTCTGCTTGCTTTTACTCTAAGAACATTACAAGGCTTAGTGAATGTATATTGAGGGCTGTCACATCGCCTTGTCGAGATTACAAAAGCACCAAGATGATTATCAAACGCCGGGAATCCCACATGTTTAGCTGTGAATTGATTCAGGGAACTCCTCAGCAAGCTCTGAGGCGAGCGTCACATATTGAACTCCCTTTGTAGCTCTCAGCCAATCTCTTTAACAGATTGACTTTTATTCTCGACAGCTCTGGTTCTTTATTGTCAGATAGTAGCATTAGACCTGCTCAACGGGTTTTGCAGCATATCTTATTGTTACCATACAGAAAGCACATTCCCTGAAGGCTTTATGGTATGCCTTGCCGTGAAATGATGCATGAGCAACTTCCAAAATAGGAAAGACTACCGAGAAACTTCTCACTTGTAATGCCATGCTACTAGAGACAAATGTGGTCCCTTCTGCTATGTCTTTCTTCTCAATTACAACGGATTCCTTCTTGTTCAACTCCAAGCTCCTTCCACTTCCTAGTTCTCCAATTCCCAAGCGCTATTCGTTGTCGTTGATGTTCAACATCCTGAATTTGCCTTGTCCAGTCCAGATCACGACACGTTGTCCGTGATTAGAAGTACTCAGATTTCTTAGACAAGCGTTAGCAAAACATCCTTCGGGTTCGATAGATCTGAATTAGCTCATCTATGCGAGGCACAAATGTGTCTATGCTGCCAGGACCAGCAGTGTCTATACGTGCTGCCTTTTAGTTGCCATGATGTCTATCCAAAGGTTAGCGGAGTTTCATGCATTGAAGATGGCACCAAGAGCAGTCGTTGAAAGTCGTCTTCCATATTCGAAAGGCACCTGGTAAAGCTTTAGTGAAGCAGTGGTAATATGCCACTGGTTGTGTCCAGTTCGTGTCAGTATGACGTAGTCAGGTTGACGCAAAAATGTTCAGTTGTAGTAATATCCGTGCACTTAGAATTAATGAGGAAGAAAGGCCTTGAGCTGATATGCTCCATCTCCTTGAAGAATAGTTGTAAATTTGTAAAGATAAATTTGTAAAGACAGGGCCTCTCAGCTCACGTGTGGAGCAACACTACCAATTATCTTCGAAGGTGGCTTAATTAAGTCGGGTGATATCACAGCTGTGTCTTGGATTGCATATGGACGGAAGATGCTGGTTAATATATTGACTTTCATACCTTCGTTCTTGGGGAGTTGTTCATCTGATGCTGATCTGTCGTTTGAAAGTTTGAAAGTGCTGATTACATACAATTTATTCATCCATTTGACACTTTATTAAACACGTCAACTTCAAATCCTCTCGATCTCGGTGATTTTCAAGTAGAATGCTGAATACCTTCATGACTTGGCAGTGACGATCAGAACTCTAACTCGTCACAGAGCCTTGAAAGGCCTACGCGTGGCTAATATCTTATCTCAGGCAATCTCTGGGATTTGAGTATCAGATTCAGGGAAGATTCGGCTGCTCGACGAGATAGAGGTGCTAGTTTGGGATGGTAGTCTTCGTTCCCACTGCAGTAAGGTCTAGGTAATTCGCTAAGTAAGCAAATACCGGAACACTTCATGTCCACAGTTTGTTCATCATTTGCTCACATTTGAGCCAATCTGAGGACATTGTTTCCCCCTGCATACTCATAACATGGAGATATTGCGTCTGGCCATCTGTTCTTGGTTCTAAGTTGGTTATTCACGTGCTGATGCAGTTGCCTGCTTGAAACACTGCCCCGGAAGCTCCACAATAAAATTCAGAAATGCTACTACAGGAGCTTACAGACACATCGTTTTAGTTAAAACGATATCAATCATACAGGGCCCCTGGGGTTCTGCCTCTTCGAGCCAGGACCTTACAGGAGAAAGCAGGTTCCGATCCACCGTGGAAGGTGCAGTGGGAGGTGCACTTTCCTGAAATAACAACCTCTCAACTGCTAAGAATTTCTTATCACTATCAATTGACTGTCAATTAACGGTTACCAGAATTTTGTAACAGTGATATGATTATCATTCTAGGAAAGTGCCCCTCCCACGGTGGGTCGGAACCTGCCTTTTCCTTTAAGGGAGGACGAGCCACCTCATGTCACGTTGAACCTGAAGTCATGTGATCAGATGATGATTGTGAAACAGAGGAGAAGCAGCTTCACACCCTAAGTTTCAGATAAGGCATGTCTGCCAGAATACTACTCCTCATTCGATCTTAATGATTCCAAACTTGTGAAATCCATATCTACCATGATAGCCTATCGGTTCATCCGATCACCGCGTCGGCCTGCTGAGTTAGTACGCAACAGTAGTCAAGACAGTCAAACTAGCGCCAGATGTCTGTTCAAATTCGTTTTTGAAACTGTTCGAAAGAAAGTAGATGTGGAATCAACAGAATCCGGAAATGGGAGGTCTTTGGACTTACACAAACGTCACTCTGAAAGATTTGTATATGAAGTTCTGCGGTCCGCATTCAAGATGCATCTCTTCAGTATTGTCTACAGTAGATCTCCCTTTCATAATATATCTGCAAGCTGGGCTCTTTTGCATTCTTTCATCTCAAACGCTAGGATTTATCCCGTTCATATATATCTATCATGTTCAGCTTACCAGCCATCCTGGCTGGTCTTGCAACAGTCCTCTTCACTTTCGCCATACCTCTCATCATTCCCCCAGGTACATCTGGAGCACCCCTTACCATCAGTGAACATGGGCACAGTATACCTCTACGAGGAGAATCTGACATTCACCAAGCCATGAGAGGCGAAAGCTCATGTACAGCAGAGCATGCCGGACCAAGAAGCAAGGGCTCGAACGTTGGAGAAGGCCAAGGACAAGTAGCAGCTTCGACCAATGCGAAGGTGGTCTACTTCATAAGCAATGGCGTCAAGAACTCGATCGTTGCTCTGAAAGTAGCAGGGGATGGAACTCTGTCACAAGGGTCTGTTACCTTGACTGGTGGTGCCGGGATGAGCGGAGTAGACGACAAAGGAACTGTCGCAGGTCCAGATTCCCTCTTCAGTCAAGGAGCAGTTAAAGTAGCAGGGAGCGTAAGTCACCTAGTATTCCCTGAATTGGCAACCTACTAAGGGAATCAGCACATCGTAGCCGTCAACCCAGGCTCTAATACTCTTTCCATGTTCTCGATCTCCCCGACTGATCCAACGGTTCTTACAATGGTTGGTCAAGCAGCTGATACTATGGGAGAGTTTCCGGTGAGCGTTGCCGTCTCCACGTCCCTCTCACAGGCATGTGTTGCAAGCTCCGGAGCAAAGGCAGGAATAGCTTGCTTCTACATGTGCCCCTACAACGGCCTCATGCCACTCGACACTGCTCTCCGTCCTTTTGACTTAAACCAAAGTACACCGCCAGTTGGACCTTTTAATACAGTCTCCCAGACTTTCTTCAACAGGGACTCCACAATGCTCATCACTACCGTCAAGGGAAACCCCATGACGAACAATACTGGTTTTCTTTCCGTCTTTCCAGTGGTGAATAGCATCGTATCACAAACTGAAACGCGGTCCTCACCAGCCGGCACTGGAGTTCTCTTCGGTGCTGCTCTCCTACCAAACTCATCAGACATCTTCGTCACAGATGCGTCATTTGGCAGTGCAAGGCTATCCCTATCTTCTGTAAACACTGCAAGGACGGTATTCTTAACCAAAATTGCTGATCAGAAAGCTACTTGTTGGGCTGCCTTTTCCGCACTTACCGGCACAGCTTTTGTTACCGATGTCGCCGTCAATCATCTCGTTGAAATTGATCCTACCTCGGGGAGTATTGTCAAGAACCTGGCGTCGACAAATGGAAACCCTGGATTGATAGATGTGGTGAGCGCTGGAAAGTTCATCTATGCTTTGAGTCCAGGAAATGCGACTGTTGGTGCTGCTGTAACGGTCTTTGATGTGTCAGGAGGTAGTGGCAGTGAGTACTTCTTTGTTTGGGGGTGACCTATGCTAAGACTTTGCAGGTACTAAAGAGATTCAGAATTTTAGACTGAATGGAGTGACGTCCAGTGTCATGGGTATGACTTTTGCTTAACGCTTGGAAAGTAAAGGTGTCCATTAAATCATGATCAAGGTCGGTGGTAAGTATAAGCTGCAAGTTAAAATGAGGAGAGATCAATTATTAGAATTCCAATCGAATAAGATCAAACATCTACTCATGTATCCCAACTTCCTGACAAGTTCGGCTTTTAGAGAATGCGCCAACGGTATGAACATGAGTAAAGCAGAGGAACTGCAAAGTCATGTGAACTCGATGGTCAATGCTTCAGTGAATGGTCCGAAGCATATTCCACAACGAGTATTTCCTTCTTGGAACACTTGTTAGGGCCTAAGAGAAGTGGGAACCTTTTCTTAAGCGTGACAAATACGGTTCCTGGGCCAAATGCGGAGGTGAAAATGGGGAAAGACACAGCACGCTATTTCATGGCAAGTCACCTCTTCACCCATAGTACAGATTTTTGTTCTTATTTTTTTGGCGATGTATTCAGCTCTCATTCCCTGAGATAGTGCACAATGTCCCAAGTGTCATGCAACGCTAAAGTCCTCTGCCAGAACTCATGATCATCCCAACCCCAAAGAAACCCGAGCAAACCCTGCAAATCGAAAGCTTAAATGGTGGTCTCGTATGCGATCGGAACGACAGTTTCTGGTACATTGTCCTTCATCGAAATTGTCCGGGCCTCTCTTGGCATCAAGGGTTGTCTCTTCAAGTGAACGTGGGTGCCATCGGTCTTCGACTTCTTCTTGAGCTCGGCGTTTTGCTTGACTCGGCGGACGAATTCTTCTCTGGAACGGGACAAGGAGATGTGCTCGACACGGAGGTTGACGCGCTTCTCGATGTATCTGTGCTTGACCTTCTTGTAGATGATGACTCCGACGGCGCTCTTGGTGACGTTGTAGATGACTCCAGTCTTTTGTGAAAGTTAGCACCTTTCCAGCTCATTTTTGGGATTTTGGAATGGGAAAATGAAGTATTTAGACTCACTTTACCATGGTAAACTTTATGCGGCATGCTAGTTAGAGTAAGTATATATCCAATCTGTTGTTGTCGTGGTTGGTGGTTGAGGTTCCCAAGTCGCCCTCAAGACTTCCACTCAAGCCAACGAATGTTGCCGGACCACCCCAAGGCTTATAACATGAAGTCGAATGCGACTAAAAGAGGTGACGTACCCCTTCTGAACAGCACCGTTTGCCTTGATATCAACGATGTCTCCAACCCTGTGTACTGTCAACTTCGGCCCTTTGGCCATTTGGGCTCGGCGCATTTGCACTCACTTGTACTGTCTCAAGTAGGTAGACAACTTGATCATACCCTTCTTGCGGAAATCACGGCTGAATGCATACTATAACAAACGACTATCAGCCTCTCCCCAATGTGCCAAAACCATTGCAGGACTTGTAAAGAGGGTCGTGGGGAGGTGAAGGATTCGAGGATTTCCAAGATGATGCTGGCGCGATGGAGACGTAATGGGAGATTTTTTTTTTGGAAGTATAACGTACCCGAGTACCGGCGCGGAGACCTGCTGGATGACCCATCTTGACTTTATTTCGTAGTTGTCGACAGGAATTGCTGGAGTCGTATGGCGTTCAAGATCGCGAAATTCAACTGAGGTGTTTTTCGGATCTCAGAGTGTGTGTCGCTTACGGCATAGGGCTAAGCCTTAAGTGGACTAGCGTTGTAGATAGCTCGATCCCACACTTGCATTTTCCTGAATTGTGGTTCAAAGTTCTGAACTTCAATTACGACTTCGACAAACCACGAAAAGCGACAATGGCGCCAATTTCGTACTCCAAGACCTACAAGGTTCCAAGAAGACGTAAGTCTCAATATTCTTTCCCCTACTTTGCCTTGTCTCCAGCATCTAGTCGCGCGACGCCCTTGGGGTACTTGCGTGAAAAAGCAACACATGCGCCAGAACCTGGAAACCCTTCGAGATAGTTTTTACTGACTTCTCATAGCTTTCGAGTCTGCTCGCCTGTAAGTTGGCCACTGTATTAGAGCTTGTCTCTGTACATGTCACTGATTATGTCCTAGGGACTCTGAGTTGAAGCTTGTTGGAGAGTATGGACTCCGCAACAAGCGTGAGGTCTGGCGTGTCCAACTCACGCTCTCCAAGATCCGTCGTGCTGCGCGGTATGAGTGATCCTGTAACTTCGCAGATCATAGCTAACCTGCCATAGTCAATTGCTCACCCTCGAGGAGAAGGATCCCAAGCGACTTTTCGAAGGAAATGCCCTCATTCGTCGTCTCGTCCGTGTTGGTGTGCTTGACGAATCCCGCATGAAGCTCGATTATGTCCTGGCCTTGAAGATTGAGGATTTCTTGGAGCGCCGTCTGCAAACCTGTGTCTACAAGCTCGGTCTCGCGAAGTCTATCCACCACGCCCGTGTTCTCATCCGTCAAAGACATATCCGAGTTGGCAAGCAAATCGTCAATGTCCCATCCTTCGTGGTTCGCCTGGACTCCCAAAAGCACATCGATTTCGCCCTCAGCTCGCCATTTGGTGGTGGACGACCTGGTCGTGTTCGCCGCAAGAAGGCCAAGGCTGCTGAGAAGAAGGATGGTGCTGATGATGGAGATGATGATGACGAGGAATAGATGCAATAGGATAGCTGGCATATGGCCACGGTGGATTATATTCTGTGAACGGTGTTATTCAATGGACATCGAGCTGGAGATCCCTAATGGCGTTAGAGATATGCATCAAAAGCTTCTTTGAGCAACGTTCGCCAGATTCAATAAAAAACTTGCACAAAAACAATGTGATTGCATTTTCAATTTCATACAAGTTCCAAATGCGGGATAATAACTCCCGTCCCGATGCAAATCTCCCCAACGCCAGCTAATGAAGTGTTTACGACTGCAGCAACACGTCATCCATACCCAGAAGTTCAGCCATCGGGTCGTTGGCCGCAGTACGTTTCCTTCTGTAGTTGTCCATGTCCTCTTCGGAGACCCCACCTCTCATTTCCTCCGCTGTGCGCTTCTTAGCCAGCAATGTGGTCGTAGACTCAACCATCGGCGTCTCGAGCACTTCTTGTGATCGCCACTCAATCGCTTTGGCAGTTTCCAGCCCAGGTTCAGAGTCTCTGAAAACTCCACCAGTCCGGAGAATATCCGCCTCTTCAAAAGCCTTTTTGCCCTCTTCGCCAGTGCAGAAGCTGTTCTTGATCAGAGAGTGACAGCAAGAATAACCCCAGCGAAAGTTAGACCACCAGCTGCCCCATACAGAAGCGTGGTTATTAATGAGGACGTCTTCTGGGTACTTTGACTTGGATGATGCTTTTGGGCCGCCCTTGATAGCACCCGTATCATCGTACTCAAGATAATTCTCAGACTCTATCACAGCAGCAGCGCGAAGTGTTGAGGCATTCGAACTGACTTCTCCACCATACTTTTCCAGTAGCATCTTCTTGTGAGCTTGTCGCTTAGCCTCTGCTTCTTCCTTCTCCTTCCGTCGGTAGTATTCTCCAGACGTAGGATTCGCTTGGAGGTGAAGCTTCGTATCGCCAGCCTTCTCCTGTGATTCCCAAGCATATTTTTGCGCCTTTTCAAACTCCGCAGCATCTCCTGATGCTCTCATGAAACCCTCTTCAGCGACCAAAGCTGCAGCGGTATCCGCAGTGGCTCCACTATCAACCATTGATCTCGTCTTGGGATCGTATTTTGCCGAATCAAGGTCCAGGTTTAGTAGATATTTTGCAGTATCCTCTCGAATACGCAGTTGTTTTGTAGATGTGCTCTGATGTCGTCCCATATCCGACTCCTCGGCGTACTTCGCGTCATCTTCACCCTCATCGTCCTCTTCATCCTGTTTTACTTGCGCCTGTTTCAACGCCTCGAGCTCCGCATACTCATCCGTAACAGCTTTATATTCCTTGGGGTCGAAGCCATTCCACCTATCTCTCTTCGCATCCCAGCCCATTTTCACATCTTGAATTATTTCGTCCGCTTGGATATCCTGCCCGGTCCACTTCGCACCTTTTGCTCTGGGTCTGCTCAAACATTCTTTGGTCTTGTGTGTCATTGCACCACAATTTTCGCATGCGCCTTTGCGAAACTTCGTCGCAGCAGGGCCAACCTTCTTCCCTCGATCGTACCATTTTGATTGCTCTGCTTGTGCCTTCTGTAGACGTTGATGTTCGAGATAATCGTTTTGGTCATCGTCCTCGCCGATGTAAAAAGGCTTCTTCGATATAAATGATGGGATGTACTCGTTTGCCTCCTTGTTTGCGGCCGATGGAGGGTTCGGCTTCCGAGGCTGTGCGCCAGCTGGAGGCATCTTCTATGTTGCTGTGGTCGATAAGGACGAAGTTGCGGAGTTGGGAAGATTCTTGGACGCAAAGCAGGCAATCTAATCGGCACGGGATCTCGTGTCCTGTTTCGCGTCATGACATCCACACGCCTTTCTTCAAGCGAGCTACTTATATAAGCACCTACCTAGTACCTACCTGCATTCTCTACGTGCTACTACACGTGTTGTTAATGGTGATGGGCGACAGGCCATGCAATGCCTGACCGCATTCCGGAACTCACGCATCCATTTTTCTGTCCATGATGGATCTCTTTCGTGTCCGGCTGAATTGTATCGACCACTACCAGTCGACTCCTTCCAAGTTTGATCCCCTCCTCCGAGGGGACATCAGGTCTTCTCAGATATCTAAGGAGCCAAAGGTCCCTGTGATTAGAGTTTTTGGAGCCACAGAAACGGGCCAGAAGGTCTGCGCTCATATTCACGGTGCATTTCCGTACCTCTATGTAGAGTACAATGGGAGTCTCGTGGAAGATGAAGGTATGCTGGGCATGGAGGGAACAAGTTTACAGAGCTAACGTGTAGGGAGTTGGTGCCTACATACACCGTCTTCATCTCTCCGTTGATTATGCACTCGCTGTCAGCTATCGGCGTAATATGTATGATGGGAATGCAAAGTTCGTCGCACGCATCACTCTTGTGAAGGGTATACCATTCTACGGGTTCCATGTGGGGTACCACTTCTACCTGAAGATATACATGCTCAATCCGATGTATATGACAAGACTTGCGGATCTCCTTCGACAGGGTGTCATTATGAGAAAGGTGTTCCAACCATACGAAGCTCATCTGCAATACATACTACAATGGATGACGGACTACAACTTATATGGCTGTGGGTATATCGACTGCTCAAAGGTCACATTTCGAGGACCAGTGCCGGGCTACGACGAAATGGACAACTCATCTCATCTCTGGCATGACCGCTCAATTCCTGACGAGCTGATCACCGACGACTCCATCCTATCGAGGGTTAGCCATTGTTCTCTGGAAGTGGACATCTGTGTTCAGGATATCCTAAACCGGCAAGACATCACATCGCGACCTCTGCATCATGATTTTATTGAACGCCTCAATCCCATTGCGCCAGATGAAAAACTAGTCCATAGTATGGCTGGGTTGTGGAAAGATGAAACTCGACGACGCAAATCTCGAATGACAAATCCAGCTCCTGGGTCCAGCCCCTTTCCCGCAGATGTTATGATATCAATGTCAGCAGATCCCAGACATTCTCAGCCAGGTGGATGGATTCATGAAGAAGAATACCAGGGAAAGATCAGCTCTCTAATTTCTGAGGAGAAAAACAGGAGCGACGGTGCTAAAATCTCTTTTGAGTCATTTGTGAGGACCACGCCATTCGAGTCAGCTGTCAAGACGAGTCTGGAAGCAGTCGAAGACTTGTACCCAGAGAACCTTCGGCCTATTCTGGATTTGACCCAGAGTACGGTCACAGATTGTGTCGGTCATGATGTGGATGATGTGGGAATACGAGAGGTCGACGAGGGCAGAATTATCGGCCTCGATGACGCCGAGGATGACTTTCCTTATGATTCCGATGAAGATGTGATGCGACAGCTGGATCTATCTCAAAGAAAGAATGGTGACCTTCTAGAAGAGGAATTTGTCGATCCAGGCGATGCTCAGCCTTGCCATGACATGGACGATAAGATCCCCCCCAACGGTGACCTCGGCGGCGATTGTCTTGATGCCGTTGATGTAGAATTTCGGGACGTCTCTCCAAGCTCCCCTGAGTCTTCCCAGACAGGTGTAGATTCGGCGACCATTGCAGCATCCTTACAGAGTGGGGACAGATATCCGTCCGAGGAAAGTTCCGCGCATCTGGTCATGAAAAGGTTGAAACGTGTGAAGTCTTCTCAGAATGGACTGGATGGCGATAGAGGCGTCCAAAAGAGACGCTTAGTATCACACGGCCAGTCTTTTGCGCTAAATGACGCTCGCATTTTCAATTCTACAATTACTGAATCCAGTAATGGCGGCGTGGTCAACTGTCCAGAACTAACCAATGGTGACAATAGTCTCCCTCTGGGCAAGCAGGCCGATAGCTCGGTTAGAAGAATTCATGGGGTAGTGACCGGTCCAAGAAACTCGCAAGAATCTCGAAAAGCGGCCCAGGGCTCCCCGACACAGTTTCTAGGATTTCCTGTTGCCAAAGACCCTCGTGATCCCAACACAGTCCTGAGGTTGAGTCAAAAGAACAGTCCATTGATAGAACATCCAAGACATGCATCTTTTAGCCTATTTATGGTACCATCTCTCTCGGACCAAGGATCAAGAAGCTCGTTACAACAACCCAGTACAAGTCAACCTTCCTCAAAGATTCCAACTGTCTTAATGACCATGGAAAGCCAATTTGGGAAGTCAAGGAGCCGGCGAATCCTCGCACTCAGTATACTACCACCTTCTAAACAGTATGTGGCTTCGAACATACAATTGTTCGGCATGCTTCCAATGATATATCAGGATGCCTATTACAGCGACGAGCTTGATACTCCTGATCGTGCCAGAGAATGGGCTGGGAGGGAATTCAGATTGGAAAGCTTGACTGTTCCGTTTCTACCCGACTTCGACTCTGTTTATTACACTTCGGATGCAGTTATTGGAGAAAGAAATAGTGTCCCACCTGATCGGACCAAACAGGCGAGGCAATATCATATCCAGCGACAGAATTGTGGGCTGCGCAGTTGGGTCATAGCTGATCCGCCGCCAACTTATTCTGATGTCGCTGGATGGGGGCGAAAGGATCGCTTAAAAAGGAAGACCTATGAATATAGTTGCAGGGGAGAGCATCCGAAAGCGACACGCAGCAGGACCAAGTTGTCCCAGATTGACGGTCCTACTCAGAAGAACAAGCACGGATTCAAGTATACACAAGATCAGAAATCCACTAGTGTCCAACACGAAGCACAGTACATGAGCACGATGAGTTTGGAGGTCCATATCAACACAAGAGGAAGTTTGCTCCCGAATCCGGAAGAGGATGAAGTCCAGTGTCTTTTCTGGTGCTTACAATCCGACGAACATGGCCTCCAAGTCAACCAATCAACAGACAGGGCACATATTGGGGCTGTTGTTCTCTCAGTCGATGGGGAAATCACTCAAAGGATCGCCAGACAAGTCTCCTTCGACGTCCAAGAAGAAACTTCAGAGCTCGATCTTATGATCCGCATGGTCGAGATTGTACGTAGTCATGATCCAGACATTCTCACAGGCTACGAGGTACATGGTGGCTCTTGGGGATACCTCATTGAGCGAGCACGCCTGAAGTACGACTACACCCTATGCGACGAGTTCTCACGCATGAAAGCCCAGTCGCATGGAAGATTTGGAAAAGACAACGACAAATGGGGTTTCAACAACACTTCAACAATTCGAGTTACTGGTAGACATATGATCAACATTTGGCGAGCGATGCGAAGCGAACTTAATCTTCTACAATACACCATTGAAAACGTTGCGTTCCATCTGCTACACCGACGCATACCGCACTTCACTTGGGCTGACTTGACCCAATGGTACATCAACGGCAAGCCTAGGGATCTAGCAAAGGTGATCAGCCACTACGTAACAAAGGTCCGGCTGGACCTGGAATTGCTTGAGCAAAATGAGCTCATTCCGAGAACCAGCGAACAGGCTCGCTTGTTGGGAGTTGATTTTTTCTCGGTGTTCTCTCGTGGGTCTCAATTCAAAGTCGAGTCGCTTATGTTTCGCATCGCGAAACCAGAGAATTTCCTTCTTGTGTCGCCAAGCAGGAAGCAAGTAGGCGGTCAGAATGCCCTGGAATGCTTGCCTCTGGTTATGGAGCCACAAAGTGCATTTTATACAAGCCCCTTGTTGGTCTTAGATTTCCAAAGCCTATATCCAAGCGTCATGATTGCATACAACTATTGTTATTCTACCTTCCTGGGTCGAATTGTTAATTGGCGGGGTACGAACAAAATGGGATTTACCGAGTACAAGAGGCAGCAGCGATTACTTGAGTTGCTAAAGAATCACATCAACATCGCTCCAAATGGAATGATGTATGCAAAGCCGGAAATCCGGAAGTCCCTTCTGGCTAAGATGCTGGGAGAGATACTGGAGACTCGAGTCATGGTAAAGAGTGGAATGAAGGTGGATGAGGATGACAGAGCACTTCAACGCTTACTCAATAATAGACAATTGGCACTCAAGCTGATCGCAAACGTCACCTACGGGTATACTTCGGCCTCCTTCTCGGGACGAATGCCCTGCTCCGAGATCGCGGATAGCATCGTTCAAACAGGTCGAGAGACTCTCGAAAAAGCAATAGCCCTTATACATTCCGTTAAGCGATGGGGCGCAGAGGTTGTTTACGGAGATACGGATAGCTTGTTTGTCTATCTTAAAGGCCGGACCAAGGACCAAGCATTTGACATTGGTGAGGAGATTGCGAAAACAGTCACGAATATGAATCCTCGGCCCGTAAAACTAAAATTTGAGAAAGTCTACCTACCATGCGTCCTCCTAGCAAAGAAACGATATGTCGGATTCAAGTACGAAAGTAGAAATCAAACGAACCCCGACTTTGATGCCAAGGGTATCGAAACAGTCCGAAGAGATGGCACTCCAGCTGAGCAGAAGATCGAAGAGAAGGCGCTCAAAACTCTTTTCCGCACGTCTGATTTGAGTCAGGTAAAGCTTTACTTTCAGCAGGAGTGTGAGAAGATCATGAAGGGCTCAGTCTCTGTCCAAGATTTCTGTTTTGCGAAAGAAGTCAAGCTTGGAACGTATAGCGACAAAGGTCCTCCACCTCCCGGAGCCCTCATAAGCACCAAGCGCATGCTAGAAGATGCTCGAGCAGAGCCACAGTATGGAGAGCGTGTGCCGTATGTTGTCGTCACCGGAGCTCCTGGGGCACGCCTGATTGATCGTTGCGTTGCTCCCGAAAAACTCCTAGAGAACGAGCACAGTGAACTTGATGCTGAATATTACATTTCGAAAAACCTCATCCCCCCTCTTGAGCGAATATTCAACCTTGTCGGAGCAAATGTACGCAGCTGGTATGATGAGATGCCTAAAGTCCAGCGAGTCCGTCGAATTGACGCCAGTCTTCAGCTTCAAGGGCTCTCAAAGGAGTTGACAATCAATAGAAAGACTCTTGAATCTTACATGAAGCCATCGTCATGTCTAGTCTGCAAGGAGAAACTGGAAGTCGAGGGATCAATTTGTCCAATGTGCTTAGCAGACGAGCCGACCGCGTTATTGAAGTTACGAAGCAGATTAGATAGTGCCGAGAGGAGATTCATGGATCTTCAGAAGATATGCCAAGGCTGCTCAGGTATCTCCCCTTTGGATGAGGTGCGGTGCGACAGCAAGGACTGCCCCGTCTTCTACACCAGGACAAGGCAGAAAGCAAGGCTGAAGACAGAACGGTCCATAGTGGAGCCTCTCATGAAAGAGCTGGCAGGTTTGATGGTACGTATGGAAGATCTAGAATGGTGAGGATGAGAGGACAACATTTAATAGCCTCGGAATTGGAGTTGGTCTCTCCGTTCAGAATTGTGTCTACTTTTGCAAAGCGATGGAGATGCATGAAAAGGTTCTCTAGGAACGGGCGATGCACGAACGAGGTTGCGTGACCGCTTTGCTTGATGATAACTACTGCAGGCTATGAAATCGAGGCCTGCTCAAGGAGTCAAACATGTAGAAGAATGAGAGCAGGCACAGGCAACCACCTACAACCAACAATGGTCTGCCTTGAGAACATGCCTAGGTATAATAATGATAAGGATGCATAGTGACCAGCGATTATGTGACCTTGACATGAAGCATAAAGTGGCCAAGAAACCAAGGACACTAGCTGGTTGACAAATCTATTTTCTATTTATTCATCTGGTTGTTCATTTGTTTGTTCATCTATTTATTTACCTCGCTCACCTTCCAGGGGCGAGAGTCAGCCGAACCGAGCCCCAGCCAGCCAGCTGCCAGGGAAGCTAGGTACAGTAGCCAAGGCGAGGCGGAGGGCAGCGGGCGGCGGGCGGCATGTGGGGGCATGACATGCAATAATCAGCCTGCCCTGGCTCTGGCCCTGTCCTTTGCGTGCAGATCCAGACAGATAGCGAGACAGCCAAACTACCTATTCACAACTTCATGCTCGACCAGACCACAACCTCATCCTTCCCGATCTCACCCCCACGACGGTCATTCCTCCCCTCCTACTTTCACCCTACCCGATCTGGCGCGGACACCTCTACGACGTTATTGATGTGCCCTCCGCTACTTCCAGTAGCTATCATTCGATAGACACCGTGCCAGGATGGGCAGTCTGCTTGGCCCTCTTTTCATATACTTGCTTGGTGGCCTTACATTTATCCCGATTTGCCTCCTCGGAATTCTATTGCACGCTTACCTCACATTTCCCGTCCGCAACGATACAACAAACCGGGAAATTGACGAGGAGTCAATTGTGCAGCCAGGTGACGACAGCGATGCCATCAAACGAGCACAGAAGACTTTGGGAGAGAAGTTCCAGCCTCGAGACAGTCATGAAGCTGAAGTAGCTGCTGGTTATTTTGCTGTCTCAAGAACCTATGTTCCAGGTGGTGTTGGAGCTCTTCCACCGGAGAGGACAACTCCTACTGGGTCTACCACTGTATCTGCACCGAGTCCCAGTGTCTATCAGACTATGTACAGAAGTATCTTCGACAGGAAACCGGTCAGTAGTCCGATCGAGAACAAAGGTGTGAAAAGAGGAAATAACGTGTTTTACGTTGTGCTGAGGTAGTAGTTTCAAGTCCGAGCTATGTATCATGATTAACAAGCAGTACAGACACGGCCACCTCATGCTGTTCGACGATGACGAGCAACTCGAAGTCCGCCATGTCATTTCTTTGGCCCATCACGAAGTCGGCATATATTCTGGCGGAGATGAGACACCCGAAGGAGAGCTGTTTATCAAGAGGAATGCACTTTGCTTATCAAGGAGGGCCGATGTAGGGGAGATCACACCAGATGGCAAGGCTTCGAAGCCGTTCTTTCTCTTCTCGGAGAACTGCTCAGAAAAGGAGGACTTCTACTTTGCTCTCCTACGGAATCAGGAGAGGAGACCGGATTCCAGTTACAATCCTCCAATTCCGCTACAGTATGATGTGAAAGATATTATTACGCTTGTGCAAAGATTACATTCGTCAGAAGAGCATCTGCAAACGCGATGGGTCAATGCTTTGATAGGGAGGGTCTTCTTGGCTCTCTACAAAACCCCCGAGGTTGAACATTTTGTGAGGGCCAAGATCACCAAGAAGATCTCCAGGGTCAAGACTCCCTCATTTCTGTCGAAGATTTCGTTAAGGCACATAGACATGGGCGAAGCAGCTCCAGTCATCACCAATCCTCGGCTGAAGGATTTGACCGTGGATGGAGAGCTCGTTGTAGAAGCGGATCTCAAATATTCTGGGAATTTCCGGATCGAGGTGGCTGCTACTGCTCGCATTGATCTTGGGTCTCGCTTCAAGGCACGAGAAGTCAATCTTCTTCTCGCGGTTGTTTTGAAGAGAATTGAGGGCCATATGCTAGTTCGCGTCAAGGCCCCGCCATCAAATCGGCTCTGGATATCTTTCCAGACCATGCCAAAGATTGATATGAGCATCGAGCCGATTGTCAGCTCTAGACAGATCACGTATACCCTAATTTTGCGGCAAATCGAAAACCGGATCAAGGAAGTTGTTGCAGAGAGCCTGGTCTTCCCAAATTGGGATGACTCTCCATTCTTCAATAGCGAGGACAAGCTTTGGAGGGGAGGAATATGGGCGGATGAAAGGATCAAGCAGCATCCCCTAGATGCTCAAACTGCTGCGGCTCAAGAAGGTGATGTAGAGGAAGTCGAGAATCTGGACGCTGAGAACAATGAGGCTATTTTAGCTCTCCCGCAAATAGAGAAGAGCATATCGTCACCGAATGTTGAGGCATGCCCACCCGGCACAGCATATGCGCGCAAATCGGCAAAATCGGCGATGAACATAGCAAATACGAAAATTAATGGTTCATCCACAAGCATCGATATCCAATCTTCTGGCGCCGAGAAACCAAGAGCTCTCCGATCTGGCTCCTTTGCGAGCGCCTCTTCGCCGATCGTTAACACCGATGTGATAAATGCCGATGTAATTAAGCCGTCTTCACCACCGGAGCATAGCCACGCCATGGCAGCGATTGCTGCATTGTCCCATAACAATTCTCCCGCCCAAACACCGATTGGATCTCCATCACGTCAATCTCGACTAGAAAAGCCTGGAAGTCAGTCCTCAATGTCCTCGAAGGCATCGTTTCAGTCCGACAAGGATAGGGACATCGGCAATGAATTGACACCACAGGCGTCTATCAATGTGTCGGATTTCAACAACCATTTGGATATGAGTTACCCTCCGAGCCCAGCGAGTTTAAGTGCGGTCTCGTTCAGATCAGAGGCTCCATCAACGGGATCATTTGGCTCCCTGGGTCATAATCCAAGACGTGAAAATTCAACTTCATCATCGAGTAAATCTGCTACGGCGGCTGAGACTAAAAGATTATCTCTAGCAGCTGTGACGAACGCAGCTGCGACTGCAAAGAAATGGGGGTGGAACGCATTGCAACGAAATGGAGACAAAACTGGTAATTCCGTGGAAGAAGCCTCTACTCCTAGTCGACCGCTGGTGATGGGCCGTGGGCAACCCCTCCCTCCACCTGGCGTACCCCTTCCACGCCCCGACAAGAAGACAAAGACTGCTCCGATTCCTGTCCCCAAAAGAAAGCCCATCCCTCCTCCAGATTTACCTCCCAAGCTCAGCGATACTGCCTCCGATCGTAATTCGATTTACAGCCAGCAACACGCAATTCCCCCACCTCCCTTGCCCAGACGCCGGAGCCGAGAAGCCGAGAAGTCAAACAGCGGCGCTGTAGATGACGGACTTCTCGTTGTTAAGGCACCAGCTGCCGACTCTGAGCCCACAACTCCAATGACTGAGAGCGAGCCCGTTTACATGCAACCATGGGTAGATGATTTTGATGAAGATGACGTCCTGGAAGCGAGTTTGCAGTCAAAACCTAGCCCAACACCTCCTAAGCTCCCCAAGAGGAGACCAATACACCGAGTCTTATCAAGTAGCCCGGAGGAAGATGGGCACAAATTGCCATCTTGGCTGGCGGCTCAGGAGGAAGAGGCAAGAGCAAAGAGCTCATTCGTGGATGAGGATGCAGGTCTGTAACTGCTGCAACCAATCGTAGAAACTGATATGACGCGGATGGTGGGATGAACACTATTGGAATGGGGGCGTTGGTTCGGGACTGTCCGTCCCTGGCGAAGTCGCATGGTATGGCTTCTGGGAAATGAGGGAGCACTTGGGTACACAGACTATTGGAACGGCCCACTCTAGTAGTCATGAATCTACGGGGTCGTTATAGTAATTTACAATGGCAGATCCTGTGAGAAAGCTTTCAAGAGAGCATACCACCAAAGTGTCGTGCACAATTATTAGAACTTTCAATCTTCCTAAATCCAACCGTCTGGAACTTGATCATCTCGGCACTAGCATCGTTCAACTCAGCTTCCCTACCTTATGCCTGGAAATGTCTTCCAATATTCCATAACAATCGGTCACCAAATTGACTCGATAAAACAGTCTACTTGCTATCATTGCTTGCGGCTTGACCTACCCTAAAACAGTCAAATCAAAATTTATAACCTAGAAAAATATTAGTCCCCAGACAGCAACTTGATGATTATCGCCTGCGCAACAACTTTGGGTATAATAGTGTACTCGGTCCCGCACTCCCCTCTAGGTAGTAGGTAAGAAATTTGTGATGATAATAGTCACGTTTCTCTGTTGGTTGACTTCCTGGTTGCCTCGTTGCCAAGGTAGGTAGGTAGGCAAGTGCCCTCGTAACTACGCCACATTACGCAGCCGTCTCGCTAAGCAGTCGCCGAGGCGGCCATTAAGTGATGAAGACGACCACTAAAATACAACCTCACTCAGCTACCACGAGCGTTCTCCTCTTCATATTCCTTGCCTACATTAATTGCTGGCTTTCCACATCACCCAGACGAGACGAGTTGGCGCGCGCTGTGAGCGCTTGTCAAAATGCAGAGTTACGCTTCGACAACGCGAAATGTTGACCATACCAAGTTTGTGTCCTTTAGAGCTTCCACTTACTTCAATACGTCTTTCGGGAATTGTTCTTTGTTCTGTATGCTAATTCGATGGCGATTCAGGTCCGAAGGTGAGCTTGCGATCAATATCCGAAAGGCGACGAGCATCGAAGAGACGGCTCCGAAACGCAAGCATGTCCGAAGCTGCATTGTATACACATGGGACCACAAGTCTTCCGGGGCCTTTTGGGCCGGCATGAAAGTGTTCGTTCTGCAATAATTCTTACTGTGCTGCTGGACTGCTTTGAGGCTCTGTTACCGGCTAGGCCAAGAGGCTCCAAGTCCAGGAAGACAAGGCTGACATGATCTGTCTTCGCAGGCAACCGATTCTCGCGGACGAAGTACAGACCTTCAAGGCGTTGATAACGGTCCACAAGGTTCTGCAAGAAGGCCACCCAACGACCCTGCGCGAGGCAATGGCCAATCGGAGTTGGATTGATAGTCTGAACAGAGGAATGGCTGGAGAAGGGCTTCGGGGGTATGGCCCATTAATCAAGGAATATGTGAACTTTCTACTTGCAAAGCTGTCTTTCCATGCTCAGCACCCTGACTTCAATGGCACTTTCGAATACGAAGAATACATAAGCTTGAAGGGGATCAACGATCCGAATGAAGGTTACGAGACTATTTCCGACCTTATGGCGCTCCAAGATCGAATCGAGCAGTTCCAGAAATTGATCTTCTCGCATTTCCGAAGTGGTGGAAACAACGAGTGTAGAATCTCCGCATTGGTACCCCTTGTCCAGGAGAGCTACGGAATCTACAAGTTCATTACTAGCATGCTGCGTGCTATGCACACCAGTGAGTTGAACGCCATTTCTGTCGCAATTCCTAGTTCTGATAGCATGTAGCTACCGGAGACGACGATGCCTTGGAGCCTTTGAGAGGACGATATGATGCCCAGCACTACCGTCTGGTCAAGTTCTACTACGAGTGTTCTAACCTCCGATACCTCACAAGCCTAATCACCGTCCCAAAGCTTCCGCAAGAACCACCTAATCTCCTCTCCGAAGATGACGCTGCACCTAGACTACCCCAAAGACCAAAACAAGAGATTGAGCGGCAAATCACACCCCCGCCAGCTCCGAAGCCCGATGAGCCCGATGACATTGGAGAGTTCTGGAAGAACGAGCAGGCAAGACAGAACAGAGAATACGAGGACCAGCAACGGGTTCTTGAAGAGCGACAAGCCCAGCAGCTCTATGCTCAGCAACAGGCGGCTCTTCAAGCTCAGCGCGACTTTGAAGAGCAGCAGCGACGTCTTGCGGAACAACAAAGACTGGATCAGGAGGCCCTTTTGGCCCAACAGTATCAACAACAAACACAGGGTCGGTTGGCACAGTTGGAACAAGAGAACCTTGCCGCTAGGTCACAGTATGCCCAGGATCAGCTCATGCTACAGCAGTATGACCAGAAGATCAAGGCCTTGGAGGGTGAGCTTGCCCAGCTGCAGAACAGCTACGGTCAGCAAATTGGGAGCAAAGATGACCAGATCCGAGCTCTTCAAGAACAAGTCAACACGTGGCGCACAAAGTACGAGGCACTGGCAAAACTGTACTCTCAGCTACGTCATGAGCATCTAGATTTGCTGCAAAAGTTTAAGGGCGTTCAATTGAAGGCTGCTTCAGCACAAGAAGCCATTGATCGACGAGAAAAGCTTGAGCGCGAGATCAAGACCAAGAACCTTGAACTTGCAGACATGATCCGGGAACGAGATAGAGCTCTCCACGACAAGGACCGACTCACAGGTGGTAATCGAGAAGAGCTGGAAAAGTTGAAGCGAGAACTGCGCATGGCGCTTGACCGAGCCGATAACTTGGAGCGAAGCAAAGGTAACGAGCTCTCGTCGATGCTCTCCAAGTACAACAGAGAGATGGCAGATCTCGAAGAAGCTCTGCGGAAGAAGTCCGAGGCTCTCAGAGACGTTCATGCAAAATACAGCGAAGGTGGTTCTGATGCAGAACAATTGTTGCGAGAGAAAGAGGATGAGCTGGAGGTATACAAGCAGAGCCTGGATGATACCCTGATCAAGCTCAATGAACTGGAGATGTCACGTGGCGACACCGATCAAGCCTTAGATGGAGAGATCGACGCCATGCTCCTGTCAAATATTGGCAAGATCAACGACATCATTGACTCCGTGCTGCAGAGCGGGGTTCAGCGGGTTGATGATGCCATGTACGAGCTTGACTCTTCCATGCAAGCTGGAAATCAGAATGCAACTCCTTCCTACGTCCTCTCGCAGATCGAAAAGGCCTCTTCAAGTGCAATGGAATTTGCTACATCCTTCAACAATTTCATTGCGGACGGGCCCAATAGCAGTCACGCAGAAATCATTCGAACGATCAATGTTTTCTCGAGCTCCATCGCAGACGTTCTGAGCAACACCAAAGGTCTTACGCGACTTGCTACCGATGACAAAAAGGCAGATCAACTCACTAATGGCGCTCGCCAATCTGCTTTGTCTACTGTCAAATTTTTCCGTGGCCTACAGAGTTTTCGACTCGATGGCATGGATCCAATGCAGAAGACGGACGTAGTCATCAATAGTAACAACGAGGTATTGATGAACCTGCAGAAGCTGAGCAAGCTTGCAGACTCATTCGCGCCTAGCAGTGGCAAGTTGAACACCAAGGGTGATTTGGGTGACCTCGTCGATAATGAACTGAACAAGGCTGCTGATGCCATTAATGCTGCGGCTGAACGCCTTGCGCGTCTCAAGTCAAAGCCCAAGGACGGGTACTCGACCTACGAGCTCCGCATCCACGATTCCATTCTCGACGCTGCCATCGCCGTAACAAATGCCATCGCGAGACTCATTAAGGCAGCTACAGTGACACAGCAAGAAATCGTTCAGGCAGGACGTGGCACTGCTTCCAAAAGCAACTTCTACAAGAAGAACAACAGATGGACAGAAGGCCTTATCTCCGCAGCTAAGGCTGTTGCCTCCTCGACCAATACCTTGATTGAGACCGCCGATGGCGTACTGTCTGGACGAAACAGCCCTGAGCAATTGATTGTCGCCTCAAATGACGTTGCTGCTTCTACGGCACAACTTGTTGCAGCTAGCAGAGTAAAGGCAGGCTTTATGAGCAAGAGCCAAGAGTCTCTAGAACAAGCCAGCAAAGCTGTCGGTGCAGCATGCAGAGCACTTGTGCGACAGGTCCAGAGCATGATCAAGGACCGTGACCAAGAGGATGACAAAGTGGATTACGGCAAGCTTGGTGCACATGAGTTCAAGGTTCGGGAAATGGAACAGCAGGTAGACTTCTTCTCTTTCGGAAAGTTGTGATGATGCTAACCAGTGACTTCTAGGTCGAGATTCTACAGCTGGAGAACAACCTGGCAGCAGCGAGACAGAGATTGGGAGAAATGCGGAAAGTCTCGTACCAGGAGTAGATTCGTGTTCTTAGGATCGGAGCCAGGAATTTTAGCTTACTGCATCACACTTTTCGATTCACATATATTGTACATGATGTCTGAAGACTGAGGTGCGCACTCCGTTAGTGCCCATCGTTTTTCACGCTCTGCATACGGTGTGTAGTCTCCGAGGAAGCACTTTTGAGTGAGCAAACACAAACAATTGGGCAGGAGTTGGAATAGGTATTGTGGTGTGATTCTATGTGTTCTATCATATTTCAATTGACCTACAATATGCCTCCTTGAATTTTGATACCCGGATCCCATACAGGTTCAAGTCCTATGATAACAAATGTTCTCGGCTTTTGAATACTACATCGCTCTCCCAACTCTTTATTCTTGTACAACACCATGAAATCATCCCGACAGAATCGACATTCCTGTCAGCATTCATCACATCCAGGTCTGCAGGTATCTTCCCAGATAGTTGAAGTAGGGTGGAATGTGAAGTCCCGTCGCTTTTCTGCATAACAGGTATAGCTTTTGCGTATAAATAGAATCTCCAGCCGCTTTCATGGCACTCAACGAAATACAGGATGAATGGCTGAGCTCAGACAACTCAGCTCAGAGCACTTACAATTACTGGAAGCAGCAACATGACCTACAGCATCGGTCGCATATTTGCGCACGCACCAACTTTCCGTGGGCAAGAGACCAAATTTGAAGACACGGGCCGGGAGGGAAGAACCAGCATGGAGCAAGGGGTTAATGATAACCAACAAGAAGTTAGTAGACTTCGGGATAGACTAATCTGAAAGTGCTGGGCAATGCTATTCGCCTCTATCCCTTTCATAAGTCGCGCTCGTAGATGTACTTCGGCCTGTCTTGGTCCTGGTGGTCGCTCATGACTTCGCGAGTTCCTCACAGACTGTGCTATGTAAGGTAGGGACTGTGGGATGCTTTTGGTCTTGCTCTCCAGCACTGGGAGGTCCTTGAAGTCCAGAGTTTCCTCCTGCACGGTTGCTGATGTGACACCTCAGGGCATCGTCCCTGTCCCTGTCCTTGCCATCCCGTCCCCGTCTCCACCCCACTCCCCACTCCCCACTTCACCTGCAGCAATCCCGCCATCTGAGCTGACACCTCATGATTCGATCCACCAGATGCGGGATCTAACCCGGGTAGCGAGTGCAGCCCTGGCTAAACGTACACTAGCGCCGAGCTTTATTCTCACGACCAAGAACAAAGAGAAGCCATCACTTCGCTGCAAATGGACACTCGGTGGCTCAAACCCTTCCAATCGTTGTCATCGGATTCCTTCCCTTGCATTATGTACATTTCAAAGCATGCAATGCAAGCCGAAGTCCGCTGCTCTGCCTTTGCGCCTCTCTTCCCTGCCTTGTATTTGCCCTCCGTCAGTGTTTGAATTCATGCAGCCTGAAGGAGGCCCGTCGTAGTCGCCAATCGATTTCTAAAGGCTCTCTGGATGGTCCGGAACTACAACAGTTAGCAGATTTTCCCAAAGCAAGGGTGTCAACATACCGCTAGGAACGAGATATCCATCATGCATAACACCATGCTCAACAAAGGTATCCAACGAACACGGATCGTCAATGTTGGCCGTGTTCCATGGGTTGACGTGGTGGCTCCTAAGCAGTCTATCGAAATCGATACTACCTTCCGATGGGTGGTAAAGATCCGACATACTTCCAGTCCATTCATAGCTCTCGGTGGTTGGACAAGGTAACATTGAGGCTACATCAAGTCTGGTCTCAATCGAAATGGCTTGTTGAGCCCCAAGATTCGGACTCTGGATGTTTCCAGTCGCAATGATAGGGGCTGAAGCAAGGAGGCTATGTTGCGGCTCTCTGTGGTTTGTTTGCGCTCCAACAATACGTCTGGCAACACCTTGACTGATGTATCCAGCAGAGCCACAGAAAAGCACAATGTCCTTTTCCGTCAAGCTCGAATGGAGAATCCGTTGGCTAAGAGCGTGGAGGTCGGGAAATGTGGTTTGTTTGAATATCAGAACCCCTTCGGCGTTCTGCTCGCTGGTCCAATTGAGAAGCTTGAGGTATGCTCCAACGCCGATGATCCCCATCCGCGGACAGATAATGCCCAGATACTGGTCCAGCGGTGCTCGTGGTTTTCCAACGGTGTTGCGGATTTGTGAGTACGCAGCAGCGATGATTGTCCACTTTGCTTTGAATGGATCGCACTTCCATAAAGTCGTGAGATAGATAGAGGCTTCCTTCTGTTGCAAATGGGGGAAGAGGTTTTGGTAGAAAGCTGTTCGAAAGTTAGCAATCATGCTAGCGATGAAGAACGAAACACTTACATCTGAATGCCATCCAAGAATTCAGTGATTTCTTTGGCAATACTGGTCGTCGCGCAATATGCGGCGTACGAAGTCTGAGTTGCTGATGAAACAGTTGAGGGGTCTGTTGCTGCCAGCGGATAGCAGTAGTGGCCTGCCGCTGATTGAGCATAGGATAGTTCATCAAATACTCATCAGGCAGGCTTGCAGAATTTGAGAGCTGCGCGTGAGGAGGTAGAGCCTTCTTCTCCGGTGAAGTCATTGCCGTAACGTACATGTTAAGCGCAGCTGCTGCCATCATGACAATTTGTGGTCGTTGCTTGTTGTTGTTGTTGCTTGAGTTGCGGAGATTCGATATTTTCTTTCCTCTATTTTTTTGGGTTTCGATCTGGAAATCGCATGAGATTAGAGGGGTAAGGGTGAATGCTTTAAGCAAGGCAGAACAAAGGAATCCCGTTTTCCTCGCGCTAACCTATTATGGCGCAATTAGGCGCTCTGGTATTCACTGATTCATTACCTTCGCGTAGAGCTGCAATATACATGATTTTATGATGAGATTTCTTATAGTGATTAGTTTCTATTGATTGTTGATCACTTGAGCTTTCTGTAAGCCATAGCAAATCTGAAAAATGGACAGTTGTCGGTCCCAATCTCCATCCCCGCTCCCTTGTAATGCATACATAACATTCTCGAGAAGTGCTCCAGTGTAGTTATCCCGTCAAAATCATAACGCTTTCTTTTGCCACTCTTGAATCCCAGACTATATGAGGGAAATGTGCAGAATCCAGACCATGTCATATGCCGAAAAGAGTCTCCAGGTGCAGGAATACCGTCATCGTGCTGTATACGTTGTCAGTGGCTACTTACACTTGCTGTGAAATACAAATGTGGTCAAATTTCTTACCTCGAGGGACTGGTCCTGATTAACGTCCTATAGAATTTGTGTCAGCTTAGTTTTCATGAATGCCACATACCCAGTATTTAAATGAAACCTACCTCGTCAAATTGTTCTTGAACTGCATCATATAGAAGCACGATTTTCCTCATCAACTTCTCGCCAGCTTTGGGAATTTTCTGCTGTATAGCAATCCATCCAGGTGCAGGCTGTGCTGAGTTATCCAGCCAGTTATTCCATGGATGCTTTCCATGAAGCTTATCCGGTAGGAATGCCGGCATGGCATAGACTTTTGGAGTTGGTAAGAGTAGATTGCTGAATGGCTGATGCATATCAGTGACGGGGCTGTATGCTTGTTCTTTTACTTCGAGAAGTTTCGTACGAGTTTGCTCAATCGATAACATAGCACCAGAAAGCAGGGCTATTGTATCAAGAAACTTGTCCTTGAGCATTTCCGACGGGAACACACGATGGTCATCGCGAAGTCTGCGACATTGATCCATGATTCTACGAAGTTCTGCCTTAACAGCTGCAGGATTTAGGTCGTAAGGACAGATGCTACTTGAGGTTACCCCTGCGCTCTTCAATAGAAGGCTATGCGAGTAATAAACGTTGCGAATGAAGCGCCGAACCGTATCTACGATGTGACCTTCTTTGTTTTTCAACAGCGCGTCGGTCAAAACTGCTTCTCCGTCAGCAAGAATCACGCAGTATGTCACAGGCTGCCGACCTTCTTGCCGTTGAAACCGCCGCTCATCTTTGCAGTCCCCGCTCAATGGGTTTGTTGATTGCTCAGTTTCGACGTCGACTTCGCCAAGGAGTGATTCTTCAATCAGCTCAGGCAGTTCATACCATTCGTCATTGAGGTCCGTGATTGTCTGCATCGCAGACTCGATTGCGGTTTGGAGATTCATGGGTCCAACTTACTTCGGTGGACATGGGCAGACGACTAACCTCCAGGGAGTTATCTTGAGATTCCGCAGAGTTGGTTCGAAGATATCACTAGTTTGTGAGATCCCGTGCTCGGACTTCATACACTTGAAAGGTGAGTGTACGTGGTGGTGGTGAATCCTAGGCGAGAAAATCTTGGTGCTAGCGTCAACACCCATTATTTCCCACGAACTCATTTGCGCAGCAATTCTTCTTCCCAAATACACTCCACAACTTTGTTGTTGAGATAATCAACCACAGATACACACTTCCCAACCTCCATCACAGTTGTCATCTATCAGCAAAGCTCTTCACCATACCTCTTCCCTTGTCCACGTCGCAATCGCCATGGCTACGCAGCGTGTCTCGCCCCCTGTGCCTGGCTTTGTGCCCACACTCAGCTTGAATAAGAAGGAATTCAAGCTCCTTTGCAGAAGGGACGCTCGCCCTGTTCTCAACCATGGACAGTATGGTGTCTTCTCTCACCGCTTGAAGGAGAAGCTTCGCATTACCATTCTGAACTATCCTCAAGGTGGTGATCACACGGTTACTGGCAATGTTCACAAGTTCATCACCTTGCATGTCTCAGACCTCAAGCTTAACAAGGTTGTCTATCTAATGACTGCTACGTCTGTCATCGCCATGGTAGACAATGCTGAGACTCTTGCAAAGCAACTTGCGTAAGTTCATCACCATCGCGTTGTTTTCGTACACTAACATCCTATTTGAGGGATTCTTTTGGTCGTACCATGTACATTCACCGAGGTCCCAATGACGGTTTGCGCATCGGTGAGCTCAAAGATTATGAAGACTTTTGCAGCATCGCAGGCTATACCCTTGTCACTGAGGCTCATCCCCACCCCTCCTTGATCCGTAGTGGTCTCTATTTTGGCGATGACGATGGTGATACCGATTCTGCTGGCGAATCTGATCACAAAGTTGCCGATACTGCTACTCCCAGCAATGTCGATGCCTATATCCATCTGAAGCAAACCGCTGTGGTCTCGAAGGCTCAGGGTAAGAGTCGTCGGGCCAAGAGAAATGAGATCCCCAAGCCTCAAAACGCCTGGGTCTTGTTTTTGAACGACAATTATCACATCGTTAAGGCTGAAAATCCTCACATGCGGACAACCGAGATCTGTACGTTGCTCTCTCCGTGTACAAGACATGTAAGCTGACCGTCAATAGCTAAGGTCATTGCTGGAATGTGGAAGACTGCTAAGGACACTTCGATCGGTATCCGCTATAGAGACCTTGCCGAACAGGTCAAGACGGAGCACGCCGCAATGTATGGTGACTACAAAGTCAAGCCCCGAAAGTCGAGCGAGATTAAGAGACGCAACCCCAAGAAGACCAAGACTGCCATCTCCCTTCAAGCTGATCTCTCCTCTGCTGACATGTATGGCTTGGGCATCGATACGTCGGAGTTCCGAAACACCAACTTCAGCCTTGGCTTTGATCACGAGAGCTCTGGACTCTTTGCTGGTCAGGAGCACTTCACTGCCGCCAACCCAGATGCCCAGTTGGATACGGTGGTCAACGCTACAGACTTCGGTCATGCTGATGGGGCTGCCTCTACTATGAACATCCAAGCTAGTTCCGACTTCAACAGTGGACCTATCTGCAGCACGAACATGCATGGTGGTTTCAGCTTCTCCGGTCCGGCTGATCAGCTAAGTATCGCCAACAACGGTCATCCTGGCTACACCATGGCTGGCGTCAACGATGGTGTTGTCAGAAATACATCGCTCGAGGATGCTCTTGAATTTTCAGACCGCTTGGCTGACCCTACCTTCTTGGACAACTTCACGTCGTACCCCATCGACTTGCCAGGACAGCATCAATTCTGGGAGTTCACTTCAAACTTGAACAATCATTACAGCCACTACTAATGTGCTTCCTGAATTGATTGCCACGATGCGGATAGCTTACAGCAGTCAAAACCGAGAAGCAGCATCAAACATCGTCGTTTTCAACCCTCTTTTCGGCATCAGCCAATGCTCCAATTACTATCTCTACATTCTCAGATGAACAACTTGTTCAATCTGTGCTGTCTACCTCGCATCATCAGCTCGCTGTTGCTTTGGTCTCTCGATAATGCTCTTCGATACGGAAATTCCATGCTTTACTGTCCTGCTTGGCTTGCCTGTCCCTCCCCTATCTACCATTCTTGGCAAATTTGATTAGGTTTGGTCGCATGGGGCATGCTTTTAGGGCGAGGTTCATCTGATCACGACCGCACTGGGCGATTTTTCTTTTTTCAAACAATAAAACACAAAATGGCCTTCCTGTACATCAGTCACTATAGCTTGCTTGTACGAACCTGCACTGGTTCGACCTGGATTCCTTGGACTTTCTGCTTTGGAGGGATAACAGAGTTGCTAGCAGTCAGAAGTTGCTATGAGTTCGTTCATAGGATCCACTGCGGGCAGATAAAAGGAAAACTAATTATAAACATACAAACATCTACGTGAGCCTCGCAATCCAACTTGATTCATTTGTATTACTTTGAAAAAGGGGTCTGTTTACTGCTTTGTTGTGACCCGTTGCCATGAGCGACCACGTCTTGGCAGATGCAGGACGACCACCAGCTTTCGCTCCTTGCCCTAGACCTAACTTCTCCAGCAGGACTGCAGCCTAATTTGACGAACGTCCATCGTTCGTTGTGCAAGTATTAATCTGAATGAGCTGTATTGAGCTCGCTGCAAAATTCTTATTCGGGGGCTGGTTAAGTAGTGCGAGGCTCCAGCCTCATGAATTCACCGACACTCCATCCAGAAATAGGAGATCTGGCAGAGCTCCAAATGGTGCGAAATAAACTCATATATCAGGGCTTCGGGTTTACGTTCTCAAGGCCCCTACAGTGGTATCGGGTCACCACAGGTGAGTGGGAACATAGCAGCCGTTGAGATTTCCCCTACAAGGAGAATTCCAAGCAAAAGAAGAGGAATCGGGAAATCACGCCCAGATTGCAGTATCTTTGCTGGCACCCTCCGCGTCTTAATTCCATTTGCTTCGAGTGTTCTCTTCACAGATCTTTCTCGGGGTGTTGTAGCAAACTCAAATACCACAGGGTATTCAGAACCATTACGTTTGAGCTGGCGTGCCTAGTTCATCCCAGTGAAGAGTGCTTTTCCATCCTAGATCCCGCCTGCACAACATGGCCCAGGTATTCCTCTCTAATCTGCTCACTACACACTGACGTTGTCCCTCCGTCATCTTCATAAAAGGTGGTCTCCAGTATTGCCCCTCCCCGTCTCCAGGAATCAAAATTCTGCTGTTTACGTCGCGCTCTTCAGTATGACCTACCGCACAAAACGTAGAAATCAGCATTGACTCCGTGAAACCAGTGATATTCAGACCTACCAGAAGTTTGGTAGCCATCCAGGTATGCGTTGTCGCCGCCACAGAGTTGATCTGCACGTACCCTCTCATCGAAAAGCAGCAGTCAATTTCCGTCTCCAGTCCAATCGCTACTCCATATGAAGGTTCCACACCGCCATTGTGAGTTCTTCTCCTTTTGCCCAGATGGGCCTATTGGTCGAGGGCACATGTAGAAAGATCTGCCACAATTGGCTCCCGCTTTCTTCGTGACAAGGCTGATGCAAGGCTCATTGTGATCACATCGTGGTGCCACCCGTTTCCCGAGGAGTTTCGACCAGCTTTCCTTCGATACGATAGGATCAATGACGCTCTTTTGGTCTGTAAGATTGAAGGGCTTGCTGTGTGAGTCTGTTTCGAGTTTATGCGAGATCTGTTGTTTCTCGGCATGTTGATGGGATGGCGTTGGAAACTCAGAGGAAGCATTATTGTTTGCGAAGAGGAGAATATCAGATTCTTCATCGGACATAAGCGGAAAGTGGCCATCTAACTGCTGTGTTTTGGGCTTGAAGAACCCTTCAAGACTGATTTGCCCCTTCTCTGCTTGTGCTGTTGACACTGACAGAATACCCGATTTCCCTCGCTTTTGGGGTCGGTTGAAGGGCAAGGCCTCAATGGGCCGCTTGGCAGGTTTCGTATGAAATGAGTCGGAAGGTGACATAAGATCTTTCGCTCGTCTGGTGCTCGATGAATCGTTTGCTTGTGTTACCATTACCAATTTCTCCGAAGCCTGGTTGTTCTCGAGGGCCTTTGCAGTATCCTCATTCATCCTAGTAAGCCCTCTCTGTCGGAATGATGCATTGTTTCGGCCCTTTAATTCAACAATAGACATTGAGCTCTCAGCCCTTAGTGGTGCAGGTTTCTTGTTGAACATGTCCCGTATGTTTCTTCGACGATCGAATTCCGGGATAAGCTTGGCAGATAACGGAAGCAGGTTCTTTGTTGACCAGTCACCCTGTCTCACACCATTTTTGAAGAATCCAGGGCTCATAATGTCTCTCACATACACCTCTTTGCCACCAATGTCCACTTTTTCTCTCAGTGTGGCGTATACAGGACAGTGGTCTGAGCCCATCAGACCTTCTTGTATGTCAGACTCGCAGAACCAGTCTTTCCAATCCTGGCTACAGAGTACGTAGTCGATCCGAGACCCGAAGTTTCCAGGTCTAGCATTGATTTTTTGCTCCCAGCACGTAAACATCCCTGTGCGAGTTGGGTGGAAGGATCGACATATATCCCACATAATCGGTTCTTCCATACCCTCGTCTCTCTCTCCATAGACCTTGCCTCCAACAAGAAGTTGGTTTAATTTCCTCCTTGCAGGAGCGGAGAAGTATTCCTCAATGGTCAGGTGTTGTTTGCGCAACTGATCTTCGACCTTGGCAGTATCCATCTCTTCTCGGATAATGTTCAAGTCACCAGTCAAGAACACCCTCTTACCTGCAGCGACCAGATTCCGGACACGAGCATCCAAAGCATTTAAGAATCCTATCCGAAACTCGTCTCTCGATTCGTCTCGATTTGCAGGACAATAGGTACCTATCAAGACAAATGCTGGGAATTCAAGCACGACACAACGACCTTCAGAGTCAAGAGTAGCGGCGTCAAGGGAGCAGTCCGAGAGCTGGCTGGTTGTTGGATAGCCACCGATCTGCTGGTCATCGGGGAGATTGGAGAAGCTTGTAGTTGAATTGGGAAGGGTAAGAACACCTGTGATACCCTCATCGGCTCGAATAGGAGCACACACAGCATTACGAGTGTAAATGGCAACCCCTGAGTATCCTGATATATCTGTCAGCTCAAACCTCTTTGTATTCACCAGCGTATTAGGACCTTTCTTGTGCTTTGGAAGGCTGAAGAAGACATCCCAGCCAGGAACCAGAACCATGTCATCCTGCAGGTCCTTCCTTTGGATTTTCGTCTCTTGCATCACAACGATATCCGTCTCAAGGATATCAAACATGGCCTATAGCAGTGAGAAGACGTTCCGTGCACTATACAGGCCCTCCAGGCAACTTACGGCGAATGTTCTTTCTTGACGCCAAGGCTGATAGCCAAAAGGATTTCTGCCATGGTGTCAGACTCGAGATTTCCTCGTTCAAATGATTCTACAGCAGCAGAATTGCAAGTCCTAACCTGATTCCATTGACTGTATTTCATTAGCCACAGCTCTTTATCAGAATCTACCTTTGAACATCCTACCGTTCCAAGTTGTGATTCGAAGACCCCGCTTTTCTCGGTCACAATTGTCCATGGTCAAAATGTAAAACTGACGGGACGCCCTACGATAGCCGTATGGCATGAAAAAGCCTACCCAGAGAAAGTGATCTCAAGTTGCGAGTCTTGAACTGATGATCTTGTCGCGCGATTCGCGTTGGGCGGCGTTCAAAAGACGCGTTGAGGTCACGTTGTCAGATGTTGCGCACGTGATGTTGAGCTAGGAAGGGTACCAAGGAACATTGCTTAGGTAAGGCCGACAGCTGCGGTTCATGACCGCAAGCGTACGATTCTCCTCAAATGAACCTCTCTTACAGCAATTAGAGCGTCAACAACCAAAATGTTCCCTCAACGAGCCATGCTACGCACTTCTCAGCGCTTAGCTGCCCAACTGCGTGCCCCAGCTATCCGTACTCCTTTCCAAAGACGATTTGCGAGCACGGAGAGCTCTGCCTTCCATGGTGCGGAGGACAATGCTTTCAACCGCGAGAGAAAAGCCGTGAAGGACCATGCTGCTGCTACGAGTGGTTTGTATCCTCCATATTCGGAGACGGTCGTGAAACTGATATATTCGCAGATTTGTGGCGCAAGCTGTCTATTTAGTAGGTAACCATCATAGAATACGAGAAGATGTTCTGCACGAGGAAAATCGCTGACCTTGGCTCCTGCAGCGTTACCATCCCAGCACTGTTGATTGCAGGTGCTAACGCATATGTCTTGTGGAACGAGCATTGGAGCCACTGGGAGCACATGGAGCCACTGGAGGAGAGACCCGAATACCCATACCAGAACATCCGTACCAAGAACTTCTATTGGGGTGATGGGGACAAGGTGAGTCCTTCTCATTGCTATCTTCTGAAGTTGATTGTCAGCTAACTCGATCTCCAGACTGTCTTGTGAGTTTGCCCTCAAGAAACACTTTTGTCTCGGTGACGAAGCGCAGTATGCACGAACGGTAATGCTAAACTAATATACAGCTGGAACGATAAGGTCAACTACCACAAGAAGAGCGAGTAGGCGATCGGATTGCTTATTGGAAGGAGTGTCTGCTGGTGGGAATGAATTGGATTTCTTCGAACGGTCAAGACTGTGTATTTCTCATTGAGTCCTCGGAATACTAGAAGCCAAATCCGTTTTCCTCACCCCTTTGAACCCCTGTGATCATACTGGCTTTGTCGAAGGTGTGCCGTGGGAAGCTTCGTTGATTGGAGTGTGGACAGATAGATAAGCGGTCGGAATAATGTGGGAGAACCTAGAAACAATGAACTATTGCAGGGTGACAGGCGTCACACCACCGCGATTATCTGAAATCTATGACCCAATGCAGTAAGAGGGATGTCTGTGGAAGGCGCGACACAAGCTGTGTACAATGGGTCAAGCCTCAACATATATCAAGAACTCAAAACCTCAGGAGCTGGCCAAGGGAGGTAGCGAATAACTGCTGGGTAGGTTCCTGCCCATGGGACGACAAGCTTGACGCGGTCTGCAACCACGGAATTTCTCAATGACTCCCCTATTCTGCAAGTATTAGCAAGAAAGAGCAGTTTACATGCTAGGACCGATCGGAGGAACAGTGTGAAAAGGCTGCTTCATACAGGAGCGGGTCTGCTAACATAATCCGTAAAGTGATTGCAGCCGCAGCAAAGGCCATATGAGGAATGGCGTGGAGCATCATGTTGACGCTGTGATGGTTAGAAAGTGACTTTGGTCCTTATTTTATTATCGCTATGCATCGAATTATGGATATCATAGTTTCAAGCTCAAACCAACGTTCCTTTTTTCAAGTCCAGGTAACCGCTGGCATAATCATTCGCCAAGATATTCTCCCCCCAAATCTTCATGATGGTTGCTTTCTTTGCCATCATTTCGGACTGGCCCTTGATATCCTCTACAGCTGAGTACTCATCAAAAGCGCGACCGACGAACTCTAGACACCTTGTAAGGTTCTGTTTCCTCTTCATGCTTCCTGGCTCTGCTTGTCCAGCAAGTCCCATGTACGCGTCGGCCAGGAAGGAATATAATTGAGCATTCAATGTACAGTTCTCGTATTCGAGAGCTCGAGGAATAATGGCGATTAGAATCTGGCACGAGGCCTGAAACTCCGACAAAGAGGTCATGATATTAGCGATGCTGCCCATTGCGCCCCAAAGGGCTGGGATAAGCCGTGCTCGCCAAGCAATGCTTGCTGCTCGCACTGCAATTGAGAAACCTTTTTGAGGCCGTCCAGCTTTGTCTTGTAGTAGCGCCTTCATTGTGAGAAGCTTGATCCGGAGGTTAAGATCATCCCCATCCGCCTTCATCTCAAAAGCCAACTGCTCAATCTTAGCCAAAGCTCGACCGTAGTTTGTGCGTCGAATAAGATAGTCGATGTGGAGGGTATTGGTTTCGAAAGCAAGATCTGTATCGGTTTCAGATCCATTGCACTGGAGCAGCTGTGAAATGAGGCAGTCGGCACCACTCAAGTCATTCCTGTGCAAATATCGCTTGAGCCGAAGAATGCCTCGATACTTGAGCCAATACTGGTTAGATTTCCAAGACCGAAGCGAGTTTGCATCCAAGCCTTCTAACTTCTCCATGGCCTCGTCATACCGACCTCTCTCTACAAGTAGATGTGCAACTCGGCATGTAAATCTCAAGGTGTCGTCAAAGAGAGCAAACCGAGAATGACAGCTAAGGAATATATCGCAGTACTGCCTTGAGAGACGAGCCACGCCCAGACGTCCCCATAAGGAAGAGTGCATTGCTATCTGCGGGCCCATCATGCTTTTCATATTTTTTTCAACGATGAGTTGCGAGCTCTTGAGGAGGTTTTCAAGGGCGGTGGCCACACTTTCTCCATTTGACATTCCAAGTTTTGCTTCGCTGAGTAACGATGAGCTCCAAAGGGTCCACATCCCGGTCTCCTTTGCTTTAATTCTCAGAAATGCAAGGCCCTCTCTCTCAACACCTAGAATATTGGTAGAATCGGTCCGTTTCATGATTTTGGGATGTGCCTTGCCGAAATGGTACAGCCAGTTGAGGGCGAAGTTCAGGCAAGCCATGTCTTTGTTTTCCCTGGCAATTGATACGGTCTCCAACATAGCAGCTACAGCCTCATCGAAGCACCCGAAGTCAGCCTGTAGAACAGCGAGATTCATCAAGGCGTATTGGTAGAAGAGGCGGTCACGATTTTGCATTGTATAGTCAAAGTATCGGTGGAGGTTGTCAAATGATGTAGGATAGTCTCCGGCTCTCCATGCGTCAAGGAAGCTGGCCGTGAATCAATTAATGGTCAACTATTCATGATAAAATGACTTACTTCAGGTAATGGGACAAACTAGGGATTATGATATTCTTATCCATGATACTCCTGAATTTCCTCTTGACATCGTCTGGAATCCTGTTTCCGAGCTCTGACACTGTTAAAAAGAGCTTTGCCGGACAGCGAACGCACTTACTCTGCATCTGCTCAACTTGGAATTCCAGTAACTTTTCAACATCGTCGGTGCTAAGTCCTCCCTTATCAGAACCCTCTAAGGATAAAGCGCCGTACGTAATATGCTCCAAAATTTCCGTTGCTTCCAATCCCCACTCCTGTTGTCCTTCGGCGAGCGCCCTGTTTCCGGCCCAGCGCTCAAGTCCGCCATTCCTTCTCGCCCAGCATAGCCTCGACTCTTCCCTCCACTGGACAAATGCAATCCACAATGACAAGGCGTCACTGAATCTCAATCGCTCGTATTCCACCTTGGCTCTGCGAATGAAGCTTCCGAGCGGGGAAGTACGCGAGAGAAGAATCATGTCATCAGAAGGAGGGGGAATTCCCAACTCTTCATCTTTCTTGATCTCCTCATGGTACCTGGCCAAAAGATTGCCCCTTGTTACAAAGAATAAATGCAGTGCATCTAAATTATCTACTTCCCACAATTTCCGGAGGAAGTGGTCCCACAAAGATCTTCCTGGTAGTCCAGCAGCTGCAGAGTGGCGTGTGAGAAGGGATTCAAAGCTTTTTAGGTCGAGGATAAACGGTATTGTGTGCAGCAGGTTAGCTTCTCGAGTCTGTGACTTGAACGCAGAGGGTAGCAGCTGATTGAGTATGAATGAGAGGATAGGGATCGTAGACGAGTTGGGGACAATGGCATCAGTATAGAGCTCGATTAGCGCCAGTAAGCCAATCTTCGCAGGCGTCAGGAAACGTGTCATTGTCGCTGCTTCGCCGTCTCTTCGTCAGCACAATGATGTATGAGGCACATCTCCACGTCCTGAGCTTGCTGTGTGATTATGAGAGGCAGCTGACGAGATTCGATCGTTGGGTTCTCTCTGAGTGGACGCGTCAAGCTGGGGAACGCGACATCCATTCCTCTGCCCAGTGCACGTGATTACAGTAGAGCACGTCCCGTCCCGTGCCTTGCAGAATCTCACCCAGACAGGTAAGGTACTATCGACTTGCCCTCTCCAACTCACCTGTAGAGCTTTTCGAGGTGGATAAGCACCTGGGCATTCTTTCCTGCTGTCCTACCTAATCCGCAAATCCGCTGCTTTCGGCTCGATTTGCTACTAACTCTGGGGAGGTTGAAATAATTGGACGGTGACATCTGAAGTATAATCGGCTCCACGCCCATAAACCTACTTTGGCTGTTTTATATAATCTGATACTCTCTATACGGTATATACAAGATTCCCATCACTGCCACTTAGACAGCCTGACTGATTCGATCAACTCAATACAGGTTCATCCTGTTGAAGGTAGCTCCATGAGGCTTCCGATTACATCTGGAGCTTCTTGAGTGTGGCTGGACCCTCTGACGTGAGAATTGGGTACTCCAGATCGACATTCATGTTCTGTACAGGCCTTTCACCAAACGTCAGAACCAAACTTTCGAGGCTTCTGCTCGCAACAACGCGGTTCGAGCTTTGAAGCAGCCCATTCACTGTCTTGCTAACCAGATTTGTATTGTCAGAGAAGTGTCACAGTCATAGCTTCATCAGGAAGTTCTAGGCAATAAGGAATGCTCGATATCAAGAAAAGTACCTCCATGTTTGGGATCTTGTCAAGAAATCTGTGCCAGGAGCGCCTATTCGGTTTTAGTGAGGAGTGACACAAGTTATCTCCAAGCTATTTGGCCGGAAATCTATCCCAAGAGAGTTGCAGAGAAGACTCTACAGAGCACGAAATTGGCTGACAGATCTTGGAACCTGTCGCTGTTCCTCCGAGAACTGGACAAGGTCGACTTTACCCTCCAATTTGTTGACTTAGCTCGTATTTCAACCTTGCGCGATTACCGTTGTTGTTCAGAATCACAGTATGATCGGCTGGCCTTTCACTATACTTTACCTTCTGCTCGCCTTCCTTCATGGGCATTCGCCTGACTCTCCACCGCTTGTATCTCTACCTGCTCAGACCACTGAAAAAAGCTACCGCGCTCGTTATCATTTCACGTGGAGGCGCCATTCCCTAAACGTTAATCAAAAGATTTCCGAGCCTTAACCATGGATCCGGCTCAGAATCTCAATGAATTGCTGGATTATAAACTCAACTGTCCGTATACATCGCCCGGGTCGCAGGTATCGTCAATTAGGTCTCAAATGAGAGCATGTTCCGCTTCTCCGGGTTGAAAACTATTTCCCACAGCAAAATGCTTCGAAAAGAGTATTTGGGCGATGGTCTTGACACCTTTGGGTCAGTAATCTCATGCAACACAGTAGCAAAGGTGCGAGCAAGCGATCCTATATTTCCACAGCCTGCCCGTCATTGTACGTGGAACCACGACATCATTCCGAAATCCCAAAAGGCATCGCTTCAATGTCCACGACCTTCAAAATCTCGTCAGAATTGGGAAGTTCTTCATCTGATAGTCGATCCCCCTGTGTGAAGCTGCGGGCACTCTACCTGAGTCCTCGAAGGTAGCGGAGGGGAACCGGTTGGAAATCACTTGTCTACTTTATGGCTGGTCCACCGAAGGTAGCATGTCTACGGCGGAATGACAAAGGTCGCCCCCTCCTCGCCGCGTTGTTTGCTCTTGCCTGTTCTCATCTATTGGCAAAGCTGCTTGACGAGGATATCTGTCTTGCGCCTTGCCACTTCGTGCGATAGTACCTTCCTTGTCCAGAGCGGCAGATGTAATATCTCTAGTTGTATTGGAGGTTGCGATGCAAGTGCTATCAATGGCCTTCTATTTGATGTATAGTTCCTTTGGATTTGCAGTCGCGCAGGCATGTACATTTGTATTTCGTTCTCAATTCTTTGCCTCCATGATTGTCACCTTAGTCATACCAGGGTCCCTTCAGGGAGGAGGCCAAGCACAATTGACTGCGTATTCTTTTACTATGGCGCGTGCCAGAACGCCCGCCCGCCCAAGACGTATCTATACCCAGACTTGGTCTTGGATTGCAAAGTATCTTTCTACTAAGCCCCAAGCCATCACAACAAATGAACAAAGCCAAGGTCAAGCTCCCTTGGATATGTAAGCTCAAGAACGAACTCAAGTAGGGTGGCCTAATCCAAGCAAGCTCAGACTCTCTCATTATGAAGCAGAGAATGGACGTCAAGAGCCGTTGTCGTATTGAGAAGCTGGAAGAAGACTCCCTCCTGTCCCATGCGCATTCATTGCATGATGTTTTCACAGGCTTTAACAACGACGTCTAGACTCCGTCTTGTTCTCGTAGAGTCCAGATCGAGTCTAGGTTGAGTGAAATCCTATACAGCTTCCAACATCGGATCTGGCTATCTCAATAAATGTCCGTTCTCGAACATTTGGAAGTCTGGGCTGCCATGGCTTCCTACATCGGTCGGAAGCACAGCTGTGTATGTCGCAGTATATATCTTCTTGACACTGACAACTTTATGGCTAACTCGTTAAGGTCTCGGTCCTTCTGCGATCAAGTGAGCTGGCTGGAACTTTGGACTGTGCAGCTCTGTTACTCCCTTTGGGCCATTCACAACAATATGTTTGGTGCTCAGTCTATCGCCCAATCTTCGAAGTTTGATATTATGACGCAGATATGAATTTGCAAACAGAGCTCTGCAAAGTTCTGGAGATAAACAAAGTGTGTGGTTAACAGATTGAAACCATTCCCGCATGAACCTGACGCGGGTTTAGACGCGTCGGATGCTTTGCTGAGTTGGAGGCAATACAGATATAGATATCTTGCCAACGTACAATAACGACCATGGGAAGCAGTATGATCCTTGATATTATAGCTATGAATCCTCTTGTTGCAGCTCTGTATTAATCCCGTACCATGATATACATGTAGACTTCCAGCTCGTATGAGACCGTCGAGGTCAAGCCTTGGTAGTACCCAATAATAGAAGAATCCAGTTGCTCTCCTATATCAAGTCGAGTAGGACAAGTCCGAGACACGCATCTCCATTGTCCGTCATGGTCATTATCGCCCTTTCTTGTCTCCCGTCCGGTCTTGTACTCCGATTATAGCACCGATTTGTGATTTCCGCTTCCGCTCCTCCCCCCTTCTCCGCCCGTGCCTTCCCTTTTCAGCCTGACTAGACCTAGATCTAGATCTACCTAGACTCCATCCCGGTCGGACCCCTCTGCCTACCTACCTTAAGGTACCTTGCAAACGTTCATTCCGTCCCCGTGTCACGCCTACCTAGGATATAATATACAACGGGCCGGAAAACCTATTATTCCAGTCATGCAAGAGACCTCTGAGTTTCTTTATAAGACAGCCTTCTCCCCCTCCCTCCTCCCTCCTTCCTCCTCCCCCATTCTTCTACTTTCTACTTCTACTTCTGCAATACGAACGCTCACTTCTCTTTTTTTCCGCACGCACGCACGCACCCACTCATCACTTTAGTTTTTTTCACCTTGAATTTGATCTCTGCTTACTGCATTCACTCTCCCCCTTCATCTACATCCCATTCTGCTTCACTTCTTACCCACTCTGCTCTTTCAAACCACCATGTCTTCTCCAACAGGCACTACCTCTGCTACCAACTTCAAGGCTGATCGCGACTCCTACTTCGAGCCATCTCCTGCAAGCACCTTCAGTGGCAGTGCGTCAAGTAATGCTGGGGATGGTGACTTCCCCCGGACTCCTGGTGATGGTAAGCTTTCTTCAACTTAATTCTATTCTCCAGCTGTTCTGTGATCTAATCCTCCTCTTTTCGCGCCTCGGGTGCAATTCATACAAACTTCGACGCGTCTCCAAACATATCACTTCGTTCCATACGCCCTCCAAATCCACTTCACTTCCAGATCACGCATTACAAGGAGTGCATTCCGTTGCTCGGATCCTTCAACTACAACCCACATGCTCCATTACTCGCTTCAAATCCCATTGGGCATTGTTGCATTTGGTGTCAGTCCACACCCTTATAGCCCTAATATTATTTTTTGCAACTGCATGGTAATTTGTTACCCTATATCTCTTAAGACTCCATTTTCGGCGCCTCTTGCTACTCAATTTGATAGTTTCAAAGTTCTCATATCACAGGGTACAGACCTGTGATCCTTTATGATCTCTCATCTATCAAGGCTGCGATATTCCAGTCCCTTTATGCCTTCTTCCCCCAATCTACCTACAAACTGTACCTGTATTCTCAGTACGCGTCTTGTTTCCAGTCTCACCCGTCTAAGATGTATGCTACATTGCATGACTCGTTATTTATATCCCTCCAATGCCTGTTCCCCACCCGTGCGATCGCAGGTGCTCTCGTGTCTGATTTCAAGGCTAAGACACTTCGATGGAGTCAGCATCATATATAGTTTCGTCAGTGCTTTATCGTGGTTACATATGCTCGAGTCGACTACTGTCTCTTTACGGATGTCGATTAGCCCTTCTTCTGCTTTGATTGCTGCCCTTCACCCACTTTCAAGCTAAGTTCATGCTGACTTGCCAAAAGAAAGTGACCTCATGAGCAAGCTCTCTGAGCTCTCTGTCAGCGATGGAAAGGCTACGGCTCGGTAAGTTCTTCTCCCAGCAACCTGCTTTCGGCTGAGTCAGGCGCTGAGTCTAGAAGTTACTCGCCACCATTCGTCCGCAATGGCTCTGAGAGCAAGGTCGATGATCCGTTCACTTCCCCGCAGCCCTTTTCAGTACAACGAACTCCAACTGGACCAAAATCCAAGGGCCGCTCATCCAAGGAGGACAGTTGGCGCTCCGGTGCTTCTTCAGGTTCAGATTCAGGATGTAGCTCCCCATCTGTCACTGGACTGATTCATAGCGCTCATGGCGGCCGTGGTGTATTCATTCAGGAGTGTTTATCCGAAGATGGTGATCTCAAGACGAACGAGCAAGTTCTCATCAAGTCCGAGGATGCTCAGGCTATTTTCCCACCATCCAGCTGCGTCTTCGTCGCCAAGTAGGTTCCAGCAGGTTCTTGTTCGCGAGGGTGACGAGGCTCTTGAAGTTGCGGTTACTCAGATATTTCGGGAGTACGGAACTGTTTACGTCAAGATTCGTCGTGATGCTAAGCACATGCCATTTGCATTCTGCCAATATACTGTAAGCCTTTTACCTCAAATTTATGGTCTAACTATCCATTTTCTAACCCCTGCTAGAATGATTCTGATGCTGAGCGAGCCATCAAGGATGGTCGCGGCCGCTTGATCAAGGGCCGTCCATGCCGTTGCGAGAAAGCAAAGGCACATCGTGAGTGCCCCGTGTCTCTATTTCAATAATATACTGACCTTAGACCAGGCTTGTTCTTCTTTGAGCGCAAGTATGGCCAAGTTGTCACCCCATCCGAGGTCCAGGAACTACTTCGCAACTTTGGCAGAATCTCCTTCTGCAGAAATGTCAATCAAGTCGAGCGCGCTGCATATAATCTCAACGAGGGTGTCATGGTTCAATTTGAGATGTACGACGAGGGTCAAGCTGCTCACCAGGTCTGCACATATCGTTCCCAGCCTATACAGTGCTAATACCCCTAGAGGCATTCCGCAACCACAATGAGTTCAAGATGCAATGCATGGCCAATATGGGATCTCCAGCTGGTCGAGGTCTCAACAAATCCGACCCTGTACATCGCTCCTACCTTGATACCTACGATGTTGACAAGCGCTCTATCTTCGTCGGAAACCTCCCGACCAGCATCACTGAAGGCGAGATCTTCGACATCTTCCAGCAATTCGGCAGCATTGTTCAAGTCACTCTGCACAAGAACGATTCCATGATCGACAGTAGGCAGCATATCCAACCATCAAATTCCCATCTAACTTCAAACAGTCAATCAAAAGCACTGCTTTGCTTTCGTGGAGTTCCAACAGCAGCCCGCTGTCACCAAATCTTTAGTGGCCATGGTAAGTTTAAAGTCCACCTCTACCTACTACTTCTCTACGCTCACATGCTACAAGTCTGGCTATGTCCTCCAGGACCGAGCTATTCGAGTCTCTCAAAAGGATACGGAGGCTGCCAAGGCTCGCACACGACGCCAACCAGCCAGAGTTGCTCCGTCTTTGACTGGTCTATACCAATCTCCAGCTGCTCGTCCTGTTGGTCGGCCGCAGGCTTCTCCTTTGGCTAACACGTCTCCTGCTTACGCTTCTCCTTACAGCTTTGCCCAAGTTGGTCAGTATCATAACTACCAGGCAAATGCTTTCCCAGGTCAGGTCCAGTACTACTCTCCATCCTACTCGCCAACCGTCTATTCATCTCCTTCCTACTACTCCTACACTGGTAGCCCATCCTACACTCATGGAGCAACCGCAACCGCAACCATTGCCGGTAGTCCAACTCATCCGCAATTCTACTACAGTGGCTATAATCAGTACGCCCCGCCTGCATCGTACCTGCCCACTTCAAGTTCAGTTGCTCTTCAACCACAGGTCAACTACTACACTCAAGCCTACTCCCCACCAACCACCAACATTATCCAAGACGATCGCACCGCAACTCCGACTCCACTTGGACGCCCAGCTGTCATTGACAATTCGTTGGAGTCTGAGTGAAAGTCCAATACTCTGCTCTGGGAGTCATACTGCTGGATCTCGCCAACAATGTTGGATCGCTGGCACTCAAGTTCCCATCTTTGCTGTCCATGTTTTCTGTCTCTTGCACTCATATATCTTGTTGTGTCTTTTGGTTCCTTTCAGACCTTCGAATAAATTTGTCGTCGTGATAAATCTTGTTAACTTGCAGACATATGGCTCCATGTATACAGCGCCGGCATGTTGTTCTTACGTACATCTGTTCTATTCCTGCCGAGAAATCTCCATGCAGCCTGTCAGATATCTACTGTGCATTAATCTTCCTCGATGTTCTTGCCCCATCGTTGGACGAGATTGTCGCACGATAGGTTTCGAGGCACATTGCGCAAAGGTCTTCGATTTATACAGCCGCCGATGTACCACCACAGCTAGATCTCGATACTAATAAATTGCAACCAAATATTCTTTCCATATATGACAGCCTGTGACTTTTCACTTTGCTTTCCATTCCACTAAAATTCCGGAAGTAAAGATCAGTGGTACCATCAGCATTTTCGGAACAGTCTTCTATTTTAGGGGAAGCTTTTGAATTACCATGCCAACCTGACTCGTTGGAGTCCCCTTCTCTCGATAAGAACAAGAGCAGGCAGACCCTACAGATTGAATGAACTGACACCCGATCCGTACATGCCCGTAGAAACTGCTTATCTGTAGATGGATTTGAAAGCTAGTTCCACGAACTCCAATGTCAGTTCGATCTAGATCATTTGGCCACGCAGAATATTTCTCAGTCTAACAACAAGCCGATGTTATGCTTAGTTTGTTATTTAATTAAGCCACGAGCAATGTCATGAGATCTGCGGTATCGATATATGAAGTCGACAGTGACATTTATATAGCTATATCCATTCTAAGAACTAGATCAAACTTTGACGCATGGTTCATGTATTTTGATATGTATACCAGATTGCGAAAGCGCCTAGAATAGAGAGCTTACGACGTATCATATGTATTTCTACAATCAGTCGACGATGCATCATGTTTGTTCAATGAGGTTGAAGATAAGACTCATAGTGCCACTGGCTTCCTGCCTTGTTTCCATTCAACGAGACTGGCGAAAGATGGGTATAATCTTGCACTGTAGCAAACCAAACCTCGAGCACCCAAATGACAAGGGTAGTACTCAAAGTACAAAGAAACACTCTGATACAAAGAAGTGGATTGAGCAAATATCGAGATATCATATACCAGAGGTGTGGCATTTGTCAAACAAGGGGCGGAGAGAATAACGGATTAGAGATAATCTCTCTGAGAAGCGTAGCTATCGTGGTTATCTCAAGTGTTGTTGCTGTTGATGTTGTTATTGTTGTTGTGTGCTCAATGGAATGACGGCTTTAAATATTCAAGTCTCCCTGCCTGCCGGATCAGGTAACATGACCTCCATACACTGACTGCATTACCTTGGTAAGGTAAACGCCAAAAGCAGGTGAACTTGCCACTGTACTACTACATAACGAACATTCCGATCGGATCGGTAGTATCAATAATAACTCATCGTTGCCATTGGTGGATTCGCGATACATATATTGGTCTCGAAGCAGAAAATGAAATTCGAAGTAGACGATCGGACTCCCTGCCGTATTTTAAGTACAGGACGTTCTGAAATGGCCCAGCAGAGGTGTGGCCCGTATTTTGGGCATTAATAGTAATAGCTAAATGAGGCACCGTTGTTAATAGGCGATAAGTCGCTGGAGACCTTTAGGTCTCAATTGTTCTCTTTGGCGATAGAGGCAATTGATGTGACAATCGAAATAGACGACGGGATCAGCCGCTGATGCGAGAACCCCAGTGCACTTATGCAGAACTCGCAACGACACGACTTATTATGGCGGTGATAACTCGATGTTATTGAGTTTATAACGTAATATCGTCTAAGCCATGTGAATTTATGTACCCAACGCCATGCTAATATCCGCCCAGGGTAATTACACAACGCCTCTCCCTATGCCAAAGGTACAAAATTTCCAACACCGTCTTCAAAAATCAGCCTACCCGTCTCGCTCCAAATAGTGTCAAGCTTAGACTTGTATCGTTCTCTCCTACATTGGGAGTGGGCTCTCCTAACATCTCCCAGCGTTTCAATGTGAATGGCGTCAGCTTCACTTTTTCGACTGAATTTTCTTCTGGGTCAGTCACGGAAAGTGTCCTATCTTTTTGTCTCAGGAGTAACCATTCTGTCGGGTTGGCTGCAATGCTAAACAGATAGGAAATGGGCGGGCTGGATGTGACATCTCTGAGGCTGCGGATGCACTGCTGGCGAGTATCATCGGGTAGATTATCAACTAAGTGAAGGGCTAGGTCGAAAATCTGCTCAATGAGGTTGCCGACGGCTTCTGTCCCTGTATCCAATGCCTGTAGATGGAGGAAAATCGCAGAGAGTGTGAGTGTGGCTTTGGCACGGTACTCGTGCCCTTGCTTACTTGCTTCAAATGCCCCAGCGTGAATAGTCACAAATGACAAGAGAAGTGGGAGCCACCTTGAGACGACGGAATCCCTGATATCTTGCGCCTGGGAATTTGTGAGAAGAAGCCATGTACCGTTAAGAGCGATGACCATATCAGAAGCAAGACTGTTGTTGGTCGAGTCTTGAGCAGGTGAGGCAGATATGCTGTGTGCCGTTGCATTAATAATATGTAGAAGGTTCTCGGCACGTGAAATGCGGCCAGGAATCCAAGGACCGTCACTGCGGTTTAGTTTAGGGTTGGGAAACAAGCCTAGGAACTGCGAGTCGGCTCGTTTTCGGAGATGTTGAGATATGGAGACATCGAGTAAGGGAATGATGCTTGCCCAAGTCGTCTTTCCAGCCTCCACTGCGGATTCTATTGCTCGATCGAAGGCAGCTAGGTGCTCTGATTGAGCATGGCCCCTGTCTAGTTCGGCTTCCTGAGATTGCAGCATTGCTCCAAGCTTGACCTGGCAGAATGGTAAAGATAGGTCATCAGCGATGTTCAGAAGAAGTTCGGGCGTGATACGCTCGTGAGCACTACTGGCAAGGAGGAGTTTGTCCACGGTTGTGTTGATAGCATCCACGGCACCTAAAACGGAGCTTCGTAGTAAAGGGAAGATTAAGTTCTGCGTAAAAGCAACCGCATCTATCAATACATAGTATCGATAGAGGTCACACATTTCTTGACTGCAAAACAGAGTCTGAAAGTTGAGGGGCTGGGAGCTTCCGTTGATGACTGCCAGTGAAGACTCAAATGCATGACGAATGACGTGGAGTGTAGCCGCAGGGGAGTCCTTCCGTGCATGCGACTGCTTGATCCGGAGCCGATAAGCTTCTTCGAGTGTCATGACTTCTGGAAGGTCACAATCGGTGGTAAGTAGGTGCAACAGCTCCAGCGGGGTGCGGGATGTGAATGACTGTTCGATATTGACTTCTCCGAGGTTTCTTTCGTTGTCCAAGCCACAGTTTGCTAGGACATCACGAAGAGCCAGACATCCGAAGCTGATCAAAGGGCCGAACGCTTCTATCATGTTTGGGCGGCTCTCCTTTTGTAAGATTCGACTTACCCACGCCACCATTAATACGTCAAATTGGTTAGCATCAAATGTCCTCAGACGGGTGAGTAACAGGGAGCAACTACGCTGCTGCTCTGGAGATTTCTGCCATGACTCCTCCAATCGCAATACGATGCGGTGGAATAGTCGTTCAAGAGTGGCCTGGTCCATACTGTTTCCACTTGCCAACACTCTTTCAATTTCGTCCGTGAAGTCGACCTCCGCTGTCTCCACGATTGCCATATGGTCCGAGACTGGCGAGCACGCATCTGCCGCGGTCTTTCTATCACTTCTGGCTAACTGTTGAGCAAGCTGCTGTGCGATATTGTTCTCATGTGGTAGCCTCGATGCAAGATCCGAAAGGGACACTAGGAAGCCTCGTGGAACCGCATCGCTTTCTTCGGTCAAGGCACGTAGTCGACCCATAAGGATATCAAAGAGCCCATTCAATGCACCGATGGCAGAAAACGTTTCGAGATGTAGGTTCAGAGTATCAGTACAAGAGGCCAGAACCTCAGTGTCATTGGAGCTCGTGACAATCTTCAGCACATCAGCCAGCATCGAGTAGTCGCTCAGATCTTCAAGATACCCGCGGACGGTACTAAAGTCTGCTCCTGTGATAGCAGAACTTCCTCCCTTCATTGGTGACACGTCCCAGTCATCCAGCGGCGGTATCGTAGGCTGCATCATTTGCAGCCTCACTTTCTGTCTCAGCCAGAGCCCCAACTCCGATCTTATCGTTCTACTTAAGTTTGGTGGAAGATCTGTGAGCTTGCTCGACTCAGCACAGCTTCTGGATTCTAGTTCAAGATCCACACCAGTTTGCATGCCCGGTAAATTCCCATTCATGAACACCAGACAGTCCTGGATTAGATCGTTCTCATCATCTGTTGACAAATCCGCGCGATCCATCAATACAGTACGGAGATCGGAGATGCTGTCGCTGATATTGCTCATTGGAAGCTCTGCTAGGAGTCGGGAAGAGAGAGGCCCGTCCACCGCAACATCTGTGGAATCATAGATGCCGCCCCGGGCTATCAACCATTGTAGATACCTTGGCGTAGAGAAATGATCCGAACGTGCCAATTCAGATACCAGATGGAAGAACGCAGGCTTATTGATTTGGAAGACATTGGACGTGGACGTGGACGCGGAATCGAGAAAGCCCAGGATGGATCCTGTGACGTCCGCCCCAAGTTTAGCCCAGTATCTTATTATACGTGCTGCCACATAAATTCTCGTAATCCCTGGTCGGTGAGATGACGTTGACCACTCAAGAACGGCTAAACTGAGCATATTTTTATCATCGTGTACATCCCAGCATCTCCGAGGCAAGTGGTCTGAAAATGGTTCTCCGAGGGTCTTATCCAAGATCGCAATAAGGCGTTGGCGAGCAGTAGGCTCCCTCAAAATGCCTGTTTGGTTGAAGCGCGAGTTGCGTCTGTCGATTGTTGCTAGAACGGGTAGAAACTGGGGATCCCCAGATCCGAGATGCAATCTGATTGTTTCCTTGTGACTAGCCCACACTCTAGGTGAAACGAAATTGTCAGTGCTCGCAGACATCAATGCTTTCAACAGGTCCTTCAATCGATGGGAAAGAGGGGCTAGTATGTCATGATCCGCATGTTTGGAGAGCTTTGCGCAGGTAAGTATTGACCACGTCTAGCCACAAATTTGGACACATACCTCAGCTAAATGATTAATCAGAGCAATTGATAGTCGGCGTCCATATTTGCGGTACCTCAGGAGTTCTTTCCAGTAGACCTGGGTAATCAAAAGCAGCATGGGAAGCTTTGTCTGGGGACTATTCTCAAGTGAGGATACGAGCCAATCCATGTAGTGCTCTCGATCCAGCAGATACTCAACGTGAAAGTGTGTGACTAGTCGTATTCTGCTCCATTGTCAGCCGGAAAGCATGTACCTATAGTACGACGGTTACGTACGCATAACTTATTCGAGCTTTGAAGTCCTTCTCGCCACAGGATCCAATGATGCTCTCCAAGAACTGTTCAACGCAAACCGTAAAATCCCGGATCCACTTCGCGTCTCCACCCATTGCAAATGTTCCACTAGCCCCCTTCCTACGGAACGATCGCAGTTCGTTTGCGCCAACACATTTGGCTAACCAGACAGCTCTTTCGATGGGTATGTTCTTGCTCAAAGATTGATCCAACAGCACCTTGCCCCTTATTCCATGTGGAATAGACCGGCTCAGACGTCGCAAGGAGATTGTTGGATTTGCCAGGTCCTTCAGCCACAGTTCTCGCTTTGTATCTGTCACAGTAACTCGAGGTGGGGGCTTGAACGTGGATGCCGAGCGTATTTGGCCATGTGCTCTACGTTGAGCAAGCACGTTGGTGAAGAGAGAAGAAAGACTTTGCAACCCGCTCTTATGCTTCAGGGAAGGAAATATGGCGGACCTGGCTGAGCCTGTTTCGTTCTGTGTCATCTGGGCTTTATCGAAATATCCCTGGCGTATAACAGGCTCGGAAAACTGGTCTTCGGGGTGGTTTCCTGTCCATGGATAGAAATCCGCATGCCCTGTGAAACATTAGCACGGTGGAAGCCATAGATATAAAATATCACCTACCATTGGGAAAATATTGAGGAGCAATTGCCGGAACTTCCAATGTATATGGTTTCGGGCGAGCATCTTTCTTGTTGTTATTTACAGTCAGCGGTCGCTGCTTTCCCGGAAAAGGCGAAATATGTTGTCCAGGCCTCACTGGGAGAGGCATCGGCTTGATCGTAGTATCATATTGGCCCCCTTCATGCGCCGACCTCGGATTGACGACGCTTGGCACGTCAAAGTGAAGCTGCGGTCGTCCTCGGGGAGGCAGGGACGGCCTCCATGATGGAGTCGTTGCAGATGATGGTATTGGGGACTCGGCGACGCCTGATTGCTTCGAGTCCGTTGATATCTCCACCCTCAGTCGCGAAGTGCCAATTCTTGGGCGAGCCGCTTCTCCATCAAAAGCTAAGTCCACGAAGCTGCTATCATTGCCTCTCCGCGTTGGCGACGAGGATGTGAATTGCTGCGAGTGTGTTCTAATCGGCGGCGGCCTTTGATGAATGGCGCCCGTTGAACTTAGAGAGCGCTGAGGGGGCTGTCGGCCCACGGGTCTTGTGGTCATGATTCGTCCATCTCGTGGGGAGTAAATGCGATTTCTGGTGGCGTAATGGGGAAGGTATAATCCGCGCGATGCGCAGATGCTGTCCCCAGGAAATGAGGAGTTCGATTTGGAAGCTCAAAAGGGGTATGGAGGTTGTGAGCGCAACGCAAGGTGTAATATCTGGTTGATGTGATGTGAGGTTATCGATGGGGTGTTGTGGCACCCGACCGCACCGCACCCGCACCGTAGTCTCGGCGGATGTGGACCAACTAGGGACCTACCTACCTTACGAGGTAATCAACACCAATAATGGAACACGGGCAGACAGGGCACTGAGGGCACCAGGGTGGATATGGGCATGGAGATTGGCGTGGGCGGTGGCGATAGGATAAAGTTCCCGCCAGGGTGTAACCGCTAGGCTTGACGGGATTTGGGAAGCACAACCACTGCACAGGCATGACATGGGCATAGGTTGACGACGGTTTGCCTACAGAGGTAGAGGTTTGCTGTTGTTTACCTATTGTAGTAAGCTGTGTGCATGCACCCGCGCTGACCTTAGTAGCCATCATGGCCATACATACCACGGGCGACTACAGGCTACAGCCTCTAGACACTCGTGGTAGACTGATCCCAAGCCCATCTCTTGGGTTCAAAACGTGAACTTGAAGGATCAATGACAAATGAAGGTAGCTTGACTCGCCTCCTACTTCTGTACCAGATCTGGCTCGTTTTAAGAAGTGGTGCCTTCACGACGTGTCTTTGCTGCACCCTTTGTTGAGGTGTATGAGCAAAGGGGAAGAAGAAATCTGTTCTATTGTAGTTAATAGAGGAATTTACCAAAATTGTTACCCTAAAATCTAAAAGAGAGGATCTCACGAGTGTACACAATCATACTAAGGTGGCTCGGAGCAGTCATTCCTAGGTAGCATCTGCATATTTATTCTCGGTATGTGAGTCAACGCAGGCGGTTAACAATCTTTGAGAGCAGCTGTCAGTCTCTTCTGCAAGACAATCGACTAATCCGCAGAATTGAAATGACCGACCCAAAAGAAGATGAAAAGAGGCACGCTTCAATGGCCCAGGAAGGGAGATGGGAAAACCTGGGGACAACCAACTCCCGGACTGGTCAACTCTGGAGCCTACATAGAGGAACCTCACCGGGCGGCTAGGTAGGCAAAATGACCGTTAGATTGTAACAATACCGTATGAGGGCCATCGCAGCACAATAGTCTCTTCTTAAAAGCGGCACGTTGATTTCCTTCCCCAGAAAGGGAGGGAAACTTGAAGCATGCTGGTAAGCAAGAAAGTGCATTCTTTTCTTTTATGGTTCCTTCGCCATACAAAACCGAGAATGATGTGCCTATCAGCAGGTTGCGATCCTTATAGGACTCTTTCTTTTATGCGTTTAGGCTATTCCCTTCCCCGAAGGACAACGAAACAGTCGACTGAACTAAAATGTAAGCCGAAATAGCTGCAGTTAGGAAGACAGCTTCGACATCGAGAGGTAACTACAGGGAAGATAGTTTGCTGAAACTGTTCTTTGCTCCACGCATTTCCCGTCAATGACACAGTCCCATCATGCCAAAATGCACAGGAAATCTGGGTATTGGGCTGGTCTGGATATTCTATTTGTGCATGAAAGCGAGCATATGGGTATCACGCTCAAGATTAATTTATAAAATTACAGCCGAAGGAGACTACCTAGGTACTTATATTTCCCAAGTCTATAGCAAGATGTGGAAGGGTCCAACGTACGGATATATTGGAGAATGGGCAGGTTCTTTGCCAAGCCGGCCTCATCGGCCCCCTGCTTGTGGTTCGGCTACAAACGCTACGTTATTCCGACACTGGCATCGGCTCTGAGGCTCTGTGATTGCACCTTGTGCAGTCCAGAGACACCAACAGCGAAATCACAGCAACGCCCTCGATCTTCTATATCAGATAGAGTAGCCATCATGTCAGCCAAGAAAGATATGAGGAGGGCGGATTTGAGTAAGAGCCCTGTACTGCAGCTTGAGCCAAGTCCATTGCTAACAATGTATCCCAGTAATTCCATTTCAGATGCCTCCATCGAAAGAGAGCTCCAGTGATCTCAGTGGAACTCTTGGGAGCACCTTGCCAATGGCTGCCATGTTTACAAGGAATAAATTCGTTGGGTGGTACGTACAGGTTACGTGGAGTCGGGAGAGCCATTGCTGATGGAAAATAGGGCATCCGTGGTTTTGGCAATCCAGAACTGGTTGGGAGAAAGTGCTGAGGCAAAGAGGACCTCCAGCCAGCCGGCATACTTCTCGGTCGGAATGGGAAGTGGGTAGATTCTTCTTGTGCACACGAACATGGATTGCTAACGATTGATAAAATAGTCATGGCGCTTGTTGTGGTATACTCCCTTTGAGTCACTTTTAACGACCACTAACTAACACTGCATTCTAGACTTATCTACCAATGTTTTTACCTCCCCCAGCAGTGCCTGGCGCTGGTACCGGCACAGAAGCTCCAGCAGCAGCACCCCCCTCTTAAGTGGTATATGATTTGAGGCTGGGTTGTGTATGATAGGGGCGAATGACCTTGAAAATATCTACCAAATGGATGGTCTTGGGCTTGAAAGGTGACACTGGCCGTATGGGCACTCCAATTTTGGAATGTAGGTGGTACTTTATGAGGAGGTCTTTTTTGCAATCAAATTTGTCGTTGCGGACAAAGCAGTGACTTGACTCAAAACCCAACAGAATGCCATTAAGCCATTCTTGTTGCGCTCCTCAAATCTAGGGATGGACGTTCACCTTTAAATATGATATGTAGTAGACCGATCTTAACTAGCGTCAGGACCATCGACTGTCTCGGAGATTCGACGAGTATATTTTTTAGTTGAAGCTAAAGGTCTGCTATGTGTCCGAGTTCACGGAAAGTATAAACAGCTGTATGATTGATGGCATCTAGAACCTGGGCGGAAATATCAGAAGTAGTTTATATGACAATGACAAGAACCAAGTCGCAATGACCCAATAGTTGAGGGGTTCTCGGGTGATAAACGCTGGCGATTACTGTGTATTTCCCTATGATAGATCCAACTCTGGGACAGCACTCGTCAGCTTCGCTCTGAGTGCTGTCCAAGATACGCGCGAGTCTGTTCGCCTTCGCCGCGTGGTGAATGCACTCCGTTGCCAAGAGGCTTCAAAATTTGAAAGAAAAATTGCCTTAGTTCACAGATATTGATACGGAAGTGAATCATGGGGAAAGTCCCGCTCAAGGGCTCAGATAGAGCGGCATAAGCACCAAGCCCAGCCTTGCCTCATACCTAGGTAGGTGTCTTCTGGACTGGAATGGAAAGAGAGGAAATCGATGGGGCGTGACAGTCGACGAAGTCAACCAGTTCTCAGTTCTCGTCACATTTCACGAAGGACAGAGAAAAAAACAGGAAAGCACATGTCAGTGGTGAAAACCCTGATTCATCAAGAGATTCAATATTGAAGTCTATTGAAACTTGAACGAGCTCTTATACCAGCAGCGGCTTCAGCCCTGTTCTCAGCTCAGCCTGAACTCTGAGCAGGTTTTTACTTTCAAGGTTCATTTTATTTGACTGCCTCAGGTGCCAAATAACAGGCTCCCACTCACGTGTCGGGCACACTGTAAGCCTTACCGTGTTAGTCCTAGCTCTTTAGCTCCTTCCGTTTCCAGCGCCCCACCTCCTTGTTAGAAAACCCCTCCAACGCCGCGCTTCCTTGCCCCAACTCAACGTCAACCTCGTTCCATTCCGATCCAACTCCAACTCCAGCACAACACCCATACCCTCCCGGTCAACATCCACACTCCATTCAAATCTGCAAGAACAGCAAACCAGATCACTTCATCTCACCACACCCCCAGACTTTCGCCTTCTGACACAGCGAAACTCTCTCGCTCTATTAACCATCTTTTCACAACAAACCCTGCCCCCAAAGACCCCAGGAACACTCGAGTTTATGTCAATCGAAAATCTCAAGACCTTCGGTGAGTCTTTCCTACCCACCATTGTCTAGTGGCGAGATTGTGCGCATCTCGTATTCAAGACATGAACCAGTCAGGGTGAACTTGCTTCGATGTCATATTATTTTCAGCCCCCCATTCCCTCTTTATATCAGGAGCTCTCAAGGTCGCGCGCTGACAACTCTTGGCACATAGACCCCTTCGCCGAAGCCGACGAAGATACCGGAGAGACCAAGCAGTCCCAAAATTACATCCATATTCGTATTCAGCGTAAGTCCTCTCTTTGACTCTACGAATAGCATAGCTCTTGTGTCCATCATCGACGTCATGCCTACCTGGAAGACTGACCTGCTAACTCGACCTTGTCTACAACAGAGCGAAATGGTCGTAAGACTTTGACCACTGTCCAAGGTCTCCCCAAGAAGTTTGATCAAAAGAAGATTCTGAAAGTCATCAAGAAGAAGTTCGGTTTGTCACCATTCAGCAAGCGCTCATGGCGGCTAGTATACTAAACATCTGAGACAGCTTGCAATGGCACCATCGTGGTTGACACTGAGATGGGAGAGGTGATCCAGCTTCAGGGTGATCAGCGCAAGGATGTTCAGGAGTTCCTCACGGACAAGAAAGAAGGCCTGGAGCTTGATGCCAAGACCATTAAGGTGATATTTGTGGATCCTAGTCACAGCACTGAAAAGCTAACGTCATGTCAAGGTCCATGGTTTTTAAGCCAATCGAATTCTTCCCCACGAGCTGTTAATACGAGGACCTTCGATAGGAGTGTGTTTGCAACAGATCCCTTTCCTTTCAGCTTCTGGCCTCGCCTCGTTTATGACTAGCTTCGACATGGGCGTTTCGATTGATACCCGCGGATTCTTCACGAGAACGCATTGATGACATGGGAATTGGGATGAGATATTTCTTCTTCATTCGGTACTGGTCTTTGCGATTTGTTCTTGTTCGGGATATGTGAGCAACAGTGTTTGGACGCCTCGGCATTCCTCTAGGACAGAGGTCGGCATAGACTCTGATGCCCAATATTATGATCCCATAACCTTATATTTCCATGACACTGCAATTATTGAGCCATGTTCCAAAGGATTGACAGTAAATGTGAGCCCCTGAGTAGGGTGGAGAAGAGGTTATGTTGACTTTTTTGATGGACTTTCTGTATCTCTCCCCAAAAGAGAACCTCGGTCTTTGATGTTGTCTTTCATCCTCGGAATCAAGTTGTTCGGCGAGGTTGGAAATTTCTGATAACTTGTGTATATCGTAGGGTATAAGAGATAACACAAGATACTTACAATATTGTGATCCAAAGTCTGAGCATGTATTATAAGGACGATGTATGATCCATTTGTTCTAAATTGTTCTCTGGATGGTCCTCTGGCCTTATTTGATCTTAAAAAGGCAACAGGAGGTATGGCTCAAGGATGGTGTATTCTGTCTGACGTGCACAGCCGGGGACGGAGCGGAGCTTTGGCCGCCAGTGCCGACCTGACTTCCAAAAAAAAGTGTCTGCTTGCTTTGTAGGGCGAAGCTTGATTTTGCTCGTCGACCTTCACCATCGCCCCCCTCTCTCTTCCCACCGTCTGGCATTACTCTCAGTCATCATGACGCATCTGATCTCATTTCGGCAGCCACTGCCAGTTTTCCGAGCTCCACGGCTCCCCTCCTTTTTTACACGGCGACAGTGCTTCTCCCAATCCTCAATTACCCACTACCAAGACCGGTCAATACAAGCCCAGCGTCCCCGTCAAGCCCCGGATCGTAGTATGAGAGTCGCGTCAAAGGAACTGCAGCAGTACCCTTCTGATGTTGGCCTTCTCGACTGTGTGTGCCCCTCTCGTGTTCCCTCAGTGTACTGACAATCCACATCGTAGATACCTTCGTAACTCCCAGTGGCAGCAATGCACCGCGCCTATTCGATTCTCCGTCCTCATTTGCAAAACTTCGATGGGAACATGTCAAATCCCGCCTCCGAGACCGAGTGTCCTTACTAGTCTTGTGGTTTGCCTCGCCCCCGAAAAAGAGCTTTTTTAAGCGCGCCTTGAAACTATCTCGTTCGAAAGTTACTCCGACAGCTGTCGCACTCCACAGGCAAATGTATACAAGCTTTGCCGAGGGAGATGTTACTACTTTGCAAGCACTGTGCGCGGATGGAATATTTGACAGCTTTCGAAATCGGATAGGCAATAGGCAACGGGGCGAGAAGGTGGTTTGGGAGCTGGTGAAATACAACAAGGGGCCAAAACTGGTTTCTTACAGAGCTGCCAGGTATCCAACAGATGGCGGCGCTATTAGACAAGCCGTTGTTCGGATCTCCTCGACACAGAAATTAACGAGGTGGATCCAAGGAAAGGGTGGTGTGTTGGAACTGGTACCAGGATCCGGAAAAGAAAAGGACGTTGAGGAGTACATGGTGGTTCAGAAGACGATACACGACTGGAAGGAGGGCGACTGGCAGGTTTGGGGGACAACTTCGGAGACTACGATAAAAGATCTCAAGGAGTGGGAGAGGAGGAAGAGTGAATGAAAAGGGTAGGGCAACCACGTGCCGATGTGTTCAATCAGCATTGTATACTAGAGACTGTTAAGCTCGGAGAAGAGTGTATAATATATGTATATGTCCAAGAGGCGGAGAATATATTTGAACAAAGTTAAATAGTGGCCCTGGTCAAATGGTCAAGCAAGTCTACTAGAACCAGAGGGACTACAACTTCTAAAACAAGAACAATACCACTCTAATCACAATCTACACCACACTCTGCCTCCGCCATCACTATCATGGCCATAATCGTTGCTGGTTAAGCGCGCTAAGCTACTCCAGCCAGTCGACAACTCAAAAGAATTTTCCTTTGTGGTCAACAGTGACAAGACCTGTCTGGGGATGATTTTGGGTTTGATCGTCGTTGGTATATTGAGAGGCACCGCCTGTCCCACGAGCAAGGTACGCTGGGCGATCAAGAGCGTCAAACCGGTGGCCTCTGATCCTGGCCTCAAAAAACTGGTAGGTGAGTCTCACAGCCAAGGCACCAAATCCCCAGAGCAAGCCACCAACAGGCGCAGCAACAAAGGCTCCAAACGCGCTCCAGTCGTTACCATACAAGCCTCCTTCTAACAGGATGAGCTTAGCCCCCTGTAGAGCGTTGCCGAAGTAGATAGTTCCGAAGATGAAGACGGACATAATGCCTCCCAGTCCACCAACAACCACCTCAAAGCCTTTCCACCAATAGAAGCGGTCGCTCAATCCTAAGATCAACACCGGAATGGTGGAAGCTGAGAGGAGGTCCGATATAAGGTAGATTTGAAGGATGCTTGGTGCTCTCAAGGCAATGACCACTATTGGGAAGATGATGAGAATCACTGCTCCACGAATCCACCAGATGCTAAGTTTATTGCGGAAGAGGTCGTTGGAGGCTGTAGAAACCATGGCAGACTGGAAGCTGTCAAAAGCGGCTGTGCTGAGAGAGACCACCATCACGAGTACGATCCCAACTGTCCAGGCAGGCAGTTGCTCGAGGAGGAGAAAGAAGGCAATACTACCATCCTGTTCTGGATTGGTCGGATCGAATGCACCGGACCAAGTAGCAATAAGGCCAGACATACCAACGAGAGTGAGGATGATCAGAACAGCGACGGCCGCCATAGAAATCCCAATCCAGAGATCCTTGTCAGTCTTGGATGCGAAAGCTCGGATCCAAAAGTTGGAAAGGAAAAAGTCGTTTGTCAAAATTGCGACTGGAAGAATGTAGAGGAGTTGCCAGCCTAGTAAGCTGGGCCTAGTGAGGCCAGACGAGTCAACAAGGGATTTTTCTATCTCTGTCTCAACGCCAACGGTGATGGTAGCTATGATAACTGGAGGGGAATGTTAGCAAGTGTCAAGCAAATATGGCGTTAGTGCTTACTCAATCCGACAACCATTGCACCTTGAATGTTGTCTGTGATAAAGGAGATTTTGAATCCTCCTAGAGCTTGTGGTTTTGGGTCAGCCAAGAAGCAAACAAATACTTGGGTTTCTCTTATTACATGTATAGATAGTTGTAACTGCACACTCTACAATTACCATGGGGAGTCCGTCTATACTAGAGTCAGTACCTGCATAATGGGGCACTGCAGAGATGTGAACGCCAAAAGGTCTAGGCCAAGGCTGGGTCGTGGTCAAAATGGGACATTCGAAAGGAACTTACCCATTCCTGTAAGAGCTGTCATGATTTGTTGCAGAGCAGAGAGTTCCGCAACCATGTAGAGGAACATGGTCACGAGTGTGAGGAATGACAGGTAGAGGGCTGTAATGATGCCATAGCGTTGTCTCGTCCACTCTGTCAATACAAAGCCCTCTGGGCATTTCTTTCTTATGATAGGGCCGAGTAGGGCAAAGACCATGAGAGGCGCTGCAGAAGCAACTGCATAAACCACAACTCCTTGGACACCAGTAATGGTTGCAAGCTGAGGATATGCAAAGAGGATACCGGATCCGAGGGCTGCATTTTTCAAGATGCTCACATTAGCTCCATGATCTTGCAGGGGAAGGATTTTCAAAGCGGCAGACACTTCCCCACGCAAGCATTATCTTGAATCGGGTGGTCACGGTACAATCTCAGCTTCATTTCCACAGAACCAAAGATCTCTCCCGTAAGAAGTTGGATCACTAGCAACTGTTTCAACTCTGCGCCCGTAGTGAAGCCGCGCCAGTCCTCCTGGAAGAATCTTCACTGAGAATCAAGTGATAGCAATGTGATCAAAACAGAAAATTCCAGGAGGACCAGCGGTGTTGACAAATACGAACCTCTTCACTGCCGATTCCCTTTGTCTCGAGCACTTAGATAGATTGCTTTGCTTTGCGTCTGCTTTGTGGGTTGTTTCAAGGACTGCCGCACTTTGATCCCAATTTGGCTTTCGCGCGCGAGTACTACTAACCAGACGCAATGAAATTCAAGGCCAGAGGTAACGCTTTATTATTGGTCAGCACATGTTAATGCTTTGGGAGTTGGATCCCGTCGCAAGAAAATCGTCTCAGAGAGGTGCAGAGAAAATTTGCGACACGCTATATTTGGGGGATCCTAACCAGTTTGCGTTCTGTTTGACGAGAGATAATCGCCCTGTCTCGAAGTCAGAATCGCTTCAATGGGGACTGTTTGTTATGGTGCACATAGAGGCGGAATACCTTGGACTGGTGTCTTAAATTCCATGCAATATAGCAGCCAAATACCCTTCGCATAAATCAGTAAGCTAGCTTCTGTGTATGCGACTGAAGCCTGTTTCTACGCACAGGAATGCACCATATGACAGGTAGATGATTGCATTGCTTGCTTGGGTGGACGGCTGACCCATTCTCGGGATGATGATGGGTATGGGGAGTTGGCGCGAAGTATGGTGTGCAAGAGGAAAGGAGAGATAGCTTTAATCTGTACTGGTGAGTGGTAAATTGGTTTCTGGGAAGAATTCAATGCGCAATCTGCCGATTCGTGCGGACGCTAGCTACTCTATATGAGATGCAGTGTTCGGTAGAAATCTTGATCGTGATCTGGCGAATGTGGGAAAGAAAGATGAGGATTTTAGCAGACAAGAAAAAGGAAGTACGGTAGCAACGCACCTCTGAAATCTATTTAATCTAAATTACCTATGAGTGCAATAGGTACCTTAGTCCTGTTCTGCCCCTCCCGATGCACTAGAACACACAGGGCAAAGGTCCATTAGCTGGCGCCGGCCAGTGCCGGTGTCTACGCCTGTCGTGCTGATTATTACCTAATTACCCTCCGGATAGCGAAAAGTTTGTTCTCTCGGCTGACTTGCCACTCTCATACAACGGAAGGAATAGGAACGGGAAAAGGAAAAGGGTCCAGACTCCAGAGGTGCCGATTTCAGTTGGCTCACTGAAGCATCTCTACGGATAATCAATTGCCGACAGGCTTTGCTCCTATCTATCCGGACTACTACTGAAGCTCCCGAACCGTCTCTTAAGTTAGGTACTGTTGCACTGAGGTAAGTCGCCTTGTTTCATTATCAGCCGCTATCACTTGGACATTTTTAGCGCACGATCCTCAAGGGATTGCATCCAAGTTAATCATTAATAGAAATCAATAAAAACTTGATAGTAAATCTCAGCTGCTTCGAAATATTATACGTCTCTCGGAGTAGAAACTCTTTCTAATTTTATACTTCTTATTATCCAACTTCGTAGAAGGCATCTCTTTCAAGCGAATCCCAAACGACGCTAAACTGTCCCATAGCGGTTGATGGAATATCATCGGGACGCAAGCACGTTAGCCTGGCTACCAAAACATCATGTCTAGGTCGAATATCTGTGTTTGAACTATGCCATGATATATCAGGATTAGGATCTTGGTCATTCCAATCCAATACCTGATGATAGTAGTGTACATTACTAGCTGCCATGCTGACTGTTCGTTTCTTCCCTCTTTCCCACAGACCCCTAGCAGATCAGTCATCATCGAATATCTGATAAGTGTTCTGCAGTATCGTGTCAATGACACGAACCTGCCAACCTGCGTCTTGAATATTAGGTCCAGTATTTGCACCCATGAGGGTAGGTCCAAAGACGATCGCCAGGTTGCTAGCATTCATGCGATTCGAGGGTGAGTTCTCCTGTACGCGATTCAAGTGAAGTGTCAAAGCCCTCAGGGTTGCGTAATTTGGATCTGGGAGGCTGTTGATTATGGCGTGCAGCGAGTCCCGACGAACAATGTCATCGTCATTTTCTAAATTTCTTAGTTGGATAGAGCAGACGCGACTTAGCGGTGAATACTAACTAGCTGCTTCGATGAACCCGGCATAATGCTCGGCCGTTAGCAGAGGATCAGGGAGATCACGGAAAAACTGCTTCAGAAGGCCAGCAACGCTATTGACATCGTGGAAAAAATTTGCAGGGTCACGAAAGTCCACCTTTGAAGCGTCTATGTGCAGATTAGCTTGCTGTTTCGCCGAAAACCAAGACTTGGAGACTTGCCATTATCAAACATAGCTTTGATTTTGTTCACATGCGACGACGTCCCTGACAAGCGATATATCCCTTCAACTTCCAAACCGAAAAGATCTACAGCCTGGATACATTGGTAGACAACCATAGGTACGGCCGATCCGTCTCTCTCAAATAGTTGCTCGAGGCTCAGTCCGAAGACCGGCTTCAGTGGAGGGAGATTGACCACACTGAGGGTTGATGGTGGTTGCGAGTATGGGTTCTGGGCTGGGAGCGCCTGTAGAGGCTGTTGAAAGCTTTGTTGAGATGGCTGTGGTTGCGTATTTTGGAAGGGAAGTGTTGATAGTTGTGGAGGGCCGCTGGAGCCAATCGAGCCAGACCCATAAGAAGCGCCATTCCCTGGCCCACGAGATGGTCCTCCGCCCTGCATGACTCCAAATTGCTGCATCGACGGACCCTGGCTGAAACTACGTTCATGCTGTGGAGCGGCTGGCGAAGATTGTTGGTTGAACGATTGAATCGCCTGTCGTGCCTGTTGTGGGGGTTGTGAAATATTCAGAGCTGGAGGGGGTCCTTCGGTCCGCGCCCCGAACGACGTTTGAGGGTCTGATTGACGCTGGACCGGGGTAGCCATGGGTTGTGTATTGTGAGAAGGGGGGTTCAACACCTGGCATGTTTTAGTCTCGCACGATAGAGAGATAGAAGAGGCTTACCGGATTTTTCTCATACTTGATTTCTGAAGTGCGGGCAGGGACTTTGTTGGCGAAACTACTGATGTAGTTACTAAGATCTCTCTCGTTGTTGATAGCATACACAGCTTCACGTAGACTACGGGATTGGTTTGCAGTCTCGTTGCTCTTCGACGGGCTGACGTTGAGTCCGTTACTCAGAAGGAGCTTTTCGTTGAAAGATGCTGGTCCAGTCAGTCTCAGCTATCATAGACGGATTGATCACATACCAAATTTCTGCATCTGCAGTGTTAATGCCGAATCGCATTCCTTGATCAGATCCTCGAGGGCCTGGACAGCATCGGGTCTCGTCTTGGACAGAAGTTCCGCCTTTTGACTCTGTGCTGCTTGTACTTTTGCCGCATAATCTTCATCGGCAGCTCGCAACTTCCTCAGGAGGTCTTCCTCATGTTGCTGAGCTGATTTGGGGCCTTTCAGACCAAATTTCTTGCCTTGTTGGCGATCTCCAGTCTTTGCTCGATCATAATCTTCTGCCAACGAATCATACTTAGCTTTGGACTTTCTCATAGCTGCCTCCGAATCGGCCACTCGCTGCTCTGCAGTGAGCCCGGTCGCCTTCCAGTGCTTTCGCCCACGCTCTATACTCGACGCGATCTCCAGAAGGTCTTCGTGCATCTGGTGTAGCGACGTCGCGAACTGTGCTCCATTGTCCGACATTCGTTCGTGGATATTCGTAACTTCCTCGTAAGACTGTAGAAAGGAGCCATGCCGATGCTCCGGTCTCCTGATATTCTCGGCCGTTATTCGACAAAGTTTTTTGAGTCCATTCGAATGCTCTTCTTCTAATGTGGACCGTTTCTTAAGAAAGGTCGCGAATTCCTAAATTATGTCTCAACGTCGATACTGGGCAATTGGCACCAGGAAGAACTACCTTTGCCGATGCTATGCTCTGCTTTAGACGATTCAGTAAGGTGGAAACTCCAATTTCAGAATTGACAACATCGCGGACGGCCTTCGCATTTAGGTTGGGCTGGATAGGTGGAGGCGCAGCAGTTGTCATCGACTCGCCATTGTTCACAGAAGAAACATCGTCACCATTGGCATTCGGAGCTGCTCCAAGCGACATACTACCGGCCCTTCCGCGCTGTTGACTGGCAAATTCAAGGGGGTCCGAGAGCAATCTGTCGGGATTGTTGTCATCGGCCATTTTGGCAAGAGGAGATGTGGTGGAGGGGGATGTGAGGCCGAGGCTGAGGGTCCTGTCGCACCTCAATTGTCATTAAATATCTCTCTTTACTCTTGGGTTGAGGCGCCACCGCCTGTACGTTCTATCAGGAACAAGAGCAGAGTTTGCTTGTGGTTTGGCGATGTCGCAGACGTGGTATTCTTGAGGTCCTGAGGTTGGTTGGAACAGGGCATTGGTCTACAGTACGAGGCCAGCAGGCTAGTGGCGCAGTTCCCGTCTGCTCGACTCCCAGCTGGATGTGAGTGACCGAGGATGACCTACTAACTGCTCAACCAGGTATAAGTAGGTTAGGATTCTAGAAGTAAGAATATAGACTTGCGAGGCCACTCACGAGCAATCCTAAGTCTAGCAAGCGGTCTACAGTACAGTGTCAAGAAAAACTGTGCCTAGGTATCTTTGCCCTCCCGGTTCGCTCACATTCCACTCATGTTTACTTCACGACGTCACGTATCTTGGTAGAAGTTTCCTCTTGCTTTATCCTGAAATCACGCATTAAAGTTAAAAAAAACCCAGAAGAGCCGGAATCTTCTTGTCCATTTGTAGTACATCTATAGGACTTCATCGGATGAAATCATTCGACCTCGTAAAGAGCACTTAGATCCTCACCGCGACAGAGACCCTTTCGCGTGGGTCTGATTACTAGTCGTCGTCGCAGTCAAGGGCTTGATGCAGACAAATTCTCACAAGATGGAATCCTCCACTGTTTGATTCCTGTGCGGGTTGGCCCACAACCCGTCCCCTATTTGGCTTATTTTCTCCATTGAGCTGTGTACGGTTAGGTCGGAATCTGACCATAACTTGTCGAGCATGTAGGCACATCAAGATGCCTTATCGATTCCATTTCAAGTTCAACCTGACTGTCGGACTAGCATGTTATTGCTCCACTAACGCCAGTCATTGACTCCTACATTTGTTCTGAACACAGATGCACATTTTGATGGACTGACCTGACTGAACTCCATGGGAGCTCTCTATTCTTATCCGTCTCACTCCCAAGCCACAATTGCGTGCAACGGGCCAGTAAGTCATGTTAACAGTAATGTGGCCACCAAAGATAACTTACAAATGGCAGTGCTCAATCGAGGCGCAAATAGAAGTACAAGTACACCTCACAGAGTGCCGGAAACCATGGTTTAAATTTAATCCATGGAAGCAAAGAGGCACAACTCAGATCGAACGAAGGGCAATGAGGCATTCGCTTGGCTGAACCTGAGTCGGGAGAGTAAACGAGCTGCATGTTGTTTTCTTGGAAGACTCATCTTCTTGGGAGGGCTTGTAGGTATATGTTAAGCTTCGTTAAACTCGCATCCTATTCTTATGTCATTGAAACAACGTTTCCTCCAAACTACAGTCCACGGTACACTCTCCAGTCTTCTTTCCATCCAATCCAGAACATCTACTCCCGCCTAACAGCACGAAACCGTGAAATGAGTCTCTTCAAGACTGCAAAGTGCGTGGCGCTAGAGTTTACGCCATGGAGCAGCTTACAAAGGCGGCCGAATGTCATGATAACAATCAGTAGAGAAACGACAATAAAGGCAGAAGCGATGTTTCCCGTGGGATCGGATAGTCATTCAGCCTAGGGTCAGCCACATCAGGCTTCCACAGCTGGCAAGTGCAATGATCAAATGCGGCTATGCAGCAGGCAGGAGTATCTCAGTCGGCCAGTAGAGGATACGACTGGCCAGCCTGCTTCATACCATCAGCAACGCTGTTGCGCCATAGGCCGAGAGGAACAGAACGACAGTTTGTCTGGTCCAACTTGGTGTAGGTGGCCTGGGGTTGAGAGTGGCTCTGTCGGCAGCAGACTCGTTCGTCAGAAAAAGAAGAAAGGTGACAGGAGTATGAAGATATATACCTGGATTGCAGATAGTTCTATTATTTTTCATAGTTCTCCTCTGCCCCATAGCGGCTAATCTTGGTGGCTACGATCTATGTGGCACTCGCTCAGACTCGTTAACGCAGTCTTTCCATAAACACATTAAGTCTCATCTGTGTGGCTGCTTTGCGAATGAGGGTGTAACCCGTAGGCTACGTAAGCAATAATGCAGCGCATATGTTATTGCATATGCCCTTTTTCTGTTTGGAAAAACATCATCGCTGTTTGGTAGCCGCTGATTCGTGGTCCAATTACTCTTTAGCACAGGCTCGACTTGTAATAGCACAGTTCATACGTGTACAGCCAAGTGCGGTCCTGTCGTTTTTCGCGGTTTGATTGAGGGCTGTCTCATCGACCATCGAGACACTGTCGATGTGTTGCAACCAAGGGCAATTGCGTACAAAATCCAACACTGATATGACCAATCCATCTGCCAAGCCCGACGGGAGGTTGCTGTACTTGAACAGTGCCGGGGAGATTACACATTGCCAGACATCGCTAGCATCCTCACGTATTCCGCTTCCTTGTACCTCACGCAATACCCGTTCTTCCTGAAGAACTCAAGATCTAACACTTCGAGATTTGGGCTTCGTTTCTCAAACAAATGCAACAGGCTTGTTGTGGAGTAGCATCCCACTTCCCCGTAGATGGGCGAGTCAAACCAGAAATTACCGGTCTTCAGGCAGTAAGTATATGCTGGATTATGTCGCACATGGCATTCCCTCCCTTGAGGGAGAGTGAAGCTCCAATTGCGTTGTTTCACGAGATATTCGGCGAATGACCCGTCCTGTGGGTGCTGGAAATCATGGAAAACTCGGTCCAGTGAATGATTTTCGACCAGGAATTTATCTCTGGGTGATCCAAGTGTTAGCAAATATCGCCGCTTCCAGTGCGTACGGAAGTGTGCAGCATAGTACACGAGCGATAACGGAATCCATATAGCAGAGCAGAATACCACATACAGATTGAATAGAGTCGCAGAAAGATCGAAATTCAACGGTGTCGGTGCCGAAGGAGTGCACAGTTCCGAGCCCAGCTGCACATTGGTCAGATAGTGACTGGTAAAGGTGGTGGGGAATCCGACTTCTTACATTTTGTAATTGTGAGCAACGACTGTCCCAAGACTTTTGTTGCAATTGGGGATGATCCCAAACACGTCGTCGGGACTCTACATTCAGGCCTACTAGATCCTGGTATTGGGAAAGGGAATCAAAGGCACTCGGCTCGTAGGTGGTTGAGCCTGTGGTAACGAGCAAATACTTTGCAGTTGCACAGCCAGGATCTGAAGCTGCCATGCTCCGAATCACCCAGTCTGTTGCCAAAAAGCTTTCATCTTTTCCGTCCTGAGTTGGGATGACGATATCCTTGGGTATCTCAACGTGTATAACTCGGGCATCAAGAGCTTCTGTTACCAACAGGCCAAGCTCGGGGAACATAACTCTATCTGACTGGTATACCAAAGCTCTCCAACTCGGGTTGTGCTGTGCTTGGAGAGATCGCAGAGTGGCTGATAGTCTAAAAAGACGATCCTCTGCATTGGCGGGAGAGGCACGAATAAGCACACAAATATCTGGCTTCCTTTCCGGGATAATGGAAGCTTCCTTGTCGCGCGCAAGGCTCATTTCAGTGGAGATGTCTGCCCATACGTGCTCCTTCTGTGAGATCTTTAAAGCGTTCTTCATAGCGATGCCATATCCGTCGCCAAACTGAGCGCTAGGCTCCTGAATCGCAACACGTCTGAATTAGTAATTGAGTTCTATTGACCTGGGGGGCATATGATATCCGAGGGGAATATGGGCCGACACTATAGCTTTGGGATAGCAGAGAAAAGACGACCACCAAGAAAGTCACACCTACAATGGCGTTGCCCTCACCCCACTCGTTCAATGCATTTACGAAGAAGAAATTCTCCGAGCCCATCGGATTCTGCGATGATCGTATATCAGTAAGTACTTGATTGCAGCATGGCCTGGTACTATTGGGGGTGCATTTTCACTTGATAGCTATTGTGAGCAGGTCTCCCCTGTCTGAACAACGTACTGGTTCTGCTTTTATCTTCCGAAACATCTCAACGAGGTGGTTTTGCCATGTCCTGGGATGACAAGTCGGTAGTGCCACTGCTAAGTGATCGGTGGGATGTCTAGGAGTAGTGTCCCAACATGCCTGAAATATTATGGGTTAGCTACTATCTTCACAAAATTCCCAAAGTCGACTTTTTGGGCTCAAAATGGCGTATGGTTATCTCGCTCTTTTGGTATATATCCATTGAAATCACGAACTGCAGTGCGTAAAAGTGCTTTCCGAACAAGACGACTCACCAATGTCCCTCGATGATAAACTCGTGCCAATTTTTTCAAGGACGAAAATAATGCATGATCACGCCCACCAGCATGAGGCGCAAACTCGTTAACAGCATCTGGCGGGTGTCCGACCCAAGCATCTGGGATCCTGTCACTTCCCTCCCCCCAGCGTGTCTCTATGATGTCCATACCGCCGAGACCTTCCTCAATGGCCCACTGCCGGAATGCGGCGAACATCTTGGGGCCAATGTGGCCGATGTGTGCTGGGTTGTACACCACAAACTGAACCTTCCCATTCGATCGAATATACTGCGGATGTCTGAAAAAAGGCAGAAGCCATTCGAAATGCTTTCTCCAAGCAACGTGTAAGCCATAGTCTTGTGCAATCAAGACTTTGCCATTGCCTCCTGATCCATCCCACCTGGCAGACCATGGCTCATTCGCCCAGCTCAGCATGAAAGGAATATTGGGCTCGCCGTCTTCTACCATTTTTTGAATTACATGCTCCATCACCGGGCGACCAGCAAACCAATAGCTAGGTTATCAAGCGAGTCAGCAGCTATCCCAATTGGACTGTGCTAGGAGGGGATGAGATATGTCTTTCCAAACTCTGAAAATTAGGAGCAGAAGCAAAGAGCACCCTCGTTACCTACTGGTGAAAGACTGCGCCGTAAAAGCCGTGCTCGCGAAGAAAACGGCCCTGGCGCTCCCTAGTACGGAATTCGAGGCCATTGTAAAAACCGATTGACTCATGTGGTCTAAGTGTTTCTAGTCCAAAGGAGTTATGTGTCACCTTTTTGACATTGACCCATTCGGTAAAGTTCTCTCCGTGCAATCTGTTGTTGTCCTCAAAAACGTAGTACTGTGGGAATATGTAGACAAGCGGCTTGAGAGAGTAGCTCCCGAAAGCCTCAGCTGCATAGTTCTTGCTAGGAACCGGAGACTTTTGGTGCTGGAGATACGGAATAGAGGACTGATGAAAATAGAGTAGGCTAGTACACAGCGAGAGGATGCTTAGAATCGCGAGCTTCTGGATGTAGCGAGAGCACTGCAGCACCATCATTGCATTATGAAAGGAGGGGGCCGAGTAGACTTGGTGCCAGAGCTACCGTACATCGAAATAGACGCTTGCAGATACGGCAACGACTTGTGACGCTGTCCCGAGACTGGCTGAAAAGATTGATAGAACGTTAAAGGAGAGGCGTAAAGGTTGCGAGGCTTACCTATGTTTGTTATTCTGCAGTCACTGACCGCTTTACCTTGAAACGAAAATAGTGGAGTGCTAATCGTCGGCGTAGCCCCCCCAGAGACCCATACTACTACTAACCCCCCCTCTGGTAGTCGGTGGAATACCTTACGGGAATTAGCCTAGAGCTTTCTACGGTAAAATAACTATTAATAATAGGCTATTAAGCGAAGAGCGCTAAAGCTTCTATCCTATTTATTTATAGTTAGGTAGCAAGAGCCTAAAAACCGGAGTTAATATTAAATAACTAATAGCTACTATTAAAATAGAAAATAACTAGAAATAAAATTTACTAATATCTTATTTAAACTAAAGATATATTAGTATAGTTATTCTCTGAAAAAATAGTTAAGTTATATTATTAGATTGTTATAATAACTATTATTTTAAAAAAACTAAGATATTCTATTATATAATAGTTATACTATAGTTAAGCTTATATTACTATAGAATATTATAATTAGTTATTTCTAAATATTAAAAGCTAAGAAATAATAAGTATAATTATACTATAATAGTTTAATAACTATAGAATTATTAATATAGCGCGATTATAGACTTTATAGTTATATATTAATAACTAGATACTAAGTACTACTAATTAATTCTACTAACTAAAGATAATTATATATAAATAATTAAGAGTTAAATTATATAAAGGATCTAGCTACTATAGACTTCTAGTTATATTATTCTTACTCTTTAACTTCTCTTACTTTTTATCTGCTTTACTTAGTACTAAGTGTAATTTATTAACTAGTACTTAGCTTTTTTATCTAATACTTAACTATACTTATTAATTAAACTTATCTTCTTATATAAAACTATCGCTTAAGAATTATAGATATCGAATACTAGCGCTATATAAGCTTGTCCTAGGTTTAGTATATACTTAGTAAGTATATTATATATATATAGTATACTCTTAGCCTTTAATTCTAAGGGGTAATATTCTTTTAAATATATCTTTTAATATTATAACTTCTACTTAATTAAGTAAGTCTTCTACTAAATAAAAGCTTATTCTACTATTATATAGTAGTTAAGAGTTATATTTATCTTTTAAGTACTTAGTATATATATAATTCTATTACTTTAATTAAGCTTTTTATTAGAACCTCTTAATTACTTCTTAATTCTTAAATCCTTATAATTCTTTTATAATTATATTTACTTTTCTAACGAATCTAAAATCTAGATAATTACTTAGTACTAATATTATATACTTAAAACTATATTAGTAAAAAATTCTAGCGCTAAGTGTATATACTACCTGCTATTTTCGCTATTTCCGCTGTTTAACGGCCTCTTACGCTTAAAGTAGCTTTAAAATATAAGAGGCTACTATATATTAGCTTAAAAAATAAGAGGCTGCTTTATATGCCTTAAGCGCCCTCTATAAGACCTACTTTTATATATAAGCTAGACCTAATTAGGAAAGATATAATATTTTTAATTAAAATTGAAAACTAAAAGTTAAGTTTATTTTTAGATTTTAAACTAACTAAAAACAGTTAGACTAGCGTAGATTTTAACTAAGAATTTAAAAAGACCTGTACTTTTTATATACGTCCTTAAAACTAGTCTCGCTATATAACTACTAGTACTATAAAGATAGAACGTTATATAAAGTACTACTTTATATATTAATTAATAGAATATAAAGATAAAAGTTATCTCTTAAGAATTTAAAGCTATAGAAAAGAGAAAAGCTTAAAAGCTCTTAAAGTTATATACTTTAGAAAAGAAGCTAGCTAAAGTACTTCTTAAAAGGGATAGCTATAGCTATAGCTAAGCTAGCTAGAAGTAAAAGAGTAGTCTTTATACTTTATATATTATATAGTATTATATTATCTCCTTATTTTAAAAAAGCTTAATCTTAAGTATCTATTTAATTTCTTATTATTATTTAACTTATTATAGTTATTAATACTATTTTCTTAAGCTTTTATTTACTTTAAGAGTATAGCTAAAGAGCTAGCTTACTTAGGATATTATAAGTAGAATTCATAGAGCTTATAAGGTATATATTTAAGGTTAAACGCTAGGTACTATATAAGGTTAATATCTCTATTTAACTATAAGACTTTATATAATAGGTTATTATATTACTTTTAATAAGTTAGTATAGTTTCGACTTTTTATTTATTATTACTTATTATATTAATAGGTAGCAAGAGCTATTAGACTTATCCTAAGAGTAAGTTATTTAAGTACTAGTATAGCTTATTAGAGAGAAAGATATTATAGATTTTTTATCGAATACTAGCGCTATGTGAGCTTATCCTAGGTTTAGTATATACTTAGTAAATATATTATATATATATAGTATACTTTTAGCCTCTGATTCTAAAAGGTAATACTCTTTTAAATATATCTTTTAATACTATAACTTCTACTTAATCGAGTAAGCTCTTTATTATATAAAAGCTTACTCTACTACTATATAATAGTTAAGAGCTATATTTATCTCTTAAGTACTTAGTATATATATAATTCTATTACTTTAATTAAGCTTTTAACTAGAACCTCTTAATTATTCTTTAATTCTTAAATCTTTATAACTCTTCTATAATTATATCTATTTTCCTAATAGATCTAGAATCTAGATAATCACTTAGTACTAATATTATATACTTAAAACTAAAAAACTTCCCTACTTAAATAAAGTACTTAATACTAAGTATAAATATTCTAAGACTCTAGCTTTATATTAATCTAGAAGCTCTAAATACTTTTTCTTTTATTTAAATTCTTAATAAGCTCCCTCGGATTATAAAGTAAATTGTAGCTAATATAATAGCTTATAAGATAGAATTATATAAAATCTTTTATACTAAGTATAAGATAGAGCTTATAAGCTAAGTAGTAGTATAAGGTTTAAGAACTCTATAAAGCTCTTTAAGTAAGAACTCTAGATCTCTTTAAGCTATTCTAAAAGCTCTAATATAAATTATACTAATAAAAGCTTTAGATTATAAAGTAATAGTAAAAGCTAAGTAAGAGCTATAGAAGATAAACACTAGGATTTAGTAACCTTAAATAACTTAGTACTAAAAGCTTTATAAATAAATTAAGAAAATAATAGCTAAGTAGTACTTTAAAATCGTAAGTATAGAAATTATTATTAATAAGAGCTTTAATATCTAAGTACTTCTTTAATTATTTAAATATATCCTAAATTAGATAGATAATACTATTTAAACCTTAATTAGAAGTAAATACTAATTATTACTTAAGTTAATAAAAGAAGCTAAGCTTAACTTTAAGACTTAAATTATATCTTACTAAGAGCTTATATATAAGAGTATCTTATTATTAGTATCGCACCGGTAAATAATTAATAAGTATATATTAATATACATTAAAATCCAAGGTTTAGTTTAAAGGTATTTAAAAGTATGTATTATAAAGAGTATCTATAGGTTAGAATATATACTACCTTCCGAATAACCCCTAGTTTATATCTAAAAGTAGTCTATCCCTTAACTAGGATTACCTATACCTTTGATTTCCTTTTATATCTCTATAGTAAAGGTCTATAGACTAATACTAGTAAAACTTCTTTTAGAAATAAAAGGTTTCTAATAACTATAAAGGAATTAAAAGAGAGAACGTAGATATAATAATAGGAACTAAAGATATAACGAAGTAACGAATATCTGACTTATATATATTAGTAGCTAGAATATCTTTAGTTACTATCTGAAAGTATCTCTCTTATTACGCGGGAATATAAATAAATCGTAATCTATAACTAAACTATATCTTAGAATATAAAGAATACGTATAAACTTATAGAGAATTAAATAATATTATTATTAAGTTAATATAAGGTTCTAAGGAGTCAGGGAGTTAATATTCCGTTTAGTAGTAGTTAATAATATAGAGGTAGAAGATAATAGTAATAGCTAAGTAATAATAGTAAATAATATCGTATTATATCCGAATTAGGCTTAAATCGTGTATATCTATTTATATAAAGATAACCTCTCTTTTAAAACCTTTTCTTTTCTCTATTAAATAATAATAATAATAATAACTATAAGTTTAGAATCGATAGTATTTACCTTAGAGATTCTCGCTAACTATAAGATTCTTTAAAAGATATTAAATAATTTAAGTAATTCAAGAGTAAATATATTTTATTCTAAGAGCTAGCGTAGTAGTAGAGCTCTTTACTAATACTAATTAGTACTAATTCCCTACTCCCTTAGTACTCTCCTAGCTATGTTCTATATATAGTACTATAGATATATCGACTATTAGAAAAAAGGTAATCTAAAACTATACGAATTCTAGAGTTCTATAAGCTTAAAATACTAGTATTATACTGAGAATAAGGATAAATACGAACTTATAAGTATCTCTTAATCTAAGTCTTTTCTATAACTCCTCTAATAATAATCCTTTATAATTAACGGAAGTAGATCTTAATATATATAGCTCTTAAGTATTATACTTTTATTAATACTCTTACTAGTAGAGATATAGCTAACCTCCTTAAAGCTAGAACTACCTTATAGAATATTATCTCTATTATTAAAGCTAATATACTAAGGGATATACTATTAGCTATAGAAGTTGTATTAGTAGAGGTTTATACTATATATAATAAGATAGCTAGAATTATAGAATAGAATACTATAAGTATTTCCCTTTTCTTAACTAACTCTCCTTACCTCTCTTTATAAGATATAATCTAATACCTTATATTATAAGTAATACTTATAGCGCTATAGAAATTAGGAACTATATTAGGGAAATAGAAAGCTCTACTAGATAATCCGGGTCTATTAAAGTATTATATAAGGATAAGTACTTAAAGGACTTCTAAAGGCGATTTAAAGGAGAATTTAGCTAGTAGTCCTAGTAGTTCTAGTTCTAGTAGTAGTTCTAGTAATAGAAATAGCTTAAGTACTTGCTCTTCTAGCTTTACTATAATTAATTAGCTCTTTAGAGTAGAGGAAAGTAGTAATAGTACTCTAATACTTAATCTAACTTCTCTACTTTCTCTTCCCTAGGGAGAGAGAGAAATTACTAATAGTAATCTTAGAGAGAATAGTATATAAAAGTAAAGG